CCCCCCCAAACCGTCTATAGATATTCCGTCTTAATAACGTTCTTATTCTTCTTCTTCTTCTTCTTCATTCTCTTCTCTTGTATTTATTTGTTTGCTCTATATATTTACACGACTCCTGCAGTACGGGTCTTTCCCCCCTTTTCACCGCCTCTTACGCATACCGGCTTCCAAGTCTTTCACGTCCAACCGGGTGTTTCTGATGTAATAGTGTTTGCCTCTGTGTCTGCGACCATCTGCACGTCTGATCAGATCGATTCGTTCGATCAGCGGGGAGAAAATTGGTACACGGACTTCCACAAAGGTCTTGGAATACTGGTTTCTCAGTAAAATCGACGCATCCTGTGTTAGTTCCTTCCTATCAACCGATAGCACGTATCCCATCAAATTATCGTATTTGCACTTTTGCGAGTTGTAAGCCACACGAACCACGTCACCCGCACGCAAACGGTCCTTATTGTGCGATGAAACTAAATCCCGTCTCCAACTTTCGCGGTCTAAACTTTCGTTCATGTCCTTTTCAGAGAGTATCTTCAATAAGTTTGGTTTGCATGGTTCTTCCACGGCAGGATACACGGGAATCGTCTTTCTGGTGGTGCTACTAAGTTGGTAATTTCTGACAAAGCCTCGGGATAGTCCCGGGAGCCTCAGTATAGCTCTCAAAGACATAGATTCGGTTCTTATTGAGCTTTGATTCTTGGTTTGTCGATGAGTGTCGAAATGCTTTATATGGTTAATTTTTCAATATTTCGACTATTGTATAATGATTTCAAAAAATGCTAGAGTTAGAAAAGATCAGAACACTGACACTGCGAAAGGTAGCGAGAGTAGGCTGCAGATGACAATTTGAACCAATGGAGTGTTTAGATGAGATAAAGAGATAGGGTGCAGGCTTTTTGGGGCTTCAAATAGTGGTCGTGACGAATGTTGAAAATTCACATAAAAAAATTACACTTTCTCGGCTTATTTTAGCTGCTTATCGGGGTCATGCAGCGATAAAAAGCTACACTTGAACTCGATATAAGTCTTGTAGGTATGTGTTCAAAAGCTGTGTGTCTTTTCAACGCCTTTGGGTGAGCACAGAAAGTAAACACTAAGGAGAAAAACGATAAATTCAAGAGGCAATTCACTTTTGAAAGCACAAAAGAAGAGGTGCCGCTCGTGCCGCTCATGCCAGCCTCACGCTCGTGATTTCTCTCCATCCATCTTTTTTTATTTTTGATCGGTATACAAATTTATAGAGTTCTTCTTGATCCTTGGGTGTCTAATGTACAAATGCAATAAAATAAAAAGTCTCTCGACTCTCGATCAACACCAGAAACCTAAAACCGGCTTCTACGTTTCCTACCCGTGAATTTGGAGTCTTTGGCCACTGTACGACCACGCTTACGCATGAGTTCCTTTTTGCGCTGGAGATATGTCTTGTTAGACTCTTTAACGTTTTTCTTGTCACGACGCACTTTCACCATTTCTTCCGCACTCATGGTGACACCTTGCAAGTTGACGCGCTCGTCTTCCACAGATGTGCCCGAACTCAATACCAGGTAGAATTTCTTGTTTTTCTTGGATTCTGGATCATCCACGACCAGACCACCACTGAATCCAGCCACCTTGGCAGCCCCTAAGATCTGCTGAGCCTGGTCATCGTTCTTCGGGTAGAACTGTGCCACGAACTTGCCACCTTTTTTCAACGACGCAAACAAGGTGTTGAAAAATCGCATCAAACGTCTTTTGGGGTCATTGTAGGATGTATCTGCATTGCACAACCATTGTATAGCACTGATACTGATGGCTGCATCGAAAGTACCTGCCCTGAACGGCAGGCCTTGTCCCATGTCGTGCAGCATCAAATCACCGTCAAGCTCTCTGGTCAGGCCTGTAGCCAACATAGAGGGAGAAATATCTACACCACACCAAATGTGGCCTTCTTCGGTCAAGATTTCCCCACTCAAGCCAGATCCACATCCAATATCCAGTACAAATGATGTTTCCGATAGGTTTAGAAGTTCCAAAGCTCGCAACGACATTTTAGCTTGAATGTGCTGTACTCTGGTCGATGAGGTGTATTTCTGCGATTCAGAATCATTATAGAATACTTCTGGCGGAGCCAAATCTTCTGGACGAGACATTAGACAATGATTTGAGACACGAAAGTGTTTTTTTTGGACGTTGAAGCTCTCTTTAGTTTAGAGTTTTTCAAGCGATGAGCTACTACTCTTCTGAAATTTTTCAGTTCAATAATGATCTCAGTATGAAAGAATAGTGTCCAGGAAGCACAACGAGCTGTAGCGAAGCGGGAGGTGCTTTTAAGAAGCTTCAAAGACCCTCTTGATTTGAGAAGAAATTTCAAGCATCGAAGCACAATTTTCACGACTCTTTTAGCGTTCAAATTGGGCTTGATTTCATAATAGTACGTAGTGACTTGTTGGTATGTAACAGTAGCACCATTCGGCACTTAAACGACTACTGCAGATTGCATCCATAGCGTAAGAGCTGTTGAAACTGTTAGAGCTATAAAATCGGGTTTTCTCAGCTATAAAGACAAGCTTTGAGACCCGTATATCTCGTTTTAAAATACCGAAATAGACCAGTACAAGAAGTTCTCGAAGCTTGTAAAGGTGTCAGGCTTTCTTCGCGAGAACCAGAATAATCAATGCTTTGTTTCAACGCTCCTGATTTTGGGTATCCAGGATTTCTGGAGTCACGACAGTACTGTACCGAAAGCTACAAAGTCCGAAACAGTAAGAAACCGGTTTCTTAAGCCCTTAAATTATAGAATATTGTTTGAGTAGCATTGGCAGCTGTCGAATCTATTTATTGTAAGTATATTTTGACAGCTAGTTCTACGTTGGTCTTCCAAAACCTATTAAAATATGCTAGAATGGACGTATTGCAACCGTTGAAAAGCCCAGAAAAAGTGCTGATAAAAGCCAGTCTCTTCAGTTTAGGGTTTAAATGAGTTACAAATTTTATGCATTCTTATCTGCGTTTCTATATCTTGATTCCCACTGTCATCAACATCAAGCCTAATATTAGTGAAAAGTTAGGGTCACCTCGTATATATCTCTACCAATGCACAGTTCAGAAAGATACTTCAACTAAACACATAAAGAGGCCATTAGTTCGTCTCGAACTCTTCCTTTAAACTATGGCAAAGGGTAAGGGTGCTTCTAATAAGCTCCCAAAGAAAGAGGTGCGGAGAATCGAGGAAATAAACCGACAAACTGACCATCGAGTTCCCCTTCCTGGAATCGAAACGGGATTTGACGAATACGGAGTCGACGTTAGCGATAAAACACATGCAGAGCTGTCTCAATTCAAGCCATATGCGGCTAGTTTGAGCACTAAGGAAAAGTACAGGTATCACCGCGATACGGGCCAAATGCGTTCGTTCTTCGGCGATGTCAGGTTTGGATACAGGAGTACCATTATGGACGACCTGGTCAATGCTTCGCTCACCGAATCCTCGTTCAAAGGTTCTGGATGGGGCAAAATTAAGACTCAATCCCAAGAAAAGGATGGTTCTGGCTCTGAAGGCAATGAAAAAGCTGCCTCGGTTGTCTTCTTCAATTTCTCTGGATTCTATGTACTGTTTTGGATGATTGTGGCATTTATAGTGTTGAGGGTTGGAGTAGACTACTACTTTTCACACGATGGGGACCTTTCACAATCAGAAATCCTCAAATTCATGACCACAGACCTTCTATCCGTTGCGCTGATCGATTTGGCCATGTACCTGTGCACTTTCTTCGTACTTTTCGTGCATTTAGCAGTCAAACGTGGATGGATCGCATGGAAGCGCACTGGCCGGTATCTCACATACGCTTACGAGATTGGATTTCTTTGGACTTTTCTGTACGTGGCAGAAACCGTGATGCAATTCCATTGGCTATCGAAGATCTTCATATTCCTGCATTCACTTGTTCTGCTCATGAAGATGCACTCTTTTGCCTCGTACAATGGCTACCTATGGGGGATTCTTGAAGAATTGAAATTTTCGAAAAGCACCTTGGCGAAAGCTAAGGACATTAACATTGACGACGATATTAGAATTGTCCTTGAGAAAAGCTGCGAGTTTTGTCAGTTCGAACTTGATTTACAATCCATCTCTGTCAAATTCCCTGCCAACATCAACTTCAAGAATTTCTTTGAGTACAGTATGTTCCCAACCTTAGTTTACCAGGTGGAATATCCAAGGACTGAGAAGATCAGATGGTCGTACGTGTTTGAGAAACTTTGTGCGATTTTTGGAGTCATTCTGGTGATGATGATCATTGCCCAATTCTTCATGCATCCTATAGCGATGCGTGCTATGGCAGTAAGAGATGTGGGAATGCCAATTTTCTGGGATCGTATTTTTGAATGGCTATATTTGTTTTTGAAACTGGTTCCCAGCTTTATCATGATGTACCTCATGGTGTGGTATCTCATCTGGGATGCGATCTTGAACTGTATTGCAGAACTGACACGATTTGGCGATAGGTATTTCTACGGCGATTGGTGGAACTGTGTTTCATGGGACGAATTTAGTCGCCAATGGAATGTTCCAGTTCACAAGTTTCTCTTGAGACATGTCTATCACAGCTCAATTAGTTTTCTGCACTTGAATAAAATGCAAGCTACTTTGATGACTTTTGTGCTGAGCTCGGTAGTGCACGAGCTGGCCATGTACGTGTTGTTCGGAAAGCTGAGATTATATTTATTTTCCCTGCAGATGGCACAGATTCCTCTTGTACAGCTAGGAAACTCCAGATTTTTGAAGTCAAAGAAAATTCTGGGCAATGCGATTTTCTGGCTTGGCATATGCACGGGCCCCAGCATGATGTGCACATTGTATTTGACATTTTAAGAAAAGTTCACGAATTCCGAGTTTAAAGTTTATCTATGGCTAAGTATATGTATACAAATACCTACGTGCTTGTCTATTTACAGGTAAACTTGATCTTACCAAGCCGTTGGTTTTGGGTCGCTATCGATAGATTTCCTCGAAAGGACGCGTATCGCCGAAACAACTGTCCCAGACTTCGTCGACGATCTTTTGCGCATGTTGCTCGTTCTTACAGTTTGGGTTCCCCATCACGCTGAGCGTTGCTCTTCGACGAACACAATCTTGGTGTCCTCTATTGACTTTGAACCCAAGTCCACGTCGAGCAAACTCTTGCATGAAACGGCATTCGCCGCTTAAACTCGATGCACGAATTTCAGAACAAGCATGGTGCTTCAAATCGAGCCAATCTACCATCCATCTGGTGTTGTCGTAATAATGGACCATTTCATGTGCCAGCGTGTCTTCGAGATGCCATTTATCGCGAATCCGGTTTTGACACAATAGAATCCCAAGCTCTGGGTGGAACCCGCCACTCCTCCACTCGGGACACACATCGCAAATGATTTTGGATTCGTCAAACTTCAAAAGCGGTTGATCTGTGGATTTTTGAGCACCACTGTTCAGTCTTGCAATTTGTTGTGCCATGAATGTCACGGTGGGTGAATACTGCAAAATCCAGTCTCGGTATTTGTAGCATTCATTACACTGCTTGCGCTGCAAGACAAATTCGTAATCGTTTTCGTATTGCTTCTTTTCAATGGGTGTTAATCCCAAACCCGTCTTGTATTGGAAAGTTCGTCTCCACCACTCAATTCCATGTATAGAGCCCTCACTTTTTGGCGCATTTGGTTTCTGAAGAGCTTCAATGGGTGGGATCGACTCGTTCATAGTACCGGCAATAGATCCTGAGGCTTTATAGGGTTATCGCCCGTAGTTTCAGAATGCTTATCTTGTTCTGGAAAATTTTGAGATGAGCTAGTTAAACTGCAATGCAATTACAACTCATCGCATCTCATCACTTACCTGTTAAAATAGCAAGATCAGTGCTAAATAAGAGCTTTTGAATAAGCAAAGATGAACGTTTGGATAGCCGCGAGCGATGGGAATCTAGAGAAAGTCGAGTCGTTTTTTTCTGCCGGTTTTGGACCTGAATCTAAGGATCCTAACGGATACACACCAATACACGCAGCAGCAGCATATGGTCACATCGAACTGCTGCGTAAACTGTGCTCAGCACCTTATAGCGGTGATATAAACGTGCGAGACGGTGATGGCGACACTCCATTGCATCATTGTGAGGATTTAACTACAGGTCGAGTAATCGTGGAAGAGCTGAATGCCGACTGGACATTAAAGAACAACGAGGGCAAAACGGCGCTGGAAGTATTGGAAGAAGATGTAGAGTTTCCAGAACTGATCGACTACTTGAGAGAGAAAAGTGGAGTTGTGCAACAGTCCGACGACGGCATTGACAACGAACAAATGGCACAGTTCAAGGACAATTTGCGCTACACTTTGGAAAACGAGCCCGAAAGTAACGATCCGGAAAGTTCAGCTCGTCGCCAAAAAATACAGCAGATTTTGGACGGTGGGAATGCAGAACAGGAGCTGGAGCAGTACATACGCGAGCTGATACGGTCGCAATGGACAGAGACTGAGACAGAGGACTCGGGTGCCAAACGCAGGAGGGGATAGACGAAGATGTTTGAGAGTCGAGGGAAGACCAACGTTGAGAGACGAGCTGAAATGGGGCTGTGAGAAAGGCGGTGGAGTACTGGAGGGTCCCTACCCCACGTGACCAGAGCGAGCAGAGTGGATTTAGTTCTTGTTCTGATCTTTAAACACAAAAAATCGATTATGTTTTGGACTCTACCATTTTGCGCCAACGTACTGGAGGAATGGTCATGAACATCCAGAGAACGCGTCTAGTTTCAAATCTCGTTGTCGCCGTGACATATATCGTTGAGAGTGACTACTACCTAGCCCTGCCAAGGCTAAGACACCTCTCCGTTCCGAACTGTAGTTTACTCACGATATAAAATGGCTTCTCACGAGCAATGAACCGTGGCCAAGCTTCTGACAATTGGTTCACAAACTCAGCGTTGTCTACGCGTAATTGTATAAGATAACACAGTATGTTAGATATACCATGCTCTTTAACATGATTGTGGAAGCCATTCCGTTACCGAATGATCGGTTAGGGACTGGGTGGTCAGATAGCTGGCCTGTATTTCTATATATCGTCGTGGCCAGGTAACCGTAACCGGTCTGCAATTCGATATACCGTCGTTGTCTTCCGAGCACGTGACCAGATATGAACAACGCTAAAACAAAGAGAGCAGAATCCGATATGCATCTTGAAGCGCTGTAAACCGTAACCGATGTGGATTTAAGTATTTGTGTGTAGATGCCTTCGATAAACTGACAACTTCAGATGTGAAAAATGATCGATGGAACCGGGTTTCTCGATTGTAAAACTTGTTTTCAAAAATCCCAAAAATCACAGTGAATAGCAACAGAACCGCTCACGTAGTTGGAAACAATCATATCGATTCAGATAAGCTTAGGATTACCGCAAAAGCGCGACTCGAGAGTGGAGTTGTGAAGTCACGTGATACAATGACATCAGCCATCAACATTTAACATTTTGGATATTATAAGGGACATACGGGGAATTATGGCTAAGATTTAAGTGTCTTCAAAGAATATCCGTATCATCATATTACGCCAGCAACGTTGCATATGAAAGGTATACTTCTAACTTGGCTTAGAGGTATCACAAGGCCTTCGAATAATGAAAAGACAATCCGTATAAAGTTATGAAGCACGGGATTCAAAAACAGTAATTCAATCATCATATCAACCTTTTTCGTCTAATCTGAACCCATTGACCACACCTTCCAATCAAGAACGCAGTCGATCAATCCCCTCCAGCTCTTGGTATTACCTCCTGATGTCTGTTCTGACTCCTCTCGTGAAAGTGGCCGATGCTCTCAATCAGCTCAATGCCAAATTCACAGCATTGACTTTCCAAGAACAAAAAGCGTTGACAATTACTGAAAGAATTCGGTTCTACAATTGGACATTTGAATTCTGGGCTCTAGGCGTTTTGGCCCTCATCTACGTTTTCCACGTTATTGGTACGAGAATCAACAAGAATCGTGCTGTCAATTTGTTCAAAGGTTTTAGACAGTGCTTCGAAGAGTTGGCATTTGCCAAAATCGGGTTCACGACCAAATCTGGCCAAAATCAACCATTTGTGGCCGAAAATAACAACACTTGGTTTACCGGTTTTGCAACAGGCCGCTCCAGCGTGGAAAGCGTCACAGTGCGTGCCCGCTTGCTCGCACGTTTTAATCCGCTCTCGATACTTATGGAAAAGTCGTTAGGTCTGTTTTTGCCTGCTCTATTTGAAGCCGATACCGAGGAATTCGTTGAGGTTACAATTAAGGCAAATGGTGTGTATGTGACAAGTACTACCGCAGATCTTCCTAAAGCACCAAGTGACCCAGCATCTGTTCTATCCAAGTTCAAGTTTGTTGCATCTATTGTCAACAAATCCGACATGTCTAAGGCTCGCGAAAACAACTACTATCTGTCACTCACACACACTTCAGAAAGTGAAAAATTGCCAATCCAGTACGTGTACATGTCCGAAAACAACCAGCTGAACTCTTTCTTCGACCACTATGGTGGCGCTGCTTTGAAAACGCTGTTGAGCGAAAGCGCACATTTCCTGTCGTTTTTGGCCTTCACCGATCTTCCAGAGGCGAAGCCAATTACTGAGAGATCCTGGGAGCGCAACCAGCAGCCAAGATGTGTTCTGAGATTCAAAGTGGTTACCAGTGACGCTGACATTGCTCGTTTGACCAAGCTGGTCACTACTGCCGTGGGTATCGTCGACGCTGCCACGCAGGATTACGTTCAAAACCCAAACAAAGCATTTATCACCAACGATATGTTGAAGAGATCTGCCAACTTGCGTTCTCAAGAACTTGCCAAAGTTGTGAAGGTTATGAAACAGGCGGAAAGAGACCTCTTGCAAGAGAAAAAACAGGAGCAGGAAAGAGAGAAAAGACGCGAATCTAGAAACAAGCTCAGCGGGGAAGAACAGGACAAGCAAGAACAAAAAATGCGCGAAAAGAGAGAAAGACGCCAGCGCAACAAACAGAAGACCCGTATGTGAATATCAATGACAAAGAATTGTCTATCGAACATTTTTGAGCTTAAAATTTCCCGTCCCTTTGGCCGGATATCGACCATAAATCTGTAATTACTTTAAGTTACAACACTTTATTTACAAGAAGCTGAAGGCTCGCACGCCACTGAAAGGAGTGCAGTTTCATATTGTATTCAGTAGCCGTACGCTTGATGAGAAGCTATTATGATCGCTACATTTCCTCTACCGTCAATAAATCTCCCCACTCTTATATTTCCAGACCTGGAATTTTGACGTCTTTCAAAGTGATACCACTATTGAACAGCTTGGGTTGTTTTTTCTCTTCCGCTGTTCCCCTTTCATTGAATTTCTTCTCTTCTGGTGCTTGTTCACTGATGACGATATTTTCTTGATCCTTTTTGGCCGGTTCTCTGACCCTAAGAGCTGCCAATTGAACAGCTTCAGCTTGCAGCTGCTGATCTATATCCTTGTCAGCTAAGACGTAGCGGGCCCCATTATTTGAATGTAGATAATTTCTCATTAGTGATGGGCTAACTGATGTGACTTGGCCCTTGTAAAGTTGGAATTTTGGGAAATCTTTGAGTAGCTGTACCTTTACTTTATTGGTACGCTTCGATAGCGCAGAATAGGACCTCGACGCACCAAGCTTGAACATGATTGAATCGATCCCCTTTGAGATCTTCTCACTACTTGAAGTTGGCGATTTGAATATTTTCGTTCGGAAATCTTGAAACTTTTTCAATATAATAGTAGTTCACTGTCGAAGCTCAGTGTAGGCCACAGATAAACCAAGAGGAATAGCAATGGGGTAAAGAGAATGAACGACAATTTAAAATGCTATTGGTGCTAGACCATCATTTTTAGAATGTATCAGAGGTGACGGAATTCTCGGAATGTATATGAGTTTTTTTTGACAAATTGAGCCAGCCGTGAATATACAGTCATTGGAGAGCCAAAGAGAGGTGAGAAAAAATACCGAATGATGCTGAAAAACCAAACAAATTGGTCCTGTGCAGGACTCAAGGGCTCCCTGACCTGGATTGAAATGAGAATCGATCTTCATGAAAGTTAAAGTAGCACGTGACACATGACAGATGTCAAGCGGGTTTAAAGTGATGTAGTATTTATTCAATTGAAGTATGTAAAAACACCACACAGCTACAGATTGCAATGGATTCAAAATCCTAGGTTTATGCTGTCTTTCAGATTCAGAATTTCTAGTTATAAGCCTATAGATAATCTGTGTCGCAGCTCGCCTCAAAGTAATCTTGAAAATGCCAATCGATTTGGATTTATCAAAAACTGATTTTTTCTCTCACTCAACATCTTAAAACGCTTAAAGCAAGTAACTATTTGACACTCTACCACTAGCCTGCTATTTCTTGATCCAAGTCGTTGGGTATACTGAACATTGATTATATTTAAAGTATTTAGAAATATCGTACAGAGCGATATACCGGCCATCTCGCTAATTATCCAAATATGTTGATGGTAACGATTCTCAGCTCGAAGACATCCAAACAAACTTGAACAGGAAAGCCCCACCAATAGCTGCTGTACTCCCTAGTTGTCGAAATGTCCAAGAACCGTAGACAAAGCAGTGTTCCCTCTACGCAACAGCAGACCGCTCCGGTACCAATTACGCAACCAACGGACTCGTACATTCCATCATATCTAGCGGCCCAAGTTCCTGAACTGACGTCTTACAAGCAGCTTTTGGAAGCCGAAAAGAAGATCGATCTTTACATCAGCCGCAAAAAAATTGATTTATTTCAGTCGGTGTCACAATGGACCAATCTCAGACAGAATAATGAGGAAAAACAATACCTGCGTATTTTCGTGTCAAATATCGCTGAAAGCCAACCTTGGCAAGACCATGAGGGTGGTTTCCCACCTTCGTGGACTCTTCGAGTCGAGGGTCGAATCCTGGATTCGAAAGACGTTGGTGAACCAGATAGACCAAAATTTAGCACATTTCTGCAAGGCATAGCAGTAGATTTCAAGGAAGTTCAAAACGGTCAAGATACTGGCTCAAACGGTCCAAATGAACCAGCAAAAGATACCTTCCAACAACAAGAGCATCAACAATCGCCACAGGATCAGCAAAATCGTGAAGGCAGTTTGCCTTCGATCGTGGAGTGGCACTACGATCCTGCCAACCCAGCAGATTTCGATGGCCTGGATATAAAGCGGGAGGGATCCGAAAACATTGAATGTGCCATCGTTATCCAGCCAAGGGGTACCACAGGTGAATGGATCCAATTTTCACCTCAGCTTGCGTCCATCATCGGTACTTCTCGTGGCACCCTACATGAAGCTGTCTATTCGCTGTACAAATACATTCTGCTGAATGATTTGCTGAGTGATGAAGACCCAAGTGGGGCGACGGCTTCGCAGCCTGCCCAAGGCTCGAACAATAACAACAAAAATAATAACAACAATAACACAAACGGCGAGAGAACATTTGTCAAAATCGATAAATATCTCGCAGGGCTTTTCGCAGAAGAGCGCAGAAGTATGAAACTCGCAGAAATTCCTGCTATTGTTAATAGACATGTTTCCCCGTTACCACCGGTTCGTATCAGCTACACGATTCGCGTCGACAAAGCCTCCACATATGGTGAGACTGTGCTAGACATCGAGGTGCCTGCAAAGGCAGACGATGAGGTGACTCGCCAAGGCATGTCGCTACTGTCGGAGTTGAACCAGCTCAGCACCACATTGGAGCCCCAGATGCAGAGGCTCAACCAGGAACTAAATTTACTTCAATTGCAGCTCAACTCTAGTGCCAACAAGTGTCAGTTTTTCGCGAAACTCGCAGAAAATCCAGTACCCATGCTAGAAGAGTACATCGAATCGTCGTCCAGGGCTTTGAAAGTCTTGAGTGGCGATGACGGCTTCAATGAAGACACCGTGAGACGTGCCAACTTCTACAAAGAAAACGAAAACATGCTGTTCGAAAACCTCGGTGTGCTACTGTCTAATGGTCGTATGTGATTTTTTTTTTCTGTCAAAGCATAAACCGAAAGAATACTCTCACAAGCAGAACCAAAGGTCTCAGGTTCCATCTCCACATGTTGCGTTGTCTCTCAATTGCCCAGGTATCAACCATGTTTTCGAAGTCTGTTTGGCACACAGGCGTTTACGTGTAATCGTACTCGTACTCATGAATCTTTTCGTCAAATGACTAAATTGTAGGATTCATCAAAATTTTTCACCAGTGATCGAGGCCAGCAGCACACTCAAATCCATCAGAAGAAGCTGTTTCGACCGGAACTTATTCTGTTGTGTTCTACCAACTGATTCTGTTGTTTTAGATTCAAACGATAATCTATAATGTCCCAAAGCTATAGATCCACTCGTTCTTCCGCTAAGGAAACTCAATCTTTCGAAAAAACTATTATCCAGGGTCTGGCATCCGACGGAGGATTGTTTATTCCTTCTGAGATTCCCCAGGTTGATGCGGAAACACTTGAGAAATGGTCGAGTCTGAGTTTCCAAGAACTTGCTTTGGAAATCATGAAACTTTACATTTCGAATGAAGAAATTCCCGAAAACGATTTGAAAGAGTTGATCCAAAGATCGTACTCTACTTTCCGTTCGAGCGAGGTCACTCCCTTGGCAAAAGATATTACTGGAAATGGTGAACATCTTCATGTTCTTGAGCTATACCATGGCCCAACTTATGCCTTTAAAGATGTGGCTTTGCAATTCGTGGGTAACCTATTCGAATACTTTCTACAAAGAGCCAATAAGGATTTGCCTCAGGAACAGCGCAAAAAAATCACTGTTGTGGGTGCTACCTCCGGTGACACCGGCAGTGCTGCTATTTACGGTATGAGAGGCAAGAAGGACGTCTCTGTCTTCATTTTGTATCCAACCGGCAGAATCTCACCTATTCAAGAGGAACAAATGACCACTGTTCCCGACAAAAATGTGCAAACTCTTTCCGTGAAAGGCACTTTCGACAATTGCCAGGACATTGTGAAGGCCATTTTTGGTGACGTTGAGTTTAACAAGAAGCACAACGTGGGCGCTGTTAACTCCATCAACTGGGCCAGGATCTTGGCTCAGATGACTTACTACTTTTACGCCTATTTCCAGGCTATCAAGGGTGCTCAGAGCAAAGTAAAATTTGTTGTTCCAAGTGGTAACTTTGGTGATATCTTGGCTGGCTACTACGCCAGAAAGATGGGTTTGCCAGTTGAAAGATTAGTCATTGCCACCAACTCCAATGACATTTTGGATAGATTCATGAAGACTGGTGTTTACGAGAGATCCGACGATGTTGCAGCTACACTGTCACCTGCTATGGACATTCTTGTCTCCTCTAACTTCGAAAGACTATTGTGGTACTTGGCTCGCGATGTGATGGCTTCTGGCGATGACCAAAAAGCTGGAGAAATTCTAAACCAGTGGTTTGTGCAATTGAAGACGGAAGGTAAGTTCGTTGTTGACCAAGCTGTAATTAAGGCAGCTTTGGTTGACTTCGACTCCGAAAGAGTATCGGACCCTGAAACGAAAGAAACAATAAAGGAAATCTATCAATCGTCTCAAAATCCAAAGAACTATATTTTGGATCCTCACACAGCGGTCGGTGTTTGCGCTACCAAGAGACAGATTTCCAAGGACAACGACAGCAATATTCAATACATTTCTTTGTCTACTGCTCACCCAGCCAAGTTTGCCGAGGCTGTGAATGACGCTCTGTCCGAATTTGAGGGTTATTCTTTCGAAAAGGATGTTCTTCCTGATGAGTTAAAGAAGTTGTCAACTTTGGAGAAAAAATTGAAATTTGTCGAGAAGGCTGATATCGAGCTTGTTAAGCGTACTATCGAGGAGGAGTTGGTTAAAATGGGGTTGTTCTAGAATTGCGAACTAGAATCGCTGATTCATGTAAATGTGTAAACGAATAATACTAAAACCGAGTAATTACTGAAATTTATGGTTTTGCAGTAGATGCGATCTGAATTTTGCCATCTTTACCAACGTTGACCTCATATCCAGCGGAGCTTAAGACATCATCATTAACTGGACTCTTTGATTCCAGTTGGGCGACAATCTTTTGGTTCTCTGCATTGTCTTGAAGTAGCATCTTTATACACATAATACTTCGCTCTTTAATGAATGGATCATTATCGTCGATAACGCAATTGCTGAGTACGGCTTCTAAACCTTGAAGTTCACGCATTTTATCCTGAACTTCTCTATTATTGTATGCAAGAAAGCAAAGTATCTCGACGATCAATAGTTTGCATTCCGGGAAGTTTGTAGCTTTGATTTTTCCGGTGGCAGAATCGAAGCGTGAAGCTATCACAGCGCTGTCCGATATCTGTACTCCATTGCTATTAGAGACCTTTAAAGACGTGGAGTTTTGACTCGTGAGCCTTAGTATGTTTAGCCTCAAAAGCTTGGCTTGGAATAGATGTAAAAGCTCGACTAACACCTCTAATCCTCGATAAAAATCCATAAACTTTCGCACATGCTCGTATTGGGCCAAAGTCGTCAACATGTCTAGTATAATTATGAGTTTATCATGGAGGAGTGTTGCACGCTCTTGATTTTCATGATTGTTCTTAAAGTATTCCTTCACGTCAGAGGCCACTTTTTCCAATAGCGGGAAACACCATGCCATAATTCCTGTCAATTGAAAGTTATCCCAGGTTTGAGAGCTGGTAATTATTAGACGAAGAAGCTTCATGAAGTCTAAGAATTTTTCCTCATCGGATTCCTCTACAAGGGCCAAGTATGGTGCAAAGGATTCGTGTGAACATATTGTCCTGAATACGGATATTACCAATCCACCCAGCACTGAAAGCTCTTTTTCTGCAATTTGATCTCCGCTTATCACTTGAGGAATCTCGGTATGTCCTTGGCATACCGTTTGAAGCATAAAATCGTAGAGAATCGTTGAGGCCTGCTGGGTTTTCAAAAAGTAGTAAACAAAGTCGCTGTTACCAACCAAATTTCGAAGTAGCATTGTGTGCGGAAGAACGAGGTCATCTCTATCAACTTGTTCGATCGAGTAGCATAAAAATTGCGCTATGTCTTTCATGCAAGTCTTGTCAAAGATGACAGACTTCGTGGTCACATTACAGGAAAACTCAGCGACAACCTTGAACAAACTCACCTCCATATCATCATACTGGGAACTTCTAGATAGCAAATTGAAATCTTTCACAAAATGGTCTAGTAGCATGGCTTCTTGGGGAATCTCGTTATTCGATGCACTCAGGTTTCTTGCCAAGATTACCAATCCCCGGAAAGTTCGCAGATACCAGAAGCGCAGTTCTTGGTTCCCCCCAAAATCGTTGTCATATTCTTTCAGCCTAGCACATTCAACAATCATATGCCAAACTTCTTTGTTTTGAGCCAAAAACTCACGATACTTCGAATCATGCGATGACTTTAGCACTATCGAGCTTAATGACGGTATAACAGCTTCAAAGGGTTCTTTTTGAACAGCTGAGCTACACAACAGTGATGAAACGTTTCTTAGCGTGTGAATTTCATCGACGGACATAACAAATGGAGTTCAAACTACCCTTTTAACGGGTGGATCTTCGTTATGAGCAGAGCTCATCGCTAGATTATTTTCCAGACTGAAATTTCATATACCTACAATGATGACAGCGACAGCTACAGCGACAGCGACAGTTTTGAAACTTAAGCAGAGAAAGCTAGGGTCTCAATGTATAGACCTCAATTCCAGGGTCATTTAATGATGGTAAATTTTTTGGGATTATATAGTCTATCTCAATGTGCTAGACCTGTTACTGACAGGATTTGATTGTTGATGCAGATGCGTAATGCAAAAGAAGGTTTGCGATACTCGTTGTTCTAAATGACACCCTCGTCGTCATCTTCGTCTTTATCGTCATCTTTTTCCTGAGTTACCGGAAGAATATTGGCTTTAGCGTCCGAAAATCCTATCCATCCTTCTTCGTCGTCATCGCTGGAGTTATTTTCCATGATTACGTCGTCATCGGATTCGAGGTTTTGTTTGACTCCTAATGCGTCGTCGGCGTCGTCGTCGTCCTCAAAGCCAGTTCCCATGGATCCATCTGTGGACGTGAGAAACCAGTATGCATACTTATTATCACTGGAAGCGGAAACCACGTCTTTGGCAATGTGACCAAGGAAGCGTTGAACGGCACGTAACGACGAAGCAAACTCATGCTTGTGAGATGTGATATAACGACCATGAGCAGAAAGAACCGCTTTAACCCATATCAGATTGAACTCCAAATGTTGAGATTCTACGGAAAACTCTCCAATAAACCTGAGCATACGTGCAACGTAAACAATCGGCAGCCCACCGCTCACCAAATTTATTTCTTTCACTGGAATAGATTCGTAAACGCGCTTAATCAGATACTCTTCATTTAGTCGGAAAGCCATCACCAAGGAATTCAAATACTCATTCTCATTGAGTGCCTCTACAACGGCCTGTGGAGTAATGTCGATATCCAAGTCAAATGGGTCGAAGAGAATAGTCTCGTCAACAGAGTATATCAAAATACCCTCCGTGGATCCTGCAGCAAATGCATTCGAAGTAGGAGAGAACTTCAAGCTCGTTACTCTTACTTCGGGCCTTACCCTCCGGGTTGAGAGATCACCGCCTCTATTTGAACCTGGCAAACTGTTATCTATGCGGTCTTCCAGATCTGAGTTTTCCCCGTCCCTATCAATGAGATCGAGGGATCCAGCCTCTGTCATCTTTTTGCTGTTCAACATCTGCAATGTACCATTCAAAGACATGTTTCGGGAAACAACGAATCTTTTGAGCAAAACACCATTAGGAATGTCGTAAAGACAAATAGAATTGTTGTTACCACCTGCAACTAATGAGAGACCATCAAAACTGTAGTCAATACTGGTGAAATACTTCGACCTGGCCGAGTTCTTAGATGTAAATCTGTCCTCCAGGTGTCTACCAGAAAGAATGTCTTTCTTGCCATCGATGGCATTAACTTGCTTTCCCTCGTAAATGTCGAAGAAGAGAACGTTTCCGTCCAACGTTGAAACGGCCACTTCGCCGCCATCCGGCCTCACTGAAATGGCCAGAACATCCGCAAAGACCTCTAAAGGCTCGACCTGCTGCGACCTGCCGAATATTGACCATATTCTAATGGTTTTGTCCCATGAAGACGAAGCCAAGACGCCATTTTCTTTACTGAAAGACAAGCAACTTACTGGACCTTCATGTCCGTCTAAAGTTTCGACCAGTTGACCTGTCTGGACGGACCACACATGAATGGCGAAGCTGTCAAGAGACCCCGCACATACAACTTCACCAGAAGGGTCCGCAGCTAAGCAGTTGAACTGAATACGTTCAGCGGCGGTGAATGTTCTGAAGTTTCGGTAGCGGATAAGATCCCAGGCTCTGACTGTCCCATCCAAAGAAGCAGAAAACAAGACCTGACCCTTCTTAGCGAACGCAAGTCCTGTAACAGCTGCTGCGTGTTCTTGAAAAGTTACTAAACAGAATCCAGAGACAACGTCCCATATTTTGATTTTGCCGTCGTCTGATGCGGTAACCACGCGAGAACCGTCTGGGGAATACGCAACCGCGTTGGTGGCGTCAAAATGGCCCTGCTGTTTCAAAATATAGGATTCCGACTGCCACTCGTAGACTAGTAGTTGACCCAACCTACTGGAACCAAATGCTAACCATTCTCCGGTGTCATTTACTGCAACTGCATTTATGGCATTCTGGCCCATTGATAGCTGCTGAATCAAAGTGAAATCGGGTACTTCGTAAAGTCTGAATTCACCGTTGGTGAAGCCTACCACGAGCACGTTAGATTTAGCATGGAACGTAACACGCTTAACCTTGGCTTGAGAAGCGTAAAAGTAGTTCTTTTTCACGATACGCCAGCTGTACGTGGAGAGATCTGGTTCTTCACCCTCCTCAACCTCTTGCTTCGATGTATACCCCCACTGAAATAGAGCTCCGTCTTTGCTTATGGTGTATATCTGTTCCTGATCTGATGAGAAAAATGCACCCACTACGTAATCTCTGTGGCCAGCAAATGTTGTGGCCGCCAGATCTTGCTCATTCGAATCCAGTGACCAAATCCTCGCCGTCAGATCCTTGGAGGAAGAAAGCAGAAAACGAGAATCTGGCGACCAGCTGAGCGATGTTACCTGGGCAAAATGGCCTGCATGCACTCTTTGTCGCACGAACGGCGCAAATTGCCGATCTTCAGCTACGTCTGGGGTCCTCCATATCTGAATAAAGCGTCCACAAGCCAGGGCAAAAGTTTTGCCGTCTGGTGAGAACTGTAAGTCGCTAACGGGCTCTTTGAAATTAAAATGGTGTAGCACCGTTTTAGCTCGGAAATTGACCAAAATCGCTCTACCGTCCTCGTCAACCGACAAAAGCAGTGTGCCTTGCGGGTTCAGTGCAATGCAGCTCACGTTTTTGCGGTGCTCGTATTCAAACGTGAAAGATTGGTTTTTCACCAGGTCGAACACCGATACTCTATTTCCCACCGGAGAAAGCAGCACAGTACCATCCTTCGAGAAAATAACATTTCCCTGTCGATAAACCGTACCTAGCAGATTCGAAAACTTAAAGTCTGACCGCATAGTCCCTCGTTATGTCTGTGCTGTATATGTTTGAATGTTAGAATCTTTAGCTCATCGCTTTAACATTGATGTTAGTTAATGCCTGTAATTTTTCAAAATTTTTCAATACCATAAGAAACCCAGCATTTTGGCAGTTACGCTACAAGAGCTTCAATCAGAAAATGGATTATAGATCATTTGAAAACTAATCTGAGGTGACTGAAAATGGCAGAAGAGGTAAACGGGCGACTGTCGAGCCGTGTGCTCAACATGAAGTTTATGCGACAGGCGGATCAGGCGGAGGAGGCTCAAAAACAGGAAGAAGAGAAACGGCATTTAATCGACTCTAGCGAGTGGAGATTGGCCGGAAATGATCACATCAAGGCACGACTGCGGCCCCAGTGGCAGCATATTGGAGCCACCGCTCTTTGGGGCCATCAGCAGGCGACTGGGGCCGTTGGAAGACGCAAAATGGGTGTACCTGAGAAATCTAGTGAAGAAACGCAGCAGGAAGCGGACATAGAGACGCTTTGGAAGGCTCAAAAGCGCAGTAGAGGGGAAGAAGAGTCCGCTGAAAGTGATGGTGAGTCAGAAGGTCTCAAGAAAAGAGGATCGGATGATAAAGTTGTGGAAAAGACAGGAAACGATTTGGGTAAGGCCACTGCCAATGGGAAGAATAAGACTTCTCAACCGCCTTCGAAACGTGCAAAGTCTGGCAAAGCACACAGACAGTCCAAGAAACTTGAGAAGGACAAAAAGTAGGCTCCAGTATTAATAACAATGTATATTATCAGTCAATAGGAAACCTCGGAACAGTGCTGGATCATCCTGTTCTCGCTTGTATATTATTTCCTTCTCCTAACAGTTTTCAGCCCTATTTCTTTCTTTTGCCGGCCTTAGAAGCGTCCACGAATGAGCCCTTCAACACTGCGTCGCGTGCAGTAGAGTTGATATGCTTGAAACGGTCAGGGCCGATGTGGGTGCCCGTAAACCATCTGGCGACCGCAACAACAACGTCCCAAGCATCCATCAACGTCAGTAGATGCAGCAATCTGCCGCCAGCAGCTGTTTCCCCATCGTCGTCACAGTCCTGATAGCTCACATTGCCCGGGCCATGAATCCGCCAAGCGGTCATTACATGTTGACATCTGCTCACTTTTGGGTCCATTCGCAGCTGATCCAGCTTCAAACGTGCGTCATCCTCACTTGAGACCTGGGTGGTGAATGCTATAAAAGTTGATCCGCGATCCACTACCGGTTCGCTTTGATACCAGGTAATGTCCAATTTTTCGATGGTCTTTTCAAGTTCCAAATTTTCTAACTGTTGTGCCATCAGGTCTTCAGCAGGCTCCAGCGATAGTGCACGGAGCTCATCTTCGCTCCAATTCGAGCATACTTCCGATGCTTCAGACAGGAAATCAAAGACACATACATCACAATTCCAAACCGTTTTCATCACTTTTTCAAACTCTTCTCGAAGCGCTTTATTCGCACCAGTTCCATCAACTTCCAGCACCTGTGGTGCGGCTTCTGTAGGGTAGCCACTGGGGAATGAAAGATGCACAGTTATAGAATCATGCTCCGGTATCTTAAGCATGCATTGAGTATCGGATAGACGCTCTAAAAATTCGGGATATATGGCATCTATAGCGTCGAGTTCTTGCTGCAATTCTTCCTGTGACATTAAACAGCAGGCGACTGACGCAATTGAGAGGTATAGAGAGCGATTGGACCTTTTATATAGAACTTTAAGTTTAAAATCGAGGTTGATTTCTGAATTGAAGATGAGCTAGCCGTGTAAATTAAAGGTCGAAGAGGTTAAAGCTCTTGAGTTTTTGAACAGACCAAGAAAGATGCTTCTCAGACGACCTTTAATAGGATGATAGAGCCATGAAGCATGTTCTTTGTGATGGTATTATGATGGTTAATTTTTGTGGGGTCCGAAGTTTAGAATTAAAGATGGTATCTGATGGCTAGATGTATTCTCGAACTAACGAACAAGAACAAAATGCGAGGAAGACGGAAATGATTTCGCTCAGAAAGGGAATATTTAATGGTCAGGAGACGGTTCAATAACTGCAGGTTCACGATGCAAGACACAAGGACCAAGGTTTTTGACTTCATACACTTTTTCCAAATAAAAATGAGGAACAAAATGTTGTATTACGAATGGGGAGGGAAAACTCTGAAGGTACTATGATTATACTGGTATTTCAACCAGTTAATTCTCTGGGTATCGTAGTCCTTCCGAGCCCTGTCGATGGTAAAAAGCCGGAAACGTATATTTGCGCGTTTCGGTCGCAGAGTTTGGAGAAGTGCTCACAAGCTTAAAAGCTCGAGGAACTGGGACTGTGTCTTTGATCTGGCAAGAGCGCCTTGCTTAGTTGAAGGAGGCAGGCGTACGTCTAACGGAGATCGAGATTTCGATAAGATAGCCCAATAGTGCGAGAGATCACATGACTCTGTGACAGATGCCAATGTGGTAAAAGGTGACAAGACGAGTGTCATCGTGCGTTAATTGTTCTGTATCCTTGGTGATGTCTTCCATCGTAGATGAGTTGAGATTCTTAGTTACATAGCTGGTGAGTTTAAATTCCCGTACTTGGTCGATTGTGAAGGGTATGATCTCATAGGATGGGCAGAGTATGCCTCTTTACTCGCTTTTGGGAACCATTTCATCATCGAAGGAAGTGAAAAGATTCTACTTGGATCGAGGAGGTATGACGGCAAATGAGGTCATTTTTAGTGGCTCTAAAAACTGGTTTCACTCTCTAACGCTCACCAAGCTACCGCGCTGATAAACCGGGAATTTTGTAGACCAGGTTCAGTGTTCATTATTTTCTTGTGATGTTGGCTTGTCACGTGACTGAAAGTATCTTGCAATGAATCTGATGCTCGATTTGAGAGGAGTGTCTAATAGTTCTCTTATTGTGGATCGAAATATGGCTTATGCACAAATCAAGCTGGTTGAAGTAGTAAAACACTTAGTGAATCACGAAATTCCTAAATGCAACTGAAGTTGAAGCTACCAAAATGCACTGTCGTACTAAATGACACGGAATCACAGACCATCCGAACTACACTGTGGGCGCAAAGAAAGTACAAATATTAAGTTAGTGAAAATAACTCACGTTTCGAGAGAGCCAGTTCATAGAGACCACAGTTGCGTTTCAACAGGTCGGGCAATGAGTTGATCATCAGATGACGTATGAAATGATCAGCATTAATTAACCCATTTCTCTGTCCAGTGGGTGCTATCTATACTCCCAATTACTTCAAGTGGTATCTAAATCACAACGTCTTTTGCTGAGCTTGTTTCAACAGCTTTTATCATTCTGCTTTTGGTTGCCGAGTTTTGGCCAGATCATGGAAAACGAGAAGAGCATGTAACTGTCACTTACATCTCCTGTGCTCTGGCGCATCCCTTTGGAAATGTAGGAGAAAAAGATTCCTGTGCATCCTTGGGTGACGATCACCGATTTTGAAAAACCAAATATAGAATTTGCTTATTTCGGATATCTTATTAGAGATATCCGCTATCGACCGTTCCTCTTGGCGTTCATTAATTATATTCACCATAGGATTTGCAGTGCTAATTATATCCAAAATGTAGCACCACGTGACGAGCGTCACAACCTACAGTTCGGAAACACTAGTGAGGATTCTGCCAGTGCAAAGGCGCTAGTGCATCCTTAGGTTTTGAAAGACACAAGCTGCATGCAACGTTCGACTGACATAAGTCTTAAAGGGTCTTTGGCGTGTCGATAATTTTGGAAATTAAGGTCTTCACTTTTTCAAGCCACTTTCGCACTCCCACCTCTTACTACTTTTCCTTGCAGCCATTGAAATTGTGGTAGAGTTGCTAGGCGTATTAGCACCATTCGGCTGCTGATAAAGGTACTTTCGGAATTTGAGCGGTCAACTAACAGCCAAGCTCAAGGTTAGCCAAGCCCACGATTAGGTAGGTCAAAAATAGTAGTCTCGAGCGTGGTTCCGCGCAGATCTTGATCGCTCGACACATAGGCGCCTATCGGGATGACTAAGATCGGTTGCTCTGATTTTTTTTTAGTGAGATGAAGTTTCCGTCTTGTACGCGAGTGCAGTCATATATGTACAGGACCGTCAATGGGAGAGACAAGGACACAGTGACGACGGTGAGCTTTAAATTGGCTACTATCCTTTCCAAAGCTATTCATCACGCCCATCACTTGTTGTTAAATCGCTTGCCGTTCAAACAGCCAAACGCTCACGACATGAAGCACATTTTACGCCGGGCGTCATTGATGGCAGTTATGGCCGTTATGGCCGCGTCCCATGGCAAATGCTACGCCAGAGAAATGATACGCGAAGGAGAAATTAGTAAAGCATCGCAGGCGATTTCAACTTCTAGCCTCGAAGCCCGTCCAACACCCAGACCCCACGAGCCAAAGAATATGCATGGATTGCCCATCCTGCAAACCGACTTGACATTCAACGAACGGGCATATTGGGAGACATATTCCACAACGACATTTTTCAATTTACCGGAAAAGTCTCCAAAGTATCAAAAACGAATCGCTACTCTTCATGTTTGGTTGATAGGTCTGGTATCGTGCATAGGATATCCCATCGCACTGGTTCTGGGTCACGTGGGATGGAAGGAAACACCTCCATCATTAAGAACAATAAGCGACGACAGTGACAGCGACTTTGAGAAAACTTCGCAACGTCGTTGGCTCAAATTCTGCCACACGGTGCTCACCACCATGAATGTATTTGCACTCCTGTCGGCCACGGCAGTTTTATCCGGATTTTCCGACCCTGCCGTGCAGTACCCAAAAAATGCATATCGCAGAACTTCCATCATCGTAGCCGTTGTGTCTGTAGTGCACCTGCTTGCGACGATCGTGAGGTTCGTAGCATTTGTGAAGAGTACAGGGAACGGATCGATGTCGCACTATCGTCGCATATTGCAAGATTACGAAATGGCGCTCTTTAACACTGAGGACCTTAGCCAGACTCAATCGTCTTCTGCGAGTCACCACACCAGTATTCGTGACAATTCTGCCAGTCGCCCCGAATCACCTCTCACACCTGCGCGGTACACGCAAATTGACTTCAATATCCAGCTCGAGCAGGATAGCTTAGAAGCACGACCTACGTTTTCGGTCCCATTGTCCACGCCACGAGTACACTATGTCTTTCAGTTCGCATCTAATGTGCTCAACTGCACGTCGTGGCCGCTTTTCATCGTGTTGTCCATAAACTGCGTGATCGGAATTGCGGTAGGATGCTTGTTTGGTCAGGGCAAGCGGGTCTTTAATCTCTTGGCGCATTGGATTAAGGGCGGCGTTTTTATCGTACTTGGAGTTTTATCACTCGCACGTTACTGCGGAGTTGGTCTCGAAAAAGGCTGGGCCTGGAATAAAACCACCGCTCAAATGCATCCCACCAGTGCTTTGCAGAACTCCAAACGCATGATTTTGCCCAATGGCTCCATGATCACCATAGAGTCTATTGAGTCGTTTCTTATCTTCTTTTATGGGTCCACCAAGGTATTTTTGGAGCATCTTTCGAGCGTTGACGGTAAATGGCACCCTCGAGACCTCCAGCATGTATCAATTGCGTTCATGTTTATCGGGTGCGGCCTTTGCGGGCTAATTGTCGAGCACAAGTTATCAGATTGGCGGAAAAACCACTCAGTAAAGCAAAACGCGGACATTCGCACCACTGGAACTCCTGGGTACTCTCCAAATCCCTTCCCTGCATTTACAATTTTCTGGACCGGGATTCTGATGTCCCAACACGAACAGGCGTCCGTTACTTCCACCAAAATCCATGTTCAATGGGGGTCTTTGCTGGCTTACGGCTCCTTTTTCAGACTTGTTACCATTTTCCTGCTTCTGGGGAAGCCCAACAAGGACAACAAACCATCGAAACCGTTCACAGAGCTAATTACCTCATTTTGTTTGCTATGCGGGGGTATGATTTTTATGGAATCCACGGATCAAGTTGTAGAGGCTTTAGAGTATCGGGGACTAACCAGTATGTTTACCTTGAACCTCAGTGTGGGTTTTACAACCCTGTTCATGGCCTGGGAAATGCTTCTGCTGATGTGGAAAGACTGGCTAGAAACGCATTGACACGGGAACTTGTGGTACGGTTCGATTAGTTCTACAAGACCAGCATAGGGTTGTAGTTGAAAAATGGCCAAACAAAGTGTTGCCTCTGGAGAGACCAGCTGGAAGATGTATCTCACAGTTTGTGGAGATGTCAGTTCTACTGGAGGTGAGTGCTTATTGGAAGCTTTCGTTGAAAGTGATTATTGTAATTACTCGTCGAAGTACTCGTAGAAGTACTCATAGAAACATCAAAGAGCTCTGTGGTTGTGATGTTACGCAACTCCTATATAGTGGTTCTGGTATGAAATAGAGATGTTATTGAAGAAGCTACACGTTTGGGATATCATACAATTGCAGTAAGAAGAGGGCATCAATTCGAGATTATTATTCTATGTCGTATGAGAAGGAATAATTTTCACCGCTTTATTTTGAGCTTATCTTCATTAAACTTTGAGCCTATTACTGGAATTAGATGGAATAAGACCTCCAGTTAAAAGAGGGCACATCAGTAGTGTTGTTCACAGCTTGTAGTCAATCTTCCAGGGCTTGTGTGTGTGTGTGTGTGTGTGTGTGTGTGTGTGTGTGTGTGTGTGTGTCTCTCTCTCTCTCTCTCTCTGTGTTCTGACACCCTTCGGCTAAGACGGAGTTAATAAAAATCCCAACGCACGTGATCCACAACCCATCACCACACACGAAACAAACCCCTCAGCTCCAATTTGCTCATCACTCCGCACGGCCCAGCCCCCCGTTCCGTACCGCGTACCGCCATGTCTGAACCTCGCAAATACGCGCATCGCACACCAAATGCGGCAATTGGCGCAGGAACGAGCAGTCTTGGACGAGCAAGACACACACACACACACACACACACATACACAATCCATACGAGCTACACGGCTTATCGCATTACTAACTAAGAACCCAAGAAAACCTGATGTTTGCGTTCACGAAACCAAACAAGTCTTTTTGTCTCGAACAAACATCTCTACCACGGTTTTCTCCCATCTATCAGTCCCCTCCCTATACTAACTACTACTTGCCATGGCCCTTATATACTCACTGGACCCCAACCACGGCTGGACCCTTGCATTTGCTTCCGGGTTCCGCGGCGGTTGCCGGAACCCGTTACGAGAGCCGCCTTAACTTTTATATCCGCTTTATCCGACGGCTGACATATCTACACACACACGGAGTTACTGCTCAGAAAAGCCCGAACGCGGACGAAAACAAACATGGAAGCAATTTTTTAAGGGGGCGGCAACGACAAAGTCTGCATGGGAGCCGCGCCCCTAAAAATCGATGCGCAAGCATGCTGACATAAGCGCGGGTATTCGGAATTTTAATTTTTTTTACTTTAATTTTTTTTTTTTTTTATTTCATGGGCTGGTCTTGGTTTTGTGTTGTATAAGGTAAGCACTAAGCGCGCGTGTATTTGTATATATATATACATGTGTATAGGGTAGAGGCACCACGAACTAGCGGCAGACGTGGGACCGCACCACTGTCTTACCCAAAGAGGCAAAAAAGGGAGACACAGCCGGAGTAATTTAAAAAACCCAGACCCCACGTAGAAACGCTTATTCGTACACCCACACACCCTGAAATGCAACATCGTACAATACGGCTGGCGATAATTGCGGCAACTGCAGCCGCAGCCGCCGCAACGACCGCAGTGGCGGCAACTCACGCCGAGATCGATGCTAGAGACATGGATATGGATATGGATATGGATATGGATATGGATACGAATACGGATACGGGTAGTAATAATATGATGTACACAAACGGAACGCCAGTGACCTGGACCAAGCCAACACCCACACCCCACGAGCCAAAACACGTACATGGACTACCCATATTACAAACGCAATTAACACCCAATGAAAGAGCTTATTGGGAAGCATATTCTACAACAACCTTTTTCAATTTGCCAGAAACCTCATCAAACGCTCAAAAAAGAATCGCTGCTATCCACATTTGGCTCATGGCGCTGGTCACGTGCTTAGGGTATCCAGCGGCTCTGGTATTGGGTCACGTGGCGTGGAAGGAGCAACATGTATCATCGTCGACGACAGACTCTACCACCAACACCCAACCACCACAGCGTCATTGGCTCAAATTCTGTCACACTGTGGTCACAACCATAAACGTATCTGCGCTTCTGTTAGCCATGACGGTATTGTCTGGATTTTCCGACCCGGCCGTGCAATACCCAAAAAATGCATATCGCAGAACCTCCGTCATCGTAGCCGTTGTGTCTGTAGTGCATCTCCTGGCAACGCTAGTGCGATACTTGGGATTTGTGAAAAATGCCAAAACTAAATCCTACACGCCCTTGTCGTCGCACTACCATAATTCTTTGGAAAATTACGAAATGGTTCCAGCTGCAACCAACGACCGTCATCAATCGCAGTCGTCACATGACTCGGATCTCACCGCTGCAACGTCCAGTACCTCTCACGTCGATGGCCATGGCAAGCCAACCACTCGTCCTGGGTCTCCTTTGGGCTCTCCACCGCCTGCGTCGTTCGATCTCGACTCCCAACTCGACCAGCAAGACTTGGAAGCTCATCGTAGGTCTTTGGCCGCATTATCAGTGCCGCAGTTACCTTTTGCCTCCCGTATTGCAGCATTCGCGCTCGATTTCACGTCGTGGCCTCTGTTCATTTTATTAGCCATTGACTGCGTAATCGGAATCGCTGTGGGAAATTTGTTCGGCACCGGACTACGTGTATTCAACCTTTTGGCGCATTGGATCAAGGGCGGAGTTTTCGTTACACTTGGAATTTCGTCTCTCGCCCGTTACTGCGGTGTTGGTGCCAACAAAGGATGGGCCTGGAACAAAACCACTACTAAGATGCATCCCACCAGCGCGCTCCGGAATTGGGGACGTATGGTTCTGCCCAATGGTTCCATGATCACCATGGAATTTATTGAATCGTTTCTCATCTTCTTTTATGGATCCACCAACGTGTTTTTAGAGCATCTGTCCAACGTCGACGGCCAATGGCACGCAAAAGATCTTCAGCATGTGTCGATTGCGTTTATGTTTATCGGCTGCGGTCTATGTGGGCTGATTGTTGAATACAAATTATCAGACTGGCGCAGAAAGCAGTCTGTAGAGCAAGACGCAGACGTTCTTACCACCGGAACTCCTGGCTACACCCCAAACCCATTCCCTGCCTTCACAATCTTTTGGACCGGAATTTTAATGTCTCAACACGAACAGGCATCTGTTACTTCCACCAATATCCATGTTCAATGGGGGTCTTTGTTGTCTTATGGCTCCTTTTTCAGACTCCTCACGTTCCTACTTTTGATCTGGAAACCCAACAAGGACAACAAACCCCCCAGGCCCTTCACAGAGCTCATTGCCTCATTTTGCCTGTTGTGTGGTGGTCTTATCTTTATGGAATCCACAGATCAGGTTGTCGAGGCTTTGGAGTACCGTGGACTAACGAGCATGTTCACCTTTAACCTCAGTGTAGGTGTTGTGACCCTATTCATGGCCTGGGAAATGCTCCTATTGCTGTGGAAGGACTGGCTAGAAACGAAATGATTCAACGAGATATGATAGACCGAACAGATGAGTTCTAGCATCAGCTAAGACGATTCGAACTCGCAAAAGAGAAGAAACGAAAAACACCCAAAAAAAAAAAACTAACAAACAAACTAACGCAAGACTTGCCGAGCTCCGAACCAAAAAGTCGCTATTGTAAATTTGCACCGCAATTATGAAAGTCCAAGCTCAATAATATTTTAATTTACTCGCGTCGTCAATGAGCTGTCTCCGAACAAGTTACACCGCTTATTTTCGACACATTTTAATAATACATACTAATACCATTTATAAAATATGACCTATGGCGGTAACTACCGGGCACTTATTGTGCAATAGCTGACATTCTCTCAGTAGGGTTTTCGTAACGGCGTAAGTACACGGATTAATCATAGCGTTTGATCACAGGCCGTCGAAGCACAATGAGTTCATCTTTAGCGAACGTGATAATCAAATAGTTTAGATTGGCGTTGCGGTACGAAAGTGCGAATCTAAGCTCTCGACCCTGTGTTCGATCCTCGATCGAGGCAACGCCCGTGGATCTAAAGATTGTCAGTTTGGCCGAGTGGTTAAGGCGATAGACTCGAATTAATTGATCGTTTCAGATCAAGATTGCAATCTATTGGGCTCTGCCCGCATCGGTTCAAATCCGATAGCTGACGTTATTTTTTGGATTCGTTACTCAACTACCCTATCATCCGCTTCTTACCAGTTATTCTTCCTTAGTGCTAAGCTAACACACCGCCGCCACGATCTTCGTAGAAATGCTGAAATAGTCACTACAGACGAACACATATCCCAATATACTACAAAAAAAATCAATATACACAAAACCACTTAGTCAAATACTTACCACTAAACCTCTTCAAAAAATAACCGCCCACCTTTCCACTGCGTGGTCATCGCTACCCAACTATATATCCTGTTTATAGCATTGTGTTTTAGTATACCCATCCTGTGTGATCTCTTTTATTAGTTTGTTTAGCATCTCTCCTGTATATATTTATACCATGCCCCGGATCAAGACAAAACGTACCAAAGCAGCGCCAGACGGCTTCGACAAGATCCAATCCACACTGGCAGACTTTGACCTGCAACTGAAGGAAGTACAAGACCAGGATGCTTCAAAACTCAAAGCCAAAGCCAACGAGGGAACCTGGAAAGTCTTACGCATCACTCACGAGCGGTCCCGGTACATCTACAGTTTGTATTACAAACGCAAAGCCATCTCCAAAGAACTTTACACATGGCTGCTGCGTGAGAAATACGCTGACAAGATGTTGATCGCCAAGTGGAAGAAGCGTGGATATGAAAAACTGTGCTGTCTGCAATGTATACAAAGTGCGGAATCGAATTCTGAGGGCAATACCTGTATATGTAGGGTCCCAAGAAGCGTGCTAGAGAAGAATAGTAAGGACGGGGTGGTTACTTTCACCAGGTGTGTCCATTGCGGTTGTACTGGGTGTGCTAGTACCGATTAAAAGCTCGTAATCGGGTCACATGGGAAAGCTCGTGGAAAGATACCTCTTCTCGAATGCATTTTTACGGTCTTTAGCAGTGGAAACCGATGCGTAGAAGACCCACAGTGACTGCGGATAAATTTATCGACGCGTGTCGCGATTTCTTGGCCCGCCCACGGATTTATTTACCACTGCTGTAACTCCAGAAACACGAAAAAAAACGCGACCCCGTACTTGCAAATGGGATTTTCGTCCAAGGCAGCATTTTTTTTTCTTGACGCGTTTGCCAAACGCGAAAAAAAAGTGCATTAAAAAATGTGTGCGTGTGTGTCGTTGCTGTGTGTCGCGAAAGCCTGCTTTTCAAGATGCCAGGGTACTTGCAGACATATATATACCAGCTAATGGGCGATAGAGGCCAGCGACGGGGGTTCTATTTTGGCAGGAATAAAGAAGTATCGCAGTACCAGACTTCGCATTGTTATTAAACTAAGACGCCAGACTAGTTAAATGGACAGCTGCGCCGTCGATACCCGCGTCAAACGCAGATCGAGCTGCGATGTCGCGGAAACCCCGGCCTTGACACCGCCAAGCTCGACCATTAGAAAACCAGGAACACCAGTGAAACGCACCAAGAAGTCACACCCACTTTCTCCTGCACTTTCGTCGCCAATCAGGCCGCAAAAGACGCGGAAATTGTCGCAGAAGCCAGAAACCCATTTGATCACCACCAGATCTTCCAATTCACAGACTTTAGAGGAGCTGATAGAGACCTTCACTGACGAAAAACGGCTTGCGCTGCTCCAAGATTCTCAAAAAAAGCCACCATTTTCTTACGCAATGCTCATTGGGTTGGCCATCTTGCAGTCTGAGGAAGTGAGATTGACATTATCCCAGATCTACCAATGGATCACGCACCATTTTCCTTTCTACAAGCTGTCTGACTATGGCTGGCAAAACAGTATTCGTCACAATTTGTCACTTAATGAAGCATTTGTGAAAGGTGACAAATCTTCTGACGGCAAAGGTCACTACTGGCAAGTTAAATCGGGCTGTGAAGGCAAATTCTTTAAAAGCGGACAATCAGACGAAGAGACCAGACGCAAACTCTCTCAACTTTGTTTGAATGTCTTGGCCATAACAGCTGTTGCCCAAGAGAATGCGCCCGTGACAGCATCGCTGGCATGTGAATTGTTTACCCACTCAGGAACGCAAGAAGAAAAACGCAACTCGAAGAAGAAAAAGTTGGAAGAGCCCTGTGAGCTAGATATTTCTACCGATGAAGACAGTGACCGCGACGACAATGACGACAACGATGAAAGCTTGCACTACCCTGGGCTGAACGCTCCTTCCTCGCCATCTCCCTTCGATACAAATCGCGTTTCCGACGACCAGGATGCGTTCATAGATGGTCCGATAGTGGAGTTTCCAGGCACTGAGCCGTTTTCAAAACACAAGATTGATCCAGATTATCCTTGGCGCGAAGCTAGCATTAACTTCACGCCACGTCGGGAAACTAAAAAATATTCCTGTTCTTTCAACACTAGTTTCGACGGCTCACCTCATGTGAAAACCCCCAAAATGATTTCGTCACCTTGGGGCAAGTTCGGCTCCCCTGAGCCTCAACAAATGACGTCGAGACCCATGACAGGGTCATTGGACTTGCTGAAGACGCCGCAGGTCAGCAATCCGCCAGCAAGCACCACAGACACGCCACGCGACATCCATTCCATGCGAAAATGGCGTACACCTTCGGCAATGGTTGACGACTTTGCACGGTCTCCGGTCTTAATCACCACTTCGTCACGTACACCTATGTTGCTGGGGGACCACGGAGCCGCGAATGATGGCATTGCAGACCGAGGTGCACCATTGAGCGCAGAGTCTAACTCTTTCTTCGAAAACATCCGCTACAGCTCGGGCTTGTTTGGCGTCGACGTGTGCTCGGTCTGGAAAAGAGCCGTAGAGAGTGCACACGACACGACGACCGCGCAGGCTGCTGGTCCACATAACAAGCTCGACACACCGTTCAGAGCTTTCCACGATTAAACACAACGGTGAGGCGCTATAAACTTTGGGATACGGAATCGCTCTTCTTGTGAGAAGGCATGTAACATTAAATATTAAAGACAATTTGGCATTGATGGAACGAAGGCATTGCACGTACATCCAAAACCGGGTGGTTGCAATTGAAGAGAACTGATGGCTCGACACATCTTCGTCTTGGACTGCTGATGATAATTGATGGTTGTTAAAGGCATCTTCTTTCTGGTCTTGACCTGTTCTTGTATTGTAGTATAATCTTGACTACTAATTTAACCAAATTTAGAGATGCTCCAGGTTTTAGTCAGTTTGTAGCCAGAAGAGGATCAGAGAGGACTCTCGGCACATCTGTAAGAAGGTGAAAGCACTGAGAAACGTTGGCTATTGAAAATACCTCCAGAGCTTGGGAAAGTCTTGATGTCAAGGAAGACTACCGTCGAAGAACAAATAAGCAATGTCACTGATCCAAGAGATTTTGTAAAAACTGTGATACCGGAACTTCAGGACACAGATACTTTGCTGCGATGTCACATCTGTAAAGATTTCCTCAAGACACCGGTGCTGACACCCTGTGGCCATACATTTTGCTCGCTGTGTATTCGAGAATATTTGAACCGAGAGCAGAAGTGCCCGTTATGTCTTGCTGAGTTGAGGGAATCAATGCTCAGAAGCGAGTTTCTCGTCAACGAGATTGCCGCTAGCTACACTCACGTACGCGCGAAACTTCTGGAGTTTTTGAGCCTCGAGAGAGAAAGGGAAGCCCAGTCAGCTGGTAATAGCTCATGTATGGTCATCGAAGATGGTCACCAAAGAAACTCTCCAAATCAAAACGGGGAGGCTGGTAAAGCTGGAGATGGTGATGATGATGATGATGAAATACAGATCATCGCTACAAGGGAAAATAGACTGTCTAAACGTTCTGGAGATGCCTTGGTATTCACAGGCCACAAGAAAATGCGCAAAGAGTCTCCAGGAACGGGAATCAGCTCACTTTTGGCCAAGAGCAAGAGCCCCGTTCCACAGCAACCTAAGTTGGCGGATTGTCCTATCTGTGGTAAAGCCTTCCCGCTTGATGTCCTTCAAAGAACTCATTTAGATGAATGTTTAACCACGGAATCCTTTCATAAGTCAGAGAACATCTCAAGCTCCCCAGTAGGCCCTAAACCTGAATTCAACTCTCCGCCTAAGCAGTCCTCTACCAGAAATAGCATCGAAACACCCGTTTCAACTCACTTCAATCGATATTCAGAGTCTACCTCTAACAACAGCGTCACTAGGCTTGCCAAACTGAACTTCTCGTCCACAAGTTTACAGCAGCTGAAGCAAAAACTGTCGTCGCTCAAGCTGCCCGTTACGGGATCGCGGCAGCAAATGATAAATCGTTACAGCCATTACGAAATGCTATGGAACAGTAATTACATTGATTCAATCGATCCAGTGGATGAGAGTATATTACGAAGGCGCCTCGCCAGTTGGGAAGCCAGCCACAATGCATCAGACGGTCAACAGAAGCCCGGTGGCATATCCAAATTTCTGACGAAAAACCCCATGCAAGACTTCAAAACAGATAGATTCGATAGAAAGGGCTGGGCGCGTGCTCATCAGCGAGCATTTCGAAGACTGAGAAAGGAAGCCAAAGCAAGTCTCAAAAGGTCTAAACCCGTTCGGAACATTGAAAACACAGAAAATTCACAAACGGAAACTTCAAGCCATATAAATCACAGCACAACCATCGAACAGGAAATGGTACCCAGTAATCAGCTTGGTTCCAGAAACGGCCACATCACTGCATCAAGTCAAAGTTCATCTGGAGCTTAACCATGGACGGAACCTTATTTATTCGAAAATCAGTAAAAACCTGATTTCAAGTCCTTTACTTAAAGTTCATCGTGTTCTAGCAGTTTATCTTCCTTTGAATGTTTTGCAGCAAAATCTGTATCGGCAGCTGCAAGATGTGTAGTGTGCTCGCCAAGTGAGGACTCTTCGTTCGCGTTCTGAGCTTCGGCAGTAGCTTCAGGTATAGGATCCACTTCATCAATTGGCGCAGGTTCATCGACATAAAGAGATGCAGCATCTGGGGTAACACCTGCAGTGGTACTGCCATCGTCGGCTATTACAGAGACGTCTGGAGTATAGTTCTGTTCAAAATCATCAGGCACCGCACTAGAAACATGTACAGCGGCAGAAGATGTAGATTGCTTCTCCCATGATGACGTTAGGGCAGTACTCTTTGTCTTTGGAGGGAGTGTAGCTTCCGAGACTAGATCGCTCCCAACAGATCTTTCAGTATCTTCTGGAACCGCGATTGAAGTCGTGTCTGAAGACGTCAATTTCTGGCCCTGAGAAAATGTCGAGGCATTTTCAGATGGCACTACTGATTTTTCTCCCGGACCCTTTCCAAAAGTTGATTCAACTGTGTTCAGATTCTCCGTTTGCTGTCCTCTTTTGGAGGTTAAAATTCCGGCCTTCGCGGATTTCACCTCGCTATTTGTTTCCTGTGTCGATTCTGCATCCGCGACATTTGAGGATGCGGCCAATTGGGTACTCTTAGCAAAAATCGAGACCGGTGCCGCTGAAGTTTGGCTCGAGGACGATTTACGTGCCTGAGACACATCACTGAATGAGATTGAGATGGCTTTGCCTTGTATGGCAGTGGATTTTTGTAATATTGAGTTGTTCTCGCTGGTGGTGCCAACTGTCATGAAAGCCTCACGAGTCTCACCTACTCTCGTTGAAGTTTGTGAAGCAGGCTGTGACAAACCAATTGTCTCGCTGTCAGAAACGCTGCTTCCTTTGACACTCAATAGTGATGTGTACTGGGGAATACTGATAGCCACCGAAGTCTTAGAAACTTTTCCATCAGACGATGTAAATAAACCCGAAGTAGTTGAAGGTAAAGAGTCGCTTCCGGTATCCTTTGTGCTGAATGCGTGAGTATGAGCGGTAGAAGCGATCGTACTTGACGCTAAAAGATCACTGTCTTTGTCAGACGAACCCAAGGTATCGCTTGCGCATTCGTAATTTGATTCCTCGCAATAATCCTCGCTGTCAGTTAAGCGCGAACTGCCGCTCTTCGCGGCAGTTTCTTTGGGGACATTTGAAGTGCGAAACTGGTTTTCGACAGTGTTCGAATCTGTGTAGGAAACGTCAAGGGTAGAAGCTGTGCCTTCCTCAGTGCTTATCTTTGATGCCTCATCATCATCCAAGTTCACTGGTGTCGTGAGATCTTCGACGCCAGACTCCGCTGTTGAAGAAATGCTCTTCTCACGGTAAGTCTCGGAGGGACTCAAAAGACTGGAGGCTGTAGGATCAGCACTGGCGGCTGTGTCAGCTTCTGTTTCAGTGGAACTATCATAGTACTGGCCTGAGTCTTTGTTAGAACCCCAGGTTGAGTAAGAGGAGGTCAAATAATCATCAGCCGAAGGTTGGACTATTCCCGAGCTTTGAACCACTTCACTGACGGACAAAAAACCGAGGATTTCAGAAGTTGCAGTATAACTTGTGGGTGTGGTCACAGGGCCATCATGGGTAGGCGCTCCTCTGGTTTTTGTTTGGATACTCACCACGTCGCCTACCAAGGTTGTTTGAGCAAATTCGTCATTCAGTTTGAAGGAATCATTTCTGGCATTCCACTTGGTCAAGGCAAACTGATATACTCTCTGGTGTAGGTCGTACTTGTAGGTAACCTGCAGTATTGCCGCGAATACAACTATCAGAACAAAGTTGATCAAAAGTTTGACAACCTTTTCGACAAAAGACGTTGATGATGCAAGATTGTCGGGAACTCGAATAGCGTGTATTGTATTAGCTGCTGAAACGCTGACAAGGGCGTTGCCATCTGGCGAAAAAACGACCCTTGTGATGGCAAAAGAGTGAACCTGTTTGAAAAATTTCGCTACCGTGAGACTCTTTAGTCTAACCACCAACACAGAGTTGTCGTTACCAGCGAGTGCGGCCAATTGACCTTTGGGATCAACGTCCATAGAAGTCACACCTTTTATCTTAGTCGTCACGATTTTGGTTTTCAACACAGAGGTCGTGCCAGACTTCAAACTAACTTTGCAAAGCACAATCCCACTACCCTTTTTTAGAGCCGCAGCAATAACTACGGTGTCTTCGCCTATGAATCGTATTTTTGACAATGTCCAGTTTTCATTAAAATCAGTTTTACGCACGATGAAACGGCCTGTGACTATTGAAATTACCTCCAAAGTCGATGACGTTATATAGCTGAGAACTTTGCCATCGGGACTAAAGTGCAAGTCTTTCACGTCGTTTCCGGTTTCAATTTCGTACGTTTCAGTCAACAGAGCTGGATTCAAAATTCGAATCACTGTGGGTAGTTTTGACGACGCAATTGCTGCTACAGATCCGTCCTGTGACATGTACGTGAGTTTCGTATAGTCTTCGGCATTTTTGGACCGGTCCATGTCGACGCTAGCCACGAACTTCAAGTGTTCGTTTTCAAAAACGTATTTGCGCAAATGGTGGTTAGGCTGTCCTGCTCTGATCTTGGCAGAGGATTCATTACAGCCCATCAAAATGATGTTATTGGCCGCATCCAATGTTGTGGGTGAGTCGTCGTTGCTATCGAGCGCCAATTCCCGAAATCGCTTGATAACTTTCCGTTTTTCAAAGTTCACCTGAAGAGCTGTCAGTTTGTTTGGAATTCCATTATTGCCCTCACCACCGCCGCCAGTGACCAAAAGCACATTGTTGTTGAGAAATCTTGCCCCGTAGATTGGATATCCAATACTGTAGACGGATTCTTGGACCTTCATTATCCTTTACTGTGTGTTTAAAAGTTGTTGATGAGGTGGACCTTTAGTAAAAGGTTAGGTGGGATCAATTTAACCTTAAATACGTTGAACAACTAGCGATGAGATACTCAGAAAAGGTTTTGAGAAGGAAATGCTAGTGCCAGAGAGGAATAATTAAAGAAGTGACTAATGGAATTGATTAAACGTAATTTTACCTTTCAAACGAGCCTACCATCACTCTGAATTGTTTACCAAGTGTCGTGGGAAAATTTGATGAATTAGCGAGTTGCCAAAACTTCATCAAAATTGAAAAGATGAAAGAAGGACGCACGATTGGAATTATTAGCTGCAAGAGTTCCGTGATATTGGTCTTAGAATATCAATCCCCACCTGTCGGCATCAATGGTATTCATTAAACGCTAAGGTTTGTATAGATCACGCGTGTTTTACTAACAAGAACGAACAGCAAAAAGACCACTCATGGACGAATAAGAGCTAGTCCCTGAGATATTTTTCTATTGCTACAGTATCCAGAAATGTTTTGGTACTGTGAGAAGATACACTTACTGTTTCTTCACAGTAGAAGTCCGGCTACTTGTTTTCCTTCATTATCTTGGTCCATAAAACACTTCAGAAAAAGCCTGAAAATGCTCAGATAGTTGAAAATACCTACAAGCCTCCGTCGCACTTAACTAAATCTTTAGTAAGCTTATCGGAATGACCTTTGACTCACCCTTCGCTGCTGACGCTCTATCTGTGCTTATCTCGTCGCTGACAGTAAATTAACAACTTTTTTACAATATTTCAAATGCTCGGAGCCCGCCTTAGCATCATCGCACATTTAAGCACTAAAGAACTGCCCTCCTCCCGCCATCGGCATTCTTTTCCGTCCTTATACACTCTTGCATTAAGCTGTTTTTGCTCTGGTTTAAATTTGAGGCGTAACTCTCAGCTTCTTAGACCATCTGCTTCGCTACTTATGACGAGAAAAGTACTTTCGATTCAATCGCATGTAGTTCATGGCTACGTTGGCAACAAGGCAGCCAATTTTCCTTTGCAATATCGTGGATGGGACGTGGATGCTCTCAACACCGTTCAATTTTCAAATCATCCTGGATATGGTCATTTCAACGGTTTTCGATCTCAAGCTAAAGATCTTCGGGACATCATTGAAAAGGGTCTTATAAAAGGTCTGGAACTTAAGTACGACGCAATTCTCACTGGGTACCTACCAGATCCAGAAGCGCTGCGTGAAATCGGCGATGTGGTCGCAAATTTATGTGAAAGTGACGCAAACATTAAATGGGTCCTGGACCCTGTTCTGGGTGACAATGGCAAGCTATACGTATCCCCAGAGGCTGTCCCAGCCTACAAGGACATTCTTACCAAAGGAAATGTCTTTTTGGCCACTCCGAATCAATTCGAGATGGAAATCTTGACTGACGTTCCTATCACAGATCTCCGCGCTCTCAAAAGTGCAATAACACGTTTCCACGAACTGTATCCCAAGGTTTTGCATGTGGTGGTCACAAGTGTCACTTTCAGCTCGCTCAGCGACAATACCATACTGTGCGCCTGCAGCGAGCCCTCAGATCCAAGCTCAGCTCGCTACTTCAACGTTCGCAAGATTGATGTCCATTTTAGCGGCACCGGAGATCTGTGTTGTGCACTACTACTAGACGTGCTTTTACGTCAAGCTTCCAGTCTTGCCGGAGCCGTCAACGAGGTCTTGTCGCTGGTTGACAAAATTTTGATAAGAACATTGGAGCTACACATACAGCAAGATCCAACCAAAGAGAAACATCCTACAAAGATAAATGATTTAAGACTGATAGAATCGCGGGATCTCTTGGACGAACCAGCACAAAATAGGTATACACCGATGCCTTTATAGATATGGTAGTGAACAAATACTGTCATCACGTGACCACAAAAGTACTCAAGTACTCATTAACATTACGTAACATTAGGCTCGTTCAAGACGATATAGAAATGTTAATTGAGCTTTGAAGATCAGATATGGCTCCCCTCTGATGAAATGCATGAACAACATCCTAAACCGTCTCTGATGGACGAGAAAGGAGGTTTCAGGCGCTTTAGGCGTTTGAGAAATGTTGCTGGCCTTTGGGCAATCACAACTATACTTTTAGCGTCGCTGTATGCCTATTTTAAGGTCCAAACATGCCACAAACCCAATATGTCAATGGCCATATCAGACCAAGATCGATTTGAAGGGTCTTTCAAGCTCCAAAGCATCTATAAACATGGTGTAGGAGATAATTCGTTTATGCAAGTACTGGAACTGGATGAAGAGGTGCTGGAAGCCGCAAAAGTGAAGTTTTCGGAGCTCTCCACGAACGCTGGAGACGAGGAAGAACTGTGGACTTCAAGTCCACATTATGCCACGGAAAACCCACTAAATTACGAGTTTCAGCTTTCGTATGAACCACAGACTCTAAAACGAATGTTGCATAGATCGCCGGAGTTTGTGGAGTCATATCTCGATTATGCACATGAGAATCCACGGATGGCTTCTCAAGTGCATTTAGATTGGATTGATGACACGGTTGTGGTGCCAAAGGTGACAGATAAAAAAACTGTGGTAAGTCTAGCGCTCATGTCATCTAATGCGTATGTGAGGCTGCCGCATACTGGAGATTGGCGAAATCTGACAAAACCTTGGAACCACACTGCAAACCCTGGCCATGGCTGGGACGACGATGGTCTCAGAGGCCACGTTTTCAGAAACGACCGACAGGACATTGTTGTGCTAGCTGTTAAGGGTACAAGTGCACAGGGACTAGCGGGTTCGGGTGAAGACGAAACTACCGTCAATGACAAGATAAATGACAATCTCCTGTTTTCTTGTTGCTGTGCAAGAATCAGTTACTTGTGGACAACGGTATGCGACTGTTATATGAAGTCTTACACCTGTGACGAGGCGTGTCTGGAACGCGAACTACGGAGAAAGGATCGTTATTACAAAGCGGTGCTGAATATTTACAAAGAGGTGGCAGAAAAATATCCAACGTCAACGATCTGGGTCACAGGTCACTCTTTAGGAGGCGCTTTAGGCAGCCTTTTGGCCCGCACATATGGGCTCCCAGCAGTAGCTTTTGAGGCCCCAGGAGAATTACTTGCGACACGGCGTCTTCATTTACCCATGCCACCTGGGTATCCTAATTATTTGGAAGGTGTGTGGCATTTTGGAAACACTGCAGACCCTATATTTATGGGTACTTGTAACGGAGCAAGCTCGTCGTGCTCAATTGGTGGGTACGCGATGGAGACGTCCTGTCATACAGGAAAGGAGTGTGTCTATGACGTCGTTAAGGACAAAGGGTGGCATGTTAGTCTTTTCAACCACAGGATCCATAAAGTCATTGACGAAGTGTTAGAAGGTTATGACGAGCCCGCTAGATGCATACCACCAGGACCGTGCCATGATTGTTTCAACTGGAACTACGTCCGGAAAGAAACGTCCTCTCAAAGCACTAAAACTATGACGACCAGTACGTCGTCAACAAGATCAACTATCACACCGGAACCAACGATCACTAGTAGTTGCGTGGGTCGAAATTGGTATGGCTGGTGCACGGAGTATGATTAAAAACAACGTTAATGCCTGCGCTGGTCGTCGAAATCATTATCAAATTTTTATAAAAAGGAAAGAAGCTGGACATATCACTTGAGTTGTTTCTATAAGTCGTCATCTACTTGGATTTCGTATTCAGGAAATTTGTCTCGAAGACATGCCTCTATGGACTTATGATATTGGAGTATCACGCTGGGTATCCGCAAATCGACTTCCTCGACCCAGAAGCTTTTGAGTTCCCCCTCCCGTATCTTGTGGAGCCTCAAGCTAAACTTTTTCACATCACTAAGAACCTGCTCAAGTTTTTCTTCTTTAAAAACGGTGCTCTCAGAGTCAAACAGTTTACGAGCCACTACTAGACACATCAATGATAAGTGAACGCATTGAAATATGAGTTGGTCGGAAAGAAAACGAAAATTTTCGAAGTTTTCGGTTACCATTGCTTCTACAGCTTTACGAGAATGCTCAAGTAGCTTCAATTGGGTTTTGATGGGCATTGAGCTCACAACATTGGATATTGAGACCTCTTGACTCGGTATTTTTGTAGGCGTTTTTTGAATTTCTATTCCTGAGCCCTTAATGATACCATTATCGCTGGAAAGGTTTCCACTTGTTGCCGCACTAGCTTTACTGGCTCTGTATAATCTATGGAACCAGGTGTACAACACAATGGTACGAGTGTAATCCAAAGCAAACTCAGCGTATTGTTTTGAAGGGTAGATGGGCTGAGTTAAGAGGTACTCCCACTCTTCATTCCAGATGCGCAATTCCTCTTTGACCGTCCTGTAAGCCGCAGCACCTGAAGCTTCATCGAGAGGGCTCAAAGCACATTGCTGTACAAAATTGTACAAGATCAAGTGCAGTGATATTTCCGCCACCATCCTTCCATCAAAATTGGTGGATTTTGAAAAATCCAAAGTCCGACGGCAGAGATCCGCTCTCACCCCATCAATAATGCACATTCTACCAGAGAATACGCAATTCGCAATGTGTGCTAAGCATAGATGATTCCAAAGCCGAAATAGCTGTAATCTCTTGAATGTGGGGCTCAAGTCGCTATCCATGAAGTCATCTTCGTCAAGTGCACTGTGCACTTCAACATTTGATGCTTGATTCAAACCCGTATCATCTTTGTAATCTCCACTGGTAACGGTCAAAGTTAAATAATGTTGTAGGCCGATTCCAGAAAGGTACCACGCGTCGAAGGTCATAATGTCACTGCTAAAGGAATTTGCGTACAGCGACAGAAGCACCATTGCTTGTATAAACTCGACCGTCTGTGGCACTGCTCTTAGATTGAAATCTAGATCGTCTTTGAGTTTTTGAAGCAGCGTTTTGTATATTCGGGTCTTGAGATCATGATGCTGGATTGTATATCGGAGCGCCAAGACGCATACGGCTGTGAGCAGCAAGCTTGCATTTCTTGATCTCAATGCCTTGACCAAGTCTCCTGAGTCCATCAATTCGGGAAATGAGCACCATTTCCCGTAACCTTGGCGAAACGATTCCATAAGTAGAGCTACTTCGTCTAACGACAGCAGATTCATGTCAACGACGTCAGAAGTCGTTTCTTCTGGTATCACAACACGAGTGTAGAGCTTAGTTATAGGAAGCGGGATATTTTCAGAATCTGTTAACTGTGTGAACATTGCAAAGGGGGAGGCCAGATGGGGCATTGAAACGCGATGACCGGACCTGGCCGAAGTTTCCCCTATTTCCAGAGAACCTGCTCTGAAGTTAGCCAAACCAATGGCTGAAGATGACAGATTATTCAGCTCGTTTACTGCTGGTCTTGGGGATGCGGTCATGGCGTCGAAAGCAGAACTCACGTCATCGTGCTGCTTTCGATCAATAGTTTTGGGCAGCTTTGTAGAGCTGGATTCCATCAACTCCAAGATTCTAGTAACGTTATTGTTGACATTTTGCAGTAGTTTTGAGTGAATTGCGAAATTATCTGGTGTATAACCACTTTTCAGCAGCCGTTTCGTCAATTCCGCAGATTCGTAGCTTGTCGAATAGCCGGTATTGTTCGACTTGCCGAACTCCGTAGTTTCCGTTTTTGACTCTCCCGATCGTACTCCATTTTCACCTTCAGCTTCCCAAAGATCTTGGAACGAGCATCTCAAATTCAAACTATCGCATCGGAGACATCGATGTTCGCTCGGTATCGGTGATGGAATACATCTAGTTTTCATGCGACGACAAGTGTCACAAGCTTTCAGCGCTCGATTGCCATTTGAATGATGTTTCCGTGGTTTCTGGATCCTGCCAACGCCCTGATCAGTCATGTTTACAGCTATCCTTGAGTTGTGATCTGATGGGATGGTTTGTTATCGAACTGATATGTACAACTTGACTATGACATAAAACCAATGACAGGAGAAGAAGAGATGAAAGAGTCGAAAGAGAGTACAGGAAGAAGATTATGACGGTCGATATGAGTTTGAAAGGTATGTTTTATTGATTTTACGGTAGCTCTCAAGACGAACGAGCTCAAACGGTTAAAACTGACGTCTAGAGGGCGAATAGTGAGTGGTTGTTCAATGTTGAAGATGATAAAAGCAGTGAGTGTTTTAAGACGTATGACGTTAAGAGTTTAAAACCGTTTAGAGACCAGACGTTGCGTGCGAAGAAGGCTGAAGACGCATTCCAAGATTTTTGTCTACCAGAGATGAATACGAAGAAGATTTAAGTTAGGAGTGGTACTAGGACTCTGAAAAGGGTTTAATAGGTGCTCTGGACGGGTAGGTCTTCCTTATTTGTCTGTGTTCTCGAGAATTGGCGAAAGATGCTAGCTCATCGCTGGGTATACAACATACATCAGAGTAGGCAGCAAGAGGTGGGAAAAGTGATGGAAAGGTATCCCATAACTTTTGGAGCTCGTATTGGGTTCTTTGCAGCGAAATGGTGGATGGGGGAGAGACCACACGCAAGTTAAGAGCAGGGCCATGCATAGCAGCGACAGAATGGTATAAAGTGATCGCACGAGAGGAATCTGATCACTTCAGTTAGCAACACTGACGGGATGTGTTTCCCCAACTGATCATTCAGATCTCCCAACGATGCAGCTACGACGACTTCCAGCAACTATATAAAAGAATGAGACCCAAGTTCGTTCGCCAGCTAAAACCTGCAAATGGTAATATTCCCGTACTTATCTCGCTTATCACTTTGCACTATAGGTCCCTGTAAAGAACAACCTGGCATCAAAAGGGTGCGCCAGCCAGCCAGTGTCAGAGAGACCACAATACGACTAAAGCCGAAGCTATCTGAATCTCCACGGAGAATTTCACAATTAAATCTGAATTTCTCAATCTATCGCTTCGTCTGGCAATCAAGGTGGAATTCACCAGCTAAAATCGTTGTAATCGAGATCAGATATCAAAGTCTAAATCAACGCTTTCAAACTTCAAATAATTCTCCTAAATTCTAGCTAATAAAGCCGCATGCAGCTGTACTTAGTATCTTATCATCTTAGAGCCCCTTAGCCACCGTCAAACGAGCCAACTTCCTTACGGTAACTCAACAACAACATCAAAAACACTCAAATTCCTCGTAAAAATTCCAAAAGTACACCATTAAAAAGCTTAAATTCCCCATATTCAGCAAAGGCTCTTCAAATTCTACAAAGAGCTCTCAAAGTTCCACTTCTTACTCTGGAAGTTTATACTCTTCGGTGCATTCGGCATTTGTATATAATATAAAGTGGAAAATCTCCGGTCTTTCCATCAACAACAACTAAAAGAATTTCGACTTTGGCCAAAGAACACCATCCATGTTGTTTCAATACTTTGTTTGGGCTGCTATAGCCGCAATCGGACTTGCGACGACGGCTAACGTGCCCTCTGAAAAGACCTACGAGCCAAATCCGCCCGTTACACACAATGTTTTCTTCACGCTTGAATACACTGATAAAGAAACTCAAAAGCCCAAAGAGTTCGACGTAACGATCGAATTGTATGGAACTGTGGTGCCAAAAACCGTAGACAACTTCGCCAAAATCGCCAAGGGTGTGACAGCCGTGATGAAGGGTAAAGACGAGGTCAATGATCGCTTCACCCTGGGCTACAAGGACACCGTTTTCCACCGTATTATTCCAGATTTTATGATCCAAGGTGGTGATGTTCTACCAACTGTGGGTCCATTCAATATCCACGGGAAACAGTTCTTTGAAGACGAAAACTTTGATCTGAAGCACGATAGACCTGGAAGATTATCCATGGCCAATCTCGGTAAAGAAGACACCAACGCTTCCCAGTTTTTCATTGTAACCTGCTTGGATCCGTTGGAAAGTCTAGATGGTAAGAACGTTGTTTTTGGTCAAGTTGTTGCTGGATTGGACGAGCTAATTGACAAAGTGCAACATGTGGAAACTAATAAGGACGACAGACCTTTGCACGATGTCAAGCTCAAGTATACGATCGTGGAAGAGCTGAAGATTACGGCACCTGAGGAGCTGCATAAGCAGTGGTTGGTTAAGATTCAGAAATATCAAAATGGTGACCTTTCTCAAGGTGTGACTATGGCATCAACCAAAGCTGTTGGCAAGAAAGAGGAAAGCATTATGAAGGAATTGAAATACGAGCAATTGCACCATCCTGCTGTGAAAGTGGCTATCGGGTTCTCTGTTCTGCTTGCTCTGTACTTGATCCTCAGAACTAGAAGCCGTATTTTCAATAAAACTTCCAAAATTGTGTCCATGAGGCATGATTGAGCGCTGGAACTCCGCGTAAAAAACTTACTGATGCCAAACTCGTTAGTTGTACCGATTTTATACGTATTTTTTACTTGGAGCTGTGTAACCTGTTTTGATACTAAATGCAGAGTAGGAAGAACTTGTTTTAATGCCAAACAAGGAGTGAACTTCTAAATGGCTTTTGAAAGCCTTTCTTCGAGAACAGACCTTGTGATCCCTTTGCCGATAAACACCATTTTGCAGTTTTTGGTTTGGTCCAAGTTAAGACTAGGTAAAACGTCAAAAGTCTCTCGAACGCCTTGTATAATTTTGCATGTTTCGGCAACGCGAAGAAGACCCTTAGTCCTCAAGATTTCCCAGTCTCCCTGAAGATCAGATCCAAAGCCTTTCCAAAGGATAGGACGTAGGAAACTTTGAAGGAACTTTTGAAATTCATTCTCGTTAGTCAATGGTCTAAATTCTAGTGTGATTGTGGTGATGCGAGGGTCGTGGAAGGTTCCCTGTGGAGCATTTTCGAATTTCACGGTGTCAAAGGAATGCAGATCTAGAACTTTGTTTAATGGGATTTCAGCATAACTGGCATGATGTATGGGGGCCATTGAATTAATTTGCCGCACTTTAAGTTCTACTCTTCGTACCGTTTCAATATCACTCAGTCTATCCATCTTATTAAGTATAATGGAGTCTGCCATGGCGATTTGCAAATGAGAAACGGTCATGTTTCCGTCAATACCAACATCTTCGCCATGCCAGTGTGTTGCAGGGGAAACGTCGTCCAGACAGGTCAAGACATTTTCTGCATCAAGAACAGTCACTATCGAGTCCAAATACACATTACTGTAAAGACCTTCATCCTGCCAGAACATTTTAGCGATTGGATGTGGATCTGCGACCCCTGACGTCTCCAGCAGAATGTAGTCGATTTTTCCAGGACAGCGGGAAATTAGACTCTCGATTGCTTTGACTCCCACATCTTGCATGCTACAGCACAAACACCCGTTTCCCAGATCGAGCCACTCTTCGTAAGAATTACTACCACTTCTGATTGTCATGGACTTTTCGATCTCGCTCGAGTCCCCGAACTCATTCAGAATAACGGCAATTTTTTTGTCTGAACCCTTCAAAGCGATTTTTTCAAGCAAAGTGGACTTTCCCGAGCCCAAATACCCGGTAATTATTGTTACGGGGATTTTCTTGCCACTTATGGCACTGCCAACCTCTAGCTGCTTGTTAGCCTGCTCAATTTTCTTGTCAGACACTATGTAACGTCCACCGTCAGAACTAACAGCTCCCAAAAGTTCCTTCAAATTTTTCTCATCTCCCCCAATCAGCATGGGCAGTTCACCATCCTCATCTTGTCGGTAGCTGTAATCCTTACGTGCCGACATCCTGAAGTTTGTTCTATTTTGATGGTAGTCATCGCTGAAATACAGTGTGATTAATATTACATGCAGGTATAATATATGTGTATATTTTATACTTGGACGTCGAAGAGAAGAAGAACGTTCGGATTCAATCTCTGATTTGTGAGTAGGGTCGGGTAGAAAAGCGATAAGCTACACTGGCTATATATTTCACTGCTTTGATGATTTTGGTTTGAAATTTGTACGTTTTTTATTGAAAGCGACAGCTTTATTATCGAGGTATTCAGAAAGTGATTAGAGGCTGAGAAAATAGGAGCCCGAATACTTCTTTTGAAGTTCAAACATGAACTGAGCAAATTTCAAAGCATTATCCGGCTGCATCTTACGCATTTCATGTTCAAATAAGTTACACTGTGACAGATGTCATAATAGTACAGAGTGATAATAGGCAAAAATTGATTAAGCTCTAATGACTGGCACTAGTTTTAAAAACCTGTCTATGCGGTTTGGCCTTGGGTACTTATAAGAAAATCGGCACCAATTCCGCTCCTTTTACTGTTTAAATTTCAATCGAATAATGGTATCACTCAATCTAAAATCTGTCTTCGTGAGAGTTAAATTTCTTCAGAAACTTCTCTGGAACGAAAATATATGGAAGACGACCACTCCGGAAACATAGAATTCCAACCTAACACGTTAATCAATGACCAACACTGGCTACAATGGCTAAAACATCAGCCATTTCATCTTCTATTTTCTGATTAAGCTAGTAAAGATTGGGTCACATGACTCTTACCGTCCAAAGGTACAACGTGAATTCAAGATGATGTAGGGCTGTTCAACTACTTGTCCGCACCAGCAGCACCCTTTCATCAAGAACAGCACACACTTATCCTACCACAAAATGGGTCAATTGAGTCGTGTGGGTAGCCTTCTGATAATTCTCACAATCGGAGCACATTTATACGTTTCGCCTTACACCAAAGTGGAAGAAAGCTTCACGATACAAGCGGTTCACGACATTTTGAAATATGGAATTTTCGATATCTCGAAATTTGACCATTTGCAATATCCGGGCGTTGTTCCCCGTACGTTTATAGGTCCATTGGTGATTGCTGCGATTTCGTACGTTCCATTAGAGATTCTGAAAATGCTTGGGCTAAAATCATCAACGTCAAACTTGGACGCCCAGTTGGTAGTGCGCTCCATTATTGGCTTAACAAACGCTTTGGGGTTTATCTACTTGAAAAATAGAGCACAAGAATTACTAGAGCGTCGTGTGAACACGCATGAAAACAAAACTCTCAAAAAAACTTCCATAGGTACAATGTTCAGCTTCCTACTCATTTCCCAGTTCCATATCATGTACTACAGCTCCAGGCCCTTGCCAAATTTTGTCGTGGCCTTTCCTTTGGTCAATGTAGCGTTGGGACTGATTTTGGAAGGCAAAAGAGCTCGTTTTGCCCTACTGATATTGGCATTTTCCAGTATTGTGTTCCGTCTCGAACTTGCAGCATTAACTGCAGGTGCTGCACTTGCTCTTCTCATTGCCAGACGTGTCTCGTTTTCTGAAACAGTACGGTTTGGATCACTGGGTGCAGTACTGGGAGCAGCGGCATCCCTGTACTTGGACTCCTACTTCTGGCAGAATTGGACTTTGCCAGAGCTAGACGCCTTTTTTTTCAACGTTGTTGGAGGAGAATCCGTCAAATGGGGTACGATGCCCTTCCACGCTTATCTCACCAATTCTTTACCCACGATTTTTGTCCCACCACTCGTTCTTTTTCTAAATATCGTGGGATTTAGTGTTGCTCCCCAAGAGCTCAAGATTTTAGCCCAGGCCGCGTATTTCCACATCTTTGTTCTCTCATTCCAACCCCATAAAGAATGGAGATTCATTGTATACACCATTCCTGTTCTTACCCTCGTGGCGAGCTGTGGGGCTTCGCATCTTTTCAGCTCACGGAGAAGCAATTTCCTTGTGAAAGTGGCGATCGGAACTCTACCGCTATCTTCATTGGTAATTGCAATTGTGTTTTCGCTCGTTTCATCTTTGAACTACCCGGGGGGTGTTGCATTGAGTCAGTTCAACCACTGCGTTTTAGAAAACAAGATCACAAATGCAATTGTTCACATGGACGTTCCTGCCTGCATGACAGGCATCACGAAATTTGGTGAACTTGACGACAAATACAACATCCAATATGACAAAAGCGAGACGTTGGCCGCACAGAGAAGGGCTTGGCCAACTTTCGATTATCTTATTTCGGCTATTGCCGAACCAAAGCACTTCACAGTACCGGGTGAGAATTCTTGGGAGCTTTTGCACACCACTAAAGCATTTTCCGGTATCCGTCTGCCGTTTTTCAAGCAACTTGCTCAAGACGAGCTGAAAAACAATTTCCCCCTGGCACGTCAAATTTTGAGATCGCGAAGCTTATTTCCACTCATGACGGTGGTGCAAGCCAACATCACTGATGATGCCTTGTACACATTTCGCAGGATCAGCTCAAATTCCGACACTTAATTGAATGCAAGCCAGATATTTACAGATACAGATACACATGCATAGATAATGCGATCATTTGCATTTCATTCAGAAAGTCGTTGACAAAACCTGCTTGACTCGCTTCACAACGTCGCCCTGTATGACCACTTTCCTCGATTCCATCAAAACTTTGAAGTCGTTCTTTGGAATGTGCTTTAAGCTGTTTTGCAGATCGTTCCTCAATTGTACAGGATCACCACGAATTTTCCGGATCTCAGTGACTATTTTGCCGTCTCTTTTCACATCCGTGTAGACTGGTAAGTTCCCAGTTGCTGACCTTTCCACGAAATATGATTTCACACCAAAGGGAACATGTCCGACCAGTTCCTCAGGTTTTACATCATGGATCGAGGGAAATATACTAATTTCAGGCTGCACAAAAACGTTTGACAAATCCTGCATTTCCTGTTGTGTGAAGGGAGTCTCTGAGCTGTCATGTTCGACAGTTTGAGTTCCCGAACCGTCTACCACTGTACTCACTGACCGTACACGACCGAAAGTGCGGGCCAAAACCGCAGAATGAAGACTGGCCCGATAGCTTACAGCTCTGAAATGTGACATGCTCAACATGATGCTCTTGAGAGGTGTATATAACAGAATTCGACGTCTGTCTCTTCGATAATTGAGTATACTGAACTTCACCTGGTGACCCAAAATTTTTGAATTACAATACGTTCAAAATGACTTGTCTTTACTGCGCTGTCGTCGCGCTTCAGACCCTGGCATCTATCCCTGGAAGACTCTTGAATACGGTCCCAATTATCATGCATAGTTTGGCGCTTTTTTATACACTTGCGGATGTAATTTACAATTTATAAATGCAGCATTTGGACCTAAGAAAATGCTAGCAAAATTCGAATGAAATGAATACCTTCAATGAGTCCATAGTCTCACCATTTTGTCTTTCCCCGCGCTGCAGACTCGCTTTCCGTCAACACTCCAGTCGACGGTGTAGACCTCGTCATTGTGGCCAGGAAGATCGACAGAGAGCTTTTTGGTTCTCACATCCCATACTTTTAGAGTGGTGTCTTTGGAGCAAGACACCAGCAACCTGCAATCGGACGACCAGGCAACCTGATACACGCTGGCCACATGGCCACGGAACGTGGTAACGAAAGTACCTTTTCTACCGTCCCATAGTTTGATCGAGTTGTCGAACGAGGCAGAAACAATATATCTGCCGTCCGGAGAAAATGCGACATGGTTCACGAGCTTCTGATGTCCGGTCATTCTGGTGATGGGCTTAGTCGATTTGAATGGATTCCATAGGTACATGGTGAAATCGTCACTGGCCGTTACCATGAGTTCTTCTAGCTGACCGCCTTTCTTAGCGATTTTCTCATAGTTCTGCAATGCCTTCTTTTGAGCCTCTTCAGCAGAGACAGGTTTCTGACCAGTATGGTCAAAAGCACCAACTCGAAGCGCGTAGTCAGTAGAGAGTGACAAATGGTTGATCCAATGCGCGTGTGACTTCATAATATTTATGCACTGGCCCGAGGCGTTCATGTCCCAGGCTCTTATGGTCTTGTCGTGCGATCCACTAAAAAGTACATTGCGACCACCCCATTTGACACACGAAACAGAGTTTGTGTGTCCACTTAGAGTCATAAGACACACACGTCTTGTCGTGTCCCAAATCTTGATGGTTCCGTCCTTGGAAGCAGACGCCAACCTGGGCTTGTCTCCGGGCTTTACGAGGTGCATTGGCTCCCAAGTAAGCGAAGTGATCCACTTGGTGTGTCCCTTCAAAGCGTCACCATAGCTTTCGCCTTTCTGTCCTTCCCAAAGTCTGATAGTGTTATCCATGGATCCAGTTGCGATCAATTCACCGTCGGGCGACCACGCCACACACAGAACCCAGTTGTGGTGACCTTTCAAAGTGTACATGGGGGTACTAGTATTACAGTCCCAGATTCTTGCGGTATTGTCACCGGATCCGGTAACCATGCGGGCGCTTGTGTTTGGTGCAAATGCAGAACATAAAATCGTTGCTCCGTGTCCGGCGATGGCTGACGAACTTCTCGTTACAGGACGGACCTTAAAAATTGCACGCGGAGTGAAAACGATTGTGAGGAAGTCTTCTGTAGTCTTATGGCCAGGTTTCAGCAGTGAGCTGTATATGCTATCTTTGATATCCACTGTTTCTTCTGGTTTGCCCTTTTCACCGCCAACAAGACAGCCGAAAGTGTACGGAACTGGTTCATCAGATTCGCCCTGCAGCTGATTAAGCAGCTGCTCCAGCTGCTGCTCTGTTGTTGCACCTGGGACCCGGAGGGATCCTCCGACGGTTTCTCCGGTGTCGAAGGCTTGAAATTTCACGAGAACATGCGGCAGATCATCGGGAATAACGTCGACTTCGCGGGGTTGTTGGGCCTGCTTTTTCTGTTTTTTCGAGGGGGGTGGTATTAACGTTGACATTATACTAGTGGGAAAAGGTTAGAGCTTTATGGAGTGATTGCCCTGTAGATATGGCACGTTTTAGTATATTCTTGACGGTAGCTAGCTGTCTAGCTCATCGCCTTTAAAGCTCATCGCCATATCCTATAAATTTTTCAGTCACATTTGACGAATCCTTTCGGAAAAACTCGATCCGACCCTGCATGATTGGATTACGTAATAACATTAGCCGCCAAGACCAGTTTTTCCGAGTTATGCATGCTTGTTTCTTTTTCGTGCATATCCGGAACAATGGACTAGATCTAAAAGCCGCTGTGGAGTTAAGCCATTCCGCCAAGTGGTATGCGAAAGGAAACTCTCAAAAGCTCGAGATGGGTGAAATCTATATGAGTATTAGAAACAGTGAACGTTGTTTCCGCTTCTAACGTATGTAGAGTTACAACAGTCTCATAGCTCATAATTTGAGAAAGGTTTCTTGCCAATTTTGCTGGGCTAATTTGGAAGCGATTAAGATTACCTACTTGCTCGCTCGGAAGACAACTGTGTCACAAATTCGGCGATATTACTGGATGCCAGAGTTAGACATGCAGAGACCACACGTTGAATTTCATCACATCCATTCATCTACAGATATACTCCGCATTCCGTGTCATCCCTCTCTTTTGGTGGCATGTTTTGGATTACTCACAACCTTTAGTGTCAATTCTCTGTTCAGGTTTGGTTTTTGTCGTTGACGTCTCAGAATCGATATCATTGAGGTATGGGTACATGTTGTATACAGGGCAGGAGAATTTAGAGAAGCGCACAAACCGCACACTGGATGAACCAGACGAGGTGGCTGACTCCCAGTCCACAAGGCTGAATCATTCAATTCGGAACTCACAAGAACAAGAAAATTATTAAACTATTACATTATATTCTAGGCGCTGGCATCGAGCAATGAAAACGCCCTTTCGTCATACTATTCTTCCAACGTTTCTTCAGAATCATTGTCTTCAAATGCTAGCTTGCGAATTTCCAGCATCCAGTTTTCTCGTAAAAGATCCATAGCCGTTGACCTCTTGTTGGGATCTTGTTTCAAACAGCTGAGGAGGAAGTTGCGACCATCATCCGATATTTCAGCCTTTGAGGGTAGTTGGGGAACATGTCCTGCAGCAACATGATACATAATCGCCCACTCATTATCCAGGTTATACCAGGGTCTACGTCCAGTAGCCATTTCCAAAACAACACATCCGAGTGACCAAATATCGCCCGAACCAAAATTGCCTTTTTCAGCCCCGGTAACCGCTTCTGGAGACATGTACATCGGTGTGCCCATCATGCTATTACCACCTTCTTTATTATCACCGCCTTGTGCGCCCACTTTAGTTCCATTCGCAGCGAGCGAACGAGCAGCCCCGAAATCCACGTATTTGATAACTCCATTGAAATCCAGAAGAATGTTCTCGGGTTTGATATCCCGATGCACCACACTTGATTGATGAAGATAAGCTAAACCTTCTAACATTTGTAGTGTGTACACCTGAGTCACCATTTCGTCTTCGATACGTCCGTGTTCCAGAAGTTGAGCCAAAGAGCCACCTTCACAATACTCCATGAACAGATTGACCTTATCTCTATGCACCTCCACACCATAATATTGAACCACGTTAGGATGATTGAGCATTTCTAACACGCTCATCTCCTCTTTAATGGCCGGAAACACTTGCTTCATTGAGTTACGATCTTGTATCTTTATCTCTTTGACAGCGAGAATTTGACCAGTGTCCAAGTTAACAGCTGAAAAAACTGTACCAAAAGCTCCTCCTCCGACAAAGTGTCGCTTCTGCCATCTAATAGAAACATTCGATAAAGAAGAAGCAAGGGACTGTAGATACTGATTATCTCGGTCTGATTCATCCAAAACTTTTCCAATGTGTCGTGGGTTTGGTTTCACCCGTCTTTCCATTTCTTGAATAGCCTCAACTCTGACTTTAGAATTAACAGCTAGAATAGAATCATTGTCATTGTCGCAAGCTCCAATATTCGACCTAATTTGACCGTGGCTCAGTAAGGTTTCAGCCTCAGAAGTTCTGGTTCCCATAATGTCGAAATGAGAAATCAAAAGAGTCATACACCCTGAGACCTTTTCTTGCAACACGGAGAATTGACTCTCGTCCAGTCCCAAAATATTCCACCCCGTAGTCATTTGCATGGCAAATTCCATAGCTGGTACGCACCATCTGAAAGTACGTAAGTCTTCAGGGTCGCAGTCATCTACCAAGAAATTGATCCAGGCAATGCTGATCTTCATCAGCATAAGAATTATCATCGATTTCTTCTCATATGTCGCGACATTGACTCTTAAAAAGTTTCGGGCAAAATCGCGGCAAAAAATGAACATGTTATTCAAAACTTCATTTCCACGATATTTGGCTTGAACGTGCTGGCTTATTTTATTTGTATTTGCCATTACCGTGTAAGTTATCCGGAAGTACGCGCGGTTTATTTTCTGGAGAGTATACTCCAATTGGTTGATCGAGGATCTTCTCTCGCTGAAGGAAACTGCATGACCCACAAAATGCTCAAATCTATCACATTGATATTCCATTGCGTACGTTGATCCCTGGTTCATCAGAACCAAGGTGTTTGTGGGTAATTTGACACTAAAGTCGTTACTTGTGAGTATGACAGTATCTGACAGATTAAGCATTTCACCTTCCCAAAGTATCGGCTCTTTAGGGCAGTATGCAACAATATACCCCAGAGTTTTGAGCTTCATCTCCAGCTCGAACAGTTCTCTCTCTTCAAGCTTGATCTCTTCCGCTGGGTTGGTATTGTTGTAATTGACAGGTCTACGACCTCTCATAGTAGAGCCTTTTCCGTGCCCTTCGGAATGAACATGATAGTAGATCACCCCGTTTGCACCATATTCTTGAAATAGAATTGCATTTTGATCCCAACCACTCTCAAGTGCATTATAAACACTCAAACTGTTCTTGATCTCAACAGTAGGAAGAAGGTCCGAACCAATTGCTGAATTATGAAGAATTTTTATAATTTCTTCGTCAGACGATCCCAGAAGCTCCCCACTACAAAAAAGATAAACCCCATCCTTCTCCAGTTGTCCACCAGTGTACAAAAGAAAGTGGCCAGTTTCTTTCAAGTTTCGCAGCAATTCTTTGTTATCATTAACTTTGTATAACACAGAGTTCTGAAACGCCTTAGTCAGTACATTAGAAAACCGGTTAATTTTTCGTTTAACTGAGCCAATATTCTCAATAACTTGCACCAGCCATCTTTCCGCATCAGTAGCCTTATCAAAATGAGGAGGGTGATTTTGCTCGCGGAGAATATAAGAATGTAATCGGTTGAGCAAACGCAGTGTTAGATTGGCGAAACCTTCGGCAACGGCATTTCCAGCACCCGATATAAAACAACCAACGTTCTTTAACTGATCCCAGTACTTCAAAAGTTCATCTGGTTCTTTGAAGGTTTTGAAAGACTTTCTAGCGCTATCGATCAACTTCAAATGCAGCAGCTTGAAGAGATACACTATCGCTTCGGTGACAGTGTCATCAAAATCGGCATCAATCTGCGTTGAAAAATTCCAATCAGAACAGTATACTACTACCGTGTGTTTTATCTGTACTGAGAGTCTGATGTATGAGCTGAAATCGTCAATCATTTGGTCGATCATCATCATTGTAGGATTATTCAATTTTTTGGCATAATCAAGTCGAATCAAGATAATCTCTTTCACAAGCCTAAAAGGAAACATCAGAAGAATTTCCAAACTTTTGTGTAATAAGGGCAGATTCATTTGTTTCACAGTTTCAGATAGAGTGAAAATGGAAACCTTTGCCTTCAAAATCCACGGAGCGTGACGGTAAAAGAGTTTTTTCTGGAAAATGCTTTCTATATCACGCTCCTTCAAGATTTGCTCGGCAAAGGTTGTCTCATTTTTGAATACCCCATCCACGTCCAGCCAAGAAGGGGTGAGATTAACGTCTAATGAATCACTACCAGTCCAGGCTTTCAAGGCCTCTATCTCACATTCAAAAGCTTCCTGTAGCGTTAAAAATGCATTCATAGCAGCGACGCGATGCTGGAACTCTTCTCGACCCGTCATCGGTTTTTCATAATGCATGTGTTGAGAATTTCTCCAGTAAGATGTTACTTGGTGAAAGCTTTCTAATAGAGGCTTCACTGTTTTTACTGCAAAATCCACTTCTACATTGTCCTCAAATTTCAAATTCATGATGTCTTCAAAAACAGGATCGGTGGAGTTTTTGAGGTATTCAAGAGTGTTACGCTCTTCTTCAATTGACCTGCAATTCATCCAAGCTTTAAGCTCTAACCAAAGTTCGTCTGCGTATTGAACACCTGTGTCCACGCGATGCCCATGATGTGAGATCTTGCTCTTTTCACTTTTGACAATATCGCCCCGCAGAACGTTGGCTAGAATAGCCTGCCATTCCAATCTTTCTAGTACATGTGAGTTCTGCGATAAACGCTGGACGTATGCGTGGCTATCACTCTCTAAATTTCGGACACCTGTTGACATTGACGTTCTGCCGCTACTTGGGCCAGTGGGTATCCGCTGTTGTGTTCCAAGCAACCCTTTTACATCTTGATCTTCTGGATCGACATTTCTGAGCCATTCCATTCGGGAAAGTAAAAATTTAGAGCTCATAGTGAAAAGTTGATCGTCGAATGCCAATGTGCTACCCTTTTGAGTCGTAGTATTGTAATTTGTACCAAAAGTGGAATCATCCGCGTCTGTATCTTCTGTTTCTGCTTCATTGTCTGTTTCATCATCATCTTCATTAGAGGAAGCTGCAATTCCTCGGGTATAGTAGTCGTCGAGACTGCTCTTCTTCATATGATTCAAGTACAGTTCTTCATTCAGCACGTATTGCTTTTGCAAGGGCTTGTAGGGACGATGTGACGATACCGAGCTTGCAGGCTGTGATGAGCGTGATGACGACTTTGTGGAGCCCAGTTCTTGATGGAGTGAAACACTACTGCTGGCGTGTGAGCTTGTGCCTTCAACGCTGTTAAACTGACTTTGTGGCGAATTCAGCGTTGAAGCACTTTGGGAGTTGAGGGAAGCCAGATTGGGAGGTAGGACCAATGTAGGCGTTATGTTAGTATCCAGACTCACTGCTGATGGAGCTCTGTGAAACCCTCCACTAATATGGCTAATCGAACTGGATCGTGCTTTTTGGCGTCCTGGAGACGTCACAGCGGCATTCAAGCTTGCCAGTGCTCCCTGTGAATTTTGTTTTGGCCCTGAAGCTCCAGAAACAGAAGGGTTTCGGCTATTTCTTGCAGAAGGGGTTCCTGATGGTGGTGAAACTAAACTCATTGCATGCTTCACTGAGCTCGTGTTGAGCTTCATGGTGTTTAACGGCGAGTGATTGTGGGATCCTGAAGGACTCCTAAGCGACGTCGCAGTATTGTAGCCGGGACTTCGTGGCTGTTGCGGTTGCATGGACCCCATTTGCCGCGATGGTGAAAATGATCGCTGACTTCCGTTAGATGCCAAAGACTGCTTCAATTTTGATCGGGTTTTCGACCTCCCGGATGTCCCACTCTTGTCTTCGAGCGTGTAGCCATGTTTGAAGCTGAAGTAGTCCTTATCCATGGTGGTTACGTGGGTCGTTTTGGTCTTTTGGGCAGGTTGCCAGTTACCATCACCTAACATACTTCTTCATCTAGAGATTTGTTTCGGTACATGAGCCAGTGACATGTGCTATTCACGTGATCGAGAGTGAAGCTAGTTTATTCAGATGTTTACGCGTCAAATCGACACGTATGTTTCATTTCTGGAGCTATTCATGTTCTCTGAAGATCTGGCTGTTCAAAATGGTGGTTTAGACGGTTCTAGATCGTGTCTGTGTTTTTCCACCCTTATACCATTTGGATGGCCGAGATGATTTGAGGGAAGGCGCCTAAGATGTTTATAATCCATGGTTTGAGACTGTGACAGTTTTGAAGGAGAAGCTTTGGATATAATTTAAGAGCAGTTTGGGTGTTTCCAGTGCTCTCTCAATCCACTGACATTGTTTACTTCGTGTATTTCATCACTCAGGCTTTTGGGAAAAATATCGCTGTGGGATTTGATGGTTCATAATTACACAGTTTTTGATAGCTTCAATAGTATATCTCCAATAAAATTGATCCGAGTTACACCCTCTAGAGTGTGAATTTCAGTCAGTAGAGAAGTCAACAATTTGTTTGTCGCAATGGAACGATTTTGGACTCAGTAAAGACTTTATTCGGATATGCCACAAGGTTACAGTGTCGCATACATGACAATGGTAAATATTAGGAGCCGGCAATATGACCTTCGTTGTAGTTTCGTGAACGATAAAGTATTCTGTCATAGTTGTCGTAAAGTATATAATATATTAATATCTGTCATCTATGATATATACAGAAACATAGACAACAGAGGTTCAGGTCAGTGGCTAGAGCAGGTTCGGTACTGTCAATTCGTGGTACTAGTGGTATCACGGGAGGAATATAAAATTTGACTGCTGACTGGAATTTTAAATACAGAAAGTATGATAAAAAAGGTGTGGTGGGTTCCGATTGGATGGCATCAAGATTTCTACAATAAGTTTTTGAAGCGTTTTTCAGGAAGCCGGAGGTCCCGGAAGGACGAGTTGCGTTTGGAAAAGGGCGCGAAATGCTTAGTGTCCGGGTTTGGGTGACGGCAAATAATACTTTTAGAATTTCTGAGAGTCTGACAGGTCCTGGAAACAAAGAGCTGTAGCTCTCACAAGCTCTGCGCACTCTTGGCACATAAGAAGCTTAACATAACTATTGATTTAACCATCAACGGGTGAATAGAAACTAGGCAGTAGGTTTCATGTGTCGCGTGTCACGTGACAGGTGTCAGCGACAGATTAAGTTACAAACAATCAAAACCGCTTCCCGAGATGGTTCTTGCCGTCTTCATTCACAACGGAGAGGGCCAGCTATCAATCTTTGGGCTAGAATAGAGCTATAGTTTTGCTTCAACCTTCGCTATAACGGTTGTATATGACATCAATTTTTTTCGCGGTTGTCGCTTTATGTCTAGTTTCCCACAATGCTCCCCATTGGATTACGCTATAACCCTCGAAAAGAGGTGCTCTATGCAGGAAACCCAAGATTTCCATACCCATTGTAGATATCTAGCCACATCTTATCACCAAACACAGCGATGTCACTAAAAGAACTGTCTCACAAAATCGTTCAAAGATTGTGCTTTAACGTGTGTATTTTTGCCATCAAATTTTAGCGGCGAGACCTTATATTCACATCTTCCCAGCGCAACAGCAGCTATTCAAAACCTAGCCCTTCTCCGCTAAAAACAATATGTCCAGGAACCCAAATTGCACCGACATATAGCGAGCGAACTCTCCAGAAACATAAAAACAGAAACCACCAAGCTGGTCAAAGTCCGAATGCACTAACCTTCTATCTCTTAAACCCTTTGTAATTGACTTCCTCTGACTTTCGAGCTCTCACACCACCAAACCGCTTTCATCAAGTATTTGATGCTCAAATCAAGCGATTTTGGCCTTAAAAGAAGCATAAAAGACCTCTGAATCGCTCAGGCGCTGATTCTTTAGTCACGAAAAGCTATCTCAAGACCACTGACGCTTGATGGTTCTCTTTCTAACGTCTAAAACCATACTCCTCTCTATCACGTGACTGATTTTCGACCTATAATTTAATGAGATATTGACAATGGCTTATTATATATACTCAAAGCCAAGCTTTTGAACCGTTAACAATAGATCTAAGTATGGTCCGCCACAACCGTTTCTGATCCCACTTTCTTTAAGAGGTAATGGAACTGGACAAGTGCTTGGAACTACTATACGGTGGCCAGCTTTTGCCCGAATCAACTCTGAGAGCATTGTGTTTCAAATTGAAAGAAAAATTGGTCAAAGAATCTAATGTGGTGCATATATCTACTCCAGTGACAGTTGTGGGAGATCTTCACGGCCAATTTCATGATTTACTAGAAATTTTTAAAATTGGGGGAGCAGTACCAGACACAAATTATCTTTTTCTGGGTGACTATGTTGATCGTGGTCTATATAGCGTAGAAACAATATCATTGCTTATTGTGTTAAAACTGCGATATCCCAACCGGGTGCATCTTTTGCGGGGAAATCATGAATCCCGGCAAATAACACAGAGCTACGGTTTTTATTCGGAGTGTTTGAACAAATACAACGGTGGAAGTGGTGTTTGGCAATGTTTCACGGATCTGTTCGACTATCTGGTCCTTTGCTGCATTATCGACGACGAACTGTTTTGTGTACATGGAGGACTATCGCCGAATGTCCAGACAATAGATCAAATTCGGATCATTGACCGATTTCGCGAAATACCGCACGATGGCGCAATGGCCGATCTGGTGTGGTCTGATCCAGAAGACTCTACGGAATCAGCGGCCACCGGTGGGCGCCTTACTGCATCTACGACTCAATTCCAGGTTTCCCCTCGAGGAGCTGGCTACACGTTTGGGCGTAGCGTGGTGGAAAAGTTTTTACAACTCAACGGAGTGTCGCGAATTTATCGGGCGCATCAGCTATGCAACGAAGGTTACCAAGTATATTTTGGTGGGCTTGTCACAACAGTGTGGTCTGCACCCAACTATTGCTACCGCTGTGGCAATAAGGCATCAATTTTAGAGCTATATGATAAAGATCATAGTTTTTTCAACGTGTTTGAAGAAGCACCGGAAAACAAGCTGTTAAATAATTCGGCTGCTATTAGAAACGGTGGGATGCTCAGTGAATATTTTGACGAAAGCTTAGAAGCTCCAGACATGTTTTCGGACGAGTATCAGGTACGGTCCGCCTCTAAACGACACGTGGAATACTTCCTGTAAAATTACGGTGCTGGCACCAGGCCGAGGCCTTTGTTGATTGACTGAAGAAAGGGTTTTGTGAAAAATCATTTCGTGAACTAGCATCGCTGGAGTTACGTTTCGGGACCTACATCGTACTTACTAATTTGTAATCGCGTCCAAAACTCAATGTATCGAGGCGCTGATGGTACATCAATTGAAAATTTGGTAAGTTCTGATGAAGACGAACTCAGCACGACCATAAAACATGGAATACCGAAACTTCTTCCGGCAGCTTTTAACATTTGGTCACTGTTGGAAGATGCGTCGTCCCTAGGCAAAACGGTTACCGGTATAAAGTCAAGTGTCATGCCAATGAACGTAATTACATGCCAATAATACCAAAATTTGGCGATTTGTTACTTTTATCGTAATAAACCTATTACACTCCGTTTACAGGTAATACAATTCCAGATATGTCCCATCATGAACCTCGTAATCATCCAAACTTATGTGATCTTTCAGAATCGAGCCACCTTTTTGAAGCTCGATTTTCGTCCAGGAAACGCCCAATTGGAGCGAGAGAACTTTTTTAAAGTCACCGACAAGGTCCTCGCTCATGCACTTGACCCTAATTTTCTTCCCCAGACGATCATTGACCTCTACTTCTATCATTATTCACTTTGGTCTACCAAGCCGGAAAGCTTCGGTGATGATGAGATGAGTACTGAAATATTAGACTTATTATCCGTGATCCTCGGGATCTCGTGTTGAGTGACCCTAAACCTTCAACATGCTTTCTAAGACCCAAAAAGCTGATGTCTCAGACCGTGAGGCGAAGGTATTGGCATGATATGTGGTTTATCTTTTTTGCACCTATTAGGTGCTCTTTTTTGACCAAATTTCGTGCAAGAATTCTCTATTTTTGAATCATCTTTCCACCAATGACGCGATGATCGTAATAGATCAGTGCATTGGCATTTTTGACACAGTAAAAGATTGAAATCATTCATGAGTTATAAAAGGAGCTCATTAATGGAACTTCTGTTTTGCACGTATGATGTGCCAGTTGCAGGTGGAGCCCGCAGTAGCGATTACGGCAGTAGTATAACTACAGACAGCTATTTTTGGGACGAATTTCACCAAGTTCGCCTGGGCAACACTCTAAAACTGCGATCGACAACATTCAAAGCTCCTTTTCGTTATTCTTTGCAGCATCAACGCATTACTGATAAACCGTTGAACTGCACCTGAAATGCTTTCTCTTTCGCTACAACTTCGATCCTCCGTGAAAATTAAAAGCGCAAACGAATCACTGCAGCTTAAACGACCTGTCTTTCACAATCTTCTGTACAAATACCAAGCGTCTTCCTCGACTGTCACTGGCTTTTCCAGCCTGATCACTATATACTTAGCCTGTCGCTGACGTTATTTTCACGTGGTCCTGCTTTCAAATACGTCTGCGTATCTTAATTCCAACATTAATGCTCTTACCAATGCACCAATACCATTCCTTACAGCTTTTACTCACTTTCCAGATCCAAATTCTGGCCAAAACCCGCATCTGACAGTCCCGAATCATTTTCATCCTGTGTGAAAAAAATCAATTTTTAAAAATTGGAAAATGTAGGGCTTCGTTCCTTGTTCGGGTCCCACTTCCTCCAGTATTACTTGCTACATAGTCATTTTCATTTTACCCTCAATGCCAAGAACCTCGTATTCAGATAGTCAGAAGGAATCTTCAGATTTCTTATAATGTTTTCGTGACACTTGTATTATTTATTAGCGTCAAATCTGAAAAATTTCAAGCATCAAGGGACCCTAGCGATCTTCATCGATTTTAAGCAAGACATAGCGAACTTTTGAATAATAGTTGCGCCATGGTAATCAATCTACTATTTATTGACTCTTATGACTCCTTTTCCTATAATTTAGTGAACTTGATTCGGGCCCAAAATGACCAGGTTCACGTCACCATCATTCATAACAATACATTTGCAACTTTTGCAGAATTGCAACGGTTTTTGATCTATTTTGACTGCATTGTGGTGGGACCTGGCCCAGGAAATCCAGAAAATGGTTACAAAGATGTAGGATTCCTCAATGAAATGTTCAGCAACGATTTACAGGTTCCAGTCTTGGGCATCTGCCTGGGATTTCAAGTGATGTGCCGGGCAGTGGGATGTAGTATTGAGCAATTGCTCGAAATCAAACATGGACAAGTATATACGATGGAAACGGTGGGTCCTGAACTGGCAAAAAAGGAGAATTTAGAAAAACCAATTTTGTTTGAAAACTACCCTTCCAATTTCCAGTCAGTACGCTACCACTCGTTGCATGTGTTAACCGCTAGTGACTGTCAAAAAGTTGTTCCACTTTGCTATACGTCAGATGAAAACGGGAAGGTGCTTATGGGTGCTCAAATTGCAGAAACTCCATGGTACGGTGTCCAATATCATCCGGAGTCCTGCTGCTCGGATTTGGGTGGTCTTCTCATTAGTAATTTCTTGAACATTGCACACAATTACAACAAGTCGCACGCAAGGGTGCAGTCTCGCCACTGTTTAGTGGACGATGACCTACAAAAACAAAATGGAATCGCATTTTTGGATAAAACCATTGATAAAAGCAGTGTCTATGAAAAGAAAAAGCCTAAAGAGGCAGAACTATTCATAAAAGAATGCAGCATAACTCCAAATCCAAGATTAGCTGTAAACATTTGCGATGCTTTGGATGTACCGTTTTTCTTGATGTCTTCATCGACTATACAGAATAATAGAGGCGAATACTCCATAATAGCATTACCAAATGACCAATCAACAGTCTTTACGCACTACGATCAGCTGCACAAGACGCTGGTTCATAAGTGGCGAGATCCCGCAATTGATAAAAACGCACTGGCAGATACATTGTCCGGTAGCGGTACAGATAGAGAAGGAATTAAGTGCATTAACGAATATAAGTCCCAGTTTTGGATAACGGTAGGAGATTTTATGAAGGACCGCTTGGTCTCCAACCGTCCTGACTTGCCATTCGTTGGCGGCCTGGTAGGTGTTTTAGGCTACGAAATGGGCAATTTCACCACGAATAGAGAGACAGGGAAGCCAGTACCAGATGCAAAGCTGGTGTTTATAGAGAACAGTATCGTGGTGGACTTGAAGAAGGGAACTGTCTCTTTCATTTCACTCAGCAATAGCTTCCCCATTGACGTTGAAGAATCTGTTCGTGAGGTACTTTCTGCGGGCAGCGCCGCCTCAACAGTGTCGGAAATGTCAAAGTTGCCAAACGGGGTTGACTATAGCATAAAAATGGCATCGAAGGAAAAATATGCTGAAGCTTTCAATAAATCTCAACGTTATTTGCACCAAGGAGACTCTTATGAAGTCTGCTTAACGTCGCAAACTGAGGTAAGACCAACTGAACGGATTGACCCATGGCGGATATTCAAGACACTGATACAAAGAAACCCGGCTCCGTTTTCGAGTTTTTTTGAATTCAGTGATGTGGAAGCCGGGGTTTCGGATTTGTGCTTATTGTCGACGTCGCCAGAACGATTCTTGAAATGGGACAGAGAGTCGTGCGAGCTAAGGCCTATTAAGGGCACGGTAAAAAAAGATGAATTCTCCACGTTGAAGTCTGCGACTGAAATACTAAAGACGCCCAAAGAGTTTGGAGAAAATTTGATGATTTTAGACTTGATTCGCAACGACCTGTATGAGTTATTGGACACTGTGACCGTGGACGAGCTCATGTCAGTGGAAGAATATGAGACGCTGTATCAGCTGGTAAGCGTTGTCAAGGGACACGGTCTTGAGAAATCGGCATATTCGGGAATTGATCTGCTCCGACACTCACTACCAGCTGGTTCTATGACTGGCGCTCCCAAAAAGAATACAGTTGAGTTGCTACAAAACGATATAGAGACTGATCTCAATGCCCATCTCACCGTATCAGGCGCACGCGGGGTATATTCCGGAGTTACAGGTTACTGGAGTTGCAACGATCGTGGTGACTGGTCGGTTAATATCCGGTGCATGTATTCCTACGACGATGCCGAATCTTGGCGTTTGGGAGCGGGTGGTGCCATCACCGTCTTGAGCACACTTGAGGGAGAATGGGAGGAAATGCACACCAAATTGTCTAGTGCGTTGCAAATATTTCGGGATAATTGAAGGACAGTGGAGAGATGAGAGGTAAGAGGGTTGGTGAATTGCAAATGTGCACATGTACTGTACCGCAAGCTTTTGTAAGACCATTTCAGACAGTGACAAGTGTCAGGAAACGAACATTTCCTGTTGAACACCGTCTCACGAATCCGAACAGTAACAAAATCATTATGAAGAGGGAAGCCACAACAATAACAGCAACAGCGTGAGTATGTAGATAACAAAATCGAGGAAAAGCTGTAGCTTACGCTCAATCTGTGCCAATGCCATTACAGTTCAACACGGTCTAACGGTTTTAGAAATCACTTTTTCCCACCCCGTCGCAATTTGGTGACCTGGTAGGAGAAAAATATAATGCATCCTATATAACTACTCTTGCCATCCTCCCTTGCTGAAAAACTGCCGAACACCTTGAAACAAGGACCAAATCGACTCTAAAAGACTCTAAATAGGTCTTTTATCAACACATACGTTGCAGTCACGACTCAGGCTCATTTTTCTCTTTCGAATCCTTGTTCTAGCGACTTGTTGTGACCATTTTACGTCCAGGTGAGGTTTACACAACAATAAGAGGTTTAAGCCAGCGTTGAAGGTCTTAAAAGTGGTGTGAGTACCGGTTGTTTTGACGTTTTGAAGCAGTTTGTCGTATTTTGTTTATGAAGAATGACCACGACAGTGCCCAAAGTTTTCGCTTTCCATGAGTTCACAGGGGTTGCTGAGGCCGTTGCGGATCACGTAGTGAACGCTCAAAATATGGCACTTACCAAGGAACCGTACGCAATTCGGAACGGTAGTATCAGTGGGAGCGTAGGAATGGGGGCTGGTGGTTCCGGTGTGTCCGCTGGTGCCAATGGGTCGCTTATGGTGCCCCAGTTATCGGGAGCCGTGTCAAGACAGGCCAGTACTAGAAGCATATCTGGTCGTGAACCAAGCACACCAGCCAGCGGAGCATCAAATCCTAACATCAGAGCGCCCAGCAGTAGTAAGCTGAAAAAAATCAAGGAAAAACGTTTTAAAATCGCACTCTCAGGTGGGTCCCTGATTCAAGTACTACACGAAGGTCTACTCAAAAGACGGGACGTACAATGGGGGAAATGGGATATCTATTTTGCAGACGAAAGATTGGTACCCTTCAGTTCGCCAGATTCGAACTTTGGGCTCACCAAAAGTAAAATTTTGGATTTTATCGATGTCACAGCATATGGGGCACCTCGTGTCTTCCACATCAACGAATCGTTGATCGAGGACCCTCAAGAGTGTGCCGACGACTACGAGAAGGTGCTTATAAAGGGCTTTGCTGGCAGAGACTCTGTGAAACTACCGATGTTCGACCTTTTTCTACTAGGGTGCGCACCAGACGGCCACATTGCGTCGTTGTTCCCCAATTTCCAAGAGAACCTCAGAGAGAATTTGGCATGGGTCATCCCGGTGACCAGTGCTCCCAGTGGACCTTCAAACAGAATATCATTAACAATTCCTGTGATCTGCCATTCTCACCAGGTAACCTTTGTTGTCGAGGGTTCCACCAAAGCCCCAGTTGTAAAAACGATCATGGAACGGCCGGAAAAAGGCTTACCCAGTAGTATTGTTAATGAGGGAGCCGCTGGACGTGTGGCCTGGTTTGTTGATGACGATGCTTTGGCTGACGTCTTTGTTACGAAAAAGAAGTACAAATTTTTGGTTCACTCGGAAGAGTCCTAGCAGGTTCACAACGAGAGCTAATAATTTTGGAGAAGAGGGGGGGAAATGGAACTTCTGTAGTGCTAAAAGGCATCAAATTCGCAAAGCGGTTTGTCAGATGGGTTTGTTCAAATGTTCTTTTTTCACCTGCGTGGGAAAGAGCACCATTTCGGGTTTAATGGATAATGCTGTAAAATGGCCCAACATACATATTGTTCTCATGGTTCCCACGGGATTCAGTCCAATGCTTGAATGATGTACTGCCGCAAATGATCAAACACGGTCTTGCGTTCGGTGGTACTTATCCGTGCTATTTTCTATACACAAGCCACTGGGATATGTAGATGAAGTTAAAGAGTAATGTCACCAGAGCGATACCGATCCTACCGAAGTTCGCCCCGGCTACGCCTAGGGTGAGGACTGCCTCGTCTCTCTGTATTTGCAGCGCAAGTTGTGACAACGAGCATATGCTACCCACGATGTCACAGCCAACGCTTTGAATGGGGAAACCCTTCATGCTTTTCCGTTCGAAATTGTGTCTAATCTGCGGTATGTATTTTAAGATGGACATACTGATCTTGAGCGTGTAAAGCTTATTACAGAATGCCAGTGTGTCCGAGTTCCGCCAACCATACTGCGATTGTTGCCATATTAGCTGCAAAGTCGAAAGTACGCCCACAGTGATGAATGAAGTCAAAACCTTGGCATATATGGGCTTCATTCGATTGCTTCCGGTCTGCTTAAATTTCCACAGCCAGGTGCCCATGGCTACTTGGCTCAGGACTACCAAATTCAAAACAAACCCATGCAAACAGTACCAAAAGTCGAAACTGGTCACTTTTGGTCTGGGTGGCTCATCCGCCACTCCGGATTCGTTCTGCCATTTGAAAAGCTGAAGTGACAATGAAATCAGCAGGAAGAAGTATCCAACAATATTTAGCATTACGAAGTCTAAAGACATTGCGGCAGCTGAGTTGCGCCGCCAATTGTTATATACTGGTGGATAAACCGAGACGGACCATGGGATGAGGTACCCATAGCCCAACAGCCGCTCAAGTTCCATCCTAGAAAAGCTTTTGAGTCCTCAATTGGTTGCTTTCTGTCTTTCTCTCGAGTTCGAGATCTAGAGGCACGGTATGCCAACTTGAGTAAATTAACACCTTTCGAATCCATTCAAAAGGAGAGAAAGGTCAACAGCCAACACAGCCCAATATGACCTGTTTACAAGAATGAAAAGTGTTAACGCAGTAGTGTTTCATGAATTGTTTATCCCAGGTAGGTTTGGTACTCTGTTTCTCTGTCACTTGTATCATCTATGTCGTTATATATCAGATGTTTCTTCCATATGCCTGCATACAGAGAACGTAATCTTCACACGTAACCCATTGGCTCGGAGGAAGTATTGCTTTCGATCATCCGATGATTATTTGTGGCTCTTTGAAATAAAAATCTGCCGTCCTGAAGCGAATATTCGTAGTCTTCGTCCAAACGAGAACGGTTAATAGCAGCAGGCACTACTGGCTGCGAGGTATCAACACCACCACTCCCACCATCCGGATTTGAGGGGTCTGCAAGTATGCCGAAAAGCTCGTAGCAGTATTCTTTGCCGAGAACTTTGATGAGAACTCTGTTTTTGAGATCGAAAAAATAACCCAAAGGTACAGCGATGATGAAGATCACTGGCAAATATCTGTTGAGAATATCAACTAGTGGAATCAGCTTCAAGTCGCGATACAGAACTTTCTCAAAACCACATTCCTGGACTCCGCTTGCATGAGAAATAAGAGTGATAAAGTTGAAGCACAGTGGGAGCAAGAGCCGACTGGAATAAAGCGAAAAATAGAGCGCGTTTTGAGGACTACTCTGTCCATTGGGTATCAGATGCAAATTAGCAAATTTGAAACAGCTCATCGCATACAGGGAAGCCAGGGTATTGTACATGAGAATCGATATTTCGAGCATGAAGTTAAACCACCGTCCGCCTTCGAAAAGCTTATCGTGCGCAAAACGAGAAGGAGTTAACTCAAGAAAAACCACTAGACTCGAAATAGCTAAGCACAGCAGCCCCAAGACCCATTTCCCTACTTTTCGAGTCCACGAAACGGGCTCCACCTGAGATTGTGCTAGACTGTGAATGATACGATCTGACTTGGTCTGATAATAAAGATAATTGTAGTACTCGGTCTTGAAAGCATTGAAGCGTTCGTTTAGCTTGTTCAGAGTCGAAGCCGACTGATCCCTGCGGCTTGTCACGGGCAATTGAATTTGTTTCTCATTTACCAAAGACTGTACCTCCAGCTTACACTCGTTCAAAGCCTGATTAAGAACAACATCGCCATTTCTGACCTCGGCCATTGAAAGGATCTTCGTGGCATATTCGGTCAGAGCTAATCGAGCATCGTTGGACTCATCATTGCTCTTGCTCAGCTCCACAAACAACTTATTTTCGTTATCGTTTTCTAAAAGGATGTCTTTCGGCAAGAGTATAAGGCCCATAGAGAGCAGAATCAGAGTGTATGACAAGGAATAAAGATGAGAAAGTGAAATTATCAAGGGTTTCAAATCTGCCATACCCCGCTTTGCACCAAATTCCAAATAAATGATACCACCAATCAAACCTAATGCACAAAGGGCATAAAACTTGAAATTGGTGAAAATCGCCTTCTTGACCCGGTTCAAAACCGGTCTCTGTTGTGAGGTGTCTCCATGTGTGGGGAAAAGATATTTCAAATCCAAATAAGAGATCAAAACGGGCAAAACAAACCAGCAAATCGCAAATTCGGACCAATAGATTATATACCACAACAGAGAAACGTCTGGCATTTGATCTGAAGATTGTAGATCTCTGGAAATCCATGGATTCGAGCGACGCAATTGCGGTCCATTAGTACCTTCAGGATGCTCTGATGAAGACGCTCTTGCCGCGTAAAACACATCCAGCGGTAGAAGATAGGTAATCGACAGAAGAATCCACATATTCAAAAGTAAGATCGCCAGTGTGAATGGGATCGTATTTTTGTGCCGTTTGAACGAGAGGTACCGATTAACAAACAGAAAAGAACATACTGCTGTGATTCCAGTAGCAGCAACTATGACCAGCCAGAACAGCATAGCTTCGCAGAGATTCTGTTCTCGACGAACAACCGTATATGGGCAAGGTTTACGGTTCTATATTCAGTTATATTAAGATTCGTAGTTTCGTGTATGGTGATTGATAGCTTATGAGCCGGTACAGTGCGAACTACGCCAGATGTAAGGGAAAGGCAACAGTAACTGGACATAAGCTCGAGCTCTAATTGACCCTGACTGGCAGCTCCATTTTATGAACAGAAACAGCTCTGTTGAAGGCCTTGAATTTATATCGCTATGTACGGATATGTCGTTTATTCATAAGGTGTAGCTCCCTTGCTCAAGAAGCCGTTAAAAGAGCATTTGTAGGGCTTTCTAGAGTGTCAATTACTATTTTTCGTACCATTTTAACATCTTTGGGCACTCAGAAAACGACATCTATTGCTGTTTGGGGTACGGGGTTTATAGGCCTGCCATCGCACAAACACCGTGCCCTGAGACATTTCTTCGAGAATTAGCACTACCTATAGCGATTAAAAGCTGATTGAAGCACCGTTGAGACTCGACTGCCGAGTGAGTAAGAACTTGGTCATTTAATAGGTAAGTTTCTTACCACGTGACTAGTGTCAGCGACGGGTGAATTGAAAATGATACATTTAACTCTGTAACCAATGACCACCTTGGTTTCAAAGCGTAGCTTGATGCCTGAGTGTGCTTTTGAATGAATGCGTCAACCATAACTGTCATCAAGAAACTTTTAGCGTCGGCGATGCATAACTATTACCCCGAAATAAAAAAACACTCAGCACACAGCCCTTCGAAAGAATTCGTCAAAAAGATATGATAGCTACAATAACCTGAGGAAAAAGAGGTAATCCTTGGCTACTTCAACGAATTTAGTCATGTTAACTCTCTTATCATTTACACTCACGTGTCAAAACACCAACTCATCTTCGTGAGACAAAACCGGTATTCAAAAAAGGCCAGAAACCCGCGCTTCAGGAAACCCGACTTCTGCTCGATGTTTGAGACAGTATAGCACAGCCCAAAACTGCACAAATGTCGGTTTATCACCACCTTTTCTTCGTTGTAATCAAAAAGCACGTGATGTTAAGTTTCGCTACTATCTACACTATATAGGTCAAGGTCTCAAAACCAACTTTCCTCCAGAACCAGAGCCACCTACAAAGTGCTCCACAAACCGCGCCAAATGAGCTCTCAATGGGCCAAAGAAACTGTTCTCACCCGACTGGCTCCCAATGCTGCTGGTCTGCTGGTTTTTGACGAAAATTGCAATGTTCTTGAAGCCTCTGGCGTAGGAAAAGACAGGCTGGAAGATATCATAACCATCAACCGAAGTGAGCTCGATAGCGATGGATTTGGGTCTCTGGAAGGTCCCAACTTGAATCTAGCCGTTTACAAACGCGACGGACACACTGTTGTTATTTACAGCAGGCGTAATAACTAGATGTACTCTTCCTCATTGCACATTACCATGTATACTATATAATCAATCGAAGCAAGCTATAAAAATTTTGTTTCTGGGTTCGTGAAACCATCCGGAGTTGTGTTAACCAGAGCTTTTCAGATAAACCCTCCACCACCGCCGTGGAAGTCTGGTCTGCCAAACGGATCGTCGAAGCGGGCACCCGGGAACGGAGGTTTAGGACCTCCCGTTGAGGAGGGATCTCCACTTAGAGGATCGGATCTAGGATCTGTAGGATTCCCTCTAAACGGATCAAACGTCATTCCTCCTGGACCGTTAGAGCGATTATTTGCTCCGGGAAACTGCTGTGTTGGATCTTGCAAATTAGGGTATTTTTGTCCATTTGGGTACAGATCTTGTTCACCATAGCCCGATGCTAGTCCAGGAACTCCAAATTCACCTGTTGCAGGGATTCCAGCGTTTTGATTGATTTCGTATTCGTCGTCGAATCGTGGCATGTCATGAATACTGCTCCTTCTACGGGAGGGCTGGCGACCCACAGGTAAGGGAGGGTTCCCAAATTTCAGCCTTTCCAGTCTCTGGTGAACCGCTGCATAGTCTGGAGATGTTAAGTTCATATTCTCAGGCTCGCCTTGCGGTTCATGACCCGTTGAAGTCCCGCTTCTTAAATGAAATTTGGCTTCCAGACTGGTATCAACGTAGGGAGTATAAAAATCGATTGCACGGCTTCTTACCACCGGAAACGGAACTTCGAGGCCATTGTTGAAAAAGTCTCTTTCGTAGTTGAAAATCTCTTGGACAAGAGGCCTTTCCTCTAAACATACACTAATCATGCATTTCTGGCCGCCGCTTAAATCCATCAAGATCACCTCCACAGCATCACACTGATCGCATTTAAACTTCTGACGTAGTGCTTGAGGATTAGCGCTCAGTTGTAGCTCGATATTCTTGCGTCCAACCTCTTTAAACTGTATATTGGCGTTATCTGCCAGAATGTTGCAATGACCCAGATAAATAACGAAAAAGTGCGCTACAAGCTCCAATTTGTTGCTTATCTGGTCAGTTTCGGATTGTGCACTCATAGATACTTATTTATATGTTCGTTATAGCTAAAGAGACTCCCTATGATGGTCGATCTTCAGGTCGAAGGTTGCTTGATCCTTAGCTCATCGCGGTGATCTTATTAAGGGAAATGACACCTAGAACGTGATCGACTTGACTACAAAATAGTGACACATTTTGAATTTATTACACAGTAACTTTTACACGTTGTTGTTCATCCTACGTTCGATGGATTTGTCGTTGATTATTGAATTTGATAACTTCATGAAGCTAGCCCAGGTCTTATTTGAGCTCGCTAATTTCTCCGTCGCGGGCTACCAAACCCATAACGTTCAAAAACAAGTTCAAATCCTGGTAAAGTTTATCACGCTGGTACAAGGCAATCTGTTGCTCTTCTGTAGGCGAGGAAGACACTAGTTGTTCCGCTCTGCTGATGGTTCCGAAAATTTCCTCTCTGATCTCATCAATAATGACCCTTTGGTGATTTAGTTTACCACTGAGAGCCAACGATGCCAAAAACTGCCAGATATAGGACTGGTCGTAGAATTGGTGCTTCACAGATTGACCAGTGGTGGCGGATGTGAGCGTGCCAGTAGTGGACGCAGCGACAACCTTGGAGGTATATTCGTCAGGTGGGAAAACTATTGCAAGCTTGGTTTCCAAAGACGTGAATAGTTTGTCATAAATTTCATTCCACGAGGAAGCCTCCATGGAAGATAGTACGTTTCCTCTGCTGACGTCCTGCTTGATAAGAGCTGCACGGGATATGAGGACGGTAATGAGATTTAGACCGATCTTAGACGTGCTAATGAAAGACACATTGTTATTTTTCACCAAAGCCAAAAGTAGCCCCAATACCTCAACGAATTCCGCGGAGCTTGACAGGAAGGACACAATAATTTTGAGGAAAACAGATTGAAACAATTCTAGCTTTTTGAGCTGTGTGTCCGTTGGATCTGGGTTGGTCTTGTACGAGCTTGTAACAATGATGTTCAAGTGCGACAATTCACTGAAGAAACAGTACAGTAACTTCAGTTTCTGTTCCTTATTCAAGAAATTAAAAATGCGAGGCATGATCTTCACACCTTTGTCGAACGACAAAATAGAAATGAATGGTGAGACCTCGTAAGCGTCGTCAGCAATGTGTAGTGCTTCCCACAAAGCGGTACTATCAGTTTCCTTGCCACTTCTTAGCTGCGCTTCCAACTCCAAAACTTCGGCATACACTGTTTCGATTAAAGACAAAACGAACTTTCTGCCGCCTGAACGCGAGAGAACGGCACGCTGGTCCACGGAACGGAAAGCGTAAGAAGAACGTCTCCTAGCCTTTGAAGAGGATGAAAGATCAACACCATTCATACTCTGCACAACATCTTCGATAGCTGAAGATTCGATCTCCTCTTCATCACCTTTCTGCAAGGGAATTTGCAGTTGTCTTCTTGGGGCTTTACTATTTCTCACAGATGAGATTTTTCCCAAGACACCTTCTTTGGCGCTATCCAAGTTTTCGCGGCTCTTATGTGGCCTTTCCTTCGCCACAGTTACTGCCTTTTCAACTTGACTTTGCATCCTTTGCAGAGCAACGTCGGCACGCTTGTAACGACCGCCCAAACGGTGGCCTGAATGTTCCAAATAAGCACGAGCAATGAGGCCCTTGTTGGACTCACCAACGATACCGCCGCGTTGAATAATCTTGTAAACCTGGAAATAGAAATCCTCGTTGTAAGGATCGTCCGTGACAATTTGAGACAATTGATAGCGAGTGATGAAATCTTTGTCTCTAGGAGTCATCACACCACTGTGTCTCAGGATTTTGTCGACCTTGGCCTGGCGAACTTGAAGCTTTTTGATTTCCTCTGGACTTAAAGCCTCTTGAACTTTACGCACTGAGCCACGCCGAATACCTCTTGGAGTACTCTCACGAGAGTCTTGCTCTCCGACAATCTGGCCTCTAGAGTTAGGTGCTGATCTTACAGGCTTTGCAACCTGTGGAAAGATACCAGGGGCTGATGAAGCGGGAGACTTTGTGATAGGCGCTTGCGCAGGAGGTGTAGCTGATAGTTGGCTCAAATCAGGTGACTGCGAAGCACTAGGTCCCAAGAAGGAAGATTGGGCAGATTGCTGCGTTGCGGCAACAGGTTGTTGTTGTTGCAAAACGTGTGGGGGCTCGGGATATTGCTGGGGAAGGCCCGGCATGGGCAAAGACACCGGCATTGGGATTGGAAGACCTTGTGGTAATCCTTGGGGAATGCCTTGAGGCATACCCTGAGGTAAGCCCTGGGGAATTCCCTGAGATGGGCCTTGATGTAAGCCCTGGGGAATACCCTGGTAGCCAGCTTGTGGCATAAAATGTTGTGGGGGGTAGCCATATCCCACAGGAGGTGGTGGAGGCATGCCACCGACATAACCGTGCTGCGAGTGCTGGGACTGCTGCTGCTGTTGCAATCTTTCGATCTCTTCCATTGAAAGGACCTGGTGTTGTTGCTGATACTGCTGTGGTGGTACGGCTAAAGCCTGGTTCGTCCATAGCGATTCCATTGGAGTGAAGTCCATGCCATCATCGTGATAGCCAGAAACCGATGCCTCAGGACCAGTAGAAGCAGCAGCAGATGCGTAAGAGCGATTCATATTGATATTTTGCTGATTTACAGCATTTGTATGGCCCACAGCGTCCAATTCACCCCTGCCATAACCAAAATCGAAATCTGCGCCCATTTCGGTAGTATTTCCGAACGTCTCGTCATTCAAATAATCGTCTTCCTCCTTCTCATACCCTCCAAAGCCCCGGTACGTGTCTTCGAAATCCATTGCGGCATCAGGACCCTTGCTTTTATGGGTTCCAGTCTTTTTTCGGGAGTCTCCTTTGGAGCCCTTATTTTGGCCCGGAAACCCTGTTTCAAACCCGAAAAACGACATGAAAATGTGCAGAAAAGCTGGCTTGATAAGTGCACAGATTTACTGCCAAATAATAATCGGTTCTAAGGTGTTTTTGAGGGCGTTTAAGTGCGGTCTTTTCTTTCAAAACTTTGGCAAGTTGGTGATTTGCGGAGGATGTAATTGATATTATAGTGATACCGAAAATTTTTGAAGAAAGTTGTTATATCGTTATGTACGTTGTGGTGGAACTGTAATTGCGGTAAATCCTTGTACTGGAGTTGAATTGAAGTCGTGTATAAGTGCTATTATCGAAAGCATCTAAGCTGGTAAAACGATCGACTATCCTGTTCCCACTCAGTAGGAAAAATGTTGCCAAAAAAGTTTTAATCACTTTTTACGAGGTGGTGTACCTCAGAACCATCTCATCGATCAGTGTCGTCCCGAGTCGTTTCTAGTACACCATTTTTCTACCTGTGATTGTGCGGCGTGTTTGTTGCTCAGATTCGTCAGTTTCCCCCACTTTAGCACGATTCAAAACCTTGATGAAAGAGTCAACTCTGTAGCGCATACGTGAGTGCATGTAGGCCTTGGAACACTTGATATGGTAGTGGAAATAGTTGCGGAACAGCGCCAGATGGCACACCGAGGAAAACTGCAGCTCTGGAGTCTGGAAGTGGCGTGGGAATAGTACAAAAGTGATGAACCTTCTATCTTTGTCGGTGCGACGGTTGGAAGTCACAGACGCAGTTTCCAAAGGAGGCTCGTGCGAGAACAGCACCTGGGGTGCAGACTGGATGCTCCGGTTACGCTTTCTAGCGTCCACGAACTCTTGTAAAAACACTTTGCCAAACACTTTGTCGGTTTCGTCCTGGAAAAAGGTCTCGAATATGACCGTTACACGGTCATTCGAGGGCTTGATATAGATGCTTTCGTCGTCCCTGTACTGCAAATGCCTCAAAACGCCCGTGTCGTTCGATCCGGAAAATGAAGATGGATCCTGCGTCTGTTGGCTTAGCACAGAAAACTCCTGGAAGGCCAATTGGAACGCAAAGCTCATCACGTGGATCTTGAGCAACGATAGCTGCACCATTGCCTCCGGTTGCAATTGAGCCAAGTCCACTTGTAACGTATAATCGTAGCCCTGTTCCGGTTGCTGAGTTGGTGTGATTCCGGGGAAATTTGAATATTTGCTTTCTAGGTGTTCCAAAAACCCGTTTCCACATTTCAAGGCACTTTGCCACACCTTGGTCTTGATACTCAGCCATAACACAGTTTTGTTTTCCGGTGTATTGGAAACATGTAGTGTAGTATAGTCGAAATCTGAGATAACTCTATCTAAACTTAAAGGAGCACCGTTTTCATTTGCATTCCACGCTTCCGTGAGCGTTTTTTGTACCAGTAAGTTCTCAGGTCTCAGGTGAAGCATAATATCTGTTAGATGATAATCGATTGCGTCGTTGTGGTGTCTCTGACGCGAATGTTTGGTTTGATTCGAACGAGTTCTGAACTGGATTAAGGTCCATATGCTATAGATTGTATAATTAATGTCCTTATTAGGTGAAAGAAACTATGGATGTACCTTCGTACGAAAACCATGAAATCCTCACCTGCGAGCTATCAAAATGCCCAATTGTTACCGTATGCGTATCTTTGTGTTTCTATGTACAAGCTAGGCCTTTTGGGGCTTTTTGACCCCATATTTGGAACGAGACGTGATACGGTTAACCACACCGCTCAAATCGCCTCCACCGCGAATGACACGGTATTTGACACCTGGTAGATCCTGACAACGACCACCGCGGACGAATACTATACTATGTTCCTGAGCATTGTGGCCCTCGCCGGGGATATACGCAGAAATCATCTTTCCATTGGTGAGTCTCACTCTGCACGCTTTCCGCTGCGCAGAGTTGGGTTTTTTGGGCTTTAGGACCATGACTCTGAGAACCACACCTTTGCGAAGTGGACATTGGTATAGATCGGGCGAGACAGTGGCCTTTTTGCGTTTTGGAGGCTCAACACCTCTTTTGATTTGATTTAAAGTGGCCCATCTCGGTGTGCTAACGCTAATCGAACGACTTATTCCAAGCACGGGAGACATGGATTGACGGAGCAGCGGCATTTTTGGAATCGCAGAAACGAGTGGAGTCCTGAAGACTGCCATCCTGGTGGCTAGAAGGCCCGAAAACATCGTATGTCAGCCGTTTCAGATGCGTTTTCCTGGAGAATTGGTTGTTAACTTTCTAGTTCAGCGTCAGTAATTATATTGAAAGTTTTTGAAATCATTTCGTGTGGTGTGATTAGGTTATAAAATAGCTTTAAAAGACTACAATGTTGAAGGGTTTGGAAGAAAGATAGCTCAATGGCAGTATCTGATCGCAGCTGCTTTACAGCCTAGACCTATGGATACTTTTTGTTTAACTGGAGTATGATTCCAAATACCTCAGTTGTCACGTGACCTTACCCACATCTTCATTTTAGTCCGTTGAAGTACTCCCATGTTAGACTAGTTTTTGCTTGGCTCATAAGGCCATTCTGCTAAGATTTTGAGAGTTCGCTTTTCATCGCTGGGCTTTTAAAATGTTTAAAAAATCATGCCTTCTACAAAGACACCGCTGGGCATAATTACATGATTTGGTCATTGGGTTTGACATTCAACATTTGAAAAGTCCAAAAGACGCTTGGTTAATATGAGACTGTAATAGTTTCAACAGCGGCCCTCCCAGCTTTTATAAGCGTTCTAAGTACTCTCATACTACTTTCTTCTACGCTATTCCCAACAGAAGTCGATATAGGGTACGATCACTTTTCCTCACTGTGTCGCAATATTTGATGATTTCCCATGGCAAGTATCAACCGTCATGGCACGGTTGTTCAACATGAAGCAGTGGATTGTTACTCAAGAATGTCGATGAGATCATAAATACTTGAACTTATTTTGGTCAAGACTTTCCAAATCATACTACTAAACTCATCATCGCACTCCAATCTGTCATCTTCAATCGCTTTGAGCTCCGTCCACCTCCAAAGAAACTAAAAGTTACAGATCCCTTCACAGTATTTAACACACCAACATTTCAACACATCAATTTGCATCTGACCTTTCACCTTTACCTTTCCGCTCAATCCGTTTAAGCCACTCTTAACATCGAGAATAACTACATCATATATAAAATAAGGATATCCAAATCTTGGACGAAAAAGCATATCGATCAGTTACATTAGCCGACAATGGGGAAGGCTCAACCGTTCGTACATCTACGGCCTGCAAACCTGGTTCTCAGGGCGTCCGAAAAGGCCAACAATCTCAACCCAGGTTCTTTTATCCATGCAAAAAGTCACCCATCTATAGCACCAGCATCGCGTTCACCAATGCTGAGAGTGAATCTAAACAAATTTCCAGGATTTATAGGACATTGCTCGAGCAGAATCAATAGACCAACAAATGAGGACTTCTATTCCATCAACATGTTGAAACTCCCGGCCTCAGGACCTGAAATGAATTGCATAAGACAGAAGCATTTACCTAACAAAAGAGACTTTTGGAGTACTCAGTTACCACTCAAGAGGTCAATTTTGAACTTATCGGTATTTGACGGTCATGGAAGCGATCGGGTCGCAAAACTACTGGCACAAGAACTCCACAACGAAATCGTCGGCACACTTCCTTCGCGAGATGCCTTTTTCGATCTGCTGAAGGACTATAAGAACAGAATAGGCGGGAAATACTGGAGTAATATCTACAAGAAACGCGAAGAGTATTTCCACCGATTTATCGCTAATTGTAATACGAAACAAGAGCAGATCCTGTTCAAAGAGGGAAAATCTGGATCACGGATGATATTTGATTCATGGGGTAACATTATAGACAAGACGAGCCTGCTGACGGAAAACGAAAGACTGAGACTATTTACTTCGTTTCTCAATTTCGACCTGAAATACTGCTGCGATCCGAAGATCGCTCAAGGGCTTGGAAACGAACAACAGAAACCTATTGGCGGGTCCACGGCATCGAGCGTTTTCATCACGTCGTATGACGAGGAGGATTCCTTTGACGAGTCTTTTTTTGTCACTCCCAAGGGCCTTTTAAAGCTAGTGGTAACCCAGGTAGGTGATACAAAAATTGTGCTGTGTGACAAGAATGGGATTGCGCATAGTCTCACTCGAATACATCATCCATCCTCTTCGCAGGAATCGAAACGGTTGCAAACGAGTTTTCAAACAGACTCATTTGGTAACACTAGGTTTTTAGACAACTTCGCAAACACAAGATCTTTTGGCGATTCCATTGGGAAACAAGACGGCTTATCGTGCGAGCCCGATATCTATTCCTATCTCATCGGAAGCACAAGATCGCTGCAGCATTCAGAGATCAGCAAACTCCAGTTTGGAGGAGACGAATGCTTCGTTTGTCTCATTACCGATGGTGTGTCGGACCTCATAAGCGATCAAGAGCTTGTCGACCTGATCACCAGTACGGTAAATTTGCGAGGCCTCAAGACCGCTTCCCCACAGTTTGTTAGTGAGGAAGTTGTGCGTTTCATTGCTGCTATCGGGGGCCGGCATGCTGACAATGCTACGTGCTTGGTGCTGAGACTGCCAAACTGGGGCAACTGGCCTTCAATTGATCGCACTGGTGCGATCCGTGAAGAAAAACTAATGACCGGGTCTTCTGGGAGTGGTAGATCCAACGTATAGATATTCCTCGCTAGTACGCCTATCACAACTGTAACTTCCAGAAAAACCTCTGGCGGACACCACTTGTGTGCTCAAAATACCGTGTTTGACCATTTTTCATTAATATCTACATGCTATGCCTTTGAACCATCTATTTATTCTTGGTTTGGGTGTAGCTGAACCTCTTTCGTGTGGGAACAAACTCTCCCAATTTGCTTCCCACCATGTCTTCGGACACTTCAAAAGCAACGTATTCTTTCCCGTTGTGAACCTGGAACTTTAGACCCACGAACTGCGGCAGAATCGTCGCTGACCGCGCATTTGTTCTGATCGGAGCACCCTTTGACAACGCTTCCTTCACAGGCAATGGAACAATGTTTGGGCCCTTCCACACAGACCTGGCTAAAAGATACAAGCTCTGGTGCATTGTAATGGACTATTGGAGGCTTCTGAAGTGGTAATAGAGACCTCTTTAGCTTGTTGGTTCACATCTTGAAATATCATGGGCTAAGATTATTGAAAATTTTCTAGACATACAGTCAAATGAAATATCGAATCTATGCGATGAGCTAACAGAAAAGGAAACGTCTAAGCCGAAGAGACCATGTTTGCCGCCAGGTTTGACCCATCGCAAGTGCAAAATTTATCGGAACCAGCTGGTGTTTTTAAAACTCAGCTACGCCCAGTGGTTCCCTCAAAAAGAGGCAAAGAGTCAGACGATGAAAGTGAAAGCGAAAGTGAGAGCGAAAGCAAACAGGAGGACGTAAAAGAGAGCCGAGAGCCAGACGGGAGTGGCTCGGAGGTATCTCTTTCAGACGTTGAAGCTTTGGAAGCGAGTAGTGATGGCCCGGAACCAAATAGCGATGATCAAATATCAAGCATCGGGACTGTGCTCAATGATAAACACTCTGGACTGTACAACCGCTTCCAGAAAACACTCTCTTTACAGGAGAAACTGAGAAGTTCCGATCTGATCGAAACGGAAGACGAAAAAACAGAGGCTCTGGAACAACACGATCTGGTACCAATACCGCAACCAGCAGTGGTGAAAAATACCTTTCCTTCAGCAGAAGCAGCTACTGTCATGAGCAAATCAGCTGCATGGCTGCAAACGCAGAAGGTCTACTATGACAACTCCATGGTAAAACCTTTCGCAAGTTACGAAACTCAACTCAACGATAAACTGTTGGCTAACATCACAACCAAGTTTTCAGATCAGACATTTCCAGTGCAAACAATCTTGCTTGACACGGTACTGCCGAAGTTGAGATTCGCACAGTCTGTCAATAAAAGGCAATTTCCCCGTCGAGTGGGCGATATCCTTGTCAATGCATCGACAGGGTCCGGTAAAACTTTGGCATATTCCATACCGGTGGTACAGTCTCTATCAAAGCGTACTGTCAACAGGCTGCGATGTTTGATCGTGGTTCCTACCAAAATTCTGATTCATCAAGTTTTCGAGACACTGACCAAACTTTCTCAAGGGACAAGTCTCATCACAGGTATCTCTAAGCTCGAAAATTCCTTGAGGGATGAACACAAAAAATTTCAAAACCAGCAACCCGATATTCTGATCATCACTCCGGGACGTTTGGTGGACCACCTGCAGCTGAACTCCTTTGATTTGAAAAATCTCAAGTTTTTAGTTCTTGACGAAGCAGATCGTTTGCTGAACCAGTCGTTTCAAAACTGGTGCTCCGTGATTATGAATAGGCTGAAATCCGACAAAAACGAAAGGGCTCCCGTGAGTGTCATCAAAATGGTTTTCAGTGCTACGTTAACCACCAACACTGAGAAATTGCATAACTTAGAGCTCAACAGACCTTCGCTATTCATGATGGATTCAGTGAAACTTTATCATCTACCAAAGCTCCTACAAGAACACAACGTCCAGATTCCTACGGCAAAGAGCTTTGCGAAACCATTATTTTTAATGCAACTCATAGTCGCGTTGTCGGATAACAACTCGCGGATCCTAGTTTTTGCCAGGAGTAATGAAGCGTCCCTAAGGCTTGCTACCCTTTTACAGCTTATGAGTGCGAAACGGATATTGAATACGGATGCGAACCTCGAGGTTACTTCGATCAATTCGAACAACACTAAGGGCCTCAACAGCAAATTGATCAAACAATTCGCTGCTGTTGGTTCGAACAAGACTGTCAAAGTGCTCGTCGCAACAGATTTGATGTCAAGAGGTATCGACATCGACAACATCACCAACGTCATAAATTATGACCCTCCTATATCGTCCCAGCAATACGTTCATCGTTGTGGTAGAACTGCAAGAGCCCAAGCCCAGGGTGTAGCTTTCAATCTACTTGTCGGAAAGGGTGAACAAAAGTTTTGGACAGAACACATTGACAGCGATCTCAGTAGAGATGCCGATGGGTGCCACCCCAAGTCGCACGATGAGGTTGATGCTTTGAAGGATATTTTGACCACTAGCCCTGATGTTGAAGAGAACTATCGAAAGTGTTTGGAACAGCTTAAAGAGGAGGTTCACGATCGCTAGACGGAAATTCGATTCATTAATGTCAGAGGAATTCTGGTAGGGTTGAGCGACCGGCAAATCGGCATGGATCACCGAAACTGCGATAGAAGCCAGCGGCCAAATGTGAAATCTAAATTACAGACAAAAATTGTTTCTCGCTAGCGTTTTCAGAATAGAAAGTTATATATCCAAGTTGTTAGAATACATGTCGTACTCAAGGTTTAGTTTCACCACACTATTGATGGTCCACAGTATATAGGAGTAAGGGTCCAAGTAGATTCTGACAAGACAGGAGAATCCTCAAAGTAGCAATGGATGACGTCTGTGACGTTGGGAAAGTGGTTTTTGGTACGTCCTGAGTTTAAAGGACGTATCTAGGTATTCCTAAATACTATTATTTTCGCCGCTTCAGTCAGTCAAAACAAAGTAAAGACATTGTAACCATGAGAATCTTTAAAAAAACTAAGAAGATGTCTTGATCTTCATGCAACACGTCGGCGGCTAAATTCCGAGGTCACATTATTTTCTCACGCAATCCCGAATATAGCATCACTAGCTGTTTACTTAGCTTGCCTATGGCATGCTCAATAGACTTAACAACAACATGAGACATGATAATTACCAGAGGTGTCGAATCTGTGGGTGATCAAGATGATTGATATCGCATGTAATGGCAAATCCGACAAAACAATTTCTGTGTCTCCCAAACGCTATACCAACAAGGTCTGATATGAAACCAAATTATAAGATCATGCGTCTTCGGGTCCAGTCGGTAACCGAAATTCAGGCAGTTCATGAACTCCACGCACTACTTTGATGGAACGCTCCTCTTCCAGTGTTTAGAAATTTTCAAAAGTTACAATAACCAGATTTAGCCAACGGATGACTTCAGCAAGCCAGCACAGACCTGAGCTCCCATTTAGTCCATTGGCTGTAACCAAAATCTCCATTTCATCTCGAAGAAATTTCAAATACCCTCTAGTTGCTGAGTTTTAGCTGAATTGTCGACGAATTCCTTGAAGACGAGAATAAAGCAAAATTCAAGTTGCAAGCTCAGTTCATTCAGTAACCTGAATCATGGAGTTTTCCCTAAGCTTTTTGAGATAGTTTCCCTACCTGAGAACTGTAGGCTTCTGGAAGTTCAACTTGCAAGTATCTTCAGCAGCGGACATCTACCAATTCTTTACCGATTTTTGATCTGAAAAGTCTTCGATAAAGCTAAAACCCAGCACATCAAAGCAGTCATCTTTTTTTGATACCCAAGCAGCTTCTAACATCTTGTTTTATCCCTTGGGTTGTCAAAGCTCCATCACATGGTTCGCATCGTCCTTGGAATATCATCAGCCTTACTTAATGAGGGCCAACTACTTCCGGAAGATGTCCAATTGAACTTCACCAAGACTACAAGACAAGAGCCTCCGGCCACTTTCCTAACAACTCGTAACCCAGTCCCTGAAGAGATGCCAAGCAAATATCTCCTGAATCCACCGGAGGATTTGCATTCGCTAACGGCTGACCATCGTAATAAATCTATATACCCAGATTTTGATCCATGGAGACACACACCAATTGAGGACAAAGTATTCCTGAATTTTGTATCCAAGGGCTACTACAATACTGCAAAAGTAAATTTCGAGAGTATTTCGTCAAGATCGTCTTTGCAAGAATCGCTACCGGCGGTTTCTGGGCTGTTAGCAGACCAACTGTCCAAAATTGTGAAAATTAGAGAAGAGCAAGTCAACAGAGTTCCTGGTAAAGCACGCAATCTGAATGGTACGAATAATCTTGGAACCAAGCTTAGTGGTCCCGGTTTTGCGCTGCCAAAAAGGGTAACACTCACAGATCACAAACGTGAACTTTGGCTTCAGGAAATAAGCTCCACCAACAGACCACTTGCAGAGACAGTCAAGACGATACCTCACGGCCTTAAAAGACGTCATTTGCTAGAGCAGTGTTATCAAAAACAGGTCCCCATCGCTCGTGCGGTTTGGCTCATAAAATGCTGCTTTACGTTAGAGTGGAAAATATCCGCTGGCAAGCAGAGCTCTCAGCTGCATGACGAAATGTGCGTGAAACTACTACAAGAATGGTCGGAAGCAATGGCCCACATTTTGGAAAGACTGGTCTTCGAAATGACACAGTATTACAACGAACCCTCAAAACTGAAGAAGTGGAGAAAACGAATAGCGTATTTTCTGAAACTGCTCGGAAGCTGTTACTCACTTGAATTGATCGACCGTGCAGCGTTTCACCACTGGTTGGTTGATTTTGTCGCTAGAGTCGAGAATTTTGAGTGTCTGCCGATGACACTACATATCCTCTCCGTCTTTTGGAGCGGAATATTTCCGGAAGGTCAGTCAAACTCTGACCCTCAACAGCAGTTTTTGATAAACAAAATGACCGAAACGCTGATCTACAAATACTACATGGTGTCAAGAAGTAAATCGATGATAAATGACGAGCAATACCTTATCAACGATATCAAGAAGAACGACAAGCTTGCTACAGCCATGTCTCATACATTGAAGTCATTCATAACCGAGATCTTTCACAAACAGTCTTTGGAGGCTTTTGTATTCACGGGCAGCAATTGGGAAATCTACAAAAAGTGCCTTTATGAAGTATTAGGCACGGATAAAACAATGAAGGAATCACCTAACGGGTCAAAAACATCCAAAAAACTTGAATTGATTGTCTATCGCAACGACTCTTTACAGTTTAATACCATTTTAAACGCAGGCGAAGAACGGGACCCTGATCAAACTGATACGCACAGCACGGATTTGGAGAGCATATTTAAACCAAATGAAATCTTGAAGTTGAGACATATTGACTACAGTCTCACCAAGCTGCTGGACGAAAATAGCTCAGGTGATCACTGGGTGAGTTGTGTCGCTCAGAAAGTAAATCGAATTGATCAAGTCATCCAAATGATTTTATGGGCGATCAACCCTTCCCGATATCATCACTATGAAGCACCTCATCTTGTTGCAAAGATATTTCTCATTCAGATAAATTTCAAGAATGCACCACTCGAATACGGATTGGAGGATAAAATATGGTCTCTAATTTTCCTGTTCGCGAGATTAAAAGGCGAAGACCTGAAGTCCGTTGTTAGTCTTCCGAGAGTTCACCAGTTATTAAATGTTTTCATCGGGTACGGAATCATCAAAGTTCCGACTTACATTCGAAAGCTTATCAGCTCAGGAGTTCTCTATTTAGCTCATTCTGAAGATAAGTTCTTTCACTGTGAGCTACTGATCAACCTTAAGATCTCGCCAGTGATGAAAAGCCAATACAACATGGTTTTGCGAAATGTGATAGATGCTAATCACTCGTTTTACGAGCGCTTCAATTACGACAGGTTAACGGAGCTGTTAGAAAGCTCAAAAATTTCACTGTTGAGTGGACGCTTTGATAGCATGAAAGCTGTTCCCTACAGCGTGAGGCTCATGACCTCAGAATGGTATCTGAACTTGATCTGTTCACCAAATGATGGAGTTTTGACTCCCGTCACAAAGAAGGATGTGGTCGAAAAACTGAACGTATTTTGCATCAAACTTGATGTTTGCCATCAGTTTTACAAATGGATTGAATTCATTATTTACCATCAGTTACTGAAAGATCTAGAGTCACTCGAGTGTCTAACAGACATTTTGATCTACTATGAAAAGTTCTTTTGCCTGTTGATCAATGATCATGTTTTATTAATGAAGACGATCCTACATCTATATTTCGACAAATTGGTGCCCGAAAGCCCACAGAGTCAAAAACTCATACTACTTGGAGATTTTTGGACCTTTTTTCTAGTTCGATTTCCTCAAGTTTTGGAAATCGACCCCGATCTTCAAGCAAAGCTTATAGAGGCAAAAGAATTCGAAAAAGCCAAAATTGAGAGCGCTGCGAAGATAAGCGCTTGGATGAGTTCCAAATCTGAAGATCATTCAGATGAATGCTTAAAGTATGTTACAGACGAATTCAACTTTCCCAGCATCTTTCAACCTAATTTGAAAGCCATACTAGCCACTGAAACTGGCGAAGATCTGCAATTGCGAAGAACAAATTTGCGTACTCTAATGGCTATGAATTTGAATGAGTACAACAAGTTCATGTCTATATATCTCAAGAGGAAGGTTGCAACTAACGAAGAACTGGCGAAGTTAATCTCGCTGAAAGTTCTTTCGTTGAACTCAGTCGGAAAGGTACTTGGTAATCGTTTTTTAGTAAAGCTGCTTCGAACATCATTTTGGGAGCACGGCGTTGGGTTCGAATTGCAGAAAAAGAAGTTCAAAAAGCATAACCTGCTGCTTGTTTTGAAAACTTACTGCGATGATTTACACGAACACTATGAAGAACTGTTGGAAGGTTTGGCGGAATACTGCTCATCGAGGATAGCCGAGGAATTTTTAGTTAAAGTCTTCGCTCGGATTGAACGTGAAGGCAAAAGTTCAATTTACTCCTTTGCTAATGACTTGCTTAATGTTGGCGTAAGAAGCTCAGACGCTGTGGGATATCATGGCAACAGCAATTTGAAAAGCATAGAAATTAATTCGACTGATAATGGTGATTTAACCGAGGACGAGGCAGAGGTTCTGGATCTATTTCCAAGACTTGACTTCTCCAACATTTGGATGTTTCAGGCTTTGACATGCCATTATTTGGAAGATGGGTCATGCCAGGAGCAATACTCGCAGGGTTCTTCTAAATTCATCTTAGAGAGTATTGAAATGACCAACTACGATATTGCTGCCTCCAAGCTCTTTGACAAGCTCAGGGATGCAGATATTCTCCAAAAAACGCTTCAAGTTCTTGAGGTGAAATTTTTAAACAATGGGCCAGCGGAAGATCCAAAAGACCTCTCTCAGTACTATGTTACCGTGGAAAGCATTGTTAGCATTTCCAGGAGGCTGAATAAAGCGTTGAAAGGAATTTTACCCATAAGTGACGAAGCTTTCACTCTTTTGAAGATTTGCTGCCAGGAATTTGCAACTAAGACCTCGGAGCAATTGAAGCTTCTCGAATTTAGGCTTGACATTGTCCTAAAGATACTTATTGTCCACCAAAAATATATTTTGAAAGAAGGGCTTCAAAAGAAACAGCTGCTGTTGAATGATGGCTGTTTGTTCCTAAAAAATTTGTGCATTCTTTTCTACAAAATCGATTTCAGCTTGAAGTTGAAGTTGTTACTGTACGACCTGCTATCCTCTCTAAAGGCTTTCGTCGTATACTCATCGCCAGGAAAAGACCGCCAATACAATGATCGTTTGAGTTCGCAAGTACCACAGGAGCTGTTAGATCTTCCTCCTTTCCAAATATCATCGTTTTTACCCGAAGAGAAGCCAGAAGACTCGAGAGGAACCGTCCAGCTTGGAATTGTGGAGTGCGATACCACAAAGAGCTCCACCAAACCGTACTATTTTATTTTCAATCGCAAAAACGGTACCTTTGACTGCAAGTTCTTATTGAGACCATATCATTCACTAGGAAATTTCCAGGAAGGAGAATCGGAATTCAACAATACTCCTCTGAATCTATGTTTATTCAATACTGTACTTGACCGTCGTAATCCCACTTGAAATGATACTAGGTCACGGGAAAGACTGCCCTTCACTCGAGCTTGGCCCGACCATCAAGTATCAATTCTGGAAATCATAGTCTATCTATATCAATTGTGGTTTCAACAGGCGTCAACATCTGTCGAATGCATTTATCCACCGAAACTCTCAAATTAAGTTCATCATCATTAGACCCACCAGACATGTCAATCTTCAGGAGAACCACGTATTGCTCAAAATTGATCTTGAAGATAGTCAAATTATCATGAGAAAGCCGACAATTGGCACGAAAAGCAGCAAGCTCTTCGATTGCTTCTTTGAGTTTGTTTTTCACCACAGCGGGATCACAGGTTATGTTCGTTCCACTTCCAGTTGATTTCGAGGTGTCCTTTTTGGACTTCGGAAGCGTGCCCGAACCGCTGTCTGCAGGTGCAGTATCTGCGCCATGCTCACTATTGTCTAACATCAGGCCATTCAAAGAAACCGTGGAAAATCCTATCAATAAGACAGTTGATGTCCATTTTGCGATTCTCCAACCATAAGTCATAATGAGCAAAGACAATAAACCGGTGGCAACGTAATCCGATAAACTTGTGAATTTGGATATCACTGGTAGTAGCACCAGATACAAAATGTAAGTGCTTGTAATCAGCGGATTCTTGGTCTTATACCGAGCATGTGAGTTGGACTGGAAAATCTTGAACAATGTAAATAGAGACAATGCCAGATTGCATATCAAGATACCGTACCAAAGCTGAGAATCTTTGGTTGTTTGAAGCAGTAAGGATGAATGGTGTGAATGTGGAATCTTTGGAGCGATTTCATCGTGATGATCATGATTGGAAGATTCCACGAAAAGAGCTATCGTCTCCTCTAGAATATGGAAAAATAAGTCCAATCCCATGAAGCAGAGTGATATGGCAAGTGCGAAACTTAGCAGGAGATCCATGCGATTCAATCCGAACGGGAGCTTCACCGTACCCGTATTCCAAACCTGAAATTGTGACAAGTTCTCCACAAAAACTATTGCAAGGGATCCTATGACATCGTACAGGATTAAATGCGACAATGTGATGAAATTGTTCCAGGACTTCGAATGACCCAGATGAAAGGTTATAATGCATGTCGTAGTTTGCAAAAGGATCAAGGCGAGCTTGACGTAACCAGTGGGCCATGGTATATTAGATCTTAGGTCTGCAAAATCGGGGATTGGTAGCGATTTAGCAATGCTCAATGGGATTTTAACTTCAGGTTCTTGAAAAAAATTCATGGATACGGAAGAATGTTTGTATCTGTGACCTTTACGAAATGATGTTCTTGAAGCAGAGCCACCGGATTTCGGAAGTTGCAGTGTAGACGATGAAAAATTGAAAGGTTTCTCAACTACAAGAGATGAGCGTCTTTTGGATCTATCTGGAGAAGGCGATCGATTGTGTCTTATCGGTGATTTTGATCTACCCGAAGAAGGCGGAAGTTTGGGCCCAGGTACATATTTGAGTGAATTGCGTTTGCTACCACCGAGTGTGATACCTTCTTGTAGCATGCCGTTGTTTCCTCCGAAACTAAAAGACGGATTTGCAATGAGACTATTGCTAGAGTTATTTCCGTCAGCAACGGAATAAAGAGAAAGCGGTCGCTGAGGAGTATTTATCCCACCAATTTCCAAAGCTCTAAGCGTCTCTTTCGATTCTTCTTTGCTCGGATCTTCTTCCACAATGCAATTCATTCTCTGAGGTGTCAAAAGTACGTCCGCAAATGACGAATCTGTATCCATTTCGTCCCTGGAATGCCCAGGATTGGGGGAGCTCATTATAGTAAGCTAGAGCTACGTTTTGATGACAACAAAGACGCTCAGAAAGCCAGAAATGTGGCTGTTTTCACAAATTCTTGATGTTTGTTCAACTCTGACTACCTTGATGGTGAAATAGTGTAATATTGAATCAGTCGTCGAAAATGAAGTGAGCGTCACGAAAATAGAAGGACAACAGTTTTCGAGTAACAACTCGATCCAAAGTCATCAAAAGACCATTTGAGGAACTTGAACAGTACGATGAAGAGAACTTGTACTTTCAAAAATTTTGTTTGGGGCATTCATCTCACCCGTCGGATGAGATGACAGGCTTTGAAGGTTTGCGAATTGGTGAGTATGGAAAAATTGGACTCAGTAGAAAGAAAGCACTAGTGGTATTTGCCAAGTTTCAAGGAAATAGAACTGGGAACATGCTCAGTATGTTCAGAATATATCAGCCAAAACAGGCTAGCAATACGCTCTGATACTTTTATGGCAGAAAACTGCCAGAGATCGACAAAGGCGATGCCGTCTGAACTGCAATAGAATTTGCTAGTTTGATCCAGGGTAGTTTCTGGGTTATAGTTTGTGTACTGTATGATTCTTGAATTTGAACTGCACCGAATTCAAGTTGCTGCGAAAGAAAAAAAGGTGATTCCCGCCAGCCACCCGTCATCAAGCCGGTACAATTCCCACATGCTTAAGCGAACATTGGTTTTCACGTTCCGTAATCAATAGAGAGACTTGGTATTATTTAAGGATATTCCTAATTTGGTGACATCCATCATTCTTACGGCTAATCGACCTCAAACGTAGCGTTAAAAGCGCATAGTTTCCTATCTAAATCTTCCTTTTCTAACAGTAATACCATCGAAATTCCTCCTGGATCTCCATTTCTTCACGTCCGGATCCTCAATCTTCGATGACTGATATCTTGCTCTACAGAAGTCGTGTCGTCACCGTTCAAATTCAGGAAAAGAACTGTCCTTCAAGAGAGTCCCTAGTTGACGTCTAGGCTTGTCTAAATGCAACGATATGCCCTTCTTCAACCACATATCTTTGGTTCTCTTCATGGTTTGTTGAAGACCTTACATATTCAATTGACACTACCGTAATTATTTAGCTTGACTCGAGCAACAAAGGCTAAAAAAAAATCGCCTTGAACAACGATTTGTGGCCATGCTAGGTCTTCGAAACGCACCAATTGGGCTAAAATCAGTAAAAGGCTTGCAAATTCTTTCCAAGCGCTCAAAACCGTCATGGAATGCTGGATTTACCTTTAGACTACGTTCCACATCTGCTAAGGACAAGACCAACGCTGTTTTCACCGCAGAACAATTGAAAGAAGCGCAAGAAGCACGTCTCAAGGGATTAGAACCGTATGTTTCAAAGCTGCCTGCCAAGATTATACCTTACGCTGAGCTGATGCGTTTGGAAAGACCGGTAGGCACATGGTTATTGTACATCCCCTGCACTTGGTCAATCACGATGGCTGCTACTCAAACCTTGGCACCCGTATCGACGACCTTGTGGACCTTGTTTCTGTTTGGAACCGGTGCATTGATAATGAGAGGCGCTGGTTGCACGATCAATGATCTTTTGGACCGTAAACTTGACGATAAGGTTATCAGAACGGTGGAAAGACCCATTGCAGCCGGAAGAGTCACTCCAAAGCAAGCAGTGACATTCTTGGGGGCTCAAACTGCTGTAGGGGTAGGGATTCTTTCTCAATTGCCAGCCGATTGCTGGTGGTTGGGTCTTTCGTCGCTGCCTCTGGTGTTCACGTATCCATTGTTCAAGCGGTTTACATACTATCCACAAGTGGCGTTGAGTGCATGCTTCACATGGGGTGCGCTTTTAGGGTATCCTGCCATGGGTTTAATGGACTGGCCGGCTATGCTTCCCTTGTATGCTAGCAGCTTTCTGTGGTGTATGATCTACGATACTATTTATGCACACCAAGACAAGAAATTCGACATCAAAGTTGGCATTAAATCCACCGCTTTGGCCTGGGGTGACCGGAGTCGTAAAATATGTGTTGCCATGTCTGTGGCCCAAATGGGATTGTTAGCAACTGCGGGCGCAACCAGTGGACTACTTATGGGACCAGGCTTCTTGGCAGGTATGGCTATTTTCGGATACAGACTGTTTTCTATGGTTTTGAAAGTGGATCTTGACAACCCTGCGGATTGCTGGAAGTACTTTACTAGTAACATTCGTTCCGGGTTGTACTTCAGCGCCGCTTTGTTGTTCGATTACTTTCTGAAGATCTTTGGCGTATTGTGACATTAGTTAGAGAGAGATATATATATATATACAAGTCGAGAGACACTGAGCTATAAAATTTCATTCATTCCTGCTCTTCAAGACTATATCTCTGGCATTGACAGCCGGGTTGCGGAGTTTCGATCGGGACTGCTGTTCTAGCAGTTTGGCTATATGGCTGGAATTCTTTTCTACCACCGGAGTTGAAACCACAGGATCCACGCTACGTTCGAGGCTCTTTACACTTTCACCACCGAAAAGAACATCGAAAATGCGACCATCTTGACCCCAGAACTTGCCCGAACGATTCACAACATAGTATCGGTTCCACCAAGGACTCTTGGTATCTGTGAGTAGGAAAGCAAAAGATGCTTTATCTTCTGTGCCCTGTGGACCGACTCCTGTGTGAACTCTGGTTCTGTTATTGCGAACAATCGCGTTAATCGGGGCAGAAGTCAATGCGGACTTTCCGGATAGCAGTGCTCGACGACTTATCTGGCACACACCTTTGGGCAGAACGGATATGCTGGTGGCTATTCTGGACGGTACATAGATCGATAAAGTCGACAACGCTAGTGGGATGATTGACAGCAGAATCGATCCTGCGATCCGCACACCCAGCAGTAACGTTGGGTGATTCCACCATTTGTCCCAAGAGTACGACACTTTTTCTTCTTTATACAGCTCCAAAGAGCTCGAAACGGACCAGTTTGCAAAAGAAACGCCGTACACTGCAAATACGCCTGCTAGAGTCCAAGATCCCGTTTTTACAAGCCGTGATGGCTTGTAGGTATATATTTGTTCAGCCGATGACTTGGCCAACAAAGCATCTATTTTCGCCGATAATGGAGCTTTGAGGGTCGCGTAAAAACGATTTCTTATCGAACCCATAGGTGCAAGTCCCAATCTTAGCATCGAAGATCAGTAGAAGCGTCCTTAACGTTAGTTTCCCCAGGTTTCTTGAAAAAGATTCTTGATTCATGGAAATTTTGTTGTATATATCACTTGGAAAAGGCATTACAGAAAAGTGATGCCCTATAACTGGAAAAACTAAGTAAACTGAAGACAAGACAGTGTTGCGAGCCTCTGCATTTCGTCTACACTAGTTCTTCAAGTCCCGGATGGCCTGTTCAAGCCCTCTGACGTTTGCCCCGACGATTTTGCCCACGGTTTGACTTTCTTTGGCGAGTAAGAAAGTTGGCATCGCGCTGATCCCACAGTAACCGGCCACATCTGGGGAAGCGTCCACGTCAACGCGGTAAAAATCTACACCGGTGTGCTGTGAGCTGAGTTTATCGAAGTGAGGAGCTATGACCTTGCAAGGGCCACACCAGGTTGCGTAAAAGTCAATAACACTTAGGTTCTTATTGGATATAGCTTTTTGGAAATCCTGGAGCGAATCTAGCGACTTTACGGTCGATTGAAATCTCACAGAGCGTAGAAAAGAGGGCCGCATCATCGCGGAGCGTTGAACGGCGAGTTTGAGCATTACAGGGATGGGTTTGGAAGGGTTTAAGTAGTGGTTGTCTCTAATGCATTGTCTCTCGAGGGGATTCCTAATACAGAGATGCCTATATATGGAGTTTTATAATGGTCGTATATGGTGATATTGTCCCATCAGAGGCTCATGATCAAATCAGAAGCGTGAAAGCCATAGTTTTGGGGAGATATTCGATTACTTTGTGAAGTATATGAATTAGAGGTACTTTCAGTGGTGAATTAGAGACTTTCGTGACTTTTTAAGGTGTTGACCACTATATAAGATAGTCATGTGACCTGAAAAGTGTATCCTGAAATGGAATCTATTTGCGCTTGTCTTTGCTCGAAAAGCTTTCCAGCAAGTATCAATGCTAAGATTTGACTGGCACTGATGCTACCTTCTGGTGTTTGGTCGTTCTGCCCTCTCTAAAATTTTGATCATTTTATACCAGTCTGGCGCGAATACCGATATGTGTCAGTACGCCGATCTCCACTGCAAAATGTACACGTTCCCCGGAATGTCTCAGTGTTGACCTAACATAGTTTCCCACCATTCATAACACCTCCTTTAACATGCTGGTTTGATGGTATTTGACATTATAGTACAGAACGATATAATTTCACATAGCTACTAATAATCCTGCCCATCTCATCGTTAAGAGCGTTCCACATTAAGAGCAGTAGCATGATACCAGAGGGTTGAACATTGCTTGGCAGACCTCGATCAAGCCAAGGTGTGATGCTTTTCAATGTAGGAAATGAAATAGGAATGTCAACTCGCTTTCGAACTTGAGATGTTCAGTAGCGAGCGCAGTAGTGAGCATTCGGGCTTTCCAACTTTAAAATCGCAAAAAATTGTTCCGTCGATGGCTGGCGATAACGGAAATTCATATCTGTTCTCTTCAAAACTCTGGAGCTGTCCTCAGTTGAGATAAATGTTTAGATTGAAGGGAATAGTCGTTTCGATGCAAACTGCCCAACAGCCCTGCCACGCACTCACTTCTCCGTTCCGTCTCCCAGCGCCCCCTGTCAAATATACAGCCCGCAGGCCTCGCTTTGGCCCTTCTCACTCGCCAAGCTCCGTTCTGCCTCATTACCGATTCGTTAAAAAAGTTCTATTTACATGTCGTGAAAGACCCAGCCGCTCTGGTGGACTAAATCGCGACTTGCGTCGTTTGCCAGCAAATACTCCTCCACATCGATGCCATACTTATTCCAGTTGATGCTGGGAGTTGTCACATCGCTCCTACTAGAGTGATGATGATGATGATGACGAACCTCTGATGTCACCTTCGACGAAGTCTCAGAATGCTGTTCTAAAGCAAACACCTCTCGTAGGAGCTGTCTGCTGCCCATTAACGTATCCACGAACTCCTGGTAGTTGCGGGTCTTATCGAGCTGTGCGTATAGCACTTGAAGTTGTTTTACCAGGTATTTTTTCCGCAGAAGCTTATTTTGAAGATGTGCTTTCGTGTGCTTTAAAAGGGCATAATCTGAATTTTCAGCCAAATCATCCTCTTGAAACTGCCTTACAAAGCGAGCAGCGGACGTCTCCGTGAACTTGTCGCTCATGCAGAATGGGGTTATTCTAAGGCCAGTCCGCTTTTGACCGTACTAGCACGTTGATCTGATGCGTGATGTTGTTATAACTTTCTTAGGTGATGGACTTGACCTTTGATATTTTATTCTTCACCCTATATTAATGTGAAAAATATTACCCATTAGCGTTGTATCAAGCACTATCGTCCAAAAGGAAGCAAGAAGAGGGGAAAGGTGAGGTATGAGTGTATTGTAGAGAAGGCAGTTATCGTAGGTCAGAAAATTCAAAACGTTTGAAACCTAGAGGAGAAGTTTTTAGGGAGATCAAGTCGCCCAAAAAAATTGTTCGTATGGAACGATCAGGGGCTTACTGCTTGATGCTGATCCAAGTAGATCTCGCCATTATCGGCGCGTGTCTCAGTAAAGACCCGTTACATGTTGTTTCTGTATCCACAAACATTGGTGCCTTGTTTTTCGACAGAAATCGGAAATGTGGTGATGACAGTATAGTACAATGTGATATCAGCGTTATGTGGAAGGCTGAGTTTTAAAGCGCCGGGTGGATCGTGTGGGCAAGCGAAACTTGTTCTGTATGCTATTGCCGTTTTCGTTATGGATCTAGGTTTCGTGGTAGCGTGTCCCCTTATACGAAGCCTTTCCTAAGGACCATAAAATCTTACCTCGCGACACATACCACCGATGAAAACGTCATAGCATTCCTCTCTGATGAATAAAATATCGTAGGTAGGCTACCGAAACTATAATTACCCGCCAGCGTGGTCTCTGAACAATACATTATTCAAAAGACTGTCGTCGCATCATTTTTGCCTGCAGAAAAGTACGCACGCTCGACTGTCTCCCTCTCGTGCATAGGTTTTAGAAACCAGAGCTTTAATACCACAGTCTAGATACCAGAGCATCGATACCAGAGGCTCTGCATTCAACTTTCTTGTCACTCTTGGCCTTTCGTGTCGCGCCTTCTCGTTTACACGCATTGTTAGTATTAATTACCATCTCATCATCGGTAAACTTGTTCCAGAGAACTTTCTATACGCATGAAAGCAGGATTAAACCACCACCAATGACCATTTACACCGCTTCTACGACCGCTCCGGTCAACATTGCAGTATGTACAAGCTAAGCGCTTTCAATTGAGCTTTTTAGCTTGAAATTTGAGTTAGTGCAGCGTTCTCTATCATATAGTTTAGGAAAACTGTCCATTGGCAGCGCATTATGATACTAACCTCTCATTCCGATTTAGACCCTTAAATACTGGGGCAAGAGGGATAAAAAGCTAAATTTGCCAACCAATTCGTCCATTTCGGTAACGCTAGCACAGGACGATCTACGCACCTTGACATCCGTTGCAACTAGTGAATCGTTTTCCGAAGACCAATTGTGGCTCAATGGCAAGCTGGAGTCTCTAGAAAGTGAAAGAACTCAAAACTGTCTTCAGGACTTGCGGGATCTTCGCTCTAAGCTCGAACTTTCCGATAAAAATGCAATTCCAATGTCCAAATGGAAACTCCACATTGTCTCTGAAAATAACTTTCCTACAGCGGCAGGTTTGGCATCTTCTGCAGCCGGATTTGCTGCTCTTGTTGCAGCTATTGCTAAACTGTACGAGCTCCCAGAATCAGCGTCAGAAATTTCCAAAATTGCGCGCAAAGGGTCTGGGTCTGCTTGCAGATCGCTCTTTGGTGGATATGTAGCGTGGGAAATGGGCACTAAAGCCGATGGTTCCGATTCTAAGGCGGTTGAAGTAGCCTCTAGGGAACACTGGCCCGAAATGAAAGCGGCGATTCTTGTCGTAAGTGACGCTAAGAAAGATACGCCTTCTACCAGCGGTATGCAGCTTACTGTGGCTACTTCGGATCTTTTCCAGGAGCGTATCCAAAATGTGGTACCTAAAAGGTTCGAGCAAATGAAGCAAGCCATCGTAAGCAGGGATTTCCCACTCTTTGCCGAGCTCACCATGCGCGATTCCAATTCGTTTCACGCTACGTGCTTAGACTCGTATCCACCAATTTTTTACATGAACGACACTTCGCGTCAAATCGTCAAACTATGCCACCAGATTAATGCTTTTTTCAACGAGACAGTTGTGGCATACACCTTCGATGCGGGTCCTAATGCAGTCTTGTATTACTTACAACACAATGAAACCAAATTGATGGCCTTTATTTACCAGGTGTTCGGACAAAATCAGGGCTGGGAACTCAAATTTTCCGCACAAGATCTTAGCGCCTTCAAAGATTATTTTGCAGACAATATTGCTGACGAGTTGGCTTTTGAGATAGATGAAAATCTGCATAAAAACATTTCTCGCGTGATTCTCACCCAGGTGGGTCCCGCTCCACAAAATACCGAGGAATGTTTGATTGACACAACTACCGGAAACCCTAAATAAGATCACTACGCTGCTGGTAAAACGTCTCGATTATAAATGGCTTTGTCTCTGTTCGAACTCAACTGCTTCAAGATGTCCTCCGTCGTTGAGCCGTCAGATCACTTAGTTTAGGTCTCGGAGCCGCTGAATTTGCACCAAAATCTAAAACTCTCATACACTTACGCTATTGAAGGAATCTGCCGAATTCTAGATCGATACGACAAAAATAAGATGCTGTTCTGTCGCTTTTTGTATATTTACTGATATTCTACGTATTTATAAAGTGTGGAAGTTAGCCTTACTTCATGACCGATGAGGTGTTGAAAACCAAAAACATCTAAAACAAGACACAACAAGCCTTCAAAAGGCCCCTAGGTGCACCCATGTCGTCTAGTGGTAATTCAGAGTCTTTGCAACCGGGAAACGAGACTGGTGAGCCCGATGGCAATTGCAAAAAGCGCAGAAAAACCATCAAACAATGTCTATTCTGCAGGAAGAGGAAGCTGAAATGCGACAAAAAGAAGCCTATGTGCAGCACCTGTGCTTCGAGAGGACTCAAAGAGTGTGTTTATGTGGAGCATTTTGGTCCTGAAATGACAAGTCAGGAACTGTTGAGAACAACTCCGAATTTGGAGCTCATGAATCGAGTCAAGGAGCTCGAGCAAGAGTTGAAACTGTACCGAGAGGAACCTCAATTGACACAAGGTGTTGGGGCCAATCCTTTACCCCATCGTGGTATGATTATATCTAAATCGGACCGCAAGCTGTACTACGGATGCACTTCTATGAAGGTGTTGATGGCGGACAGTAAACTCAGATTTGATACGTATTACGGCATGGTGTGGAGCAGAATCAAGGAAGACAGAAAACGTTGGAAGGCTATGAGTGGGTACTCAACGCTGAAAGAAGTGACAACGGTTGAAGATAATCTAGAAAGCGGGGCATCGGTAGTAGAAGCCATGTGTGCAGCTTTGCCTTTTTACGAACAAATAGAACAGGGACTACACGCATATTTTCAAGGCCCCGTTCACCAAGGTTACGAAGTAGTTGATCCGTTGGTGGCTTTCAACACTTTGGAAAAATGCTTTATAAGAGGTCCCAGAGACCCCATCGCAGGAATGCATCCTGTGTCACATTTAGTACCTACGGTCAAGAAAAATTACTTTGGGATTGGTCTTATCACAGTCATATTGTCCATTGCTAATCACAATCAGCCTATTCCACAGGCTTTGGACTACTTCGATAAGTTTCTCCTTTCATGGTTAACGTCTAAAGTCTACTTCATTGAGAGAGTTCAGTTCTTGTTCTTGAAGAGAGTATTCTTGACGCTGAAGGGCTACATCTGTGGCGATCATAGTGGTACTGCAACGATAACGCGCATGTTAACCGCGGCTTCAATACAGGTCGGACTGCACAGAGACATCAAAAACTTCTTCTCTGTGTATACCGCGTCTCACGGAGCGGTCAAATATTTGGAAAACTTATGGCTCTGGGTATTGCACGCAGATTACGAGACCTCCTTGGCTATTGGAACACCGTCTCAGATTCCGGACCTCTTCGTGGATTATGGGTTAATCGAAAGCAACCATTTTGGCTCTTACCCATTTCTCAGAAAAGTGATCAGATCGCAACGGTCCATTATTAATACTTTACATGATAAAGACAGAATACCTGATTTGATGGCTATTATCAACCATACCAAAATGCTTCTAGAAGCTAATTTTGAACCTCCATCATTTTACCGGATGAAGGAAAATCTCAAGACCGTTAACTTTACCGAGCTCAACATATACTGCGACCTGCTATCAAGCTTGAGTCTTTACGCCAACTTACAACGAACTTACTTCAAAGCGTATGATCCGTTCTTTGTTAACAGCACACTCCAGTTTTCATCTCAGACTTTAGAGTTGTGCGCCTCCATTGTAGAGGCATATTTCGAACTAGACAAAGAAGAAGCTAAACAGGGGAAGTCACCAATGACAAAGGGGATGCCTCTTTATCTTAATCTCGCAACTATTGTTATGCACAAGTTTTACCCACGATGTATCGCAGATACTTACGTTTTGCTGACTTCTCTTCCTAGCATAGAAGATATGGGGGACCTGAGAACAACACGTGGAGTTTCAGGATCATTCGATCTATCAATGGATAGTCTGGAAACCGTTTCTGATCATTACATCGGTCTAGGAGTCTCCTACGACTTTATTTGTAGCATTGTCGATCGGTGGGGTATTCCGGAGAACGCAGATCTAACAAACTGCCTTAACAAGTATTGTTACGGTTTTGTTATCATACGTGCGGTTGAACGGAGCTGTCGTGACTTATTTCAGCACTACGCTAGCATTATGAGGACTGGTAAAGGAAATCCTGCCTCTATCAAGGAGCCTGAACAAGCAGCAAAGACTTCTTTCGAGTCCCCACAACCGAGTGCTGAGCTTTCTGACGAGATCCTTAATGCCATGGCTGACGAATTTTGGGATAATTACGATCTGGATCTTAATAAATGGCTAAGCGCTGATATACTAGACTTCAATTCAGGGTAGCCGAGTTTGAAGCCCAGCGGTCTTAGAAGATTATTTGCAATAATCAAACGAGCCAATGACCAGGCATTTTTGTAATACGTATGTCACTTGTAATTAGATAATAAACAAAGAACTCAATCAGGGATTGTGAATTGTGGCACTACTGTCTATAATTCCTTCGATCTTTTAATATTTATCTAAAATACATATGAGTGATTAAGGAGTTTATTCGTTTACTTCTCTAATTTTGGGGTCGGATTCCGACTTTCTCTTGGTGTATTTCCAAATTCTTGCCTTGCAATCGCCGCTACCTGTAGCAAACACACCATATTCTGGGCCTAATGGGTTATCATTAGCCACCGCAACCGAAATAACCGAGTTTCTGTGGCCCTGGAGCATCAACAAAGGATTACCAGAAGGTGTATCCCAGAAGAGAACACCCCGATCTTTTGAGCCTGAAAGTATAAATTCGTCATTTTCCGTTGTTGCGACAGATAGAACGAAATCTTTGTGACCTGTATAAGTCACTTCACTAGCCGCATTATTGGACTTCACGTCGTTGGCAGTACCGTTTGCACTTCTGAGATTCCAGAGCTTGACAGATCTATCCAGGGATCCCGACACAACACCATGACCATCACGAGTGAAAACGACACTATAAACAGAATCTTTGTGGCCTGTTCCCAATTCGTTTTCTGAATCCAACCTTTCGACCAAAAACCCTGTCTCTGAGTCCCAAATACGGACAGTCTTATCTAGAGAGCCAGCAGCTATGAATTTACCGTCTCCTGGTGAAACTGCTACAGTTGTAACACCATCTTCGATTGATAATGTCAGAGAGCATTGCCCAGTGCGTAGATCCCATATTCTAACCGTTCTATCACCGGAACCCGAAACTAATTTGTCCCCAGAGGGAAAGTAATCCAAAGAGTAAATATCCTGCTCGTGTCCTTGCAAAGTCATCACAATTCTTCTAGTTGCCAAATCCCAAATGCGGATTAGCTTATCTTCAGCACCTGTAGCCAAGAATTTGCCGTCCGGTGAGAAACAGACTGATCTAATGTACAGATCCGATGAAGCAGTCGAAACCGCCACATTAGAATCTGGGTTTTCGGACGAGCCATTAGCTCCAAAAGAGCTAGAAGCTGCTTCCTCGGAAAGCCTAGCCACAAGCTCACCGGTCGAAACTTTGTAAACTTGAGTGGTCTTGTTGCAGCCTGTAGCCAAAAACTCACCACTGTTGCTGAACCTTACACAACAAACGACTGAAGAGTGGTCGAGAGAAACGTGCAGATCAACATCCAGCTCACGGGGCAAAGCAGGGTTGTACAGTATATAATAATCGCCAGTTTGCTTTTTCAAATGTTGAGGAACCAATTGGGAGTCTAGGTCGAGTAAAAAGGGTGGGATTGGTTTGGCGTGAGACCCACGTTGATGGGGAGGTACCAAATAGTACTCCTGTGGTTTGGTCTCGGGAAATAAAGGAGCTGCTGTTCCGGCCGCTGCATTGCTAACTACTGGTGGAATAGTAGGTGGATTTTGGATTGTTGGGGCGGACGCAGTAGGCACAGCAGGAGGTTGTGGAAGAGGCGCAGATCCCGCGACTGGAGCTTGGATTTGAGGGATCGGTTGAGCCGCTGTGGCAGGTGTATCAGGAGCAGATTTGATGGAAGGTGCAGGAACGCTGCCTGGGACGCTATTGGCTGGAAGCTGACCCACAGATGAAAGTTTTTTCATCTGCGGGGCCTGAGTGGATCCCGAGACGGATTGGGAGCTTTCCAGCGTTGGTCTGGCCGCCGAAGGAGTACCTGTTGGGTTCGGAGCTAAATTAGCGGGGGCCATCAATGGAGTTTGAGAGGCCTGTGAGTTTAGGATTGGTTTCGACGATGCTGGCACGGAAGTAGCAGCTGCCTGCTGTTGCTGAAGCTGCTGCTGTTGTGCCTGCTGTGCCTGTTGCTGTTGTTGTGCCTGTTGTTGTGCCTGTTGTTGTTGTTGCCGTTGTTGTTGTTGTTGTTGTTGTTGTTGTTGCTGCTGCTGCTGCTGCTGCTGGGCCTGTTGCTGTTGTTGCTGGGCCTGTTGTTGCTGTCGTTGCTGAGCATGTTGTTGTTGTTGGACCTGAACCTGCTGCACCTGTTGCACCTGCTGCTGTTGAGCTGCTGCTGCAAGCGATGCAACCTGTCGATCTCTCTGGTCTAGTTCCAACTTTAATCTTCCGATTTCTTCCTCATACGCATCCTTCATCTTGCGATGCGTTAGCTCCAGCTCATACACTGTGTTTCTAATCTGTTGCATTTCAGCCAATTGCTGGTTGATCTTGAAATCGTAGTCCTTTTGGTTCTGCAAACGGTAAGTGTTGGCTTCCTGCGAAATTTGTCCAAATTCATGACGAATTCCGTCCAGAAGCTCGTTCAACTTCGCTTGAGAGGCACTCGTTGTTGCAGTCATTGTTGAAAACAAACACGACGTGCGAAATGGGTCAGAGGGGCTCTAATTGATCTGTATTTGTAGAGAACAAATGTGGAGTCTGTCGCTGTTGTTGTTCTTCACTTGGTTGATTTTTGAGATAATTAGATAGATCCCATTGCACGACAGAGATGTCAGTATTGGGTCAAAGTGATACAATTTTTGGCGTTAAAAAGGTGGAGAGTAAGAACAAAAAATAAACGGAAGGCCAGAAAATGTTAGTGTGAGGGGTGTGTGAAATGGGATGTTAGTAGAAGGAATTAGCTGTACCATTGCACTTTGAGTGTGGATCTACGTTGATGGTTACGTGTCAATGTGGATTTATTAGATTGGTCACGTGATGTGTTGACGACGACGCATTCGTGTGAAAGTGATACAAAGCAATGGCGTAATTTTGGTGGATTTAACGCTAAAGTAAGAGAGATGATGTGGATGGAAGGTGGGATCGTTGGATGCGGGAGCGTTTGTAAGTTGGGCTGTATGAGACATAGCAGAGAACAATAAATTTGGTTTTAAACAGGTTTTAAACCAATACAAATAATAGTGGTCACGTGACGTGTGACAGCGACGTAAAGCACTTCTGACCATTATGAATATCATTGCGTTTAGCATTGCGTTTAGCATTGCATATTGCACCGCGTTTAGCATCGCGTATATTTGGGTCGCCAAAACGCTTCTCTTAGCTATATACTACATGAAATATCCACAAAGCCTTCTTTTTATTCCTCATAAAAGACAAGAACAGGAACTCGAGATGAAAAAAATGAACGAGCTCGATGGATTTTCCACTTGATTCAGTTACAAGCTCGCACTGCTACAAATGGAACTGGAAACTCATAACACGGCGTGCTGGATCGTTTTAAAAGGGAAACTACCACGTGACATGTGACTGATGAGTCCTTCCCAGCATTGAATAAGACCAAGTACGGTAGCAGCCCGTCATCAAAGCTTTAAGTTTTGTACCACTTCAAAGATGCCTCGCTTTTACGCTTAATGCCAAGGTATTTTACATCACGTGATGAGAGTATTTCACTGACACAACACTTTTCTCCAGTGTAGACGCCTAGTAGCACAAATTTAAACTCACCACAAGCTTACGAAACCCTGTACAGTCTCTTTTTCATATCTAGTAGTTTAGATTCCACCCCAATTTCATTCATTTATCATCCATACCTACAATTTGTGGACCCTTATGCCATTCCAATACTCAACATACCTGAAAACTATGGAACCCCGTTCTGCCAACAACTCCAATGTGATCTCTAAACGATGGTCAAAACGTCTCATTTGGCCTCTTTTTCTACCCAGTTTTACCAATCTTAGTCAAGTTTGGCGTTATCGCATTACTAGATCGAGTATTACGTCTTTAAATTAATCATGAACGCGTCGAAAGGGAACTTACATCTGTCTTGTCTCACTCGAAATACCAGACGCAATGGACCCTCTGGTTCAGTATAAAGCCTCTATACAGAACCGTCTCGATAGTGCGGACGTTTTGGTATCAAAACTTGTACACGAAAACCGCATGCTAGCCCAAGAAACAGAAAACAAAGATGAAGAAATCAAAGCATTGAAACAGCAACTTGAATCCATCAAGAAACGCAACGAAGAGGACGAAAAACGAGCAAATGTTGCAGAGGAAGAAGCTGAAATAGTAAGGGACTTATTTGAGCATCTATGTGGCGTAAGGGTCCACAAATCATACGAGGATGATACGGGACTTTGGTTTGATACATCACAGGGTGGGAAATATGGCGTAATGGATTATAAACTTGGCTTTGTCAGAGCTGAGGGCGAAACAGAGGGCACAGAGGTTGTGTATGTCCCACTTTTGAAGCAAAGAAGTGCAGATGAGCTTCAGCTGTTACAGAAACAACTTCCGGGTTATCTTTTCGACACACTGAGTTTCCCACTCAGATCTCTGAGCCAATTTTACATGAAATTAAGCAAATGTTTAGGTAAGGCTGAAAAGGCATCCGAATAGGGTCTTTCTTGTCAACATTGGTTTTAATCTTACATTCTATATCGTGGCCCTTCAAGGTCCATTTTCACGCATTGCACCGACCAACCACATACTCCAAAACACTCTTGGAAAAAACCGGTGAAATGGTCCTTTAGATCAAGTCCCACAAATGCATGTCTCATTGTCAGTGGGTAATGGCACTTTTCGAGATCTCGCTTTTCCTTTTGTACCAATTGCATCTATAAAACTGAGTTTGAAAGCTTATACCCACAGCGCACAGCTCCGTTTCCTCTCATTTTACCTTATAAATCAAACGTCCTTCTCCGTCAACCACCAGTTTCTTCAGCAGATCTTTTTTCTCGTCCTTGTTCTTCACAGATTTGAGAATTTTGTACAGGCTGCTTCCTTTTTTGCTCACAAGTGAGATACCGGAGGCATTGGCCGCTTTACCCTCTGAATCCGTGCCACTGCTTTCAGTCTTCTTACCCTCTATCTTCGGCGCAGGTGCGATTTTTGGAGTGATTTTCTCATTATTTTGTGGTTTCTCCTCCTGCTTCTGTTGTTGATGTTGCGGTGGCTTCTGCTGTACTTTCCCCTTTTGTTTTTTGCCCTTGTAAAGCGCGCCCTGGTACCTCTCGTCCTCACTTATACACTGAGTGTGTGCTTTATAAGAAACGCCGTCATCGAAAGTGACGTTGCAGTCGATGCATGTGTAATAGGCGTTAGAACATCTGTAATAATGCTTTTCGGTATTTTTCTTTGGAACGGTGGCGTTGCAGACCTCACAGTTGAAAGTCACCATCTGAAATGGAACGCTAGCGGCTATCGCTTGTTGCTGAAGTTGTCTGAAGCTCGAGGCGATGAGCTGATGAAATTTTGCATTATGTAGTAGTGCTTACCGACATCACTATGTACTTTTCTGTCACTTGGCTAACCGAGCACTGTCATCAGCGGGAACACCGTTTCTCACCAAATGAAAAATCTCTCGATTACCGTATGGTTCTTGCGATGACTCAATAGTTTTAAACATACTAGCAGAATGACCCGACACACACTACCCCAGATTCTTTATCTTCTTGTCCTTCCTTTACCACTATCAACAAATAAAGATCAAGTCACTCTGTACTATGCTGACGTCGATCAACCGTTCAACACAATGAACACCTTTACAAAGACACAATCGATCCGAATGAAAACAAGTATGAGCCTCCGGATTATGTCCAATGATGATGGCAGTAGCCAGGTAGTATTTCGCCAATTGAAATAATGGCCTCCACTATAATATTCCAGTATTCCTTTTATAACAATTGCTCAAACAATAGAAATCGCATATTTTAAACAAGCAGAAAATACCACACACAACTCCTGGCTCTTCCTGAGCATTGAATCAGAGCGTCCGATTCATTTGGCCATCAGATTCGATCTCGATTGACCTGGCGCCAGTGAGCATTTTGAACGGCGCCTCTTAATAGGGGATTTCAGCCTGTTATTGATCCACCTGTAAAAGGTTCCTTGATCTACCCTCGATCTTATCGAACTTCAAGCCAAAACTACCCATTTGCGATGGCTCTCGAACCAATTGACTACACCACACATTGCCATGCCATTGAGGAAGCTTTTCAGAAAGTTGTCCGGGCTTCAGACGATGAAATTGACTGGTTAATCCTCACACCAAATGGCCAGAAACAGTATATTCCGGATAAGTTGGGAAGCGGGTTCAGCGAGTTTCTTGGATCTTTCGAGGAATCCAAAGTGGAATATGGGCTTGCAAGAGTGAGTCCTCCGGGTTCTGACGTCCAAAAATTGGTTTTGGTCGGATGGTGTCCAGATAATGCACCTTTAAAGACAAGAGCGTCTTTTGCATCCAACTTTGGCGTCGTGGCCAACCAAGTTTTGAAAAGCTACCACATTCAGGTTACTGCGCGGGACGAGGATGATTTGGACGAAAAAGAGCTTTTGAACAAGGTGAGTAACGCTGCAGGAGCCCGCTATTCGATTCAGAATGAGATCCCCACGAAAACGAGCTCTGCTCCCAAGCCACGCCCTTCATCTGTGCCAAAAAAGCCTGAAACAACTTCTAAGCCTGTTGCTAGCAGGGAATCAGCCCCAACTACTAAAAAAGAGCCTCCCAAACCAGCTGCTACAGGCGCATCCAAAACTATCTCTGGTGATGATGACTGGGACGAGCCAGAGGTTGAGGAACGCGACTTGGATGTCAACCCGCTCAAGCCCAACAAATCTTCTTGGAATCCTGTGGGAAAAGTTGATTTGCAAAAGCTTGTGGCTGAAGAAAAGTCGAAAGTAGATCCCCGCTTAGTGAACACAGTTAAATCTGAATCTCCATCGAAGCTGAACCCAAAGGACGATATCGAAAAACTGAGACAACAATCCAAGGCTCAAAGGGATGCTGAGATGAATAAGTATCTTGGGACTAAACCTTCACCTGTCGTGCTTCCCAAAAAGAGCGATGATTTGGTAGTGAAGGGATTTCAAAATGAGAAATCGCCAGCGCAAATCTGGGCTGAGAAGCACCAACAGAAAACTAATTCCACTAGCGAAAAAGTATCGGACAAGGCCGGAAAGTCTGATGAGGCTGGTGAGGATAAAGATGTTGACGAATCAGCGCCAGAAGTTTCTGACATCAAGAGTAAGTTTGAAAAACTGAATACGGCGGAACCAGCAATCATCAAGCCAGGTCAAGCTAGAAGTCCTCCTCCAAGTACCAAACCAGACTCAGTAGCAAGTACTGGTCTTCCCATTGGACAAAAGAAGCCTATAGGAAATCCTCTACCGGGCATGCAAACGGAGATCGACAGCGAATCCGAGGAAGAAGCGGCCGATGACGACGATTGGGATGACGACGACGATGATAAAGCAACAGTAACAGCGACTAACTACGCTCCTCCTACGCAGTCAAGAACTGCTGTCCCCGCCCCTGCTCCCGCTCCACGTCCTGTTGCACAGACGAAATCTTTCGAGAAGGCGCCTTCGCCTGCGTCATCTCCAAAGCCTACGGAAGCAGTTCAATCCTCTTTGCCTCCACGCTCGACTGAAACTACATTTGTTCCCCCTCCACCACCACGCAGAAACGTACCAGCAGCCACTCAGATAGAAAAGGAGCCTGAGCAACCTGTTGAGGAGTCTGAGCCTGAAAACTCAGAAGAGCCAGCTTCTACGGAACAAGAAAAATTACCTTCGGCGATTGCTGAGTACGACAACGAGGCCGAAGAGCACAACGAGCTCGCTTTTAGCGAAGGCGACAAGATCGTTAACATTGTTTTTGTTGACGATGAATGGTGGTTAGGCGAACTTGAGGCTACTGGCGAGAAAGGTCTGTTCCCAAGCAATTACGTTCAATTGGTCGATTAAGAAACAAGAACCGGTTACAACTGGTTTGAGACTATGTAAAGGACTATCCAAAAGTAGTAAAAAGTATTCGAAATCTACTAGCGACTTCGATTGTCTAGAACTGTATATAATCCAAAACATGTTTCAAGACGGTACATGAATTTGACATTATAAGGTTGTCAAACAATTCTTAAACATCAATGAAACTTCAAGGAAAAAGGTCAGAGATGTAGAAAGGCCTAGACTCTTCAATGATTTGCGAACCGTCGATCTAACAAATTCTTTTTCAAGTGCCTGATTTCTGGCATAGCTGCTACTGACAAGTGCTTAACCGTCTTAGACGTTATATGTGTAGGAGACATGTTAGAGAAACACTACATTAGCAGCTACTCATCGCACCGTTGGTAGGCCCATAGGTCAGTATGAAATGTATAAAAGTACCGAACGATACAACTGGGACCCAGCCGTGTGAATGTTGAATCTTCTCTGCTTTCGGGGTCAGTAAAAGGTAAAGGTCGGACTTTGAAAAAATGAGGCTGTTGAATATTTTAGCCACTAGTGCAACAGCTTTTGCAGCATTATACCCTAGGGTTTACTATGCTAATAGCTCTCTTCCTTCTGCAACGCATGGCTCGTTTTGGGATCTCACCACAGTTACTGTGAAAACTACCAACTCTATTGGCTCTGCTACAACGTATACCTCTGAGGCGCTTGTTTCAATAACCACATCCAGCTTTGGCAACACATTTACAGTTTATACTACATGGTGTCCCTTATCGTCGACCCATGAAGTGGACGCTACCTCTTATGTGACAACAGAAACCAGCCTATTCACATCAAAGTCTCTTTCGACTGATCAGAGCGGAATTCCGCATACGGTTTCAAGCACTGGTACTAAAATTTATACTATTACGATCTGTCCATCCTGCACCCGTCATGGTATGACTGCTACCACGAATCCTGACGTAAAGCCCTCCTCGGCATCATCGACAAATCTAAGTCCCACTCCTGTCAGATCTTCAGTGACACTGGAAAGCTCTGTTTCTGGGGAAAGTAGTGCTGTAACGACTAACACATTTTCCTCTGCTCTCAATACCGAAACCTCGGCACAGAAAGCATCCTCTTTAGTCGCTTCGGGATTCGCAACTGACTCTTCGTCCGTGATTTCTCGTTCAACCTCGCTCTCGCAAATTTCGAGCACGATCATCACCGATTCTGTAAACAGTGTGGGTTCGACCTTTGCAACAACATTTACTGCAACACCTTCTCTGACTACCGTGACTTCAAACGGTGTCACAAAGGTGTATACAACTTGGTGTCCTTTGACATCCAGTGCTTCTGCACTGGGACCAATAACAAGTATCATCGAGACAACCACTGTGAACAGTGCAGGTTCGACAATCGTGACAAGTTTGACAGCTACGCCGTCATTAACCACAGCAACCTCAAACGGAGCGACGACAGTTTACACTACTTGGTGTCCAGTGATTGCTAGTCCTGGGTCTACTACTCAGACACTCAAAACTTTAACGGAAAGCACAGTCAATAGCGCAAGCTCAATTGTACTAACCACTTACTTGGCTACACCATCCTTAACCACAGCAACGTCTAACGGCATCACCACGGTTTACACTACTTGGTGCCCTTTAAGCAGTACTGACGTCTCTTCCATCTCGACAACCAGCACCATCACATCAAGAACTATCAATAGCGCGAGCTCCACGATTGTCACGACTTTCGAAGCTACACCATCCTTGACCACCGCAACGTCTAACGGCATCACCACGGTTTACACTACTTGGTGTCCTTTAAGCAGTAGTGATGTCTCTTCCATCTCGACAACCAGCACCATCACATCAACAACTACCAATAGCGCGAGCTCCACGATTGTGACGACTTTCGAAGCTACACCATCCTTGACCACTGCAACGTCTAACGGCATCACCACGGTTTACACTACTTGGTGCCCTTTAGGCAGTACTGAAGTCTCTTCCATCTCAACAACCAGCACCATCACATCAACAACTATCAATAGCGCGAGCTCCACGATTGTCACGACTTTCGAAGCTACACCTTCCTTGACCACAGCCACGTCGAATGGAATTGTTACAGTCTACACTACGTGGTGCCCTCTGAGGAGCAATCTCGCCACCTCAATTCCAATGATCAGCACCATCACCTCTGCGGCTGTGCATAGTGGGAGCCTGACAGTTTTTACGACATATGTGGCCACTCCATCTCTGACAACATTGACCTCCAATGGGGTAGCCACAGTGTTCACTACTTGGTGTCCGCTATTGGCATCATCGTATTCACCGACTGCGACTAACGGCCTCACACAGCAATCCTCTGTGAGCGAAACTACTCTGAAAACTCTCAGTCAAAGCACTGCGATAACTTCGGGAACGAGCACAAGCAGTATCAGTCAAAAATCATCAGAGACATTCAGTGGAGGTACGAAAACTAGTGCAGTTGGACGCGGAGGAAGTTCACGGACCCAGATTTCCGAGACAACTGAAAACATTTCACAATTAACGCAAATTTCCACTGTTAGATCGAACCACATCAATTTGAAGAGTAGTCAATCACCGAGCGAGTCTCCCAGTCAGGTATCGTTAACATCTGGATCCACTGGCTCTTCGATTGACCTAACAACGTCGGTGCGAACAGTAGTTTTTACAACTACTACATGTTCTTCTAACAAATGCGAAACGATAACCACTTCAATCGCTACAAGATCTACGTTCGACGTTCATTCTTCGCCATCCTCATCCACGGTTCCTGTAGAAGCTACGTCTCTCACGGGCAGCCTTGCACCAAGTACTGGGTCTTCTTCAAAAATAGCGCTTACAGAAACCAGAACCACGGAATGCACAGAGTCTTCATGCCAGCCCCTGTCTTCGAACTTGATATTCAGTTCCGGTCCAGAAGTTGGTAGCACAGCTACTGGAACTACGTCAAGCTCGGTAAGAGAATACTCGCATTCACAGAGTGATTCATCCGCGGCAAATTCTGTTGTGACAACAGCGACCACTAAAACGGATCTTGAAAGCAGGTCTTCCCAAGTGTCGTCTACCCTCCAAGTGGTTACACTTACAAGTGGTGGTGTAGTTACCGCATACACAACGTGGTGTCCGATTACTACTTCCTCTGCTGTAACAGGAGACGTGACGACAGTGTCAGCGAGCTCATCTGCTGATCAGTCGTCAGTCTCCAATTCAGTCATCACGAACAGTGCCAGTTCTGCACCCAAACCTAGCACTTCTCCTAAAACAACGAGCACATTCGAAGTGGGTAGCGGAGCTTCTACAGTCTCGAGTTTTGTGAAAATGTCGTCCGGATCTGTCAATACGCCTTCAAAATCTGAACCAAGTACCTTGCTCACCACTGCTACCAGTGGCACAAACCAAACCCCATCTAGTGACTCTAATAGCGTCGGCAGAACAACTAGTACGCTTGCCGCCAGCGAGCAGTGCGACACTTGCTCCAGTTCGAGCGCCACGACCACAAGTGAAAGTATTCGTGTTTGCACAACTTGCCTGGGCCAAACCTCATCCATAACATCGTCATCTGCGTTGAAAACGGATTTTACTGAAGACTGCACTACCTGTAGTGCTTCAATCACATCCACTGTCGTTACAGAGATAACGAGAACCTGTTTGACTTGCACGCTGCCTTCTTACACTTCATCCGTTATAACTGAGACAAGTAATGGCATCGTGACTGAATACACTACATGGTGTCCTTTATCAGGTTCAAGCACTATTGCAGCTCGTTCAGAATCGCTAACCTCTCAAACTCTCGTGTCAACGGCTTCAGCAGCCTCATCTTCCAGAGCAAAGACGGTTCTCACTAGCTCCAAAATCGAAACGTACAGCACATCCTTAACGACCCTAATTACGACGGTTTTACCAGTCACCACGACGTCCACCAGCAGTGGCGGACATCTGGTGACTGTTGTTAGCTCAAGATCAACAGTAATACCGACGGTAACGACGCTGCTGGTCACTTCGAGAGTACCCGTCTCGACGTATGTCACTCCTGTGGCAGTGTCATCAAATACAAAACTCAATGTCGGCTCGGTCACCACAGCAAATTCCGTTTCCTCGACGTGGATTACCACACCCGTAATCTCGACGTATCAAGGAGAAGCTTTCAAAGCCAATGGTAAGTTAAATGAATATTTGCATGCGATGTCAGTGATACTAATGATGCTGCTGGTGTAGACATTTTGGGCCTATTTAGAGCAACAAATAACCTTGATATATAAAAAATGCCAGGCCATCTGAAACAGACTAGGTTGTGCGGAACACGGTCTAAATAGCCAGCTCAAAAGCTCTTGTCCATCGGCAAAATGAAGCCGAAAAAAGGTCACTTTTCGCATTTCTCAGTGTTCCCCTACTTCCCCTTCACCACCTCAAAGGCCAAATCCACCACTGACACCTCCTCAGCAGAGTTCTCGTCATAATCGTACCATTCGTTCTCTCCCTCAAACACCGCTTGCATTTCACTGCCGGATGTTAGCTTGACATCGAAGGTCAAATTTGAAAAATCCAGCCCTGTAACTTCGCAGCCTCGACAATCAAGTGCAAGCACCACCGACTTCGAGCTCTCGACTTTTTTGATGCCTTTTTTCTTTCTCTGAAGCTTGACTTTTTCCACAGCTTCGGCATTTTCCTCCACATCAAGGTTGTACAGCTTTTCCTCGGTCCGTTCCAAGTTCACAGTGGACTGACTTCCACAGAACTTACATTTTACTACCAGCGAAGCCTCGCCCTTCCCACCGCTTACTTCATGCTTTTCCAGGCCATTCACGTATACAAGAGAATTGTGCTTTTCGCGACAGTTGGTGCATACTATTTCCAACGCATAGTCTGCAACATCAGAATCGGTATCATGCACTGAAAAATGGCTGATATTTTCAGAAAGTGTTGCAGAAACTACGACGTAGAGCATTGATGGTTCTTGAGCTCCAAAATGACCCTTCCAAGGTACTTTTTACGTCAAATCGTTTGGTGGTCATCTAGACAGGCAGGTATCTGAAAAATATCACATTTGTTATAGTAGGTTGGACTATCGAACAAGTAAAAGAAGCGAACGAAAAGCGCCATTAAAGATTGAGCTTGTGCTGCATATCAGTAGGCTGGGTGCCGGTAGGTGGGAAGAGGACATGTCCGGAATCATGCGAAGTTGGGGCCGTATAAACTCACTCGGACGACTGAAATGGCGATGCAACAATTTTCGTATTCATACTCGAAACATCAGGTCTTGTCACGGCCAGAGTGGCTTTAATGGACGCACAAGTGGACTGCCGCCAGTCAAAATAAGATCTACTCTTTGGCGTTATTTTAATGCGCCAGGAAACGTTATGTTTGTGACCACAAATGTCGTTACATTGGTCGGAATCATGTCGTATTCGACATTGCAGGCAGTGGCCCGCGAAAAAGCTCTTCAAGACTTTATGGAACAAAGCGAACTAGCAGCGGAAGTGGAGCCGGAAGAAGCGTGTTTGAGATTTCAGCAGGATAGTCCAATGCCAAATTACGAAGCCGGTAAAATAATGCTGCAAAAAAGTAATCCTCCAATGACATGTCATACGCAGCACGTAAAGATGTCGCTGTTTCATTTGCTTTACAGTTATTTCATCTACTGTGATGTTTCCACGAATGAGCGTCCTAGCGGCTCAACTCGATACAATTCAGAGGTGCAAGAGCTGCGACGAGGGCAAATAATGAAAAACCGAAAGCTTCCTAAAGCTTCCCCACGCAGCTTCTACGAAGCTTGGAGTCACGAATTCAGGGATGAGCTGAGCAATCTGAACCGCTCACAACAATTACACATGCCCAATTGGACTGAGTTTCCACCGAGCCTTCGAATTCTGTGCCGAACGCTATACGATACAGACATGAAGACGATGATTGACTTCAAGAAGTTTTACCGCAGCATTAACTCGAAAAATATTCGCGCCATACTCCGCTCCTGGCTGTACGATAATTCGCACCTTTTGCAAGTTGGCACAGATGTAGGCTCTGAAGCATTTTATCGAGATTTGATTAGAGCTTGTCGCAAGGATAACTCACTTTTCAAGCTGTACTCCTCCATCCTCTTGAACTCAAATAATCCAAGACGTCATGCGTTCTTTGAGAGACATGATCAACGCTCTTTCACGGTTTCGCTTGAGACTGTCCTAGAGGTAATGAAAGGCAATTTGCACGCAGGCACCGATGCGCATTGCTACGACTCTAGTTTGCAGCTTATATCTATGATTCGAACTAATTGCATAGCAACGCGAGGAGCCGGGGGCACGAGAGAGGTACACATCATATTGCCGGATGAAAACTCCTCTAGTGACACATCTGGAAAAATGTCGAGCCAGGAAAGAAATGAATGTTTCAAGCTGGTGAGTCAAAACCCAGAATTGATGGCTATTCTTGGTACCATTTCTAAGCTTCCTGGCTGAATGGGGATTCATCACTTTCTAAGTTATCTCCACTTCAGCATTAATCTGAGCCCTTGTCCATTTCCGTTCACAGTAAACGTCTTTAGCAGGTCTGGCTCCGTGACCACAAGCTAAATACTGTCGCAGAAAGTATTGATGAAAGAAAAACACTGAGATAACGGTCCGCTGGCTAAACTTCAAGCAAACGTTTGGTGAAACCTCCCTAAGTGTCTTGTTCCATCTTCCAAAACTCAAATTGATCTCATATCGGCCCTGAGCATAATCGCATAAAGTTACGCTAAACTTTCCATTCTGAAGTAGAATCATGTAAATAATCACCCTGGACTCTACGAAAATACCATCTTCACCCACGGAACATCAATTACCATACTCGCCCTTATGGGTGTCTGAAGTTTCCGATTCCGTGCTTCAGACATGTACATGAATACGTATACATGAATATATCCAAAAAGCGTCTTTTACCTGATCCTCTAGTTGAACCTCTACTCGATCGAGATACAGAAAATTTTCGAAATGAACAATTGATGCGATGAGCTAGATTTGGTCCAAGACTACACCAACAAGACTGCTTACTACCCGTTAAATCCATCCATTGTTTAAACCGCAGCGATGAAGTTTCTCACCTCAAATTTCTTGAAGTGCTCCGTGCAAGATTGTGACAGAAGCAATGATAACTTTCCGCTCAAATTCGATGGTGAAAAGTGCCAATTAGAGCAAGACGAGGGTTTAGAATTTAACCCAGAGTTTCTGCTTCGAATCATTGACAGAGTAGATTGGCCAGCCATTGTGAGTGTTGCTTCTGACTTGGGCAACACCACTCTTCCTCCAACAAAGCCAGAGTTTGCCAACGAAGAATTGTCTGAAGAGGACATGATTATTTTGCGAGACCTGCACACTTTGCTGATCCAAACGAACATAGTCGAAGGCCAAATGATGTGCCGCAATTGTGGCCACATCTACTACATCAAGAATAGCATTCCTAATCTTTTGCTGCCTCCACATTTGGCATGAGGTGTGGAGCGACCCAGTGCGTTGCGGTTCCGGCAGTGTCATCTGTAAACGACACGGCTGCGAAATGGAATCACCGGGAGGGATTCGGGCGTAATAATAGCTAGACACTTAAAAAGCGGGGGAAAACTTTTGGAGAAGAAGCTGGAAAACTTGGGCCCTTGTTTATCTCACCAGCATGCAATGCATTTTTGGACTATGGGGCGGTGACATCTGTGAAGCGCAGCGTGGGGACTGCTTTCTTTATGAAGCGGTTTAGCGGTTTTGGTAATGACGACTCGCTTATCATTTTGTACTATACTGGCACCGCCTTTGTCACTTATCGGAACTCAGCATTTAACCATCGGTCACCACCACTTCCGGTAAAGGTTCAAATTGCATATGCACCAGAATGGAGATATTTGATGCCTGTGTCATTTGCCAGTGCATTACAAATGTTTGTCGTTATATATGTATATATATATGAATAATAACAACATATAAAGATCGGATAATATAAAATATGATAGAAAACTCCAGATAAAACAAAACAACACTGGTATCTGGCCCGTGAACATCATCTTCGGTCATTTCAGGATCTCTCTCCATGGTCTCAGCCACTTCTCACTCCACCTAAGTTCGTCATCATTTAATACGAATAGTTTTTTATGCCTCTGTTCAGAGGACTTCAGCAGGTTTTATGATGATTCGGTCACTGATTATATCTCATCAAAGCTCCACTTTGAATTCACACAACTAAACCTCAACTCACTAAGGCTACCTGCTCAATAAAATCGCTTCAAAAAGTCTTATCACGTGCTATTTCTCCGGTCTCATTTGATACGTTCCTGGAAACAATTTAAGCCATATATATAACTGTGTATATGTCAAATCACAAGCTTACAGACTTTACATCCTTTGAACCCACAGAGGGTAAGCAAGGACTCACCATTTCAGTGTCATTTTGTGACCATCACGACAATACTGTTGAAAATAGCGTCACCTTTTTTACACCCCGTACTCCTTCTCCCGCTACTGCTAGATGGACACTTTGCAAGTTACATCTCATTCAAACCTGGTCAGCGGAAACAATGGTACCAGCCATAGCAACGAAGAATTAAGGACGCGAAGTGTTTCGTTTTCCAAATTGATAGCCCGGTCGTTTCGAAAACCTAGTGGGACAGAAAACGAAGCTGAATCTGCCGCTGGGTCAACTTCTCCATCGTTAAACCGGAAGCAACAACGGCATAACCAAAATCCAGCGGTATTTGACAGCGAAAATGAAGATGCTGGAGCACAAGTACCTACAGGTACGCCCAAGGAAACCACCCCGGACTCTCAACAGTCCGAAAAATTGTCGGTAAGGCTACGCAAAATGTTTAAAAAACCGTCACCCGATGTCACGTGCGAGAAGTCTGCTTCACCGTCTTTGAACTCTTCTGGGGCACCACTGCCGTACCCTGAATCACCTTCTTTGGAACCTGCAATTTTTCAGCTTGGTAATGAAGGAACTCACAGTGGAACTGCTGGTTCATATCGAGGATCGTCGTCCCTTGGAAGAGGCAGGTCACCCTCTACGCCCATCATGCCCAGTCATATAGTGCCAGCAGGTAATGGATCACCCCGCAACACCAGGAGTCCCACGGCGGGCATTGCTGGTCAAGCAGTTTTGAATGATCGTCGAAATACTAGATCGGATACAGTTCGCAGCAGCAATCCCTATTTTGCTTGTCAGGGCCTTCCGCCTCATGCTTTCTCTTCCCAGGAGTTTGATCCTACCAATATGTCCAGCAGTACGCGGCATGAAGATTCGACTATTTTAATGACTCCACCTGCTTCAAGCTCTACTGGTATGACATCCTATTTTCACAACAGCTATCAAAATGCAAGCAACAAATCGTTGAACGACATAAATGAAAATGAGGAAGTCGAAGTTTTCAAAAATACCGACCCATCGGACCCTACTGCGGGCAATAAACCCGTATTAGGAAAATCATCGATAGTGGCAGCTCCCATGCCTTCATATGCGGGCTCATCTCTCAGTCCTCAATTATTTCCAGAAAATCCTGTCATCGTTGTGGAGCAAAACTACGAAATCAAATCTAAATTCGATGAGATGTCTCCTTTACCGTCTCCTCAAATGAACGGTGATGCTGCCAAGCCTGTTTTACGCAGGGTGGCATCCGAGCCCAACGCCCTACAAGCCGTTAAGGAACAAACATTAAAAGCCTCGCATAAGACTGCCAACGGATACAGTTCTTTATCTAACTCTGTCAAAACTTCACCCATTGCACCTTACGCGATAGAATTAGAAGAGCCGCAGCGGTCTCGTCGCTTGAGAAACAAGTCTTTCAGCAGCAAGTTTAAAGAAGTCATAGTAGGGCCTACCTCTTTTGAAAAGATAAAACTTCTTGGCCAAGGTGACGTGGGGAAAGTATATTTGGTTAAAGAAAGAAAGACTAACAGGTTATACGCGCTCAAAATTTTCAGCAAGGCCGAGATGATCAAAAGGAAAAAGATCAAAAGGATTTTGGCCGAACAAGAAATTCTAGCCACCAGTAATCATCCTTTCATTGTAACTCTTTACCACTCATTCCAATCCGAGGATTACCTATATCTTTGTATGGAGTACTGCATGGGGGGTGAGTTTTTCCGCGCTCTGCAGACTAGGAAAACAAAGTGCATTGAAGAGGACGAAGCCCGTTTTTATTCCAGCGAAGTGACGGCTGCCATCGAGTACCTGCATTTGATGGGGTTCATATATCGTGATCTCAAACCTGAGAATATTCTTTTGCATAAATCGGGACACATCATGCTGTCAGATTTCGATCTATCCGTTCAAGCTAAAGACACTAAGGACCCTGTTGTGAAAGGTTCGGCTCAAAGCTCGTTGTTAGATACAAAAATTTGTTCTGATGGCTTCAGAACCAATTCTTTCGTCGGTACTGAAGAGTATTTAGCACCCGAGGTCATTCGAGGTAATGGGCACACTGCTGCTGTGGATTGGTGGACTCTTGGCATTCTCATTTATGAAATGCTTTTCGGGTTCACACCTTTCAAAGGCGACAATACCAACAGGACATTTTCTAACGTTTTGAAAAATGATGTGACATTTCCGAACAATAATGAAATCTCGAGAAGTTGCAAAGATCTCATCAGAAGACTCCTCATCAAGAATGAGAGCAAAAGACTGGGGTCAAAATTTGGGGCTAGCGACATAAAGAAGCACCCGTTCTTTAAGAAAGTACAGTGGTCGCTTCTAAGGAATCAGGAGCCCCCTCTAATTCCAGCACTTACTGAGAATGGGTATGACTTTACGAGATTAACAAACAACTTGAAGGGAAACGACAAGGGCGGTGCTAATGGGAAAAATACAATGGTAGATGAAGTTACTGAACAGGAAAAGATCATGTTTGAAGAAAAAGTGGAACGAGATGATATTGTTTCTGACGACGATCCCTTTCACGACTTCAACTCTATGAGTCTAATGAAGCAGGACAACAATTCATTGATTTATGGTGATCAGAACTCTTATGGTAAAGTTTCTTACACTCCGAATCAGAATAGATCAAGAAGCAATAGTCATCGCTTTTTCAAGCGATAACGATACGATATAATGATGAACTTTTACGTATGCAATTCTAAAGTTTTAAAAGTCTTAGGGTTAGGAAAAAGAGGTTGCTTCATCCATGTCAAGCAGTCTTGACAATTTTTGTTGGTGTGAGAGAGTTTTTGCCGTGAGGACACATTTGAGTACGCTTGTAAAATGCAGAGACTCTTCACTTTCCATTTCAGCCTTCAATCGCTGAGAAACCGCGTACGCTTTGTTGATAACATCGGTAGGTATTCTAGAAAGCCTGGCAACATTAAGACCATAAGAATCGCTGGCCAAGCCTTTTTTCAGCTTATAAAGGAAAACAACAGTCGGCCAGTTTTCCCCCTGACGTTTTTCTTCGATATAGGCCATATGGTAGTTATCGAGTAAAGGTGAATGGATAGACCCCAAAACTGGATAGTGAGTGATGAAGAGGATGAAAGGACACTTATCTACTAATCCAAGGAAATGCTTGATGATCGAAAATGATATACTGATTCCGTCTGTCGTACCAGTTCCTCTTCCCACCTCATCTAATAGAAGTAGAGAGTTCTCTCCAGAGTTCTTTATAATGTCTAGCATCTCCAGCATTTCGACCTTGAAAGTAGAGTCACCTTTAATGAGATTGTCATGAGCACCAATACGAGTGAATATGCTCTCAAACAAGGGTAACTCCGCGCTGTCTGCGGGAACAAATGAGCCAATTTGTGCTAGAATGCTGATTAGTGCCACTTGACGTATGTATGAGGACTTACCTCCCATGTTGGGGCCTGTAATTATCATAAGTTTGTTTTCGTCTTCTTTCATATAGACGTCATTTGCAACATAGTTGACATCCAATGACTCAATGATTGGATTTCTGCCATTTCTGATCTTTATATGCCGCCTGTCATCCAATAGCTTAGGCCGCACGTAATTTCGGTTGAAGGAAGTGGCAGCAAGGGATAATAAGCAATCGAATATCGCAAGATTACCTATAAGCTTTCGGAGTAAATGGTACTCGAGGCTGATGCGACGACCGAATTCTTTGAAATGCTCTTCGCAAATAATCGTTAAAACATTTTTATGGTACTCAAGCTGTTCCACAAGTTTGCTCGTTTCAGGTGTTCTGAACCTGCTAAGTGTTTTAGTGCTGTTGGCCTTTATCCAATCTTTCGGCAGACCTGCAAGCTGAGTATTCCGAACTTCAATCAAATACTCAATCTCATCCTTGAAAAAAAATCGAGGCCTTTTTAAAAGTCGCCTTATATTATCCAACTCATTCTTTAAAGCCTGCTTGACATTCTCAATATCATTTAACTTCGCAACTATGGGCTCGGGACGATCATATTTGCTGAGATTGAAAAACTCAACGCATTGTTTTTCCTTGTCCTTATCTAATACTGCGCCGACATTTATCATGGTTAGAAGGTTAGTGACATCTAAAGTCTGTAGTGCGTCGTTAAGCTGAGTTAACAATGCAGCTAGCAATTCAGACTTTTCATGAACTCTGCCGCTGGGCGCAATCACTTGCTCTTGGAAATAAAAATGGTGACTTTGAAAATGCTTGGCAACGATGTCCAAGTGTTTCAAAAAGAAGTACAGCTCCTTTCTTGAAGTCTGTCCATAAGATATTCTGTTCAAATTTCTCAAAAGGTCAGGAGTGTCTTTTAGTACATTACCTAGGCCCTCCATGAAAATATTGGTGATTTCTTCCTTGACACACTCGATAGCATCCAACCTTCTGTTAATACTGCTTCTATCAATGAGTGGCTTTGAGATCCAATCCCGCATCAGCCTGTAGCCGTACGGTGTTCTGGTATGATCGAGTAGCCACAATAGTGACCCACGTCTGGTTTGGTCGGTTTGGTTCTCGAAAATTTCAAGACTTTCCAAAGTGTTTGGAGAAAGTACCATATGAATCTTTGACGTAAATGGTTTATAATTGTGTGGGAGGTCTACAATCTTTTCAGTATTATAAGTCTCGAGGTACCTTCGCATCAAAGATCTCAATTCTAAAATCCCTGGTGCTAATTCAAATTTGCTCATATCTTCAGCGTCTTGATCTTCAGGGATCAAGCTGTCATTGTCAAATATCTGGACTTCAGGTTGCCGAGATTTCAGAAAGCGCGTTGTCGATTCTGGTAGTTTTTTGGATGATATGATTTCAACGGGTTTGAGATAAGACACTCTCTTATCGAGTTCGATCGTAGAATTCCGCATGTCACTGAAGCTGTCGAAAATTACTTCTCCGCTAGTTAGTTGAACAGAGAGTAGCCAGAAATGGCTATATCGATTGTCTTCATCTATACGTAATGTCCAAATAGTGTTGTGGTCTTCCTTGTGATCTATTTCCGTACGACTGAACGTTTCATTGATAGCAAAGGTAGCTTTGGTAAATACCCTATCCACCTGCCGTTTGAAAACGCCACTAGAGCTTCCAGTCACTTTTTTTATTGCCTGAGTTTCGACCTGCTCGACCACGCCAACTTTTAAGTTGTGATGCAATAGTCTCTGTAAATGAATTTGAAGCCTATTATCTGGGATACTGCAATAGGCCAGCTGTTTGTAATGGCAATCTTGTGATTGTGAATCGTCTAATGTCAATTTGCCTTTAATCAACATGATCTGGAGAATCTTACTGACAACAACGGCGTCCATGGCAAAAAATTTGTACTTGTAGCCGACTCTGACGGCAAGTATTTTGTCCATATGCTGCAATTTAAGGTCCTTTACCTGTTGGTCCAACGGTGTTAATTTACCAGATTTGAGTTTTTTGTCTGGTGGCGGGGTATGTGAGCCACCGTCTGCACTTTCGGACTCACCTGGGAGTTCAATGGCGCCTACGGATCTTTTCAATAGAGCATTTGAGACTTTTTGGGAAAACGCATCGGAGTCGCGAGCTTGTAAGGGCCCATTTTGAGATGTGTCATTGGAATTTTTACGACGTAAAAAAGAAAATTCACCAAGGGCCGACCTGCTGGCCATCAAATTTATACTAACCTCTGGTCTATAAGCAGGTGGTGTTGTAGGATCAATATCGCTCTGCTTCGATTCGTCGATTTTATGTTTGTCATTTGAGATTTCAGCATCTTGAGCGCCTTTGGAGCCGTTTGAAGACGACGTAGATTTCGAGTTGGACTTGAAGAATCTACTTATCGCTGGCTGGTAGGGCATACGATGGTTTCAGGATGTCAAAGGGACAGTTGGTTGATGTCAAAGCCGTAGAATTTGAATGTCAGAAGAGGGTCCATCATATATATATTACAGTCATAGGCGTTACCCGGACTATCACTGTTAGGTCACGTGATGTAGAGTTATCTTCAAACGACAATGACTGAGATACCAAAGGGTCTTTGTTCTATGTCGAGGTCGTTGAAACTGGGTACTCGTGTGTGAGTTCCAAGCTATCCCATTTTTTTTAACCGTTTTGGATTTTCAGAGTTAACGGTCAACTGTTTTTATGTTTTAGACCTCAATCTAAACTTTCGGAGATGAATAAGAGGAAACATGGTCCAATCACACATGAAGCGAAATGGACATTATTGAAGACCACTCACACACCATAAATCTGGGCCATAATATGGAATGAACACTTCCATGAATTTTGCTTTCCCTATGACTTGAATCAAAGTTTATTCTCAACGTGTAATAACGCAAAACACCACAGTGAGGCAAAACTCTAGCCACACACACACACACACACACACACACACACACACATACGAATACACAAACTAATTCCCACCGCATCTTATTCGTCGTTCCAATGTCTGTATTTCGAATTTTAACGACACTGACACATCACTTTATCCCAATACTGACACTCATCAGCACCGGGTAACTATTATCTAACTTCTTAATGCTGGGCCCCAAAAATTTTTCACTATAGGGCCTTATACTACTATTATACTAGTTAATAGTGCATAATCTAAATGTTTAAGCGGTTTACTTAATATTATCTATTTAACCAAGGAGTAACCTGTATCGACTGTAAACAGCACACAAATAGTCTAAAAGCTCACGATAGAGCCTGTTTAGACGCTACTAGTATGTGGAAACTTGCTTAGACGGTGCTGTTTTGTGGTATTGGGCCTTTTAAACGGAGAAAATCGATCTCTTTTCACAAAGTTTGAGACGATTGATTCTTTTTGTAAACGGTTGCCAAATCGCCATTTCAGCGGTCGAATTTCGTTTTTTTACTAACCGTACAGCGAACACAGCTGCTCCTGCTTTCACTATAATTACATGCTTCCAAAGCAACTCCCGGATATCGATTTAAGCACGGAAGAAATTGAGGCCGCAACAACTACATCCCAAATTAGCATCACCCAGATTAGTGTTCTTATCACCAGTCTCAACACGAAAAACTACGCACAGGTGGAACGAGAGATTCACGACCTATTACAGAGATCGCCAGCGTACGTATACGAAAAGTACTGGAGGAAATTATTGCCACTGGCATCCGTGCATATCAAACAGCACCATAAACTAGACACAGAAACCGATTTGGTACACCGTTTGCTGTACCGTTTGTTTCAGGATCTACCCCTCAAAAGCCCAGAAGTGTTGAATCGTGTGAGAAACGACGTGTTTCAAAACCCTGAAATTCAATCCCAAACCGGACTACAAGTCCAAGACCTTATACAGACGCTAGATCCGGACCGTGACCAGCAGATTATAAGTCTGATTGATCCAGCACCCACAATTGACCGCTTAACACGTATCAAAAACCTCACAATGAACGCAGCTCTATCTTTGCAGAGATTTCTGGCAACTGAATCGCCAACAACGTTGGAACAGAATCTAAGCAGTCTTCTTTGCTCTTTAAAGGGCGAAAACCTCAATGATTTTGTGGCCCTCATTTTATCAGAAACCCTCGCCCCTTATTCCCAGAATATACAGCCGCCAAACTCCGCGTGGTTCACGCCCGTTGCAATAGGCGAAGCAGGTCAAAGAGGAACTCAATTATCAAATGCCTTCACGAAACTTGGTCCTTCGGCTGTTAACTGGAATCGAGTTTTCAATTTAATGTCGACAAAGTATTTTTTGGACCTTCCAATTTCTGTCTCGTTGGCATCATTGAACCAGCTGTTGGCTGCCTTAAATCGTGGTCGTTTAATCGATCAGTTCCTGAATTGTGATTGGAATGTTCAGTTCAAGCTCAATATTTGTCTTCTATTTCACAAATGGAACCTGCAACAGGGATGCATTGACCTTTTGAGCCTGCCAGACATTAAGAAGATTTCCAATAATCTATCCACTAATAACTCCAAAACGACTTTACTATCTCTCAAGTCGATTGCACGGCTAGATGTTGAGATTTTTCTGCTGAGAGAAGAACTCACAGGCAATCCAATGTTACCCATCTTTCAAGAATGTTTTTTTGAAGACTACGACTATGCTCCAGAGTTTTTAGCCTTGGCCGTAATGACAGAAGCGAAACACTTCGGTCTGCTGGTCGATAACGCTGCAATAATCGACGATTTGCTTATCACTTTACTAGTCAAGGTGTTTGAAAAGATGCCAAGCTCCATGTCCGAGCTCATCAAGCAGCTACCGTTCGAAAAAGTGGTGGATCTCGGCATAGTGATAATACGGAAGGAATCTTCACCCTTAGCCTCCCTTCTCCAAATCCTATCCGAGGAGCATCTTTTGGAGGATTTCATGAATGCATTACCATTTAACGAAGCATTAAAAGCAAGTCCGGCTGCAAAGAAAGCTGGCTGGACAGCATTTGATGATTATATGAAAACACATTTGACGAAGGAAACTCTACCTGTCATACTCCAATTCTTGGAGCTACAGTCCAAAATGGAAGAACCAACTACGCCTTTTTATCCTTCAAAAGTTTACGATCTATCTGCATTACACTATATCATCACTTTGCTGAATTCATTTTCCTTGAGTCAGGTTCAAAGAGAGAATTTAGAGAGCATCGAGTTTTCGCTAATAATAGCGTTCCCAAGATTGATAAACTTTGGGTACGGTCATGATAAAGCTATTCTCGCCAACGGTGACCTGGTCCCAATTCCAATGGATGTTGAAAAGGAGATGCAAAATTATCTCCAAAAGATGTACAGTGGAGAATTGGCCATCAAGGATATTATTGAGATCCTCAGAAAACTGAGGGATAGCGATGACCCTCATGATCAGGACTTATTTGCCTGTATGGCGCATGCCGTGCTCGCAGAATCTAATTTTTTCAAAGACTACCCATTGGAAGCGCTGGCAACCACCTCTGTTCTTTTTGGTTCCATGATTCTATTCCAACTTTTACGAGGTTTTGTACTTGATGTTGCCTTCAACGTTATACTGAATTTTGCCACTGATGGTACGGACTCAAAAATGTTTAAATTTTCCGTGCAGGCACTATATGCATTTCGTATGAGGCTCAAGGAGTTCCCACAATACTGTAGGCACCTAATTGAGGCTGTACCCGCTTTACAAAGCCAGCCTCAAATATTTCAGACGTTGAGTCAGGCGGCTGCTCAATCGCAAGAAAGGCCATCGAATGGTCAAGGTAATATCAACAGGCCTCCCGAGATGGTAGCGCTGAATTTCTTCTCCATCAACGAAGTTCCCCCAAAGGTAATTCAAGAAAACCCACCCAAGGAAGTCACCGAAAAGATACTGTTTATTGTGAACAACATCACCGATGACAATTTCGACGGTAAAATTGAAGGACTAAAGTCGAGCTTAAAAGAGACATTTTACGGATGGTTCTCCAATTATTTGGTTAATCAACGTGCAAAGACTGAGCCAAATTACCATTCACTTTACGCGAGACTTGTGGAATCTTTGAGCTCCGACCTTCTTTTTGAATACGTTTTGAACGCTACTTACAAACAGCTTTTGTTGTTACTGTCCACTAAAGACGTTCAATCGAATGAGAAAAATTATCTGAAGAATCTCGGCGCTTGGCTGGGAAATGTAACACTTGCTTGCAACAAACCGATCAAGCATAGTAACGTGGCTTTCCGTGAATTATTGCTCGATTCCCATCGTGCGAGTCGGCTTGAAGTTGTTGTACCCTTTGTTACAAAAGTACTTCAACAAGCTGCCAAATCCAAGGTTTTTAGACCACCAAATCCGTGGACGGTTGGGATTCTTAAGGTTTTGAAGGAGCTCAATCAGAAAGCGGGTTGGAAGCTTAATCTGACATTTGAGGTTGAGGTCTTGTTTAAAACTTTAAAAGTCAAATTGGAGGACGTTGAAGCTAGCGAAAATGTCGACAATGCTGATAGCATTGCACTTCTGAGCGGCGAAATTGCAGCCTTGAGCCCTGAGCAGCAACAAATTGAGCAACAGCAACGGGTGTTGGTGATGCAGCAATATCAACAACAATTCGCACTCATGCAACAGCAACAGCAACCTAGTCAGCAGCCACAACAGACGTTGCAACAACAGAGGGGTCTCTCTAATGGTAATCTTGCTCATATCGATCAGGTGCCCGCAGCAGAAGGACAAACCACTGACACTCCTTTCAGTACTCTCCTCGGCAATACCTTGTTCGTCACACATCCCGACTTAAGACGCGTTTTTCAAATGGCTATCGCAAAGTCGGTCCGAGAGATCTTGGTTCCAGCTGTGGATAAATCTTCTAGCATTGCAGTAATAACTACTGTAAACATCGTGCTGAAGGATTTTGCAACTGAAGTCAATGAACTGAAGCTAAAAACGGCAGCTGTGACCATGGTTAGACATTTGGCCCAAAGCTTGGCTCGTGCTACCTCAATCGAGCTTTTGAAGGATACAATTCGTTCAACGACACAATCTCTTGCACCCAATCTGATGAATGTACCTAACTCTCCCATTGAAGAGCTGAACACTGCCATAAACGACAACATCGGTTTGGCCCTCTCGCTAATTGAGAAAGCTACAATGGACAAGGCAACTCTTTATGTTGGTGAGCAATTGATGCAAGCAGTGGCCATCCGAAGATACCACAAAGAAAGAAGAGCAGATCAATTATTTCTTGCTCAGAACGCTAACCCCTACTCTCTGAACCTACCCGAGCCACTTGGATTAAAGGCGACCGGTATAACGCCCCAGCAGTTCAGAATATACGAGGAATTCGGTAGTAGTGGCTCAATAGGTCAAGGTATCGCTCCTCAAACTCCCAATCTACCTTCCGAAGGTGCACTTGGGCTTAGCCAACAGCAGCTTTTCGGTCAACAGCACATTCAGCAACCACAGCAGGATCAGCAACAGTTTGGTCAACAGCATCCTCAGCAGCAACAGCAGGATCAAAAACAGCAACAGCAACAGCAACAGCAACAGCAACAGCAACAGCAACAGCAACAGCAACAGCAACAGCAACAGCAACAGCAACATCAACAGCAACAACAACAACAGCAACAACAGCAGCAGCAGCAGCAGCAGTTGCTCCTTGAGCAACAAAAACAATTCCAACAGTTGCAACAGCTTCAACTACAGCAGCAGCAGCAGCAGCAGCTCCAGCAGCAGAAGGAGCGTGATCAGGAGCAGGAAAAAAGCCGCGCTGGCGAGCAAGAGAAGGATACCGAGCTAGACTATGCACCTTTGCAACAACAATTTCAACAGCAGCAACAGCAGCAACAACAATTACAACACTTGCAGCAGTCTCAACAAAACCATATCTTGCTACAACACGCACAGCAACAGCAAGGGCAGTCTCAACCAGGCACACCCCAACTACAGCCCCAAGCCGTTGTTCAAGCGGAATTGGAACAGAGTCACCGAGTTCTGGTACTATTGATGGACAGCCTTGTGGCGCAGATTAAGGAGAACGCGAATAAAGTGCTTGCCAACTTGGGTCCTAACAACGGTATTAACGACATTCTGCTCCAAATCCTCACGCTAATATCAAGAAGCAATCAAAAAGATCAACTTGCCTTGAAAGTTTCACAAGCAGTTGTTAACAGCATGTTTGCCACCAGTGAAAGTCCCCTCTGTAGGGAGGTACTCTCCTTATTACTGGAGAAACTATGCTCTCTTTCGGTAGTGGCAAGAAAGGATGTAGTCTGGTGGCTCGTATATGCCTTAGATACCAGAAAGTTTGATGTCCCTGTTATAAGGTCACTATTAGAAGTGAATCTCATCAACGCATCTGAGCTCGATAATGTTCTTGTTGTTGCGATGAAGAATGGGATGGAGGGTGCTGTTACATTTTCTGTTGATCTGCTTCGCGATGTGGTTTTGTCAGAAGCTCCTCTTTTCATGAGGTCGGAGTTTTTGGAGACCATCAGCTTCCTCAAAACTATTGACAGTGAATTAACTCGTTCGTTTTTTGAAATTTTGGAAAAATCGCAGGTCTTACCTTTGAGCCAAGTCTCGAAGGCTACCAGTCAGGAAAAGATGTTTCTTGTTTTCACCGAGTGGGTCAAACTTCTCCAGCGGGTTCCGGATGACGACATTAAAGTTACTGTTTTTATTCGTCAAATGATGGATAAAGGTGTGGTCAATTCGACAGAAAATGTTATTCAGTTTACGAAGGCGGCGATAGAGCTTTCTGTTGGGTCATTCAAGGAGAGTGATCCAACCAGCGAAGTTTTCATCGCTGCAGATGCATTTAGCAAGCTGATTGTTAAACTTTTGGTACTACAAACTTTCACCGATGTGAGTCGTTCCGAGTATCTCAGGTTAATGCTCTCTGTTATTACAATGGTTTTCTCCGAGGATCAAGGGATGGTAGGTAACAGCTTCAATGAACGGCCATACTTCAGACTTATTTCAAGCTTGCTATGTCAATGGGAAGAGGCTAGCGCTCATAGTTTCATGAAAATCCAGGACCAGCAATATAGAAACGAACTGGTTGAATTTTCACCCGACTTTTACAACATAATTGCATCTTTCCTACACGCGTTCCAACCCATCGCATACCCAGGTTTTTCTTTCGCTTGGATTACTCTGTTATCGCACAGAATGTTTTTGCCTAAGATGTTGAGACTTCCAGGCAAGGCAGGATGGTCAAAATTGGTGTTGTTATTCACAGACCTTTTGAAGTTTATGGCACAGTACACAAAGAGAAGTGATGTCCCGGACGCGGTTTCTGTGGTGTACAAGGGTGCCCTAAGAGTATTCTTGGCAGTTGCGAATGATGCGCCCGGATTTCTAGTGGAGAACCATTATGAGTTGCTCAATAATTTGCCTCCAGTTTACATGCAGTTGAGAAATGTGATTCTGAGCGCGATACCCAAAAATATGGTTTTGCCAAATCCTTATGATGCGGAGCTTCGCATCGGCGATGTCGAGTCTTGTCAACATGTACCCAACGTGTACTACGACCCCGTTCGAGATCTCAAGAATCTCAAAAAACCAGTGGACAATTACCTAAGAATTCCAAGCGCTTCTTTGTCAAGAGTAGTTTCAACAAGTCTTTTCAAGCCCGGTTCTCAGAAAGATACTGGTATTGGATACGACAACGTGTCGGTTGATACGAAACTCATAAATGCCATTGTCTTGCATGTCGGGATTGAAGCTGCTTTGGAGAAGGACAAAACCACCGCGACCGCCATTTTCAACACCAAATCCTCGTATTACACTCTTTTGGCCAGCATGTTGCATGACGGCAACACAGAGGTGCGGTTCCATGTGGTGCAAGCGATCGCCAATCAATTGCGTTATCCCAACGCGCACACGCATTGGTTCAACTATGTTCTGAACAATTTCTTTTTATCCGAGGACTGGGGCAACAACACCGCTGAGATACAGGAAATAATCGTGAGGACCTTATTGGAGCGCGTTGTAACCAACAAGCCACACTGCTGGGGTATCGTGGTTACTTTCACCGAGCTTCTCAGGTCTTCTGAGTGCTCCATCATGACTTTGCCATTTGTGAAAACCGTTCCAGAGATTGAACATATCATCAAGCACCTCTCGAACTATATCAACAATCCCAAAGACTTGTCCAATGCTGACGGCGAAGGCGGCGAGGGCAAAGGTCAACTGGTAGCATCGGAAGCTTGAACTCCAGCAACGTGCCATAAAAAGCTAGCGAAAAACGCTAGGAATCACCTTCACAAGTGCCGATACCAAAGAGTGCTATCGCAATGGTCTTAAGACCAGTTCAAAGCTCTGTTGCGCTGGTAATATAGCATATAAAGTATCTTGACTGAAATATCACAATGTACTACTACAATTATCGAGATATACATACAACATTGAAATCATCATCAAGTTCACGAAATTCAAAAGGGAGCCTCTCAAACCCTCAAGACCAAGCTCCCAATAGATAAACACATTGCCAAAAGATCAATCATGGCGTGGCTTCGAAGACGTGGCGCTGAAAATTCCAAGCCGAACGAATCAGCCACGAACAAATCAAGAAAGCCTCCTAACACAGCCTTCAGACAACAACGACTCAAGGCATGGCAACCGATACTGTCACCTCAATCGGTGCTGCCTCTGTTGATTCTGGTGAGTGCCATATTTGCGCCTATTGGAGTCGCATTGATCATCACTGCTAATAATGTGCAGAACTTGAGCATCGATTACAGCCACTGTCAGCAGTTGGCGAGTTCGACCAGTTTCGATGAAATTCCGTCGAAATATGTGCACTTTCATTTCAAGAAAAAGGTGGAAAATCGTCCAACGTGGCGTATTTCCCAAGATGACGTCTCCGGTGCTTCGAACTGCGAGGTTCGATTCGAAATACCCACTGCTTTAAAGAAATCCATCTACGTGTACTACCAGCTGACGAATTTCTACCAAAACCACCGTAAGTATGTTCAGTCCTTCGACATCAAGCAGCTCAAGGGCCAGGCGGTGGATGCTGACGATTTGACGTCCGATTGCAACCCATTGCGCGAGGAAAACGACAAAATAGTGTATCCATGCGGGTTGATCGCCAATTCTTTGTTCAACGATACTTTCCAGCCGCAATTGACGGCCGTGAATGACACAGAACTGGATTACGAGCTGACAAACAAGAACATCGCTTGGAAGGCCGATCGCTCACGCTACAAGAAAACCAGCTACAATGCTTCGCAGATCGCTCCCCCTCCAAATTGGTCTGCAAAATTCCCCAATGGCTACACCGAAGACAATATTCCTGACATCTCGCAATGGGAAGAACTGCAGGTATGGATGCGTACTGCTGGACTGCCGAAATTCTACAAGCTAGCTCTCAAGAACGAAACCTCCACGCTCCCGAAGGGCATATACCAAATGAACATCGGGCTCCACTACCCGGTTTCTCTGTTTGGAGGCTCCAAATCGCTTGTTATAACCACCAACAGCGTCATTGGCGGTCGGAACATGTCTCTGGGTGTTTTATACTTGATAGTAGCGGGCTTTTCCATCCTATTTGGTATCGTTTTTCTCATCAAGCTCATCATTCAACCCAGAAAGCTAGGAGACCACTCTTTTCTGAGCTTCGACGACAACACTGAATCAGATAGTCGTCCAGCCACTCAAGATATTCCTTTGAGAGAGATTCTATAGATTTATAGTCAAAAGCTCTGATTTCACTACTTTAAAATTTCGTAGAGGGCATTATCTCTTATATTCATGCTTACTAGAAGACGGTCTTCTTGCAACCTAAACCGAACAGAAGCGACTCAAAAAGCTTTCAAATCTACATCAACTAGTATTTAATCGATCATGTCAAGAGCCAAGAGAGTTATGAAGGAGTTGCAGGGAATCAAAGACGATCCTGAGGCCAAAGTTGACCTGCAATTGGTGAACGAGAACGACATCCATCTTTTGAAGGGATCGTTCTTGGGCCCACCAGGAACGCCGTATCAGAACGGCAAGTTTGTGGTGGATATCGAGGTGCCCATGGAATATCCTTTTAAGCCACCAAAAATGAAGTTTGACACCAAAGTTTACCATCCTAACGTTTCTTCAGTTACTGGAGCTATTTGTCTAGATATCTTGAAAAATGCCTGGTCGCCGGTGATAACCCTGAAATCAGCTTTAATCTCGCTACAGGCACTGTTGCAGTCGCCAGAACCCAATGATCCACAAGACGCAGAGGTTGCTCAGCATTATATAAGAGACCGTGAATCCTTCAACAACACAGCTGCACTTTGGACCAAAATGTACGCTCCCATGAATTCTGACTCCGATTCACAGCAAATTGTGGACCAAGCATCGCTATATGGCATCGACAGTGGCCTGGTGAACCAATTCGTCTCGCAGGGCTTCACTGAAGAAAAAATCGTGGAAGTGCTAAGAAGACTGGGGATCAAATCAATGGACTCGAACGATAACGAAACGGCCAACAAGATTTTAGAAGAGCTCTTGCGTTAGTCGAAAGAGGCTAGCAGGGCTCGTTCGCTTGCCGTATCTTGGTCTTGGTTTCGGGTCTATCTACCTATCTATTCTTCTCCAGCTCTGTAATGGATAGATGAAAGCCTTGCGTTGAGGACTCTGACTGAGACGTTGGGGGGCAAAGATGTTCCGAAGATTCAAGAATAGAATGTGCTGAGCTGAAAGGTTTATTCACCATCATCACTGTCGTGTTGCGCTAAGACACTTAGCGCTTCTTATTCGATTTGGAAGAAGTGCGAATTGTGTTCCAGGACACTGTTCTGGTTGCAAGAGTGTGGGTCCTGAAGAGCGCATATGAGCATGCGCTCCAGAATTCTCCAATCTGGTGTCAATTTCGGACCGTGCAACAACGTTCGTGAATCAGGGCTATTGTCAAAGGTGAGAAGTAGGCATTGAGTTTATATGTAGCTTATTAGATAAGTGTACAGGGTTCTGAATACAATTTCTTTATGCTACACTTGCAAAACTGAGCAAGCGAATCCAGTAGGACGTCGGATATTTTGATCGTCAAGCTAGCCCCTATGTGTAGACCCAGTATATTGTTTGTTCACGGACCTCCTGTGAGTATCACGTATGTAGACCCAGAGCTTCTGTTGTAGAATTAATGCGAGCGGTAAACCCCAGCAACCCGTTTGGTGACAGCGGTTCATGAAGGCTCCCACGCAGCTTTTCGGATAGAAATGCCATAGGCAAAACGGCTCATACGATAGTAAGATTGAAAAACATCAATGTGATCGTTCACAGCTGGAAACGGTCTTTGATCCCAATATCAAAATCGACTCAAATGCTATCTTCCATGAACAGTATTATCGTCTAATCTGGTACTGCATCAATGCCATGTCTCCCAGTTTTCAATGCAGTACCCAACGTTTTGATTCTTGTTCATATTGTATGATTATCCATGGCACAGCCTTAACCTCGAAGCATTTCACTTGACGAAGGACGATTTCAAGTTCCATAGCATTTATAGAATGCAAAAAGAGAATACCGTGATGCGACAGAAACCAGTTCTGTGCTCTGTGCGACCAGCGAAGCAACCTTGGCTTACTATTTCCGTTTCAGCCTCTCCCGCATCAACATCGATGATGTTCGTTGCGTTGGAGCTGGTATTGGAGCATCTCTTCCGTCTTGCACAACAGTAGATGGCGGAGCTGATGCCGAATGCGAAACCCGAGCACTGGTGACACCTTTGTAAATACCTCTGAAGTCCGTTCCAGCAGTAATTCGCTGTGAAGGAGTAGTTTGAGGGACCGATTCCGTGTGTGAAGATCCATTCGCTGATTGCTGCTGAAGTGTACCTCTAGGATCGTGACGGTGCTGCTTTTGCTTGCGAAGCACCTTTTGTTCGTCAGGAAGCTCTTCCTTATGGCCCAGCCAATCGGGGAAGCCTTCAAACGGCTCTCTATGTGTATAGAACTTGACTAATGCTTTATGTATGACTGTAGATGTAGGGGTGTCACCATCGCGTTCTTGCTTGATAGAAAGTTGCGCAAAAGATGTCGAGAACGACTTCGTAGACGACTTGACCTTATTCCAGAACCTGGTGGGCTTTTGAGAAGTCGTTGAGCTCATATTTTGTCGATATTTCCCGAGTGTTCTACATTATGAAGTTTATAAGATTTAACATCAAATGCTATAAATATGGCCTAACATGCAAACTTACATCAAATCAAAGCTATAGAGGGCCTTTATAAGTGATTGAAGACTTACTAATCATCCATTAGATAGCCTGACAATTCTTCAGTCTATAGAGACATTTTTCGTCCACGTTTAAGGTATTAAACCAAATAAGATACATATTCTGTAAGCCTAGCTTAGTTGATTGTCTTTTCCGTTAGGAAGATGCCGTACTTCTCCTTCAATTCCTTCATGATAGGGTCGTTGACTTCAGGAGTGTATGGAACGACAAGACCAGGGCCCTTGATGGCACCGCTTAGAACTTGTTTGGTGGCAATGGCACATGGTAGACCGACAGTTGCAGCCATAGCGCTGTAGCCACCTGGTTGACCGTAGGAAACCAAAGTAGAAGTTCTAGTTTCGGTAGTACCGTCAGCCCACTCGATACCGAATTTGTGCTGCAAGATGATCATGTCGCGTTCGCCCTCTTCAAATTGCATGAGCTGTTCTAGTGTGGCACATAGGGTATCCAATGCGTTGCCTTTTGGAGTGATCTGGTTCTCGGAAAAGAGACCCAACCAGTTGAAACCGTCGAGAATTCTTTCCCTGTCCTCCTCGGTGACCCATTTGGTCTTGGCGTCGATCGAAGCTATCAGATCCGCCTTGGAAGCGGATTTGCTGCCCCAGTACTGGCGTAGAGCTTCGTTCCAGGCAATTGGCTTTTCGAAAATTTCGTTTTGCTCATCTTTGAGCATACCAACGTCTACAAGAACCTTGACAAATTCTGGGAAGCCTTGAAATCTCAATGTACCTCTGATAACGGTCTCAGCTTCCGGAATTTCGTACAGCTCTTTGAAAGGAGTAGAGTCTCTGTTTGGATAGCAAACAAGAGCGAAACCAGGGAAGATGAAGTATGGTTTCGCAGAAGCCATCAAATCTTCAGAAGATACCTCTTCGACTTGGCCATTTTTCCAGAATTTGGCCGAGTTTCTAAGGGCCAAAAGAACACCTCTAGAAGACCAAGAGAATTTGTAACCCAAAGGATTGTCTGAATTTTCTGGAGCTGGCAAACCACCACAGTATGACAAGAAAGACTTGATTTTCCCGTTGGCTCTGTGGACCTCGTCGATGGTTTTGATAGCGTACAAATGGTCGATACCTGGGTCCAATCCAATTTCGTTCATAACAGTAATGCCTGCCTTCTTGATTTCAGGTTCTAGCTCCTTCAAAGCTGGAGAGACGTAAGAAGTGGTCACAACGTTTTTTTTGAGTCTAATGGCACTCTTCACCACGGCGGCGTGGTAGATGTATGGAATCAACGAAATCACAAGATCGTGCTTTGACAAAGCTGCATCTAGTTCTTCATCATTGGACACATCCACAGAAATAGCAGCAGATTTCGACGCAGAAGCCAGCTCCTGCGCTTTGGCCAAAGTTCTACAAGCAACGGTCACATTAATGCCTTCAGTTGCAGCTAGAACATCAACAACCGGTTGGGCAACAAACCCAGATCCTAGCAACAAAACGTTTTGAACCATTGTTGCTGTAATTTTCGATTAATGCTGAGACTGATAATTCAGGTGGGCAAGAACACGGTAAGATCAATGGGATACAATGGTCGATGGCCTTGCTCTTAAATACCATTTTGACAGTCTTGATTCCATTGATGGTCGAGATGGGCTTTTTTCCCGGTGGAATTTCGCAGATCTAAGTTGCAGCGGAATTTTGAGAGCGCTACAGATCAGCTGACATGGGTTCGACAATGACTAGTCATCGTCGAAACATCTTGAATTCTAGGCTGAGGGTAGAGACGCCGGTGGGCCTGGCGTATTACATAGTGTCTTTCAGTTCCTGACCAGACCTTTCCTTTTGTGTGAGCTATTTTCCTTGGCATTCGCAACTCTTACTTCAGATACGATGAGTCAAAAAAGCCTAACGTATGATCGGCAAGCGTTGGGACAGATCAAAATGTTTAACTTTTGCTTGGTGATTTTCCCTTCACCAAAAGGCTGGCTGAATATCTCCTGTTTTGAAACTGTATTTGAAAGTGCTGGCTGAATATCTCCAGTCTTGAAACCTGTTCTTGCAATTCCAACTTCATTCGTTTGGTTGTGCGTCTCTTCTAATTCTCAAAAAACTACCAAGTGGAGAACTCCTCAATGAGCAGCACTCTCCTGTCTCTTCTTTCATTCTCCCGGACTATACGAAAATGCTCTCCTTGTAGAAATTGTGATGTTCTTTGGCATTTTCATTCTCCCATAGATCTCGCTGACGAATGAACCAACGCGGCAGCAAGGGATCCCGAGGCAAATGGAACGTTATGATATTGTGCTTCCCACCTCTGTAAAAGTCGTAATCGGCCCGTTCCTTCTTGTTGAAGGCTAACCGGTACCGATTTCCAAAAATCCCAAGATCCGACTGGCTTTTTGCCATCAGCGGCACTTCCAAGTCAATTGTAGCGTCCAATTCTTTGTTGTCCTTTCGAACAGCTTCAAGGATTCTTAGCAAGTGGGCCGGTATGCGAGGTGGCTCATTCAGGTCCGATTCGTGCACCACTTCCCAGTTGCTACAGCCACGCAAGTCACCAGTTTGACGGGTTTCATCGATTTGCAAATCTTCGAGATGTTGCAGTCCCAGCTTCTCCTCTTCTTCCTGTACGATTCTCACATTTATCATCTCCAAAAGCGTCTCCGCGAAGTAATTCGCGTTCTTGGTAGCAAATAGCCGGTATTCATTGATTATGGAAACAATATTCCATTTCTGGAGTTTACGCAAGATCCCAACAACAATTGAAGTTTTGTCGACAAGGATGGTGTTGTGGTTAGAAGTGTTTAAGAGTAACTCGAACGTCCTTTTCAAGCTATAGCTCTTCAAAATCATCAAATCGTCATTGTCACTCAACTCGTAGCTGTCGGACACCAATGCGTTACTAGTCTTGATCGATTTTTCGTCCTGGGAGGTTTTCAAAGCACTGGCGTTCACTGGAGCCATGTTTGACGACACATTGGCTGTCCTAACGACAAACCACTGAACATAGCATCGCTCGAAAAATTCTTGAAAAAACTTGGAAGGTTCCTGCCCGCCCACAAAGATTACCGTTCGAAGGTTTAGAGTCTCCAGAAATGACAAATTGAGCGTTTCGATCTTAGAACATCGATCTATTAGCTCTTGCTGTTAGTATATGAAATATTACTCAAAAGTGCCTAATAATGACTCTAAAAGCCCGAAAAACTCCATACAGATGCCTTCTTCAGCGATACCAAAATTAGCTGGCGGTACCAGCATTCTAGTTAAGAGATTGGCGATTCAACGACCTGTAGTTGAAAGATTGGATATGATATTTAAAGGTTCGCACCGGTTAGCCAGGTAAGGCTCAAAACGTGTAAATGACTGAAAAATACACCCACGTGACTACTGACAAGACAATGCACGAGGAATAGCTATGACATTGATCTTCTAGGACAGTCTTGATTAGCTTTGTTCTCAATCTACCTATTGTATACATAGTGCTCGGATTCTTGCGGATTTCTGTGCCACTTCACAGTTCAAAACGGTGACCGGAGCGATAAATTCGATACTACCCATTAGCTAACAACTAATAGTGCGCTGCGGTGCAATCTTGACTGTTAATAATGTCAATGAAATGCTGCTATCTGATTAATTGCTGACCTATTAGTTTACGTTTATCCTGTATGTTCTTAATTATGCTATTCACTCTCATTTTTACACTCTTCTCTTGCTGGTGTGTTTTTTACTGTAACGCTGGCCGATGGGAGGGTTAGAAGAAGTGGGAGAGGAGGAAGTAGGAGTGAATGAATTAGTCTTGGGTATCGTTTTCGGCTCCATGTGAACATCTACGTTATTGACCTTCAACGTTCCTTTCTCGATAGCATCAGTTTGACAGCGTTGATCCTCGAAATCGACCACTGCGAATGTTAGCTGCGATGAGATTTTTTTTACCACGCCAAATTCACTCTCTAGAGCCCTTACCAGCTGATCGTCAGTGACTCCACCTGTTCCCTTAACGTATACTGGATAGTAGCCATCTTTGTTCACGAAGTAGAACTGCTTCTTTTTCAGGTTTTTAGCATCTTTTCCGTCCCGTGTTGCACCACCTGGTGACACCGACTTTCTTTCTGATGTCTTCTTTACCGGTTGTGTTGCCTCTGGTTCAGCACGTATATATTTTGTTGTGATGTTAGGAACGTCCTTCGAATCGGAAGCTGCCAGTTTCGAAGCCCAGTTCATCTTTTTGGCTGGCTCCGGAGCTACAGACTTCTCAGGTTCAACGCTTTTTTCATTCGTGGTGCCGTTACTCGTGGAATGTTCCACTTCCTCTGAATTATTCTCAATTTTTTCATCCATTTCGGGCTGAGAAGGCGATTTCTCATTCGCTGCAGGCGAGGCGTCCGTTTTTTCGGCAGTTGGAAGTTCTTTGACTTCCTCGCTTGACTTCTTGGCCACCGCTTCGCCATTCACAGGCTCCAGGTTTGCGGTAACTTCCTCCTTTTTAGAGCTTTTAGAAGGTTTCGCTGGTAACTGGATGTGTGCGCTCTTTTCTGTTGTCTCTTTTTTGTCCCCATTTTGCAATGGTGTGACTGATAACGATACCTCTTCTTGCTTTGGTTCTTCTGGAACTTGTGGTGTACTTTCTGCAACATTTTTTGATTCCAGTTCACTCGCTTCTTTGAAATACGAGTGTTCTATCTGGAGTAACGGTTGAGGTATGAAACGTAGGATGTCATTAGTGAGATCGTAAATTTTAGGGTTGCTAGGCACCGGAGTGAGCAAAAAGGTTTGGCAAAACCGGAACGCCGGGGTCTCAGACCAGCACATTTCGCCCACCGCTAGGATGAGAATGCTCGAACTATTAGCTCCTGCGGACTGAAAATCGCAGCCTTCGACTTTGACCTGAATCGAACGTACTTTTTTGGTGTGTCTGGTGTAAAACTTGCTGATATTTTCCTTTCCGATGAGCTTTACCGTGGGCAATTGCTCATTGTTCATGTCCCATTCGTTTTGATAATTCACATGGGTTAGTTCCGCAGTAGTGGAGTACAAATGATGCAGTTTGGACGGATCTTGGTGCATGCGCTGGTAATAGGTCTTGAGAAATGCATATCCAATCTCTGGAACGGTGTCGATGCTAGTCATGATGAAGGAATCTGTTAAATTCTAATGCAGACGCGTTGATGCGATTAATTTCGTGAAAAAAGGCCAAAATGAGATGCTTGAAATTTGTACTAGGGTGGAGCCGAAGTGTTTTGTGCGATGCAAATGGCGCAGAACTTCAAAAACGCCTTTGAACGTTGATATCTGTTCGCTTTTTAAAGGGAAATAGTTTATTCGAGATTGTAGATTTAAAATTTTTCAGCGTGATATATATTGAATGGTCAGCTTATATAGGCCAACAGCGAGATCTGACTTTGAGTAGAGCAAGTGTGAGGCAGACAGTAGAGGAAGATTGAGATAAAACGTATTAAGGCGTTGAGAATATCTATAGTATTGCAATGGGGATTATGTTAGGCTTTTTTTGATAAGTCTTGGCGATCCTGTCACTTTTAAGTTCTGCTGACATGAATCACGTGAGCTGAAAAGTCTTGGTAACACTGGGTACTAGTAAGGAGCAAAGGTTCGGTATCATGGGTTTCCCGGTTTAATGAGTTAGTGTCAGGTATCTTGTACCTAACCACAGAGGTTCTTGTTGTCGTCGCTTTTATACCTTCGTTGACCGATTTTCTGAGAATATTTGTGTTATGAGGATTGGCAAGCGACACACTAAATGCTCTGCATCATGCATTGGAAATATGTAGACTACACAGTAGACCGGTACTCCGTTCGATGATGAAGATTGCTTGTTGAGACTTGTATACGGGCTTGATTTCTTAAGTGAGAGTTATTATAGGCGGTGCTACGTGTATCAGGCCTTGCGTTTAAAGTTACAATTGCGAGTTTGGGCTGCCTAGTCATTGGTGATTCCGTAAATCATGTTCTTGTACCGAGCCAGATTAGCTCCCAACTGCGGATGAGGGATGCGAAGTTGAAATAAATGCGTGAAAGTCAATAGAGCCAGCAGACTTTGACCTGCCGTCGAAGAAAAAAGAGGAAAACGGGGGATACCGATTTCGTCAGCCATAGCCTCAAGCGTCGCCTGTGGTGGTTGCGGAGCGGAGGGTTTCTGATTCTGATTCTGCTGTTGCTGTTGTTGTGCGAACTTGTTAATCAGGTTGAGATCGTAAAAATTGGTCATAAACTGGTGGACCCACCACACGTAGTCCTCTTTATTATTGGGCATGGCATTATTCATGAGCATATTCACCAGAAATCCGAAATCGTACGCTGCATGGTAGCTGACCCATGTAACGTCGCTGGATATCAGACCTGAATCTGTAAGCAGATGCGCAAATTCAAATGCTGACACGCCCAGATTTTGGTGCCGCTCGAAATTTACGCCCGATTTTTTCAAAAGTTCTAGAGATTCGGCTGAAACCATCTCTTGAGTAACGTCAAAATGGAAGTTGAACTGCCAGGTTGAGGGTCCATTTTCCGGTTTGTTTCCACGCGCATCGCTCAAGGACAAACCAACCTGTACGGGATTGAGAAGATCCACGTTTGAACGCATTGTTTGATAATGATAGTCGTTTTTCGATCTGAAATTACCCATGGGCCTGGCAAGGGTACCCACGAATTCTGTACTAATGGCTGCTACGTTGTATTGGCCAACAAGCCTTCTAATTTGTGCAAACTCAGCATGCAGGTTGTTACTCCACACGTCGCGCACCATGAACTGGTTTGGGGGTGGTAATGCAAACGAGCCTGCAAGTGGACCCTGGGGAGCTTGTGAGAGAGAAGGTGGAGGAGCCATTGCTGTGGTAGTTGATGATGGTCCCAATGTTCCAGTTCCTGGCTGCTGTAAGAGTCCCACCCCAGGTGGTAAATTGCCCACAGAGGCGCCCAAAGAACTCGCAAGCGAGTTTTGCGTGTTGTTCAGAAGCTGCTGAGGCTGTACCTGACGAGGTCCAAATGCAGCGTTTGCAGCTTCCATTTTCTGTTTCAGCAGATAAACGTTCTGCAGACCCGAATTTCCTTCCAAGCCGTGCAGTTCCTGGGGAAGTTGTTGCTGTTGTTGCTGTTGTTGCTGTTGTTGCTGTTGTTGCTGTTGTTGCTGTTGTTGCTGTTGTTGCTGATGCTGGTGCAACCGTCCCTGCATCATTTGAGGTGAGAACAACTGCGTTCCAATCCCAGGAGGTTGCTGGTGTTGTGAGCCCTGATGCGGGAAAAATTGGTCGCCCACCGGCATATCATGCAGTTGTCGGTTGAAGGATTGCATGTTGAAAGCTTGTGGGGCGCTGTAGAGATGGAGAAGACGAAGATGAGTTGTGAATGGGAGAGAGAGAGCTTCATCCATCTGAGTTCAGATTGTAGTCGATTTTTCGATAAATTAAGGTACTCGAGTACGGGCCCAGGATTTCGCTGTCGTCACCAAGGTTTTGAACCAAACCAACTCACTCTGTCAATGATATTACACTTTGAACACCGTAATTCTGAATGTCTTTTGTATATCTTTGGGATTGTCTTTCAATAAAGTCAAATAGTGCTGGTTTTACAAGTGATAAATCAAGCATATTTATAATTATGAACTAACAATCGTTTTCATCTGTCATCAGTCCAAACTTTTAGCTGAAACTAAAGGCTTGCATGTTTTCTATAATGTGGTCTGAGTTGATTAGTATAATTCTTTCGCCAGTGGGTTAGGTTTTTCGTGATTTCGATGATCCGGTAATTCCTGGCATATAGTTTTGTATAGCGTAACAACGAATGAGTGAGATTGTGATGACATGTAAAATACGATTGCATAAATAAGGACTCGATGGATTATTATATGTAGATTGATTGCGGGTTTCTTTCTAATGATTTTGCAGAATGACACATTGACAAGACTGAAATCCAATAGAATGGCAGCGAGGTTTGTTTATAGCCACACCACACTCATTAACTCCGAAAATTTGAAAAAGAGCCTATTAGGACGTTCTCGAGTTAAGAAAACACCACTTTGTATGAAGCTTGGGCCACTATCATTGTACCAAATCATGCGAGCGTGGCAAAACTCACATTCACCACTAGAGCCCTAGAGCGAAACTTCACAATTCATCCAAAACCTGTGATATTTATTAGGTGCCAATTCTTTCCTTGAACTCTATACCACGTCCATCTCAGCTAGCAGGCCAATACAATGTCTATGATACCTTAAAGTATCATAAATGCCATAATAGTATTAAGTGATCAAAACGGTCTCGCTTGATCCAACTGGTCTACCAGCATCAACAACGACCAATGCTTTCCTTCCCGAAGAAACTCTATATTCAAATGTATCTCCTGCGCAAAGAATATTGCTTAACAATGATTAATCGGCCAATTGCCTCCTTATGAGCGCAACGTTTTTTCTATCCCAGATATCTATATTTGCATATACATTAGCTAGGTTCCCATTGTGCGCTTGTTACTTAAACGGAGACTCAGCTTTTGACTAATAATGTTTGACTATTCAATCTCATGTTTGAGAAACTGCGCAGCTTTCTTTAAGTAAGTGCAACCCGTCAACATGTTTTTTTTAGCGTCGTCAGAATAACAGTAGTAGCCTTAGTGTCACTCCACATCTTTAGTATGATCGAGGGATCTTTCTAGCATCAATCCAACATCCCTGCCAAAAACTTTCTTAGATAAACGGTTTGTTCAAATAGTTCTAAAAACGTAGATCTAACTGCCGAAACAGCTCGACGATAGCGAAATCAACCCATTCTTCAAGATTGCATCTATTTTATCCCCCCACTATCCACTCTTTCTATCAAACTAGTATACAGAATATGCACGAAAAATATCACACGGTTTCGACAACGCAGTGGACTAACTAGATCTTAGTCTTCTTGGTCTCTTGAGACTCTGGAGACTCGGTTTCGGCCTCAGCTTCATCTGCAGTCCTCTTATTGCTCTCTACAGCCTTGGAAGATGGCTCCGCCTTATCTTTGTTGTCCTTCTCAGGTGGGGACACGAACCATGGAATCTTGCCTCTATTGAAGTCATTTAGCACTTGCTTAGAAACACCTGATTCATCAGGTTCACCTCCTTTCAAAAGTCTACCCATTTTTCTGGCCAACATTTCAATAAATTCGGTAGAATCCTTCCAGCCAGATATCTCGTAGGTTCTTTCCAAGTGCTTCTGCTGGCATCTTCGCAGCACTCCCGGAATGTACTGTTCTGGATGAGTTACGTGCTCCACTCTTACAACACCTCTAAACAAAATATCCTCCTCTGTGTCCTTTGATGAAGGCGGTACAATACCAGGACAGTCGATTAAGAAAATTTTCTTCATAAGCGTAATGTATTGCCAAACCTTAGTCTCACCCGGAATGGGTGCCACTTGACAGACTTTCTTCTTCCGTAGGGTGTTGATGATGGACGACTTACCAGTGTTTGGGTATCCAATAAATCCAATCGAGATCTGTTTTCTGTCCTTGTGAAGTTGCGAAAACTGACGTAGCAGCTGGATCAATGAACCCTTACCAAAAGAATTCGTGATGGAAGCGTGGAATGCCAAAGTTGGTCTGTCTTTTGATAAATGCTTTACCCATGCAGCCTGTTGTTGAAAATTTGTTAGTATTTGGATGATACCTTCTCCAGAAGCACTTATTAGCACATATGTGATCATCTTTTTGTTGTAGAGTATAGCGTGTTCACTGATAGAAATCTGATGTTCGGCCTTCGATTTTCGAGTTCGTGGCAGATAGCTGTCGATCAAGACAAGCCTCCCCGACCTCTGTTAATCGATGGCCTTGCTGCTCTTAAAAGCGGTGGCATATTATCAAGACGACAATTACCCACCAAATTTTCCCCGAAGTGTATCCAAAACGGATACGGCCGGAGAAAAGTAAGCGGCGTTGATCTTCCAAAACAGTAACAGACACTTTCGTATTTTTTTTGTCGTCCTCAAGGAACGGAAAACATCCTGACTAGAAGGTTTGGTGCTCAAAATCAGTGAACACGTCAATACTCACAACAACGACGTTCAACATGTCCAACACGCGTCTTACCCTTAAATGTAACATACTGCAACCCACGTAGGCACCAAATCACACTTGTTCAGCACATATATGAGATGCTTGTGAGGTGTTTCTTTGCGCATATATTCTTCCACAGATTTGCATCTGGTTCCCATGGGGTCTCTGGCATCCAACACGTGAATAACCACGTCTGAGGAGTCAATGACCTTATACAGCTCGTTCCAGATACGCTTGGATTGTCCCTTGCTAAAGATGGCTTCCTTGGCAGTCTGGGACCAACCGTCTTCATTTTCGGCATTCTGACCCATCAGTCCCAAAGTTGAGTCCAATTCGGCCTTTTCCTCGTACTGCTTAACGTTTTCGGCTGCTGTATCCGCTAGATCTTCGAGACTCGAAGCTGCCATTCTGGGCTTCTTACGCTGCGCCTTGGGACCAAAAGTTTGCTCAAAACTTTCGGTTTCCAAGATCTTCGCCTGCGGAGATTCTTGCGTATCTTTTTCGTCCAACAGAGACATTGGAAGCTTATTCCGGCGTAACAGCACTTGATAATTGTTTTTTTCCGTATCACCAAGTGCCTCACGGAAATGCGATAGCGCGTCCTGTGAGATTACGCGGGTGTTTCCGAACCAACGACGATCCGGCTGCACTCTGGCCGTTGGAATATCTGCGCCCTGGAGAGGTGCAGCTCGAATCAAATCGCCTTTTTTATTGCGGATCGACTTCCCATCGGTGTACATGTTCAGAAACTTAACTTTCTTGCCATCACGATAGAAATTCTCACCTTTCACCCTCAAGTTGCCGTCCTTGGTGTCATTTTGACGGATACGTCTTTGCTTCTCTTTTTTTCCGGTACCCATTATCAGTTTTGCTTGCAAGAAATATCTTTCAAAAGCCTACGGTCTCGAGAGAACGACTGCGGTGGTATTATAAAGATAAATGGAGCTCTTAGATGCCAAAAGCTGACTTGAATAGAATTCTTCGAAATCCGATGAGATGCGATGAGATGAGATGAGATGAGCTTCTGAAAAATTTTATATACAATTCAGAAATGTCATTTTGTACAATGAGTAAATTGAAATACATAACAAAGACTACTTTGAGACACTTGATTATAACAACGCTTCATGAGTCAGGAAGTGGTGAATTCTCATGGTTGAGTCTCTTGTATGATGTTGTAGTTTGATGTAGTAGTGTATAGTTTTTTAAAGAATGCTAGTAACCTGTCTTAGAATAAGTTCTGTAGAACGGCATCCAGACGTTTCGAAGAGCCTGTTTTCTGCTCTTCAGGGCCTGCTGCCCGGTTGGTGGTGACCCTGCGTTGCTTGAATTCTGGTATGGCCTTTGCTTCAGATTCAGCATCAGCTTCCTCTGGTGCACTCCGTTTTTTAGACGCACGAATGTTTTGCAGCATTTTACTGCGTTCGACGTTCCGGATGAACTCTGAGTTCAGTTTATTGGCTTGCGAAACCTCCAGTTGCAGCTTGGCCTGGCGAACATCGTTTTCGCGTGCAACCTGTTCCGTCAGATCGGCCCATTTGAAGCCAGATAGGTATTTCACATTCATCACGTCATCGTGGTAGAAATTGCCCTTTTTCCCGCCTATAATATTGCCGTTGAGTGTGCCAGCACATAGCTTTGCATCCTTTTTACGCACGTACTCGGCCCAGCCTTCTTCGAACATCGCTTTCTTGTTTCCGCCGCCCTTGATACGCATTTTATATTTCTGGTCGTCTTCACGCTTCAGGAAAAGCCGATCCAGTTTTCCGAATCGAGACAGAAGCTGACGCATCTTAGCAGGTTTCATGTATGGCGGTATTTTCGACAGGTACACCACACCAGTCTTATGATTACTCTTTTGCGAGGTTCGCAGCTTCTTGAGTCTTTCTAGTCGTTTTTTGCTGAGTGTGTCTGAATCTATATTTGTGGTTGCGGGGGTTGAGTCTTCCTGATCAACATTTGGCGTTGTATGGGCCTCATTTGCGGCATCAAGTGGCTCATTTTCAGATTCTTCGTTTTGTTCTTCTACATCACTTATTTCCCCATCACTTTCGTCGTTTGTGAACGCATCTTTCGCCGTGTTCTTCTTGGATGTAATGAGAACTTGATTGGACTCCTCGTCCGAAGAATAATCCTCGTTGCTGCTCTCCGAAAGATCCATCTTTCTCGCGATGAGCTGCATGCGATGAGCTGTGTGCGATGAGCTGAGTGATGGAATTTTTCACTTATTTAACACTCCGAGCACTTTGGACGATTTAGCCCATGAGTTGAGAAAGGTTGGTGAACTGGACCGGTACAACTAGACTGGCGAAGATCGGACCGGAATGAATTACTTTAGTGCCAAGCACGCTGGAACACAGAAGCATGAATTCAGAATTATGAATTTGGTGTTTTTCCTAAAGCAGTCATTTATGTGAAATTCAAGTAGTTCAATTTTAACTTACACAGTGAAAACTACAGATCATCTCGTAGATTTGCCTAAATAATGTTTCGTTCGAAGCGTGAATTATTAGGATGATTTAAAATCTTTAGCTGTGAAACACTCGACCGTATGAGTGTCAATTATTTCGGCAAAATTATTGATGACGCTATTGAAGAGTTTCTTGGTCAACAGAATGCAGCGACGCGACTTTCGGATTTTCGAAAGGAGTCATGACCACTTTTGGGCTTGTCAAGGCGCCATTGAGAATGCTCGGACCGAAATCTATTGAGGCTTGACTACGTCAGCAGTGTCTGAGTTATTGATCTGCTTAGTTTGCTCGGTCATAATTTGTTCTCTGTTGAATAGTAATGGTCTATAGGATCTATTTATCTCTCCGTGGTGTTTTAGTATAAGCGGAATGATCTTATGGAGTGTATAAGACGTCCCTTCTTATACAAATTCCTGGAAATGTTCCGTCGTCAACGGATAAAAAAATCTTCAAGCATTCCGGGTGCAATTGGTGGAAATGGTCTGATCCGGGAGCTATACGAGCGCTGTAAGTGGTGCCACTTGGTCCGATTGACCTCGTTCTTGTTAGATCGATGGATGTTCTAGGTTCTTGTTATTTGTGACGCAGTCGTCTCGTCACGTGCTTGTGATCACTCTGTCACATTTCTGACGCTAGACAGACAGAGGTTCTTACACTCTCTGGTTACGCAATTGACACTATCCCAAATAGTCCATCAATTCCAACAAAATCTTGGTGCAACTTTCCAGAACGACGTAATAGTACAAAGTGACATCACAACCGTTTCCAGTCTGTTGTTAGCAAGTGCTTCCTTTTATAGAAGAACTCTGGAGTTTTATTTTGGTGACCATAGCTTATGTCTTTGGATATCTGTTAAAATACCGCTGTATTTTCTTTGCGACTTAGCCGTAAGAAAAAGGCGTATTCTCACTGCTGTCATTTCATCGCCGGTGAAATTTTGATCTCGACAAATTGCGATCCTTAACATCAAATACTTACCTGTGGTGAGACTCGTTGTTTTCAGGGGGTCGCCAAAAGAGGTTTCCGTTTTAATCTTGGGTCGACGTCATTGGAAAAAGTAATGCTGGGGACCATAGCCGGTGCGCCAGAAGCTTTTAAAGCTCAAATTTCATGCAGACGATCGTGCCCGAAGAAAAGCTCTACCGAGCGTCCAAATGGGAAATACGGCCGAATCGTGAACCAGCAAATGATACACAGCGAGTTGGTCCACTTCTTAAACGACATTAAACTTATTGTCACTTTTGTCTAATCTGGCGGCGGGCGGTCATTGATGACATAGCATTCTTTCAGCACCAAAAACAGTCAGAATTTTTTGCATGTTGCACCGCCAAGCTCTATCATTTCCACAACGGTCGCTGGCCCTCACAACATAAGCTCCACGCGTACGTATTCGCCACCATTTGAGTGGGCTTCTCAAAGCATCACTATGTACCATTATGTCACTTCGAATCTGTCCTCTCCTAATTAATTTATTAATGCCAAGAATTAACTCACTCTGCTCGAGCCCGAACCCAACATCTACACACTTCTCAAAGTACCCTGTATCTACTGCTGTAATCCGCCACACCACCATCCAAACTCTTTTCCCTATCTACTACAACGAAACGCTACATAATTCTATTTTTCCTCTCACCACCACAATGTTGCTTCCCAGTTACCACTACCAACCGTCCGTCTACCGTCGTTAACTCTTTGATGTAAATACACAGACAAGCCATTCAACGTATCAGTTTCTCTATACACAAACGTTTAAAACTCAAAATATCCACAACACACAACCCGTGCACCACGCTCGGCTGCTCTCCGCATCCAACATCTGACCACCTTTCCAATTATTGTCGTTGTTGTCGTCGGTGGTTGTCTCCTGATATTTCACCTTATTTGTTTAAGAAACAAACAACGCACGGCGCCCCGGAATTCTAAGGTCCGTTCCCGGTAGATCGCGGGATATAATCAATTGCTCGGAATAAGTATAATCCGTTAGTTTTTGAGTATTTGAACGCGGGGAATATAAAAGTTCCTGGTGTGTTGCTGGCCAGTTTCTAATGGCATTTGAGATAAGAAAAGTAGTACCAATTTCAACATTAGTCGAATACGGGATATAAGCGGTTTATAAATACATTTAAGGTCACTTTTTGCCTAGTTTTGGCTCAGTTTTGGACGTATTTAGACGCCTTTATAGAATCTCTTTTCAGCTACACAACGATGGTAGAAACGTCAGCTAGACCATCGCTGTCGTCTTCATCTTCTAGTTCCTCTGGATCTCAGAACTCGCTTGAAATCACAGCAGCACCCAGCGGAGGAAGACCTAAAGAACCAGCGAGAAACGAGCCAAATGCGGGCACCAAGAGTTCTGGACAGGTGAAATGGAAGGGAAATGTGAAAAATCCACAAGCTACTGCAGCTGGTGCCAAACGTTCCAGGTTGGCAGCCGAAAACTCGTTGGGAGGGTTCTCAAAGGGCAAATTAGCACCATTGACGCCGTTTTCTAACGAAAATACAACTGGCCCGGAAGCAGACGACAGGTATGCGAATGCGTCGTCATCGTTCCCCCACACGTCAAGGCCGATGGGGTTCACATACTCGTCTCCCAACCTGAAGGGCATGTATGAAATGGCTTCCAACTACGAACAGGCCCGTTTGCGAAATTACTACCACCAAACGTTCGGGGACCGTTCGTCGCAGTTTGTGGACCCCATGTACCAACAGCTCAACCCAAGGTTCAGAGGGTCTCAAAACAAGCCGGTATGGAGCTTGAACCAGCCGTTACCACACGTTTTAAACCCTTCTTTGGCTCGCAAAATCAGCAGAAACATGGAAGCTCACTCACAGAACTCGTCACAACCGGAATCCAGAGCTGGGTCCAAACCAACGACGCCTGGACCTTCCCACTCGGGATCTCTGGCTTCTATTAGTGACTGGAGAAAAGCCTTTCAAAGAGTAAGCTCCAGTCGTAAACTCGACGATATAGAGGCCCAGTTACCGGGCTCAACTGCAGCTGTTCAACGTCCAGCATCGTCCAAACCTGATCCAGAGAAACCCTCAAACTCTCATGTTGAAGAGAAATCTACTGGAGTCCGGAGAAACCATGCAAATGCAAGATTCACACTGAATTCCGATAGTTATCCCAACTCTATCGCAGGAGATGACCCCACCCTGGCAAACAACTCCAACACCGCCAGTCCGCCTGAAATTCCAAAGGTTTCCCCACCGCCGCCCGTTGTGGCCACTGCGGACGACGAATCTGATACACTTACTTTTCCTAACTTTTGGGCCAAAATAAGGTACCATTTGCGTGAACCATTTGCTGAATTTTTGGGGACTCTTATCCTAGTTATTTTCGGTGTTGGTGGTAACCTTCAAGCCACTGTCACCAAAGGCGCCGGTGGCTCTTACGAATCTTTATCGTTTGCATGGGGGTTTGGGTGCATGTTAGGTGTTTATGTTGCTGGTGGTGTGAGTGGTGGTCATGTCAATCCAGCTGTTACCATATCAATGGCCATTTTTCGCAAGTTCCCGTGGAAAAAAGTGCCAGTTTACATTTTTGCTCAGATTGTGGGGGCCTTCTTTGGTGGTGCTATGGCATATGGATATTTCTGGAGTTCTATTACAGAATTTGAAGGCGGCCCTCATATCAGGACTGCAGCCTCGGGTGCCTGTCTATTCACCAATCCTAAGCCTTACGTTACTTGGCGAAACGCTTTTTTCGATGAATTCATTGGTGCGTCCATACTGGTTGGGTGTCTAATGGCACTGCTTGATGATAGTAACGCTCCCCCAACTAGTGGTATGACCGCTTTGATTGTCGGCTTTCTCGTGGCAGCCATCGGTATGGCATTGGGATTTCAAACAAGTTTCACCATTAATCCTGCAAGAGATCTTGGGCCACGTATATTTGCGTCTATGATCGGTTATGGTCCTCACGCATTCCACCTTACCCATTGGTGGTGGACTTGGGGTACCTGGGGCGGACCCATTGCAGGTGGCATCGCGGGAGCACTCATGTACGATATTTTCATCTTTACTGGGTGTGAGTCGCCCATAAACTATCCCGACAACGGTTACATTGAGCATCGTGTGAAGAAGATTATGCAGACTGAAATGCACTTGCATCGAGCACATGCCGAAGAGGATTCATCGGACAAACAAGGCTGATTGGCGGTATAGTAAATTTAAAAATCAACAACGGCTTCCATTGGTTTCTGACCGTGACGCATGGCGGTTTATGGTTCAAAGTATCACTGATATGGTGCTGAAACTCGACCGCTAGACAAAGCTACCGAGTCACTATGAGAAGTGTACCCTTACTTTTGGAAATTTGTGAAGATATGAATCAGGTTGTTAATGTGATCCTCCCGACCATGCGAATAGATATCATGGAACAACACACTTTATTCTGAAGCTTTGACGAGTGGTTAAAGCTGGATTTTGTTTTAATTGACCAATTCCACCAGTGAAGGCAATAGAACTTAGAATGTTGGACCCACACTATCGGTATTAACGGTACGGTGTATACTTTGACATAGGTTACGGATATTACCATGCGAGTGTAGCTCTAATGAACATGAATTTGAATTTTCGAAACTTCACGATGCCTGTCACCACCGCCGAGCCTTCCGACAATCGTCATGGACCATCTTATGCAATTAGTTCTCGCCGCTTATAATGCTACTGACTTTCTGGGACGACACGTCTGTCCAGAAAGTTGCAATCCACTTTCATTTCCACCTATTGTACTAAAGACATCAAATATAGCTGCCAGTGTATGGAGTGTGTTTTGTTCAACGTTCCGATAGTGAATGGTATAGTCTGCTGAAGACTTGGGTTACCATGGAAGGAACTAAAATTTCCGTCAAGTGTACCGCAACACAGGTTTCCTATAGCTGAAAAAGGCGATCCGAAGCGGTATTGACAAGGAGGTTGCGACTTGACATTGCAGTGGATCTGAAGTTGTTGGTTCAATTACACCCAAAAAATCAGCCTTTCGTCACCTCTCTTTTTCTGCATGACATCTTCCCAATCAGTAAAAATCAGTTGTTAAGGACGCACGATCGCGCCTCTATGAATGTCTATAAGAATGCTATTAGGCGTGAGCTATGCCCTGTTTGGCAAATGCCAAAACCACTCATGCAAATTTGAGTTCTAGTAGTGCCTAATGGTCTCCTACTAGCTTATCAACCGCATCGAGATCTCGAAAGCGGCGAAAGTGGCACCGTTAACTGGTAAAGAGCGAAGTATGGTTGGAGCAAATCCCTTTCCGAATGCTTTGATTCCGCGCTCCTGATAAACCTTTTTAGCTACGGACCAAACATTCTTACCATAGCGCGGATTTCTAAAATCGTCCGCTTGCATAACGGACTTGACCACATCAAACGGATACGTCAAAGACCAGAAAAAGGCACCAGAAAACGCTCCATAAATGCAAACTTTCCAAGCAGGAATATCTTGACGGGCTACGCCGTGTTTTTCTTGGTTGGCTATCAGAGCTTCGTATGTGGAGAAATACACACCAAAACCGTGAGAAGTTCTCAAAGCTGTGGCAGTGAAACCGTGCATCAAAGCACCTTGCTTGATTAGTTGTCTGGCACAGTCCAATGAACTACGGTATAGACCTTCGCCCTTGGAGCTTTTCTGGATCTGCATTCTGATACGGACATGCTCGATTGGAGTGGCGAGCAATGCGTTGGCCGCCCCGCTTGCAAATCCACACACGTAGTATTGGCCCAGTGACAGATGGGCACCCTCCACGGCTCCAGTGCGAGAATGGAAGTATCTTTTCATGGATTCGTTGACACCAAATTGACAAGAGACGCAGGCTCCCACGCCAACCAGTGGTACGGCCGTACCTTTATAAAACGCCATCACTCCTTCATTTTTGACTAGGTTTTTGACCGTGTCCATCGCCGTAGTCGGCACAGACGATGTTTGTAGCCGGACTTTAATTATGTCAAACGGTTGGCCCACCAGGACCTGGGCGATACCTCCTACAGTACCGCAAAAGATGTCCTTTGCAGCTTGTTTTAGGTCCTGAACGGCCTCGAGATCGTCAACAACTTGTGGCAGGGTGAGTTCCTCAGACATGATCTTTTCTACTCGCGATAGGCCCTCTTTTTTCTTTCACCTTTTAGCAGCTGTGATTTCACCCGAAACCCGGTAACCATACAGAAGAGCGGAACTGAATTTTAGCTTTGTTGGTTATTATATACCCGCGAAGCATCTCGACGCTATTATATCAATGAGAGCTGTTTTCATCGATAGAGAGACACCACACATCCTTGTCAGTAACGCTGTTCGCAATTAGATGCCCGTCGCACATTGAAGTGCGACATGCCTTTCTGAAAGCGCACAACTTCTCGAAAACGTAGTTTGTAACGAAATCATCGATTAGGCCTAAAAGTGCACAATCACGCCCCATAACCAACGGCACCTATCCTACCAGGCCATCGAGGGCTACCGTTATGTCGTGGTATGAAGCGCCCTTACGGCCTGGCAATAGCTTTACTGCTGCCTGCCTGCCTGCCTGTTTTGTCTGTGTTGAACTTTGCGCGCCCAGTAAGCTCTGATAAGACACGATAGTGCTGATAGGGCAATTATGCATTTTTTCCCTTTTAAGATTTTCTAAAATCTCATACTTGAACAGGTTTTTTCGTTTGAACGGCGGGATTGCCATTCCATCAACCGATAATGTGTTGACACGAATATTTGAGTGCAAACAAAAATCACACCAATCAAACTAGAAACCGAGAGAAGATAAATCAGCCACGGTGGTGGTGACGTCTAAGGTGCTGTCCTCAAGATTGAAGTAGCTGTTGAGGGCGGAAAAATTCATAGTGGGAGCTCAAGACTGATTCGTGGCATATGTTGTATGGCATAAAACTGCATCTTTGTCGCGTGTGACAAAACGGACTTAGTTTCGACTGGTTAGCTGCGCCTAGATAGCAAATGACAAATCTAGATTCCGCTCTTCTAAGATCTCCCACCAGCTCTTTTTGTCTTTCCAACAGTGCTCCATAACTACTTTAGCTTGACGTGCACTCGTCATACCGTTACGTAGGAGGGTTTCAATGTGATCGATATAAACAGCACGATGCAAATCCAATTCACACCCTATTAGCTCACAACCACAGCAAAAGAGACAGAATGTGATACAGGATTCTGCCGAAGAATCGAGTGGTATTTCTTCGCGTATCAAATTAGTGATCCGCACCAGTAACTTTATTACCGTAGGCGTATTTCGCGGAAGGTTCAAGATTCTTCGTTTGATCTGAAGAACTCCGGTCAGCGCGAAAATAGCGTTCGTAGCTCTCAGCGTCTTGTAAGTTCTGTAGCTCGCGGTATTGAAAGGTTGGGAACCTTCGAATTGAAATTCATGGTAAATCTGGTCCCTCTCGTTTTCTGACGCGTCCAAATAGCTTTCTATGTTATGAGCCAAGTCAGCAGCTTCCGGTAGCAGTAAGTCTAGTTCGTGTTCATTCGTGTAAGCTTCCTTCTGCTCTATCAATTTGGCAACCCGAGCTAGCATTGACAATAATTTCGTTTCCAGTCCCGTAAAATAGTCAATATCCTTGAGTTGCGTTCTTAGCAGATAGACGGCCTTAATTTCATCCTCATAGTCAAAATCGTAGTCAAGGGGACCAGGAGTACCAGTGTCAGAAACTCTTTTAACGGACGAAAGTGACCCAATAATGTTTAAATACGAAAACCAATGAAGGAGAAACGAGTCGGCATCAAGCACTCTGCTTTTAGCTACTATCCGTACTGCGTTCTGTCCAGTAACGCCCAGTTTATCGAGCAGTAGCCCTCTCGCTCCATTTATATGCGCTCTCCACTTATTCCTTGTGCCGCAGAAAAAGATGTCGAACCCAGCAAGCATCAGAATAGTGGCCAAAGTGCTGTTGTTGTGTCTCTGCTTTTTGTCCGTAAATTGAGACAGCAATTGCGTGAATGTCTCACTCAATAAATGGTCGGCTAATTCATCATCTCTTCTGGTTGTAGCACCACTATCAACCCAAGGTAGGGCCAGAGTATCTTGTCGGTAATTTGCAATCTCTTTCCTGTGGTTAGCTGCAAAGGCCAACATTAGCTTGAGTAAAGTTGGACTTTGCATGGCCAATTGGGGGAGAATTGTGTTGAAAGGGTTAGCACGGTACGCATAGTACGGCGTTGGAACTAATAAGTGAGAGGTCTCACTGAGATAAAAGTTGAAAAGCTCAGCGTGATGCGCGGAGTTGAAAAGGATATCTGGAGCCGGATGCGCTAAAGATCGAAGATCAAGACCACATCTTTCTTGAACCACCATCTCTCTGTTTCCTACAAGTTTTTCGCCCCATGGGATCTGATGGTTGGTTTCTAATTGCAAATCGTTTTCGAGAAGAGTGATAATTGATTCATTGTCTGGAGCCTCATTTTCGAACACGCTAGTCTCTTGGGAAAGGAATGCAACTGGCTCGAAAACTTGGATGGTTTGTTGTGGTGTCTCAGTTAAGTGGAAAGGCTTATCACCTATATTGTTTTGGAGATCATGGAACGACGCAGCACGCTGTGAACTACTTCGCTTTCTCCCTTTCTTCTTGTCCATAACAAGCACGCCACTGCAAAATGCAGCATCGGGCAGATCTTTTGATACTTTCTTCGCACCTCTACTGAACTGGCCGCCCCATTTTAGCAGCATTGAAAAATCACATTTTGCTTCATTTCTCCTCACGCAGTTCCGACATTTGGGCTTAGTTTCGTCACATTTAATTCTTGCGCTCTTGCAGTTATTACAACCAGAGCGCGATCTTTGACCAGTGGTTTTGGTTGTCATTCTAACCTCATCACGACAACCTCCGTTGTACCTTCTCTAAGTTTCACTTCTTGAACGTAAGTCTTTACAAGGCCTTGTTAATTATTTAGTGCAATTAGATGCGAACTAATGATAATTGTATATCTTACTCTCGAAAACAAGAGAGTCAGAACAAGCGATCTACTCACATCTTCATCATAAACATAATGCTATGAACCTTTCAAAACCTTCTTGAGGTCTGTATCCTTCGATGCTCAATTTTGGTGCTGCGATGGTATGCTTATAAGCATTCATGAGCGAATTTCTGGGTGAAGCCCATTTAGCGCCTGACTATGAGTATCAACATGCCTTTCGCACGAGTTGCAGCAGTTTCAAATACAGAACTTTTGGAGGCAGCAATGTGCCGGAAACAAATTCTATCTAACAGTTGTATTCTTACTTCATATGTATACAAGACTTGGCACTAGCTTCAAAACCAAAACTCTCCTCTCAAAGCATCAAGCCTCAGAAAAATGGTTAAACCAGTTTAGTTGATCCGAGAAAACCTGTTCTTTAGAAAATTTGACGAATGGGTCATTCAAGTCGCCTCTTATGGCAAATCCGTGAGAAACTTTGCTAAACAAATCTATCTTGAAAATGGCACGCACCTCTGTCAACACCTTTTCGACTTGATGTCTTGTTTCAAAATTGAAACTGCGATCATACTGAGCCGCAGAAATCAGAAGAGGGCTCTGGCCAATGGCCCAAAATTGCTCAATTTCGAGGCGTGAAGGGTGAGCAATTGCAGCAGCATCAGCAATTGGTGAGTCTTTTTTGATGTAGTCCAAAGCATACTTAGCGCCAAAACAGTAACCAATTACACCCAAGAACTTTGGATTGAGCGTTTCCTTCAATGGCAGTACAAAACCATCGACAATCGGCCTGGTCACCTCCGGTCTGTGTTTTTCAAGGAAAGCCCCGAGGTCAGTAGATCCATCCAAGTTCGTTAGACCATCCCCGAATAAAATATCTGGCACGTAAACCAGGTACCCAGAGTTAGCGAACTGATCTGCGACCAATTTAGTGTTAGGAATCTTGAGTCCAAAGATATCGCTGAGAATGACAATAACTTTCTCGCTCGAGCTGGATCCGGTCACGTAAGTTGGCAGACCAAAAACCTCCTTAATCTCGCCAACAGGTTCGCCCTCGTGTAAATTGCCAGTAGTACAACACTTTCCACTCATTTTTCAAGCTATGGACTATAAAACTGTAGTCATCTTAGCTGTGAACACTTTTTTTCTTTTCATATGTGATACATCCCTCTTAAATCTAGCCCAGATGCTGGCTTGCGTGATTTTCAAAAAAAGATTTCAAATTGTTAGCTCCGAATGAAGTGTCATTAGCTCCGAATGATTGCTAAGTATCAGCTCCGTTTGTATTGAGCTACGTCATTAAATAGACAATGGGCGAAGACTCTATTGGCATAACTTAGTGCAATTACCATGGTAAGCTATTCTCATTTGTGATTTCGTTACTGAGATTTCTTATGCAGTACATTTTAAGCCCATTTACCTAGAAGAGCCATTAAGCCAGCACCACTTAGGGTACAAACGACCATGTAAGTAAGCTTTCGTAGATCTTTGGTGCGGTTAGGATCGAAAATAAAGTCTTTAGCCAAAAGCTCGACTAGTCCTGTGTAGATCAGAATACCTGCAGAAATAGCGTCTAGTACACCAGCAATAATACTCATATTGAAAGAATGAGCCACGAATTTACTGCGAACGCCAAGGCCAATAGCCATTGCGATGGGCGTGCTGACACCGTAGCATAAGCACAATGCGTAGGGCCACCACCTCTTATCTTGAGGAAAAGAAATAGAGATCAATCTGGCACCGATCCCGAGACCTTCAAAAGATTGATGGAAAACAATGACCGGATAAAGAACAGAAAATTCGCTGCCGGTAGTACCTAGTTCCAAACCGATCATAACAGAGTGGAAAACGATACCAAATTCCATGACGAGGAATGCACCAATTTGACTTTGGAAAGGTTTAACATTAATTTCGTCGCTAACGCCGCAAGCTAAATCGTTGCTGTCAGTTTCTGAAGAATAGGTGCGGTACCCACTTTGCTCCTTGTTTGTCAAGCTGTACTCCAAATCGTTCGATAGAGAGCCCTTGCTGTCGCCCGTGCCTTGGTTGCTTCTTTTGGTTGTAATGGCTGCTTCAGTGTGGTCGCCAGGTTGATGGGTAATACCGAAGCGTCTTTCGACGTAAACGTCGCCCATAAGATCAACTAGAAAAATTACGAATACGGTAACCAAAATGATTCCCGAACACCATGGGAACTCTGCCCAGCGACCTGACATTCCAACGCAACTGTTACTACCAATCGATATAGCTGAATGTTCCATCAAGTGAATGAAAGCCGTGGAAACGATAACACCAGTACCAAAATAACGGGCAAACAGATAGGCTGGCTTGGGTACATGAAGACCCTTCACCTTGGTCAAAATTAGTGGTAGCATGGTAAATGCAGTACTCACGAAGAAGACCACAAAAATAGAGGAGATACGGGCTTTGATGCTTCCACTGTACTCAGCCTCTCCGAAGTATACATGGTCCATGGCACATTTTTTCCATGAGTTTGGAACGGTGCTATCCCAGATTGTAACTTCATTAGGATTCCATTTGGCCCACCACGCACCGCTGTTAAGTGCTTCAGAAATGTCATGGCCGCCACCACCTCCATGGGAATGACTGTGACGCTGTACAAACTTGCTTGTGTCGACGCTCATTGCTGCTTGCTCTTAAAGAAAGAACGAATGAGCCGATGAACAGAACATGAATTGACTTATCGCATCTTAGTTGCATTATATAGCTCCACTTTTTGGTGCTACCATCACAGCGCTTAACCATCAGGGTTCATCAAGAGACCTTGAATGAGACTGTAGATTGAGCCGTCTGAGCCGCTTATGCGCTCAGTTCAGAGGGCGTTTCGACTTTCACCGCAGGAAAATACTGGACGATCGCCGTGCAAAATGTGCCTCATCGTTCCATCTAAAGTATTGCGCCCTAACTATCCCTTCATTATAGCTTCTTTTTTTTCCTATTGCTCAGAAACACAGGTAGCTTCTCGAGCCCTCAGGGTGCTTTTTTTGCACCCTGCAGGACGCAGGGTCCAGTTAAATTTGGACCCTGAAATTTTACAGGGAATATTATTTTTTTTGAAATATCCTTCACTTTCAGACGTTTGATTTTTAGGCACCTAGGAAATTATTTCTGAGCATGCTCGTGTTGGTGACAGAATCATTGAGTTCGATTACGCTTTATGTTTTGAGGACATGGGGGGAAGCTTCGAGGTGGAAAAATCCAAAATGACACATTGTTTGAGAATATAAGCTTATAATTGTGCTTGAAGAAATGCTATGCGATGCAACAAGCCGTGTGTGAGTTGTTTTGGCGCTGATATTGTGTGCGGATTGATACGTGAGTGGTCCCGAACGAACGTTTTCGATGAAATCTTCGGTCAAAGAGTTTCATGGAGCGTCAAAATGTGGTGAAATCAAAGATGCCCTGGCTTTCCTTTTCTGTCTGCCCTCGGAAGTTTTACCATTTTTGAAGAGAACGAAACAGCTTTGGCTGTACCTGCATTAATTGATACTCGCAGAGGTTCTAGCCTGTCGTGAATAACACGCTAAGTTGGTAGATACAGCGTATTGGTTACCTATGAAACTCAAAGACGCCCGCAAGGTAAAAGCGGCTTTCCTCATACTTAGATTTCTTTTACCTATGGGTACAAGCTCTACAGCTGACGCATATCTTGCTCACAAATTTTGTCTAAAACCCTCCTTTTCAAATCTGTGATTTCGTCTAGTGAAAAGAAGCTTATTCAAATTCAACTTGTTCACCTCATCGAACGCCTAATATTTATATGAACTGGACCGAAGTCCAATGGGAAGCCCGTCATAATCAAAACATCGCCAGGTTTCACTATCGAGCTTCTTCCGCTTGATAACTATTTCTCATGGTCAGTTTCTCAACGATCTCGATTGTCGACCTGCAACAATTCAAAAGACAAAAATCTTTAATCCGTTTTCAAAATATCCGATTCGAATTGCCGTTCCTTATTCCACTAGCTAAAATCCCTCGGGGTTTCTTATTGCGATGCTCGAATGTCTTGTGACGAGATCGTACCCTTTTTTCAACTTTGCTGTCAAGGCCCACACGGGCTACTTGGTCGAGGTACGAATAATACTACTCACGTCTTGGCACTACAACTAAAAAATCGAGTCACCATTTCGAAATATGAGAAACTAAAAATGCTTTACTCCCCCTGGTTACTTGGAACTGCTAATTGTAGTGGCACTCTTTCAACTTCGTACTCAAATAATGGGATATATCGAAACAACAGCGGGAAACCCGCTTCAGTACATGGACGCTGTCTATAAGCATGGTTTAAGTTCTGAAAGGCCTCCGTTTACTTTCAAAAGCGATGACTGGGAGACACTTGCAAAAGAACAAATGTCAAATAATTCGTTAGGATATGTGTGCGGGTCTGCAAGTACGGGCGAGACTTACAGAAAAAATCGGGCAGCATTTCAAAAATGGTCATTGGTTCCTCAACGTTTGGTAAAAACTAAAGACTATCCGTCTTTGGAAACCCAAGTCTTGGGCGCAAACTTACCGGTACCAATAGCAGCAGCTCCAATCGGAGTGCAAAAAATATTCAATCCAGATGGCGAGATTGCTGTTGCAGCAGCAGCGGCTCAGGAAAGAGTTCCATACATCTACAGTTCAGCAGCGGCAACATCAATTGAGGATGTGGCTAAGGCAAATGGTGACGGCGTCCGTTGGTTCCAATTGTATTGGCCTTCTAATGAAAACAACAATATAACTAAGAGCTTATTGAAGAGGGCCAAAGAAAACGGCTTTTCAGCACTTTTTGTCACTCTGGATACTTTCAAGTTAGGCTGGCGTCCTAGCGATCTCGACAATGGATATAATCCGTTTCTTCGTCCAGACTCTATTGGCGCAGCCCTCGGTTTCACTGATCCCGCATTCCGCGGGCAATTCAAGGAAAGACATGGAAAAGAAGTGGAGGAAGACGTTGGATCTGCTGCCAAAGAGTGGGCTAGAACAATATTTCCGGAGTTCAGTCACAGCTGGGAAGATCTGAAGTTCCTACGCGAGCACTGGGACGGACCCATAGTGTTAAAGGGTATACAAGCGGTTGGCGATGCAAAAAAAGCTGCAGAGTACGGAATGGATGGTATTGTGGTTTCTAATCATGGTGGGAGGCAGCAAGACGGTGGCCCGGCCTCTTTGGATTGTCTTGTCAAGATAGTTGATGCTGTTGGAACCAAAATCGACATTTTATTTGACTCAGGAGTGAGATGTGGGAGCGACATCGCCAAAGCACTGGCCTTAGGAGCTAAAGGAGTTCTCATTGGACGTCCTTACATTTACGGGTTGGTCCTGGGAGGGCAAGTAGGAGTAAGCCACGTCTTGCGGTCGTTACTTGGCGATTTGCTTATGACTTTGCACTTGGGAGGAATTCCATCCGCAAATCCAAAGCATTTAAACCGCGACGTTTTGGAGTATTCAGATTGAGATTGGAACAGTAATCGTGTCGGCTTCGGAGGGATTGATTTTAATGATAATCAGTCCATACATCTATATAGTAAATTGCGACAGAATTGACCATTCTCAAATCTTGAACTGAGGCATCAGGTAGCTGTCAGTGTCGCTCTAGTGGCAACTCTCTTGGTTAAGTCACAGCTTCTCTCATCTACGCGAAATGGTACGTGATAAGGATAATCAATGAATAGCTCTACAATCTTCATCGCCGTAGTACGTGGTGTAGATGCGATGGAACATCAGACCAAAATCATACACCAAACACAATTTAGACACAGCTTTCAGAGTGAATACCTGAAGTTCTTGTTCTCAAAATCAGTAAGATCCAGGAATTCAGCATTATCTGGTGACACATACCATGTTGGATCCTCGGCGAACATTTTGTCGCGCTTCTTGTTCTCACGCACATTAATCAAGAGGAGGAGAAACAGGTCAGTGGTTGCAACTGCCAAGCATGCCACCATAGTAACTCTTGCAGGCCGATACTCAGGAGCATCGGAAGCACGGAAAGTTTGAGGTCCAATAACGTTACCAATGCAGTAAGAGACCAAAAATGCTGCAGACACGGTCAGCTTCTTTGTATGACCAGCAGCATCCGAAGTTATCGATGCTAAAATCGTAACCATACCAATAGCATAAAATGGAATCAGATAGTATCCCGCAAGTCGAACTTTCGTGGATGAAGGGAAAGCAAGCAAACATGTCGCGAGCAAAGTGATCGAACAACTGACAGCACCAACAATAACTCTCTTACCTGTCTTTGTGGCGATATAACCTGTAATAATACCCGATGCAATCTGCACAGCACCATTACCCAGGCCAACCAGTAGAGATTGTTGTGGAGAGTAGCCCAAAGTTTTGTTTAACAAAATTGAAGAAAAAGAGCCTAGGCCACCGTTGGGGATCTGTGCAGTCAAACCCCAGATAATGTAGATCCATGTTCTAGGGTCTCTGAAGGCCTCTCTGAACTGGTGCCACTTGAACTTCCTGCTACCGTACCCTTGCTGGTTGCCTTTGATACGCTGCACTTGAAAAAGTCGCTCTTCCTCAGTCAAAAACCAGGCTTTGCTCGGATTTTCTGGAATGTAGAAGTAGAAAAAACCTCCAAATATCACAGAAATCAAGCCAGTTACGATAAACAATACTTTCCAAGGCTCAATCGTGTATGAGTCCGAATGGTGAGCTAACCCATAAGCAATTGATCCTCCAAGTATACCACCCAAACCATTGCAGGAAAACCAGTAGGCGATTCTAGCAAAGTGCTCTTCCTTTTTATACCATTGGGACGTCAAAATGACAAATCCTGGAGTGATACTAGATTCAAAAATTCCAAGAAGCACACGAGCCGTGATGATGCCTGCACCATTCTTAGTACCGGCGTGCGCGCATAGTACAACACCCCAGATAACAATACAGGCAGACAACGTTTTCACGAAAGAAAATCTCTGCAACAGCTGTGAAATTGGGAACTCCGCGCCAAGATATGCCAAATAAAATGCTGTTCCAAGCCAAGAAAATTCGTTGGGAGCGAAATGCAAATCTTTCTGGATACCCATGACACCAGCGTAACTGTTAGTCACTTTGTCCATATATTGCAGTGTATAGAGCGCCCAAATCATCGGTTGAATGTATAAATCCACCTTACGAAGCAAATTTTTGTTGATTTCTTCCGTAACGACAAGTTCTTTACTCTCAAGGTTGAGTTGAAACGCCTCATCGACATCGCTTGCTTCCTCGAGATCCGAAGACACTTGTCTTACAGCGGCCAGAGAAGAATACTTCTCGTTTTTGATTTCCTTAACGGGACTTGCTTCTGTCATCGAAACTGAGCTTACTGAATTGTCTATGCCATTCGATTCATTTGGAATTTAATCATACATGGTGTCTCATGCTTTTATAGTTTTGCTTGCTGGTCCTATCCTGGCAATTCAATTGAGGCAGTATCAGTGCGTTTGTGGCTCTCGAAAGCATTTTCTTAAGATACCTGGCTATGATACGGAGTTTTCATACTTCTCAAGGTGGTACCAGGCACAAGTTCAGGAGTTCACCACATCACGTAATGTCAGATCCCATACTGATAGCCAGCCAATATGGTTCCAAATCTCATTAGGCGGTGTCATACATCTTGAATCCTTAAGGATCGCGTTTCTTTTGACGTTGCTGTCCGGGGTCAACTTAGAGATAGCTCGATGATATGAAGCGGTGTTAAGCAGCTGCTCGAGGGGCACTAATACGAGTGCCCCTCGATATGCAACGAACTTTCTTGGCCTGTGGCTCTTGTTACACACTGCCCACAGTAACTGAACTCCGAGCGAGTCGAGAATTCACCGTCAGTCTTTCCAATGTTGGAGAGGTCATTTTGAGCCAAAATGATCCTGAACCGGTTTTTTTGTTTGGTAGGTGTGATTTTCGTTTAGACATTTGTCCATCTTGATCCGTCGATAATCTGTCTTGCCCATCGTGACTTCTGTAAAGACACGGTAGTCAGGTTGGGCGGTGAGGGCTGGAGAAGAACAATACCAATGGTGTTCGAAGGTTATGATCACAGACTTAACGTCCGATGTCGACAAGAGCATCGCTCTGACCATATCGGCAGATATTGTGGAAGTCGTGGCGCCAGTCAAAGAAGAGCGACAGGTGGTCTATAAACCCGTCGTCGACTAGCTAGTCATGTAGTAAATATTTGATGTACCATGAGGTAAGTGGCAGAGTGCAAGTCCGGCTTGCGAAGTGTTATAACCAACTTATGTTAGTGTAGTCACCTGCCTTTCCAAAAAAATCGTGGCGTGAACTTGATGGGAGGTTTGGTTGAATTCTTGGTTGTAGGCCGTCTTTTTTCATTGTAGTGTTGAAGTTTCTTGCCAACAAGGACGGTGCATTGTAAGCGGTTTCGGTTTTAGGCCAAAGAGAGCATCTGATTTTATTTCCCGACGCTGGAGATCAAGAGCCAGGGTTTTCGTTATAGATTGCAGCCTAGCTCTCTCACAGTCAGTTACCAAGCAATTTCATTGAAAACATATTCCAATGAAGCTTGACCGTGTTGTAGACATTGACAATTTCATTTTTACAGCAGTTACTACCGAGTGAAGACCGAACATAGCGACCCACGTTGAAAGACCGGAAAACTATTAGTGCGGAATAGATTTGGAAACTTATGAGCCACAAATTTCGAAGATTGAGGCCGCAAGATAAAGAATACCGTTCTCTGTCAACCTATAATTCGAGTACTGGAATACTTCAAAATTCAATAATTCTTACTCGCGCCCGATAGAACAAAAGACAGGTTATTTTCATGGTTTTATGTGCACGACCCTCATTGAGTCCTGAAAACCTGGTCCGGCAAAAACTCCGAATACTGTCAATTGGTTCGTGCGTCTATCTTGAAAGTCCGATCCATTCGTTTCGAGCGTCTGAGCCAGCCAAGTGGTGCGGGTTCTAGTACCGTCAAAAGCGCAATTGGAATGGCATGAACTTGTCAAAATACGAGTAGCCCGAACAGCTCCAAAAGACAACCCGGGGCGTTCTCAGCCATCACCTCCAAGTGGATTCTATATCCATGTGTTGGAATCGCTACACTATTTCCTCGAGACGCGCTCGTTAATTACGGCTCATCAAAAAAACGAAAAGAAAATCAACCGTATAGATCACGTGCTTGGTAGCTGGGTGTGTGGGTGTGTGGGTGTGTGGGTGCTTTGAATTATTTCTCCCTCCGAGGCCCATCATTCTCAACGATCCTATAGAAAATCTCTCTCTTAACCCCGGATAAGACAGAAAGAGCCTCAGTTAGTTGGTTGATGCGGTTAAGAAGCAGTAATAATCTACCCACAAATGTGTTCGTCAGTAAACCGATCTCGAAGAAGAATCTGTGGCTCTAGGGATCTTGAATCTTCTTCCTTCGAGACCCTGATCTCGAATATTACGTCAATGGTCACATGACCAATGAGGTCATGTGACCGATAAACACTTTTCGCGCATATCTACTCATTTTCAACGACATTCTGCTTTTTCCCGCCATAGAGCCTTTCTCTCCCCTGACCAACACCACAATCGCTACACTCTCCAGATCTATTCACGCTCTCCAAACTGATCTCCACGCTTATCCGGAACAATCGTCCATTGTCCGCTAAAAAATACGGTCGCTTGACTGTGATAACACCTCGTGCAACGCGATATGAAGCCATTTTGACATTTTTCTTTATCACTATCGGCCTAGATAGAGCCCTCTCTTAACGGCTCATAATGAACTTGGCCATGTACTCGCACGGCAAAATACCAAGACACACTCAGTCTGCCACGGTTCTTATCTTCGATAAGTATGTGTGACAAGCATGCAGCTGTGTGCATGGCACCATATCAATGCAACGCCATACCAACGTAATGGCCAGTTGAGCGAATGGCACCATCGACAATGATGACCCCAGAACTCACTTGAATTCTTAGATGCCAAGAGTTGGAGCGTGTATAAAATAGAACAGCTTCATTCTGTGTCTGGTAAGATTCCTGTAGTCTCTTTTCTTAGTACAAAGCAAGCAAGTTTCTTGTGTTTACTGGAGATCTTAACTTCCATAAACACTACTACCATTGCGTCATATAGACAGTTGAATTGTTTTCTTGGCAAAAGTGAAAAAAGTTGGTTACTTATAAAAAATGGCCACCAAACTAGTCCCTATCGCCAGTCCGGGGCTGCACTTCAGCGACGACGATGCACTAAGGGAGAAAGAAGCACGTATCTCCGGCATTGAAGTTTCCTCGGAAGAATCGCACTTCAATGACAAAAACCTACCGCTGCAAGCTTACATTCACTATGCTGAGATACAACGTGACTTCGAGAGAAGGAATGACCTGGACGGTCTGTACGCTGCTCAGGCCGAGCAGATCGAGTCAGACCCGCACAGTAACGTTTTTAGCGTGAAGCTGGACTCCCAAAGAGCGTTACGTATAGCCAAAGCGTCTTCCGTTTTCTTTTTGATCACCACTGATATTCTGGGCCCAACCAACGCGCCTTATGCGGTTGCTCAAATGGGTTGGGCTCCTGGTGTCATTCTTTATGTTCTTTTCGGTGTTTTTGCTGCGTTGGGAGGGTACATACTCAACCGCTGTTTTTGCAAAGTCGATTCGAACAATTATCCTATCCGGACCTATTCGGATTTGGCCGCGCGTACCATGGCACCTTGGACTAAATTCCCACTTGCCATTTTGCAGTTCATCCAGTTGATCTTGAACTGCGGTGTGCTTTTGTTAGGTACTGCTCAAGCGGTGTCGCAAATGCAAATTGTTAGCAAAGGTCACGATAATTTCTGCTTCACAGTTGATATCCTGGTGTGGGCTCTTTTGTGTATGATCGTTGGTCAGATCAAATCTTTTGGCAAGTTTTCTTATATCGCCAACTCTGCTGTGTGGATGAACATTGCCATCTGTATTATCACCATGGTCGGTGTTGCCGTGGGTGGGCCTTATTACGGAATCTTTCAACAATACGGTAAGGGAGCTCCTTACTTCGAGCCTGACTCTTTCAATCCATTGCCAATCAAGCATTACGCTATCACTCCAGGAACCATCAGTGACAAAATCGGAGGTATGAACAACATGGTTTTCGCGTGGGGTGGTGCCACGATTTTCTGTGAAGTCTTAGCAGAAATGAAGAGACCTATGGACTTCTGGAAAGGTATGATTTCCGCCCAATCTCTAATCATGGTTGTCTATCTTTTCTACGGACTATTCGTTTACGGCTACAACGGCCAGTTTAGTTACGTTACTGCCAATCAAGGTATTGGTTCTATTCATTTGCAGAACGCCGCAAATGTCCTTAACATTATCACTCAATTGATCGCTGCCGTGCTTTACGGAAACGCCGGTGTTAAAGTTTTCTACCAAGGTTTCATGGTGCCATATTGCAAATTCCCAGGATTGATGAGCCGTAGAGGAACCATTGTGTGGGCTCTATTTGTGGTTGTCTACTGGGCTATTGCCTACATCCTTGGTACTGCAATTCCATCCGTTAGTGCCTTGGTAGGAATCATCGGTGCTTTCTGCATTTTCAACTTTTCATACACATTCCCATTCCTGTTTGCCTTCTTTATGCTGTGGCGCCAGGATGCTGGATTGGATGATCAATTCGATGTGTCAACGCTAACGGTCCAAAGAGCTGATTCTTATTTGAGCGGCTTGTCGCGTTGGAAACGTGCTATAGGACATGGCGGTTACAAACGGTTTGCACTCAAGCTGGCACTTATGTTAGTGGCTCTTGCTTCGCTTGCAACCTGTGGTCTATGTTCTTACTCGGCCATCGAAGGAGCCATCGCTTCTTACCAAACAAATTTTGCCCAGCCCTTCACCTGCACTTCTCCTGTAGCCTGAGTGGTGATCAACAGCGGTCGAAACATATCCGGTCAAATCTACAGCCGAATGGGGAACAATAAGTATGTAATATGTAGTAGTAAATGAGTGTTCTTTATTTATTTCGTGGCATGATGCAAGGCACCGTGAAGGAAGGACCCAGTTCTTTTCCAATTGAACAGTTTCCTAGACCAGTTGGCTGGGAGTTCGAGGCTAATACATCAGTAACTGCATACCAATTGCCTTTTTTAGATATGTTGGTGCTTGCCGTTTTCCATCATTAGCTTACTATATAGGCTTGTTAATATGAGAGAAGTATAGATTGCAGCGTTGGCTAGGTGTCCGCCAACATATCTCAACTACAAGACGTAAGTTCGCAATAAAGAATTGAATTACAAGACCGGATATTCTAGCAATAAGTTGCGAGTGATAAGAGGAAGATTAGCCCACAGATTCATACTGGTGCGAATATGTGAGTCTTTTTCAGAATTAACCGTGTTCATCTGACAATAGCGTTAACATTTCTTCAAATTTAGAAGTGTAAGGCTCCGTTGCATGGCAAACAAGCATTCAGTTGTTGAACCCGATAGGCTTCAGTTACTGCGGCGCAAGAGCTTATCTTCCTGACTTGTCAGATCGGATCGGATGCAATTACCTTATGAGAACGAAGAAGACTTCGGACTCAACTACCTTGTGAGGACAAACAATGACATCGGAAGAAATTACTTTTTAAGGACAAAGAAGACAATCAGAAGAGCTCCAGCCTTACCGCTGTTGTAGTAGTCGCTGCTCATCCAAGCAGATGGTGTATAAAGACATCTGGAATTTTTGATCCTGACCGCTCAGTTTCCAGTACAAACTGGTCGTTACAATACTGTTAAGCACCACTGTACTTCAAGCAGTGATAAACTTCAGCCACGATCAAATTCTGACATCTTTCGACCAGCGATGCCCGCACAGGAGGATTTTTTGGTGGAACAGTTTATGGACAAGTACGAGGAAGATGTGGTCTATAATGTTGGTGAGACTTGCTGTTACTCTCTGAGCTTGAATGAACTGGAAGAATTATCCGGGGAGAAATTCGAGTTTGACTACGACAAAAGATTCACTTATGGATCTATTCGAGGCACTAAACAGTTAAGATCGTTGATAGCGGAAATTCACAGCAACGATGAAGTTCATCTCACAGAAAAAAATGTGCTGATCACCAATGGTGCAATTGGTGCCAATTTCTTGATCCATTATGCGGTAGCGGGACCCGGCGACCACGTCATTTGCGTGGCTCCAACGTACCAGCAACTGAATAGTGTCCCGCAAATGTTTGGTGCGGAAGTCGAATTGCTACAATTGAAAGCCACTGATGATTACCTCCCCAACTTTTTGGAGCTCAAAAGTATGTTGAAAGACAACACCAAACTTATTGTCCTCAACAATCCCAACAACCCACTTGGCAGTGTTATCCCAACGGAATTATTGGCCCAGATTGTTGCGCTAGCGGACGAGGCCGGAATCAGAGTGTTGAATGATGAAGTTTATAGCCCTTTATTTTACTCTTGCGAACAGCCCAAGTCGCTTTGCCAATTGAGTACTACTGGAATCACAACAGGCTCTATGTCAAAGGCCTATGCAGCCGCAGGTCTTAGACTCGGGTGGATAGTAACTCAGGATTTGGATTTCTTAGAAACAGCCTCTTCTCGTAGAGACTATAATACCATATCGGTGTCCATGGTGGACGATGCGATTGCTAGCTACATTTTGAGAAATCGCCAAGCTGTGCTTGATCGCAACTCGACCCTATGCAGAGAGAATTTGGCTATTCTCAAGGAGTTTGTCGAGAATTCAGATGGAAAGTTCACATTTCTCAACGAACCAAAGGGCGGCTCAGTTTGTCTGCTCCGGCTCAACGGTATAAAGGACACTGAAAAATTTGCAGCTACGCTCGCTACGCAATTCAAAGTGTTAGCTGCCCCAGGGGAGTGCTTTGGTATACCGGGTACTATCCGGATCGGGGTTGGAAACTCTAAAGCTGAAATGGTAGCAGCATTGCCGTTGATTGGCGAAGCCTACGACCAGTTCTTCAAGTGAATTGAACCAAGGAAAAACAAACCACTTCAGAGTTGGTGTTGCCTATACTGTCATCGCTATTTTCGTGACGCTATGTTCTGATGTCGTATCGTCAAATGCGCGCCACTCTCACTTTTATCACTCCTCACGTTCGTGACGCCCAAATCTCTTTTATCACGTTCTTCGCTACAGACTCTTATTTCAGCGCTAGTAAGACTCGACCGAGCCTGAAGAATCTCAAGTGCTCGATTTTTGTCCGACAGTGTGGAACCTACCCAACGCAAAGCTATACTTTTTGCGAAAACCCCCGAATCAACTTATCAAATTTTTGAGATCTACCACTAGCGCAGTCGTAACAATTGAGTGCAATTTTTGATGGGAACGCTTTCACTGATATAATGCATGCTACCTTGGCACTTTCAACATCAGACGTTAGACTTCTGTATTTAGCTACCGTCATTTCGTGCTCACATCCAAATGCCACTTTATTTCATAAAATTATGAATTTACCTTGATCATCTGACCATACTGAGCATCGGTCGATGTCCTTGCAAATATTGTAAACCGAGATCACGGCGTGCCGTTCGACTTCCTCTTGGTATTCTTCGACTTGATACACGAGTCCTCTAACCGCTTTTCTCATATCGGATTCTTTCTACACCGACTTCGGTACTGCAATGCTGGTCTAACCACCTTGAAGCCCACTTTCAAGTACACTTTGGTCACTCACGCACCCGAAAAGCAACGCACTACAAGCACTTATCTACTCCTACGACTCAATTCATTTTCGTTCACTCAATTAACCATCATATTCACTCACTTCGTCATGTTTAGAAGTTAACGTCACTATTAGGTCCCTCTTTAACCAAAAGCATAGTCCAGAAACAAACCAAACGCGGCAAATATCAATTGAACCCAAAGTATGCAAAAGTTTTGTGAATGATGATCGCTGATTTTTAGTGCACTCGACCAACTTCAGGTTCTTTTCTTTTTTGGCTTGATTACCACACCGAAATCCTTGAATTTTCTTGTTCAAAGGGAAAGCTCGGTAACAGAAGATGGCCTGCTCGGCTCAAAAAGGTCGCCATTTTAGCATTTACTTCTGCTGCCATTGAATGAACGTCCCATAGTCAGTTCTACAATTTTGAACATCTTCTTTTTGTCTGAGCTGGATTTGCCCTATTTCTCCGACATTAGATTAGCGAAGAGAGAAGGATCCTATCATTCCCACTGTATAAAAGCCAGCTGAAAGACATCAAAGGATCCCAATGAGCTGATGTCGATCCCTCTTTTTAACATCCAATTGGCCTTCACAATAAATCTAAATAATGGCTAAAATCAGAATCCCCATCGATATGGCGGAACTTTAACAGACTGCATTGGTAACCCCGGATTTGGAGATAACAAGGAAGATGTGGTCATAAAATTGTTGTCTGTGGACACCAAAAACTATCCAGGTGCACAACTGAAGGGAACTATAAGACCCAAGGAAATTTTCCAGAAAAAAACCATTTCAAGAGGTATTCTCTTATACTTGTCCGAAGTTGAAAGCTTGAGAATGGGAACCACATTGACGAACAATTGCGCACTTGAACGGAATGACGAACGCTCCGCTTTTATTACCACCAAGGGCTCAAGGACAGCCTCTTGATAGGTGACCTGACGAGACACAAGATTATCGGTTTGAAAACCAAAGGCCTCACTCTTCTGTATGAAGAAGTTATTGAAGCTGACGAAAGATTGACTCTAGGAAACGTTTCAGAGGGTCCAGAAAACGACAGGTCTCACGCTAATCCTAATGAGAACGTTTTCGTAGGCAAAAGTGGTGAACTCGTACGGGTTTTGAAAACAGATCTCGGTCTATGCCAAAGGCAATCTTTCAATCGGAGTTGCACTTCTTCGTTCCTACACTTATCCGGAACGTGAAGAGGAAGTTACGAAATTGTCCTCTGAGATCGGCTTCACCCATATCTCTTTATCGTCACAAATTTCGCCCATGATCAAGTATCTACCCTGAGGTAATAGCGCCATCGCTGACGCTTATCTGACACCCGTAATAAAAAATACCTGGATGATCTCCAAGCCGGTTTCATCAATACCCACAACACAAGTATTCAGTTTATGCAATCTGATGGTGGATTGGTAGAGGCAATTGGATACTCGGTGACATTGAGTTTCACAAACCTGGTAAAATTTATGTTCTTTCTGAAAGACGTGTCGTTGCTTCACATGGGCTCATTGGGGTGACGAAGCTGAGAGAGGCCTCCATTTATGGATTTGCGGAGACATTGAAACTGTCACGAATATTGGCGCCAAGATAACGATTAAGATTCACCCCAGTGACAGGATTGTAATATGGACACCTGGCGGCGGTGGATAGGGCAAGATGGACGATAAATGCAGTTCGTAGGGCGTTGAGTCCAATTTTCAGCAAGCTTCACACTCAAGGGCGGAATGTGGAGTTTGCCTTCTGTAAAGTCGGACTTTTTCTTCGCATTTGCGTTGCTACTTTGACCTAGTCTTGGTGAAAACTGTCCTTGCCGTGCTATTTAGTCGTATGAGTCAGAAATCTGCCTACGGAACACACCAAGTGCTCTTAATCGTTCATACAGCTACGTGGAATCATAGAATTGCCATATTACACACTAACTTTGCAGTCTTCATCGGTTTCTGAAATTTAGTAGACTAGTCTAGTCGAGACATGCCTATCGCCTCCAGATGCAACTACAAGTAAAATTGTCTCCTTATGCCGAATACTCCATTATTCACAGGATCATATCCGAATCGCCATCCCACATCAATCGAAGAGGCTACTGCTAAGCTTTTGTTGCGGACAAGAATAAGACAGAGGCACAGCGCAGCTTCCTACTTGCCGCACCATCAAAGAATCGCTACTGATCAGCACCGTTACTATTGGTATCGGTCATTCCGCACTACCTCGGATGAACGACGCTTATTTTGTACCACGTATTCGGCTTCTTGAAGTCAAATTTCTTCTTCAGCGACCAGATGGATGTTCTGTCGCTAATATATAGATGTCCGAGAAAGAGAGAGATGCCGTTGAATGAGTGTAAAAGACGTTGGCCTGAGCATCAAGAGTCCTAGATTTTAGGGTTGGAAAGCATAATCATCACCGTTGGCTTCGTAACACACTTGGTAAAATCCTAGGTGCCCCATCACATGCAAGTTAGTACCGGTGATCCATGTAAAGAGCATCAATCGAAGAGAGCATGCGTTCAGTGCAAGAAGAGAAAGAAAAAGTGTAGCGGCGAACTCCCATGCACTTACTGTATAAAGATAGACAAGCCTGAGCGGTGCGAATATCGAGCACGACAAACTTCTAAAAGGATCAGTGTCACTGCTAAATATGTGGAATCGTTGAAAGCCCAAATTCATGAGCTGGAGCAGAAGTTGCAGCAAACAACAGAAGACCGTTCGACGCAAAAAATGCCAAGGAAAACCAGCGATGCCAGAAATCCGCTCATTGAAAATGACCGCGAAGATTTCCGTTTGTCTGGTGTCAAAAATGTTGCCATTTCCGAGAAACCTTATACCGGCTATTCTTCTTGCGCTAAGTTCTTGACGGAAATCAGTGAATCGATAGTCGGAGCCAACACAGTGCGCCCCAAAAGCAACAATGCGTCCGCGAAAATACTGGCTCAGTGCCTGCAAGTCAGCACTGGTTTCCAGGAAATTTACCAAATAGCTAGAGATCGGTTGCCAACAATCGCACATGCTCTTATACTTCTGAGAGTAGCTGATAAAACCATCGGCGCTGACTACATGTATCTCGAGTCTGACTATACCAACCGCATTTTGGAACCCATCATTTACTCGTCAACCGTGCCGGAAACGGAAGAAGATGTGATTCTTTATGTCACTGAAATGTCCCGTTTCTATAGCTACATTGCGCTCGGATCTCTTTTTGATCACGGCAGTGCCAGACCTCGATGTCCTGGCGTTCATTTCTTCGAAACTGGCGTTTCTCTGCAAAGTTTCCTACAAAAAGCATACGATCAGGCAATCAGCAGTTCTCTGATTCAAACACACCTTTACCTCACTTTTTACTCGCTGTCTTTGAATCAAATGTCCTTTGCATTCAACATGATCGGAATCGCGATCCGAATGGCATTTTCACTCGGGTTACATGAGGCGACAGGAACGCTCGCTCAAAACCGAACGTTTTGGCTCTGCTTCGTTTACGATAGACTGATTGCAATTAGACTGGGTTTGCCATTCATGATTGAAGAGTCTGAAATCCAGATACCTTTTTTAGACGCAACCGACGATGGCTCAGAAACAACATCGTTGAGGAAATACTACTTGGCATCGCACGTCGGACTGGCAAAAATTACAACCAATATTATAAGGAAGATATACACCAGAAACTCCACTTCATTTGTCCAAAACTGCTATGACATTTTAGAGGATTTGCAGAATTGGCTCAATAATCTTCCAAGCAACCTAAAACTGGATCATGAAAAGATTCAAGGATGGGAGACCAGATCTATTTTCAACCTCCATATCAATTACAACTACTCTTTGATAGTAACGACTCGACCTGTCTTGTTCTACGTATTCCAGAGATCTTTGAGTGACAACGGAGAACATCGGCAAGGTATGTCAGAGAAGTTGTCGGGCGTTGTTGCTGATTTAGTTGACGCTTGTACTAAGGCGGCCGAAATTCAAAGCCGGATTCTCACTAAGCTATTTTATGGCGAAAACTTCGGAGTGTGCTCTTTCTTGGATTGTCATTTTATTTTCAACGCTACGGTAATTCTTATACTCCGGGCATACTGTCAGTCAATTCCAACTTTTGAGATCAAGTACAACTCAGATATGAATGTGCTATTCGAGCTGATACAACTAAATTTGAAAGTTTTGTCCTCTCTATCGGAACACAACGTTGCTGCTTCGCATTTCTACGAGAAGCTCACTGAGCTTTTGAAATTATTAAGATCTAGAGGTGCCTTCGTTGACATCCTTTCCACCAGGCCTAGAAAGAGCGGAAACTCTTTAGATCAACCACATGATGGCAAAATAGACATTCTTTGGGAAGATGAGGCTGTGTTTGAGGACAATTCTATTGATACCTTTGAGATCGTGGATATCGCACAAGTCTTGAATGGAATTGAAAACCAAGGTTACTTCGGGAATGGCGATCCATATTCGCTTGGTGATATTGATTATCTAGGATCCTTCGATTGGCATTAAGAGCCGGTATACACTTTTCACTTTCTATTTGAGGTAGTTGGATATGGTGAAATTATCAGTTGATATACCCGATCTTTGCCGAAGCTCCTTCCCAATCTACTCTAGGAAGCCAAAAACTTGGTCCGCAGCCACAAGTTCAAACCATGTTGAATTTAGGCGTTCCACTGGCTCTACGGACGCCTTTATACGCGACGTTTCGCACATACTAGAGAAAGAGTGAGACATATTAGTGAAGATTCCATGATGGGTACTGTCTGCAAGTTGCTGTATCGGACTGAATTGCACATACTCATATTTCGTGCATGAGACCATGCAGAGAAACTCGAGCTCGCTTCATCTGTGAACTGAATGGACAGCCTCGCGAGTCTTGAGCATACCTAACTCAGGATGTTTCCCTGAGAACCCTCACATTCTCAGGGCTTGATAACAGTGCGTATGTTCGAGTTTAAGCGGAGAAGTAGAAGTTTTCAAGGTCAAGGTAAGTCCTGTTTACCGGAAGTTAAGAAGGTTGGTTTAGCCCGCGTCACCTATCATTCACATCATAAGAACAGCGCGAATTGGAAACCAGCCTTTAAGACTATCAAATGACGTGAATTTCATTTTATTGACTACAGAGATAGATAATTTCATCAGAGCATATCCATACCGTTACAAAAGCTTGAAATGAGTACCGAAAAACAACCTTTGCATGCTAATGTTTCATTTTATCGGGTACTCGACAATTGGCATCAAAGCATATTTCCCAGAAAATTTCAACAGCACCAAATACCACCTTTTCCCAAGCAGTAGAGAGAATCTCTCTTTCTGCATCGGCTTCCTAAGTTTCCCGCTCAGCTTCGACCGATCTGTTCGCAAACCTCAGTGATGGATCAACGTATCTTGTCAGCAACTTGGAGACTGACCCGACAGTTCCTGTGCTTGAGTCAGGCAGGTGGCACACCATTTCAGCCAAACAGACCATGATAAGTGACATAAGCAGACACAAAGTAGACATACCAGCTGGCCTGTATTTATGCAATGCAAAAGACTGACCGGCGAAACGCTTAATATCCAACATTGAACCCAGCGCAATGAGCTGAATGTGGCGGGGTTTCGATGTCCTATCAAAGCTCCAAAACATGCATTTGTCTCCCAAAACGGCTTACCATAACTCACGCATTCGAGATCAATTGCATAGGCTTTATCTTATTGTCCAAAGGCTTTTTCCTTCCAGTACATTCAAATTCAGCTGAATCCAAAGACTTTTTTCAAACAGCTGGTGTTGGGAACTGGGATGATGATGGTTGCATGGATATATACAAGCATCAGAGACTTTTAAACGAGAAATTGAGCATGAAATTGGAGAAGCATTCAACATGCTTGCCGCTTTATTTCTCAGATTCAACTCAAAATTAAACTCAAGGTCCAGGCGATTTGAAGCTTTCAAAAAAGGCACGGAACGTCCAGCGCCATACAGTCTGGTCAGCAGTACGATCTACGCTTTAGTCTTCCAATACAATCCGTCCCTATCATAGAGGTCTAATGTCGTCGTCTGAAAGTTACTGAATTGAGCCAGTCGGTGGCTGTAAATCAATCAAAGTACGTAAAAGACGTATTGTAGAGCCCCAAAAGCGCCAAAATAAGCTACAAAATGACCAAAATATGCCCAGTTGTGAAGAATTTCGGCGACTTTCCCATCGAATACACTGACACACAGCAGGAGAGTCACTGAACGTAGAAAAAAAGGGCATGCATTATTATAGCGTTAATGGGTACTAGTTTTGTTGGAGTGCAAAATCAAGATAATTGGGAGGGATAGGCTCAGGTTGGATTTCTTGAAGCATGAATTGATGGTTGGCCTTCTTGTCCTACAGAGAGATGTTTAATTGACATTTATCTTGACGACAATCCGGTGGAAAATTTCACCAAAAAGTGCGCTGTGAAGCTGAAGCCCGGGGAATACCTGTCGAGGAAATTTTTTAGTGCGATGCAAGACAGTATGTCAGCATAATGCTGTGCCGTGTGGGTTACAGCCGAATGTTGGGTGGTGACTGATAAGTACAAAGTGATTTGACGTAGTTGGCAAGCATGGTAAAAGTCCGAACAGCTACCTACTTTGGAGACAAACACTGCAAATTCGTCCAGACACATCAACTAGTGGTACATTAGTAGGCTATTCCTTGATTCTGAGAGATATCTGGATAATGATGAACTAAAGTCACGTGATTTAAGAAAGACGACAGCGACAGGAGCAGATAGGAGTGATATCTCGGATAAGCATGAGTTTTCTTCCATGAGAACCGTCGATACTTTGGGAAACCATGCCGGTTTGGTTCATATCTACGGATCCAAACTTCTCATTCAACTACGTATTTTTCCTTCTTTTATTTAGGATTAGCTTCTGTTACTGTCATTAACGTAATTAAAATGAATCACTAAGATATCGAAATGACAAACGAGGTCAAGTTCTTTAAGAGTTACGGTATGAGAAGTAAGTGAAGGGATCCCTCAATAGAATCTAACTCAATTGATCTACAATTCTCTCTATATATAGCGTATATATTTATATGCCGCTTCCTTTTGAAGTCGGCTATTAAAGCTCATGAATTAACCATATCTATTACAGGCTTATCACTAATAGTCGTGAAAGGCTCTACTGGGAGATAGATACCACCTTATCTTGTTACCTTCCTACATAGGCCAAATACGCGATCAAGTCAGCAATTGGCAGGCGAAGTCATTTGCTACAGATGGTTAGAAGCTATTTCGGCCTTTTAGAGCTCTTTTTCGCCGACAACTAGGTGTCAAGCCTTCGAGATAGAGAGAAAGACACTCATACTAGAAATCGAGAACACATTGTATATATCACAATCTTGAAACTTGAGGTTTCTCAACAGCACGAACGATTGGGGAGAATAGTTTTCTACTGTCAACGCTCGAGACCAGTATGACTTCTTTGACGTTTGTATCGCAGGACAGTAAAGTGAAGAAATATGGCAACAAGAAGCCTACGCCAGCATACTTCCCCACGTCTAAAGACTCAATCCTGATCCCAGATTTCAAGTTTTACGATTCGGTAAAAGCAGCAAAACGGGTTTTGACCCATACTTATGAAGTTCCGGTCAGATCCGGGAAGGCTTGGAAAGCTTCCAAAGGCTCGATAGTTCGCATTTCAACTCCCGAAGGGCCTCAAGTATGCGACTTCAACTGCTGGGAGCAGAACTCGAATTTCAAAGAGCATCTGTGGGCATCCCGCACAAGACAGCTACATTCTGCCCATGTTTCTGTGTACGACAAGTTGTGGTCGAATTTGCCATACCTGCGTCCTCTTCTCACCATCATCGGAGACACTCTTGCGGGCTATGGACCGAACGAAAACGGCGGAAGAGCCCATGATCTGCTGGGAACTCGCTGCGATCCATACGTGGACAAGCTTTTGAGTGGTCAGGATAACGATTTCCATTGTCACTCCAACTTGTACCGTGCGATCAAAGAGTTTGGCGGTGAAGAAGAAAATGTGCACGATGTTCTTAATATCTTCCAAGTGACGGGACTCAATGAGAACGATCAGTATTTCATGGAGACATGTCCGGCCAAGAAAGACGACTACTTTGAGTTTTTCTGTGAAGTTGACCTGTTATGCGCTATATCTGCTTGTCCAGGAGGAGATTTGTCCAATTGGGGCTGGGGCGAGGGAGCAGCGTCCAGTGAAGAAGGTGCTTTTGGAGAAAACGAAAATGTGGAAGATATGACCGGTGTGTGCAGACCACTCCGGGTGGAGGTTTTCGAGGTGAAAGATACTGAGATTTTAGCAAGCTGGAACTCGCCAAAGCCTGTTAAGTACAATGGCAACCATGGTTTGTAGGGTGGTGCATAGACTCATGATTGCATATCATAAAATTGCAGCAAAGCCGGAAAGTACACAACATCGGTGATTGAACGATGGTTAGTATGGGTATGAGGTAACATGGGTGAATCGGAGCGAAAGTGGTGATAATACTTTGGTGTGAAGCGGCCGCAAGAATAGCAGCAGGGCATGAGGTAACCTGGTAGATGCATCTGAGAGTGGAAGGCACGATGTGAATTGATGGCCGCGGAAGTCTGGAGGAGGCAACAAGTATTTGTCACTTTGTACCGTCGCGTCGTTGTGGTGTTAATCGTGAAATGAACGATCACACCGGAAACATAGAGGCGCGGTGAAGTGATACGAAAACAAACCAAAAAGCTTTCAATGAAACCTTCAAACTTGTTGTAATTGCTGAAAGTGTTGGCACTGTCTAGAGTTACTATCATTGATCCATCAACCGATCACGTGCATCTGATGACAGCGTCAGAATAAAAATAATAGCCAGATCGAGTCATCTTCAAATTTGAAAGGTGTCCGGATTACTGTTCACACGTAATAACAAGGATGCGGTCAATCTCCACAATATTCACTACTGATCACTGATGTTCTTGGCCGTTCGCGATGGCTATCTTATTGCTCAGCAATTCTCTTAGCCATTTTGATCACCACAGGTAGCCAAAGATCTCAATTTTTCAGCAATAGCCTGCGCTATCTTTCATTTGGTCAGCTACAGTCCCATCGTACTCTATCGTCCCTCATTGTTTTCAGATCTTGGCTTCTTTTCCATGTTCGAGACAATCTGTTAACCATATGAGAATACTGACATCTTATCAATAAATGACATAAAAGAGAGCTCGATTCGAGCAGAAAACAACGAAATGTACCATTTAGTGAACCTCACGCAAAGCTGGCGACCGCTTTAATTTCGTCACTTACCTAGCCTGTATAGTTTTCTATCTAGAGCACAAACCTGCTTCGAACGTTACGATTCACAGCACTCATCGCATGTCACAGCAGAAAAGTCCGAGCAGATCAGTAAAGGAACGCTTACAACGTTCAAATCACTTAAAATCAGTCGGTACCCTGAGATAGACATCCTCAAGAATACCTGATCGGCGTCAGACTTATCAACAAGACTCATACGATCATCAGCGATAGACTGTTACAGCAAACAAAATTGACAAAGACATTAAGACCACAGATCTTGGAGTGTCAGAGCCGTCGGCCTTACTCGTCGGAATTACAATAGCAAGGCATATATAAGTACCGATTGAGAGGAATAGAAGCAGCAACATTGTTGCCCTTCCTTTGGATCATTAGAGTGTGGCCCATTTTACTACCAAGATGACTAACACAAAGGATATCTCGCATCTGGGCAAAGCAACTCAACTCACGCTGGTGGGCAGAAATACCGATGAACAGCACGGATTCATCAATCCACCGCTATACAAGGGCTCAACGGTCATCCACAAAACTCTCGATAGTCTCGAAAACAACCGAGGTAAGTACTTCTACGGAACCGCAGGTACTCCAAGCATCGAAAGCCTCGAGACTGCTTGGACCCATCTGACGGGAGCCGCAGGAACCGTGTTATCACCATCAGGACTTGGATCCATCGCTTTGGTGCTTTTGAGCATAGTAAAGACAGGCGACCACATCTTGATATCAGATAGCGTTTACCAGCCCACCAGGAATTTGTGCAATGGCATCCTAAAGAAGTTTAAGGTGACCACCGAGTATTACAATCCATTGGTCACCGCCGCTGGTATCGAAAAGTTGATCAGACCCAATACAGCGCTCATTTTTCTGGAAAGTCCCGGATCTCAAACCATGGAGGTCCAGGACGTACCTGGTATCGCCGAAGTTGCCAAAAAGCACGGTGTCAAGACCATCCTGGATAACACTTGGGCTACACCGCTGTTTTTTAAGGGCCATTCTCATGGAATAGATATTACCATCGAAGCAGGCACCAAATATGTGGGGGGCCACTCAGATCTGCTTCTAGGATTGGTGTCTGCAAACGCAGAAAGCTTTCCTGCACTCCGCAATACCTATGAATCCTTGTCAATGCTGCCAGGTGCCGAAGATTGCCTGGCAGCTTTGAAAGGGCTACGGTATTTGCATTTAAGACTAAGAGAAGTTGAGCGGAAAGCGTTGATACTGGCGAAATGGTTGAGAAGCAGACCTGAGATCCTCAAGGTGCTGCATCCAGCACTTGAAGAATGTCCTGGCCACAGATTTTGGGTTCGGGACTTTGAGGGATCCACCGGTGTTTTCACTATACTACTACGTGAAGGCTTCAGCAGAAGGAACTTCGAAGCAATGCTTGAAAAGACTACCATATTCAAGATGGGTTACTCGTGGGGTGGATATGAGTCGCTTCTTACACCTGTTAATCCTGTTTCTTTCCGGACTGCACAAGCTTGGAACCACGTAGGCTATGCAGTGAGGCTTCAAGTTGGAGCGGAGGATCTAGACGATTTGAAGCGCGACCTAGAATTGGCGTTCGAACGTCTATCAGAGCCTTCGAAGCCCCGCTTATGATCACACATTTGCGAACAAGAAAGGGCTTTACGCCTATCAAATAGTTAGTCTGATTTCAATGCGTTGTTTCATTACGCTAGGAGTTTAGAGTAGACGAATTTATGTATGTTACGGCCGATTCGCAAGGAAACCCAAGAAAATGAGCTTATTAGTTTACTAGCGTGCACTTCCATCGAGGCTAACTCTGCTGTTATAGCATACTTCCCCAGAACTGGATAGCGCATAGAATAAAACGTTCTTCGTACCAGTCCCGATTCTTGACGAGATGTCAAATGTAGCATCTTGTCAAGCGTCTCCACAGTACAGCTTGTTCATTTAAAGGTATCTTCCTAGTTGCAAAAAGTCATCCTCGAAAAGTCTATTCCGATATTGCTCTTTTGCCTTTTCGTGAAGACCTTCTCAAAGTCTATCCTGAATCGTCTAGCTAATGTCTGTGTTGCTGAGTTAAAAGCGCAAAAACTTTATTAATATCTACGCAGCAGGAGTCATGTAACAGCTCACTCATGACCCAAACCACTCTTTTTTGCTAGCGCTATCAACGTTGCCACAACTGCCCTGTACAACACATCCCAATTACCTGAAGACAGAAAGAAGGACAATGTTTTAATGCATGAAACCCTGGATAGTTGCCCATTACAACAATAAAATCCGAATCGTTGTCTATCAAAAGTGAGCACTTACATTCGCAAATGAGGTCACGCCTGCGTAACCATTGCAATGCTGCAAGATGTTATGGTCCTTGCCTGAAAGCGATGATTATTTCCAGTATTGGAAGTGAATTATCGAAAAATGAAGACGAATGTACCATTCGAACTGCAATGACAGACGCACTCCTTTCATTCTTGTGCATCACGCATATGTGCATTCAGAACGATGAAGTGCAATCCAGGGAAATAAAGGGTAGCATAAAAGCATCACAAAATTTCGCATCATGAAGTTTCCTGGAGACTCTTCTGTGACTACATTCTCTCAGCGAGGATGACGAAATGAGAAATGAACTGGATTCCCATCCATCGTTCATATGGTCATAGCTGACAGCATTCAGATCAATTGGATCGCTGCACAGCCTTTCGAAAGTAGCGTAGGCAGACAATCCAAACTGTGCTCATACCCTTTCAATGACTACAGTAAAAAGGGAGGACACGGACTCCACATCTTGAGCATTATCTGATGTTTGGCTTCTACAACGAAGGCTTAATGAATGAAGAGGGATCAATCCTGGGAAACTTGAGGGTCCAATAAAATCAAACTCGTGAAAGCTCACAGGGTTTCACAAAGAGAATGCTCAGCTCTTGTTTCCTGAAACTTTCGGTGTCGACACATTGGACTTCTTGTGACAGATTAACAGATCGAAATGTTCACTGAAACTTCTCGTGATTACAACTTCAACTTCAGGGCTAAAAGTCTGGTGCTCCAGGAGGTGCGTGTCTGCAACGACAAAGGTACTACTCTCCAAGCGAGGTTCCTCTGACTTAGATATTTTACCGATAACAGCATCCACAAAGCCTGGAGATGAGTCCTTTGAGTTGGATTTCTCATCGACCTTTATAGGCATGATTTGGACGTCCTCTCTGTTGGCTCCATGGCGCGAAAAAAAGTCCTTGAAGTATTCTCCGTTGATACTGTTGATGCAGATAGTTAATTCCATTGTCTCATGCGAACCTTCACTCAGCACCTTCGACATGATCAGCACCAGCAAGTGTAAACAAAGGTGTTCAGACTCTGCAAGGGTTTTGTCTGGTAGAAGAAGGTAGAATCGACCGCCCATCATCGTTTTGGAACGTTTTTTCGGCTTGGAGTTATTGATGAAAAACACTAAGCTCGACGCATACTTTGTCGCAAGCGATTGCAAGAAATTACTCGGAAGCTCGTTCGCAGCAAACATACGCGCAAGTTGATCTTTAGTTCTTTCATTAGCAGCCGAATCTCCGACGCCGCTTAGAGGGAAGAGTATGACATCAGACTTCGTGGCAGGAATTTCGTTTATATGATGCACTTTTTCATTCAATAAGGAGAAAATCACTTCTCCAGAGTGTGCAGCATTGATAAGTTCACAAAACACCTGGACCGTCTCTAAACAGAAATCATCGGGAAAGTTAGAGCTTTGTTGGTAGCTACTAGAATTTGGTAAATTCTGTAATAAGTCTGTAGTTCTTTCGGTTAATAGCCGAAAGTATATTGTCCTAAGTTCTGTGCGGTCTACAGCTGGATTAATAAGAGTGATTTGCTGTTCCAAATATTCGTGATCAACGCTATCCAAATGCTCTGGAGCCATATGTTTGTCGGAGTGAAGAGATTTTGGTGAGGAAATACTTTTCCGCTTACCTATTTGCGCGGGATCCCCATGTACCAAGCAGTTCAGCAGAGTAACAGTGGGGAAAACGAGCTCAGGTCTATTGAGAACGGTGACAATACGCTCTATGTGATGCTGCTCCAATTCATGATGTGAAACTCCCGACGAACCCTCTTTCTGGTCTCGCTGCGAATTTTCTTGTTGATCTTCTAGATGCAATTTCAGCTCCTCTCGATAAGATTTAGGGAACAACCATAATGTCAGAGGCGTTGTAACAAAAGTAGAAATCAATGCCATGAAAATGAACATTGAATACACCTTTGTAGAGATTATTCCAGCATTTAGACCGGTCGTTAGCACAACGATTTCCACAATTCCCTTACAAGACATTAATACACCGACCGCCAAGGACTCGCGCCAGAAAAGACCATTTATTTTTGACATGACGAAACCGGATGCAACTTTTGTGGAGACTGCTATTCCTATGCTTGCAAAAGTGAAACCCCAGTCTTTTCCAGCATTGAGCTTGGTCAAGTCAACGTTGAGACCTGCGATCGTAAAATAAATGGGAATCATCACAATGTTTGGAATGTCTTCCATGCGATCAGCCAACTTTACAACGTAGTTCTGGTCCCGGGGAACAATGAGGCCCGCCATGAAGGCACCGAAAATTGGGTGAACGCCGATGATGTCTGTGAAGTAAGCGCTGACGAATGTTAGCAGCAGTACTATGAGAGTAGCCCTTGTTGAGGGCGTGCTTCTTTCGAATTCATGCATGCGAAGAAGGGCCCATCTGAGCGCATACCGCACGGGAAAAGCGTACATTAAAAACCAGCCACAAGTGCACAGCAGGATGTACACCACATTTACCGCGTGTGCTTGTGAATTGGACAAAATGATGCACAGTGCAAGTAGAATCCACCCAATGACATCGTTGATGGTTCCTGCTGCAAGAACAACGATACCTACGCGTTCGGTCAGAAGCCTCAACTCAGCTAGAATACGACATAAAACGGGGAACGCTGTTACTGACAGTGACACAGCGATAAAGACCATGAAAACAGTAAATTTAATACCTTGTTCACTTTCTACATTCTTCATGTAGGTATTGTACAAGGGAATTGCAAATAAACACCCAAAACCAAAGGGTACCGTCAAAGTAGCGAGTCCCACCGAAAAGGCTGTTCTTGCATGGTTCTTTATGAAGCGCACATCGACCTCCAGTCCGAGGAAGAACATGAATAGAATGATCCCCAGGTTGGCCACCAAATTAAGTCCTGTTACAGAGGCCTTGGGAAAAATCGTATTTGTATAATGAGGAATCTGGCCCAGTGCTGTGGGTCCAAGAATAACACCAGCTATCACCTCAGAGATCACTTTTGGCTGCCTCAATCTTGCCAAAAACAAGTGCAGCCCGTTGGAAAGCAGCAAGATGATACACGCCTGTATGAGAAACAACGTTACAGGAGAGCTTGCATTGAAATGGAAAGGATTGACACCTGAAATTACACCTCCCACAGCTCCTGCCATGGTCAAAAGCCCTTCAGATTGGTGTTAATAGTGGTGAATATTGGGTGCATGGTTCTGGATCTGTACTGTAGTTTATGTATCCCTCTCAGCATTTAAGATTTAGAGATGAGGTCTAGATTGTTCAGATCATTTTGGACGCGTGTGACATTCTGTACAAGGTAAAACATGGCAAAATGCAGTATATTCCGAGAATCTTGGTGAATAGAGCTAGGTATTGAGGATATTTTGGGTATGGTACTAGCGAAGCTGGTTAGAAAATGAGCTTGACGTTTAGTTGTGTAAGAATCTACCCGCAATATGGATCACGTGACCTGTGTCAGCGACGGACTGACAAGAAATGATAAGGATTTGAAAGTTGACCATGGAAGTCGTTGTTCGTTGTTCTTAGATCGAAGAGCATTGTAAGTCTGGTCCGGTGCTGTCATCTGATAGCTAGTGTCGGCTTTGGTCTCTTTTCTCCGACTTTTTTCTTTGGTGCGTTCTTCTAGGTGTGCAATTGATTTGACAATATTTCTGTTTCTCCATCAGTCGAACGAAAGCTTGCGTTGACGTGATATTCAACGTGTACTGCCACTTTTGTAATAGAAAAGATCGTCGCAGAGAAGCGTATTGGCTGCACTTTTCTTATCTCAGTCACAACATGTTGTTACTTGTAAATAGACCATGTGAACGGTTGCATCACTACAGCTCGTGAGCTCACTCTCAGCCTATTGGAAGTTTTGGGAATGGCACAATCCAGTGTTTGATCCTAGTCTTATGTATTTGTTCACTTTTTCAAAGACAGCTTCGAGAGCGTATTATTCTGACATTACAGAGTTCTCCAGGTTATATAGAACAACGACTCTAAAAAACAACGCTTTTGACTATGTCAAACACCTAAGTGGATAGCATCAAGGCCATGTCGTAACTCACTTTTATTATATGACTATAGCATTATTATTAAAGACATTATATACTCGTATCGCGACAGTTCAAGTTGTTCATCAGCTGTATCGCTTGTTGTGAAGGGCTTCAAGACGTGCTAATTGGCATAGCGAGACCTTCCCCGCATTTGCGGACCATATTTGTAGAACACGAACGGAATGATTGCCAAACCGATAGAGAAGAATCCAATTAGAGAAGAGCCCCATCCAACAGGGTATTTTTCACTTCCCAGGTTGTTGTACATCGCTTGGCCAAACAGTGGAAAAGCACAGGCAAACACAGAGCGACAAAATCCATTGCTGGCAAACACGGAAGCGATGTAGCGTGGGTAACAAATTGCAAGGTACGCAAATGCCGATTGGAAAAGGTTAAACACATTCAAGACAAAGAACATCTCTGAAATGATCGGTAATATCCAATGAACTCGTGCTGTCCACCCAAATAAAAATAGCGATAGTGGCAGCGCCCAACAAACAGCCATGGAAAGCGGAAGGAAATCCTCTGGTGTAAAAGTGCCCTTTTGGAATTTGGGCCCAATGTATTTGGCAAGATACACCAGCAGAGCCGCATACGCTATCAAACAACCAACGCAGAAACCCATATATGCTAATCCCATTTCCACCAGTGTAAAATGGTAGATGCCGATGAAAACTATTGGGAAAGCTTCAAAAAAGAGATAAAAGGCACCGTAACACAATGCAATGTAAATATCGAATGCCAGTACTGCAGGCTCCAAAGCCATGATCAAAAAGGGTCGCACAAATACTTCCTTCAAAAAAGCGGATACTTCGATTTGAGCATCGGCACGTTCTTGCTTGGTGTAATAGCGGTTATCGCCGGTCTGTTTCCTCAAACGTCTTGCTCTTCTGTGCAAGATGTTCTGGTGCTGAGTTTCGGGGAACAAACAAACCAGCAGTATCAACGTGAACGCGCTAATCCACATCAACAGCCAGAAAACATAGCGCCAATTTTTGGCCACGGTCATTGCCGCGCCTAGCAGTGGCGCTATCACCGGAGCGGCCACGGCTCCAATGGCCCACAATCCGATGAAAACCGACACAATCTCGGGTTTGATAATGTCACCCATGGTGCCGCCTCCTGTAGCAAGGGATGGTGAGCAAAGGACACCTGAAATAAACCTGATTACGATCAAGCCACCAATGTTATGAACCGTGGCAGCACCGACCTGGAAAATCATAAAGAAAAACAGCGTTATGATGTAGATTTGCTGGCGCCCGATACTGGCCACCTCCGAAAGTGGTGAAAATACAATGGGGCCCAAACCGTAACCTAGAACATAAAGAGACAAATTAAGAGTGCCAACTACATGGCCAACGTTGAACTCCTGTTGGATGAATTCTTGGCCTGGGGTATAAATTGACGCGCCCATGTAAGTAGTCGTCGTGAGCAACATCATTTCAAATACCACTAATGCCTTCTTACCACGTTTCCAATTCAGAGGGTTATCCACATCGTTTTCGCCCTCCCAGTCTACCAAAAATGGATCTTTTTCGTAAGAGGAATTGTGCTTTACTGAGTCGCTCGCATCGGCTTCGAGATCCTGAGAATGCTTGGATTCCTCGGTCTCTGTTGCTGACGCTGCAGTTTCCGTGGGGCGATGAACCTCAATCTTGACGAGATTTACGGCCTCGAGTACATCAAGAAGAAAAGTGTCCTTGAAGTGGTGCTTATAGCCCATGGTGATGAATTGTCACAGTTATTTTTCGGTGTTTTTGGATATATGACAGCGACACACTATTTGATAAAGAGCTGTTAATAAAGGCCATTCTTATACTGAATGTCAAACGCAGTTCGAATATGATTTGAAGCTACGTTTCGAAGGTTAATACTGGGTTGTCGCCTTCTGCTGACCAATGGTTTTGCCTCGCAAGAGAAGAGAGAAGGTAATGACGACCTCCTTCTTACAACCGAAGCCTATATAAATCCTAAGTTTACTCTGAGATACGTGCTGCCTTGCCAACCTTCTGCTATTCCCCCCATTTTGTTGTAAGCTCTAGGGATTCTGTCTGTCCGCCCCAGTTGAAAGTACGTTTGATAATATCAGTACATTAGGTAGTTGAAGGGTTGAAGGGCGCGGACTGGCGGGAGTAGTGGTTGCAAGCCACCAGTGCAACAGTTCATGGCTGGTTGTTGCGACTTATAGCGGTATTTGGCCTGCAGGCTATTGCACCTTTGGGCAACTTGTGTTATGTCATTGCAACCAGGGACCCTTAAAGGAAGTAAGGCGGAAATTTGAGAGATGCCATACACAGTAGCTGAGAAAAGCACCAAGCCGTAAGGATAAAGCAAGGGAATAAGAACTAAGGTCAAAGGCTATATGGGGGAAAGGATGAATGAAATATCTATTGTCAGGGTTGCAGTAGTTTTTCGTTGATTTTCGACCTGCCAGTTTACTTCTAGCCCAGCACAACCGTATGATCGATGTGACGTCAGGACAAGGCGTCCTGGTCGTAAAGACACACATAATAAGCATCAAGCTTGTGGAGAAGAATGGGCTATCTCTCAGTAAAATCCGGGGTACTGCAGAAGGGTAGACAATGACAAGCATCTGCAGATGCAATTAAACGGGCGTCAGCGACAGAAAGCGTAAAAATGATAAAGTTTGTGGAGCAGCGGAAGAGGAGTTTGACGGTTCTAGAGAGCGAAAAGACTGCACAGGGTTCCCCCCAAGCTGTAGAAAAATTTTAAGAATCAAATAGCCTTTTGGGCTTCCGGGCTTGCAACGTAGTCGAAACTTTAGTTTAAATGTAGTTTCCAGCGTATGACAGATTCGGGCCAAGACCCCCCAAAACTCGCCAATCATAGTTCTTTTTGAATGTAGAAAGTTCTTTTTGTCCGCAGGAATGTTGATCTCTACTCAAGCAGGGCGTCGCGACTCTTGAAATTGAATACGACACTGTTCAGCTATTCTCCCATCATTAAATCCTTAAGTCACAACGGCTCGAAGAGCCGCTCAGTATTTGAAAAGGAATCCAGCTTTGACAATAAAATAGCTTCACAGTCGAGCCCTTCTTGACCTCCGACTCCACTCGCTGGCATAAAATGATGTTCTGATGTCTAGCGTCAGATTAATAACAAAGTGATCACGGTCACGTGATGGTATGACAGCGACAGAACGAGTTGAATAGCATTTCTGAATTTCCAACGTCACAGCCTGAAAGGAATCTGATGGTACCAGCAGTTTTATCACATCAGTACAAATGGATCGATTTGCCGCCATACCACCTCTATTCTAATAAATACTTTCCCTTTCCTGTGATGATGAAATGATTTTCAAAAACGTACGAAATGGCATAGTCTGTCAACTTACAATGGTGGACTTCACCAAAGCTATGGAACGATTATCGTATCACAGCGCTTCGGGGACTACCTCCAATGCTCACGACAAATTTGAACATCTAAAACTGGCGGAATCCTTGCCTTCTCACAATTTCCAAATTACATCTGCTCTTTTCAGAATCTCATTCCAAGGCGTGTCCAGTCCGATTCCCGATTCTCTTCCCTCCAGATTTATGCTATTTATGCTTAAGTAATTGTTCCCAACCTTTTGACCTGACTACATAATCACACAGTCCTTATCATTATTTTTACGCGAGGCAAAATTGGACGAAGGTTGCACCCTAGTGGCAGGTGGTTTGACAGTAGTGTGGCCCATACCTGTTGTGGAAAGTCTGTTAGTATCTTTGAAGGAAAGAGGATCCAGAAGCGATTTCTGCCCTGATCTAGGTGGAGCAGGCGGAAGCTCAGATTTGGGACCGTAATTTTTAGTGTCTAGAATTAGTTCTGGAGCGTGCATTACCACAACTTGCTCTTCGCGGCGTCTCGCCACGGGTGTAGGGGCCTTACTTTCGAGGACAGGATCGATTCCGGCCTGCAACAAGCTATTCGCCAAGAAAGAGTACACGCGACGCCACGTCTCTTCGAGTTCGTGTGTGCAATGTACTCCGAATCTTTCACGAACAGTTTTGATAAAAGCGATACCGGCGAATTCAAACTGTTCTGCTTGAACACCGATAATACGGGCGTGCCGTTTACCGAGAGACCCCAGATAGGTATCTAGAACGGATAAATCTTCGAGATTGTTGACGGCAATCGTAAGCATTCCGGTCACACCAACGGCGATGTGTTTGATCATTGGGAAAAGCGTTTCTAGAACTGGCGCCAGCGCTATAATATTTTCAAGAAATTGGTCACCAAAAAGCGAGTTCGAGTTTTTGATATTACTACCGTTCCGTGCACGGTCTGGTCCGTATGAACTGTTTTGCGAGCTAGGGCCTTGTAATTTACTAGTTGCCTCTGCGATTGATGGCTGCATTCTGCTGATCCCGCTCATGCTTTGATGCATCGTTCTTCTGGGTTTTTTTTTGGTCATTTCACCCATTCCGAGTGTACGACCAGTCTGCAGTTTAGCGATAAAGCTCTTGAGCTTCTCTGGTTGACACTCGTCGTCTAGCAAAATCGACCAAGACTCTCTGATGAGCATTATATCGCGTGCAGAAAGTTTCATGGTCAATTTATAGCGAACACCATGCTCAATGCTGGACTCGAGCGACGAGTTACTGGATACACGGGTGAGAGGTTCACCAGAAGAACCATTGCTGCTTTGGCCATGGTGTATACCTCCAGTACTAGCGATGGACTGGCGTCCAGAGAGCGAGTACGAGTACGAGTCCTCTTCGGAATCCTCAGTTCCAGGCGCCAACTTCGAAAACACCATAGACGACACAGTCTCTTCTAACGACGAGTCGTCGCCGCTCACGTGACCCGCACCTGCAGAGCTAGGATTCATGTCGCTGGCCATACTATGGCGACCCATCATCATATCTGCCGATCCAGTATTGCCCGGTGTTCTATAACTGCTGTAGGGATTGGTCCTCCCTGGTGTTGAGGGTGCAAATGCCTGGTCTCTTGAGTTCATCATCATAGCCATCATGCCAAATTGTACCAGACTCTCGGACCTGCTTACCGACGAGTAAGCTTCTGCACCCGTAGCCGTGTGGAGTTCCCCTACAAACCGGATACTTCTTATATATTCCTGTCTTCAGTTCTTTTCACAACGTTCGGTCTGATGATGAACAGTAGAAACCAGCAAACGAACGGTTGCTTATCCCTATGCACGGTTGATGCAATTAGTATGCATAGAACATGCTCGAGCACCAAATACTCAGAAGCGGCCGCACTGCATGCATATGTGCAAGTCTAAAGTCCTAATTTTGAGAAAAGGACGAGACATCTGGTCGCACCAGCCGAACTACTCGACACAGCGTTACCTCACTCCGTTGCATCTCGCGTTGGTGAAGATGCGGTAAAGATGCAATGATGTTGGGAAAAAAAAAATACAACACCGCCGTTTACCGACACATTACCCACCAATCCTGCTGTAGTATCTGCCTGTTGCCCATGGCACTGGTTCGGCTGTACTAAAGCATGGGTCGCTTTCACACGGAACATAGTCGGTAATGCATACTCACCGGTTTCTATGGCGAGAACGTTGGTTTTAATGATTTTTTTTTTCACCGTGTATGGTGGGGGCCTGGAACACCGGAAAAAAGCTTAAGTGAAAATTCAAGATCACCGTAAGAGGAAGTATGGTAGTTGTGCTGTCAGCATGATCAGACTGGGAGGGAGAGAGAGTAGTAATAGGGAAGAGCTAGAGAATAGCGAGGTGGATGCATGGAAGATGACGTTACAACTGGATCAGTAAGCATAAGGCATTGGCAAAGAGGAAGAAAAAAAGAAGAAGCCTGAGCGCGTGAACTAATACGTGAAGGTCCGTCTTGAAAGCGAGGCCAGTAAAAGATAGACTTCTTCCGGTGCCTTCGACTTGCATTCCCGTAGGCTAAACCAAGTTCGTGCTGGCATTTAATCGTGGTCACGTGATCGACATGTTGAGACGCCCTGCGACGCATTGGGTAAAAGTGACAAGTAGTGGTTTCAACCGCGGACTCCCAAGACTCCATTCAATGCATCAGAATACACACACGCACATATAGCGCTTCTCTGTTGTTATATTATCTATAAACATGTCTTTCTCTGCTCTTCTTGACCCGGCAAGAACTTCTACTCTGTGTGACAACGCGCTCCCGTACTCATTTGCACGACGCACGTCTCAAGCACCACTTTCTATACGTTATTCTGCTTTTGCAAGTGATCAAACCGGTTCGTTTGTTCTCCAATTACGCTTAAAGCGCTTTCACTAGTTACACTGTCACTCGAAGGCGCCATCTTGATGTTGTACTTGGTATCCTCAAGCTGAGCGGCTTGTTTGTCCGCATATGAAGCGCTGCATCCACACAAACCCGCCACTATAGTCTTAATAGCCCTTCTTCCCTGCCATAAAGGAGCCAAAATGATGTAAACTGCGGCTAACAGGAGCCATACCAGCATTACAACCATAAACGCTGTAAAAGAACCTCGACTCAAGTCCTTGCCCCAGCCATACAAGGCGCACGTCAAGATGACATATACGCCCAGAAATAAGAACACATTGATGAACAGGCTCAAATATGTCTGAATGCCCAATAATCTGTCGTCGTCCTCAGTCAGAGTCAAAGCTTCTTTTTCTTCAGAATCAATGTCGTCAGCGATTTGCAATTCATCCCTGTATCTTTCCATCCGAAACTTTCCATCAGGCTTGATCAACGATATGGCAACAATGTAGACCGCGCAAGAGAACAGACTTACGATATTACCAATGAAGGTGGCTTCCGGGGTCATCAAGGTGTTTCTGTTAACTACACCACCAGCAAAGTGGTACGTCGCACCTATCCAACATACTATACCAGAAACGGTACCCAGCGGAACTCCAATCAATAGCGACAGTTTCGTCATTCTAGGCCAGAAGAGCGAAAGTGTCACGGCAGGTACTTCTGGATTCAACACGATTCCGACAAAGCTGAGCAGCCAGCCAACGGTGACATGACAATAGTTGAAAACTACTGCCAAAGCTGCCATAAATAATCCAAAGAAAATGACACTGGCGTGTGAGGTCCGTATTAGTTGTTTTCCGGTGGCCTGCGGTTTCACGTAGGTTCGGTACATATCGTAAGTCACAATGGTGGAAAATGCAATGAGCTCTGCAGAAGTAGCAGATGTAACTGACATCTCCAGCATTACCAGACCTGCTGCTGCTCCACTTTTACCAAAAATAGAGGCAAGTCCGTACAAGAATGGTAGACTTGCACCCACTTCTTCATCTGTCAACTGCCTTGGATACGTCATTGACGCTGGGCTCAATAGAAGAGCCCGACATGCCAGCCCAGCGGAAGATCCCAATGCAAATGGAATGATCATCCAGCATATTCCACCCATCATGTAGCCTACGAAAACGCTTTTGGAATCAGACGCGATAGCTCTCTGGGAGTAGCCAGGATCACCAAAAACCGAAGACAGACCTCCCAACATAACGGACCAAGTTAGTAGAACCATATCCCTATCTTTAAAAGACAGGTAGCTGGTTCCAGAGGCTTTGGGAAACACTTTTTCGACTGCTTTTAGAAGATCCCACATCTTGCCCGGGGACCCGATCAATGGCGATGTGCAAAACACAGTGTAGGCTATCACGATTAGGATAATGTACACAATCACAGTGTGAACCCAATCGGAGATGAACGTCGCTTTCAAGCCTCCAAGAGCAGTGTATATGACCACAGTGACTGGAATGAGAAAACTGGCGGCCACAGTGTGCATACCAGTTGCCGCAGCAAAGGCTTGGGATCCACCTAGCAGAAGAAGTGATGAGACCATGACGTTAGTTGCTGCACAGTAGCATAGATACATTAGATGACCTGCTTCGCCAAACCTGACGTGTATAGTCTCGGAAACCGTGTGTGCTGTTGGGGCTCGACGCTTGATTTGAAGTGCCAGAAATGCAAACAGCGTAATTTGCACTGTTCCTCCAACCGCGTAAAGCCAAGCACCGCTAATACCATAAATGTAGGACCAGGTTCCAGATAGCAACAGAGTGGCAGGCCACGTCCATGCTGACACAGTGGACGAAGCTATCAGTCCAGAACCAACATTTCTGGAAGCCGTAGAAAACCTCTCAGAATTTTGGGCTTGTCCCATATATTTGGAAAGAAGAAAAGAGATGGTTACCATCAGGATTGCAAACCCAGATCCCACACCAACGGCAAACCCATATCCATAGCCTTGGGATAAAATCGGTTCAACCATTCTTGACGCCCAGAAACAGACGCAATATATATCACAAGGACAGCACGGGTTGTTGAGGGTCTTGATCAGATACTGGAATATCTCCGAAAGGTGTCTGTGTGTCTTGGATCTCGGCGCTGGTAGTTGACCATTATTATATGCAGTGCTCATCGCCAGGCTCGAGAGCGAGAAAACCCTGGCTTACGTAATTTATTTTTTTTAATTAACAATGGGTTATACGAGTAGCCTTGGGATCACGCGATGTCTTTTGAAAAACTAGTCACCTGGAGAGAAAAAAATCCGTAGTGGGATGAGTCACTGTGGATGGTGACCAAACAACACCACTGTGTGGGGTGTGAGTCGTTGGTATTGGTAATTATGGCTGATGACAATCACAAGTTGTGGGTTATATTTGCAATAAAAAAATCTGGGTGTCATAGACGTATATAGTGATTTAGATTTTTTTGGATTGACCGAATCCATTGTGTTGTAGACCAAAAGGGATTTCGAGCTGTTGATGGAGCTAACATAACAACAGGTGCGCGTGCCACTATTCACTGAGTGCGTATTACAGCAGCAAGGGTTGCTTTCTTGAGAAAAAAGTTCTTGTCAATTGTCGTCCACAGTGATATGGACGACGCATAAGTTTAAAGGTGATGAAGTGGGTCTCTTCTCGACGCTCCCAGTTTAGCACATCCGAGGTGATGGTTGAAGCAGCAGTGGTGTGGCATGACGTATGGCAGGAATAGCGTAAGAAAGAGTTTAAACGATCAAGATCCGCACAATAGTACGTGGACCAACACACACACGATAAAGTCGTCAGTGCAAGATTCTAGACACGATTGTGGGTAACCATACAGCGATCTAAACACTACTGAATATTTCTTCATACCTGGAATGAAATTATTCACCTTTTTTTTTTTTGGGCAAAATTGCATCGACAGATTTTGATTTCACACCAATTCTATGTTTGCTTCTTTGCAAATGTGGTTGAGCAACATTTGTCCGAACGTCACTGAAGCTACTTCTCTCGAGCATCTCTTTCCTATCTCAATACCAATTCAAGCTTAACACTTTTTAAACTTGCACAACATACAATTCATTTTAAACTGCTTGAAAATGCTTTAAAAACGATTTGAACTGGGCACTCAGAGTTTATATCAGCTCTTCAGAACCTAAGATAATTCTAATCAGTATATACCACTGCTTAGATATCAGTTTCCATGATTTTAGAGATTTCGATTATTTTACTGACGCTGACATCTCTTTGAGTTTTAACCTGCTGTTCTAATTAGAAAATTTCAGTGCTAGCCATGATAAGTTGTTCAAAATAGGTTAAGCAACGACCCGAATAGCCGTATATATACAGTTCCCAGGACTTTCAACACTCTCAACAGTCATGGTTTCAGTAGCAGAAGGGGCTTCTCCTGATATGACTTTAGAATTTTATCGTAAAGCCTTAAATTTCAATGTTATAGGAAGATACGATTCCAAGATTAAGCAACTTCTATTCCACACACCGCATGCCTCAGTATATAAATGGGATTTTGGAAAAGACGAATGGGTGCGGTTAGAATACCAAGGAGTCTTGGCTATTTATCTCAGAGATCTGACGCAGGGAGACGAGATTCTGCCGGAAGAAACTGAAGAAGAAAGGTCCGTCTTGGCACTACCAAGCAAACCAAATGGACCAGAACATAACACAGAAGTGCTCAAGGGTCGTGATATATACAATTATGGGCTGATACTGCTCAATCGGATGAACCCGGAGAATTTTTCTATAGGAATTGCTCCCAACAGCGTTATTAACAAGCGCAGGCTGTTTTCGCCAGATGAGGACGAACAACAACCACTCGAATGCATGAAAGTTGAAGTGAAAGACGACTTGGTCATTATAAAAAATCTGCGACATGAAGTGTTTGGTATTTGGATACACACGGTGCCAGACCGCAAAAATGTGTACGAGCTGATCAAATATCTACTCGAAAGCGAGCCCAAAACCTCATTCGCCTAATGCAGCAGCAGCTCTTTACCCAAACAACCAACCTAAGTTTTTACATACCATTCTTCACCCACAAATAAAAATATATCACGACCGACTCAGCTACTTCTTAGTCTTTGGTGCTTTTTTCTTCTTGGCTGGATCAGGTGTCACAGCTGGGGTGGCCTTTTTCGTGGTCTTACGCTGTTTTTTCGGTTTGTTCTTTTCTTCATCTCCTGGTCTTTTATTAACTCCTCTTTGCTGTTCCATTGTTTGCTGCTGCTGTTGCTTGATTTGCTGTGCGGTCAAGGGCGCAGACATCGATATCCTTTGGTTGTAAGTGGTTGGCGTAACATTTGCGTTCATTGCTTGTTGTTTCCGCTTTTCTTTGTTTGCCCGCCATTGCTCCACAAATTTTAGTCTACTGAATTGGTTGTTGTCGTTACTGCTTGATCCTACAGCTGCTGCAGCGGCAACAGCAGCGGCTGCAACAGAATTACTGCCGCTTCCTCTACCCGTTGAGCTCGAAGCAGAAGCTGCGCCTTTGCCTCCTCCGCTCTTAAGTGACGTACTTGTCAAATCTGCAGCACTTTTCGCCAAAGATGCCGCAATTGTTGATGTTGTCGTGGTGCTTGTTCTTTCACTCATGATTAACATCATTTGCTCGTAACTCGAACTATGCTGGGGAGATTCTTCATGAAGATCTATGTGACCGACCTGGCTCTTTGTTCCTTTCCTGGTGGAGAGTTCACGATGACAAAGTTCTTTTTTCGACAAGAAATCGGCATCGTCCAATCTATCCTTATACTCAAAAGGATTCAAGGGAACATTAAGTTTCAGGTTGCGTTTTGTGAGAGTAAGAATTTCGGACTCAAGCTGTTGATAAATGTTATCAGAAAAACGCGTGTGATCGGCATACGACATCATGTCGTAGTAATGAGTAAGACTGCTGGGTCGCAGTAGAGTACGATAAACCCTTGGTCGTTTGAAAGTGGCAACGACTTCTTTGTTCCCATTTTCCTGTGGGGTAGTCTCTGTACCAGCAGTTGAGTTTGCTTGTTCATCAGTGGAGCCGGGCTTGGGTGCACTTGAGGTGGCTGGAGATTCATTGAAATGTATGCTCTGTTGACTGGGCGGCCTTCCTTGTGAGTCTGATTGTTGACCAGAAGCATTTTTGACAGATTCTTTAGAATCCATGGATGCCGCATGATCTGAACTGGTTGCACTAGCCGCTTGAGATGGATCTGACGGCGCTTTCTGCGTCTGCTTGACATCCACCGTGTTTGTGTGGTCATAAACCTGCAGAATCATGTTTCCTTCGTAGAACTGAATGTTGCAATCCTTCAAAACCTCCATAATCGCTTCTGGAATACTTCCACGCGCTACGTATTCTAAAAACTCTTTCAGAGTTTCGTTGTTCTTGTTGAGAATCAAACCATCACTAGTGGCTTGAGGCATTCTCTGCTGCTGTTGCAACCGGGTGTTTGCAGGCGCACAGATTTTGTAGTTATTTTCGTAGATGTGAAATTCAAAACTGGGACGGAACTGTTCGTATTTTTTTAAAATGGAATCCGTATCTTCTGCAAAATTGTACAGTCGTTTGGGTTTCTTGTTGATGGTCATAAGAAATTGATAAAATTGGTTCTCATAGTTTTGTACCGCTTGCTGCTGTTGTTGCTGCCGCAGTTTCTGCTGCATCAACAAGCGCTGCTGTTGCTGTTGTTGTTGCTGCTGTTGTTGTAATAAGTGCTGTTGCTGCTGTTGCTGCTGTTGTTGCTGATGTTGCTGCTGAAATTGATGCATTTGCTGTTGACCGCCAATTCCTCCAGGGACTCCCATTGACGGGTTAAGTTTCTCGTTTCTCAATCCTGAACCATAGTTTGCCTGACTAAAACTTCCATCAGAGACATCGTTTGACGTTGTTCCGGCACTATTAACAGCGACGCCGAGCCCGATCTCGTTCATAACAGTTGATTAAGTTCCCAATTTTTACGGAAGGACTCCCAATGTCGGGAAACAACGCAAAATAAGTCGACTTACTCTCTTTCTTCGAGCAGAGTCGAGAGTTCGTAGTCTTAAGCTCATCTCATCTTGCACTTTGATATTTCGAAAAATACTCATCATTCGATACGTACGACTAATGTTATCATTCAAGAGCCTATAATCGTTAAGCCATCCCATTCCAGTGTGTGTTATAAAGCTGTGAGTAGTGATATGTACCTCAAGCGGTTTCCCATAAGCTTTGGATTCCAAAGAGCGAGGTAGCAACGCCTGCCAACCCAATAGAACCGTCGGGCGACTGTAAGAACTGGAGATTGTTCAAGACGATGAAAGTGTCGAGAGAGTCCCACAATAGTCTCTTGAGCGCAGCAGCCCGGTCCTGGTAGTGTTTGGTTAGCTGTGAGGTCTTGAGATCCTTCTCGTCGTGGTTAGTGATAAGACCCAGCTTGATGTGCTCTTGAGTAACCTGTAGCTTGCGTAAGTCCAGGACCAGACCACTGATTAGACCTCCGAGCCAGCACCAATTGGCCCAGCGTGGGACCGTGATGCCTGTGGTTTTGGTGACCGGAACGAGTTTCAGGATTCGTAACAAATTGATCTGGTCGAGCGTCAGGTAACCAGCGTAAGCCAAGTTTTTAAGAATGTTGAACACACGCACAACATTATCGTTCGAGATCTTGTTGTCGTAGAACTTTGAAGCCAGTTGCAAATGGTTCAAGGGTTTCAAAAACCGTAAAATCTTCCGCACGGTCGTAAACTCCGTTTGCAGTTTTTTGGCCAGAATCGATGAGTATTGGTATCCCAGAAAGCGGCACAGATACTGGAGTAGTCTCAAAATCTTTTCTCTTCCAGCAGTGGTATCCAAAAGGCTAATAAGTCTAGAGACCGAAGGGTGGTAGACGAGAGTATCGCAGACCATGGTGTGTTGAAGATCGGAAAAACGTTAAAACTATGCGACTGAGACACGGGGAAAACAATAGGAGAGTCGCAGTGTTTACCGTTTGCGAATGAATATCTAGTAAACTAAAATACGGATACTTTGGGACCCGTTTTGTCGCGATTTCAGTTAAATTGAGGGTTCGAGGGAGTGTCAGGTATGTTGTAGTGTCATCTTGTTAGAAACCTCATAAATATATGTAATTTCCCCGACTTTATAGGATCACGTATTTTATGGACGACACGTAAAGAATTCGCGATAATGTGGGGGAATAGCAACGCTTCAGAGTCCGGTGGCTTAGAGCTCTAACTAATGCCATTATGGGCCCTCACAGGCGTTTAGAACTTCAGGTGTGGAGTAAAACCAGTGATGCTAGCGAGACAAGTGTCACGTGACATATGACAGCGACAGCATGGAATGAAGTGACGTGTTTTTGAACCACACTGAAACTCACAGTAACCATTGAAAGGGCACCAGTGGTCATAGTTGAGTTTGATCAGAGGAACGGAGGTACGTTTTAGTCTGCTCAAATTGCTCCAAGCCCTCTTTTTTCATCAGCCTCGGTCCTGGTAATCATAACGCGCGCATTATGGGAATTTTGGGCAACGTGCCAGCGCCAGTTGCGAATGCAATACTATCATGAATTGATGGGCTCATCTTATGAAATCTGTATAAGACGAGCCCAAATCTATCTTACAGGGTCCTGTTGCGAATTGCCTGCCTTTCTTCCCAAGTATATTTCCTTAAATCGGACTGTATTTCCATTCACCGAGCATCTTGAGTCTAATCAAGAAGCATAACCGAACCCGACGCTTCTACTTCTAAATAAAATCGATTTTGAGTTCAAGACTATCGTGAGTTCGTATATTAAACTGTTGAATCCTGACTTACAACTCATAAAAGTTCTTGGACTTATAGTATCATAAGAGGTCCCTCCGAGAATATTGGTGTAGCTCGATAAACTTTCTGAAAAGCTATTGCGAGTTTGTATCCATTTTTTCCATCTCTTTTTCCAATACTGGTTGAGAACACCACCACTTTCATAGTTTTAAAAGGTTCTTTACAAGATCTGGAAAGGACAACTCGAATACAGAGATCATCACCTCTAAATTAGCTATTCCCACATTATCGCAAAGTGTTTCTTCGAGTGCTTCCTCACAGTTAAGAGGCCAACCGTCCCAAAACACAACATTTCAGGACGAACCTCAAAAATTTGAATTTAGACTCATATCCATCCATTTATATAGTCTAGCATTCGAAAACTATGGTCTTTAAGCTTATAGTCTATGGTTTTTAAGCGTTGTTCTTTCTTGATTGTATGAAGCCTTTGGATACAATGTGTACAATATATAATGTTAAACTTTAGCTCATCACCAAGTTTAAAAAAATCATCAACGGTTACAAGGTGTACCAAGGCCATGCTAAGATGAGCTACTACGATATTGACGACATCTTAGCCGACGCTACCAAGATTCCATGCCGTTTTAACTACAATATCCCTGGTCTTGGATACCTTGAAGGCAACATTGGTCATGATATCAAGAAAAATGCTAAAGTCGAGCTTCCGTTGTGGTTGGGCAGGGTCCTGGCAATTGTAGGAGGGGACGCAGATCCTTCAAGTGTGGGAGAAGATGAAGCATTGTCGTTTATAGAGCTGATAACTCCTGAGCTGCTGGCACCAAGAGTTATCAACGCCATTAAATCAGGACCTGCAACTTTAGACGTAAGGTCCATAAATTCGCATTTTTACGCATTGGCCGTGAAATGGGCTACTCTTTTTAACGACCGCGAGTTGGTAGAGGTTTTGAACTACATGCTGCTCGAAAGAAGTCAGGAAATTCGTAACCATGCGTCCAGTATCGATTTGGAAAACCTCGCGCAGGGACGCGACCCAGGTACATTTATGTTGACGTTAGACGAATTCGAGAAAGTTATCTATAGGAATAGCCATGAAAGCTGTAAGGAGACCAAACAATGGATGGTGCAAAAATAGAACTTTTGTCCCTTAAGAAGTGTTCAATCTTCTGCAATGCATTACTTCAAATACTACACAATTCAAATCCAAATCCTGAAAAAAAGCTTGGTGACTAGCTCATTTTTACATAACTAAGAAAGTGGATCAGAAAAGACCATCTTGATCGTCATTTTTATCCTCCGCATCACTGTTCTGGGGCGTGGACTGGGCAGACTTATCTTCTGCTATTAGCTCCCCATTCTCTTCATCACTGTCGTCGATGAATTCCTTCGATAGATATGGTGACTTACCCTTTTTGCCAGGCTTTGCGCTTTCAGATTTTGCTGGTTCTTCATCCTCATTCTCGTTATCTTCATCATCTTCCACAACGGCTCTTTTCGTCTTTCTCTTCTTTTTTGGAGCAGCTTTTTCGTTTTCTCCTTTCTTGCTACGTTTGGCTCTCTTCTTTTTCTTTTCCTCCCCGTTTTGTTGAAATTCTTCGTCCCCGCTCAGCGGTGGATTCGAATCCCTAGCGTTTTCAACAATGTCCATTTCTGTGCGCTCTTCCATTAGTTTTCGCGCTTCTTCTTGAAGTTTGTTGTATTCTTCGGTCTGTTTAGCAATACGCTTGCGTTCTTGATCTTCAACAATCCTACGTTGCTCGCGCTCTTTCTCTTCACCTTCTTCGAAAGCCCTTCTCGCATTCTCCAGTTTCTCAGTGGCCTCCGCTTCGTATTCTTTTTGTTGTGTGATACATCTTTCCAGAGCAGTCTTCATGGTGGTATTGCTCAACTGCAAACGCTGATCCAACTCGTCAATTGGCATGATATTGGTTCCTTGGTCTATCAGTTCTTTTAGCAAAATAGAAGCAGTATTCAAGCCATTTGCAGCGTATTCCAGTTGAGACAAAGTTCTTGCATTGGCAGGTGCTCTCCGGAGAGTTTCAGCTATTTGAAAGTGTAACAACGCGACGTTAAACTTTACGCTTTGTATCATGATTGAATTCTCCTTTTCTTGTTCAGCCGCCAATGCATTCTGAGCGTACTCTAAAGACTTCTCGTAGCATTCGAAAGACCGCTCTTTCACCCCACGGGAGTACCAAGCGCGACCCAGCAAATTCAATAGTAGAGGTTTTGAGCCTTCGTTTGCAAACTGCTTCAACGCAACTTCGTAATTTTCGATAGCTTTTGCGTGCTCTTGCATTTCCAGCAAACAGTGACCCATGTTGATGTGGACAGATTCATTGTTTAGAGAGTCTCTAACCTTCCTCAGGATTTCCAGACAAGGCCCAAACCTTTTATTTTCGGCATAGATTATCGCCAGGCCTTGAGCTGCAAAAATATTAAAAGCGTCCACTTGTAAAACTTTCTGCAGTAGCTGGATAGCCTTTATAAAAGATTGCCTCGATTTGTCTTGCTCTTTGGGTGCCGATGATTTCTTGGATTCTCTTGCAATGGTTATATACAGGTTCGCCAGAGAAATTAGAGCGTAGGAATCATGGGAGTCATACTTTGTGAGAGTATCGCGGTTATGGTTGGTTTCCAGTTTGTCGGCATTCTCAGTTTTCTTCTCATTCGATCCATTTTTTAAGAACCAGCTGTAGAACGACCGCACATCTAAATCAGAGTTATGCCTTTCCAAAAGTTCGTCGACTTGCTTGTCCAATTCATCACTTTCGGCTTTCATTACCGCAAGGTACAAATACCTTATCTTGGCATGCACATACCCGGGGTGTGATGCCAGAAGACTTTCATACCCGTAGAGAGCTTTATCAATGCTCTCGTATTCTATAACCCTGGAGCCGTTGAAATCAATGGTTATAGATGCTGGACTTTGTTCGACAGAGCTGTGGGTTAAAGTTGAAGCTTGATCGAAATATTTTTGCGCCTTAGCATGATCGCCGCTGATGAAATGAAAGCAGCCGAGATTGTTGTAGATCTCAAGTGGAACCATACTATCGCCGCTAGTTTGCAGCTGATCGATCGCACGAGACAGGATTTCCAGGGCTTGCTTGTGTAAGTTTTGTATCTGATATAGCTCAGACAAGAACAGATATGCCTTGACAATAACAACCTGGTTTCCTTTTGCCTTCGTGAGCTTGATATATTTCTCGAGGTAATCGATCGATTTCTGTAACAGTTTATTTCTTTCGTTGGGTGCCATTGAGTTCCAACTCTTCGCGTCCAAACATTTGGCCCCATAGAGAAGACCCAGAATATAGTTCAGTTCCTGAATGTTCTCATGACTTCCGTAAAGATTTTCGAAGGTCAGAATACTTTCTTCTATTAAATTATTCTTGATCTGAGTCTGACCAAGCCCCAAACGCGCAAGCAAATTGTCCTCATGGACTTTGAGACTTTCTTGAAACGCTGCAAAAGCTTTCCTGGGCTCTTGTAAGGCGTAGTAACCTCGACCACACCAAAAGGCTGACTCTGATACAACGGTGTTAGAGTAGCCGGACGCAAAAGGAGCGATTTGCTGTTCGTGAATGTCTATGACCTTTTGAAAATCGGATTTCAAATAACAGTACGTTTGATAAAGCACAAGAAGGACCGGGTTATGCTTGTTTGTCGAGATAAGCTGACCAAGTTGGGTGAGTGCGGCTGTAAATTCTCGCTTGAAAGATTCGTCATCCTCAGAGTGCGTAAGTGTCTTGTGAAATTCTCCGAGTAATAGCAAGATTTTGACGTTGGGATTTTCAGGTGTGAGCTCCAAACTACGTTTCCAAGCGCGAATGGCCATGTCGTAGTCCTTGAGCTGCCAGAAACACATTCCAATCCCGATTCTTGAATCTGGCTTTAAAACTGGGTTCAAAACTAGCAGTTCTTGGAATAATCTCAAGCTAACAGGATAGTTTTTCTTTTGGTAGAAAAGTTTGGCCCTAACGAGCAGAAACAAGACGTTGGGTCTTGAGGTACGTCCCAGACGCTGATCTTCAGCGTGGATACCACGTAAAAAAAGTTCTGAAGTTTCCAAGGCCTTATCGTATTGTCTTCTTTGGTAATACAAGTCGATGGTGGCCAACATGTTCCCAACACCGGATGGGTCATATCCAATGGCCTCCTTTAGATGGTGTTCGGCTTGCAACAAGCTGCTATCCCAAGCATTTTGATGCGTTGATTGGTCTTTTGCTTGCTTCAAAAACGCCCAAGTTAGACACGTATGCAACGCAGCCGATTGTGGGCCTTGGAACACTTCCAGCGCCATTTGCACCAGACTTATGCTCTCTTTCAGCATCCCACATTGACTATAAGCGATTGCAATCGTCAGCCAGTGCTCCTTGTCCGAGTTTTCTTCCACTAACAACGTTTTCAAATCGCTTGGATCTTCTGGCAAATCGTTCACCAGGTCAATGCTCACAACTTCTTCAGAATCTTTCAGCGGAATATCTAAAGACGTATTCCATTTCACACTGGGGTATTCCCCGTGCGAGATGTCGCGATCCAAAACCGACATTCAATTGTGGGTAAGGAGACGGCCGGTCAGAACCAGGTTGGTTTATTGTTTGGCAGTTGATCCTACTGATGGACTGGAGGAGATGGTCAGTTAAGATGATAATCCAGGTAAATACCTTCAATTAAAGTGATGGAAAAACCAAGTCGGCCGGGTAGCGTTATGAAATTTTTGAGGAACGTGACTTTCTTGACCCGAGGCAGAAAATCCTCCAGGTGAACCTTGAGGTGAATGAATGTTATAGAAATTGGGTCACGTGCACGTGGAGGGCAGAAACGATCGGTTTCTTCTGAAATCGTGTACACGAGAGCACCGACACCACCACAGCTCTTAAGACTATACTTGAAACGGCTCATTGGCTTAAGTCTTCAATTGAACGAAATTTGAAAGCTTTTGAATCAAATTTGAAGCCTGGTCACGTGCCATTTGCAGAACTCTTCATCAAACGTAAAAACGTTCTTCCCTACACCATTGGCATTCAAAACACATCTTCTCATGAGCCTTTAGACCTCCTAAATCCAAATGCAACGACCTTTGAACACGTCTACCCGTCCCTCTACAGCTAAACTCTCTCATCACCTTGCTATTTTCGCGTCGTCTGCTGTGGCTCCCGCCTTATATGATAAGATCTACCCTATAGCCAAAGACTAAACCCATTCAACATCTATAAAAAGGGCCCGGTTCTTGACCAAGTTCCATCCACCGTTCAACAGCGTTGTACGATTCCATTGTTCCAATCTTTTCGCCCCACCTTTCTCGGCTTCTTGTATGCTCAGAAAACTAGCCATGAGTACTATCGCTAACACCGGTAAAATCGTACCCAACCGGGCATTGTTCCAAAACATCAGCAAAGATGTATGGTCTTTGACCAACGAAGCAGCAGCCGTTGCATCTCAAAATGCTCAAAACCAAAATCGCGAATTGATCAACTTGGGACAAGGCTTTTTTTCTTATTCACCACCAGAATTCGCGATCCAAGAGGCTCAAAAGGCTCTTACGTCTCCTTTAGTAAACCAATACGCACCTACTAAAGGCCGTCCCTCACTTATAAAATCGCTTTTGAAGCTCTACTCACCTTTGTACGGTAAACAGCTGGCTCCCGAAAACGTGCAGGTCACCACCGGTGCTAACGAAGGTATTTTATCTTGTTTGGTTGGTCTGCTAAACCCAGGTGACGAAGTTATCGTGTTTGAGCCCTTTTTCGATCAGTACATCTCCAACATTCAAATTCCAGGCGGGAAAGTCACTTACGTGCCCCTGCACCCACCAAAGGAGATTTCTGAGCGTCCCACTCAGGGTACAGAATGGCGTGTGGATTATGACGAGCTACGCCGCGCTGTGACGTCCAAAACCAAAGCTTTGATCATCAATTCGCCCCACAATCCAGTTGGTAAAGTTTTCACGCGCGAAGAACTGCTAGAAATAGGCCAGATCTGCGTGGACAACAACATCATCATAATTTCCGATGAGGTTTACGAAAATTTGTATTTCACACCGGAATTTACTCGTATTGCCACGTTAACACCGGAAATTGGGCAACTCACATTGACTGTGGGTTCGGCAGGCAAAACTTTTGCCGCTACCGGATGGAGAGTCGGCTGGATCGTATCTCTGAACCCAGACCTCTTGAAATACGCATCTATGGCCCACACTCGAATCTGTTTTTCCACGCCATCTCCTTTGCAAGAGGCCTGTGCCAACGCTCTTGAAATCGCTGTTGAAAATGGGTATTTCGAGGACATGCGTCAGGAATATATTCGTAAATTCAACATCTTCACCAAAGTTTTCGACGACTTGGGACTACCATACACCAAGCCTGAAGGTACTTATTTCGTGGTTGCCGACTTCTCAAAGGTCAAAATCCCACACGATTACCCATTTCCAGAAGAACTTCAATCCAAGGCCAAAGATTTTAGAATATCCTACTGGCTAATCAATGAACTCGGTGTTGTTGCAATTCCACCCACTGAATTCTACATTCCAGAGCATGAAAAGGTCGCCGAGAACTTGTTGAGATTCGCCGTTTGCAAAAGTGACGAATATCTACAAAATGCTGTTGAAAGACTGAAACTACTGAAGAACTACATTTAACTCGATGTTCAAACAAGGACCAAGTTGATAACCGCATACCAAATACACGTACAAGCTTTATAGAGACTAAAACATTGATGATAAACGTCGTGAGTACTTACGCCTAAAGTCCAAGTACTCAAACGGTCTACATCTAGATCTTATTGATTAATATATCAAAGAACAGCATCTAAACTTAAAGAAGCTGATCTCAATTCAGCTCAGAATCTAGCAACAAAAGCATTAGATGGCATCTGATTCAGTCATTTCCCGATTCTTCTGGATTTTCGGGCTTGTCAATAATGTTTTGTATGTTGTTATCTTGTCAGCGGCGGCCGATATCGTAGGACCAGGCCTGCCAAAAGCACTCGTTCTTCTGCTTGATATATTGCCAGCGTTTGTATTCAAGCTCAGCGCTCCTTTCTTTATTCACAAAGTACCGCACAGCTACCGAATCGGCATGCTTATTGGCCTCAGCTGCGTGGGAATGGCTTTGGTCGCAGGTCGCAAGCTTGGTGTATGCATCTTTGGCATAATTTTGGCATCCCTGTCGTCAGGACTGGGAGAAGTAACATTTTTGCAATTGACTCATTACTACCAACAACCGGGTCTCAGTGGCTGGAGTTCAGGAACAGGCGGTGCTGGTCTGTTTGGGAGCGGGATGTACATGCTGCTAACGTCGATTCTAAAAGTCCCCATTCGATTATCGCTCCTGTTGTTCAGCGTGCTACCATTTGCTTTCCTGCTCTATTTTCGCCTCGATTCGCAGCATGTTTACAATGCCATTGAGGACAGCAACAATTTGAACCAACCGGAATCGCCATCTGACGACTCCGAAACATATCCGCCTGGTGAATTCAGAAAGTGGGCCGCTCTTCAAAGCCATGTGAACAGTACACTCGTGCGCATCAAAAGCCTTGTGGTGCCTTACATGTTGCCATTGACCACCGTGTACCTCTTTGAATACCTCATTAACCAAGGTGTATCACCAACACTGCTCTTTCCGCTGGACGGGAATCACAGCCATCCGTTTTTTTTTCACAAATACCGTGATATCTATGTCACGTATGGAACGTTATACCAGCTTGGGGTTTTTATATCAAGATCAAGTGGATCGCTCTTCCGGATCAAAAAACTCTATTTTTTTTCAGTTTTGCAAGCCATCAATCTGGCATTGGTGATTTGCCAGGCTTGGTTCTATGTGGTCCACTCTGTTTATCCGGTGATGTTACTGATCTTTTTCGAAGGTCTTCTTGGAGGTGCGTCTTACGTCCACACCTTCAAAAATGTTATTGATGAAGTGGACATCAGAGAGCGAGAATTCTCGTTGGGAGCGGTATCTATGTCAGATTCATTCGGCGTGCTACTGGCAGCATTTATTGGCATCACACTGGAACCGAAATTATGCTCACATCAAATTGATAATGGAAGGCCTTGGTGCCTGAAAGAATGAATAAGAAAAAACAGTTCGCCCTTCAAATACTCTTTCTTATACCAATCAGCAATTCTTCAATGACTTTTTGTTTGATGCCAGTGCTCCGTATAGACGACAAGATACCAAAGCATTGTAATAGCGTCAATTTATCCCGTTGCGTTACACCTTTTTCCTCTTCCTCATTCATGATGTACAAATGAAAGCTTTCACTTGCACCCTCATTGCTGTTGATAAAACTTTCATAGTAGGGCGATACGATGGCGTCACGAAAACTGGTCAACAACAAAATGTCAAGCGAAAGAGATCCTGTGCGTGCCCCGTTGAAATTGGCACCATTAAAATCGACGTGGGCTTCAGACCAGTATTTCGTGTCAGTTCGAAAACTAAGCTCGATTGGCAAAAATATTGCCATTACGTTGTGATAAACCTGCTGGTAAAATACTCCCCAGATCAGACATAGCCTCTTCAATGCCGTGTTGATGGTATTTTCATTACTGTAGTTGAACACAATTTGATTTTCTAGGATAAAGAGACAAGTGCTCATGAATTCTCCAATTTCACCGAGGAATTTAGAGCTGCTATGTCGACTTTGGGACGATACCTTGAGCTTGATATAAAACGAAAAAACATGGTTCAAATCTTCGATCTTGGCTGGAAGTTCCCACAGTTCCTTGTTCCTGAATAAAGTGATCACAACGCTGCAAAAAACACCCCATATATTACTCATGAGTGCGTCCATCTCTTCGTCTGTAAAATTCCGATAATTGGTTTCTAGTGACCGCAGATTCTTGACCAAATCATATAGCATTTGAACATCACTTGGATCCATACTTGGCTCATTTGCCAGTTGTAATGATACCTCTTTAGCAGAGTTAGCGCCATTTGTGCCAAATATTTGCGTAGCCTTTCCAGTGTCGATCAGACTCCCAGCGGAATGTTTGTGGTGGGCGGTAGCTTTTCCAACGTGCTTCCCATATTTACTGTTGAGAAATTTAGCAAAGGTCAAAGAAGCACCTGAAGTTGGAGATTTAGAAGCTTCCCTTGATTTTTCGAGTCGTCCTTCTGTCCTGCTAAAAAGCTTTTTGGCAGCCATACTAAACGGATTCTTTCTGATACTTGGAGTACGCATGCGTAATGATGAGGAAGAGCTACCAGATCCTATGTTCGAAATGCTTGTGTTGTCATCTCTTCGTTGGTCGATCGTATTATTAGTGGTTGGCCTTTTCAGGGTACTGGTTCTGCCCAAAAGCGAGTTTTGACTCTTCTTCTTACTTATAGTTGAAACATTAGATTCGCTCTGGTACGATTGGTAGCTCCTCATACCATTGCTTCGAATGGAAGACGTTGAGCTTGCAGTTCGAATCCTACGTTCGGGATCACCCGCAGAGCTGACATTCTTTTGACTTAGCTTGTTGCTGGGATTTTGGTAAATGGATTGGAAGCCTACCTTGGACAAACTTGGAATGACTGGTGAAGAGTTTGAGACTTCTGCGTTGCGTATATCCTGGCTTGAGAGCTCCTCATCTTCGTTATCGCCATTTTCACCAACTTGGATAGTTTGAGGGACAATCTTAGATGAAATACTATAAAACCGAGCCCTAGTCTTATCCTTGGTCTTATTAGGAAGCCGCTGAAACGCTGGGAGTGCCGAGCTACTACGCTTGCGATGAAGTTCGGCAGACATCGTCCATTCTGTAGATAAACTTTTAAAAGTTTGTTGAAGTTGAGGTGATGGATGACATTTATGTATTACGCCTAATTGATGGTGTAGCTAGTAAAAACCGGTGATGAGAGATTCTACACATAAGCACCGCCATTTGACATCAGTCAAGTTCAATTACTGATGCTGACTTTAGTTGCGTTCCTATCAACAAAATCGCCAGATTTACACTCGATAAAATCGCTACAAGAACACTGCTTCGTACGCGATACTCAGCTCTGAACGACATGCCTAACAAAAATACCGACAGGAAAGGGAGATATGAGCTGCGGCCATAGCGGTAAACCGTAAATATGCTGATAGCAAGGCTGTAGGGATCCCAAAGATATCTGGAGAGGGACGAGGGCTCTGGAGTCTTTATAGACGTGCTTTCATGTAAAGCAGATTCGTCCATTTCGGAGTCTGATAACTGATCCTGGTCTTGAATATCAGCACTACTTAGAATTGATTGTTGGGAATCGGAGCTTCTTCGAATTTCACCCATCAATTCTCGTACAGTATTCGTTACCATCGCCGCTGTGGGTCTTTCCAAAGCATTTGCTGACAATAAAATTTCGATGAGATCAAAGATCTTCGGATCAATCGGTAGCAGCTGGAGGTCAATATGTTTTCGTAGCAAGAACTTTTTATCGATTTGAAGTGATTTTATATCGTCTTTGAGCTGAGGGAGGCTAAGGTCGTTCATAAAAGGAAGCTCGCCAAACGTCAAGAAATAACAGACCATCCCAAGTGAGTACATGTCAGACTGGAATGTAAATTGTGGTAGCGAAGCGCTCATGTTACCAGCTTTTGTGTTCACAAGTATAACCTCTGGTGCAGTGAACTCCAAAGTGCCTGTGGCACCTGTCGCGGAACGCAATTGACCACAAATTTGACTTTCCCCAAAATCACCTATCATGACGTTTGGGAAGCTCTTTTCACCGTAAAGAAGCTTATCGGGATCATAGGCTTCCGAAAGCAGGCAGTTTGACGGCTTCAGGTCGCGATGTATTATGTTCATTTGATGCAACTCTTTCAGTCCTGATGCGATATCATAAATTATAGACAGCAATTGCGATGTGGTGAGGCCTTGTCGCTTTGAAGTCCCTGCTTCGCGTTCTGCCCTTTTGAGTCTAAACTGTCGTTTTCTTTCGTCAGAAGATTCATGATCTGCGAATCTTCCAAACACTTTCTTCTCGATAACTTCTTCCAAGTTTCCTCCGGGACAAAACTTCTGCAAAATGAAAATACATGGGATTTGCTCGGAATCCAGAGCATCTTGGCCATCAGAAGCCCTCACAATGCCACTAGCACTAGCCATCTCAAGCCAAACGTGGTTATACGTAATCAAGTTGGTACAATTGTGCGTTAGGGAGCTCAAGAATTTCACCTCTTTCATTCCCAGCTCAAGCCACGACAAGTCGTTTCCAATGTGAATTTTTTTTAGTGCGTACACCCCCAGATGGTTATCCATGAGGACGTGTTCGACTTTGTAGACGGAGCCACGCGCTCCGCTTCCCAAAAGTGAAAGCTCTCTGAAAAATCGTCTATAATATCCGGGAGTGAATAAAGTGGACGGTATTGCAGATAAACCTTGAATACAAGACTGTTGGGACCTGTAAGGGTTGTTTTGCTCCAAAAGTTTAAAGTAGTTTCTATGCACAAAGGAGCCCGATTTGGATTCAGGGCTCTGGGGTGAGGACTCGTATTCAAAACCTGTGCCTACCTCGGTCCCACATTGCGGACAGAGGTACGAGGAGAGTAAACGTGGACGATTTTGGGAGATTTTGGAGTCAATTCTTGGACCTCTTATTTGTCTCACCAAGGAAATTTCGCCTGAGGCCTGGTTCATAACTACCAAAGACCGTGAGTTCGGATCCCGCAAAACCACGTTTTGCGCACTTTTTGGGTCGCCATTGAAATTTTCTCCGTAAAGAACCAAGCTCATCTCAGCAATTCCAAGTTTAGGTTAGCCCCTTTAGACTACCAGGGGTTTGACACATGGAATGAAAATTCCGTGCAGTAATCAGAAAAACGGCTTGACTTACCTCTAAACTTGACCGTTTTTCAAGCTTTTTTTTCCTTTGAAAAGCAAGAACTATGCCTCAAGCAAAAATTACGAGTTGTGTAAGATATAAACTCCGCTTAGCGTCTGATTCTTGCTCAAACCGAGATCAAATTCGTGGAATCTATGCCCTTGACAGAAACGAGCTTTATCCTGGCATCGAAGCTAATTAACGTATATATACTGCAATATCATATGTCACTCAAGTACTCGTAATTTGCTTGTACTCGAAGTTCCAATTACGTAATTATTTGGAAAATGGAATAAGATATGAGATGAGATGCTCATCGGTCGACATCGAAAGAACCACAGGAGCATGGTTAAACTTGGCCGCTCCCCAAGAACTAGCTGATTCCATCAAGAAATATCTAATTGATCAATGTTTGACCCGTTAGAATTTTTCAGCGGTGCCAAACCGCCCTTGGAACCCGAGATATCGGGTAAGACGTATTTCTTAGAAGCATGTAGAACTGCGGAGGATATACCAAACTCGAAAAGAGATCCAACGAAACAAACTACTGAACGAAGTGAAGATGGAGATGCTCCCATGCAAGTTATAGATCTCCCTATCCTTCAAATTGCGAAACCTGTAATCGTTTTGACTGTCTTGCTGCTGCTCAGGCCGGCAGCCAGTGTAAATTTTGCAGAACGAGATCGTGAAGATGATAACACTGAATACACAGATGGGATATGCGATCCTAAAGACATTCCTCCCAGCTATTTACGAGAAACTGTGAACTGGTATAAGTCTATGGGAAACTCAGGCCTGGATTCTGAACTCAAACTATGCAAGAAACTGCATGAGCTGGTAGGCACAGCTACAGAAAAGGATCTTGTAGCATATTACACTAGCGTTCTTGCAAAATACAGTCGATCCGATCAATCGGACGAGCTTGCAGTACGCATCTTGAGCGAAGCAAGTCTGCGCATATCAGAAAAGTGTGGACGAACAGCGCAGCCGGCAATGACTAGAGTTTTCCAAATAGAAGGTTTACAAAACTCTATACAGCTACACGAGCCGGCTTTGACGGCAGATAATCTAGGATTGAAAACTTGGGGCGCCTCGCTGGTTTTGGCGCAGAAACTTTGCCAAAAAAATAACATCTTGATGGGAAGCAAAAAACATCTTAGAGTTTTGGAGCTGGGAGCGGGAACGGGACTTGTAGGAATAGCTTTGAGCCAGAAACTTTGTGAAGATGGGAGAGACTTCAGTACAGCCACGATTTACCTGACCGATTTGCCAGAAATCGTGCCCAACTTGAAGAAAAACGTACAATTGAACAAGTGTAACGAAAACGCTCAATTGAATGTTACAGTAGATGTCCTGGACTGGACTGATCCTTCTCTTTTTGAACGCCGGCATGGATGCCAAAAATTCGATGTTCTTGTTATCGCCGACCCCATCTATTCACCACAACATCCTGGATGGATAGTGAATATGATGAGTAGATTCCTAGCTGCTGACGGCACAGTTTACCTTGAGATTCCTGTTCGCGCCAAGTACGCCACAGAGAGACAAACCCTTTGGGATTTGATGGACAAGGTTAATCTTGAGGCCATGGTAGAAGAAAGAGACGAAGGTGTTGATGATTGGGGCCAAGTTTCGTACCTGTATAAGGAGGTTGTCTTAAGGCGCCCACTTTAAAATATGGTGCGAATGTATGGAATAAATATGGCTCTTGAACGTAGCCTGATGAATTATGCGTTATATATGCTTGATTGATCTATGACTCTAATTTGAAAGTCGCACAGTGTGAACATCTACTTTGATGCGCTTCCAATTGCTCGGCTAGATCGAAACTTCTTTTGCAGCCGTTGCACTTGTACTTTCTTTCATGCGTTCTCATGTGTTTACTCAGGTTTGAACTCTCATTAAACCTTTTACCGCACACCTTGCATTCTAGTGGCTTTTCACCGGTATGAGTCCTGATATGAATCCGGAGCGAGCTGGAAGTCGCAAATCCTTTACCGCAGTGAGAACACTTGTAAGGTTTTTCTCCCGAATGTGTACGAATATGCTGTTGTAAAATGTCTTGAGTAGAGAAAGTCTTGCTGCAATGCGGACATTTGCAAGGTTTGTATCGAGTGTGCACCCTTAGATGCCTTAACAGCTTTTGCCGCTGTGTAATAGTTTTCCCACAGTTCTCCCATTCACAAACGTAGGAGGATCTGCCACGAGGTATGTGAACGGCCTCGATATGGTTATTTAGTTCTGCGCAGGAGTTGAACTTGAGACCACAGCCATTCCATTGGCAATCGTGAACATGTTCCTGCCCCTGATCGTGGCTATGTACGTGACCATGTTCGTGGCCATAATCGTAGTCATGTTCATGATTATTTGAATTAACACTATCCTCCTTCGGAGTTACCGCCACATCGTGTAGGCTCGGTGTCTGAGAACTTGTGAAGTCTGGACATTCCTCACAGTGTAGTGCGTGTTGATGCTCATTTTGTTCCAACAGTTTTTCACGATTTAAAAACTTCATGTCGAATGCCACACCATGCTCCCCATTGATATGATTTATCAAAGTACACAAGTCATCACCCTCAAAAGCACAATCGGTCCATTCGCAGAGATAGTTTCTTGGTGTTGGGAGTTTGGTATCATTCGTGTTCGTGTCCTCTACGTGATCTTTTAGAACATGCGATTGTAATTCCAATAACGAGTTATAAACTTCGGGACAGTTGTTCCAGCCACATTCGATGTTTTGCGGTTCGTTCTTGTATATCCAGTTGAAGTTTACAGTGCTGTTCCTGACTTCTGGATAACAGATTTTTGGCGGTGAGACAGCATTGTGTAGATTTTCGAAAGTTAAAGAAGGTTTTCGGAGTTTGAAATCTGCAGTCTCTCCGCCATTAAAACTGGGTTCTGACGGCGGATAGAAATTGTGAAAAGGATGTGAATGCAACTCTAAAGAGTGGTGATGATGATCATGCGGCGTTTTGACGGATGGACCCTCTCGGAGTCCACTTTTCGAAATTGGGAGAGATGTCTGTAAAAGGTTGACGTTAACGTCATTTGCACTTTCATGTGGATGAAAGTGCCTTCCAAACGGGAAATCGTACATGTTGGAAATTTTGACAAGGTCGTTCATTACCATCATGTCTGTTGATGAATTCATTGAATGGTCATGACCACATGGTGGTGGTTGAGAAGTCTGGAAATTTAGTGTTTGATCATCGTCATTGCTGTGATGCCCTTTTGTATAAAGGTGTGACGTTGAGTTGGTATTAAGAACATCTTTTGATGGCTCTACTGTTGGTACTGAGGAGTGAGAGTGGGCGTGGGGTTGAGAACATTGGGCTTGGCCATGATCCAGGTCCACACACTGCTCACAGAACTTTTCATAAAATGTGTCTTCCTCGGATTTTCTCGGCAGAGACGTCATATTGCAACCTATATAACTCGGGAGCTTTTCACTTGCTGTGGCAGGTAGCTCCAAGTTTAAGGAGCTGTTGGCACTAGGAGCAGCAGCAACGCTATCGGCGTAAATTTGAGAACCGGGAAATGCGATTGCAGGGGTCTGGTCCGGCAGTTCGAGACGCGTGCCTTGCGTTTCATCAGGCTCGTGTTCCTCATCGCAGCACAGTTCCATGATATTGGGCTCGCAAGTATCGCAGTCGAAAGTTTTACGCTTTTTAAACTGAGGCCCCGTTGACTGTTGTGGATCCTCGCCGAAGATATTGAGGTTGTGGCAGTTTGTAAATTCGAAAAGCTGACAGCTGTCTTGCTGCTCTGATGGCAAAGGAGCAGATGCGGTTGGTGAAATAGGAAGATTTGGTGCCCCCGTTGCTGCGTCTGCCGCTCCCACGGGGCATGTGTGTTGTGCAAACTGCTCGAAAGAGGTGCTATCGGGTTGCAAAGGAGCTGATCCTTGAACGTGTCCGTGGATGTATGTGACATTGTTGAAATTGTGGATATGGCCGTGGACGATACCTTCGGATCCGGGCATTCGGTACTGATTCGCGGATAGTCGCATGTTGTGGAGAAGGTAGTCAGTAAGTCAGTCAGTCAGTCAGTCTTTTGAGAAAGCTTTTCTCTCGTAGATCTTGGCGCGCGGAGAGAAACCCCGCTGAAATCAAACTTCTAACTGGCTCTGGCTCTGGCTTTGTGCAGTCAAACTCGACCGCTATCACTAAGTTTCAAGCTGCTGGTTCAACTCGTTCTACTCACCCTCACGGTAGGGCCCCCACTGTCTGTAGTGTACCAAATATCCTGGATTTGTCTACTTTGCTGATGGGCCAAACTGTTTTATCACCGCGGTTCAAAGAATGGAAATTAACAATGTATGAATGTCAAAACTTTCTGTCTGAACGTTTGGGTTTTTTTTTTTAACCACAGGCTTTCAATATCGCAGTAGTATTAGTAGTCTGTAGACGAAGATGCAATCGGTAACATCCTCCTGACCTTGTCTTAAGATGATGGTGTGTATCGATGGGGAGCTGGATTTTCTTTGTAGTGAGAGAGGACCACTGTGGATACCCGCAGACAGTACCTTGCTGGTTAAAAGAGGTCGAGAGCCTTAGAAAGAAAAAGAGGTACTCGAGTACTTTCGTGGAAGGTGACGTATCTTGACATCAACATTCGGAATGTTAGTTTGGCCTTTAATAAGGATCCCTGAGTGGGAAATTCAGGGTAGTTTTGTATGCTTTTCCAGGTTGTAATGGACAGTATATTTGTGGAGATCACCACGTTGGAATTGATCCCAGAAATTTCGCCGTCCGGAAGTCCAAGAAACGGGCCGAGGTGCAATCTTGGTAACCAAAAACAACCAAGCCCACGCGAAAAAGACTTATTCCGGCCGGTAGTACGGCCATTTCGCTGATAATCGCCATCAGGAGATGTCTTTATTTCAACGTTCTAGATCACTTTCCACGACAGATCTTGCGAATACACTTTCTATCACCCTTTCAAAGGCGATTGCTTAGGAGTGAGGAATTTCGTCCATAAAATGGAGATATCAGGTCTTATAACCACTCATTTACCGAGGAGGTTGGGTGCTCATTGTTGCGTGTTCTCGTTTTGATTTTTGAGAGCCTGTTTTTTGGTGTATCCTCACCAAGGGGCGGCGGCGACGAGTCTGTTTTAGCGAGGGAAAAACCCACTTTGCCAGAACAAAACATTGATATAGCTCTTTGAGTTCTTGGTATGGGGTTCATGAATACACGATGGTAAGCTCTAATCCTCACACATTGCGCGATCTTTTGTACTATTTCGTCAACCCTCGTGGCGGTGGTGTTGTGATGAGGAGAGAAGGGCGGCAGTTTTTAGGGCATTTTTGTAGTGAACAGATATCCTTTTGTACGTATCTGCCATAAACGACATGAAGGAAGAGGTGAACGTAATCAAGAGCGTGATTTTAAATCATGTATCTGTTGCGAAAAGGTGGTGGTAGAAGACCATACTTTGATCCAAAAAACTTAGGAGTTCAGATCAATTTTGGTGTTTTTCCAGATTCGTACCAGGTGATATATAACTTTCAAAACCAAGGATCACTAGTGTTCCCAGATTCTGTCTCAATCCTCACTCTTCTTGTTTTCTTCTTGTCCTAGTCGACCACCGTCCACCTCTAAGCTCATATCCACGACTTTTTATCACCCTGTGCCATTCTGACACCGGACTTTTTCAGCACAATTCAATTTAAATTGCATATCTAAACGGCTATAGGCTTGTAACGCAAACCTTCAAGAGAAACAACGAGTCATTCTCGGCGGAGTTGTCCGTCTCATCTTCCTTCAAGACCTTCATTCACGATGTTTGATGCTTTGGTCGGTCTATAGTCGAAGGTGCGGGCTTTTACCAATCGAATTGGTTGATATTGGCTCTCTTGCGCAATCTAAATAGCGGCAGTGGCTATAGACCCGTTTCAAAATGAGCGAAAGGCCCATTTCAACGTCAAAAAGAGGTTCTCTGGTGTCAAACCAACAAAGCCATTGCCCCGAGAAACGCAATCGCGTTGCAATATGCGCTTTGAACGGCGCATGGAAACTCGCAAAGCGGACCATACGTATCTACCGCAAAGGTGTCCATATATTCTGACTTCGCAACATCCCACTTGACACCATCAGAATACAGCTACTGTGATCTGTATGTCAATGCTACTCACTAGCGCTACTCATTGACGCCTCCGTCCGTGCACCACATACACTGCTCCTAAAAAACCGAATCACGTGACCTCATATTTCCCGAGATTGAAAATATCCGTTAAATTAATCATACCAGTCATCCAGAGACTCATAAATTATAACAATGCTCACCAATAAGATAACAGAAAATTTCAAACGTTTAAAGATTCACTTGGCGCCATTGACCGGTTTGTTCGACCCGTCATCCATCAACGTCAAACTACTGCAAATAACAAATTTTGACAAGCTTTGCTCGGTTTGTCAACCTTCATTTTGTTATTCTATTTTTCCAATTCGTTAAAATTACCAAAAAACTGACCATTTTAGGTGCCAACGGGAACGGCTTTGTCGAATCAAAGAACAGTTGTTTGGAAAGAAAGCTGCAAAGAATTTTTGGGAGAACAGTAAACCGCTTTAGAAATTAATATCACAAAAATTCCACCATTGGTGTGATTTTCAACGCTCAAAATGGATCCCACCAAAGCACCCGATTTCGAACCACCGTCCGAAAATAATACACCCAATCCTCCTTTGGCTCCACAATCTACAATTCCGAAAAGTGGACCCATCATGCCATACGTGCTAGCAGACTACAACGCATCCATAGACGCTCCAATCCACCCTAGGACGTATAAAAAACATTCGAAAGTGGGTCGTAGAGTGTCTACGGCCCATCACAGTTCGATCCCTCTCAAGCAACCCGAGTTGCAGCCTGCATCGCATGAGACGTCCGAGGAGGAGGAGTCCGGCCAGTTGGTAGCTGAAGAAGACGACAATGACAGCATACATACCAGAATCGATCGTCCAACACCTAGTCCTGCAACCAGTCAGATGTACATTCATGACCCAGAAATTTCTAACAGTCGAGCGGATTTGGCTCGCCAATTCACGCACCAAGTAAACCTCGGTAACAGTTTTCCGGAAGATGAGGCCGATCATCGCATCGGGTCCCGGATCCATAAATATCAAATTGCTGATCTCGAAGAAGTCCCGCATGGTGTGGTGCGTCAAGCTACTTCTTTCGACCAGTACAGTTTCCCTGCACATCGTCTGCAAAAAGAGCTCAGAAATCCAAACAAACTGCCCTTGATTGTTGTTGCCTGCGGTTCTTTTTCTCCAATCACCTATTTGCATTTGCGAATGTTTGAAATGGCTCTCGATGCGATTTCTGAGCAAACCAGATTCGAAGTGGTGGGTGGATACTACTCCCCAGTGAGTGATAACTATCAGAAACCGGGTCTCGCGCCAGCTCACAACAGAGTTCGCATGTGTGAACTCGCATGTGAACGGACGTCTTCGTGGCTTATGGTAGACGCGTGGGAGTCTCTTCAACCATACTATACCAGAACGGCCAAGGTTTTGGATCACTTTAATGACGAGATCAATGTGAAGCGCGGTGGCATTGCGACCGCTTCTGGCGTTCGTGTTGGTGTCAAAATTATGCTTCTAGCAGGTGGCGATCTTATTGAAAGTATGGGAGAACCAAACGTATGGGCTGATTCCGATTTACACCACATACTGGGCAATTATGGGTGCCTAATTGTTGAAAGGACTGGATCAGATGTGCGTTCATTTTTGTTGTCGCACGACATCATGTATGAGCACAGAAGAAATGTCTTGGTCATCAAGCAACTCATCTACAATGACATTTCGTCAACCAAGGTACGTTTGTTTATCCGCAGAGGTATGTCTGTACAATACTTGCTGCCAAACAGTGTAATACGTTATATCCAAGAGCACGGTCTTTACGTGAACCAGACAGAGCCCGTTAAACAGGTTATGGGTAACAAGGAGTAACATCCTGGGTTTACCAACCAACACGGATGTATTCCGCATGCCTTTTGTCCTCTCATCTATTGTTGGTATTGCCAATGCAAGCCTGGAGGCTGTATAATAGTAATGAATAGCTCTTAAACCAGTTGAAATGTTAAAGACTTTCAGGACATTACATAATATAGTTGTGACGTCTTTAATAGCACTTGGAATTCTAAAAAGTTGGCAGGTCTACCCAAGATAAAGATTGGCTTGAGTGTCTTGGTAGAATTTGCATTGCGAAGTGATATGATATGCCTTTGGATAACTGCAAAGACTCAAAGCTTTGATAAAGTTAAACAGTCATCACGGTCTTCTTTGAAGGAAATCAGGCACTATAGCTAAACATTCTCGGCATCACTCAATGAGAGGCTAAGGTTTGCAGCTTCATTTCGAGATTGAACTGGCCAAGGTTGAGTGCTCTCATGTGGAGTCTTGAAAAAGTTAAAATTCACTTGTACGCTGTCCCAAAATCCTGGTGGAAGAGGAATGGAAGTTTTCTCAATAGGCGTTTTTGCTCTTTTCTCGGATGATCCCCTTCGTCCCATTGGTGTATCCTGGCCCCCAGAGCCAAACGCGTTTCCATCCGAAAAATCACCTACCAGACTTGATTGCGGCGTATTGGCTTCATTACTAGACTTGTTTTCGGTAACAGGTCCGTGAGGATTCTCTGCATAGCTGTCAAAATGGAAATCAGCCGGCAAAGGTTGAGACACGTCCGGGAACAAATGATGTGGATCAAATCCTTGTGTGGGTGGAACCCCATACGATACGTTTGTAGTTGTGAAATTGAAGTCGCGCGGCGGCGCTGGTAATGGAATAGATGGCGGTGCTGTCGAGGTAACTGGCATGTAGGAAGAAAACGCATTGGAGCCGGTATATGGAGCAAGATTCATAGCAGGATCATGATAAACTGGTTGCACCTGCGGGCGAGGTGGACCTGACGGGAATGGTGAATATACGCCGAAAGGTTGATTGTAATCTTTGATCCCACCGGGCTGCTGTAAAGGTGGACTATTCCAATGGGTAGCGTTTGCAGGAGAAAGCTTTTGAAGTTCTAAATCGAGGCTGCGGGCTGGGCTTGGAACCTCTATGGGTATGCAGGTATTTTTCTGACTTTTTATCTTGGCTTTAAATCGTGCAATGACAGCGCGAATGTATTCTGGGTTTTGGCCAAAAGCGAAAAGCACTTGACCCAGAAGAGTACATGTATTCCATTGTTTCCCAAGTGTGAAAAGAACTCTTTCGAGTACATGGTAGCATTTAAGAGCGATTTCTCTAAAGATCGAATCCGGGTCGTGCATATGATGCACGAAGATGATCATGGCTTCAAAGAAACAATATGCATGGCCCACGTATAAGTAACCGGTTTCGTTGCGATCCAAAAGAATTTGGCCTATCAAGCTTAGAGAATGTGCGGCTTGGAAGGCAATACCTGCCGAGACGTATTGTTCGTCACTGGCCGCTTCCATGTCGTGGATATTGGATTTATGCAAAAGACACAACGTCTTGTAATAAAAGGCATTGACAAAGGCTTTGGGCAAAGAATGTTTGGTGAATATTTCGGCGTTGGAGCTGTAGCTCAAAGTTGTCGGTAAGTTTTTGCGCCAGCGTTGAAGAATAATATCAAAATGCCTGATGAGACTTCTTTTGTCCCTGTGAGTTGCTATAGGTGTATTGAGTTCTCGTGAGATTCTGGACATGATTTCTGCGATTTGAACGGTGCAAATGACACAGTCTCGATAGTCCAAAGGTTGGAGATGCCGTGGGTCCTGTTCGTCGAATACAAAATCGTCATGCGTCAAAACTGGGATATCGCAGTCTTCGAGATTGATAGCCTGGGGGCGACCGATAGAAATAGAGGCAAATGTGTCCAGTGTGTAGAGGACCCAAAAGATAAGTTTGCGAGTCTTTTTTTCATTGTTGGTCAATGTAGGATGGAAATCTGTGGATCGATGAAGTCCGTGTGTAAAAGCAATCGTTGCTGCGCTCTTCATAAAGTACAAAGGCGAATGAATGAGATTTTTTTCGTGGAATGCCTGCTTGCTGAGTAAGATCATACCTTGGAGTAAAGCGATTTCATTCTCCTCGTATCTACCATCGTAGAGCGACTTGGCACGCTCGTAGAAAATGTTGGATGCCAAGTCTGTGGACCCATCTTTATCCATGAGCTGTGGGTTGTTGGATAGCTTGACAGCGACACATAATACGGCTTGTAACAGGAAAATCGAGCAAGTATTGGACTCGTATTCTTTGAGAAACCCGGTTTGGTCCATTAAGGGCATGAGTGGATGAATCCAAACAAAATAAAGGTTGACCAACTCATCGCAAATGGTCTTAGAGGGAAGTAAAAACGCTCCAGAGATTCGTAGCATCTCCATGTTGGCGACACGCGGGTTTCCCTCGCCTTCGCGTGGCAAGGTTTGCCGGAGTTTTTGTGCAGACACGAAATGCGATTCGTCCGGGAAAGAAGAGCCTGTTAACAGACTGAGGAAGCTGGAGGATCCGAAATACACATGCACGCGATCGCGGTCTCTACGTTCTGCATCCACGAAAAAGCCGGGTTCCACGCCTCTTTTGCGTAAGTAATCGTCGCCGTAGGGCATCCCATTGGAAACTGCTTCTTTGACGCTTTGTTCGTCTTCCGGTCGACGATGGGGTTGATGGTCATCCGGTGGGAGTTGACGTTGAGAGCCAGTAGCGACTGCCACTTTGTCTTTTTCGTCCAGCTGGTCCTGTTGGACATTGTCCTGGTTGTGATTGTGACGGGACCTTTTCACGACCCTTAGTCTGCACACGAGTCCAAACGTCTGGCACGAAGTGCATGGCATTCGCACATGCGCATCGCATCTCACTTTTCTAGCATGACAAACCTCACACGCCCGTGTAGTTCTTCTTTTACGGGATCTGAACCCTGTTTTCTCGTTAACCATGGGAGACGAGTAGGAGGCGAGTAAGAGGCGAGTAAGAGGCGAGTGTTTCTTGGTGATAGCCTTCGAATACTAATATTCAACGCACTTCTTATACCGTCAAGAACTTTCCGAACCAAACCTTTTTGTTTCTAGAATATGGTTCTTTGACTAACCCGTAGGATGACTACTTTTCCGGTCTAAAATGTATCGTAGAACCGGCTTCAAAAAATAGCTCTGGTGGGTTCTTAACCTTAACCTAGTTCTTGACCTACTTGGCGACCTACTTCGGACCTACTTCGTGACACTACTTCTCAAGATAGATGCTGTAGTTGCAAAGTAAACCATTTGCAACCCATCATTCATCTACAACAAACCTTACAGTAATGTATAGACAATACAATTTAACTATCAAATTACGTCAAAATGCTCCTTACATATTGTAGTTTTCAGTTATTGTAATCACATTTTACCAGCGTTGGCAGCCTTTGCAGCGCTTGCAGAGTTTGCCTACCTTTTGCAGCTTTTGCCTACCTTTTGCAGCTTTTTGTCTACGTTTTTACGCTTTGTCAAGTAGTTCGCTGTGGCTACACATTCTATGCACACCAGTAGCTACCACCAACAAGACAGATGACTTGTACAATTGTAAGCAAGTGTTAGTGTACAAAGAAGTGTGGCCATAGTTACGGGAAATTCACCGTTGTTACCTGGAATAGTTTGTTTGGACAATGCATGGGTTTTTGTATAGAAGGGGTAATGATTTGCGTTAGTCGTAGAAGCACAGTTGAACAACTGAGAGCGTCAGCGATCAGTTGTGAAAAGTAGAAATGGCTGGAAGCACAATTGAACAATTGAGAGCGACAGCGATCAGTTGTGAATAGTAGTCTATATCGTAAGCCCAGCTCAACAATTGAGAGTATCAGCGATCAGGTTTGAACAACGTTAGTATTGAGAGCACAATTGCACAACTGAGAGCGTCAGCGATCGGATTTGATAGTGGTGAATATTGTAGTGAATATTATAAGGACAGTTGTGAATCGCTATTAAATTTGTAATGAGTATTGTAAGCACATTTAATATCGTAACCACAACTGAACAACTGAGAGCGGCAGTGATCAATTGTAACCGCAGGTGAATATTCTTATCACAATTGAACAACTAAGAGTATCAACTGAGAGCGTCAGCGATCAGTGGTATAAGTATCACGAAGTACAAGAATCTATAAAAAATCTCTAATCCTGTTTGATACATCATTCTTGTTCCTATATCTCGCCTCGTCTCCTTCAGTCTGTGCTATATTACTTGTTCCTAAGACCCACTTTTATATGTTATTCTTGGTTCATCATAAAACTCTGTTATTAATTCATGTTGAGCTTTCGCTCCTCTCTGACTGTTACACTCTCATCTCATTCTCTCGGTATTGTGATTCCTTCAAATTCAGCCGTCTTTTCGTCATTCGTCTTTATTCATTCCATGACATCTCACAAGAATAAACCTTTTCCAATGTGTCATAGCCAATAATCTCTGTAATTTCTGAACATCGAACAATCTTATCCAGTGGATGATATAGGTGGCTGGGTGACTGGGTGACTGGGTGACGGCGCTTCAGTTCGGTGAACGCACTTCTTGGCCAATGTACATTAACACCTTGTATTTTCTAAGGTGATCGGGGATATCCCATTCTTATGCGTTATTATGCGGTAAGCCCCTCCATATATTCTTTGTACGCATTCTTGTAAATATAAAGTCTCTATGCAGCAACACCTATTCTCCCACTTTGAAACCCTCTTCTCTTCTCCCTAGGTTCTTTGATATTTGCATATCAGCCCGGTTTCCTGTTGAGAAATCTTTGGTCCTCAACGCAGTTGCTTGCAATTGTTCGATGAGTTGTCTTCGATCGGTGTTTCTCGCATTTCCAATATTGTGGTCTAGTAATGGTTCATTCGGGCAATAGCCTAGGTCCACCTAAAATGAGGAGGCTCTGATCGCTGTATTATAACTCGCATTATAGGCAAATCCCAGATGTGGTAACTTGTGCCATGCATTCTCTGCGTTTTGTGTATAGCCTGGTAAGAATTTGTATACACCTCTCCGACTGACGATCGGCTTGAGGGTCATTGCTGATGAACATGTTTAACTTGATACCTAGTCGGTTCATCATTATTCTGAATGGCAGCCTATCAATCGTATTAAAAAATCCGTCTTTTGCAAAGACATAACGGAAGAGAAGGTCGGCTACTTCACCGTTAGTTGACTATTACATTAATAAAATGTGTAGGTTTCGAAAACCGATCAACCGCGACATGGATGATGGATCATGAGCTTTCATCAACAGACATTGTAAGCAGCTCTTCATGTACTGGTTTGCACTATGACACCTTTCAGGCCAATAGTACTTCTCTGTCGCCTTTGCATAGGTGATATTCGTACCAAAATGCTCTCCAAATAGCTGTAATCGTGATGCGTCGCCAAAACTTCTTCATGTCTTACTGCAGGTACGACAACCCTTTCATTATAGTTTAGTGTATCCTCTCAATATCCGAACTTCTTCGGAATTCAGAATACTTCAAAATATCGCGATACCTCTCGTACCCAGTAGAGTTAGCATTCAAAATGCTTCCCGCGTCTATGCGTTCCAGAAACATCAAGGCTGCAGCTCCTAGTGGATCCTCTTTCAACTCTCTTTCCAGACTCCTGGATTTATCACGGTTACAGCGTCTAGAATCATGACCTCCGGATAATTTGCACTTGATATTGCATCCGCTAACACAGACACTCAAGTTTGAAATCTTACTCGCTTGATTCTTCTAACCATGTAGAAATACTTCTGGTTCCTTTTGGTTCTGGCAAGGTAACAAATTGAAATGGTCCGTCCGCAACACAACTTCTTTTCCATGAAGAAGGTACTTAAAGTGTCTGAGAGGTTCAATGATGCCAAGTTATTCCAGTTTCATAGCTGGATAATTTCCCAGGGCTCCTTGTAACAAAGAGGAAAATTGTTAGACTACTTTTTTGACTTTTTAGCCCTCATCGATCAGTGGTATAGGCACAGTTGAACAACTGAGAGTGTCGGTGATCAATTGTGAAGAGTAGTTAATATTGTAAGCACAACAGATCGCTATCGCTCTCGATATTCAATACAAGTGGATATTCAAAAAATCATATCATCAATCAATTGTAAAAGATAGTGATGGCTATAGCGTACTTTCACAATTGGCAATATGCTCCTTTGAACGCTTGGGCGACACCAATCACTTGTAAGCGGTTAGGATGGCTATTATCACAGTTGCAAAATTGACACCGATCAGTTACATCAACTGTGGACTTTCTAATCACGGTACGCCCTCATTGATGAGTTGTGAATACTGTAGTCACTATGTCATGAAGATGAAAGAAGTAAGAGCATCCGCGATCAATTGTGGATGCTAGAGACGGCAAAGCGCATTGCTGGCCGATGAAAAGCCTCAGTCTCAAATTGTAAATAGCAGAAATAGCTACTAACAAGTGGGGGAACAGCGTCAGTGATCAATCGGAATAGTAAAGATGGCCAAGAGTACAATTGAGCAATCCACGACACCAGGGACCAATTGTGTATTGAAATGTACCTCGAACCTAGGTTGAACATTCTAGATGTCCCTGATGCATCATACGGAGGTTAAAGATACACTGAGTAACAGAATTAAAGATCAGGCCACTTTTCACTTTTACATGATGATTCGCTACAACTTTCGGAAAGCTTTCTTCTGTGCGAATTTGAAGTCGGGAACTCGTGCGACTCAGATTTGACGCTACGAGTTGAAGGCTCTGTGTAGCGCTCTAGTTGCTTTTTGAGTTCCTCATTCTTCCTGCGTAATGCTTCATTTTGTTTCGCTAGTTCCTCATTACGCTCTTTCTGTTCCCGGTGTTGCTTCTCAGTTTTCGATTACAGAACGGAACCAACAATATCTATTGCTGTACCCAAGCTATTCAAAAAGAGGTCCATAACTACTGAAGTGCTTCTTCACCGAGCACTCGATTGCCAGGTTTTGTAGTATGATATATAAATGGTAAATATGGCATATTTATATATGTATCTTTCTCATCGAGGGCTCGTTACTCGACTGCAAGGATCTTGGTACTCAGACAGCAGCACAAGGAGAAGACCAACCGTTCCAGTAACATACTAGTCAAGGGACTTGCACTGGTATTCGGGCTCAGTTTGAATTTCGTAACGGGTTGAGATGAATGTTCCGTATCTACAGAATCAAACTATAATATGATGGAATAATTAAGGATGACCTCAATTACTGAGAGTCAACATTATTGGCGACTCGATTTCATAGCACCTGTTCTTCGAAAGATGTCAACTGGGGCATTTTGGTATTGGGCTATACTGTTATGTTTCAAAGGCGCCGGGCCTTGATAGTGATCCGAGAACGTTTACAGTAGATTTTGTCGAATTTGGTGGAAACTGATCACCTTAAAGGCAGTCAGCACTTGGGTGGAATTGAGAAGCTGCATGTCAAAGCGCGTATAGTGATAAACAGGATGCTCAACTGCTTCTACTAGACTTCTTGTTTTACGAAGGTTGACCTCACAGAGGGAGGTCGTGTTATACTCATTTCTGCAGTTCATTCTGACCATCCAGGTAGCATGCCTAATCCCAATTTCGTCTTGCCACATCAAACGGAGGTTTCATTATAGGCCTACCTCTTAGCAGTGAAAATAGTTTAGAAGCAATCAAGAGACAGTCTTTAAACTCCTCGAAGACTAGGAGAATTACAACGCTGCTAGCCGGCTACCTTTAGACTCCGTAACCGATGCCTTAATTGCCGTTGTAATGGCAATTGTTAAAATTTACAAGTAGCCATCATTGCTATCCATGATCGATCGCTATCGCTCAGTTTCTCAGTAATCCTCATAGACCTCAATTGTTCTGGTCTGCTGACACTGTCCTCAAATGTTCAATAACGTTAGCATCAGCGGGTAAATGTTCTGATCAACCACAAGATCTGCAACTGCTTATGTTTATCACAGCTTTGAGTACGACTACAAGTATCCCGGTCTACTATATCATACTTGAGACGTCTAGTTCTGGTCGATGTAGTCATTTTGAGCTTCAATTGCAGACTTTCCATCCAGAAAACGGGATAGACTGAACTACCAAGAATTGAAAATGACACACAAGATAAAAACACAGAAGAGAGCTCTCCGATAACCAAACTATTTTTACAGCGCCCTATTTCAAGCAGCTGGGACACTCGTAGCCAATCGAAGGATACACCAACCAACAGGGAATTAAATACAAACGACAATGCTTCGTCTAATATCGTTTCAGTGGCTTATCGAAGCTGTTCAATGAACCTTGAAGGGGCAAAATCAGTGACACCGTCATGTAAGAGGAGTCAATCGATGCTTTCACAATGGAGACTTCTTTCATTAGCCAATAGAGATCTTTCGCCAGCGGCTTCGTCTGCTCTGCGAAAGGGCCCGCGATTTGACCGTGCGTATCACGACTCGATTCCACATTCCGATATTGACAGTAATTATCATTCAATAGATACAGCTCTGCAAGATCTGCTACGGCGAAAAAATGAAGAAACTGGAATGTTTATTCAAAACCCGGTATTCCATTGATTTCGACAAATATCCAACTCCTTGCAAAATATCAAACGAGTTGCTCTCTGGTGAAATACATGTCAAGAAATTTGAGACCTAGCTGTCAGCATCTGAAAAGCACCTCAAGCAAAACAAAATTGATGCTTGAAAGCCTTTCAATATATGTACAAGCTTTATTGACTTTTACAAGAAAAGCCCAGAAATTATAAAGGAATTCGACCTTGTGTTGATATTAACTATCCTTCGACTCAGTGTAGTCTCAATCCACAATGGAGCTCTAATGCTCTCAATTGTTCAACAATATTAACAGCCAGGGACTAACTCAATACTATGCCACTGACAGAGATGAGGTTTCCGAAAGTACCCGAGTTTTGTTATTCTCACGATCCGAAACAACCCGTTTCGTATAGCGCTATACTCCATTTGGGATAATAGGTACCTGGAGGAACCCGTTTGAAATGTAGCAGCGACCCGATAAGTACCCGAGCGCGTCTTTGGTTATATGGAACGCGTAAACTTTCAAAGTAAATTATTATGAAATGGGAACGGGAATAAGAACACATCTTTTGAATGCAGGGCCCTTACCAAATCGCCCTGATGGATTATCTTCCTGACATTGGAGAACATGAGTGTACATTGGATCACAATACCGATTTTGAAGGGGATACAGTACTAACCGGTCGTGAGAACGGTATTCATTCCATTGGTAATTTCTCCAAGCACATTAAGGGTCATCGCTCAGCCCGAATTCAATCTCTAAAAGCTACCACAATGAGAGAGCGTATATTGAACACTCAGGTGGTAAAATCTCGCCCACTTCCGCTGCCAAGTGATATCGTTCGCGAATGTGAGCATAGTCCTGGCTCCATCGCGACTATTGGTTTTTTGACAGAAAAACTGTTGCCAACCTCGTTTGTCGGCTCCAAAATGTGGAAGTGGATCTGCAAGGCATGCCCTGAGATGTCATTTATTCAATCTCAAACCACACTAGATGCGAAACTCGAAAGCTATTTGGAATGGCTTAATCAGGCACTTAAGGTGGCTATGGAACATACCGACTTTATAAACATTGAGCTCAATTTTTGGCCTAGTCATGAGGGTACTATTAACGTGGGTATTTCAGCCTCATTTGCTCCCAACTTGTTGAATGACAAGGCATTGCAAGAAGTGGGAGATCAAGCACTACTCAATAACTGTCAAGAGCCTTACAACAGTCACCTTTTGGATTTGGTTGAATTACCGTGGCTACCTGATCCAGAAGAAGATATGGATTTCGAGGCCTCTGACAATTTCCCGGTCTATGAGGTTTTAGATCGATTCAACATTTCTCACAAAGTTAGCTCTTTTACCTCTCACAATGACACTAATAAGATAGTCATACCTTATTCCAACTTCGAAGGAATTACGGAACATCTGGAGGCGAAGATATTAATAAACAAAGAAAACTTACACCATATTCGCTGCGCAAGTCATATATTGAACCTTCTATTTCAGGAAATCGTGAGGAAGCTGAAAGAAGATCAGAGATTTGAAGAAGGCCTGAGGAATATAAGTGCTTTCGCGAAAGCAATCAAGAGGTCATCCGTCTTAAGATCCGCTCTAGCAGATGCTGGCTTGCCCTTGATACCTTCAGCCCCCAAGACACAAGGGATTATTATTTGGAAGCAAATCGCTACCTTTTTGAAGCATCATGACGATTATGCACACTGGGCTAAACGATCGAAATCAAGAGCGGAGCTTTTTAATTATCAAACAAAGATAGAGGGGTGGTTTGAACTCCCGGAAGAGACAATGCAACTATTTGAGTATTTTACCAGCTGTTGCTCGATTTTTCAAATAATGAGTGGTAACCTGCAAAACAATGCCGCAAACAACATAGCTAATGCAGTCACTTTCTATGGCACAATGAGAGAATATTACAACCTATGCAGTGTTGGTGAAACGGAAAACGTAGAAACACCTCCAAAGGGTTTTTTCGATTTTACATTCATCAATGGAAAATCTGACCTTCCCGAAGAAACTAAGAGTACTGTTTTGAAGGCGGTGATATCCTCGAGGCCCACATTTGACGAATACTTCGATCGATACAGAAAGAACGACATATACTTTGTTGCTGCGTTCTTGGATCCTACTATCAAAGAAAGCTGTTTTAGTGAGCTTTTAACCGAGCAAGAAGGTGAGTATCACTTCCAAAGGGTAGAAAAGTATGTCAAGCGCTATCTCAGGCTATGTGACCCCCAAAAGATTCCGTGCATTGATTATACGCTTGAGCCGGTGAAATTAAATCGTGTGACCAAGCTCCCAAAGCCAATTGTGCGTCCCAAGCAGTCAGTGAAGAGAGTCTCTAAAGTCCTCGAAGAATGGGATACCTATAAGGCTGATAGTCGTTTATCCTCAGATTCTGTAACAGATGCAGTGAGATGGTGGCATTCCCGACGCCTGATCTACCCTTATTTGTTTCCGTTGGCTATAGGCATGATGTACACAAAGCTCAGCACCCGCGGCATCGAGAGAACGTACAATACTGTTGAAAAATCAGCGAGAAGTAACCATAGACATCTTGGTAGCGATTTTGAAAAGAAAACCATACTTTTGAGAGACCGCTTTTCTAATTTTGGCCTCTTCGACGAGAAACTCCTTATATCGAGATCTAATGATCTGGATGATACATCCTCGGATGAACAGCCATCCGAGTATGATGATAATGATGATGAAGAAAGTTATGATGACGACGATCTCGACAGCCACTCGGCAGTAGGGTTAGCATGCTGACATGTATTGAGCCTTGTTTTAAGTATAATTACACTCATCGGGCCGATGCTTTATTGGGCCTTGAGAACGATACTAAACGCTGCTTCAAACTATTCCTGTAATGCTTCGCGGTCCCAATCCATCGGAGGGTTCGTAAGTATAACCCGAAACACCCGTTTTTGCAACTTGGGTTGCAAATTTGTGATCCGAATCGATCCGCTGGAGATGTCCGTTCTCTCTGTTGATCATGGATTGACGAAATATTCTAAAGCACTTAACTAAAAGTTGAAAAAAGTGGCATAGAAAGAGAATCGCCTGGATGTCTGCCAAGTGTGTGGTCTACTCGCAGAGTCATCCAACTGCTTTCGTTATGTGAAAGAAACGGTTTTTGACGCAGTCATTGGTCACGTGATCCGGAGGATTGATAACCATAATGGAGAGACAGAGAGAGAGAGAAAGTAACTTCGCGAACGGCAAGGCCCTGCACGGGTTCCACTCCTCACGACCAAATCGTTGTACCCCTGGCGATATGCCATCATCTCTTACTTCAACAATACATGTAAATTGGGCAATTGGCTTGCCCCGTGTTTGATGATGACTGCGACAAATTGATTCTATAACTACAGCTTCTTAGCTATCCACCTAGTCATCAGAAAACCTGTAAGCATAATGCCACTTCACTAGCAAGAAGCCCTTAGTAGATCGAAAGTAGTTACCAATTTTGTCGCGATCATAGACTTTGTGCGGCTACCTTTCTCGTCCTGTAATGGCTTGTGGATATCCAGTGGGTAATCAAAGGCGCAGTTTCTCATCGAATGCGTGGGCCGATGACATCCCGCATCCAAATTCTGGGTCTGTATCTCTTAAAACCACTTCTTGTTTGGGTAAATCCCTCGTAGCCTTCTCTTTCCAGCGTTTTCCTTGATCTCTGGTTCTCCCTCTGACTCTCGTTGCATGCCCAGACTATGTAGAAAACGTAAAAGGATGGATTCCAAGGCTTTTCCTCTGGCATAGCTCGAACTTCAAAAATCTTAGTCTAGTTCATAACTTTTCCCCACGTTAAAGTCCATCACCTTTCCGCTGTGTTCTACTGCTCCTGTTCTAACCTAAAATCGCTGACTCTAAATCTACCAATTCTACAATTACATCAAACTGGTGGAGAAAGATCTACTTTTGCCACTAGAAAGCAGCTTATATTGCCCCAATGGCAGACTCTCTGAACTGGAACAAATGGGTAACCGTTTCTGCTGGTCTGGTGACCTTAGCGTCGCTTTACAGCGCTGTTAAAGCATCCACCAAGCTGTCAACGCTATCACCTCCAAGACATAGCGTTGCTGAACTTATAGGCAACACACCAATGGTCAAGATCGAGTCCCTCTCGAAAGCAACCGGATGCGAAGTGTATGCCAAAATGGAGCTCTCTAATCCTGGAGGCAGTGCCAAAGACAGAGTAGCGCTAGGTATAATACGAGCAGCCGAAAGACAAGGTCTTTTAAGACCCGGCAGTCCAGATGTCGTGTTTGAAGGCACATCTGGATCCACTGGGATATCCATAGCCACCATTTGCAACGCTCTGGGCTACAAAGCTCACATTTCGTTGCCAGATGACACTTCTATTGAAAAACTATCGCTTCTAGAGAGTTTGGGTGCTCAAATCAACAAAGTGCGACCCGCAGGAATTGTTGATCCAGAACAATACGTCAACGCAGCTCAAAAAGCATGCGACAATCTCAATAATACGCAACAGACTGAGGCAAGAGGTGTTTTTGCAGATCAATTCGAAAACGATGCCAACTGGCGTGTACACTTCAACGGGACAGGACCTGAAATCTACAAACAACTGAACGGACGCATCGATGCATTTATAGCAGGCTGTGGTACGGGCGGAACCATAGCTGGTGTCTCTAAGTATTTGCACGGAAAACTGGGCGCCAAGCTGAAAGTCGTCCTAGCGGATCCTCAGGGCTCAGGTTTCTATAACCGCATTAAATTCGGGGTTATGTATGACCGTGTCGAGCAAGAGGGCACCCGTCGCAGACACCAGGTGGATACCATCGTAGAAGGTATTGGTCTCAACAGACTGACTCACAACTTCAACCAAGGTGAAGCCTACATTGACGACGCAGTGCGAGTTACAGATGGCCAGGCCATTCGCATGGCAAAATACCTCTCCGTGAATGATGGTCTTTTCATTGGCAGCAGTACAGCCATCAACGCTGTTGCAGCCGTCAAAGTTGCCGAGACTTTGAAACCGGGATCAAGAATAGTCCTCATAGCATGCGATAGTGGCTCCAGACATCTGAGCAAGTTTTGGAAAGAAGCTTTGAAAGTGGACGCAGGCATTCAGTTGCAAGAGGTTTTGCAGGAGGTGTGAAAGCGAGTGGGGTAGATAGCGGTTGAGCGGTGGTGCTATCCGGCGTTGTCAAAACTAAATGGTGCTTGTTACATCTCGCAGAATAATCATTTCGATTAAGAACTAGACACTTTGGGAGACGGCTCTTGATAATCGGTCACTAGTCACAATGAAAGCATCATTCTGTTCTTTACCGCGTTCGATTAACAGGTCTCGATTGTCCTCTCGATTGTCCTTCCGTATTCCAAAGCTTCTAAGGAAAAACGAACACAACTATCGCTTTGATATTTGAATACCTGGAAATATCTCTAATTACACACCGAAACTCGAATGCTGCCTATACCTCGCCAGAGCTCTTCTTGATAATACACGCTACCGATCGAGAAACATCTTCTAGAAGAAACTTTACTCCCCACTACTTCCTACTGAACCTTTTTTTTTGCTGAACCACACTGCTACATCGAAAACATTCACTTAGGACAATCAATACCACAATCTTACTGCTCGATTGGTATAATCGTCCCAGCGTCGTCAAATTATCTGTAACTTCAGGTAAAACCAAAATCTCAAGCCACAAGCGCCCGATCACCTTCAAAATCTAAATACATATGCTAAAACAGATTATCAAGGCATTGACTAAGTTCAGAGACTCTAGGTATGACATTCACCTTGCTGCACTGTTTACCGTTGTAATGCCTATAGTCAAGCTAATTTAATGAACATACATGGTAATTAACAAGTAAGAACTAAACCATAATAACAGGTCGTCATTCAACACCGCTAACTCAAGATGAGCTCTATGGTTTACGTGTGCCCCAGTGCATATCTTGCTTCTCAAGGTGCCGAGCAATGGCATAGCGAAAGCTTCAAGCCCGGGTTTGTCCCAATTCTGAGAACCAGTTTATTGAGATTTAGAGATGAGCTTGACAAAGTGGTCTCAAAGGTAAACCAACAAAAGTCAGCGCATACATACCAGACTTCTGACGGTGATACTACAACTGTGGTGGAGAAACAATCCGCTTCTGAGGTCATCGGGCAAGTTTCTGAAGACTCGGCGCTGCATAATTACCGGGATCTAAAGCAGTTTTTACCAATCACGCTTGAACAGCAGCTATGCACCATTTCCGTGAAGGGTCTTCCGAGTACGTTGGTAGAGACGCAAATAGCCGAGTTTGTAAACGTGTTGGAAGGTCTTACAACAGAAAAAGTGGGAATTACGAAAGTATTGCATAGTTGGAGTTTTTTTAAAGGATTGGATTCTACGGCTCTTCTTCTGAGATGTACTGACTTGAAACAATTACCATCAGTGCTTGCATTTTGGAATCACCTTTTCTCTCGATGGTCCGAAAAGGACGATATCCTTAAACTAAGTTTGCATCAAGACGAAAACACAACACGATTTTTCAAAGATCATATGGAAGATGCGACTGATGAGGTTCCGGAAGCTGAAGTGGACGGGCAAATCACAATTTTGGGCAATTTTTTGAAGAACTTGAAACAGTCAGATTCACAAGCGGGTGAGGAGAACCTGTCGGTAGATTATCATGTAGATGTCAGCACTTTGAGCGATTTGCCGCGATCCTCGCTTGAACAGCTTTGCAAAGACGTTGTGCATTTTCGAACGCGTGTCGTAACGATCGAGAAGGAGAAGCGCGCTAAAGCGGAGTACGAGGAAAACAAGCGCATGGGACAACATATGAAGAACGTTTTTGACCAAATCCGCAAGAGCAAAGGTAACGCTAAACTAGCAGAAGATGACGAAGAATTCGACGGTTTAGAGGATGATGATGCTGGATATTTAGAAGATGACCTGGTGGTAGAAAAACGTGAACAAGAAAAATTGCAAATGGACTCGGACCGCTTGTTTACGGAACTACTGGATAATCTTGCCACTAAGATTGAGCCACGGCTGCAAAAGCTACAGCAGCAACTAGCGCATGAAAACAGCTATGAACAGACACTCGAAAAGGAGAGGCCGCTCTATTTGAAAGAATTATTGCATTTGGCTTACAGCCCGTACTACGATCATCATCGGTCTTTCAAAGACGAGGAAATTCGTCGCGATAACAAGGACCGGGATGTAAACGGAATAGCAGAGCCTTTGGTGGACGAAACTGTGGAGAAGAAAGAAATGCCTCTGGTATCTGAGCCCAGTAAATTTAAGCTGCAGATTAGTAAACCAAAGGAGGAGGAAGAAAAAGATAATGGAAAACTGCTACAATCTGGCGAAGACTTGGATATGCTTTTGCAAAAATTGCGCGATTCAAACCTGGTGCGCGATTTGGCAATCGAATTTTTAGGCGAGACCGATCAAGATTTGGAAGATTATATTTTCGATCATCTTAAGGAGCATGCCAGTAGGGCTGAATTACTCGCCGAGCTGCGAGAAACTTTTGACGAAGACGCGGAGGTGATTGTGGATCGGATTTGGAGCAAACTCGAGAGCTTGAGCAGTTAAAGAGATGCAAGAAGCTTGGAACTTGGAAAGAGCGCGGGCTGATGAATTGAGAATTGCTGTTGAAAAATGGCATCGGGGTGCTTCAGGCGAACGAAGTAACGCACCAAGCTACTTCGATTTCCCGGTATACAGGAGCCAAGTCACTGTCGCTGTGGATGTCCATGTCGTACCGAGTGATGTACCTTGGCTAGACATTTTCTAGTTGTTTGAACGACGGATAGTGCTATAGAAAGCTCATTGCTTCGATAAGCATCAATGACAGCTCACCAAGGGACATAAAACGAACTGGGAATGTCCTCTACCAAACGGTAATTACCTGTCACGTGATCCATCGTTGTCAGAACTCAAATCGATTTCACACCCTTCTCAAGAAGTATTCGCACCTATTCTCTCACCCTCTAATCTAATATATCGTTCTCCTTCCCCTCCTTCTCCTCCTCCCGCTTCGATCATCTTCATGTGAGTTCCATTCTAATGTTCTGGCCCAAACTTTCTCATCTCCCGTCACGAGACTTGTTTCTCAGATTTGATTTCCCAATCGGGTTATAGATCTGAAACCACGAAAAACAAGAAAAAAAAAAACGAGTCCTCTAATACAACCGTTAAGAGATTGAACATTCTCACATCTTTCATTACCACTTTTTGTCACTAGAGAATGTGTGTTATTTCGTGTTAATCGTGGATTGATCACCTTTAATCACTCGTCCAACCTTCAAAGTTTTCCGTTCGCTTATATACTGCATCCGGTGTCTATCCAACGCAGTTTCCAGCTTTTGAATAGGGCAAGTAACGGACCTGATTTTATAAAACGAAAACCAGTTTTTGAAACTCAGTTTGGTTCCCCCTTGTTGATCTTTTTTAGTTGCTGAGAGCAGTGCGATAGAACAGTACTTGCAGTGTTTGAATCTGTTGTTCTAATCCATTCGTTTGAGAGAAACAAAGCTTGAAAAAAGCTTGAAAAAAGCTCCAATCGTTGCCTCGAAGTGCGTTGTTTGTTTGTTTGTTTGGCCCCTGAGCTTTATTCTCGTCAGTCCATCAAAGTGTCGTTGTTTTCGACAACTTTGGATACCGAAATTACCGTTGCGGTTGTGTTTTTACCCTAGTCACTCTTTCCAGTCACACCCACTCTTTTTTCGTTCACTTTCATCATGAGACTTTTCAATCGCTGGATCTTAGCCCTCTTGGCTGCCTCCGCCGCAAACGCTGACAGCTACGCTGATTTTGCAAGCAGATTGCAGGATCTTTCGCGGTCGTCGCAACAAGAACTCAGTACCACCGGAGCAAATTCAGCTACTTCTGCTTCTTCAGATACTTCTTCTTCCTCTTCATCCTCTACTTCCAGCTCAGCCACGACAGCTGGTGCGTTCACGACTTCTTCAAGCTTCAGCTCTCCGTTCGAAACCGATACAACGTCCACAAGTGATGCTCCATCTCAAACGACACCATCCTCTGTTGCTACTACTTCTATTTCTTCATCAACGGCTTCCACTCAAAGCACACCATCTGACGTTGCTATCACCTCCGATTCTTCATCAACCGCAGCTCCTCAAACTACCACTTCCTCATCAACCTCGGCTCCTCAAACTACTACTTCATCGTCGACAAACAACTGGTGGGATTGGTTAAATAAATCCCAGACCTCTTCTACAACGTCAACTGCACCAGCGTCCTCTACGACTACTCAGGCTTCGTCTGCGTACCAGTCGTCAGCTGTATCGCAAACGTTTTCCGCACCAACGACGTCGTCTGATGTGCCATCTTCTACTGCTAAAGTTGAACCTTCGTCAACATCAACATATGCGGCTTCAACCACCAGCCCATGGTTCTCTTTTGAGAGCCAGACAACATCATCTTCGACCCAAGCCGAAAGTTCTACAACGACCCCATCTTCATCTACAGAAGTTGAACCATCTAGTTCTACTACACCGACTCCAACTTCATCTACAGAAGTCGAACCATCTAGTTCCATCTCTTCATCCGAGTACTTCTGGCCCAGTGAAAGCTCACTCACAACACGGTCTTCGACTTCTGCTACTACGACAGATCTCTCGTCAACATCCGCTGATGACTCTAAGCCTGCGACCTCCTCTACTTATTCTCCCACTCCACAAACCACTTCTGAAACGACCTTCGCCGAAAGCTCAAGCAAGTACACGACATCGTCGCTGACCCCTACGTTGACCTCCTCGTCCGATTTAGCAACAGCAAGTGGTGACCAGGCAACACAAAGTACTACTGCTTTTACAACATCGACCACGCCTTCTTCTGAAGCGACCTCGTCTTCCCAAGACAACCAAAGCTCAAGCACTGGAACATTTACGACTCCAACAACCAGCTCAGAGGCTGTTTTCACCACCAGTAGCTCTAGCGACATCGTCGCTGCTTCAACGCCACTATCGTCGGAGAGCTCCTTTGGTACTTCCACATCTGCCATTAGCGCTTCTTCCGAGAATAGCTACTCCGCTCCTGCTACTTCGAGTACTGAATTCACACAGGGAGCTTCTTCTGAAAACAGCGAAGCTATTTCAACGTTTTTGAGCTCTGCAACAACTTCAACAACCTCTCCCTGGGCTAGCAGTTCTAATCCAATACCCTTGAGCACTACTGCCACGTCTTCGTTTTCCGATACCTCAGAAGCTATATCGATACCCATAAGCTCGGCTACAAGTGCCACCACGGAGTCTTCATCATTGTCACCACAGAGCGATAGCTTCATGGCTTCTTCTTCAGAAACACCCGCGACATTTTCTTATTCACCCACCTCTATTGCAACCGAAAGTGAAAGCTCTAGTTTCAGCTCTTTCTCAGCCGGCGAGACGACAACATCAAGTCCTTACACGAGCGAAGAAAGTTTCACCTCCAGCTCTTATACTCCTGTGGAAAGCTCGCATGCAACCTCCTCGGAGTGGTATCCTTCAACTAGTCAGTCCGCAACCTACTCGTCGCAACTGTCTCAAACTTCAGACCTGGCGTCCTCGACATTTTGGTCCCAGAGTTTTGCCTCGACTTCCGAATCCTACCAGCCTGAGACATCAACTAGTGAGGATTCTTATAGCACTCAAAGCTCCGTCTATACCAGTGCAACTCCCTCGTTCGTTACGCCTACGAGCGATTATTCCTCGAGTTCTCAAAGTTCTTCTGTTAGCACCGTCATTCCCACCACTTTGAGCTCCGACTTGAGCTCCGACACGGCAAGCTATCCAGTGACTTCCTCCTCAACGTTTTCCCTAACATCGGGAACTCCCTCCTCGAGCCTCTCTTCTCCTTACTCAGAGTCTCAAACTTTATCGTACAGCGATTCGAGCTCTGTGGCGTCGCAAACTAGTACTTCGGAAACCTCTCAGATACCCTCAACAATGCCATATTCCGAAACTGCATCTTCAGCTATATCCTCTGCTGTGAGTTCTTCAACGAGCGCGGGATCTACATCTCAATTTTACCCCTCCTCTTCCAGTTTCCAACCATCCACGAGTTCTGCTACAATTTCCGGAACTAGTTCTACTTCGGATGTCGCAAGTATCACTTCAGCTGCCACCTTGAGCTCTGGTACTACCGTTTCCCAAACATCTGAATTCTCGTCCTCATCTTCCTCTGAGGTCAGTTCTTCGTCTTTCTCGACGTCATTATCAGAGGCTGGTTCCTCAACGTCTCCGGAGTCGACATCGATTTCATCCACAAAGTTGAGCACTTCAATTTCCTCATCTGAGCAAGTGACATACTCTTCTAGTTCTTCGGTCTCTCAGAGCATAGTTTCTTCGAGTATTAGCGTATCGGAGGCAAGTAGCACGAGTTTCGCTTCTTCGAGCTCAACTACGGAAATCGCTTCTCCCGCTGCTACTGTCACGGGATCGTCAGTGCCTCAAACGCAATCCTTGCCACCAACAGAGTCTGCTCCGGCGCCAACTGAAGTGGCTTCGAGCTCGATCCCAATTTCCACTAGTCAGATAAGCTCCGTGCCATCATCTTTTGCAGAGCCCTCTACCACTAATTGGCTCCCAACCGCTATGGTTGCTGCCTCTGCATCTTCTTCTGTTTCTACTGCTCGCGGTAGTGCAGAATCTGTTGATCCCACACAAGCCACCAAAACTCTTCCTCAAGCGATTGGAGCGCCAACTGATGTTAATCAACCAGACGGGTACAGCCTCATTACCATAGGTTTCAAGAAGTCACTTAACTATCCGTTCGTGGTCGGAAACCCAGTTACTAGCGCGCAAATTTTTGCCTACCTTCCGCTCACAATCAGACATCCATTTGACGAGACATTGAGTAATGTTGAAGTGGCCAGATTGGTTCCACTCGCAGTCAAGGGGAGAGACTATCTCTTGACCGTGGCAGAGATCTATTTCCCCGCAGACCAGATTTCAAGCCTCCAGGAACTAATTCAGGATGAAACCAGTGACTTCTACAGCACTAGCGATCAACTAAGCAGTTTTGTCGATCCTACAATTCCTTTAACCGGGCTTGTTGATTCCGGTGCAACCTCCTCCTCCGATTCTAATAGCAGCTCAGCTTCCTCAGACGCTAGTGGTAATGTTTCTTCAGGTGGGAAACAATCTTCGGGCTTCCGTAGCGCTGGCACACTTGGCTCGTCAAGTTACAGCGCCAATGCTGTTGGAACCAAAGGTTTTAGCAGCAAGAAAAAGATCATTGCGTTGATCGTAGGTGTTACTTGCGGAGCATCTGTTTATTTGGCCTTGATGGCGGTGGCATTCAGATACATCGTCAAGAGAAACAGATTGAAAAACAGTGCGCCACACCTCGATGAGACATCCAGTTTCGATTCAGGATCGCATGCTGGAGCCTTGAATGACAACGAGAAACATGTTGACGACCGTTCGTCAATTTCTCCAAGCATGCGAATCAACGATTGGATGAAGCAAACTCATTATGGTGACGCAACTGAAGTAGGACATCCTGTTGCATTCGCGGACCATGAAAGAGGAGGTACTTTGAAGATATCAAAACCAATCGCTACAGAAAACTCTTTGGGTTGGAATGAAATTTGAGCCAAGAGTTGTAACCTTTATATAAGCATGTATAAGTTCGTCATGTCAATGGACATTTGTATTATTATTACGATACAACGTTTAAAGCTTTCAGCTTCAAGGGCTAAAGCATTTACTCTGACAAAAATTCGATGCACGACGTATAGAATTTATCAGGAGCATCAGCCATTATTATATGACCAGTGTCGAACTCGACTACTGAGTGATTGGGGAAATGCTTGCCCAAAGAGCTGTGGGAGTCACGAAATAAAGGCGAGCGCAGACCGCGCATGAACATAACTGGTGCCTCCGTTTTCAATTTGAATTCGTTGTGAGGAAGCGTTGAGATTGTTGGGCTATCTTCCACGACGTTTATCCAATCTTTCATTTCACACAACGGGAGGCGGTAATTCACATATGGATCGGCGTCCCTCGTAGCATCGTAAGTCTTATCATTATCCTTGACCTCCAAAAACCCTTGCGCGAAGTATAAAGCTAGTCCCGGATAAGTATTCGCAGGTAGTGCTCGGAATAGCTTGAGAACGTTATCCTTCCAACCTTTGACACCCCTCTCCACCTTCACCGTCCGATTGCAGATCTTAAGCATAAGATCATAATTTGCCATGAAGGTGTCACTGATGGACGAGACCTTATATGGCGGCATATCTATCGATATACATTTAACAACATTGATCTGGCGGGACAAGGAAGATAGTAATCCAACTTTACCACCCATTGAGAAACCAACGATTGAAATCGGATGATTTCTGCCGAATTTGTCATGAAGAAACGTCACAACGTCTTTCGTTAGCGTTAGATAGTCGTACGGTCTTGCCGATGGTGATTTGCCATGGTTCCGAAGATCTAGGTTGTACACCTCAGTATTCAAATCTTGGGCCATTCTTTTGCCAACAGCTGCAAAAGCTCGCGTGGACCCAAATAGACCATGTAAGCTAACCACTATTGGCTTGGAAGGGTTCGGACTTGTAGGCTTGAATTGTCTGAACGCTAGATCAACAACGCTCTTGTAAGGAAGGCTTGAAGATGTAGCTTTCATAGCTTTGACGTGCCCCAGGAAGTATTTCTAGTGGGGCGTAGGCCGGATTGGTCGGAAAGGTTTTCGTGATGGAATATAAGTGTTCATCTCAGGTTAATCAAATCGTCTTAGAATCCTAAACCGAGTACAGTAGCAGTTATAGTTAACGAGTTCCAATGTCTAGACTCAGAAGGTTCAACAAGGGCGTATTGGACAAAGTACATGGCAACAGCAATTACGACGACGACGATGGCGAAATTCCAATCCATCCAATGGACGTAGAAGAACAGGAAGAGTTCATCGGTAACTTGGAACTTCGGAATAATGCAAGCAATAATCGAACTGTGCAAATCTTGAGCGTGGCATATGTCATATGTTGCGGGGTGTTTCTGTCGCTGTTGGTGAGGGTCAAAAAGCTGGGTAAAGACAACGGAACCTCAAATTCAACCCACAAGCGACTGTTTTTGTTTGCAATCAATTCGATTATCTGTTCGTTGATCACCTTGAGGTACGAAATCATCAAGGATGTGTCGATTTCGCGAGCTGTAGGGGTACGAGTGAACAATGCTAGGATTAACGCCGTGAACTGTACCCTGCTGTTGCTGATATCGTGGGAAGTGGTGGACAAAGTGGAAAAAGCGACTATGCAAGCCCTGTTTCACGTTCCCTTGGTGTTGTTTGTGCTGTCACAGGTGAGCAAACGATGGATGAACCAGTTGCAAATGGAGATCAGCAGTTTGCGTGGTCTGAAGTACAAATACAAGAATGTTTGAGGATTTGAATTGGCGAGGTTCCATTTTTGAACTTGAGCATTCGTTTCAGTTTGCGTCGATCGCTAGATATTTCGATGATGCGGTAGCAAGTGGTAGCGGTCTTGTCATCGGAGATGATCTTCACCAGTTTGGGGACCAGGGATGCTGAACTAGTCAACGCGTAGGATACGGGTCCCAAAGACGCTTCTTGCTGCAGAAATCTGAGACGACACACTCGTGAAAACACCAATGGGAAGTGAAATTCGAGCTGCGATATCAACAGAGACACTAGGAAGAAATTGCAGTGTTTGACGACAGCGACACCGTCAATTTCAAGCGGTGTCAACGAACTGCTGAGCGTTGCGTTCACTGTAACGGCAGAGATAGTGGCGAGCTGCAAATCCATATGTTTAAGAACAGAAAGTGGCTGTTCCAGCAGGTTTTTGGTCTTCATAACGGAGAAAATCTGGCATTCCAGCGTCAAAAGAACGCAATTGTCGCTTGCAATGTCAACCGTGACTCGATAGTTCAGATCTCGCCAAAACTGCAAGCATTGTGTGAACGCATTTGCGAGTGTCTGCGTCACACCTTTAAGAACCATTTCTTCATTGGAAAACAGTACGATTTTGATCTGCAATGGAGAGTTAGCGTTAGTAAACGGTATACTCAGAGAGAATAACGCTAAATCTAAAAACTGTGAGCTTACGTACCTGTAAATGTTTTTGTCTAGGCGGTAAAACGATGGAATGTTCATTAATAGCGTTTTTGGAGTCATTGGACTCGATTGAAACGGAACTTTGCCATTCAGAGTACACATTTCGTTGGTCATTGGCCAAGAATACAGGCTCAAACGATATATACATCTACAGAAGCTTGCCACTTTGGTTTATACACCGAAATTGATTGTGGTGTCAGTGATTTGAATGCAATGTCAATATACTTCAGAGTAATATTAAATAGCTTATAGAAACACACATAAAGACAAACTCGAGCAGAAATCAGGGTTCCAGCAGGACGATAACAATTCGGGAACTAAGATGTAGATGGATATAGGTTCAGAGCCCTAAACTGGGCAGATTGTTAAATGCATATTTGAGCACATGACCTTAATCTGGGTATGGTTACAAGGTGTTTGCCATGTTTTTCAACAATAGGTTGTTTGGCCGAGCGGTCTAAGGCGCCTGATTCAAGAATTCAATTCTTAACGCTGTAATACAGCGGAATCCTCAGGTATCGTAAGATGCAAGAGTTCGAATCTCTTAGCAACCATTATTTTTATTAAATTTAAATGTTAAATTGATAATCGATATATAAAGAAAGGCGTATCTGTCAGTCTTGTACGAACTTCAATGCTACGATGTACACACTTATCCACCCTCTTTAGCGTGAGATCGGGGTTCTTGACCGTCGACACACATGGTCAAGCGTTTATACAGACTATTCACATTTAAAAGCTAAAGTTCAGCACCCTCATTGCGGGTTTTAACGGGTGATTTTTTATAGCAGTTTTCGATCCAGAGCAGAGTTCATCACTGATAAATACGTCCTTCCATCATTCAGACGGAATGCCGGGATTCAACAGCAGCATCATTCAGCAATTCCCGTACCTAAATACTTCGCAAAATGTACTTATAGTGAGTAACCGGTTGTGGGCTTCAACAATCAACTATCCGTACCAGATAGTGCGGTCATTTTACAATGCCATTTTATCGCAGTACGAGACACAAGTTGTTGCGAACGTGGCTTCAGACGGATTGAATTTCGGAGCTTCCACGTTCGTGGAAACCGCAGGATATTTCTTCAGCAACTACGCGGTAGGATGTTTCGTAACCGCGTTGGTGCTCAATCGAATCGTATCGATGTCTTCGTTACGTTCGCCCGCCGCAGTGGTGCAATTGCCGTTGTGGTCGCGCGTTTTGTTCCACGGGACCGCAATTGCCGCCCTTGTGTATAATTTGGGCACCACAATACGACCTTCTGCCCATCAGGAACCAAGTTCGTATTTCGCTGTGACTTATGCAATCATTTGCTTGTCACATTGCATCGAAACTTTCATTACAACTACTTCGAACGCCAAACCTATGGAGGAATTCGACTACAGCATTTTCGAACTTTCAATGCATTTCTACTCTCTGGCAAGATCAGGCGCTGCGCGCCGAGACTACGTTCCAGATTGTTTGATGGCACTCCTGGGCCGTCTCATCATCCATATTGTCGAGATACTAAGGAAAAGACAATATCGTTTGATAGGTTCATCCATCATAAACATATGCCATCTAGGGTACCTGGGTTGGACTATATTTCACGAGGGAACTCCGTCATTACCGCTTTTGGTGAAATACCGTCATATACCCAAAACTATGGCGCTAGCTTGTATCGTTGTTTCTCTGGCGTGTTATGGATTGGGGTGTTTGGTGAGACTGAATCCGTTTGGCAACAGCGGCGACACTTCTGCTTTACGCTTTCATTCGTTTGTGAAAAACTGGTACAGCACTTTGAATTGCACGGGCGAAGAAGAGTTCACCAGCACCTTGATAAACTTTGCAGTTCTCATATGCAACTCTGCACAAACAGACCAAGCTGGACTTCATCGCGAACTGTCCCAGCTAACACATCAAAACGAGGTCAACCGGTCTTTTTTGATCAGTGGATACACTAACAACCATCAGGCTGGAATGAAGGATTCCGAGATGGCGTGGGCAACTGTTCAACCGGTATGGCGCAGGAAATGGGATGCTATGTGGCGATTGGAAAATGCATTGAAAAATAGAATAAAGACGTTGCTTGTGGCACCTGTTGATCAAAAATCGATACCGCATCAATCCAGAGCTCAAGGAAAAAATCTCAATGACTACCTGTCTGATACCAACTACCCACAATTTTTCGCAAGAGCGCCCGATGTGAATGCCACGAGTAAAAATGTTCGTTCGACCGGTTCCAAATACATGCTGCCGGAGGACGACTGGTCAGCCGATTACGTGGATGAAGATTCACTTTCGGACAGAAGTGACGAAGATCTCGACCTGTTGGATGAGGGCGAGGAACAAACGCAATCTGCCGAGCTACAATTGGGCAGTGAACTTACAGATCTTCTACTTCCAACGGTAGCGGCCCCAAATGACGCAGGCGATCAAGACCCTCAATGGCTGATATCCATGTGGACCCTTCTACAGTACGAAACTCATTGTGATCGAAGACTTACAAGATCGCAATACGCACGATTGAACGAATCAAGAGTCCTACAAGAGGTAGTGGCAGAACGTTCTTTGAACGCCCAAAAAAGGGACGACACCAATAATTCCACTGAGCGCGATCTATCGTGTGTCGTTTGCAAGACCAACGTTCGCAACATTGTCCTGTGGCCCTGCAAGTGTTTTGCCATCTGCGAAGAATGCCGTGTTTCTTTGGGCGCACGCGGGTTCAACACCTGTATTTGTTGCAGAGCGCCCGTGAACGGCTACAGCAGGATCAACTCGGTTTGATCATTGCTACGCATCATTTTTAGTCAATCACAACACAGCTTTATCAGTCCATTGGCAGAACACCAGCACATCCTTTGTAGTCGATGTCCACTGTCACCGGAGTTCGAGAACACTCATACTATACGATAAAATACATATCACGCTTAACGGAATATTTAGCCCTGCATACGAAAATTTGTGGCCGGGTAACTGCATCGCATTATTTTCCTTGAAAAAAAAAAAGAGTATATAAGGAACAACATTTACCAGTTCCTTTCCCAGTCTGAACACTCCTCTTTTGATCCTTTTTCTTAAATATATCATGGGACCTGATTCGTCAAGACCTCGGCCAGAGAAATACTCCCACTTTTCTTCCGAAAACTGTGGAGCCGTTTCTTGCTATTGCTGCTTTACTGGCCTTGTTTTTGTCGAGTTTTCGGCGCTCGAGAGGCAAAGTTTCAAGGAACCACTGTTTTTCGGGATCAAAAACGCTTCATGGCATCTCCTCCGCTTCGGCGGGGTCTTTGAGTAGCTTTTGTCGTGTTTTTCGTCTCGAGACTACAAACAGTCGGTTGTTGCCATCGGATTTTGGTTCGATGGATGAGACAGAAGTAGCCCCGTCGACAGGTACCCAGAAGAAGTGGGACGCGTGTATCTTGAGTTCTCGTTCATTTTAGGATGTTCGGTCGAGCTCGATCGCCTTTGTGTCGTTCCACCGCGGTATATTCCTAAACACTATGTAGGTCCTATGGGCCAGTGATCATTTGGGTCAAACCATACTGCTGACATTTCGTAATTCTTGTTTGAGACGTAGTTCTTTGATGATCATTAATCAGTCTTTTTGAGGTATATGTGCATTAAAGGCTAGAGGGTTAAGGCACACACTAGCTACCGCTTTTGGTTCCTATTGACCAACATGGTTGTTTACTTGATATTTACTGTACAATCGTTGCTTCGAGACGTTTGCTTTATATGGATCCTCCAATCAATGGTGGAACAAACGAATTGGGTTCTCAACATAAACCAAGTCAAAGGAATCAGCGGCGGAGAACACGGCCTTGTCCATAACGGAACCCGAAGGTGCGGCAATGTATTTGACACCAGACTTAGCCGCTCTGTAAACGTTGTCTGGGAATGGGAAGAAAGCATCCGAAGATAAAGCAACGTTGTTCAGCTTGCCCATCCACTCTTTTCTTTCCTCCTCAGTTAGTGGGGTTGGAATCTCAGCAAACTTGGATTCGTACTCAGTTTTTTCTGGATCTTCCGTAGGAATTTGACCTGTGACGAACAAATCGATGGCGTTCGATTTCTCAGGTCTCTTGACACCCTTGGCCCACTTGAAAGCGAGAACTTTTGGATGTTGTCTCAACCACCAGTTGTCGGCTTTGTCACCAGCAAGTCTGGTGCAGTGAATTCTGGATTGTTGACCGGCACCAAGACCGACGATCATACCGTTCTTGGCGTAACACACAGAGTTGGATTGAGTGTATTTCAAAGAAATGGTGGCAACTGTCAAGTCAATCACAGCTTGTTCGGTCAAGTTCTTGTTGACAGAGACGATTTCCTTGAAAGATGACTTGTTGATAATGGCATCGTTTCTCTTTTGTTGAAGAGTGACACCGTAAACTTGTCTAGACTCCAAAGCTTCTGGGGTGAAGTTGGGGTCAATTTGCAAAATACAGTACTTGCCTCCCTTCTTCTTGGATAACAACTCCAAGGCTTCTGGTTCGAAACCTGGAGCAATCACACCGTCAGAAACTTCTCTAGAAATGATCTTGGCGGTTGGTACGTCAACAATGTTGGACAATGCAATAAAGTCACCGAAAGAAGACATTCTGTCGGCACCACGAGCTCTGGCGTAAGCACAAGCAAGAGGCGACAAGTTTTCAATGTCGTTGACGAAGTAGATCTGTTTTTCAACATCGCTTAGAGGTAGACCAACAGCGGCACCGGCGGGAGAAACATGCTTGAAAGAAGCCGCAGCTGGAAGGTTTAGAGAAGCAGACAGCTCTTTGACCAAAGGCCACGAGTTGAGGGCATCCAAAAGATTGATGTAACCGGGAGAACCACTCAACACTTTAAATGGTAGTTCTTCGTGCAAAGAGACGTATGCTTGCGCTGGTTTTTGATGTGGGTTAGCACCGTAACGTAGAGGCAGCTGAGTACAGCCCTCTGAGTACTGTTTTCTGAAGAAGTCAGCAATGGCAGCATCGTAATCTGCGGTGTGTTCGAAAGCTTTCAAAGCCAGTTTGTTTTTCAGGTCCTGGGTGACATCGCCCTTGGAAAGTTCTTGGAGAAATTGAGGGTAGTCTTTGGGGTCCGATAGAATAGCCACACGCGAGTGGTTCTTGGCAGCGGCTCTCAAAAGTGTTACACCACCAATGTCGACTTCTTCCACGGCTTCTGGGATCGTCACGCCAACTTTGGCAACGGTCTCCTTGAAAGGGTACAAATTGCAAACCACAAAGTCCACCTTGTCAATGTTCTGCTCTTTCAAGTCTTTTTCGTCCGAGGCCAGGTTACGAGCCAAAATACCGCCGTGAACGGCTGGATGCAAAGTCTTGACTCTGCCACCTAGCATTTCTGGGGCGTGAGTGATCGAAGAAACATCTTCAACGTTAAAACCCGCTTCACGAACCATGCGGGCAGTACCACCGGATGCCAAAATGCGCACATTGTTCTCTGCAAGACCCTTGGCCAGATCTAGCAATCCGGTTTTGTCATAAACCGACAAAATAGCGGTCTTCGAGTAATTATTAGACATATTTAGGCTCAATTGATAGCTAAGGAAGGCCACTTTTTTTCAAAACTAAAGGATTTTACCTACCGTTCGAAGCGTTTGAGAGAAAGATCAATGAACAAAAGCTGCAACTAGAATCTAAACAACAATTAACAACGGTCTTAGTTCGATGATTTTACTCATATATATAGGCCTTTATCTTGATGATAATTAAGATTTGAATATTTCTAAAATTTTTTTTTTCACTAGAAAGCCCTTCGTGAGACATGATATCAATAAACTTGACCATCTCAGTAGAATGAATTTAATGCTATAATATAAGACTCGATAAAGAGTCAACCAGCAGCGAGTCACCAATCGTGGTGAGACATGGTAAGACTTGGCAAGCTACGTAGATCAGTGTATGGGAGATGTGGTCTGTTTGTTTCGGAGCCAATCCAATACATGAGAGTTCTGGTACAAATTTCTTGTTTCCTTAGTACACTAGCGTACATATGCGACAGTAGAGATTATAGACTGAAGAAAGCGGCGAGAGTGAATTAGCGGATTCCGAAAAAGAAGACACCAGAGAAGAGAAAAAAAACAAACGAAAAAGCATACTGGAAGCTCTACGTTTATTTTCTGTATCTCCACAAAGACAAAGTGTTCTGTCTCTTCCAGGTCTTTCTTCTACCGGCCTGGGTGTTGTGGAACAAGTGACCTTTGTTGATACCACGGGACTTCTTACCAGTGGAGGTGAGGCCTCTGGCTTCACGGTGCTTGTGGACTGGGTTGCAGATCCAGTTGTAGCGGGCGTCTCTTCTGATGGCCTTGTGGGATGGGTCCAACAAGATGACCTCGAAGTACTTGTAGGTGGAGTCCTGGTTGACCCAGTACGAGTTCAACACTCTCAAGTTGGCAGCACGACGGCCAACACGCTCCTCGGCGGTGGCTCTCAACGATCTCTGGTACTTGAGCTGGTTGATACCCTGGTTGGTGGGCTTACCGTAGGTGGCACCCTTTGGAGCAGGTCTCTTTCTGTTACCACGTCTGACACGGACACGGTAGATCACGAAACCTTGCTTGGCCTTGTAACCCATTCTTCTAGCCTTGTCTGGTCTAGAAGGTCTGGAGGCACGGTGGATAACAGTCTTTTGTCTGTATTCCCAGACACGGATTCTTTGCAGGAATCTCAAGACATCCGACTGTTTCTTTCTCTGAAGCTCTTCCAAGTACTTGTAGGCACCCATTGTTAAATTCTAGTGTGGTAAACCGAGGTTTTGGAAAAGTTAACTAAGCGGACAGGTAGGAAGCAGGTGTTTACCACTGATGGGTTTATATAATTACAGTGTGAAAAGTTTCACGGTTCGCATGCGATGAAGAAAAAAAAAAAGAGTCGGTCGTGTGAGATGGACCAGAACGTGCGCACCCGGACCACGAGTTACGCTGATGAGAAATTTCAGAAAAAAAAATAATTAAGAATGTGCGGCACTACGGAATCTGATACGGAGAGAAATCAACTTACTAGCCGATCCAGCTAGAACGTGATCCTTACGGAGGTTGCAGCGTAAAGGTGTAGGTGAAAGGATGGATACCATATACGGGGTCCGCATTCACAGGACCCTCCGTATCGCGGTGGTATAAGAACAGGAAAACTCAAAATCCGTCTTTGAATCTACCTATTTCTCAAACCCGGATGTAGCGTTTGTATCTGTCCTGTGGACCACTTTTCTCGGTCCACAAGTCTTTCAATTTCACGGAAAAACGCTGAAAAAACTGATGTAGGTCGTGGTTCAATGAAAAACCACCCTGGGACACGCTTTAAGATTGCCAAAAAGCATTCTCCCCCGGTGCGACCAAAATCTAATTTCCGATTTTATTACTGGAACGCCGGTTTGCAAGCTCCCTTCCTTAGGTTACTACGAAATTCTTGTCCTTTTTCTGTAAATATCTGACTTTCACACACGGGCGCGTCGACGTAGCTACCCTGATTTCAGCACCACGTCATCTCGATTAAATCGTGCATTTCGAGCCTGAAACTTTCACTGAGACACGTCCGCGTCTTGCAGCCTCGATAACGAATTCAACGCTCTTTCCACATCAAGATTGCATTGTTATACTTTTACTGCTGTAGGTATAATCTTCTCTCATAAGTACTACCGCGTTGTTTGCTGAAAAACTTACGCTGACACTACAGACACGAGCGAAACGCACGATGATCGACCAAAAAATTTCACGACGACGCCATCTGGAAAAAAGTCCAGACCTCATCGCTATGGGTGTCTTACGTAGTTAAACCTTAGTGACTACACTGCGTTTCAAGTGCCACGCGGTGGCACTCACGATACGCTGAGTAGAAACGTTGGGACTTGTAACTAGCTCGTTATAGACGTTCTTCTGAGAGAGAAACCGCCTGAGAGCCGCGCTAGTGTTTGTGAGAGTGTAGGGGAAGTACTGGTATGCCAAATTGAAACTGAGGTTGCGTGAGAGATATGGAAAGAATCTGGGAAAGACAGAAGAACGCTGGCATATGAAAAAATATATCTATATAAACATGGAAGGGTGCTCGAGTAGAGATGACGGGCCCTTGAGGAGTGTGTGTGGCTGGGAAAGTTTCAGACTGGGTTCAAGAGGCTCTTACGGGAAGCATACTTGTGGAAATTGGGAATCGACGGTCAATCTAATATATAGGAGATCCCAAGCCCTAAGACACAAGCCCTAAGACACAAGCCCTAAGACACAAGCCCTAAAGGAAAAGTCAGGCATCGCTTAAGAAGTAGCGTACTTTCCACTGCACATCCATGACTACTACGCTCACAACCTCCAGTCCATATACAATGGCTATGCAAATACAAGTCGACACAGCGAGTTCAACGCAGGACTTATCGTCAACGGTGTCGTACGCATTTCTGGGGAGCTCTTCGGGCGGCGTTCTATCGCTGGACCAATCCCAGATCCTCTCTACAACAGCTATTTCTGGTCGTCCTAGGTACACAAGATCGGACCTCGAAAGCGGTGGTTCTGAGTCGATATCTGCGACTCCTACATCGGGTTCCGGATCATCTCACACGAACGCGTCGTCAGCGTCTTCGTCTTCAAGCATATCCACTGGGACCACAAGCACCACGGGTTCGACCTCAGCATCGCCATCTTTACAGCCTTCCAACGGGGTGGGAAGTTGCAATGGGTCCAAGAATTGGAAAATGGGCGCCGTCTTAACGCTTCTGACGGCGTTCGGAGCGTTAACGGTATAATGACAAGGAAGTAGAAAACTTGTAAGTAGCATATGCATAATAAGAAAACAATATCAAGATTTCACGCTATAAAAGTGGCGTGTGACTGTGTGGGAGAGTGATGAATGTAAAGCACCACAGCGTCACTTAAATTCACGTGAACGTTCCCAACGATCTGTTGTTCCGATTCAATTCCTAGCCGTTCAGTCTACAATAGTCCCCACAGACTTCTCAGTCCCCCCAATACGACCGCTTCATCATTAGACTCCCGAATCCTCGGCGTTTCGCTCTCTCTCTTTTTCTTTCCCTCTCAACGTCTGCCTAATTACTATACCAAGCCAGCCATCGAAAAGTTACACACGTTATTCCATATAGAGACAAATTGCTCGATTCCATCACACACAGTGGAACGCGAATCAATACTGCCCCTCCGGGCAGTTTCCCCAGCGAGCCACTACGATGGATCATACTCTCGAATAGTAATTGTAGCGTTTTCTATAGAGGCTTCTTGTTTTGTTATTTCTATTCTTAGTACAGGCTTTTTTTCATACGATCGAAGGTGAGTGTGCTTGGCACCATCGACTATGTTGAAATTTGGGTCTCAGTGTCGCCATAGAACACTCCACGCAGTCTCGCATCGTAACTTGCTGGTTTCAGCCCAGATCAAAATTTGACTCGATTTTTTACCTTACTGGGAAATAGGCGTCGCAATAGACACACCGGTGCACCAAGAAAAGAGAATATATGGCGTCGTTGTAGTTGTCATGGCGGTGCAAGAGTGGAGCCAATACTAGTGGGCTTAAGGCTGTTAATTATAGCGCGGTATTAGGTGCGAGATCCCAGTACTAGCAAAACTAGCCGTAACTTTGCCAAGCTGGATCAGCCAATTTTCGAGAAACCAGCCGACCCAAACGGGAAAAGTGTATAAGTAAAGGCCAAGAATGGAGGATTAGGATATAGCTGTATAGAAATTGGATCTGATTTTTTTACGTAGACACTAAGAACACAACTCAATTCTCAAATCACACACACACACAACACAATGGCTTCTTCTTCATCCTCTTCCGCTGTTGGCACTGCCTCCAACTTGGTCTCTAACGGTAACGTTTCTGCCCAGAGCGTGACCTCGTCTGCTGCTTCTTCCATGAAATCTGGCGCATCCTCCGCTTCGTCTGCTGCGTCTTCCGTCAAGTCCTCGATTTCCTCTGGTGCTTCTTCTGCCAGCTCCAAGGCCTCCAGTGCCAAGTCTTCCAGCTCCTCGTCCAGCGGTGCTGTTCCAAACATCGTGGCCAACCCAGTGTCGTGGAAGTTCGGCGCCCTATTGGGTGCTACCATGTTCGGTTCATTCATCCTAGGCGCTGGATTGTAATCGCAGCTGAACGAATAAAGAAAAATAAAAAGTTTGTAATGGAAAAACTATGTACGTTTATTGAAACAAAAAAGGAGGTTATATTATGAAGAAACGCTAGCAATTGAGCCCTTGAGGGTTGGTTACAGAATACAAAGTACTGCTTTGGTGTCTGCTTGTTGTAGCGGTGTGAGGGTCACGTGACTCCTCTTCAAGACTGCTAGTTCCAAAGATCACCATTGAAAAGCAGCTCAACACAAACTGAACAACTTCCCATCGGATTTCACGATCCGCAGTATCTTACCAGGTCGCTACGCACAGTCCAAATTCCGAAGTCTTCTGTTTGTCACCATGCACGGATGTGTAACTAATCATCATCATCATCAACACACTTATATAATACTATCAATGTCAACATCTCATTGTCTAACGGCTTGCTGATTGGGATTACCAGCCTCGATCTCAACTAATCAAGTATGGAAATGGCCAATTTTGCTGAAGAACTCTGGCGTAGCATTTTCACTCCCGGAACGTCGCCGCAACTGGTCATTGCCACTCACATCTCGTTTTCTTTGCTAGCGTGCTGTCTGGGCTGGTTGATCTACTGTACGAAAAATGTGCATTTTGTAGCGTTGCTGGTCATTGCAGTCCTGTTGTGGGCCACTGTGACTTGGTTTATCGCGGAGCTACAGTATGCCAAATTGAAGGACAACGAAGAGTTAGCGAGCGAAGCTGGAGCTAAAGTTGACGCACCGGCGACCAATGACAAGGTTTCAGATAACAAGAAACCACAGGGTACAAGCACCGCTACCAAAACTACCAACAAGACCACCAGGTCGAGAAAAGTTTGAGCAAGACGATAGTACATAGTGTCGAGCGAAACCAAGTGTATCTGTACATATAATACATAGAGCCGAAATTAAAGGAGCGAAGACAGTTTGTCATGGATTGTCGAAACGAAACAGTCATCTCAGAGACCCATGCTGGGGTAGGGTTTTTTAGATTGACAGATGGTAGCACTCCATGCCAGCCAATGTTTTCAATCGGGATCAAAACATCAAAATTGGCAAAGGCATCGGAAAAATGGAAATTGGTCCAATCTAAGAAAGGAGAACCTGAGCAACGAATCCTTACTGAATATTTTACGGAACATACTACCCTATTTGCTCTATTCCCTGATGCTATAGCCCATTCGCATCTTGAATACTTTCATATCACTATTGACTATTCCGTCACATCAATGGTCAGACCGGCGAGAAAAAGACCATACAGGTGAAAATGAGCCTTGAGAACTGCCAGAAACAAATTCTACCGGTAAACAAGGATTAAGACGCCCTTCCACAATCGATCAAAAAACTAGGTACATAGCAGAAGATGAGCACACTATTTGATCACGTGAAAACCACGTTATCAAACTCACAAATTACGTAATGAATTTTCTAAATTTCACTACTTCACCGTGCCCAATACTAAATAAATACTCATCGCTACAACATACTTTTTTCGCTTGAACTGAGTCAGGCTATTTATACATTCTCGAGGGGTTTACCAGTTCAATCGTTCCCTCAGAGCCCTCTTTAGTGTATATTTGGTGTGATAGTCATTAGCATAAAGCCTGTGAACTTCCCTACAATTTCCAGTGAAATTCAGCGACTTTTAGAGATTCTTGGCGACTTTCAGCGAGTTCACACGATTCTTGGAGGTTTGGTTTACGATCAAGGGACTTATATTTTACAAACACTCTAGCAAAACAATCCACAACTTCGCTTGGCATCGCCTGTCTTGCTCTGAAAGTCCATTTTTTTTCCCACATTCTATTTCTGGCATTCTCTGCCTTTTTTAGCCATTGCAGTAATGGATGCTGGAACAGCTTCTTTTGCCAAGAATCCATCTACCAGGGCTCAGCTGCGAAATCAACTTTTGAGTGATGACACGGGGAACATTAATGTGGCCGATGATACACGACCAGCCGGTCCACGGAATGCTGGTCCGGCACCAGGGTTCCCACCGGGCAATTTTGGAAGACCTCCATACCAACAGCAAAACTATTATGTCCCACAGGAACAGCATCCTATGCAATATGAACAGAACCAGATGTATGGAAATGGACCTTATAATACGAGAAGAACGCCAGGTCCAAATTTCGCACCTCAAGACCAACGGGCGTCTTCTATGACCTCTCAGTCGTTTGCAGGCCCCGGAAAAAAGTCTTTGCAGTCCAATGGGATTTCCAACTTATTCAGACTGCGCCAAAACCGCTCGAAAGACTCGGAAAATGACAACGAAGAAGAAACCTTCATAACAGACGCAGATAACTCACTGCTGACTTTCAATGATATTTCGTCGATGCGTAACAATGGAGGCCACAAGTACGGGATGGGTGCCGGTATGGATGATACGTCGCCTATCATCCCAACGTTAATGACAAAAAGCCACGACAAAATGAATAACATTGAGTATAGAAAGCTAATGGCTGCTCAAAAGAAGATGAACTACAATACGATCTCAAAACAACACAAACAAGCTACACAAGGCTCAAACAACGATCCTCGGGCCATGTCCCTGCAGCATTCTCAAAATCCGTATGTGCCACAACAACAGTTTTATGGCAATCAAATGCCACCATACGCACATGCCAACTCCATTACCTCAGGGGCCCCTCAAATAGCACCTTATGGACGTGCCAATTCCATGATGTCAGGTCCACCACCTCAAATGTCATCTTACGGCCGTGCTAATTCAATGATGTCAGGCCCACCACCTCAAATGTCACCTTATGGCCGTGCTAATTCCATGATGTCAGGTCCATCACCACAGGCTCGAGTTCTGAACTCTCAGCTACATGTACCACGTCCAGCCAACAACGGACCCAGAGCCATGTCACTTAATACAGCTGCAGGAAGAAGACCCATGCCACAGATGCATCCTTCGTCACGACCACAAGTCGGTGCATTCTTACCACGTCCTCAAGACACTCCAGGCCCGTCTGTTCATGACCAATATGCACAAGCGCCAGGAACTACGGAAAGCAATTATACACCACAAGCCAGCCAACGATTCAGGACTTCTTTCAATGCTTTAGAAGAGACTCAGCAGGATGATTTTGGCATAGGTGAAGAACCTGCTTCCAAGGATTACGAAACTCCTGCGTCTTCATCTTCTGCTATTAGCAGTCAAAGCTTCCCCTCGTACCGTGTTCGGAGTCAAACGCCTGAATCCCAGGCTGAAACCAGAAAGGATACATCGGATATTCATCGTGGCACTGACTTAGAACAGCAAGTGCAAAGAAAAAGCACACCCAGCACCGGAAAGCTAAACATTATAAAATTATCGGCTCCTCAACAAAAGGAGCTTTTGGACAGAGATAAAAATGTGCATAGCTCGGAAATGGAGGTCGGAAATGGCGGTTTGATGGACATGGTCTCCAAAGAAGGCAAAAATACAGGCCACAAACTCGAGGAGTCGCCAAGATTCAGATCCTTAGAAGTCAAGCTTGTTCCCCAGCATGCTGATATGACTGCTGGGAATCGCAGAAGATCGCAAATCCAGTCCATGGCCACGATGGAATCGGCTATGAGTAACGATTCTCCATTGAAGAAACGCAGTCAGAATGATTTATATATGCTTGACAACGCTACGGATGCTAATGCGTATGTCACGGCACCCGAGTTGATCGAAAGAGATGATGAAGAGAGCGACCAAAATCCTTCGCAAGTTACGATCACAAAAAGAGTGAATTCTACGAGGAGTATCAGTTCTCAAGGGTCCCAGTCTTTGAACACAACGTCCGAGCGAAAAGAGACCGGGTTCAGTAGAACTCGTAACCTTTTAAGAAGGTTTTCGTCCAGAAGTAACAAGGGTGATGGGCCAGAAAAGCATTCCCGACAATCAAGTACCGGTAGTCTTGTGGAAAGGGCCCAAAGCTCTGACACTGAGCGGGATGGACCTTCAGAAGGTAAGGTATGGGGTTCAAGATCGAGCAACCCTAAGAGAAAGTCGTTTCACTCCCTCTTTTCGAATTCTTCGGGCGGCACGAACATGGGAGAGCGTGTGAAATCGTATGGTTCTCTGGCCAACATAGAGGAGAAGAAAATCGAGGAGAAATCACCAGTGGCCTATGCCCAAGGCAGCAGGCGAAGCAGCCACGGGTATCAAGGCGACTCTACTCTTAATGCCGATGACACCAGGAGGGACGAAAATGCCTTTCAACCTCTTAAGGGGCAATACCTGGACTCTTCTCTAGTTCAGAACGAGGACAATGACGATGACGAATTCAATTTCGACAACACTGTATCGGAACCTTACAAGCCAATTTACGCGTCAAAGGACGAATTGGAATCAGGGCCAGATGCCCGCGACAAGCACAAGTTCAAAACTATCTTCATATCGAGTGATCAAATGGGTTTGCTGACCGAGCAATCTACGTTGATGAAGGAAATCGACCTTCTGTCCCAAGAGCTGGCAGAATCAGTGGCACGCGAAGCCAACTTGGAACAGGAAATTGCGGGCAAGAACAGCGACACGGACAACGCAAGGATGTCGCTATCATTTAAAGATTTCGAAATCGAACTAAGGAAAAAATCTTCCAAGGTCGTAGAACTGATACAGCAACTAAATGATGAGCGGCTCAGACGCTACATAGCTGAAGAACAAGTGATGCTGCAAGAAAACGGTGCAAAGCCCAGCAGCAGCGATTTGGTTTACAAGATTCATTCCTTGACGCAAATTGTTGAAAGAAAGGATCAAGAAATTGCTGCACTGACCGAACGACTTGCAAAACAGTCCGCATAGGCTTGATAATAGTGCCTCAATCGGATGACGTTATCTGCGATATTCTTTGGTCAAGTCCGGCCGAGTATTACGAGCATGGCCTTTTCAAGCCGAGTTACGATCCAGCATTCTATATACATTACGTATAGGCCTTGAACTTATAGATGTTTATCCTAGCAATCTCTAGAGTTCACAATCGGGGGCGTAAGCAATCAGTTAATATGAGCTGCGATTGTAGCCATGTCTACTTTTCCTACTGGTTGCTACTTCTAGTCATCTTCGAGTATAGTTGATAACACCCACATTCAATATTTTATCTATTATGTTACAATCGATCGATGTGTTACTACCTGCCAAAACCATAGTGAGTCTCTGGAGTGTCGTTACACGACAGTCGTTAAAAATCTTTGAAAAATGTATTTCGTTGAGAGTAGATCGAAACTGTTAGCTTGAATAGCCGATGATGTCTTTCTCTCGGCGCGAAGAAGACCATGAATGTAGTTAGTCTGTGCCTTACGTGCAATTTCAGGAGTCGCTTTTTCATCAATAAAAATGGTAAGTTTTCAAACTGCCTTTGGGTACAATGGCAAAATTTCGGTCAACTATAAAAAGGACGGTCTCATTCTGGGCTATTTCACCGCCTTGGCTTCGAAATACCAGTAGCTGGTGGGTTTGTTCAAGTTTCTCGATTATTTCGTGTCGCTGTCACTTAGTCACGTGCTAATAATCTATTCGAAACGAATCTGATGCTAGACATACAAAAGAGTAATATGAAAAAAGATGTTGAAAGGTAATGACCACAGTAACTCGCAGATTGTCAAATACAGGAAAGGGCACGATAAAATCCTGATCTGGCTCGAGATCCCAACTTCGTTCATAGTGATCAATTGCTCGACTGAAAGTCTCTTTGTACGAAAGGTCAACTTGGAAAAGTTGACCAATAATTGAATAAAATGTGAATCTCTAGACATTGAATATCCATCAATCTACACCAAAAAACCATCTTCTGACAGCACCAGATCGCTGCTTATATCAACTATTTCTCTCCAATGGTTGGCGGCAAAAGATCCAGAAGTATGTATTTTAATCCAGTGGCCCGCTCAGACATTGAATGACATTGACGCAATCAGACCTGAACAATCAAGAAGTTGACGTTTGACGACAGGACTTGAGGGAGTGTGGTTTTGTGCATTGATGGAAGCTATGCTTTCGTATTTAACGGATGCTTTGATTTCAGCTCGACCTTTCTGTCTTTTGAATTATGACGGTGCCATAGAAGACGATCACCACCTACTGCTACAACAACAGCACTCATTAAAAAAATCAAATACTAACAATTCCATGATTTTAATTGCAGACTTCGACGAGGATGATGGCTACCGGGATTTTCGGCCAAGAATGCCCAAGAGACAGAGAATCCCTCCTGTTGTTCAGCTATGTAAGGAAATGATGCCAGACATCAGAACTTTGGGTGAAAGTATTAAGGCCTTCGAAGAAGATATAAAGTTTTTGAGCGAAGCCATTGCAAACGAATTCGGCAACGAGGAATATTTCCAGGAAGCCCTTTTCAAGACTATCAATGCCGTGGTAGTGGAACAGCCTCACAAACAACCTGCAATTGCGCTTTTAACCATGGTTGTCAATGCTGCGAACCCTGTCGCTGGTAAAAGCATTTTGAATTATATCTTCGACAAAATGCAGGGATGGTGCACCGACTCTATCAATAGTGACTTAGAAGTGACGTCGAGCGAAACCGGACCTTGGAACAAAATAAAACTTCTACTAAGGTTTCTGTCTTTACTGTCACCAATGGTGGAAGAAGACGAGCTGATCTTGTTATACCAAAGACTGTTTGACTTGAGCGTGAATTTGAACAACCTTCATTCAGAGAAGAGAAACCCATTATCTGAGGCCATATACTGCAATACGCTTTTGAACATACCATATCTGTTTTATTTTTCAAGAGGAAACGAGTCCCTTCGAGGAAAAGTGGCAGAATTGATCTCAAATGTGGAAAGTTCTTACGTCGTCAAACACACGAATCTGTCTCTGATCAAGGAATACAATACCAATAGCCCATATGAATCCGTGCAATGGGTATCGGCGGTTCTCCCAAATGTGAAAAGGGTGCTAGCAAACGACATGCAACAGCTATTCGAGTTATTTCCAGACTACAGCGGTATGATGAAGCCTCAACCAGGAAACCAGGGGTTCAATGATCCATTGAACTTGCCTTCAGCCGAACAACTGGAGTCTTTCAGTGGTCTCGATAGAGGTATAGGTTCCATCGATGGTATGTGGAAAGTACCCCGGTATTCGTATAGGGTTTATTTGCCAAACCAAGTTGGCGAATTTGAAACTGTTGTACCATTCACCACTTATGGCGGTATGTTGTTCGAGGACATTATTATTGACATCGTGGAAAGTATGGAGTTCAATCGCAAAGAAGTTGCCAAACAAGTGGTGACATTGGATTTATTTTTCAAACCTGGTATTTTCACAGAACCCGGTCAATCGATAGCTCAACTGATAGCTTTACATGAAGAAAATCCGATTATCACAACCTACAAAATCGAAGATCTTGCCATTGAAAAGATTCTTAGTATGATTTTCAAGCTACCTACCGTTTCACATCCGTTCGCTTACTTTTACACGCTTTTAGTGGAAATCTGTCAGAATTCTCCAAAAGCAATCGCTCCCGTCTTTGGTAGGGCATTCCGTTATTTTTTCAACAGCTTGGACGGACTAGACCTAGAATTGAAATTGAGGTACCTGGACTGGTTCTCTATACAAATGAGCAACTTCAACTTCTCTTGGAAATGGAATGAATGGGAGGAAGAGTCAATAAAGTACCACGATACTTTCTACAGCCCAAAAGTGACCTTCATGAGAAACCTAATCAGGAAAGAGTTGAGGTTAACTTCCAGCAGAGCTGATGTCGAAGAAAGTCTCACCGATGAGTTCAAGTCCTACACGGATAGCTCATTTGTTCCAAGAAGCGACCTAGTAAACTACTATCAATCGTTTTTCAAGGATTTCCAGGTTGACCCCAACTTTTTGAAGGATAACACAATGTATTTTACACAGGCATGTTTTCCTTTTAACGAGCTGGTTCAAGATGTGATAAATTACTTCCATAAGCAGCCGCTGGACAGGAATGTTAGTGAGCTACTTACAATTTTTGAGGAGATACAAAAGACATATGGAGGTATTATTGTGGACTTCAACAAATTCGTTGTGACTATCTTACTGCAAGCTTTGACATTCTCAGGTAACAGATCGCTTTCTCATGCCAACAAATATATTGGTGATTCTCAAAACGACCTGGCAGAGATTTTCACGAAACTTGAAATTGATCAGGACTCGAAGGAAAGATGGATTGTGGAGGCAATTATTCGGTACTGGAACAATAATTCTCAAAACGGCTATTTGATTGTTGACACATGTAAAAACTTTGAGCTTGTATCGGCTAAAAGCATCCTGAACTTTTCATTTTTGGAGGATCGGGGAAGAAATTGGGGTCTTGTGGATGCCACTTCTATCGAGTCTACTTTCAGAACTCTCACTGAGTTATCGCTGCGTCGCGATGCCAGCGTTGAGACGTTTGTGTTCCTTTTTGAAAGACTGAGTGAAATCGCCTCCCAGACTGTGAAGGAACTTGGAACAGCTCCAGATGCTGCCGTAATTGTACCCGAGGATTCAGGAGACATTACCAAACTTGAGCTCTCTTGGAAATATGAAAGCTGCCTAGGGTTCATAAAAAGCATACTAAGAAAATACGCCGATGAGTACGCTACCAGTATCGACCAACTCAATGCTCTCTTGAAAGAGAAGGTTTCTCATGAAAAAACAAAAGAGATTGTTGCCAACTGGCTAAGCGAGTTACAGCAGCTATGATCAAGAAAATTCTGAATACGAAAATAAATGTAGTATAAAATTTTAAGTCCTGTAAACTAATCGTTACGTAGTCTATGTCGCCACATCGTACCCACGCAGGACCGATTCGTAGCTTTCCACGTCGGAAGGAGTTGACCTTCGACCACGAGGTGAATTTTGATCTTGATTTTCAGCCGTCACTCTCCGAGCCACCGTACTATTGGTGTTTGTAGTTGTCAGGTAATGTACTTCAGAGCTGTGTTCACCGACATTTAGATAGTCGACTTCGTTGTAGCTGTCAGAATCGTCGGGTTGCGGGGTGCGCGGTGTGGGGTCCTGATGCATGCGTAAAAGAACATCCACAAGAAAAAGAGAGAGGTCCATGAAACGTAAGAACTGCTCGGAGGTTATTTCCTGGCCAGAGAAGCGGATCTGCTCGTAGAGTTCAACATATTCCGTGGCCTCTATGGGATGCTGACCGGTGTGTGTGAACAGACTATGAATGACATCTGCAAATGTGTGGCCGATGGGAGGGTTCAACTCCGTGAGCCCGAAAAAGGCTCCTTGATATTTCAGACGACTGGTGATAATCTTGATGCTTTCTTCGTAATTAAGAAGAGAAGGCAAAGTTACGTTTCCGTCCTCCTCATTTTCGTGAACGGGTCTCGACAAACCGGCATGTACCACAATACCCGCCGGCTTCTTCAGGATTTCCGCCAAATCATGAGAGTGATCCATTTGACGTAATATGAACTCTCTACTACCACGATGGGGCAAATCCTCGGGAGTGAACGGTAGATATCGCTTTGGAATTTCCTGCAAACAGCTGCGTTGGACAAAGACCCTACCAGCAGCTATGATGATGCTCAAAACACCAAAGACAACAAAAGCTCCTACGACAATGAATGTATTGAGAGCATCATTATTGGAACGTGAAGCCTGAGCCATTGCGTCGATGGGCATCACTACGGAAAATCCCACAAATAGCAAAACAAGCACCACAAGCGACCCTCGATAGAACCATGTTGATAACCTGCTTTCGGCTTGGACAGCCATCACTCCAGAAGTTGTGAATCGCTAGTGTCACTTCTGAGAGAACGGACTAAATTTCACCGCACGAAACACGAGTCTTAAAACGATCAAAAATGGTCCAATTTTTACGCTTCAAAAAGTCCGCAAGTTGTCTCTATGAATAGTGCCAACTAAACACAATCAATGCATTGTGAATGCCGTCGTCAACTGGCTTCAAACTGTGCTGGTTTGAATGCTTTTTGAGAATGAAGAGTATTCTGTCATCAATTTCTCGAAATATTCAATATCACACCCAACGAAAAATGTCAGATTACATAATCGTCAATTTAACTACCAGTAATGATGTACGAAACACGAGAAGCTTAATTAGAGATAAATGTGAGCTTACGCGCGCGATGAGTTCGATGGCACTGTTTACTACTGTTTTCGACGAACTACTCACCTTTTCGATAGATTAAAAAGGCTGTTGTGATAAATGGTTGAAAGCGACGACGTAAGCAATCCAAATGGTGAAACTTTGACGAAAAAGCGATTCTTCAGTGAAGAGTTAGAGTCGAACAATGACGAAGATGCTGCACTTTTGGAAAATCAGGACTCATTCTTATTTCAAGCGCCTGATTCGAGCGTCAAACCCATCGAGACTGTGCTATCGGAGTCTAAGGAATTGCAAGATATGATCCCGGGTCTTTCAAGTATACAAGCCGCCGATTTGCTGGCGAAAACAGGTGTGGAGGATGATAGGAACACGAGAATTTCAAGCGCCGTAGAGGCATATTTCGGGAAAGAGCCTAGTCAAGAACCCACCTTGAAAGCTTCAGCAAAAAGCTCACCCGTTAGTAACCTCTCAAAAACGCTTTTTTCAAGACTATCGCCAAACAGAGAGCGCAAAAAAGTACGCGATTATGGTGAGAGACTCCAAAAGAAACCTCGTCCTTCCGTCAAATGGCGTCATTTCATTGGGTCTATCCAAGTAAGTGCGTTAGCCACAAGACCAACGGTTAAGCCATTGAAATATGGGAGCGAATTGAAAATTGTCAAGATTGCTTGTGAAGCGTCTTCAAAACTGTACAGCGCCAGTGGACGTAAAAGAGGGTCCATGGCAAACTTCGTGCGGCTTGTGGACGTTGGGCTTGGCCGTGAAGTTGGTCGTGTCCCGGAAGATATTGCGATGATATTATTCCCGCTTCTCGACGGCGACGAACTGGACTTTGAAGCCACTATGATATATTGTAACAACACAAGGCTTAGCGTTGGGGACTCATTTATAATACAGCTCGATTGCTTTTTGACCTCAGTGGTTTTTGAGAGCAGTCATTCTGGCAGTGAAAGAACTACAATTAACGGCGTCAATTCCGAAAAGCGTGCCTTTTCCGCGAACGTCGTGGAGAGCGGAGAAGAGTTGCAAATGAGATCCAGGCGTCTGGCTCTTCTGTCATTATTTGACCAAGTTCAACTCCGACCACTAGTGCTGGGGTCCGATGAAACTCCAGAAAGCACACCTGAAGCAGCAGAGGTCATCGACCTTGATGTTGCTGATAGTGACGCCCATATTGTCTCTGAAAAGGACGAGATTCAACCTACCCAAATTCAGGAAGACCTGCTGAATGTAAATCAGTTAAAGTCTCTCTACAAAGCCACCTTGTCTATTGAATCTTCTAAACACTTGCCAGAGACGACACCCAACCCTAAAGTATTCAAACTGGACCTTCGAGCGTATCAAAAGCAAGGTCTTACATGGCTTCTGCGGCGTGAGCGCGAATTTGATGAAGTGCCCGACTCGGCTGCTGCGTCAAGCGACATTGAAGGGAGCATGATGAATCCCTTGTGGAAACAATTCAGATGGCCAAAAGATTTATCTTGGGCTGCACAGAAGATTAAAGGCAACTCTTTTGATACTCAAGATGACGAGTTCTTTTACGCCAATTTGCATACGGCCGAATTCTCTCAAGAGAAACCGGTTCTTAAGTCGCTATTGAAAGGAGGGATTCTGGCAGACGAAATGGGTCTTGGTAAAACCATCAGCATACTATCAATGATTCTTATGGTGCCGTTTGATAAAATGTACGTGAAACAAAAGCTTTTCGAAGATACACCCGAGGTAGAGAGCTCCATCTCAGAATGTCTCTCTCAATCACCCCAACATACTAAACCATACGCTTTCGGTACTACTCTGATAGTTGTACCAATGTCTTTGCTATCCCAGTGGCAACAGGAATTCGACAAAGCGTCCGCAGCTGATAATGTCCATTGTGAAATATACTATGGAGGAACCACAGGAAGTTTGAGGACTTTGCTAACAAAGACAAAGAACCCACCTGCTGTGCTTTTGACAACGTATGGCACAGTGCAACATGAATGGAGTCGTCTCGCAACCAACGGCACTGCACATGTAGAAGATGACGCTACGGGTCTTTTCTCTGTTGAGTTTTTTCGGATTGTAATTGACGAGGGCCACACAATCAGGAATAGAAACACGCGGACTTCCAAATCGATGGTCGACCTTTTTAGCTCAAGGAGATGGATTTTAACGGGTACCCCAATTATAAATCGTCTTGACGATTTATACAGTCTGGTAAAATTCATGCGACTTGAACCGTGGTCCCAGGTTGGATATTGGAAATCCTTCGTGTCTGAGCCGTTCGAAAAGAAAAACTACAAAGGTGCCTTTGATGTTGTATCATCGATTCTTGAGCCAGTGATTTTACGGAGAACTAAACAAATGCGTGACGTAAATGGAAAGCCATTGGTCGAGCTTCCTCCTAAAGAGGTCAGTATCGAGAAGGTAAATTTCAATAGGCATGAGGATGCGCTTTACAAATTTTTTTTGGGCAAAGCCGAGAGCTCTGTCAAAGAGGGCCTGGACCGAGGTGATCTGCTGAAAAAATACTCCACAATATTGGTTCACATCTTAAGACTACGACAAGTCTGCTGCCACGCGGATCTGCTCGGATCGCAAGATGAAAATGACGATGATCTAGCAGGTAACAAAATGCTCACCGAGAACTTCAACACAGATAAGGCGCTTTCGAATGAACTTACATCGAATATTGCGGTAAGCGAAGATGAGGCCAATGTCATTCTGAGTAAAATTAAAGATAAATTCCCCACAAGCGACAGCTTTAAAAAGCTAGAATGTTCCATCTGCACAGCAGAGCCCATAGAGCCAGTGACACAGATTGTTCTTACAGAATGTGGACACGCATTTTGTGAAATGTGCATTCTGGAGTACATTCGCTTTCAGTCTGAGCGACAACAGGATATAAAATGTCCAAATTGCCGCTTCGAGGTTGATCCCAGGCGACTTGTGTCAATACAAGCAAATCCCAATGGAGAATTGAAGCCGGTGCTTTACGACACAGGTTCCAAATCTTCGAAAATTACTTCATTAATGAAAAGCTTGAGGCGATTACAAGACGCGTGTCCTGGTGAACAGGTAGTTGTCTTTTCACAGTTTTCGTCCTTTTTGGACATAATGGAGAGAGAATTGTCTGCGTCCTTTCCGAAATCTGACATGAAAGTTTACAAATTCGATGGACGGTTGTCAATGAAGGAACGTTCGAAGGTTCTTGCGGATTTTGCCGAGAAAGATCTGACAAAACTGAAAGTACTGCTGTTGTCCTTAAAGGCTGGAGGTGTCGGGTTGAATTTAACTTGTGCGTCTAGGGCATTTATGATGGACCCCTGGTGGTCGCCCAGCTTGGAGGACCAAGCAATTGATCGGATACACCGAATTGGTCAAATTAATGATGTCAAAGTGGTAAGGTTCATCATGGAGCACAGCATTGAAGAAAAAATGTTACGGATACAAGAGAGAAAGCGCTCGTTGGGCGAAGCAGTTGATGCTGACGAGGACGAGCGGAGAAAGCGTAGAATTGAAGAGATCCAAATGCTTTTTGAGTAGGTCATGAAAGAACTGCTTGTTAGTGCGCAGTTCTTACTATTCGGGAGATCAGTCATCCAAAATCAAATAGTCGTCATCAATGAATGCGTGAGTGTGTTGTCTGTGATGCTTCATCCACAGTCGGAGCTCTTGCAGCGAGATCTCATTTTTCTCGCTTAGACAATTGAGGTTACGAAGCGTCAGCAAGATGTCGCCTAGACGCATTCCTGTCGCCTTTGAGATGTCCTCTAGACTCACGCGGCTTTTCCCTTGCAACGAACCCTCTAAAAATTGTAGACAAATCGAAGTTGACCAATATTTCAAGTAGCCAGCTAGTCCGAAGGGAGAAAGTGGCTGTTCCGGGCCAGACATTATATCGTCATGAATAGATAGCTTGTAGGAGAAATCCATCAATAGCGTACCCAATCCTTTTCTTTGGTACGGCGGAAGGGTCAAAATACATGCCAAGTTATGCTTTTGGAACGACGTTAAATCTTTGGAGAAGAATGCCATCGGTTTGTGGGTTTGGTTACTGTAGACAATGTAGAAATCATAATGGTCAACTTTGAAGTACATCGACTTATTATCCAGGAACAGTTTTGTGAAAAGACACAGACATTGACAGAAGAGCGGATGGCGGGAACCTGATACTTTCCGGATACTGATCTCCGGCGTGCGATATTGGATTCTGCCGGGGGATTTCGAACGAAACCGGCATTGTGAAGAGTGCTTTTTCAACTCATTTGGATCATCCGTGTACTTGAAACAGTATTCACACACACAAAGTGTTTCGAGCCAGAAATCCGAGGATTCCGGCACGTTTCTGGAACTCTTAGGTTTTTCATCGATTCCATCGCCCGCAGATCGTCGTCCATCAGAGTCTCTTAGCCCCAAATGTCGCGTTGTTTGCTGGAAATACGCTGTGCTTCCATACCAAGTAGGAAACCGCAAAGAAACACCATATTGAACATACTCTATGTTGCGTGTCTCGATTATTCCGTAAAGCTCTTCTTTCACAGCTCTCTTCCCTTTTTTCTCCATGGGATGTGTTCGTCGATTGTCAAATCTATGGTTATGTATACAGTTTTTTGCAAGAAATTGCGCTAAGGAGTTAACAAGAAGCCCAGACAGCTCCTTATTCTTCCACCCAAGCCTTTTTAACTTTGACGAATCTGGCTTTTGTTCAGATTTACAGCTCATCGCATCCAATATACTGAAAAATATCATGAAATTTCGATCTCATCTCATCGCCCATCACATTTCAGAGAAAAGTTGAAGGACTAGTCATAAAAATAGCTTATACCGTTTCCAGACCGGTATCTGCGAGCTGTATAAGAATAAGGAGCTTCTTGGAATATGGGAACGTACCGAAAACGTTTCAATGAGAAAGCCAGAGCGGGCCAAATGGCCAAGCTGAAAGAGCTCAAGAAAGTGAGAAATAGGCAGTTTCTGAGACATTTAGAAGACGGTAGCGAGGAACAGGAAGGTCCAGAAACCAGCGAGAAATCTAACAGTAATGCGGAGATTTTGCAACCTCTTACGGACGCCGAGAAAGAGATGAAAAAGAGAAAACTGGAAGAGCTGTTCAAACCACAGGAGTCGAAAGTTTCAAGGCTCAAAAAGAAGCGGCTGGACAAGTTTGTAGAGCACCAACTGAGACGAGAGGAGAAGAAAGCGATTATAGAAAAGTTACAAGAGCATAAAATGGACACTTCAATGCTAACGAGCTCCAAAAACCTGGGGCACGGCCGCCAGACTAAAAAGGAGCAGTTTCAGGAAGCTTTACAGCTGGAAAAGATGGGTCGCTCAGACCAAACTGTCAGAGACATTTTGTATAAGCAGCACGAAGTCAAAGAGTGGGACGGCAGCGACAATTCAATTGGGGCCGAAGAAGAGTCCGATGACGACGCTAATAGCGATGGTTCTGGCGACGACAATGCAGCCATTCAGTCATCCTCGTCCTTTGTTGACAATAGACCAGCCAAATTCGGGGGGTCTGGGTTTGGTTTTGGATTCCAAAACGCAAAAGTTGTCCACAAAGCGAAAGCTCCATCTAAACAGCGGTACAATTGGCGCGAACGAGTTCAAATGGAGGAGGCACGCAAATACAGCAAAGATGACGAAATGGATTTTGCATCCAGCGAATCTGAAAATGAAAGCTCTTCCGGAAACGAACTCGAGGCTTCTGATAATGACAGCGAAGAGCGGTCAGAAGAAAGCTCCCAATCCGCTAGTGAAAGTTCAGATTCGGGATCATCTTTCGAGACCACGGGAACAAAGGCAGATGGTTTCAAGGAATGGGCAGAGGGTCAGATAAAACAATTAGAGGGCCGCGAGACGCCATTGGAGACTCCTCAGCTGCCCCATCCATATCAAAAGATCACCAGAACCGAAGACTTGGATGACGGTCTTGTAGATGACAGCGCACCAGTAGATCAAGAATCTACCAGGAAGGCATTCTACGTCAACGTGACAAGGTCGGAAGAGATCCAGAAGGCTCGTATGCAGCTGCCAGTTTTTGGCGAAGAGCATAAATTAATGGAAGCCATTCATCACAATGATGTACTAGTGATTTGTGGTGAAACTGGTTCTGGTAAGACAACTCAAGTTCCGCAGTTTCTTTTCGAATCTGGCTACGGCGACCCGAATTCGGTCGATACGCCAGGAATGATCGGTGTTACGCAACCGCGCAGAGTGGCAGCCGTTTCCATGGCCAAACGTGTCTCATCTGAATTGGGTAATCATAGTCATAGCGTTTCTTACCAAATACGATTTGACTCAACCGTGTCAGATAATACTAAGGTGAAATTTATGACAGACGGTGTGTTGATGAGAGAGATGATGACCGATTTCATGCTCAGCAAATATTCTGCCATCGTCATCGATGAAGCACACGAAAGAAATATCAATACGGATATACTTATTGGTTTGTTGAGCAGGTGTGTGAAACTGCGGGCCAAGAACCATGCTATTGACCCCAAGAAACACAAAAGACTAAAACTAATCATCATGTCAGCCACGCTAAGAGTTTCTGATTTCAGCGAGAATCACTCTTTATTCCAAATTCCACCTCCTGTGCTCAAGGTTGACGCCCGTCAGTACCCAGTGTCAGTGCATTTCAATAAGCGTACTGCATTCGACTATACCGAAGAAACTTTTCGAAAGACATGCAAGATTCATCAAAGACTTCCGAGGGGTGCTATCTTGATATTCATGACGGGAAGACAGGAAATCACTGACATGGTGAAAAGATTACGTGCCGAATTTCCTTTCCCCAAGACTTCCAAGAATTTCAAGGAAATGGTGAAAAGCAACCCAACAATCAAAGCTAGTGCTAAAAATGTTGCCATCGAAGCCGAGGACGTCGATTTCAGTGTGAACGTGGAAGAGGATAGAACTGGAGAACAAAACGATGATTTTGAAAATGACGACTCAGAGGAGGAGGGCTTCGATGAAAATTTGGAGGAGGGTCAAACAGCTACCGATCCACTATACGTGCTCCCTCTGTACTCGTTATTGCCTACTGAAGAGCAGCTCAAAGTTTTCAACGAGCCGCCCGAGGGTTCCCGTCTTTGCATTGTGGCAACCAATGTTGCTGAAACTTCCTTGACCATTCCTAACGTGCGCTACGTTGTTGACAGTGGGAGGTCCAAAGAGAGAATTTATAACGAGACGAATGGAGTTCAAAGTTTTGAAGTGGGATGGGTGAGTAAAGCTTCCGCAGATCAAAGAAGTGGTAGAGCGGGACGTACCGGTCCCGGTCACTGTTATAGATTATACTCTTCTGCAGTTTATGAAAACGACTTTGAGCAGTTTTCAAAACCCGAGATTTTACGGATGCCAGTGGAAAGCGTTGTTTTACAAATGAAAAGCATGGCAATTCACAATATTTTGAACTTTCCATTTCCGACACCGCCAAGCCGCAATGCTCTGCAAAAGGCTATAGAGATGCTACAGCATTTGGGGGCCCTTGATATCAAGGAAGGTATCACTGACGATGGAAGAAAAATGAATCTGTTCCCTTTGAGTCCAAGGTATTCTAAAATGCTTTTGGTAGGCAACGAAAATGGATGTTTACCTTACATCATTTCAATTGTTAGTGCACTTTCTGTTGGGGAGCCATTCCTTACAGAGCACGAACTAGGAATTGCGGAAAGTCGGGATGATCCGGAGAGTACAGTACGGCAAGACGACGATGCAAATGACCAGAAGAAGCAAACGCGAGCCCTTTACTTCAAAAGTCAAGCCAAATTCTGCAAGCTGGACAAGTACAGCGACGTGATTAAACTTCTATCTGCTGTTAGTTCTTTGGATTATGTTGCGCCAGAGGATAGGTCCGCCTTCATGAAAGCAAACTTCATGAGACCCAAACTTGTAGAAGAGACGAGGAAATTGAGGAAGCAGATATTTTACATTGTGAAGTCGAACACATCGAGGGAGAATGTTGCAGTCAGTGTTTCTGACGATGATCTTAAGTCCAGTGTTCCAAGCGCGACTCAGGTGAAATTACTGAAACAAATGGTGTGTGCTGGATTTGTTGATCAAGTGGCTATCCGTGCGGATCTTTTTGCACCCGATGATTGTCAGATCACTAATAGAACCGCAGTGTCAATGGTGCCATACGTACCGGTTTTGGCTCCCATAATACCGGGCGATATTTCCCAGAATTTCGTGTATCTGCACAACACCTCAATTCTCAACGAGATTGGCGAGCAACCCCCAAAGTACCTCGTCTATCATTCTCTGCATAAAAACTCACACACCGAGAAATCCAAAACACGCATCAAGCCATTGTGTGACATCAAAAGCACTCCTTTGGTAAACATCGCACGCAAGGGGTCTTTAGTCACCTATAGCAAACCTCTAGCCGGCAACGGAATCCGTCCTATAGACATTTCGAGTACTGAGAGACTTTGTCATGTTACTCCGCGCTTTGGAAGCACCATCGACTGCGATCTAAAAGTCGGTTGGGATCTCAATCCCGTCGCTGTGCGTCAGAAAAAGAAAGCCGGGCTCTGGGTTGTTGAGAAGCTGATCACCGCCAAGAACTATAAAGAATCTAGCCAACAAAAGGCCACGAATTAAAAGTTCAAAGAGCGAAGTTTTCAAGCCAGGTCGTGCTTATCGAGAAGCGTTATTTTGATCGCATGAAGGCCAAAAAACTTGGAAATAAAAGATCAGAAATAGAACAATGGAGCACAATTGCATTTACACATAAGCTGACCATCAAATTCGACTGTAATGCTGAGTTCCAGCCGTCTTTCTGTCTGGATTACTGTCTCGCATCACTATGTACGAATAGAATTGTAGGTCAATTAATTGATGTCTAAATCGTCAACAATATCGATGGATGCCTTCAGGTAGAAGAGGAACAACTAAACTTCGAACAATTTATGTACCTGTAAGCCTAGATGGAGCTGACACAGGTTTTTGAGAATTTACGTGCAATTTTACAAGCGTATGTTTGCTTTTCCAAGCCCTTTTACACCATGTTTTTTGATACACCTTCATGAAAAAAACCTATATAGATAGATACTAACCGAAAAACCGACCAGTGCTTCATCTAAATGTAAAGTTATAGATGAAAAGTTCCCCAGCAAGTTCTATGAGAAAGATCCAAAAAAGATATTTGAATCATACAAGAAGTTTCTGAAACCGCGGATTAACAGTGAGGGCGCCATCAAAAACGAAGAGAACTTTCCAGTGACAACCATAAGTGAACGATTTGAGAAAAACGAATACGCCAAAAAATCAAATGCTTTTTACCGATTGCACCACGATGTGAAGCTGGTCTGTACGTTACTCATACATTTTTATCCTCAGGGAACCCGCACGTATCAAATGGTGGATAAGTTCTACAAATTTGCAACAGAACTTCTACTACGAGAATGCTACAGACTGGGTGTAACACTCATAGATGACTCTATCCCGGAGGAAACTTATGGCTTAGGGAAAAGTCCTCTAAATCGTCAAATTTCCCACGATTTTATCAAGATTTCAACAGCATACGCGGTTCCTTACGCTGAATCCTACTATGTTTCATCGGGGGACTTGGATCTCTTCACGTCTACAATATCCAAGTCGCAGCTAGATCGCAGACCAACTGAAGCTCCTAACAGCAGCTTTGAACTGAATAAAGTCATCCCACAGGCTGGAGATGAAGTCGCTCCAAAGTTAGGGTTCCTTGCTGCTAATGTTAGCAACATTCCGGATCCAACAATACCACCTTACGAAATTATGACCAAGTTCCTGCATCCGAATTGGTACGCTATGCCGACCACTGTGTGGCTTCAGTACGGCGAATATCAATCGTGGGCTCCTTCATTCAACGAAAGTAGCACTGTGATCGACGCTGGTCACAGAGGGACTATTTGGCTTGAAAAAATCGGGTATCTGAGACTTCGTAACATGCACGATTCCCAGAATGATGAAAAACGAATTAAAGTCGCGAAAGAGCAAGAGGAACAGGGTTCAATTGGGTCCAAAGCAAGTTTGGAGCAGAAAAGGAATGATTCACCAGCCAGTACCATCACCAACAATAACCAAAGTGAACCATCGGAAATCAAAGCAATCGTCGGATCAGAAGCTCAAGAAAGTCAAACACCAGAAAATGGTAATTCAAAAAAATCGGAGCTCGATGAAGAAAAGAATACTGATGAAACTAAGATCACAGAGAAAAACGAGGAACCATCAACAGCGCCTGTGATAAAGCTCGAAAATCTATACGATTGGGGACCCGGAAACTCGATCGAGGATGACGAAATCGAAGCAGCTTCCAATGGGACGCATGAGCAACTCATAACAAAAACTCTTTTGGAACTAGCTGGGATGAAGCGGAAACGCCTGTTAACTAAGCAAAGAAGCCAACCTTCGACAAGAGAAAAACAATTGTATCATAAAGTTCAGAGAATGATGAAGGAAGTACTTCTTGCCAAAAAATTGGAAAAACTGCCCCAGATTACATCGTGCTCGTTTCCTGTATTACAAGCAAACTATATGGGGAGTATACCAGTGGTGCGGACCGTCCAGACGAGAAAGAAGAAGTACAAGAAATGAAATCAGAGCTTGTCTATCAATTTTCACCTATAGATCTTTCGTATGTAATATATATTTTTGCAAAGGCCCATGCCATAGCATCAGAAATGAACGTCTGCTCCTGATAGGTATGCAATAACAAGGTAGCAGTTCAAGCCGCTGATTATGATCCAGATCAAGATAGACGTAACGGCAAGCCATCTGCTGTTCGCATAATTGATTTTGTTGATGGACCTTGTGGTCAATGTTGTGGTCTCGGACGGCTCGTATTCTTCTGGGCCTAGTTGTCTGCTTTCGTCCACGGACATGATTTTACTGTTGCAAGTGAAGTAAATAAGAGGTGCGGACACAATAGGTAGAATCAACGACAGCACGACTTGACTCAGATTCAAGATGCTGGAAACACCCTTTTCACCGAGTGCTGCAGCAACGAAGAAGCATGGTACAATAGCTATCAATCTAGTGGTGAGCCTAGTGATCCATGGTTTGAGAGTCCATTTCAAGAAACCTTCGGAAACGATTTGGCCTGCCATAGTACAAATTACACCTGCAGACTGGCCTGAGAAAAGCATTGCGAGTGCAAAAATCAAACCTGCAGCAGGAGAAATGTAGTGGCTCAATAGTTGGAAGATCGATGTCAGATCAGCGTCTGCTGCATCGGGCTGTCCATGCAAAGTTGCAGCGGCAACGATAAGAATTGCTGAATTGACAAAAGTTGCAATGAGGAACAAAGAAATGATGAGTTCGGCGTATGAATAATTGAGAGTGTACTTGATGGCCGCAAGAGAAGGTTTGAGGTTAACTTTCCCATACTGCTTTAAGTCGTAGTCATGTAGTCTGGGTTTGACGATGGAGGAGCCCAAAAAAAGCGAATGTGGCATGACGGTGGCTCCTAAGATGCCCAATGATATGTACATTGCCTGGTTATCCTCAAGGATAATAGTAGATGGGAAGTAGCCCTTGAAAAGTTCAAGTTTGTTTGGTATAGACACTTTGAAAAGCTCCAAGATAAAACAAACCACGGTAGCTGCGACCAAAGTGGTCACAAACATTTCAAACAAACGCACTTGTTTCAAAGAATGTGCTCCAGGCTTGTAGAAGACCAAAATGGCGAGGACATCCAGTATTGTAATTGCAACACCCCACAATAGCGGTATTTTGAACAAGATTCGCAGTGCTACAGCTGTACCGACCACTTCTGCCAAATCCGTGGCAATGATGGCAAGTTCTGCAAACACAAAAATCACAACGTTCAGCTTGTGAGGCAAATGTCGACGACAGTTCTCGGCAAGATCCCGGCCTGTTATAGTACCCAACTTCACACACAGACATTGCAGAACCACAGCGAAAATGTTCGAGATGAACACCACAAATAGCAGCTGGTACCGAAACTGGGCACCGCCCGACACACTGGTAGAATAGTTGCCAGGGTCCATATATGCAACGCTGATTAAGATTCCTGGCCCAATAAACTTGGCAAACTTGCCCAAAACTTCGATCGCAGACATGCGGGAAAACAGTTGATGGAGCGAAAGGGTGTGTTGCCCAGTTGATGACAGTGGTGAGCTTGCACTAGTCTTCTTGACAATGAACAAAGAAGCTCGTTCAACTATGTCGTCGAGAAGTGGTCAATTCGAGATAATTTACCCTCATCACCGTTGAAGTTACGCATGTGACGGACGATGAGTTCGTCGCTAGAGCGTGAAGTTGGTGAAGTTGGTGAACTTGCCGAACTTGATGACCACCGGAAGCTATTACGGTTTGAACTGTGTGAATTGTCAGCGATTTAGCGTTTTTTGGAGATTTTCCCGATCCGTTTTGCTCAACAATTGGATTTTGAAACTTAACAGCAGCTGTTGATGACCAGAAGGTTTCAATATGGAATGAGTAAGAGTTGTTCATGGTTTTCAAAAGCCTCGTAATTGAGTGGTATTAAGATCTATCGTTACGTCGATAAAACTTTATCATCCAAGTGCTGTCGCGAGTTGAAAGTAGCGGTGTGTTGGTGCGGTAGGCTCATATATTGAACCTGAACGAAGGTTTGAATTTGTCTGGGCGAGCAGGTCCAATTATGACCATTCAGAATGATGCCGGCCTCAGCACAATGATGGACGCTTCTCTGGATATACCAAGACCCTTTTCGATGGTGAGATCTGTCAGTACACATCTTTTAACGTCGCTGTCGTCGGGATCACGTGACCAGCCTTCGAGCGTATATAATACCTAGGAAACGAAGACTGTGAGTACGATAGCGAGAATACCCACAGTTCTCCCACTGGTACCTCAGGAAAATGCCTCCTCTATACCTCTCCAGGTGGTAAGAACACCTATGAAATTCTTTCTGTTTGCCATTTCACACGAGGGTCGCTTCCTATAGTAGATTTTTTGGGCTCATTTGAACCGCTAAAATTTCAGCTTCATTTCACAAGCTCAACACCCGAAATTTCATGCAAATTCAAGTCTCTGAAACCAAAACTGTGTCTAGAAATCTGCATCTTGTAATAGTACCGTTAAATTGTATCACTGGTGACGAACTCACGCACATCTTGAAAAATCCTAATACATATATACCATAACACCATCAAGATGTAGATCAACGTTCATTCAAAGCTGCTACCATAAGCTCATACGTCGGGATATTATGGATCTGAGGGATCGTTTCAGCGATCGGAAACCGACGTACACGGACCTCCGAAAAAAAAGGCCCGATTTCGGCCTACGCGAATGGCCACAATCTAGAAACGAAAACCGCTACGATTCCAGCTCTCGAGGCTCAACACAACGTACAGACAACTTTAACCTGGGCGATAGTACCAAGAGTGCAATTGCAGATGAGGACCTTCCATTGATATCATTGGGAGCTCTTGATATCCCCAGTCAGAGAGCTCTTGTAGCGTCTATCTTCGCTATCATCCAGGCGTATAAATTGTACGATCTGATATTACTGAAAACAGGACTTCCAGTTTCGGGAATACTTCTGACAAGCTCACGTTTCAATTTCATAGCCAAATACGTTGTCATCGATTCCCTTTTTCTGTATCTTCTACCCAACTTGAAAATCCCAAAATTGACGTTCAGTCCCTTTGCAGTCTTTGTTCAAATCTTGCTGGCAACAGCGATGACTGTATTTCTGTCAAATGAACAGAGTTTTCCCTTTTTGACAGTTCTCATTTCTGCATGGTCCAAACTCAACACCAAACAATTGAGTTTGACAGGCAATTCTGTCAATCAACGTAAGATCACAGACGCAACGTCCCATTTCAAAGGAGCCCTCACCATCAAAATCCTGCCTGAGAATACTGCGATGCTAAACCCATTCCGCGATTCGTTCTGTCTAAATATGAATGGGGTTAACGTTGAGGATCTCCATATTCCTCTTAGAATCAATTCGACTTCCGAAATCGAGTTTCTTCAATTAGAGTATCGCGATTTGGACCATTCCAATGTTCAGCTATTAAATTTCACGAAAAAACAGCTTATAGAAGTACCGAAATCTCACTCCTTTTTCAAGAAAGACAGAGCTTCTCATCACGCATCAATTCGTTATTTCGCGCTTCCAGTAGAACAGATTGGCTTTTACCAGGTTAAGGAAATAGTGGATTCCAAAAAGTTTAAACTGAGGCTATTCAAGTCTCAAGTCATTGTCCCGCATTGTCCTTGGGGTGTGATAGCTGGCCTGGGCGAACAAGATAGATGTGTCGGTGATTCGAGCAAAGTCTCCATCGAAGCACATGGTGTTCCGCCACTCAAACTTGAGTACAAACGCTCTTTAGATGGCGAGTCTGCTCGATTCGTAGACACAAATCTCGCGCCTGAAAGATTCGAATCACCGCTCTTGTCAAACCAAAAGCTTTTCTCCGACGATGCAGTCGCTAATTTGCACTGGGCAAAAAATCATCCCGTTGCTATCAGTCTAGAATCAACTCTAAAAGATGACGGTACTTACACCTACACGCTAGAAAAGATCACAGATGGCTTAGGCAATACGATGGATTTCTCAACAATGTCTCAGGACTTGCTACAGAAATATGGAGTTTCCTACAGCTTTGACGTGCATAACTTGCCCAAAGCTACGTTAGACTCCAAGTTCGATCACAATTCTCCCACAAAAAGGTCCTTAGTTGTCAAATTTGAAAATACAAGGAATTGGGAGGGAGATTGCCCGTATAAGGTTGCTCTACATGTGCTAGGTGACAACGAACAATCTTCGACATTCGAGTATGACCTAAACAAACTCGTGACTGAAATTCCCGTCGAATTACCGGGTACTTACAGTCTAGAATCAGCGAGCTCTCGGTTTTGTTCTGGTATAGTGATCGACAAGTCAAATATTCTTGTGACGAAGCCAATACCCCCAAGCTTGCAAGTCAGATCTACACCTATACTAGACCAATGTGTTGGACAAGTTGGGCTGAATTTTGACTTGACATTTACAGGTGTGCCACCGTTTTACTACCGAACGAAGATTTACAAAATCGAAGGGAAAGATCGTGTGTTACACGACACAAAGAAATTTACATCGCAGGGAACAAGAAACCAGTTCCGCTATAGTCCAGCAACTGAAGGAAACTATGAAATCGTTTTTGATCAAATCTCTAATACTTTGTTCACCAAGGCGATTCCTTTGGCTCCTGCGAAGGATTTCACTTTCGCCACCTCAATGAGAGTTAAACCGGACGCATCCATTTCGTCGAAATACGCTACTCAACTCTGTTTAAACAGTCAAAGCAAGATACCAATCACGTTCAAAGGTGAGGCACCATTTGCACTGGAATATGACATTTTGGAGACCTCAACAAACAAGAGGTCGACCTATTCTATTAAGGACATCAACTCATATACGTTCGAAGTTGAAACACCAAAGTTTGGTGTAGGTGGAGATTACATTCTCTCACTTGTTTCTGTCAAGGATAGCTCTGGCTGTGAGGTGGGTATTAGCTCAACTGACGCTCGCATTGAAGTACGTCGAGACATTCCTTCCGCTGGATTTAGCACCTTCGAACACAATCATGAGGTACTGATTAAAGACGGATCCTTCGCGGAATTGCCAATAAGTCTTTCAGGCATAGCGCCATTTGCTGTCACCTATCAGCACATCGACAAAACTGGGAAAATTATGGGTACATTTGAGACCAAATTCTTATCAAGTTACAAAGCTACCTTGAGGGCAGAGAAAGAAGGTATTTATAAATTGCTGTCTGTCAAAGATCGGAGCTGCTCTGGAAGAGTGGGCTCCGAAAATGAATTTGGAGTATCTTACTTGAGCAAGCCTAGCTTTACGGTTGTCGAAAATAGCAAGCTACGCGAAAGTGATGGTGTTTTAAGAAAGACAGCTGTTTGTGAAAGGCATGAAGAAACAGTCGACTTAATCTTGAAGGGATCTCCGCCATTCGTGGTTTTTTACGAGCTCACATCCCCAAGTAATCAAATCATTTCAAAGTCCGTACATGTGGCAACGAAGTATGCGACAATCAACTTGCCCAATGATAGGGCTGGCCAATATACACTAACAATAAGAGGTATTTCAGACTCTCACTACGCTGAGAAGGACTTAGCCAACATCGGCTCAGTTTCCTCTGCCAAAATTATCAAGCAGGAAGTAAAACCGCTGCCAAGTGTTCAATTCGCTGAGCCTGGCAGAACGTTCCGTACTTGCTCAGCCGATTTAGACGAAACTGCTGGTCTCGAGAAGATTGCCCTTCACGTAAAAGCGGGACATGTGCCATTGTCTGTCTCTTTTAGTGTTTATCACGAAAGCACTAGTAAGACTGACTACGTCACCATCAACAACGTAACTCGGAACAGCTTTGATTACGCCAAACTATTCAAAAATCTTAACCTTGGAAACCACATTGTTACCATCAGAGAGGTTGTTGATGCTAATGGGTGTACTTCAGATCATAAAACGGGGAACAATCACGTCATAATATCAATCACAGATGTTCCGCGTATATCTTTGGTTGAGCCAAACATGGATGTTTGCGTCGGTGACTACGTTTCGTATCAATTGGGAGGTATGGCGCCTTTCACTATCAAGTACGATTTCAATGGGGTTTCGTTGAAGTCCAAGGAGAGCACGTCCCAGTTCGTAAGACTGGCGTCTGAAGCAGGCAGAATATCCATTAGCTCCTTGCAGGATTCGGCCTCCCAATGCGTGGTGAACTTCGTGAAGCCGGGCATGGAGCATCAATTTGAGGAATTGTCACTCGACGTTCATCCAATTCCATCTGTCACAGTTTCGCGGGGCGACTACATTGTAGAAGACATTCATGAAGGAGACCAAGCTGAGATCATATTTTCATTCAAGGGAACTCCACCATTTTCTTTAACCTACGTTCGGACTGAGCAGACCGATGACAAACGTGGGAAAAGAAGACCTCAGATTGTCGAGACGCATAAAGTCGAAGACATCTACGCATACGAATACAGAACTTTCACGAGCTTGCAAGGCAGATACGAGGCTATAGCCATTGCCGATGCCTATTGCTCCGCGAAGAACAACGCATATTTTGCTTGAACAAGCTCAGCATTTCCAGTATCATTTTGTAAAATATAATGCCCGGTTCATAGACGATCAAATAAAATTTCTAGCACACTTGTAGCGAAAGGCTCGGAAGCAGAAGTGAAGTAAAGTAAAGTTCTTGTTGGTTCTCGAAAGATAGAAGTTTGGTATAATTGATCACTACTACAAACAAGAACAGTTTCTCAAGCAATGCGATACCCTAGACGTTTCACACTAGATCAATGGGATTCCTTGACGAGTACCATTAAGAAACCAAAGTTGATCACATTTGATGCATACAACACGCTCTATGCAACGACACTACCCGTAATGGTTCAGTATGCTAAAGTTGGTAAAAAATTTGGTATCGACACAAGTGCACAAGAGTTGACATCGCGGTTTCCTAAAGGTATGTTCGAAGGTGATGTCGTTTTTCGTTTCAATGCAAAGCATTTTACTAACAAGGGAATCTAGTGTTCAAGGACCTTAGGGACATACATTCGAATTATGGCAAGCACACAGGTCTGAGTCCCACGCAATGGTGGGAGCTGCTAATTTCCAACGTGTTTGCGCCTGTCAAGGTTCCTAAGAACATGATATCTGAGATTTTGCATCTTTTCGAAGGTCGCGATGCTTATACCGTCTACCCAGATCTCTTAGAATTGTTAAAGGTTCTTCGAGGGCGTTTTCCAGAAACCGTTTTGGCGGTTGTGAGTAACACAGATCCAATCATGTACAAGTTGATAAAAAATCTCGGGTTGGAACCTTATTTCGACAGTCATATCTACTTGTCGTATGATCTCGAAGTTTCCAAGCCAGATGGCAAGTTTTTTGACGCAGTTTTACGGGATGTTGCAGGTCGTTGTCCAAGTCTGGCAACAATACAAGATTTAGAGGAACTCAAGTCTTTTTGTTGGCATATCGGGGACGAAGAGGCCAACGATTTGAAAGCTGCGAGTGCAGCAGGATGGAATGGGGTTTTACTCGACAGGACAGATAAGTACAAGCATTTTTCAGAGACCGGAAAAGCTGAAAAACGTCCACTTCGTCAACTTTATGCAGACAAAATTGACAACGATGCATCAGAAAGCTGGGAGGCGTCGCTACAACAATCTGATATCGTACAATTGTCAAATCGCGAATATGTTGTTGCGAATTACGCGACACTTTGTGAACTGCTTTTCAAGAAAGATAGTACAGCTGAGGATTTGAAAAAGAACATCAAAAGTCACTGAGGTGGGGGACGCCATCATTTAAACCTCAGTCCGCTCCCATTCTTCACGAACCCACCAATGATTTGTCCTCCGAGTCTTTAAAATCTTGAATTCCATTTATATATGGTAGGATACACAGGATAGAAAGGAAACCCGCGGGTCCATGCAATAAAAAAACCCTGAAACATACGTTAGCGCGTTGGTGGTGGTACGCGATAGTAAAATAAATTAGAATAAGACCATTTGGATGCATAAAGAGTGGTATCACCCAGACTTTCCGACTTTTGTTTTTTCTTTCTCGAATGTCATCAGAGGGTATCTTTTCGAAACCATGCGAAGTAGGATAAAAAGAGTTGCCGTATTCTTACACGTCCACTTTTTTTCATCTTGGCTTTTCCCCAATCTTATGGCTTAATGTCACCAGTGAATTTGCCCTTTTCTCTCTGCTCGTCCCATCTTTCCACCCAGTCGAGAGGACAAAGCGACGAATAGGTCTTGAAAAACACTTTACAAGGAGCAAAATCCTCACCTTTCATGTTCACGCACTTGTGGTAGTCCACATACGATTGCCAGCAGTGCATGGTTTGGTTAACGTTTGGAAATCTGGCATCGAAGCCTACCGTGTGCAATGGAGATTCTTGGTTGTCAGACATTATTTCGAATGCTCTTTACGATGCAATTAGCAGTGCGATCAACAGCGTAACAAAGCGGGGGGAACGCAGAAGAATGAATCAAGCTAACAATTGGTGGTTTAACGACTCCGTTGACATTTTTCACTTTTTGGATTGGATTTTTCGGGCTAATCGCTATATCGATGTCATTTTGTACAAGCTGGGATTTTTTAGGCCCTCTTATTGGCCTTGAGTCATGTGACTTCGAAGTTTCAGCGTCAGTGTCAACGTCAGTGTCAGCGTCAGTGTATTGTATTCCTTGCCTGTTACTCAGCTTAAGATTTGAACAGCGCGTTGTACCAACGAGGTTTTATTTTCTTTGTCTAGAGCCTGAATGAAACGCGCGAGCTGAAAACTCATGTCCCAAAACTCACGAGCTTCATCGCGGTCGGACGACGAAGAGGCAGTGTTCACGAGCACACGCAAGACTTGCAGCATCAGCTCGTCATCATTCAGAATCGTGGTTATAGAGCCTGGCTCCGTTTGGGTTTGAGGTGAGGTGTCATTTTGATCCGGCCGCAGATCTTCGGTTTTCTTACTTCCATCGTAGTTCAGGAAAACCATCAGCAAAATACCAAGAACACGAGCTTCGTCGTGCTCGATGCATTGCAGTAGCAGGTCGCGCGGAGACAAGTCCAGTTTTTGGAACAGAAAGTCCCAATGCTCCACTTCGATCTTACGCAAACAGTTGCTGATAATCTCTAGCCTGCCGCTATGCTTGGGACCTTGGTCATAGAAGTTGATGAGACTGACAATGTCCGATAGCGGCTCGTTGGTAAGCACTTTTCCGGACAATATTTTCTCTAAACTGAATTTGTAATGCTGTAAAGAGCGGTAGCGTGAGTCGATGCTCTGGTAGCTCGTGCCGGTGGCCAGATGATGGTCTATAACTTGGTCTAGGTAAATCGCTTGTCTGGGGATTATCTTCGAACACTCGTTGGAGAAGACAAACTGAACGCTGTGAATTATCGCAGCCTCTGGTGATATTACTACGGGATAATCACCTTCGGAAATTTCCACAACCGCAACCGGATCTTTACTATTCCACAGCTCCTCAATATTGTAAACCACAACTTTGTTCTCTTGGACAGCGTAAACTCCAGCGTCTATCACGTCCAAAATTCGCTCTATCCTATCCAGTAACACAGACGTTTTCCAAACTCCTTCTTCAGCCTTTTCGAGTTTTAAAATTTCATCTCCTTGATTCACAAAATACCCTCCATTGTGGCTCATTATCCAGTGGCATTTTCTTTCCTTTTGAACAAGAACTTTCTCGGCGGGATGCTGATGAAACACCTTGATTTCAATATTGTCACCGGGCCCAATTTTGGATATAATGTCAATGGTTCGCAAGCTACCTTGGTCGTCCTGGATCAACACTTCGGCAGTTTTGAACAGGTTTTGTAACTTTTCACTCTCTGCGCTTTTCGACTTTACTTTCAAAAGCTTGTAACTGGACAAGGTGTTTGCGTGGATGCTTCTTATGTCTATCTTAGAAGAAACGGCATACTCCCAAATGAGCAATTCTGATAAGTCCGAAGCTGTACCTCCTTCTATTGGGAAATGGTAGCACCGCAACCACTGCTTCATGTCTTCGCCCAGCGAATGGCAGAATAGGTATTCATCTCCTAGCCATTGTATCTCAATTAAATTCAAGTCCATAAAGCTGAGCCATATGTTGGTGAGCATGTTACATATCAGCAAAATGTTCTTGTTGGAAACAAAAGCGGCAAGCATTGTTATTGATCCATTCGTTCTCACCAAAGGAACATAGTTATTTATCGTTTGGGAGGGCAGTTTGAGCACTTGAAAAGGTACATTTCCCGCAGAGTCGGATGTTGGTGCGAAAAGCATCAGATCGTTGTTTTCAGTTTGTAAAATCAGAGGCGTGGAAGTCCTAAAGTTATTAAAAGGTGTCACAATTTTGGACCATATGTCCCACTTGCTAAGTTTACCATCGAATGAAGTTGTAACAATAGACCCGTCAATGGAAGTAAAGCCTGAAGGCCCTGCAGATTCGCTGCTTCTTTCAGTATCGTCATCATCGTCAAACGTAGAAACAATACAGTTACCCCACTTGGTGAACATTTTGAAACCGTTTTTGGTGAACAAGATACTATTTTCATGATTTATCAGACCGCCGCATATTAGACTCGTCTGCGATCGTATCCGTTTAATCGTTGTATCAGCATTGAGGTCGTAGAGTAACAAATAAAACTCTAATACGAAAGTTAATACGTTGTCGTTGACAAAAATGTCAACTAGTGGGCCTGATGCTTCATAGCTGAATTGTCTATGAATACCCTTTTTACCTACAAGGTCGAGTTCCGTTAATGAAATTTTTGATTGTGCATCGACAGACACAACACACGGTTTACCCTGGCATTGTAATAAGCGATATCCATCTGACACGTCGATCAAGATGTTGTCTTTCATCTGGAAGTTTTGAAGGAACAGAATATGCACGCTGTTGGGAAACAAAATCATCATATATTGTTGCCTCTTCGATTCTCCTCTCGTTGTAGTATCACAAAACCCGGCTAGATCAATTATAGAGCGGCCGAAACTGAACATTACCTGAAGACGTAGTTCCACCTTCTTAATTGGAATTTCGTCGAGGGTGTCAGCGGATCTCGTCAAGAAATGCAGAAATCCTTGCTGTTTGTCCACGGCATATCCATTCTGAATTATCTTAGTAGATTCTGTTCTGTCAAACACAGTCAACGTCTCGTCATCTTCTGTGTTATTCATCATTTCTTGTCCGAAATCGTGGTCTACCTTATTCATGTCCAAGATGGGCAATCCAGTTTCCTTGTATAAGCTGACTGGACCCAAACTCAACAGTATCTCAAACACAAATACAAAGTTCATTGAGGATGTCACGTAAAAGGTAACTTTACTGCTGCTTGTTGTCAGGAATTTGATGTCAGCCTCCGGTGATAAGTCTCGAAACATATCTTTATCCACCGCATCCGCGTAAAGTCTCTTGTTTTCACCATATTTTTCAAGCGAGTAGTTGCTACGCACAAACGACGATACCAAAGCCAGAGGTTTGTAGTTGTAAACTAGAATCTGTTTAGTGGTCAAAACTACCATACAATTAGAGTATGGCAAATGCAGCGTTTGTAATGCCTCTTCGGCTGACGGGGATGTGTTATTTTCTCCATTTTTTAATAGCGGAACAATAGATATCTGAGGCGGTTTTGAGGGACCCAAGAGCATCGCTTTGTCGTCAATCGTTTTGAAAGTTTACACTGTTTGAGCGTGTGAGGTCCGGTCTACCTTTATTAACCTTATATTTAATCATTGTTGACGTACTTGGGCTCACAGCTCAGAGTGGTTGATACAACAATTGAAATATCACCGACGCTAGCGACTCAGATATATCCAGACATTCCAATTGCCCAGCGGCTAAGGGTACTGTTCTTCTCTATAGTTTTTGATTTTCGTGTATAGTTTAAACACTGATGGTTTTCCATATATTCAGACCATCGCTGCCTGTACTCACAAGGCAGCCAGGAATCTGCTTGTGCCATTTGACGTCTTTGACGTCTTTTTGCCAGTGGACGAAAAGGAGCTGAGCAGGAATTTCTTGCAATTCCTTCGTCTCGGCAGCCTGCTGTTTAATTTCCTCATCATCAGCCTCAACCGACAAATCCCACAATGTGACAGTGTTGTCTTCGCTGGCAACCGCTATGATAGAATCGTCGTTAGGATTGAACGCAATCGACGTGATAGCACCCTTGTGGAAGTCGTACTGGGCAACGGGAGTTGTGGATGCTGCTGTCGCAGGCGAAAACTGTCTCAAATCCCATACTCCCCACGACCCGCTGTCGTCACCGCTTGCCAACAAATATCCTATTTTCTCGTTCCAGCTGATAACGTTGATGTCTGTGTTGGAGGCCTTCACGGAAATAGCAGGCTTATGCTTCTTAGAACGGGTATCCCAGATCCTGACATAGCCGTCGCAGCCTGCGGTAGCGAAGACTGTAGCTTCTGTGCGCGAAAACTGGATGTCTTCGATTGATTTATTGTTATCCGCACTGAATGGAGTTTTCTCGGTGACCCACTTGGATGTGTGTCTCTGTGTTAGGTAAACTCTCCCTGAGCAGTCACCAGTCAACAAAGATCCGCTTTTATGTAATGGAGACCAGTCGAGAGCATAACCTTCCACGGAGCCGTGATTTTTGATCGTATGAATGGGTCTCTTGGCGGTTTTAGGGATTTGGTAGCCTGGGGTTTCAAAAGCTTTGAACTGTGGGCCCAGATCGAATATGTGTACTTCCCCGTTTTCACTCATGGTAGCAGTTAGCTTTTCAGGCGACTCCGATGCAAAAGGGGAAACACGTAACCTGTTAGTAGTGTCTCTCAATGGTATGTTTTCGTTTTCGACCACGGGATCCTGGTCCTCATCCTCGTCATCGTCTTCGTCGTTGTCACTGCCGTCTTCATTTTCATCTTTCATCAAAGTCTTACTGAGCTGAGAAAGTTTAAGACACAACAGTTCATTGTCCTTTTTTTTGGAGGCCTGTGTAGCAGTTGCCATTAATAGCGACTGCGGATAGTTTCTACGCTCAGAACCAAGATGGTCTGGGACAACGTCTAGTGTCATACATGGCCACGTAACGTTGACGTTGTGCAGCATTTCGTAAACTGTTGGGTCCGCTTCTAGAACCTCGTCTGGACCTAAAGGCTTCGACAAATGGGGCAAGTACAGCTGCTGTTGCTGTGCATCTGAGCTGTCCTGGTCTTTTTGCCCACTTACTTCGTCTTGCTGAACGATTTGCTGGTTGCTCGAACGTTCACCTCCGTTAATTTCGGCATCTACCTCGATATGTTGGTCTTCTTCCTCGTCATCTTCTTCACCGTCCATCTGAATGATCTCCCCATCACTTTCAAATTCGTCACTGAACTGGTCCTCAAATTCACCCATCTCGATATCATCGCCTGCCACAGGGGTCACCGCATTAGTAGGGACATCACTGGATGCTAGCTTGCTTGACACCGTACGGTTATTGTTGACGCCGTTGGTCTCGTCGATTGGAGCAGATCTTTTCGACATGTTGTAAACCTTTCAGATCACTTGCGAGAGGAGCGTATGGTTTCAATTTTCCACTTGGTAATCTGAAATATTGAGCACAATCCTCTATGGTAGTATATCTTCAAGCACTGATGCACTCGCGCTAGCTCATCCCATCTCATCTCATCTCATCGCATCGCCTATTTCATAAGAAAATTTTTTGATTCTTGAAAAATGTCATCACGTGATTATAGATTTCACCAGGTTGCATCGCTGACGTTGAGAAAACGATAGTGGCTTTGGACGCGTTGTTGACAACTGGAACAAGTTTGGATCAATTTTTTGTATGTCTACGTTTCTGTAGTCGCTTTCTTCTTTGCCCTTTTTTTCTCGAGCTTCCTTTCTTGTTCTTGTTGTAAAAGTATGTCCGCATTATTTGCCAAGTAAACCTCGAAAAACTCCGGGTCTTTGGTCTTTTTAGCTTCGTGTAACCAGAGCTCCACATTTTCCACAACTTCCAGCCGAGTTTTATCCAGTTTGTTCAGAAGTTTTGTATCGCGCGCATAGCACTGCAATTTTTGAATTTTTCGCAGGGATTTGAATGCAACTTCGCCTGGTTTCATGGTACCGTTTTTTCGCAAATTGATCCAGGGAGTAGCGATAATGGTGCATTGAGACATTTTGTTTCCTTGGATGGAATTTGCCTTGCAAAGCTGTAAACAATCATTGACAACCTCGCTGGGCACGTCAGCTAGTTGCTTCTCATCACTTTTCAGTTTCAAATAAACATGGCCACTGGAAAACTTGTCTGCATGGAACCACACGTAGTTGAGCTCCTTGAATCCATGTTTTATGAGCATATCGTTTTCAAATTTGTCCTTACCCAGAATAACCGCGTATGATTGTCCGTTTTCGCTTTCGCTTCGGTAATAGTACACCATTCTGAGTATGTCGTCGCCGTGAGTTAAGATAAAATTCCCAAAAGGCCCTTCCCAATAGTGGCAGTCCGTGTCTTGGTCGATAGATTAACCTGTAGTTCATGATAAATGTTAGGTGTAGGGCATCGATCTAGTTTAAGTGCTTAAAAATACAGTTATACGTCTTCGTTGATAGTGATCACTAATAAATATAATATATATATTGGCCGGACCTCTCATCGGCGGCTAATTCTTGAACTTCACTTCTAACCCGTAAAACTAAACAGAAAACATATAACCCAGCTCTCAATCTTACAGGTGTATGTAAATTATAATGACGAACTTTTCGTTGAATGTAGATCTGAAACGTTATTCAAGCTATTTAGATTATGTACCGGCTCCTCAGGGATTCCATAGCACCAAGATTCCCACGAATATCAACCAATGGCGACATTTCCAGGGAAATGGGAACTTCAAGATTAGTTTGGAACAGTACAGTTCGGATGAGGGTATGATGCAGCTGGTGATGGACGCTCGAGTGATGGAGCAAATTACATGGAATACAAAAGATCTGTTGAGGCAAATAGCTCAGTGCTCTGCCAAATATCCGGCTGTGCTATGTAAATATCTGGTCATCTTACAAGGAACAGTATTTCTGAGACGATTCCAGGTGGGTTTCAGTAACGTTATCGAATTTGAGAGATTCTGTGAAGCATTGCGTTTGCTGGGGTTTCCTATAAAAATGGCACCAGTATTTCATGCGAGCCAGTCACACTTGCAATCAATCACAGAGTCTATCATGAGCTCTCAGTATAGTTTAGAGAAGCCCTATTCAACCCCTCCAGACTCACAAATAAGTGGCATGAGTGTTACCCAAAACAGTCAGCGCCAAACGCCATTGTACGTTTACAACAAAAACGATTGTCAAAGTCAGTTTGCAGGCGTTTATAATATTTCGCAATCTGGCAAGGGGTTGGATACACAAAGCTTCTCACAAACCATGAACGACTCTATGACACAGGAAATGAATGAAATTGACACGCGGGTGGCTAGGTTACAGCAAACAGAGATGTGGCCTGATAGTGAAAGCAAGAACTCCAATTTTGCTGAAATTTCAGATACCAACTCCTTTAATAAGTCAACCGGCGTGGAAATTCCCTCTGCCTCAAAGCAAGGGAAAGCAAGTGGGAAATTGATAACGGATAAATTTCTGAACCGTTCGAATCAAGCTACGTTTGACAATTCAGATCGTACTGTTTCTAGCCAAGCGCCAGAAGATTCCATACCAAGCGGTGTTGCTGTATCAATCTCGAATAATACGCTCTCAAGCACAAATGATAGTTCAGAACTGATTGAGAAATTCCCCATCTGTTCTAATGAGACATTCTATGAAGATTCCACACGCCAAAAAGAGCCTTCATTAGTCCCAGTTTCAGGTACACCATCCAATACACGACATCAGGAGGACTTGATCAGCACAAAAGCGCTTTTAACGCATCCATTAGAGGGGTTACGTCAAAATCGACTCTTGTCTGTATCTCAGCAAACCGAAAAGTCTACATCTACCAAACCTAGACCGATCATTTCGCCACATGTAATCAACGAAAAGCTCAAAGACGCCGCATTTACCTCATGGGTATGTTCCAAAAAAAAACCGCTTTTATTAATCATCATACTTCTAACTAACTAGCCGCATAGGTTGATGAGATCGAGAAAATGCTCTATACGCTCGTCGAGAAATAAGAGCTTCTCGATCTGTTTCATATATGAATCGAGAGCTGTGTGTAATGCTCAGAAAACTTGAAATTTTCTGTCGCATCACATCAAAAGTGCCATCGCAGCCGCCAATGCACCAGCACTGAGCGGAACACCTAGAGCTTGTGCAGCACCTGAGCTTGCCTTGGTCTTAGAGCTGCTGGAATTCTTAGAGCTGCTGGAATTCTTAGATCCAGAACTTGCTCCACTACTTTCAGGACTAGATTGTCCGCTGGAACTCGAATTGGAGGCAGATCCACCAGTCGACGAAGAGCCGTTGTTGCTACTACCAGCGTTACCAGTAGAATTTCCGTAAATTGAGGTAGAGTTACCACCTGAACCGGCTGTCAAAGTAGAGTTATCGGAGCCACTGCTGCCGTCGGCGAACGCAGAAGAAGATGGCGCATCTCCTGGCAGGGCAGTGGAGTTTCCAGAAGGTCCTGAAGGTCCTTGATCGGGGAATCCGGTGCTAGCAGCGGTGGCATTGAGGACCGTGGTAGGTAGACCAGAGCCATCGGACATGCTTGCGGAGCTTTCAAGAGTGTTAGCACCGGCAGCAGCGACTACCGGATCGTACCACCAGGTGTTTCCAGCTACAAGCTGTGAAAATGATGCTGTCATTAGAACCGCTAGGCTGAGTTGGGCGTTCATGATTGTGTTTTTGGTTTTGTTTCCGGTGATATTCGATTTCACTGGTGATGACAGTAAAAAACAACAAAATAACTACCGCTTTTGCCTGGTGTTCTACATCTCGTAAGGACCCTTTTTATACCAAAGTTGATCGAAAACGCGATCAAGGCTTGGTTACTATTCAAAAGTTTTTACGAGTATGGTCTAGAATGGAATGTCACGAAAATAGACAAAATTCATTTAACGCCGCTCAGATACTCAATTTAGAAACCGATTTTTCCAGCTCTCGAGTATGGCACCTTTCAGCCCAGATGCGGATCAAGATCCATACCCAATTTCCCGAAAAAGCTTTAGGGCCAAGCCTCGAGCGTTCTAGACTCCGCATTCTATTCAAAATCCTTCACGTGGATATCCAAAGAAACCGTCCGTTCACCTTAGCAACGCGCCTCGCGTGTTGTTGCATATTTTCCGAGTTTCAAATAAAAACATGCTCTAGAATCTCCAGAACACGTCAGGAAACAGATAACTGTCACCCGTCCTAGGCCGAGCAACCTAGGAAGTATTTTTCGCAGTCGCTCGGTTCGCGAATTTACCACTGCACAAGGCTAGAATAATTTTCGAAAATCTAAAGAGGGCCGATTATGCTGACATAAGCAGCCGAAAAGCGTGTAAAGGCTCGGTTGGCTATACGAATGATTATCGCACCTTTGAAAATTGTAAGTTCAATGAAGCTATAGGCTCATCGGCTAATAGAGGTCTTGAATCCAAGGCAAGACAAGCTAATTTCTGTTGTTTCACGATCGAAAGCAGACACAGGGGGCGAACATCGGCCAGGCAGTAAATTTTGCGAAAATTGGCGAAATTTTGAGCACCAGTAAGTGCGGATTATATCTTGGGAAGGCGAGATTATTGATAAGTTACTGTTTTCTTGGATCGCTCTGATGATGTTGGAAGCACTTTTATCGAAGTATTTGCACGTTGAATCCAAGGCCATAAGTCTTCTGAGAAAAATCTCATATATGCATGACTACACCAATGACCCGACAAGTTCAAGAATTACACTGTTTCTCGCAACAGTTGGATTGATGGCGTTAGTGAACGAAATTTACATCACTATCGAGATGACCATCCTGCAAAGAAAAGCGTATGATGACCTGAACAATGCTCCTCTCGACGTTGAAAATTTGAGAAACCATCCGTTGCTTATAGACGACGAATTTCACGGCAAAGAATGGCTTGACGAGAAGAGCGGAATTGTAATCGAAGAGTTTGAAGCGCTCAATAGATTTTTTGCCAAACCTGTACATGTGTCGCATTTGTACGTCGAGTGCAATGTCGTAGCGAAAGAAGTGTCCGAAAACAGTGAAAAACTGCTGTCTGAGCCATTTGTTTTCCATATAGAGTTTTCACCTGAAGAGTGGGAACTAGAGAAAAGGCCCGAATTTGGGTGTACGCTTGCAACGCTAAGACGAAAACTCTACCATTATTTCAAGGATAGTGATTTGCATGAAGAGTTTGTTGAGCGTGGTCGTGAAGTGGGATCTTATGAACCATTTACACTGTCTAATGGTGTTAGTATATACAACACCATGCAAGAATTGCTTCCCACAACGGTAGACGACGTACAGCTATGTTTCTTGAAGATGGAAACTGGGAACACTATCAAGTGCAAGTTCGTTGTGTAGTTACTATGAGAAAGAAAAAAGTTCTTTTGCCCTGTGGCCTATCTGCATAACGAATTTAAACCCCCCCTTCGACGCGAGGTACACCTACACCACAGTGGTGAAGTTGATTCTCACACCAAGCCCACAACTTCATAACCTGGTTTAGTCGAGCCTCGTACTTGGCGTGCTTGTAATTATCGGTCGAAGTGCCTTCGAATTCCTGCTCCCGTTGCTGAAGGAGACGACTAGTAGTTTTCCATGAGCTTTGTTGCCAGGGTTTTTGCTCAAAAGACGTTTGTGAAGTGGAGCCTAGATGGTTGGAATCTTCATTTGATGGGATGTCGAATCCGGCGTCCTCGTCGACCGTGGATAAGAACATACCATTGTAATTGTTGGCGTCTTGATGTGAGGTGTTGAAACCTATAAGGTCGGGGAATTTGCCGTCCTCTGTAGCAGCGGATATTTGCGGGTGCATTGACTCCAAAAGCTTACGATTGACGAGGTCTGCGATTTTGGTACGCAGGGAAAGCGAATATAAGTTACGCAGACTTTTTGGTAACGCCATGTTGACGCCCTTCTCTGAGGAATTTTCCATTGGAAACAATAGAAGCGTCATTACGAGTTCCAGCTCTTTCATGTACTGTGTGTTCGAATCTGCCTTGAGGGCCAGCCTTTCCTGAGAGTACTCGATGAGCTCCAAAATGAACTCATTGGATTCCTCCGGCGACGCACCACTCTGATGGTGTCGCCGGATCATCTCTATAAGATTTAGCAGCAAAAGTTTGAAATGCAGGTCGTCGTCGTCATCGTCATTGGTCTTGGAGCCGTCCTCGATGCTTATGCTAGCTTTTTCCAAGACTTGCACGCCGAATTCGGTGTAAATTTGCTCGATGGCTTCCAGGATTTTTCCGGCTTTGATAAGCTCTCGCACACGAGCACGTTCTTTGATCTTGTAAATGCGGTTGAAAGTGGAAGCGTCTTTGTTGTTGCGAACGTACCCGAGTTCTCTAGCCATACGAACGCTGGATTCCTCGTAGCTCATCACTACAAAGTAATTGAGCAATAGAGGTGCAATAGACGGCTCCAAACACGTTCTTTTAGCGGTTGAATCGGATCCTGCGGCGAAATTGCGTCCGGAGCCAACCACGTCAAACGGGAGTGCCGATTCCAGCACATATTCTTTCCATTCTTGTCGCGAAAACGTTTTGCGATCATAAGTGTCTTTTACGCGGGTCATCTTTAAGCGTTGGAGCTTTGGCTTGGAGCTTTGGCTTGGAGCTTGGATTCAGAGTTATATCTTGGATATGATTCTCATCGCCTGTGTATCCCCTAGCTTAGGGTTCATACATTTATATATTTCGTCGTAATTGGTGATTTTATGGCACGTGATTATGGTGCGAATTATGTAATTTGAAGTGCGTCACGTGTATTATTATCCCAGACTTTCAGTACTCGAGTACTGTTAGTGATTTAACCGTGTAAGATCTGCTTAGCCGTCATTGATAAAATCCGACCGGTGATTAGCCGACTAAACCTTCGGGCACCAGCATGAGTACTTATCTCAACATTCCGCTCAGTTTCACACCTTGCTCATTCTTGTATTTGATAACCACAATTCCCATTGAAAATCCCGTGATTTGACTTGGGTTCTGCAAGCTGCTCTTCAAAGCGTCAACGATCAGTCTTGAAGTAGTGATTAGATACCCTGGTGGGCTTTCAGCACCCACGAAATCATGAAAACTATATTTGAACCATCATTTCTGTCAATTGGAAAAATCGGGCTCAATTGACATCAAACTTATAGCCTTTCAGCTGGGTCACCGCTCGTGAAATTTGTCGATATCATCGCTTATGTATCAATGGCTCGATGCTGTGCTCGAGGTCGACCCCTATCGTACATTATGTAGGACAGGATGTCTAACCAGAGCGTGGGATATCGGGTTGCAAAACGGATCACAGATTTATAGAACAAGATACTTTTTCGGGTACCCAATATTGAACCCGTTTTATGTGAAATGGGTTTTTCCCGATTACGTCTAGTGTGACGTTGATTTTATGTATGCTGCTCATTCGAAGAGGTCGTTCGCCCGTTGATTTCTGTCTGTCGTTCCGCATACTTGACCATTTCGTGATGCAAATGGAGTTGTTGGCTACTGATCAAGCTTGTAAGATATTTATTAACGTTATGCCACCATTGCTTGTCCAACAAGTCACTAAAAACCCATTAAAAACATTCTACAATAGCGTCACAATTCGTAAGCTACAACAGCAAACCTCTAAAACGCTCTCTATTTGGCAAAATATCCCAAACAAGCTCCAATGCCCTTGGCCACCCACAAAACTTTCCAGTGAGTTTTAGTTTCCAGGCTTGGGTAACAGTTGTAAGTAACGAAAGGTAAAAGTGATAAGTAGATTCGCGGCATTTCGTATCACACGATATGTACTCGTGTCCGTGAAAACCGTTGGCGAGTACATCTACAACCGACAGCCCTTACCCATAGCCATTATCCATCAACTGTAGCACTCCTACCTGCCATCAACTATACGGCTCTCTCACCAACAATGATACTCATTTGTTTCTGTAAATCTGCTCATCTTTTGACGTAAGACGTAGTCGTATACCTTCGTTGCTTACCGAAAGCTTCTAGACTGCCTTCAACGTATGTCTCGAAAACCATCTTTAGAGTCCATAAACTTACACCGACGAGACACACTCCGTAAAGTTCCTCGTGCAAATACAGGGGACAGCTGAGGTAAGGGAACACCACATTTGCAAAAAAAAAATAATCGGTTGTCTGACGGAATAAGCACTCTGTCGAGACGGGTCAGAAACGGCCCGTATCTACTTGTATCTTGCGCCAGCCAGTATTGTGCTTATTCGTTATCAGTCAGTTAGCTTTACCTTGCAGTACTTTGACCATACCGGAGTCCAGTTCAAGGTAAGACGGGCTGGGCTATAAACCCGGAAAAAAAGAATATCAAAGTCATTAATCAGACGGTGTAATCTTGATTGTTATAGTTGTCCGTGTTTATGTGAGTGTGCTCTTAGTTTCTTGTTTCTTGTCGTCTGCGTTGCGGGCTTACTGGCTGTCACATTGGTGGCAGGATCTACACCGGGCGGCCTAGTTCTGGCGAGGCCCCTGTAACCAACGGTGTAGATGCAGCCCGAAGTGACAGATTAAAACGGCCTGATTGTCTTGTTCTGTGGCCCTGTGTGTGGGCAATCCAACCCATAGGTCAGGGCGAAGAAGCATGAGAAGAAGCATGAGAAGAAGCATGAGAAGAAGCTTGGCGAACTGGGATATAAGAACGTAGACCGAAAGGCAAGCCATTCAGGAAGCTTCCGTACGTGGAAACGAAGTGCGAATCTACCGCTCTTGTGTAGGTCTTCCATCCTTAAGTGGTAAGTGTGTGTAATTGTTAGTATAGAAGCATAAGTGCGTGAAGCATAAGTGCGTACCTCATCCACTCCTGATGTTGCTAGCCAAAAATACGTATCCTGAGGTCCTACAAGCTCCCAGCTCACAGCCTCGGATCAAGGCCTTGCACCTGAATGGACATGTCTCAGATGTACGGGAACCCAAGTCTAGGGCCACATCCACGTCCACGTCACATCGAAAAATGCCCAGTTTGGCCAACATTCTGGCGGTCAGTCCTGGTCCCGATGAAAACAGAGAACATGTCTCACCAAGATCTCCAAGCTTCGACAAAAACCGTACACTTTCGCCACCAATATCCACAGGCTCTCCCTTCGATGCCAAACGATCATCGCCACGTCCTCCTCCAAGACATGTGGCCAAACTTGCGCCAAATCGCAGCCACAAGCTGCAAAGCCATGCCAGAAAAGCGTCGCTCGATTCCCTGATGACTGCAGTCGAAGCTGTTGAAACTGGTAGGCAAATACCAAATCAACGGCTTCCCAGCTACAGTAGCCAACACTTACTTGAGTGGAAGGCCAGAATCAACAATATCTTCTCACTCACAACTGACATTGTTCGCAGCCTGGAAAGTTGGCCAACTTTTTCATCCTCCTATGGTCCCAATGAGTATCCTCTAGACCGTCTTTCATTTCATCAAGTGAGAGATGTCGTCGAAAACTCCCAACAACTAGTCTCTGAGACAAGAGCGGTGCTCAAACTTAAACGCGTCAGGGACGACGAGGCCTGCCTCGCGCGAGCCGATACTGTGAACCATGCTGGGCCTGCCAACTACACATACCGACCCCAACACCACGCTTCTTCATTACCTGGCTTCGACGCAATGCAGCTAGGCTCATCGCAGCCGCAGAATGCTGGTATGCCAAAGGCATTGGCTGGAACCACAATACCATCACCAGCGGACACAAGAGGCACAGTTCTAGTGAAGGGAGCATTCACCTACCCTCCCACTTCTGGTGCAGGTGTCAAAAACAATCCCGTCGCCAGATCTGTAGACCAGACGGTCAATTTGAACCAGGCTGGTACACTCAATGCTGCCGATACAACAGCGTCTATCGCCAAGACGATTGAAAGCCCAGTTCATGATGAGGTACGCAATGAAAGACCATCTTATGCTGTTCAGGGCATGGAATGCGTCCATTGTGCAAGCACAGAGACTCCAGAATGGCGTCGTGGGCCGTATGGGAATAGAACAGTATGCAATGCTTGTGGTCTATTTTACTGCAAAATCGTAAAGAGGTTTGGTGTACAAAAGGCCAACCTTCTCATGCGTTATCGACGGTACACCTTACCTGAAGACCGCAGAGTTCCATCACGTTTAGTCGTGCCAGAATATTTCGTGCAAAAGTTAGAGGCCGATAAGTCGCTTGATCACAACTTCAGTGCTTTGTGAAGACCTGGACATATATGTAACCTTATAGTTTTTCTTATGCTGTGAAGTTGTTCGCTTTACTCGCCGCTCAACGTTTTCCCTCCATCTTGTATACTCTTCCAAACACTAAACCACTGCTGCATTTGCTCCACCATGTAAGCGTCGTGGGTGTTTACGGTGGGAATCATTTGAGCCCAAGGAAGCTTTACGCAAAAGTTGGCCAGATCCTTGAAGCTGCTATGCTCAGAGTACGGAACTCGAAAAACTTGAAATTTGGCTCGACCATCATACTGCGAATACAAGGTGGAAACATCTAATCGATCCACTTCAGTATTGTCCAGCAATTCCAAAGTGTGAGTTTTTTTCTGGTCCGCAGACTCATGAAGTTTTATAAATCTGCCACCATTCTTAAAGGACCAGCCGGTGGGATGGAAACACACCATGTTCTCGTAGATATGAGCGATTGGTTTGTAGTAAGACTGAAGACTTTCTTTTGATGCTAGCGTTCTTATCGATACCAAGTGGACGCAGGATTTGGTGATATCATGAGTGATAATGTCCTCAGGGAAATGATGTTGGTAAGTTTGGAAAATGCGATGTTTGGAGGTGTCCTTGGGTAGAAAGATCTTGGTTCCTAATTTTTGAGCGATGGCAACCGCCAGCTTCTCTTTGCCGATAGTGTAGGTTCCAACCAGAAACACAAACTTGTACAGGTGACTTAAGCGAAGCGACCTGGACAGAAAGCTCATGATGGAGCTCTGGCGATCACCAAAGAGCTTTTGGAAACCTTCGTTTTTCAGCTTGCGAGTGAAATCACTTGTGGCGTCTAGCAACAAATGTTGCAGGGGAAAGTGGTAGGACGGGTACATGTAAGTTGTGTCTAAGTACACTTTGTCGATTCGAGCGTTGTTGGTATGAGAATTAATGCGCGAAATCAGATCATTGTTGCTTCTGAAGTCACCCGTATGCAGTACCCACTGAATGGTCTTATCCTGGTCGTCGGATTCACGAAACAAAAATACAAACGACCCAGGGCAATGGTTGGCGTCAAAACAGATCACAGATAGGTTTTCTGTCACCTGCACGGTGACGTTTTCGGGCAAAGCTACCATTCTTTCGTGTGGAACTTTAAATTTGTAGGACAAAAGGTCAGCGGTAACCTTGGAGCAATAGATACTGCCCTGAGCCCATGATTTTTTGATGCCCATGTAATGATCGGCATGGAAATGTGACAGAAAATACTGGTTGATGGCAGGATCGGAATCGAAATTGAAGCCGTCAACCACTATAGTGTGGTTTTTGAAAAAGAGTTTTTTGACTTTCGAGAGTTTGGGAGCAGGCCTGCCGGTCCGTTTTGAAGTTAATGGTCGTTTGACGGTAACACATGTATCGCAATGGATTTCTCGTTCGTGAATTTTCAGTAGTGTTAGAACAATACCGCAAACGGGACACAACAGTTGTTGCTCGGGCCCCACTTCTGAAACTGAAGGCAACACTCTCATCTCGGACCCTGCGGGTTCCATGTCGATTTTTGAAGGTCGGGACAATATTCGTGGTTTCTTTTCTGGCTTGTATTGCAATTTGACGGGGAACTGTTTAGTAGCCGCAGAAATCTTGGATCTATGCAATTTGGGCGTGTTGGGAGTGTCAGACTCGGCAACTTCTGCTGTGTGTGACACTGTCACCTCCTCATCTTCTTTTTCTTCCTTTCGAAGCTCTGCGGGACCACCAAAATCATGACGATTTGCCAGAATTTCCAACTTTTCAGTATACTCAAATTCCTCTTCAGAAACAAACAGTTTGGGGCCACATGAACTTGAATTTTGCTCTAAAACTGTTTCTGTTTCTATCTCATCGCACTCTAAATCGATGTACAATGGCTCAGCTTTATGTCTTTTCGGCTGGTTCCCGGGAAGTACATGTGTCTTGGGGATCTTAAAATCCACTAGAGTTCGTTGACGCTTGTTTTCCGGCATCCACAAAGCCCTATCGACAGCTGTGACGCTCTAATTCTGTTCAAATTCAAGTATTTCATTCATACCTTTAATTTAGTAGTATTAATGATGTCAATCTAAAGTCCAGCTGGCCTCTAGTTTGTTCAAAAGTTGTAGAAAGCAATGAGTATCAAGGCTTCATGGGCCTCCTGACCATCATTAAAAAGCAGAAACTCAAGGATAAGGAGTGTCGATGTTTAGTTTTGGGATTAGACAACTCTGGGAAGTCCACGGTTGTGGATTGGGTGCTTAGTGTCTATAAGAATCAAGATCGCCGGACGATCACTCCAACAGTGGGATTCCAAATCCACACTGTGCCGTTTGCCAATCACAACGTGCAATTGTGGGACATTGGTGGACAGTCTACTTTGCGGCCTTACTGGGATAATTACTTTGACAAAACGGACGTTCTGTTGTGGGTGATGGACACCGCTGCAGCAAGCAGGATGGACGAATCTGTACAAGAACTAAAAACGATTTTGCGTAATAGAGATCGATTGGGGTACAATTGTCGGATAATAGTGCTACTAAACAAGAAAGATTTGGTGGAAGGGGCCGATAAAGTGACGCAGACGCTCCAAAGCGATTTGGAGCGTTTGTTGCAACTGGAAAATGTTCCGATCGAAACAAGGGCAAGTAATGCTTTGACTGGAGAAGGTTTGGAAACACTTATGGCATCGATTGTGGGCGGAAAATGTGTAGATCGGGGAGTAAGAGAATCAACGATAAAATCCATCTCGTAAGTGAGTGCCTTTTGTCCAAATCGTACGGACGACGATTCTAATTGTTGTGGGGGTGTGGTTGCATTGGGCGCACGTACTGGGGCAAATTCTTTCGAATCCTGGACCGAATACACAGGTTTCTTCTACCTATGATCATACAAGAACAGGGTGTGTGGGTGTGTGGAAATATTTATCACGTGACTCTAGTTTTAAAAAATCACGTGTGTATCATTTGTGACGGTTTATTTTGATATACCTTTATACGAAACATTGGGGAAATCATTCAGCACGAAAGTCATGACTCGCTTCTCAAAAAAATTAGCCCGTCTAAAGCGAGAAAGAAGATTAGATATTCATATATATATAAAAGCATATAAGAAGGGACACTGGTTGATACAGTTATACATCCCCCAAAGGTTCTCCAGGGCTAATAAACGACTTTTAACTTCTTCAAATCGTCGCTTTACTATTGTTTAAACATATCAATACTTGTTTGTCCTAAAACTGTGAATTCCGAGGTTTCCAACGATACCATTAAAGTACTGGTAGCGAAAGAAACAGTACCTGAAATTTACCTAATTCGTTGCATATACTCGCACCAAGAAGAAAATGACCAAAGTCACTGTTTTGGGAGCCGCTGGAGGCATCGGACAACCGCTATCGCTACTCTTGAAAATGTCGCCATACGTTTCCACGTTGGCGCTGTACGACTTGCGTTTGGCGCCCGGAGTAGCTCGCGATTTGTCGCACATCAATACCAACTCTACGTGTAAAGGGTACGGCAAAGACGAACTGCAAGCGGCTTTAGAAGGTGCCCATGTTGTGGTGATTCCAGCCGGCGTTCCTAGAAAACCCGGAATGACCCGGGACGATCTTCTCAAAGTCAACGCAGGCATCGTGGCAGGCCTTGTAACTGCATGTGCGCGTTTTGCGCCCAACGCCCGGATTTTGATCATTTCCAATCCTGTAAATTCCACAGTGCCGGTAGCGTGTGAAACCCTTAAACAATTGGGCGCTTTCCAGCCGGGGAAAGTGATGGGTGTCACAACACTGGACGTTGTCCGGGCACAAACCTTTTTGAGTGATGCTTTGGGTGCTGACAGTTACAGTCGTGAGTCCATGAAAAAGCATGTAACCGTGGTGGGTGGCCATTCAGGGTCAACGATTGTGCCTTTGATTGCCAACTCCACTTTGCGTGCCAAGCTTGTAAGTCGTCGTGTATATGATGCATACATCCACCGTGTGCAATTTGGCGGTGACGAGGTGGTCGAAGCCAAACAAGGCGCTGGATCGGCAACATTATCGATGGCCTTGGCTGGATTCCAGTTTACAGATCAGGTGCTGCGTAGTATCCATTTAGAGAAACCAGACCCTGCTCCATTGCCTGCGTTTGTGTATTTGCCGGGCATTGAAGGTGGTCGCGAGCTACAATCGAAATTAAACACGCAAGCGGAGTATTTTGCTACGCCAATTGAACTATCACGCGGGGACGTGGCTCGTGTTGACGCGAAATGGCTAGATTCTTTAACCGATGCGGAGAAAAAATCATTGGCAGTGTGTCTCGGCGAACTTGACACCAATATTCAAAAGGGTCGTCGGTTTGTGAAGAGTAAATTGTGAAGCAGATGTATTTTACGAATATTCAAGCATGTAATGAATTTTGGGGAAACTGACAAGTTGAGGTGGGTAAGCTGCGGATATTTTTGAATTTGGGCTTGCTACCTGTGTGGTGATGTTAAGGGAGGGTAGTCATGAGAGAGTGACATGATTTGAAGGGTGACGACAACTTCTTGGCTGAAGTGAACGTGGGGAAGGAGATCTCACCGGGTGAGACTGTCATGCTGGAATTTCCGACTGGGTCAGCCTGTTATGCTGGAATTGGTTTCCAATACCGAGAATTTGCGCCGGAGAGTACTGGTTGTGATTGTGACGATCAAGACAGGCTTAAACAAGAACCTTTTTGCTCGGTTCTCTAGAAGACAGGAAAAGAAGCTCATTTATCGTGCTGACCGTTCTTCTTGGGCTGTACAAGTCTTTTGAGTGTGCTCCATGGCTTTGACGCTTTTGAAAGCTGCAAGAGGTAAGAGCTATTCTTAAAACCCCGAGGGGAAGCTACTGTTATGATTTTCATACACCGTGGATCTTCACAGCTGTTTCAACAAGCAATGGGCGGGAGTTCTTGGAACACCGGACATTCCTGCTGCTGTAAGTCACCCGAACCCGCACACGTGATCGTCTGTGTTATTCATGAACAAAGTACGGTTTTCGCGTAAGAGTGAGCAAATTTACGACCTGCAAGGGAGTGGGATGTTTCACGAGGTTCAGGAACTTGGAAACGGGCGAGTTGCGTAGGGACCGGTGGGCGGGACACAATCTTTTTCAGTCGCTAAAGCCAAACAGTGTGGTGTCAGGGTGGTTTGGAGAAATAATCGGATCACGTGGTCTCCGTGTTGGTTTAGCGGTCACCTGATACCGGGTCCAGAACTTAGCTTACCTTCCCTACGATCACACTGTTGTTTTCTATCGTTTTGTTCCCACCTTAGCCTTCCTTCCCTACGATCACACTGTTGTTTTCTATCGTTTTGTTCCCACTACCCCTCCCCCGACATGTATCCCGTCGATACCGGGATCTCATTGCCGGTCAAACCCCTTTCTTGATAGAACTTCTTCGCCGTGGCAACCAACGGGGAGAAGACCACCAGGGAACATAACGCGAACGAACCCGACCTTTAGATAGCTCGAACGAACCCGACTTCAGATAACTCGTACGAACCAGACTTTTAGATCACTCGAACGAACCACAACTTTAGATTCCATATCCAAATCACCCAGCCAACGCCTAAGATCACTCTTTCACGCCCAGTAGACCCTTCTCGACCACCACACCATAACTCGACTGCAGATCGCCTCTGAAGCCATGGTGATAGCGTTTTGCCAAGAAATTAACGTCCGTGCCTGTCACAGAGCATCTAGCAGCGTGTTCTTCATGCAGGTCGCCGAGGATGCGTTAATCTAGAAATGCGATATGCACTCTCCCATGCACGATCATGCACGATCATGCATCTTTATGCGCTCCCGGGCGCAGAATGCACGGAAGGTAATTTGTTACTCACGGGAACGTGGTTCAGCGTGGGCTCAGGGTTAATGAATTTACGAGAGCTCATGTAATGTAAATATTAATGACTCGCCGCGACAACACGCACACACACACACACACAACTCGTGGACCACACCGCTCGTCGACGTATTAGAAAACGCGATAATTATTGGCACATCAACGCATGGGTAAACAGTAGTCAAAGAAATTTTGGAAGACATCGCGGGGAGGGAGAGATATATAAGCGGTGGACACCAAGAACGCCCAGGATTCTTGGGTGTGGGGGGACAAGAGAGGAGAGAGTGAGGGAAAGTATCGAGAAGTCTTGAGAAGACTGGAGGAGACTGGAGGAGCCTTCTTATACAACATTTACGCTGGCGTTTAGGTAATACTACTTGTGCTGCTTCTACTTCTACTTCTACTACTATTACCACTATTATTACTGATATGTTCGGTAGTATAATGTTACTGGATAACGAAAAGGACGTCGTGGATAGTGACACGAAGACGGCTGTTGCCGCACATCACGTGTCGCGGTGGGCCTACACAATACTATTAGTACATTTCATAGCGGTACTAGTACTGCTACAATACGAAATACCGTCCCAACTGGCCCTGGGACGTCTGTGTTTGCTACTCACAGTTATCTTTGTGGGAGTACGGCATCACTCCACACGGCTCTTCAGTTTGGCCTCTGCTGGTTTGGGGGCCGTCACTGCTACACAAGGTCTCATAGATGCGTGCTCGCTTCATTACCATGCTGTTGGTCTGGGCGCTGCAGCGTCTCGTTCCGGTATTTCACTGTTGTCAGACCTGAGGTCACGTGCCCTCATGCATGCAGCGCTTTTGGTATGTTTGTGTGCGGTACAAATATTGAATTTGGGGCTGTATTTGACATCTTTACGTGCGCAAACATCGCCGACCTTGTTTGACGCTGAAGAAGTGTAAATTTACCTTTCGCGATGACTCACTCACAAACACCCACACACCACACCCGCAAATTCCCGGAATGTCACTTTCGACGTGTCTATCTCACCTTAATAATAATACACACAGATATAAGAAACCCCATCATCCCGAAACCGCCTCGAACAGATTCTGTTCCATCCAAGACGTTTGCCATCATTGCCATTCATTAACGGTACTCCCTCGACCCACCACGAGATGTCTCTCGAACAACGCTACAAACCCTTCTTGTCTTCGCGTGCTGAAGGCCGCCAAATGCAGCCCTTTTGGAACAATGCGGTACCGGCCCATGTCAAACAACATCCACAACCCATCGATCTCGGTGCAGGACTTCCCAACGAAGGATTGTTCCCTATCGAATCCGTGCATTTGAATGTGGTGAACCATCCCTTCCAGCATCGCAATTATAATTTTCGATCCTCAAAGCTACACCAACAAGAACATGGCAATCATGTCAATGACGACGGCATTGATAAAACACACATTGCGCACAACGAAAGGGAGTTAGTTGCACAAAAGTTCCAGGATGGATCCATGGTGGATATGTGGAGATACGAACCCGAAAACCCACAATGTATCCCCATTTGTTCTGGGTTCCAATACAACGATACTCGAGGTCTCACCCAAATGTTAGATTTCTGCCACAAATTCGTTGAATACACCAATCCGCCTGCGTACGACGATTGGGACATCACTTTTGCCAACGGATCTTCCGATTCGCTTTTCAAAGTTTTCGAAACGTTAGCAGAAGCCAATGTCACCGTCTTAGTTGAAGAATTCACGTTTTCACCAACCGTCCACAACATTACCGCCACTGGAGCCACTGCAGTGCCCATACGGCTTCAAGTGACTGCAGATTCGGAATCCCAGGGTATTGATGTGGATTATCTGACAAATTTACTAGAAAATTGGTCTCAATCGGAATTCTCGCATTTATCCAAGCCTCGGCTTCTGTACACGATACCTACAGGTCAAAATCCAACCGGTATGACTCTTTCTTTGCGGAAACGGCAACAGATTTATGCGCTTGCCGAAATTCACAATTTCATCATTGTCGAAGACGATCCTTACGGATACTTGAGATTCCCACCGTACGACCCTAAAAATCCTTTTTTCAACCCGTACGAGAGCAACGACTTTACAATCGATCAGTACCGAAACGAAATGCTTGCCAAATCCTTCATCTCTCTCGATACTTCTGGCCGTGTTATTAGATGCGAGACCTTCTCCAAGGTTTTTTTTCCCGGTTTGAGGTTCAGTTTCATCGTCGGTAACAAGTACTTGATTTCCAAAATCTTGAGTTTCGAAGAAGTCTCCACCAGGGCTGCAAGTGGTGTTTCTCAAATGATGGTCAACAACGTGATCCAGAAATGGGCACCAGGGTTCAGTTCCGCACAGGAGGCGTGGTTGGCATGGGTCGTTAAAGTTGCTGGTCAATACACACACCGCAGAAACGTTCTATTTCAAGCACTGCAGGCCTCAGATGCTTACAAAAATGGATTATTTTCCATGCTTCCCGTGACCGCTGGAATGTTTGCAGCTCTTACTATCAATTTCGATCAATTCCCCCATATCGAGAACCGTTCCGAAGCCCTACAAGAGCTTTCATACATCCTTTTAGAAGAAGGTGTCAAGGTAGTTTTGGGCACCAACATGGCTGTTTCTAAACCATTTTCTGCTCACAGATCCCATTTCTTGCGAATCACGTATGCATATGCAGCGGACGACGCTCAATTGCAAGAAGCCGCCAAAAGGCTGGGTCAAGGTATTCAAAGATTGCATTCGGTTCACTAGCTTTGATACCAGTCATCAATCGCTTAGTTCCTGGAATTTCACGTTGTTTGGTCAGAATCGACTATATCGACTTGATTATGTAATTATTTCAAAATTGGAAAACTTCAAGATATTCAAATTAAACTCAACATGACCAACTGCTTCAGGTTTCATCACAAACTCCAGTTTCATCACCTTCAAATACTTGTAAAATGGAATTGGTATGTTCAGTTAGCAGCTCGGTAAACTTCTGCATTTCGACAATTTCTAACTTTGTTCAACAAGCTACCGGAAGGCAAGAAAAATGGCGTTCAAGTGTTGTATGAAGATCAGCAAAAAATCAACGAGTTTTCCAAGCTTGTCATGAGAAAAGATGTTATCAACATGGAACTGGCACAATTCAAGCAGGAGAAAGGATATTTGGACGACGTAGCGCTCGAAATCGAATTGGTCGACGAAGAAGAACAAATCCAGTACAAAATTGGCGAAACGTTTGTGTTCCTGCAACAGAGTGAAGTGGTGGAGCAGTTGGAAAAAGATGGTGAGCTTCTCGACGCCAAAATCGAACACCTGGAGGATACAGACGCAGAAATCGATTCTCGTATTTCAGAGCTGAAAACTGCGCTTTATGGGAAATTCGGTGACAACATCAATCTTGAACGCTAATCGCGTGATGACGAGCACACACACACACACACACACACACACACACACACACACACACGCACACCCGCATCTCATCTGGTGGTAAACGCAAAGCGAAAAGTATCTCGAACCTGCCATAAAAAAACCTAAAAACCAATCGATACAGAAAAAAACGTAGATAAAGGACTTTGCTCGCGAAGGGGGACAATATATTTTAAGCAAACCGTGTGTTGTATCAATGCACTGGGCCGTTGGGACCCTTCTTTACCGCGTGCACTTCCTGGTCTTCCTCAATATTGAGTTTGCAGTGGAGCTTCTGGGCAAAGTTCAAAAGTTTCTTCACAATATCACTCGAATGCGCCGAGGGCAGCTCCATGGAAAACCCTTTGACCAGTGAGTATTCGTGCGTTATTTTTCCGCCCGTCTGTTTCACCAGAGACTTGAAGTCGTCCAGTTTACCCTTCCAGGCATCTTGGTCGTCTTCATCGAGCGTCAGTATATAGTATTTAGCTTGATCTGCACGTAATTTGTTAGTAGGGGTGGTCGAAAAGAACCTAGGTCTTCACTAATAAAACAAAACAATTTACATACCGAAAGTAGAGGCGTAAGCCACCGCGCCTATAAATACTACAAATAAGCTCAACAGTCTCATGAACTAGAACTCTAATTACCTTTACTTCTTACTGAAGTGTCAATCTTCCGTAACTAACATGTATAGATAGGTTTAAGTTAAATTGATCACTACCTTATACTGAATGCCCGTGAGTAGCGAGCTAGCGAACTTGGAACGATGGACAATCACAACGTAACCGTAGCGGCCATAGTATTAAACATTATACGGTATCTATCTTTGAATGGGTTTGGTGTTGTTCAGGGACCGATTGAATGAACTAGAGACCCAGTTTCGCGAGGAATCATTGCAGATCAAACAACAACCTTCTCGGTTGGGTGACCAGTGTGATCACTGCTGCTTGGAGCATCGTCGGTCTGAATCTTGTCGTCAATGTTGGTAGGATTTGGGACCTGGGCAGATTGGTGAGATCTGATTGGCTCGGGGATGTACATTTCGTGTTCTTCGTAAGTGAACTCACCGATTTGAGCGCCATCGGTACCAAGCTCTTCCTCATCAGCTCTCAATCTTAGTCTCAGGAATGGAATTCTGTCCATGATGAGAAGAAGAGCGGCGGTAACGGTGCAGGTCCAGGCAACAGTGGAACAAATAGCAGCTAATTGGTAACCCACTTGTTTGTAGTTGTGGTTAATCCAACCACCGGCAATGGCAGCGGCTTCCGAACCAGCAGAGTCATTCACGTAATCAGCAGCGAAAATACCAGTCAAGACAGAACCAATGGCACCACCGACACCGTGCAAGGCGTACACGTCAAGACCATCGTCAATGTGCAACAAGTTTTTCAAGTCAACAGCAAAGTTGCATCCGATACCGGTAACAATGCCGATAATAACGGAAGCCCAAACGGGAACGAATCCGGCCGCTGGGGTAATACCGACCAAACCAGCAATGGCACCAGAGCACAAGCCAACGGTAGTCCACTTGCGGCCAAATCTGAAGTAGTCGATGAACATCCAGGATAAAGCAGCACAGGAAGCAGCCAAGTTGGTGTTGACATTAGAATACCAGGCTCTGATGGTTGCGTTACCAGCAGAACCACCGTTGAAACCAAACCAGCCAAACCACAAGAAGACAGTTCCAAGAACGACGGAAGTCACAGAGTGAGGCTTATATTTTGGCATTCCAGATTTGGCAACGGGGTCATTTCTCTTACCAAGGATCAGGGCGTAAATCAACGCACCGTGTCCAGAACAAATATGCACTGGACCACCACCAGCGTAGTCTAAAGCTCCCAAATGTGCCAACCACCCCTCCGCGTTCCATGTCCAGCACGCGATTGGGCAGTAGACAATGGTAATCCACAGAAACAAGAACACCATCATTGGGAACAAACGAGCACGTTCGCATGCACCACCAACCATCAAAATACCGGTGACCATGGCAAACATACCTTGAAACAAAGCAAATAAGATGTCTGGAACGGAGGTCACAGAGCTTGGAGCACCGAGTACATCTTTAAAACCGAAAAATTGCAGGGTACCAATGAATCCGTTGCCTCTAGTGCTATGCGAGAAGACCAACGAGTACCCCCACCAAAACCATTGAAAGGAAACAACCCCTACAGCCATTATGGACGCCCATAGCAGCGATAGCGCATGCTTTTTACGCGAAAGACCTGAGTACAAAAGACCGATTCCGGGAACCATGATCCACACCAAAGCGGCAGCGGTGCCGACCCATACCATGTCAGCGGCCTGGAACTGGGTGTTCAGGTCCGTGGTGAGCGTATCACCGCCTGTACCGACGTCGGTAGGCGTGCCAGTAAGATTTAAAGACATTGAGCCAAGTGATGAGCTGCTGTTTTTGGACTTGCGGGCTAGGCTGTAAATTCAAGAAGAAAGAGCCACACTACCTTGCTGGGAAGAGACCACGTTGAAAAACTATTGTCAATAGATGGCCTCTGCGCTTACCTACTGAGCTGAAAGGGATCCTATACTTATACCCTAAGGTCTCATCGTTCCCGTTTGTGCTTGATTCATCAACCGTCCAACCTCTGGCCAACCACATCGTCACGATACCAGATAAGTTTTCGCTTTTCAGATAAGGTCCGAAAGATAGCGGGCAATGCAGATTTTCCTACGGTTTCTAAACGGCGAAAACCATGGGAAAAAAAAAATAACAGCGTCTTGCAGAAGAAGGACCACGGAATTTCTGAGCAAGAGCTTACCCATCGGGTAACTATTTGCAGAATGAGAACCTGTGTAAACACCACAACGGCGATGGGTGAGAATTTCAACTTAAAGGAGTTAAGCCTGGGACTTTAGCATGGGAGTTAAGCCAAGCGGGACAAACGCCCCAAACAATCTGGGACTTGCATAAGTCGTACAACGTGGGTCAATACAACATTCTGGTGTCGCATCATTTCAGGAATTCAATGCAAAAATCACCTAATGCAGAATTCATTGTTTATGCAAAAGTCATTGTTTGGTGCAAAATTCATTGTATTTTGAGAGGGTTTTGGGGGTTCATGAAAAGAACTTGAGGCCATGACCAGTAAGATAGCAGCGATAAGCATCTTAAAAAGGAGGTAAGGAATTTCGTGGTGCACGGGTGTTCTTTGTGATTGGTCAGCGCTTCTCTTTTGACTCATCCCTCACGTGATTTGGCTTCTGACACAAAAACGTACCGTATTTCGTGATCGCGGGTAGAGCCCCGTGTACCCTGGAAGAAACCACCATCAAGGACACAGGTATCTTCTTGTTATGGTCTTGAGCTGCTTTGTCGTAGTTTTACTGGCTAACATGTTCTATTTTTCTATCCCAGATTTCATCGTTGTCCACTTCTTAGACCATATGTGCGGGCAAACATCAACACATTCAGATTCTGACGTTTTGGCACATCTAGGACGTCCTCTGATTCAATTCTCTGGTGGTTAAAATGATTCCAATGCCTTATATCATGCTGATTCTCCTTTTCTGTTGTTCTTAAATAGTGGTGTATTCAGGAAAGAGTTTAATTTGTTAGGATCTAAAATATTAAGGGCTATATATCAAGGTGCGAATGATGGATGGTCAAAGAAGCTGGGAATCCTTGAACTTTGAGTGCGTTAGGTGACTCTAGGGATATCAGTTTTACCAGATGTGGTGATTTCGAGGTCAATTCCCGATTTTTCCGGTGTTACTCGCACTTTTCCTAGCTATTTCGTTGTAAAATTTCCTTGTGTCCGCAGTCTTGCACGTAGTCAAACCTGCTGATACGTGAAGATATTCTGTAGTTTTAACGTTTCGCAACCAGACGGACGTTTTTGTTGCATAGAAACGCTTAGCAACAAGTTGGGAGCTGCGATATCCCTCAAGATACCTGCATTAATGGATTTCCAGGGCCCATTTCAATACAGGTCACTTCAAAACCAAGTCAGAAATACACTTATCTCAGGATACACTGAAACCCCGTATAATCAGGGGCGGGGAAACATGACGCTGATGGATTGTTGAATTTTCAGATCCGTTCTCCCCTTAGACTTATCCCATGCACTTCTCCCGTCTTACTTGCAACCTTTCACCTGACATCAGGGATTTCCTGTCATCTCCCTTAAAAGAAAATACAGCAGGTTTGCATCCAATGCCTTTACTTTCCATTCGTACACCCCACAGTGCTTTACGAATCGCAACACCCATCTTCTCCACTTCTCCAAGGACGATGATGCTTTTTGGTGTCCCATATGCCTGACGCTATGCCCTCAACAAGTGCTATAAAAGAGAAGACCGTGTGATGGGCCCCTCATACACCATTTTCGATTCCACTCATAGTCTCTCAACGCAAGCCTCAAGCTGGTTTTTCGATTTGTTTTCCAGCATCACACTGTGTCACTGTCACTGAATATCACCTTACGTCAAGATCAATATGGATGAAAAAGTCCTTGTAACGGGAGCTTCTGGCTATATTGCCATGCACATTGTCAACATCCTCCAATCAGAGCGGTACCATGTGGTAGCTACGGTAGACTCTCAACAGAAAGCCGACCGGATTTCGTATGCGTTTGAACATTACTACCCATACGCCGTGTTGGATGTAGTTATCATCAACGACACAGCAACACCTAATGCGTTTGAAGATGTGTTCCAAAAACATCCAGATATCCAACACGTAATTCATACGGCACCTCCAGCGTCTTTGGGAGAAGGAAACACCACCGAGTCGGCATATTTGACCCCTGCAACGGAAGGTACCAGAAACGTTCTTGAATCGATCCGAAAATTTGGCACAAACGTTAAAAGGGTGGTTGTGACGTCTTCGTTTTCTGCACTTATGGACCTGGACCGCGCTGGTGATCCCAAATGTGTCATTTCGGAGGAGTCGTGGAACCCAATCACTTGGGAGCAGGCCAAGGACAAAGACAGCAAGGCGTATTCTGCATCCAAGAAAATTGCAGAACAAATGGTGTGGAAGTTCTACAACGACAATAAAGATTCTGTTGGCTACACAGTGACGACTGTGAACCCTCCTTATGTTTTTGGGCCCCATGTTTTCGAATGGGGGCTGGAAAGTGGGGAGTGGAATACCACTGCGGAGTTTATCAAGAAAGCCTTAGATTTGACATCAAAGGATCATGGGCCTTTCATCAAACCTCGCGGCATTAGCTGTGATGTGAGAGACGTAGCGTTACTGCACGTTCTACCACTCAGAAATCCAGATTTGGCCGGGAAGCGATTATTCCCGGTAAACGGAACTGGGATCAAGCAACACAGTTACGAAGATGGGAAGTTTAATTTGCAGAGAATTGTGAATATTCTGAGTGCAACGTTTCCGGAGTTGGAGAACAAATTGCCCGCAGGCTCGCAAGTGGAAAATCAAGCAAATATCGACCAGCTTGCACGCTACAATAACGATGAGACCTGTAATTTAACCGGCATGGAATTCAAATCTTTTGCAGTCACTTTGCGAGATGCCGCGAATCAAATCATCAAAGTGCAGTCCAAAAAGGACTAACTATGGCTTTTAAGAAAGGAAACGACTCCCGTGTTATGAATCATTCAAACTACGTTACGTATCAACTTCAATGAAAAATGTTCGAATAGTAGATCTGCAGTACATGTTCGGTCGGCAACTGCACAGAAAAGACAAGGAAACCCTGCTGCGACGAGGTTTTGAAGACCCACTCGCAGATTGCTTATTATTTAGCAGGTAAAAATCACTACATTGATTTCGCAGCATCAATGAAAGTCGATAAGTGTAGACAACTGGCTCTGAAACCCTCCGTGAAACCTTTGATGATGTACTGGGATATACTTAACCAGAACGCTGTCGCTGACCTCTTGTCACGTGACTATTGATAATATCCCAACGGTTCACAGTGAGCTGTACGCACGAGCAGAAATTGTCAAGCAAAGATGTCAGATAATATGAACTAGTCAGCTGAGTTTACTCAGACTGCTTATTACCACCCTATGCTGTACCTTTTTGAATGCTTCCAAAGTACTTGATTAAGTTGTATCACTTTGTACTAATGTGACATCGTCCGTCTTCTCAACTATCTTCTTGCCACCAGTAGCTGGATCTATAACCGTTTCAATTCTGCAAATCGTCGCCAGTTATTTACGCCCTAATTGAGTCAAGTATATCAGCTTTTTAGCGCCTCCCGGATTCACTTCCTCTTGCATTTAATATTTCAGCTCCCAACATGAACTTTGAGCTTACAACGGAAAACTGATCAAGATTCCCATGAAATAATAACACTGCTCAAAAGTCCCGGTCGGTTTCTTTGCGCCTCTTCAATTGCCTTAAAACATCTCAACAGCATTGTAATGTCGAGAAACCTCCACCGGAATTCACCACTCCATTCCAAAAAACGCTGTCATCATAGTTTGAAGTACTTGTCTATTCTTGCACAACTCGGCTACATAATGGCACTAGTAGATACATTAGTTTTACATGTCTAAAGGTTATTTTGAGGTCATATACGTTGTCGAGTGTCTACACTCGAGGGTATCTTATCTTGGTGAAGGATTATTAAAACGAACAAATAGGTTGGACGGAGGCAATCGAGAGAAGATTATCATGAACTTGGACGCATGGTCCAGTATCTTCGTCTCTACGTTGCCGAATATCAAATTTTGTGGCCTGTTAGTTGAACTACTTCATGGCCAGAACAAGTCATGCAAACCGGAAGGATCAGTAGCGTTGTTAGCGATGGCGATCGATAGCAGTAGCTGTGCTTGCACAGGTGAGAAGAACCCTCCAGCAATGGAACCGGTAGGAACATCATCGTCAAATACAGGCTCTGAGTCATCGGAAGTGTAAACGATGGGCACAGAAGGCGATTTGAACTCGCTTGTGGTCGAATTTCCAGATGACACAACAACGAGACCTTTGACAGAGCTGCTGAGGGAGTTGATTAGCGATGGGTCGAAGTAACCGTCGTAGACTATAGGAATGGTTGGAGCAGAAGAGTTGAAAGTTTCGTTCCCGGTTGTGATGTCAGTGAAATTGCTGAATTCGTAGCGCAACGTGGTGTCAGGCGACAAGAAGGTTGGCCATGCAGGAGTGAACCAGAACCATGGCTCGCCTTCATAGAAAGAGCCAATCTTGCCTGCATGCGGTTTGGAGGCAGTGTAAATGGCACCGGAGTAGATGGACGTCTTTTGGGTGACCAAAACACCGCGCCACCACGACTCGTCCGACCATGCCACCTGGATACCGGTGTCGACATCGTCAGTGACAATTAGACTCTTGGGAGAGTCAGTCACGACGCTGAGGAAGAAACCAAGCGATTCCAAGGCTTTTTCAGACCCGAGAATCACCACACCTGTGTATTCGTCACTTTGGAGCGCGCTGGAGATTGAAGCCGCTACACTGTACAAGTGAGTTGCGTTGAGAGACGAAAGGTTGAACAACGTGGTGACATCTACATCTGGTGACTGCGTCCAGTTAGACACCTGGTACTCACCGCCGGTGATGAACACCTGCAACTTGGGCGATGGCCAGCCAACGCCTCCTGGGTACCCGCCACTAGAGCTGTTTCCACCAATGGAGCCGTTTCCACCAATGGAGCCATTACCGCCCACCGAGCCGTTTCCGGTTCCATTCAATCCCACAGAACTGTTCCAGTTTGAAGGGTTGGTCCAGTTGGACCAGTTGGAGATTTGCGTCAAGTTTCCAGGCCATACATCTAGCGGGTCAAAGTCCGAGCTGGTGTCCCGCTTGAAAAGCTCAGAAAGAAACCCGATGGGCGACGCTGTAGCAACAGCCACAACGTATGATAGAGCGAGAGCGGCCTTCATGATGTGTTCTGCTGTCTTGATGATTTTTGATTGGCTGGGTCTAACACTGCTGTCTGCTTTTGAATGTCACTACCTTCATTCACCTGCCCTTGAATGTTGGCTTCTTATACACCCTTATCCCATCGCATACCGGAACCAGGACCACCCCTCCTCATCGTTCTACCCGATTGTTGCTAACAAACTACCACCACAACGAATCCAGTCCAAGCCACTGCTACAAGACTGCTTTGAGACACCCACCAACAAAAATTCTTGACCTTACACTACAACTAGACACTTTCGTCACCGCAATTTGACCCAATCGGGCTATACGTTCTGCGTGTCTTCCCACCCACCCCGTAGATCTATCCACATGGAATCTTTATTTAGCGCCACGAACCGTGGGGAGGCTTTACGTTCCGTTCGCTTCTCAAGCTGAATATGCAGAGGCCTCGATTCATGCTGTCGGTGATGCTGCTGCTGCTGCTGCTGACGCTGCAACTATAAGGCGCAATTGCTACCCATTTGTTGCGATATTTGAAAGATCCCAAAACTTCTAACCCTGGCGCGACCACCGCATAGTAAGCCGACTGCAAAGAAAATTAAATGGATCGGAAGCCAGAATTCGCCTCTACACACCGACGTCTTTACCTCCAATCTATCCCCTCTGCTTGTTGTGTAGTAAGCCCAAACGTGTTTCCATTGCGTCTGTCACCTTGTATGTTTTTCAACTTTACCCTTACGGCGATGCGATGCCCACTGGGATAGATGCTGTCCATTTGACGAAAACGGCTCAACAGGGTGTGGCGGACAACCCGGATCGAGTCTAGAGTAGCAAAATCCCGGATTCGGGGACTAGAAGCCACATCGAGTTCTTGTTCTAGGCAAATAACGTCAAGATTTGGAGTTTTTTTGCAAAAAAAGCCCGGTCTTGTCAGTAACCCAGGTACAACCGGACATAGAGAGAGTGAACTCACATTTTTGTTGAAAAATAAGGTAGGTCTGGGGTAATATCTGCAAGTTTAGAGCGGTTTTCTTGGTAATTAGCTAGGATAGTTTGTTTTCCCCGTTCGACAGCCATCACCCACCCTTTTCTTTCAAAGCCCTTCTTGGCTCCGACCCGATGAGCAGTAACGTCCGCACTTCATCGGCGATCGTTCATCTGACAAGCCTTAGCACCAGTTTATGGGGTGCGTATAGGGCAACTAAAGTTGTGCTACCTATCCGTTTGCGTGAAGCAGGCCATCGCCAGTTTCTCACCAACATTGCATTGGCAGCCACGATCTTGACAAACGTGGTGACCCTGGTGTCGTATGTGAGGGCCAATAACCGTTCTTTGGGACACACCAGCCGGCAAGTGGCACTTCCCCTGGCGCTGGTTCTTGAAACTGTGGTAGCGTTGGTGTACTGGCCCCTGCGTTTGTTTTTCCTGCCACTGATAATGCACAATGTGAAGGACGGCTCCAGAGTCCCGTTACCTGTGCCTGTGGATTGTGCGATCCACTTGCTGCCAGTGTTGTATCTGGCACTTGATTATCTGGCGTTGGAACCGGCTCCGTTCCAGATGTCCACCAAAACGGCATGGTTTGTGGTAACGGCGCTGGGACTTGGCTACAACCAGTACCTCAAAGTACTGATTGACCGTGATGCCGGCGCAGTGTTTCCATACCCGTTTTTGGAAGTCCGAGAGCCTTACAGAAGTGTGATATTCGTGGCCGTCACCAGTATTGCCTGGATCTGGTTTGTGGTTTACAAAAAGATACATAGGGGCGCAAGAGGACAAGTAAAAATAGGCAAAATCAATTGAGGCTGCGGGTGTGGTATTTGCAGTACACACAGATCAAACCAGTCTTTTTGGAGGTGTGGTAAACGTTCGTTCGTTATACAATACGTAGTAGGGCCTATGAACGTCTGTCATATCACTTTGTACCATTCTGTCACGAGCCACTTGGATTTTCGATCCAAGCTGACACGGCGATTTCAAGCAATAACTCACCTGAATAGAACAACCCCGATCGGTATCTCAAGAGTTCCATTGCCCAAATACCCAACGGGATATGTCATCGCTTGATATTACCGAATACCTGCATTTATAGAATTTTCCTCGCACTCGAGAATCCGCCAGAATTTGTGAGCAAATCCCACGTATGCACCAAATTTGCAACTTACAGATATTCATGGTAATTTGTCCTCAACATTGGCACCATCAGCTTGCCCTTGAAGGCTCCTGTCCAACTTACTTGCGGGCCATCGGTGGAGCCCTGGCACTATAAGACGAGATCCGTTACCCGGCCTTACGTGTCGGGTATATAAATAAGACGACTTCTAGCAGATTTTGTCTTCCCTCGCACCACTTTCTTCCCTTTAGAGAATCAACATCATTTTATATCGCTCACGCTGGCCCCATACTTTTGTATTCAGAGGAGAAAGACAGTATTTCTAGTTTCTTCAGGTTTTGGGGGTCGGCAAGAAGCGTAGACCAAATTATAGATCGTTGCTGGGCGCCTGGTGTTGATTTTTCTCGTAAAAATAGGAAATACTGGGAATCAGCTGATTCTACATGCTTAAAATTGTTCTTGTAATGTAATTATATGTTCTTGGTGTTGCGTTGTGTCTGAGAGCGTTGAGATTTGCTCAAAACGGCTTTTCTTGAAAACCTTGAAGCTATATTTCGAAAAGTGTGTTTGCGTGTGTGATGTACTTTCTGAGCTATGAAGGCCCATTACAATGCGTTCTTCCGCGTTAAATAGTCGAACCGCGAATACGTGTACCCAATGAAGGGCAGATCTTCTTTGCTTCCCGGGTTGGCAGCAGCACCGCCTTGTTGCATCATCTGCTCTCTTTGGCGTGCAGCCTGAGCCATCGCTGGGCTGTCCGGTACGTTTTCCAACTCGTCCGTGGGGAAGAATCTAGTGTCTGTAATGCTGCTTAATTTTGGAATGTAGGGCGCCTCTACTAATCGGATGCTGTTCCAATCAACACCGCGGAAAAATGGATGGTTTTTGATCTCATCGGCTCCACCGTGTCTGCCGAGTCTTTGGTCTGCATGTGTTAAAAACCTGCGTATCAAGTCTTCTGCCTCGTATGAGATATGAATGTCGTCTGGGAACTGCAACGTCTGCTCAAAATTCATAATCTTACGGTAGGTCTCTTGAGGTGTTTCGGAGCAAAATGGAGGCCACCCAATCAGACATTCGTACATGATTGCGCCCAGGGACCACCAGTCACATTCTTGACCGTAACCCTGGTACAAAAAAATCTCCGGTGCAATGTAATCGGGTGTACCAACTGTCGAATATGCCATTAGCCTACGCGACTTTCTCCAGGTCTGTATTTGTTGTCTGTTGGTCATTGTCAGATGAATGGCATCCACAAACATGGTGTTACGATTTTTGCCTGAATTGTTGGCAGTTATCCCCATCTGTGGTTTTTGAAGGTTGCCTGCTGCTGCGTTCACCTCATCTTGCTGCAAAAGCTTCTTATAATATTTTGAGTCATGAGTCTTATGGAACCCAGTAGAAAGTCCGAAATCGGACAGTTTAATGTGGCCTCGTATGTCGATCAAGATGTTATCCGGCTTGATGTCTCTGTGAATAAAACCAAGTTTATGAATGGCCTCAATGGCCAAAATGCATTCTGCCATGTAAAATCTGGTTACATCTTCTGTGAAGATTTGCCATCTAATAAGCATGGTCATCAAATCACCACCAGGCAGAAATTCCATAATAAGATACAGATATTGGGTGTCCTGAAAGGAGTAATATAGTGATACAACCCATGGTGAATCGCTGCCTGCCAAAACATCTCTTTCGGCCTTTACGTGAGCTAGTTGATCCTTCTTGTACATTTCTGATTTCAGCAACGTCTTCATCGCATATATTTTACCAGTGTCTCGTTTCTGGACCAGTCTAACTTCACCGAATGCACCTTTACCAATCACCTTCACCGTTTGGAAATCTTCCAAAGAAAGTCGAGTACGACGTAGTCGCAGAAACTGTGATTCTTTTTTGCCCAGTGTAGAAAGCTGTCTACTTTTACGTTCATCAGACCAGTCTTGAGATACCAGTTGATTCTCAAGTTCGACACGTCTTTGGTTGCGTTCTATGGCGTAGTTGACTGAAGATTGGTAGAAATTTTCAATTTTAAGCTTGACTGTGGCGGCTTTATCTTGAATGGATTTTGAGAGCAGATCGGGACGTCTTTCAAAATACATGTAGTTAGAAGCGGGCGGCGCAGCGGCAAGACGTTGCTGCGAATCACTATTTGGAAGGCCCTGGAGGCCTCTGACAGGGCTCTGCTGGTGTACGCTAGCGTTTGAACCATATTGCTGGGCATGCTGGGGACTGGCTATGGCCTGGAAGGAAGGGCCATGTTGTGGACTTTGCCTAGTGTTGTTATATTGGGAGAGATGCTGCGGACTTTGCAAAGTATGATTTTCCGGTGGGTAGTCTGACGTCACGGAGTACTGTCCTGGTGAGACCTGCAGGTTTGGATAAACGTTGTTGCGCAAGTTACTTTGGGAATTGTTGCCGTGGCTATAGAGACTGGGAGCCGCGTTATTGTTGTTGTTAAGGTTGTTGTTATTGCCATTCCCGAATGTGGTCATTGCCGGTGGGGTATTCAACACGTTTTGGTTGCTGGGCGATGTGTAATTTTGCTGGGACGTGGTTGGAGTTGATGGATACGACAAACTGGGTACATCAGCAAACCCACCGCCCACCGGTTCAGCCTGGTTCTGGAGATGGCCCTGCAAAGACGGATGCGAGCCCTGTTCCCTCAGGTAGTTAGAGCTGAAAGCCGTCGCTGGTGGTCGCGACAAGGAGTTGTACGATCCATTTGATGCTCTTGGATAGTGGATTGGATCTTCATCATTACTATTGTAGTTCCCGCTGTACTGGTCCGTTTTCATCCCGGAAACTTCGTACCCCGGATTGGGTTTGGTGAACTCGTTGTTGTATCCATTAAACATACTCCAATGCTTAGCCTTTCGGGCAGTTATGGCTCGAAGAAGTGGTACAAAATGTTATGATCTTTAAACAAGTTTGGTTATAACTTATCATTATGTACTATTATTATTTTCCAGCCAGCGCGTCGTACGGGTAACCCGTGTTGATTTTTCAAGATAATTTAATAGTAGTAAAGCCATCATCATCCATCATCTATAAGATAGACAGCGATCAACGCATAAGCATAGGCATGGGTCTTCCTGATAGCGTTAGGCTCAATCAAGGCTCTTCTTTATATAGATTTCAAAACCTTTCTTGATTATAGCATCTTGTTGTTACCTATTTAGTTACAGATGGGAACAATGTCAGGTTTGAAAAATGACCAAAACGTGCGAAAAGAGTAGTAGTAAAACTGGATAGTATAAGGAGTAGCACAGAGCGCACAAGCTTAAAACTGTAGAGCTTGTCCCTTTTGCTTTTTCTCACCACCCAACTCGAAGTGCTTGCATCTCTTCAAGCAGAGCTGGGCTCTGGTCTTGCAGGCAACACATTCCAATCTCAACACGACCTTCTTGGTAACCTTGGCTTTCTTGTGGAAAACAGGCTTGGTCTGACCACCAAAACCGGACTGTTTACGGTCGTAACGTCTCTTACCCTGAGCGAACAAGGAAGCCTTACCGGCCTTGTACTGGGTGACCTTGTGTTGGGTGTGTTTGCGGCATTGCTTACCCTTGCAGTAGGTCCTTCTGGTCTTTGGAACGTTAACTGGACAGAAGGGTTAGTATAGGGAAACGGGGTTGTAGGTGTTGCTGTGGATTGGAGAAAACGGGCGGGATAGTCGACAAAAAGTGCGGGTGCGCGTGCGTGCGTGCGCATCGACGTCTCAAATTGGTAATTTTCTTTCTGGTTCATCCCAGTGAGCTGATTTTGTTCGTCATATCGATTGGTGAGCCTCCCTTGCAAAATGGACCGTTTAAATCTACTACAACCATGCCACTGTCTTTCGGAGGACTCAAAACAAGTTGCATTCTACTTCACAGGTCCCGTTATTGTTCTTGCTCTTGCTCGTATCTGACCACTTAATTTTCGGTTTCTAGCCCATCGAAAGCACTTCTGGCTCATCCCGTAGGTTTCTCCCCTCGCTTATGTCCCACCTGAATCTATTAGCTCGTCTTTTGACATACCCATTGCGACTGATACTTCTTTACTTGGTGGTAAACTGTTTGAATGCGAAACGCTATTGAACTGTGTTCAAATGAACAATATTGAAGATCGTAGCTAGTTTTCCACTCCTGGCAAGAGTGAGCTGAGTGTAGCGAGTTGGGTCTCCACCAGGGCTAGGCAGACTCCTGGGAAGGACTCCCCGTCTATGGACGGAAAGAAGTGACCGAGCTAGGCGGAGGTCCGTGCTGGGGCCATGGGCTGGAGGGGGGATTCAATCTGCCTAGCCCTTTAATACACACTGACCACCACCACCATCACCGCAACTCTGCCAAGCATAGATTGATTTGGTTACCTGTATTGAAAGATTTATTTTCTTGTTATTTGGAAATGTATGGGTGTTGTGAAAAGAAGCAGTCACAAGAGAAGTAAATATTGGCATTTATACGTGTATAGTGATAGAAGTGTCACGTAATGGCATTGGGCTAGGCAAGATATGTGCAGTTTGAAACGAGATGTATTGCTATGAGGATTTTACGGGAGCCTAAACTTACTTTCAACTCCACAAAGTATCAACACATTACCGAAAACGGTGAATTTGAACATCACGTTATACGTATGTGACATGTCCACATAATGACGCATTCAGACCACAAAACAAGAACAGGTGCATTTACGCATTACCTGTCTTTTCGTTTGGCACTCCAAACGATAGCACACTTTTTCAAATATGATCTACAATATGTGTTCCGTCGTCGTCCGTAATTACCACGTGACCACGAGCTATTTTGGCGTCTCACTAATTTTCGTGAACCGTTCTACAAGATATGCATCAAGTTTCACAAAGCTCGAGGTTTTGTAGACATCGTCAACTCTTCTCAAACGCCCACCAGGTGTTGATAGCCCAGCAATTTCAATCCACATCAAAAGCCAAACACTAGGCTGTCGTATCGTGCATCTGTGCTGTTCATTCCAGCTCAAGGCTGATCCAATAATTTAAATTGAGCTGTCTATATATAGATCGAAGCTCATCGCGTAACTCACAGGTCTCCAAATTCTCACAACCAGCACCGTTTATCAATGGGCTTTGGCAACTTTGCATCAATTTGTTCCAAGACACCGCTGCCATTGTGCTCGGTGGTCAAATCATCGACACATTTGCTCCTCAGTGATGACAAAACCGTACACGATTTTGATCCAAGCGGCCTTACAATGGGTATTTTGCCTCGATGCTATGCACGTTCCATTGATGTGGCAAACACGGTAGTCTTCCAAATCGGTAACGCCTTTGTTAATATTGGTGCTTTGGGAGTAATTCTCTTCATGATTTACTCCACACGCAAGAAATATACTGCAATTGGCAGATCCGAGTACAGTTTTCTGTTCGAACTGTGTCTGGGTCTTATCGTGTTCACCCTTGTGGTCGATTGTGGGGTGTCTCCGCCCGGTTCGGCATCATACCCGTATTTCGTGGCAGTTCAGATAGCATTCGCGGGCGCCTGCTGCTGGACAATGGCTGTGTTAGGATTTCTCGGGTTCCGGTTCTGGGAAGACGGTACTCACAAATCGATGGCTTTGACAAGAGGCTCCGCTTTCATCGGCTTCGTGGTTAACTTTCTCGTTGCCATTTTCTCGTTTCAAGCATGGAAGTCCTCTTCCACGTTCACCAGCTCCAATACTATGGGTCTTTTCATCGTCATGTATGTGCTAAACGCTCTGGCACTAGTATGTTACATTATCTGTCAGCTGCTGGTATCATTTTTCGTGATCAGTAACTTTTGGGCTGCAGGTGCTGTGCTACTCGGCGTTTTCTTCCTGTTTGCCGGCCAGCTTATCATTTATGCATTTTCTGCCGCAATTTGCACCGGTGTGAAGCATTACATTGACGGGCTCTTTTTCGGTAGTCTCTGCAACATTTTTGCCCTAATGATGGTGTATAAAACATGGGATATGACCACGGATGACGATCTCGAGTTCAGCGTTAGCGTTCACAAAGGTAACAACCAAGAGGTAAACCATATGCTAAGCTACAATTTCTGAGTCCCCAACTCGAAAACTCCAGGCATATAAAACGGACAAAAACCATGTAAACTATACAAGTATAGACATTTTAGCATCTAAATCGCAACCCACGGGCTTGAATAAACCGCACACTTTCCCTCAGCACTCATATTTCATGGTATGAACTACGCTACGGTTTCTTCTTGTCCTCCTGCTCTTCTTTTCGAAGCCGTTTCTTTGCTGCATCTAATATCTGTGAATCTTTGGTATATACAATGTTGTCCATAACTTCACGCTCATTGAACGGATAGCTACATTTCAAATTCGTGCAAAGGACCAAACTGTAGTTCTGCTGGATCAAACATTTTTGAAGCTCGCCGTCACACTGGGGACATTTCGTATCTACCATCAACGTCAACGTTTCTCAGTATTCAAGCTAATTTGCTAAATTAACAATAGTTTAAAGAGAATAAAGTTCTTGATCATTACCAGAAACTAATCATCCGGACTTGACCTCCGAAAGTGCCCAAAGATGTCGAGAGTGGGCCCAGAAACGTCTAAAAGACTACAGAAAGATCCATCATGTATCAGAAACATTTGCATATTAGCACATGTGGATCACGGTAAGACTTCATTATCAGACTCGTTGCTAGCATCTAATGGCATTATTTCCCAAAAGCTTGCGGGTAAAGTGAGATTTTTAGATTCTAGACCAGATGAACAACTGCGTGGTATAACGATGGAATCTAGTGCCATTTCACTGTATTTCAGAGTTTTGCGCAAGCAACCGGGTAAAGAAGACCCTTTAGTCAATGAGCACCTTATAAATTTGATTGATTCTCCCGGCCACATCGACTTTTCCAGTGAAGTTAGCACCGCTTCCAGACTTTGTGACGGTGCTGTTGTGCTTGTCGATGTAGTTGAAGGTGTGTGCTCACAAACCGTTACGGTTCTCAGACAGTGCTGGGTTGAAAAACTCAAACCAGTGCTAGTGCTGAACAAAATGGATCGGTTAATCACAGAACTCCAATTGAGTCCTCAAGAAGCGTATTTACATTTGAACAAGATCATAGAGCAGGTGAACTCTATCATCGGCTCTTTCTACAACGGCCAACGACTGCTGGACGATCTGTCATGGCGGGAACAGCTTGAAGACAATCAAGCGGCCGAATTTGTTGAAAAGGACGATTCTGACATCTACTTTAAACCAGAGAACAACAACGTCATTTTTGCTTCGGCCATTGATGGCTGGGGGTTCAATATTGGTCAATTGGCCAAGTTTTATGAACAGAAACTTGGGGCAAAGAGAGAAAACTTACAAAAAGTGCTATGGGGTGACTTCTTCATGGACCCTAAGACTAAAAAATTCATTAATAACAAGGGACTGAAAGGCAGAACCTTAAAACCTCTTTTTGTGAGTTTGATTCTAGAAAACATTTGGAAAATCTACAACAACGTCTTAATCGATAAGGACTCAGAGGTGTTGGAGAAGATCACCAATGCTCTGAACATCAAGGTTTCTCCCAGAGACTTGCGCTCAAAAGATCTGAAGAATTTACTTAGAACAGTCATGGGACAATGGCTCCCGGTCAGTTCATCTGTTCTTTTGACGGTTATTGAGAAGGTACCGTCCCCACTTGAAGCCCAAGGCGAAAAAATAGAAAGGATTATAGGTACTGCATCAGGTCATGAATTGATTGATCCTACTCTTCGTGTGGCTATGGAGCGCTGCGACAAGGATGGACCCGTCTGTGCCTTCGTTTCGAAAATGATATCTGTTCCCAGAGAAGAGCTTCCTATTAACGACGGTGCTGTATTGACCCCAGAACAGTTGATGCAAAGGAGTCGCGATGCGCGTGAGAGGGCTCTTAAAGCTGCGAAGGCTGCCGAACAAGCTGAAAGCCTCAAACATAACAATGACGTTGACAAAGACGATGTCAACATGTACAAAAGAGCACAAGAAACCATAGCGACACCCTCTTTGGATGAACAAGCGAAACGTGGAATGAAGAAGCCCTCATCTGACGATGAGTTTCGTGTAGTAACCGAACCAGCGCCTGAGTTGGATCTTGCGTTAGATCTAGGCATCGAATATGAGTCGGAGGCCGGTTCTGGCAGCGATTCGGACGAAGATGGCGATGTGGAGCCTCAATATATCCCAACAGATATTGATGTAAACGACCCACTGAGCTCGATGTTCGAATACGAAGAAGAAGATCCGTTCGAGGCTGACGCTTTGGAAAAAGAGGCTGACGACGCCGAAGAGCTTTTCGAGGAAAGTGATGAAGTTATGATTGGGATAGCGAGGCTCTATAGCGGTACTTTGAAGGTGGGACAGAAAATTGCAGTCCTGGGCCCCAAGTATGACCCTCACAATCCTACAGCCTTCATTGAAGAGGTTGAGGTAACTGAACTGTACATATTTATGGGCAAGGACCTCGTTCCTTTGAAAGAATGCCCTCCGGGCAACATTGTGGGTATCGGTGGACTAGCGGGAAAAATCCTAAAAAACGGTACTATTGTTGACCCAGACGTTCAAGGCGCTAACTTGGTTGGTGTAAATATCCACGTCACACCCATTGTGCGTGTGGCACTCGAGCCAACCAATCCTACACAAATGAACAAACTCGCGCGTGGTCTGAGATTACTGTATCAAGCAGATCCTTGTGTTCAAACCTATGTCGAGGACACCGGTGAACACATTCTTTGTGCTGCGGGTGAACTGCACCTCGAAAGGTGTTTGAAGGATTTGACCGAGAGATTTGCTGGTATCAGTATCACTTCATCAGAACCCGCCATTCCGTACAAGGAGTCATTCTTATCCACACCTGATATGAACCCACCAAAAGACGCAGAACTGGGAAGAGGAACATCTCAAACATATCTTGATGAGTACGCCCTGAAAATCAGAACAGTACCTTTGCCCGATGCGATAACGCAATTCCTACTTGAGCATGAACGCGAAATTAAAGCCATTTCAGAACGCAAAGAGCATTTGGCTGGTGTTGCAGAGTTCAAAGCGTCATTAGACAGGCTTTTTGCTGAAGCGGCTACAAAAGACAAGATCTGGTCTCATTCTAGCGTAGATGTCTCGGCTTTTGGGGGCAAAAGAGTAGGCCCAAACATTCTTATTTCCAATTGTTTGAGGCTCGAGGACTCCTCAAACCTTTCTGACGATGACACTTTTGAATACGGAAGCTCGCTCATCAATGGGTTCGAACTGGCTGTAAATCAAGGTCCACTTTGCCATGAACCTGTGCAGGGGATGTGCGTCTTCGTAGAGGACGTTCATGAAATGAGTCATGAAGAGATCCAGAAACTGAGCGTTCAAAACCACCAAGTCGGGCTGCCCAATTTTGCAGGGCGGCTGATCACGACCATGAGGGATTCTATTCACACGGCCTTTTTGGATTGGTCACCACGTATAATGTGGGCGATGTATCAATGTGACATTCAGGCATCCGTCGAAGTCCTGGGTAAAGTCTACGCGGTCGTGCAGCAAAGACGCGGTCGTATTGTGTCCGAAGAAATGAAAGAAGGTATACCACTCTTTCAGATTGAGGCGAGGATTCCAGTTGTTGAGGCTTTCGGCTTTAGTGAAGATATTCGTAAAAAAACCTCTGGCGCAGCCCAACCACAGCTGGTTTTCGCTGGTTTCGAGGCCATTGATCTGGATCCTTTCTGGGTTCCCACAACAGAAGAGGAGCTAGAAGATCTAGGCGACATCGCCGACAAAGAGAATATTGCAAGGAAGCATATGAACATGATCCGCAGGAGAAAGGGACTTTTCGTGAACGAAAAGTTGATTCAGAACGCTGAAAAGCAGAGAACTTTGAAACGTTGATCGCTAACGTTGGATCCCCCCGGTGTTTTGTAGTCTTCATACACTCTTTTGATGGCTAACGCTGTGGATCGTGCAGAGGTATGTAGGTTATAAGAACTCTAGGTTATTGCCCATCATCAGTGAAAGTAAGCTCATCGCCAGAGCATTTTGATCAATACGTACAGTCTAGAGACCTTTAAGCCATCGAATCGATGTCTTTCTCCAAGAAGACATCTGCTGATGGAATTCCGGAAGATGAGCGTGGCGATTTCAACGCAATGATGCAAGAAGGCGTGAAAGCGTTGACAAACATGCTAACAACACATTTACAGGAGGATTCTGGACGTGGAGAGCCTTCTTCAAAGTACACAAGTTCTAGAGAAAGTTCTAAAAGTAAAACTGACACTCAAAGGCTTTTGGAACTCATCAAAACCGAGAATTTCGAGAAAATGGATAGCGATGAGCTGGTGGAATCAATACAGAAAAGTCGCGGGTCCGACGAATTGGTCCCCAGAGCAAACCAGACTCATCTTGTAGGTGTTTCTCAAGAAAGGATAACGGAAGTGGTTGATGCTGGCTCCAGCGCAGGTCACAGACAAGAACGAGATATGGACCTGCACAAGATGGCAACGCCGATGACGAGCGAGAAAGACCAGATAGTCTTTGACACGGGGGAACACGAGCTGTTGTCTTTTCCAGAAGAATTCAGCGATAATCTCAAAAAAATGGTAGCCTCCAGTCTTGCCCAGCACGCTCCGCATGGAAGCCAGCCGAACATTGATTTTGATTTCGATGTGGACGTGGACGTAGACGTAGGAGGAATGGACATGCCTATGGACATGGACATGGCTGGTCGGACTGACGAACCAGCTCTACCTCAGCCTTCATCTGCATCTCGTCCACACTCGCATTCGCACTGCTGTCACGAAAATCGCGACGCATTCCAGTATCCTCGTGGCCCTAGAAGTGCGCCGGACTTCTCAAAACTGATCAACAACGACAGGCCAATGTGCTTATTCTGTGAGTACTACGTCGTATTCGGTGAACCACCGAAAAACATGATACGATGGTTTGACAGAGTACGAGGCCAAACAGCAGCATCTACACATTCGCCTCAACACACGCAGCGATGAGTCAAAATGCGCTGAGTGTACCTTAGGGCCTTTTGAGACGGTCCTGAGACCACTTTCATGACGTTGGACGGTCTTTTGGGCTGGCAGATTTGGAAATTTCTCACTTTTTACGTTTTTTCACCAGCGGTTGGACCGTCAACCAGCCTTATTGTTTGTTTACGGTTCACGAAAAGTAAACAAACATTATAAGTCAAAAGTTCATAAAGCTGGGCTTTAAAATTTGAGCATCAACAAACAAGCGAAGTTCAGCAGTGATACCTGAGAAGTAGGCGTGCTGGTTCAAAACACGCAAATCTTTCAGTTCAGGTGAAGTCATCAGCAATGGTGCATTGGTTTGCATTTCTTTGAGCATCCTTCATGATGCTTAGACCAAGGTCCAAGTATGACGAGCATAAACCAGCACAGCAAGTCCGGCAAGGCTTCAAAACAAAACAGTACAGCCAGCACTAGCTTGCATCTTTGGAGCAAAAATTCAAGTGGCTGACGGAGTATAAAAAGAGGACGAGAATGTAGTTTAGTTGATTTGATCAGAAACACTCTTAACACACCAAACAATATTCATTCTTTTACCCCCACAACCAACCCCCGCTTTCCTGCCTAGCTCCCGGTGACTGGCCCTATAACTATCTCGATTTTTTTTCAGCTGCGTTCATTCCTTCCTTTATCGACTCGTTCGCTCTACATTCGTTTTTTCAACTTCAGCCATTCCTTCGTTTTATCCGATGCAATTCTTCAAAGCCGCCTCAGCACTCGCTTTCCTAACCTCGCTTGTCCAAGCGGACTCCGATGTAAGATACATCACATCTAATGGTGTAGTGTACAGCTTCGCAGTTGTCACTAGTACTATCAGACCTGCAACCACTTATTTGAGTACTTTGTACTACACAACTACAGAAGTGGTTCCAGTGACATTGGCTAATGAGGTTATCTCATCGTCTACAAAAGCGGTCACGAAGACATCTACAATGTCAGTCACCAGCTCGGAAACCGCAGCACCGGCAAGTACTCAGGAGAGCTCGAGCCCTTCTTCGAGTTCGAGTTCAAGCCCAAGTTCAAATCCTGGTTCTAGTTCAAGTCCTAGCTCCAGTTCTATCGCGAGCTCCAGTTCTATCGCGAGCTCCAGTTCTATCGCGAGCTCCAGTTCTAGCTTCAGCTCTAGTGCTACCTCCAGCTCCAGCTCTAGCTCCAGCTCCACATCCAGCTCTAGCTCCACCTCCAGCTCCACTGCAAGTTCCAGCTCCATTTCTAGTCCTAGCTCCAACTCCGCCTCCAGCTCTACTTCCAGTTCTAGTGGTATCACCAGCACTTTAAGTCCCTCTTCAAGCTCCATGCAAAGCTCAAGCTCTTCACAATTACCAAGCCGCACTTCTAGCTCTGGCGTAACGACTCTTTCTAAGTCTACTGTCACACCATCCCCCTCTACTTCTTCAACACCTTTTTCTTCTCTCTCACTGACAGAAGATGCCTACACCACTCAATTCGATGAAGACGGATCGTGTACGGTGTACTACGACGATAGTGATTATTACACTACGATTTACTTGACAGACCCTGGCCAGTCTGTAGATGCGTTCACCACATACACTAGCACCAGCACAGTGTACCAAACCCTCTCACTTTAGAAAAAGTGGATTCTATACTTACAGGGCGGGCAATCTGTAACGACACACAACAATGTACATTAATCATATAATATAATAAGAATTAAACGGTTACCTTGCGCTGAGGCAGGTTCTGTAATGTTTGGTGAACTCCCACCGAACCAATTATACACTAATAGTGCAGTAGCAACTATACCATCATGGGAAACCCTGGCCCACCAAAACTCGTGGATGATCTTTTGTCCTTACTGCACTCAATTTCGTGCAAAAACAAGCACATACTGGTGAGCACTAGCGTGTCCCTTGGTATGTTACGTAGTCCCTTGCCGCACAATGCCTTTTCTTGAATGTGGAAATCCGCACGGTGAAATGTACGTTTCTTGGGCACTATTGATCTACGTTTGTCGCTGTAAGATCCCCAAACTGGCAGCTGAGAAACAGTTCGCAGCGGGTGAGCATGCGTGCAAGCTTTGTTGTATTCCGATTCCGTGGCGTAATCTGCAAATGACGGCATATCGTCATCGAGCACTCGCAGTTGAAACTCGCCAGTGCCAGTTAAGAACGACAAACCCGAAGTTCCATGCCAACGCAACCGAATCCCGTCCATGATAGCATCACAGTTTCTTTGCATAACATGAGCACTTAAACGCACCGTGAAGCGATTGTGATCGGACTTATTATCGATAGAGAACACAAATCGGTATTCTACCTGGCTCGTTGTCGAATCCATATGTTGGAATACCTGGCAAAAGTCCAGACAAAACACCCGTAAGTTCCCAGACGCGGCTACTTGCCTGCAGTGTTCGTTTTCACAATAGTGGTCTTCTACCTCGGTATCCACACCAATGTCAACGACGGCGTAACGTTGAATTTTCATCACTGGTGCACTATGGCTGGTCATCGATTTTAGAAACCCGGGTCTTGTGGCGTGTAAAAATGGAAATCCTAGTGCTTCTTCGTCTGAAACTGTATCCAGTCGACGATGGTTGAGCCTGAATGCTTTCAGAGCATCGTCACTCGGGAAAGCGAAGAGTCCGTTACCCATAACGACAGACACGAATGGCACATCTCGTTGATCCTCAAAGTGAGGACACTTGTTTCGCACTTCGAGACCATTACCAGCATTAGCATGATCGTTGGCATCGTCAGCTTCATCAGCTTCATCGTCCTTTTCGACGTTATCGTCGTCATCATTATCATCATCAACACCTTCCGTAAGCTGTAAATCGCTGTCCAGAGGGTCTTTCACCACGGAAACTTCCAACAAAGGGTGTTTTCGCTTCACCAATCGCGTGAACCTTTTCATCTCAGCGTTATGGCTGTCTTGAGGATCATTATCGTCTACTTAGAGGAGAAACCCTTAAAATCTTCGTCAAGTTGATGAACTTTAAAGATCTTGAATAACATCATCAACTTTCAAGATCTGCAAACAACATATTTTAGAGGTGAAAACACTAGACTTGAGCCCGATAAAGTGAACAAGAGTGCTGTAGCGCTGCTAGTGAATAATTGAGGAACTTATCAGAAGAAAACGCGGTTCGAAAAGGCCCATTTTCGATTATTTTCAAGGTTAAACAAGAAACGAAAGTTCCGGGTGAGATGGACCAGGCAGAGTTGCGGAAACGTATGTCTCAAATTGAGCTTGAGATCGAAGAAATGAACAGTGTGATTGACGAGAACTTGCAAATCGGGAAAAGCGAGAATTTGGACGGAGAAATGGACAACAGCCCGGTGGATGAAGACAAGTTGGATGATAACAAGAAGATAGATGAGAGAAAGGAGCTACGAGCCAAGTTTCTGGCCAATTGCGAACGTGCGACAAAGAGTGCAGGGCAAAGTGCAGGGCAAGACGCAGTGGAAAACCCAGTAGAAAACGCAGTGGAAAACGCAGTGGAAAACGCAGTGGAAAACGCAGTGGAAAACGCAGTGGAAAACGCAGTGGAAAACGCAGTGGAAAACCCAGGGAAGACAAATGGGGATATCGAAAAACCAAAAACCAATGTAGAGTCTACGAAAATGACTGTTAAAGAACCGGAGGTACCGGCACCTTCAATTGCGCACCCCAACGATGATAAAGACCTTAAATCCAGTGCTCCGGATGTAAATAAAAACTCTCCACAAGATCCTCAAAATTCCACTTTCAAGAGTCCAGAACCCGTTCATGAGACGTTCGAAGAACAATTTGAGCCCGCCAATACCTCGCCTCAACCGCAAATGCTTCCGAAGACTCGCAAAGCACCCGCTGGCCCCTCCACTACCTCTTCCGGATCGTCCACCACCCGGCATACCTCCAATCCAAGCCCCTTCCGTGTCGTGTCTGTTTCCAAACAGACAGACCATGCTCAAGCGCAAAAACTCGAGACCCGTCACCACTACCTCACTGGCAAGTGCACCAAATTACAGCGAGAGATTCAATATCTCACAGATTTGCGAGAACGTGGTGCTTTGACGCCGGAAGACTCTCGCAAAATCTCTGGCGCTCTACAAAAGCTACAGGAATACCTAGATCGCAAAACTAAGGAACGTTACGAGGTAGGAGTTCTCTTAAGCCGGCAATTAAGACGGGAAATCGATCGTGGTGAAAATGGTCAGTTTTGGGTCGGAAATTAACCCCAAAATGTCGTTACAAAACCCCTGAATACCCTCACCACTCTTGAATGTTTCTCGAATTCCAATTGCTCACGCATTGTTGAATCGTCCTCTGATCTTACCGATTTGTCTCTATCGCGATATCTCAAATCACTTTGTACTAAATGATGAATCTTTTTTCCAATAATATTCAAAATTTTATGCATATATACTATAGTGAACTTACACAGCTCATCGCTTGAACTGTTCCTCTATTTCATCGTTCCAAAGGGCCCGCCTTCCATCTTTTTGTCCATCGTCATCTATTTCTAATGTCCCGCGAAGGTTTTCAAATCCCTACCAATCTTGACGCCGCTGCTGCCGGTACCGCAGCGGCCAGAACGGCTACTTTGAAATATATCTGTGCTGAATGTTCGGCAAAGCTTTCTCTGTCACGGACAGACCCAGTGCGATGCAAGGAGTGTGGCCACCGAATCTTGCTTAAGGCCCGTACGAAACGGATGGTTCAATTTGAAGCGCGTTGAACGTGGTTGGGAGTCAGCAAAAACGCAACAAAGCTTGTAAAATAATAGGTATAATAGACTGCATAGTTCGAAAAAATATACAAAGATGATGTATATCGCATAATTGGAAAGCTCGAGATTTTCGAGAATGGGGCACGGTTCTAGGATGTACTTCTTTTTGGTCAGCATCGCCTTTACACCAAAAAAGTTGAAAAAAATCGAAATATCCTTAGTAAGTTGTTACTTGCTTCCCCCCACCTCAGTGATAACGATCTTCTTCCCTCCTTCTTAACTACTGCCTTCATCTGCACCTCCCAGCGTTCGATTTTCATCAGCTCCCCACTGTGCAGCTGCCACGAACTCTACAAAGTTTAGAACATGTGCAGGTTGAAAGTTCAAAAGCCTGTTTCGTAATACAACGGCCTGCTTCAAACTCATGCTTCCTTGCGATATCGACGCATTTAGCGCTTCGCGTCCCATCCTGAACCATTTCTCCACTTTGCTGCTCGAAAGTTTGCAGTTGTGCAACGACAGTGCCAGTTTGGCAAGCATGGGAAACTTTTTCTGATTACGAACCCAGTACTTCACAACGTCAGTGGTTTCCTCCGTTGGCTCGTCCAAATATAAAGCCCACTCGGATCCTAGACCCAGTTCGTGTTCCGTAAAATTTGCTAACGCGGCAGCCTGGTCAGCCAAGTCTAACTCAGAACGTCTTTTGGTGCTTACCGGTTTTGTAACTCGTTTGAGATTCGAGCGTATGGCTCGGTTACCACTTGTCTCTTCCAGCTCAACTACAAAATTATCGCTTTGCGATTTTAAGTGGTGATCGATGTAAGCGGAAGCGTTCTGCAAAACCTCGTCTTTGAATCGTACATCATCAAAACTTCCCGCCAGCTTGGTGGTCTTGTTGTGAGGCTGCAAAATATGTGCGACCCAGTATCCACTCTGCTTCAATGTCCACTCTAGTTGCGGATTAAAGTAGGAGCTGCACGTTGAAATAATCGTAAAAAGATTGTTCTTTGTGTTTTCGTCAATAGTCAAAAGATCTTCATCTCTTAGCCCGACAAAAATAACATCTTGCTCCGCATAGATGCCGCTCAAAATTCTGTCACACGCTTGAAAGTATTGTCCAATTTGAACGTAGTAGTCGATGGCATTAGGCAATATATCGACAGTGTCATCCTGCAAAATCTTGATATAATTACCAAAAATTCCTATTGCCTTGAGGAATATTCTCAAAACTGCAATCTCTTCAGGTGAATACGAGAACACTCTCAATTCATCCGCTGCTGAACCACTCAATTTCTCAAGTCCACCAGTAGAACGGAAGCTACTGAACTCATGTTCAAACTTCAAAAATGTCAGTAAGTAGCGGTACCGTGAGACTGGTCCGGGTTTTAAACGTGATGGGGTTGCAACGTTCAGGAACTTTCGAAATGGTTTTTTCAAATAAGCATTTTTCTGTAGAACCACAAACAGACCATCAATCTTGGCCACAAGTTTGGGGTAGTTTTCTCTGAAGATACGCAGCAAAAGCTCAAGGACATTTTCCAAAGTATGACTGAAACTCCTGATCTCGATCAAATCTTTATCGCCTTCCGCTTGCAGACTTTTTCTTAATTGATCTTGTAGATCAACCAAAATGTTTGATCCAGAATCCGATGTAACGCTACTGATTTTGTGAAGAATCGCATAATCGGAAAGAGTTTGAAGCACGATAGGCAGAATATTTGTAGACTCGTTTCCGATTTCCAATAAATCTAGGACGTGGACGTTAGGACCTGACTTTAAAGTTATGGAGTCTCTTTTCAATGTTTGATCCTCAAGCGCCAGGTTGGGACAAAAGGAAACCATTAAGGCGAGGTAAACTCTGTTTTCAGGTGAAGTCCATGTGTCGAGAACAAGATTCACCAGCGTGCTAGATTGTAGAGTTTCTTTGAGCTGAGCTTCAAATTCATGGAAGTATTCGTCAAGCTTCAAGATCATATCATCTGGGGTCAGAAGAAACTCGCCGTTGCTGAAATTGCATGCTTTCAGAAACTGAGCGAAAGAGTTAGCGGTACTGAGCGGAAGTAGCGAATCGATGAAAACATTCAGTTGCTTTTGAGGAAACTGTTTATTCTGTAGCAAAGGTGCAAGTTCCTTGCGTAATGAGAATGCCTTGCGGGGCGCAGAGGAATTATGAGTTTGTTGATCAAAAGCATTCCCATGGCTTGAAGTTGTGCCTTTCTGTTTCTGATCACGTCCCAGCAGTGACACGAAAAGCTCGTAATCTTCTTTATGGCGCCTGCGCATGTGTTTGATGATATTAGAAGTATTTGCATGACCGTCGAACTTGAACTGCAAGCGACACTGGGAATATTTGCACTGTGCGTAAGGCTTGGAAGTGGGGTATTTTGTAACCCAAATTCCAAACGGTGATAGACGCAACCAGTTGTCAAAACGAGCTGCAGTTTTAGGGTCTACATCGCCGTCATTTCTGACCGATGAGTCCAAGTTCGGACTCAGACAAGGATTTACGCTGAAATTCCGAAAATCGAACCCATATGTGTCTCTGAAATGCTGTTCTGCAAGAGCAGCGTCGTGGTCTGGCGATTCAGCCACCAAGCCTGTGGTGACATGAGCATCGTGGTCATTATGACTGTTCAACTGCGTGATTGCAGCAGCAATCGTTTCCTCGCTCGTGGGGTCCATTCTGTCAGATACGGTGTGTTTCTGCAATCCAGATTCAGAATCCGGACGGTGGTTGGCAAATGCGTTCACTTTGTCAACAATCCCGGTCTTTGTAGAGTCCATTTTGAGAAGGGGGTGTAAGACTTCGAAAACAAGTCAACGGAAATTTCACACTCAGAAAAAGAACCCGGTCAAACAGGCGTCTGATGTTTGGTAGAAGAGTACAATAGCCGCCGATTCCTGAAGGGGATTCCTGAAGGACTCAAGTACTCGGTGTAATCGCGTATTCACGGTGAGTACTTTGACGGTTTTATTTTGTTTTTGAGCTTATAGGTAGTGTGAGTGATGTTTGTTGTCTTGACAAATGATATGAATATTGGATGGGAAATTTATCGTAAACGAGATAATTGGTCACATGTGTGGTTAAAACAGGTTTAGCTGGGTAATGAAGCGCTTAAAAGGTCTGGTATCGAGGGACTTGTTTGAAGGGAAATGGGTGTGGTAATCGTCAGTCAAACTTTAGAGAATGAAGACCCGAAAAAAAGAGTTCGTATATAGTGATATGGGGTTTTGGCATGCTGAAACCGTTGTTAGCGGATCTTTCAGACGTCTGGTCTATTGAGGAGAGAGTTGGGGAGCTTTAAAGAAGGATTTTGAGCTTGAAATAGGCTTCTTTCACGTAAATTGTATGATTTTCGAGCTTTTTCACTAATATAAATATAACTGTGCTAAATGACACGATATTGATGAAGTTCGAGAGACATAGAAAAACGTAATGGTTTCTTTGTATGAGAGGGCTCTATGACTCGATTGAGTGTTATCATTGTCACTGCACACCGTTTGCAGAGTAAGGCGAACAGAATCATACTGTATGTGGGAGGTAAATATCACGTGGTGTGCATGATCAAAACATGGGTTGTGAGCGTTAAGAACACATCTTTGATCCAAAAAGCTTGCTGGCTGGATGGCATCCATATTTAACTTCAATATTCCTGCGATTAAAAGTTTCTCTTGGAATTCGCCAGGTTTGATTGTGATTTCTTCAAAAGTACTGACGCGCCAGCATTAAATGTCACTATGATTTAACACCACTGTACACGACAAAAACATAAAAGTTCACCCGAACAACAACTCGATGGATGACACACCAGTCAAATCTCAATTATCTGCACTCACCGCTGATGACTTGCAAACTGGCTTCATGGCCAGGATAGAGACCACCCGTTGGTACGTTTTTACTCTTTCTGCGCTCGTTCCAAGCAACCAAAAAGGTCTAGAGAACTCGTTCTCACAGACGCTGGCTAGCACATCTCTCGCCAAACATATAGAGCAAGACAAGCAACCTTATTCCTGTGACTTGAACATGGAGGCATCACACACACACCAAGCCATACTTCGATGGATAGCTTCACGTGGCACTTTAGTAGACCAAAAAGAATCAGAAAGAGGCGTCATTTTCAAGTGGTTCTTCAACTACCAACACAAGCGAGTATGACACCAACGACCGCACAACGATGGTCACCCGATTTCAATCTCTCTTACTAGTTTACCGTCGCTGAAATTCGTGAAATGTATAATCATGAGTACATCTGCGAGTACATCGCGGGTGTCTCATAAATATATACAGATTTTAAACTCACCTTGTCAATGAAACAACACAAACCCAGAGAAACACAGTCGAATGCTGACTGGGATCTGCTCTTATTAGCTTAGCTTGTATATTTGCATGTACGTTTGAATACGCACCAAAGTGTGCGTTCGCCACTATTTCTTGGCTTTGTATAAGTGTTTGTGTACTTTTTGCCGCCAATGCCTTATAGACGTTCCCAGTGTAAAGTAACTTGACACTGGCGAAACATTGTGCGACTGGCATTGTATAGCTTGTGGATCGCGATTTGATGACCCAAATACGGGAGACAAGATGTCTAACAGGACCGGTGGCGAATTTGAGGGCCATCAGCTATGAATGAAGGCCATTACAGGGGTAACATACTCAATTGCTTGAAGAACAGTCACCCTTATGGGATCCAAGATGATGTCTCTACGTTATTGTGGCGCCCGCTCAGCACTTTGAGTGATAGTAAGTGGATTCAATCTCAGTTCTCACGTCAAGTTATGTTTTAAGCGATGGTGCTGTCTAGTCCGGGGTTTGCAGCCAATTGAGTGAAGAATGATATCCATATTGAATCAAACGTCCGGCATTTCAACGAGTGCTCTAAAAATTCTCCAAGAATGTTTATTTCTCGATGATGGTGTGATTCAAGCAAATACAAAGCGTTTTCCTTTTGGTTCTTAGGATCATCAACCGGACTTTAGAACCCCAATTCCATGACCATCTGACCCACTGGGTCTCATTCCAACCACTCTACTACCTGCCTTCGTGCTCAAACCTCCCCCATGTGCAACTATGTTCCGATGAGAATAAATCACCAATAGTATGATCAAACATCCTCTCGGCTGCTTGGTATTGCATCAAAATTGTTCAAATTATCACTGTTACTATTAGCAAGCATCCCCGATCGTCATCCAACACTGCGAAACCTCGTTTAACGGAAAATCGGCATCTGATGATTTCGACGTTCGTGGCCCTCTGCCATTGATTTAGAAATCTAGCTACAATGAAGGTGACGACGCTAAGCACATTCCTGAGCGTTGAACGAAGCCTTCGAGTGTGGTCATCGTGCATTACAAACCCGTTGTTGGTATTACCAGCCAACTCATCGCTGACGCTCTCAGTGCTTCCGTTGATGATGTGAAGCGAGTATTCGTACTCGCTGCCACCACACTGGAAACCCGTGACATGCCTCTTAGCACATGAAATGGCCGGCCTTCCTCATTTACCCCAAGTACAGGTCGATCTCTATAATCAATATGCCACAGTTGTGTGTGTTGAATTGGCCTCGCTTACGCTGAGAGTTTTTCCAAGATGTGTCTGACTTCTACCACCTCCACTCGCATCATATATAACAACGATGGCAGTGGTTTCGACAGCCGTAACGCACCGGACTCATTTCAACTCTCAAAGGCGCACGCAATGGGCGAGCTAAACGCAGCACAGTTTTTGGCGCAAGTAGCCCAGGCCACAAATGGCGATATTTATTACACTACGGATTTCAAAGCTGCTCAGTCAGGCGTTTCAGTAGCCCTGCAAGACTTACAGGCTAAGTATGACCACAGCACGGGAACTGTAACGCAGTTGGTGAATAGTACAGATCCATTCGCCACAGTGGTGGAAAACAGCAGTGGAAACACCGTGACCAACGTTTTCACCGATGAAACGACGCTGGTCCGTGGTCTACCCCATCTGTACTCTTTGCAGCGTTTGCCCGTGGTGGTAACCGTGGAATTGCGTTCTCATGAGTACGCAACCATACCTTTGGTTAAAGATTTGGCACATGCAACACTTGTGTCTACTTCGAGTGCAGTGGTGGCTAGACACGCCGTAGCTGCGGTGCAGAGCGCTACAGCTAAGCAACAAGCTGTATTCCACTTTGTGGAGTCTCAGGCGTTGTCGGGATCAGTTGAAGCCATTGCTGCATCCGCTGAAGTAGACAACGAAAAAGATGCAGTTGAAGAGTTGCCTAGATTTGCATACCATAGCTCTGCCAGGAAGCCATCGGTCTTGATTGTCAACCTCTCTCCATACGCACAGGCGTTCGCTGATGCCCTACCTGCTGATGCAGCTTTCCTCGATGTGCACGTATACAGACCATGGTCTTTCGAACAATTCTTCGAACAAGTCCCAGAGTCGGTGCGTAAGATAGTCATTGTGCAGCGTACGAACGGCGCATTCGCGACCAATGGGTTCGAACCTATTTTGCTAGACTTCTTTGCAGACTTTAACACGCTGGTCGAAAGAGGCGTAGATCAACTACTAGTGACCAACGTTGGTGAGCTACACGATATGTCTGTCGCAACTGCAATCCAGAAAATCGTTACTAATGCACTTGCTGAAACACCTAATAACACATTATTTATTGGAAAAGCGTCCGAGACGGCGGCCACTGAACAGGCTATCCAACTTCAATCCTCTATTAAGGGCGTTTTCTCTTTGGAGGATGCTTATTTAAAGGTTCTTCGGCAGTTATTTGCCTCGAACCTCCAGATTTTGAATCAGTATCATCATCCAGATGTCAATGCCACTAGCCCCGAATACGGGTTCGGGTTGGCCTCCAAACAGGACAGCGAGAGACAGCGTCTGCGCGATTTGGTTTCTGCTTCCCTGGATGCTAGCGCTTATCAGTCACCCGAAGGTGCTCGTATTGTGGAGCTTTTGTCTAAATGGCTTCGCTTGAGTGAAAATCAACAGATTGGAACCTCTCTGGAAGATGCCAACCGCACCGCTACCGAGGTATTTGAAATTTTGGAGCAGAACCAGGATTCTAGTGTAGCTTTGAAACTTTTGAAAGCTGCTCCAACCGTGGAAAGCTTTAAATTCGCCTCGAAATGGCTCATTGGATCCGACGCCTGGTCTTATGACTTAGGTAACTCGGGTGTCCACCACGTTCTCTCTTCTCAACAGGACATCAACATGCTCATTATCGATTCGGAGCCGTATGAAAATGTCAAGAACTCCAAATCTAAGCTCAGGAAGAAAGATGTTGGCCTTTACGCTTTGAATTTCGGAAACGCTTACGTTGCATCGGTGGCTGTATACTCTTCTTACACGCAGTTGCTAACGGCTTTAATTGAAGCCTCCAAATTCGCGGGCCCCTCTATCGTTTTAGCATATTTGCCATACTCGTCCGAGCGCGACACTCCTTTAGACATATTGAAGCAGACCAAGAATGGTGTGGAGTCTGGTTACTGGCCACTCTACCGCTACAATCCCAGAGAGGAAAATCCAGATGAAGCTTTCAAATTGGAGTCTTCAGTTATTCGCAGACAGCTTCAAGAATTTTTGGACAGAGAGAACAAGTTAAGTCTCCTAACTCGGAAAAGCCCCGAGCTCGCTAGAAATTTGAAACATGGTGCAAGTGGTGGAATTGAAGCTAAACAACTGAGAAGAGCAAACGCTGCGTACGAGCAGTTACTCGAAGGTTTGTCTGGACCTCCTTTGCACGTTTACTACGCCTCAGACGGTGGGAACGCTGCAAACCTGGCCAAAAGGCTAGGGTCTAGAGCTTCTGCTAGAGGATTAAAGGCTACAGTCCTGTCCATGGATGATATAGATTTTGAGACTTTTCAAGACGAGCAAAACGTCGTTTTCGTAACGTCAACTGCTGGTCAGGGTGAATTCCCACAGGATGGTAAGGCTTTTTGGGATCAGCTCAAGGCTTCTTTGGATTTAGATTTGGCCACTCTCAATTTCTCTGTTTTTGGGTTAGGTGATTCTCTATACTGGCCTCGCAAAGAAGACAAGCATTACTACAATAAACCAAGCGCGGATCTTTTCAAAAAACTGGAGCTTTTGTCCGCCAAGCCACTAGCTCCGTTAGGTCTGGGTGACGATCAGGATGCTGACGGTTACCAAACTGCTTACAGTGAGTGGGAACCAAAAATATGGGAGGCGCTTGGCGTGTCTGGTGCCGCTGTCCCAGACGAACCTAAGCCAATCACCAACGAAGACATGAAGATAGGCTCCAATTTCTTGCGTGGTAACATCGCAGAGGCTTTAGTTGATGACTCTACTGGTGCCATTTCTGCCACTGACCAACAACTGACCAAATTTCATGGGATATACATGCAAGATGATCGTGATATCAGAGATACTCGGAAGGCTCAAGGTTTAGAGCCTTACTATATCTTCATGAGTAGAGTAAGACTTCCCGGTGGTAAAGCTTCTCCCGAACAATGGCTTATTCTTGACAAGTTGTCCGATAAGACAGGTAACGGTACCATAAAAATCACGACCAGAGCTACTTTCCAGCTGCACGGTGTTGTGAAAAAGAATTTAAAGCACACAATAAGAGCCATGAACTCGACCCTCATGGATACTGTTGCTGCTTGTGGTGACGTCAACAGAAACGTCATGGTGTCTGCTCTTCCTGCAAATGCAAAGGTTCATAAGCAAGCTTCTGATATTGCGGCGAGAATCTCGGAGTATCTTCTACCGCAAACAACGGCATATCACGAAATTTGGCTGGAGGGTGCCGATAAAGAGGACGACGACCCTAACTGGCCTTCTATTTTTGAAAACAGAAAGGAAGGTCCTACCAAGAAGAAGACCCTGGTCAGCGGCAATGCTCTCGTTGACGTTGAGCCATTATACGGTCCTACTTACTTGCCTAGAAAGTTCAAGATCAACATGGCTGTGCCCCCTTTCAATGATGTTGATGTGTGGTCGATCGACGTTGGTTTGATCGCCATTGTCGATGAAAGCACTCAGACAATCAAGGGTTTCAACTTGTACGTTGGAGGTGGTATGGGTTGTACTCATAACAACAAGAAAACGTATCCAAGAACCGGTTCTTCTTTGGGTTTCGTAAGCGCAGACGAAGTTCACATCGCTATTGAAAACGTAATGATTGTTCAAAGAGACAATGGTGATCGTGCGAATCGTAAGCACGCTCGTCTGAAGTATACTGTTGATGACTTGGGCGTCGATGTTTACAGACAGAAAACGGAAGAACTCTGGGGTAAGAAGTTCGGTCCTGAACAACCTTACGAAATCAAATCTAACATCGATTACTTTGGATGGGTTAAAGACGAGACGGGGAAGAACCACTTCACAATTTTCATCGAAAATGGTAGAGTGGAGGACACACCCGATTTGCCTCAAAAAGCTGGTCTTAGAAAGATTGCACAATACATGCAAGAAACGAAGAGCGGTCACTTCCGTTTGACCGGTAATCAACACGTTGTGATCAGCGACATCACCGATGAGCATTTGGCTGCGGTCAAATCTCTCTTGAACAAGTATAAGCTCGACAACACTAACTTCAGTGGATTGAGGCTTTCATCTGCGGCCTGTGTTGCTTTACCTACTTGTGGTCTTGCGATGGCCGAATCTGAGCGTTACTTGCCTGTTCTTATCACGAAGTTGGAAGACATTTTGGAACAGTACGGGCTGCGTCACGACTCGATCGTGATGAGAATGACCGGTTGTCCAAACGGTTGTTCGCGTCCATGGTTGGCTGAAATAGCCTGCATCGGTAAAGCCCCTGGCACCTACAACTTAATGCTGGGAGGTGGTTATCATGGGCAGAGACTCAACAAATTGTACAAGGCTTCTATCAAGGAAGACGAGATCATTGCGATCTTGAAGCCATTGTTCAAGAACTGGTCTCTACACAGACTTGATGGTGAGCATTTTGGTGACTTCCTAATCAGGACTGAGGTCATCAAGCCAACATTGGAAGGTAAGTACTTCCACGATGACGTTTCTGAGGACGCTTTGTAAGAAGCGAAAAAATCCTACAGACGCGACCGAAACGTGTCTTCTAGCTACACAGACGGTTATAAAGCTGATAGACGACCTGCGATGAGCACAAGATATCAAGAAACCTAATCGCTTCGTGTGTGTTCGGTTTCCTGCTTTTGGCTTCATCGGCTGATATGGTCAAAGCGGATAAAGGCTGATTATATAATACTCAAATCACGTTTTATTTATTGCCTTCAGACTTACGTAATCCACGACATTGATTTATAGATCGTATTTCACGAAGGAGAGACTAGCCCATATAGGTTCACCTACTATATTCTTTCTGGTCTGTCAAGGGTTTGACCGGGTCGTCAAAAGCTCAACCACTCGTCACGATATGTTAATGAGAACCAGCAGACGCTTTACAGTACCAACTGGATTGCGAATTTCCAAACGCCTTTCTTATAGTCGGTTTTTTAACTCCCAATGTTCTGCGAAAGTTAGCTTCTGGGGTGTCTCCAGATCTTCGATCCCAATCATGACTGCTGCGCTAGGGATGGGACTCACAGGAGTGGGGTTCTGGCTGTGGCAGCAACCGCATTTGATTGGGAATGACGCGGGTCCTATTGAGGACGGCAATGAATCAGTGAAAGTTGACAATTCAGTTGCACCATTTCCAACACAGTTGGGTCCTCCTGATTTCCCTCTCACGACTTCCTATACCCTTTTAGGCTTTGGTACCCGCTCAGTTACTTTCGTAAACTTCAAAGTTTACGCCCTGGGACTATATGTGGCAAAGCAGGATTTAGCGTTAATATCACAAATCCTCAGCACCAATTATTTGTCGCAAGCGTTTGTCGACACTGATGCTTCAAAAAGCCATTCTGAAAACATTGAGCTGGCTTTTAGAGATCCAGTGAAGTCACGAACACTTGTTGGCAATCTCATCGACGGTGGGGTGCGAATGACGGCCAAAATAACGCCCATCAGGAACACTGATTTCAACCATCTCAGAGAGGGCCTAATAAAGTCTATTCTGAACCATCCGGACGCAAAGAGCAACCAGGAAGTAGTATCGAAAGGGATCCAACAATTGAAAGATGCTTTCATCAGAAAGGGTTCCGTTCCCAAAAATGACGATCTGCTCATTGAGCTACAAGTTAATGGCTCATTACAGCTAGCCTACCGTTCTCGGAAATCTGGGGAACAGGTGATGCTAGGTCGTGTGGACGAGCCGCTTATAGGGAGACTTCTTTTTAGTCAATACCTCAGCGGACCAAAACCTCTAAGTTCTTCCGCAAGGGACTCCTTTGTGTCCAAAGTTAAATTATTAGTATGATCATGCCTTTCAACTTTGATGACAATGAGGCATTCTTTCAATCCAATTCCTTGAGCATCTCACTTACGGCTGCAGAATCTTCAACAGTCAGTTTAGCTCCGAGTTGCGCTCGTTTGAAAGAAGCCAGCCGAGCAGCGGCGGAAAGTTTGAAAATATCGCCCTTGTGGCAAAGTTCATTACACAGCACGCCAAGTAGAGTATCTCCCGCGCCTGTGACACTCACGACTTTTGAGGCAGTCTCCGGTATGTTGTAATGCTCAAACATCATTCCTATTTGTTTGCCCCCAAAAACCAAACCTTTCGCCAAAAATACATAGTCTGCTTGAGACTCTTGCGAGTGTTTCTTTGCCAAATCCTCTATAAGTGTGAAAACATATATCCCGTTCGCCCCATCTTTGACTAAAATTCTTGGGAAGTATGGCAGAAGGTTAGATGCCATTTGGAAAACGCCAGATCTTCTTACGTCATTCAAGCTCTTGGAGAAACCGCTGACTTTAGTTTCATTCCTTAATGCATTGTCTATTTGTAACGAGTCAAGCACTGGAAACCATTCATTCACGTCAAATTTATCAACGCTTTCAAAGGATGTATAAATGCTTTGTAGCTCGGAGGCAGTAGGGGTTATCAGATAGAATTTATTGTTCGGGAATACCTCGAGATTTCGAAGCAAACTGAGTTTTTTCGCTTTGGTATCTGAAACCGGTTCAAACACCACCATGTAGCCGAATTTGCTCTGTAAATCGATAAGCTGCTGCATCGTTTGGACAGTGACATTAGCATCCAATACTAACACCTTAGGTTTCGCAGTTTCTAGATTGCTTGACAAGAACTCATACGGCAATTTCGTCGTTATATCCATATCAGCACAAGCCACAACTAGCTCTCCATCATTAGAGTGCATTGAAGAATATTGAGCAGTTGCATGCTTAGAATCAACGAAAATAGAGTCTGCAGGCATGCCTAGTTTTGCCAAAATAGCAGACCCAGATGTGTCATCGCCTACAGAACTTATTAACCTTGTAGACACTTCCGGGTACCTATTGGACCAATGCGCAGCTAATGCAACATTGTAACCAACACCTCCAACTGAGGTACGGACTCTTCCTATATTGGAGTCCTTCATGCGAATCTTGCTGGTGATGGTGCTTTGTGTGTCTAAAGCGACCGCCCCAACCACCACAGAAGTGTTGGTGGTGGGGTTTCGTGGGGTGAAAATTTGTGCTGGTTGAGAATAGGAAACAAGATGCGGGTCTCTATAAAGCTTGGATAATTCCTGAGCAATTTGAGCGCCTGCCCTGGCATTATTCAAAACAAAATCAACGTTGCTTTTGACCGATTTTCCTTTCGTTGCTTCAGAAATCTCTCCCAATAAGAATGGCGTTAGGTTCTTCCCGCGAATGCCTAACTGACTGGCCTTATAAGTTGCTTTATCGATGATACTCTCAACCCATGTATCATCTAAAGCAACTTCGTTAGGAGGAGGCACACACATGAGATAGCCAGAGTGGAGGTTCATTTGACGCCCAGCGTGTATGATACGTGCAGCTTGCGAGAAATTCTCGAAATTGTAAGGGGAAGGTACGCCAGAATCTCTGGAGTAAAAGCCTGGAACGTTTGATCCTGGAGGTCCAAGAGTTGCTACCATACAACCCTTTGTTTCGAGATACTCCATTGTTTTCTCGATATCCAGAATGGCCTTTGGGCCTGCACAAACCACGGCTACGGGCGTCCTACCAAGTTCGTCTAGATCTGCGCTGATATCCATCGTCGTTTCTGCTCCTCTATGAACACCTCCCAGCCCACCAGTGGCAAAAACATCGATACCTGCCATATGAGAAAGTATCATGGTACTTGAAATAGTAGTGCCTCCCAACATTTTGTTGGCCATTGTGTAAGCAATGTCTCTTCTGGACACCTTATTGATAGATTTGGTCTTTGCCGATGTTGCTAGTAGCTCAAGTTCCGAGGATTGAAGTCCCACCGTAGGTATTCCATCTACAAAGGCAATTGTTGCAGGAATAGCACCCTGGTTTCGAATTTGTGACTCCACTTGCACGGCCATTTCCAAATTTTGGGGGAACGGTAAACCATGAGTTATGATAGTAGATTCCAAGGCGACAACTGGTCGTTTGCCAGACAAAGCACTTCTCACCTCATCTGAGACTTTGAGCTTATGAAAAAGCCTTTTAAACCGAAATGAAGAAGAAATCTTGAGCATTGGCTCCCGAGGACTACTTCATATGTTTAATGCAGTTAGTTAAGCGGTTCTGATAGCGAATTTATCAACTGATGAGGGGCATCACTACAACAATCTAACATGTGACGAAACATGAAAGGGTTTGCCAGTCTAGCTGCAAGGTTTAAGTTTCACAAAGTAGCAGTCTAGTAGAGCATTTAAACCATTTGGGTAGTTTATTCCGTGTTTTTCAGGCTGCAGAAGTTCTGACAAACTCGTATTTTCGATTGTTTTCCGGGACTTGATGCCATCATTGAGCGTCGTAACTGGAAGAATGCCCATGAAACGATAGTAATGCCAGCTGATTTTTTTTGGAGGAGAACAACAACGATGAAGTTTCAGACTCGAATTACGGGGTCCTTGTTTTTGGAAGTCCACGCGCTCATTTCAACCGTACAAACCTTTCTTTAGCGTCACGAAGCAGACCCCTGGTGAACGAACGATGTAATTGATCTATGAAAATGTTTCGACGCCAAACTAAACCCGTCAGACTTCGCCTATTCACGATCATTGAAAACCCCGTGGAAAAGCTTGTGAATGAGGAGTTTTCCGCTCAAGAACGGCTTCCAAAGCGCTAGCACAGCCCTTGAAAGACACGAAGACCTGTTCCATCAGGACTTGCTAAATAAAAGCCAGCCAAACATGCCATTAATGACTTTCGTCGTGATCATCGAACATATTGCTAAAATGCGCGTAGGGGTAGATATTAAAAAGGGCTTGGCCGCCCTATCGAGCCTAAGCAATACACTAGACACATTTAAGATATTTTTGACTACTCGAATCTCAGATATGGGCGCTTTCTCCGTGTCGAAATAGCGCGTTTGTCACTGAAGTCATGTTTAACCGCCCAGGATGTTGAAGTTTAAATATGTTAATTTCGAGGTTAGACTCACGAGTACAAATGGACTCTGAAATGTACTCGAGAGATGCTCATAATCATCATGATGCAGTAGATGTCAGCGTTAACAATGGAGAGTCGACTTGTCGAACAACTCCGAGTAACGAGATTAGCACACCAATGGATCGCGTTGAGCGGCTTAGAAGCTTCAATAAAAGAGTCAAAGACTCAGTTGAATTTATTCCCGACTCTAGCGAGCTGAAAACAGCTTGTAGAGACCTTATAGACTGTTCCAATAGCTTAACAAACGCGGACCGTGTGAGGAGTCTTGAAAGCGTGAGTTACTTTTGCCTGAGTCCCCAAATCTCTCCGCAGTTGAAAAATGAATGCGAGTCTTGTTTTCGTGCAGTTTTGAACGAAGAATCGCTAGCTACCATCATTGATGATATTCGTCCAATGCTTCTACAAGTGAAAAATAGCCGAATATCGGAGCAGGGAAGACTCAGACAGCAAGAAGCTTTGATTTTGAACCCGAAAAAGGGTCTAGTTTTTGAAGAAGACGACATTCGCTCCAAATGGGCTCAAGTTGGCGGGAAGCGAACCATCTCGCTGTTTTATGTGGTTCTCGGTCAACTGAGAACAAAAGATGTCTCATCAAACCTGGGTTGGATAGTGCCTGGAATTCTTAACTTGATGGATGACACTTCTGACCTCGAGGGTATTAAGCTACAAGGCGTATTGCTGCTGAAGCGCTTTCTTTCCGAAACTGTAGGCTACTCGTATCAGCCGCAATTCGACTTTTCAAGTACTGGACTTGTCAAGGCTTTTGAACCAATACTCACATCAATGTGGTACCACTTCCCACAGTCCACTGATCCAGTTTTGACCAAAAAGATTTGGGATACAGTGTTCCCGACCTTGATTGCGTTATACCGTGTGGAGTACTCCTCCAGACCTCAGCAGCTCTCTGAAAATGTAAGCAAGTTTCTTTCTGAAGTGCTACTTCAGGTCACAATTCCTAGAATTGCCATGGATTATCCTGACTTGACAATTGATACGTTGAAGAGGATTGAGACATGCGTGCAAATTTTGAGAGAAAAGTCTGTGATCCATTTGCAGCGAGTCATACATGTCTCTGGGGAGTACCTGATATGCAACGTTCATATCAGAAATTTGAAACACATTGCACACAGCGTCGTAAGCGTGCTCGAAGCATTTATCGAAGAGTGCCCTACCGATCGAATCATCGCGCACAGGTACAATTTACTAGCCTGCGCTTTGGTAATGTGCGAAAGGAGCTTTGCAGAGGAAAAGTTACAGGGTGAAGAAGTATATATAGAATGCCGATCCCTGATCAAAGCTCTGAATTCTAAAGGCGTTGTCTGGACTGATGAAGAACGTCAGACTGTGAACGGCCGGGCAAAATCAATGGACATAAAGATATGATTGGGTGACAGAAGCTGCCATGATTGATGGAATGGAAGATGAATGCGCAATGCATGTGAGCTTTTTTAAACTTGCTTACAGACGATATACAAGTTCGAATTGCCGCTTCCAGATCTGAAAAATGATCTAATAACGCTATAAATTCATTCCAAAGTTACTGAAAAATATCTACATGGGCGAATTCCTGCATTTTCGCATGATTGTTCTGTCTCAATCTCCATATTTGCTAATTACTGAAGGCCTTGCAAGCCTTTGACGATTCTAATATTGGTATCAAGAAAACGGTTGACACAGTTTCTCAAACACGTCTCTTCCTGGGAGCTCAGATTACCGTTGCTGACATTCGATGCGCACTGCTTGAAGCATATATTTGTGAATTGGTGGATGGACATCTGAACCTTTTGCTTGGAGTTCTCTGACTCCAAAAAGGTCATAATTTCCTTCTTGGAGTTGTCATCTAGGTTTGAAAGGTCATTAGGACTGATGGAAGACATCTCTAGTGCCAGAAATTGTGGTATGTGCTGTCAAGAGGAGTTTCCTGATCTGGTAGAGTAAGTTGAAGAAGAACCAAGCTGTTCACGCTGCCTAAGAACTCAATTGCATCTTGAAAAATGAAGATGTAGTACAACATGATCAACTACTTTGGTCAAGGTTCACTGTTTCTGAAAGCATAAACGCTATAGCCTTTATGCTTGCATTCTGGCTTTAGAGCTCCTACTTTATGGATAATGGATACTCAAGACGAATTGGTGCTTTACCAGCAGAGTCTGCAGCGAGAAATCGAAAGCAAAGAGTATTTTTTGAAGCAGGCAAAAGCAGCACTACAGCTGCAGAGAAATTCATCAGATCAAATCCTGAAAGATGATATAGGACTCTGGAATTCGTTCATGGAAAAACCTATGTTCTTTCCCGATCGTTCTGACCCTCTGGGGTGGAGCTTGGCCTCGTGCGAATTGAGAAATCGGCTCAAGTCCAACGAGCAGTACTTGGAGCTGGAGCCTCTAGAACCCCTACGAGAAACGCTCAAACTACAAGAAAGACTCAATACAGGGTTGGAAACACTTGAGGCCTTGCTCAAATCAAGGCTTGAAGGCCACCAAAATGCGAAAACAAAACGCAGATCATCAATTTCAGCGGAGTCTTGCAATGTTAAATTGTGGGACATTTTGAACTTACTGATCCGGAACTTTGTTGCCGTCGACCTTTCATCGAAGGGATCCGATATCGACCAGGTGGCAGCTACAATGCTGGATGTGTTAAAACATTTGTTGCAAGTAGATCGCAAAGTATCGGTGGAAGAATTTAGTGGCCAATGTTCGGGACTTTATAGAATCTTATTGAGGGCTAACTGTATACGCAAGTCGAAAGACGGCCGTTTTATTGAGCTCGCTGACTTTTTTGAAGAGTTTTAGCCTTGTCACGCTACTCTTCTTCGTCTTCGCTGAGATTGATTTCTGGAATCTCAAATTCCGAGCCATCATCGTCATCGTCATCGTCGTCGTCGTCGTTGCCACCGTCGTTTTCTTGGACTTCGACCGTGACTTCCTTTTCCTCAACGACCTCCACCGGAATGGGACGAGTTTCCGGAACAATGAACCCCTCAGTTTTGCGGACCTTGATTTCCTGAGCAGGTTCATCAGTGTCAACGGCTCTTTTCCGCATAATGCTGTCGGGCCTCTCTTCCTTCAGCTGTTCAAAGTAGGTAGTGGTATTCAGCGCTTGCGAGTTGTTGTTTTCAACTATATTAGTAGCTTCTTCCACTACCTTGATTGGTTCATCAGCTTGCTCAATGTCTACATCTGCGTCATCCGGTTCTTCCAAGGTACTTACCTCACCTTTGTCAGAAAAACCCATAGGTTCTTCTTGTCTTTTCACGGATTGAACAGCAGCGACTGGAAGCCTTGGATTACAGAAAACGTCGAAGACGTCGTCACCTTGACTCTTGAGAAGCGTCACCGCCATTGGAAGAATCGAGACTTTTTCATATCCAGGATGCATGACCAGCGCTTGAAGCAAGTGAACAAACGACAAGGGCAAACGGCCAAGCTCTCGCTGGGCTTTGAGTGCCGCCGTTACGGCATACTTGCAAATGTTTATTTGCTGCGCAGACTGGAGCTTCAAATTCACCACAATTATCAAAAGAAAGCGGTTTAACGATTCAAGATTCCTTACTGAACATTTATCAGCGAATGCTTGTGGATGCGAGTACACATCTGACATCGAACCTGTGTTCTGCTTACCAACCTTTTTGGTCTTTTGGTGAACTGTTTTTGCAGCTGGATTCTGCTGTTGATACAGGTGTTTCAATGGTACCAGGTCTTTGGTCAAATGCAATGCAATGTCTATCAGTTTAGTGAATAAGGTGGTCTCACTAAACAAGTGTCCTGTGTGATCCAATAAAGAGTCAACGATTGTGAAGAGGTCGAAGAATTCAGATTTCAACGTTTCCACCTTGTCAAAGTCAATCGCAGCCGTTCCTTGCTTTGTCGGAATAAAATACTCCAATGACCCAAGGATCGATGGCGTGTAGGGAAGTAAGAATTTGCCGTAAGTCCTGGACATACTTCCAAGTAGCGCAATGCCGCTTGCCTGAATTGTAGGTAGAAGATCATATATCGTAGCCGTAAGTTCTGCGTCACGGCGCAATAAGCGTTGCAATGGCAAATAATTGGTGGTAAGACTCAAAATGGCTTCTGCAACGGCAGCAATGCCACCAAGAGGGGCCCGAATCCGAAAAGGTGTATGCTGGCTAAGAAACGCTACAAGAAGGCCGCACAAAAGCTCAATTCTCTCCGCGATTGCCCACAGAGTATTGGGTTTGTTCAAATCTACTTTCACAGGCGGCAAAAAATCCTGTAACTCGCCACTCGTCGACGGCAACCGTTTCAAAAGACTCTGCATGTCTTCGTCAGCCGAGAAGTCTAGTATCTCACCACACAAACTTATGACAGGTTTGAAGCTGTATAAAACATGCATGATACCCTGTCTCCATTGTTCATCTTGGTGCGCTTTGTGGTGACGCATGCTGTCGTCTTTAACCGTAGGATTCTGCTTGATCAAGTGCAACAGCGCATAATTTTCGAGAATGAGCTTTTTGGTGTGCTTGTTGAAATGATTGTAGTCTTTTACAATCAAAGTGACAATGACGTTACTGTATTTGTTAATATGAGGGCGGAAGGTGGTAGTGTTTTTAGCGAGAATCTTCTTCAAAACAGGGCCGCACAATTCTGGTTCGAATTGTGACATGTTAACAAGAATCGTTACGATCGCGGGAAGTCTAGGCGTAAGAACTTCACGAGTCAAAGCCGGTTTGCCACGAATCAAGTCAAGCATAATATCCACAGATTTGACCAATGAAAAAAGCACGGTCTTACCCTGGGGACTGGAGATAGTGGTACGGTAAAAACCTGCTTTTTGTTCCAATTTATTGAAAAGAGCGGTGAGAAGATGGCCTGCTTGGGAACACAGCACGACTGCGTTGTAGGCGCATAGCACATCTGAAAGTTTGCATCCTTTCCAAACGAGGTAGTCATCCGAGGAGCGCAAAAGCTTCAAAATCTTGGCAACCAGGACGGCCAAATCGGCTTTTAGCAGCCTATCGTCCACATATTTTGTAGAGCTGATAGTTTTCAACACAACTTGAAATTCATAGCCGGAAGAAGCTTCCAATGTTTTGGCTATCTTCGACAGCGGAAGCGGCTCAACGGACATCACCAATATCGGTACAGTTTGAGGCCCAGAATAGCTTCTTCTTTGAGTTTTTTATCTTCGCGATGAGCTGCGATGAGCTCGAATCCGACATTATCATCAGTAATATTATTTTTTTTTTCCACTGTAAAGAAGAGAGTTAGTTTTTGACAAAACGTGGATAACGTCGAACAACTAGAAAACCTGGCGCCAGTACTCAAATCCAGTCTTAAGCCTTATAAATTCAGCTTAGCGACACATGTAATGTTGATATTTCGATTCCTGGAGCCCGAAAAAGCATAGGTGACCTAACAAAAGTTGAAAAACTCAATGATCGGAAAACTCATACAAAAGAAGAAGCTCTCTCTCACAGAGGATAGATAAACCCAACAATTAAGTTGCCCAAACCGAACCACGATGTTTGCCGCTCTACATTTAGACCAACTGTTGTTCATGAGAAATAAAACGACTTTTTTTACTGTCGTCGGTCCTGGGGTGTGTCGCTTTGACTTTTTGAAGTTTCCGCGATGTAGCCTGTTTGGCTTAGTTAGGAAATGATCTGTTTTGAGAAATAAAAAATTAAATTCCAGCGTTCGAATCCTGTAGTAAACTTTTAAAACAGATTAAATTAATTGACATAATATCACATAGATTCATTCAATCATGAATGGATCATATAGAACTGATCAAACGCCGCTGAGATACTCCACCAATCTCTCACCCGAAAGGCTCCTGGAATGTCAATGTCAGCGGGAAGTGCCGCTGCTAAAAAGCTCTCTGTTGAAGAGAGGCTTTCTTTAGCAGCACGAGGAAAAACACGCAAAAAGGGCAAGAGACTTGACTCTCCATCCCCAGCGGCACCTGTGCTTGATACGGAAGCTGAAATCGAAAATGTTGCTTCAAAAGAAGAGAAAACCACTACCCCTACCTCAATTGAGCCTCAGAAGCAATCTGGTGATCGCCGGCGCTCACAATTGGACCCTGAGTACTTGCAGGAACTCACAGGAATATTGCACACACACTACCTTGAACTTTCTGTTGACGAATTACTGATAGCTTTGAGGCCTCATCTTACAGTATCAGATTCGCGGACCAAGGACACCAGCCTGGCCAGGCTGATTAAGGAAAAGGACTCGATCATCGCCGATCTTCGCAAAGAGGGCGAAAATCTATCTAAACTCGAACTAAGACACAACAGTACCATCAGGGGGCTTCGAGATAAGTTGAAGGATGCAGAGTATGATCTGGAAAGAAAAATGGAAGACACAGAACGCAGAAAAAGCGAAGCTAATTCATTGTCTCAAGCGCTGGCTAGTTTGGAAAGTAGACACAAGGAAGTTAATGAACAGCTCGCCGAAGCCTTACAGGAACGAGACAATATGAAAGCCCAGAATGAGACGCTTGAGAAGGGCCAGTTGTTGCAACTACAGGAACAAGTTAGTGTTGATCAGAAGACTATCAAATCGCTGGAGTCACAGCTGCAAAGGGCGCGAGACCACTTGGAAACAATGACAATGAAGGCAGATTCAAAGTATCAAAGCTTGGAAGAAGCATCAAATGAAGAAATTGCGCGGCTTGAAACCACTTTGGAAGAAACAAGAATACGATTAAGCCATTTTTCCACCAAATCAGAGCCACATACAGATTCACTGCAATTAGCTGAGAGGCACGGGCATCTCGAAAAGGAACTTGAAACAAGTCGTCAAAAATGGTACAAACTCGAGTCGTCGCTTCGCCAGGAACTGTACGAGGCTGAGAATAAGATACGCGAGTCGTCAAAAGTAAGCGCTCATAACCACGAAAGCCTGGAAGCAGCCCGTGAAGAAATAATAAGCCTGAAATTGAAAGTCAAAGCTTCAGGAATGAATGAAGAGGCGCTGAAAAGTGAATTGAAAACACTTAGCGCTGAGCTCGAAGAGCTAAGGAATTCTCTAACAAATGCACAAGAGGAAATAAAGCTTTGGCAAGAGAAATACAGGGTTCGGAAATCGGAACTAGATACGATATTACACAATGCCAGCGCTAGAGAAGGCTTCAGTGCAAAATCAGAAGTAGACCTTCCGGACAGAGAGGTGACACCCACAACTCTTGAAGATCTCGATAAAGTATCCAATTGGGAGCTTCACAACCTACGGACACTCGATGTTTCTTGCAATGGGAACCAAGGCCCCTCCAGTGTAAAATCTCAATATGACTTTGACGAATTGTTACCCAGCGACGAGCTCGATTTATCTAGCTCGCTAAGAAAGGGTAGCATAAAATCCCTGGACTGCACTCCTTCAAGACAGCTGAACAATACGGTTCAAGAACAACAGAATACCCAGTTGAACGCTCAAATGATAGGTAGACTGGGTGGTCAGATTAGAAGGCTCGAAACAGAGCTCACATCATTGGAAGGGTCTCATGATAAGCTGTTAAAGGAAAAGCAGACGGTGAATGACACAGTATTTAGACTCATGGAAGAAAACAAATGCGTTACAGAGATCAAGAACCAGCTCAAAGAATCTTCAGAGCTTAAAAATGAACTGGAAGAGAAACTGCAGGAGACTACACGACTTTTAGCAGAGCGTACAGAGAGGGTAGAGGAATTAGAGAACGACGTTGGTGACCTCAAGGAATTGATGCAGATGCAGGTGCAACAGTTAGTGGAACTACAAGAACTTGTAAGGTAAATTAAAGATGTGATATACTGTGATAAATTTTGATCAAGTATGTTTAATATGCAGGGGTCTGAATAGAGGAAGCGAAAGCCCTCAGTTGTTGCCCTGACTGATAGCAAGTTTAGTGTGCTCTTCAATGTCAAGTGCTTCCCATGGGTAACATAGCCACACATCAGGGACAGTTTCAGCTGCTAAATAGCGGCCCTTTTCCATCATCTCAGCAGGAAGCGAAGCTTTTTTGGTTTTATCTTTGTTGTGTAGCACGAAAATCGAAAAGACAGTCTCCTCACCGAGTCTGTTCAGCTTGATTTGCTGCTCTTTAACTTCTTTTTCGAGTTCAGTGACTGCATAATGCAAGGTGGTTCTGGTATCGTCCACTTCGTCGACGATCAACACTTTTTTGCCAATCAGAGAATCAAAATGTTGTTCGAGAGACCCAAAATCCAGCCACTGAGTTCTGATGACCTCTTTCCCGATGGATTCCACATGGTCGTCTAGTCCCAGATCTTCATAAAGCGAGAGCCCAATGGCTTGAATAGGAATGTTCTTTTCACCACGGCTTTTCAAGAACGATCTGATTATTCTGGCTGGAATCATACCACCGCCAGTGATAGCGACAATCACGTCAGGCCTTTCGCCTTTCGCCATAATCTGACTCGCAATCTTTTGACAGGCTTTATGGATGTTGTTGTAGGAGATAAACATCTTATGAGCAGTATCCGAGGCTTCAACCATGATTGTTTCTGATTTATCGTAAGCTTATAAGTGAGTGGACTATATATATCAGTCGAAGGTAGATATGTTCTTTCTTGAAGTGTTCTTTGACATAACAAGAACGACGAGAAGGTCGATGCTCATCGCCGAAAATTTTTATAGAACGAAGGTGGAAAAAATCACATAGCTCAAGTACTAGTACTCTGACGCGACCGATATCGCTCTACTGTGGGAATAGTAAACGTAGCGCCATCTTTAGGCGAAACAACTTTACCGTATAAACTTTATCCTAGCTTATGATTTACACAGCGAACGTCGATTACTTTCGAATGCCGGAGGGAAGTCAGTCTCCATTGGCCTTGGTAATACGTTCTTCGGCATAATCGACGGCGTCGACGTACTCATCGCCTTCCCCATTGATGTATACCGGCTCCTGCTCCTCAAACAATTCTTCATTTTTATCATTTGAGCCGTTTGTGCTCATAGACAAAGAGGTAAATTCTTGGCGAAGTTTCGCTTGTTCGCTAAGCATGTCAAGCTTCCCTTTGATCGAGAGCAGTAGAGGGTAGGAATCCGCACTGGGACGTAAAGATGAACGGATTTGCTTGAGTCCCTTCTGAGCCGAACGATTGTCTGCAGGGCATACCTTGTTAGGACTTAGGGTCAACATCCACTTCAACCAATATGTTGAATTGCTATTCGTAGACAGTGGATTTTGGGCTATTGTGCGAGATAGGATGGGAAAGAGCTTTTTTATGTGGGTTTCCGATAGCTCGAGATCAACAATTTCTTTGATTTGAGCTTCAGTCCAACTTTCAGATTCCAGGATCCGTAGTATCTCGTTCGGATCGTTGCCAGCTTCTAAAGCCTGCAGAAAAACGGCCGCGCTGTCTTTCCCCTTTCCCTGAGCTTTTGATTTTTTTGTTGTCTTTTCCATTTCTGCTTGAGGCTCTGTCTCGACGACCGCCACAGAATCCGGCGAAGCTTCTTGTTCCTGATTGAAGACTATTTCGCCACTTTTGACAAGGTCCTCAAATGTTACATGCTCAAATTTGGGCTCATTGACGTTGAGCCATGCGATTATTATGCTAGAGTTCAATAATGTGAAATCGATGATTTTGGAGTGCCGACATATAAGTGAGCAAATTTCACTTTGATTACCAAGTTCGAAAACCGACACGAATCCGTCAGTGGACAGGGCGAACACCTTCCCGTCTTGATATTTGAGCTCTGCAGCTTGAAATTTCCACTTCGAAATCACTTTCCCCGTTTTCAATTCGACAACATGAATCTTGTCGGATCCCGCGACGATTAACTGTCCGTCGGCGCCCAGGACACATCGTTTCCCCATGGGCAGATCCATGTTGACCACTGTAGAGGGACGTCTTTTCGAAGAATCCACAATATAAAGGTTGGTCGTAGTGAAAACTGCCAGCAGCACGCTGTCTTGCCAGTCCAGCACTTGTAGATACGTGATTTCATCATTTTTCCCGTCAATTAGGTGAAACGTTTTCAAAGGTTTTGAAGAGCGGTAATCAAAATGCTTGATTGTTTTGTCTGCGTCCAGAATCCATATCCCGGGACCTGAGAATCCCAGACCCAGGATTTCTTGCTTGTTCTTTATTATATTGACAATTTCTTTTCCTGTGGGCGAGAAGACTACGATCTTCCCGCCCTTGAAGACGTTGACAAAGTATTCTTCTATCGCTTCTGCATTTCCAGACTGTTCATTGCCGGGTACATCGACTTCTGTCCGTTTTCGCTTGGTTTTCGAGCCCTGACCATTTTCGGAGCACCATGTCGTTGATTTCAGATCCTCAAGCTGTAAATCGCAACTTTCGTAGTCGATATGGTGTGCTTGCGAACTGGTGACCTGGTAGTCACTTTCTGCACTCAATGGGTACAAATCGACATATTTCCTCTGTAGACCGTTAGACCTGAAAGCGAAGCTTTTCGAATGCGGAGAAAAGCTAGCAATAATGTCACAACTTGACAGCATCGATTAATAAGCTCGAAGAGTCTCAATTGTGGTAGTTTAATCGTTACAAACCCAACTTTCTTGCAACTCTTTTCAACTTCTCTTGTTCGGCTATCTTTCAAGCGATGAGATGAGCTCATGAATTTTTCAAGTCACATTGTAGAGAGTATCTCGAAATTGAAAATTTTCCAGCTTCAAAAATTACCACAGCGTTACCCGCCCATAATCTCGTGAAATTCACGTGTCAAATCATGTGACCAGAAGTAGTAGAAAGAGCACAGGATGTTTCGATTCAAAGCACTGGTAAGATCTGAGACAGAAAGGAAATCTTTAGTATTCATTTGACCTCTAGTACCAGCGAATTAGAGGTTCACAATGCTGGTGATCGCTTGACGATCTTCTGGCGACAAATTGGCAGTGAAAATGTCATATTTTGCAGAATCAGTTTGGACGGACGACATCACGGCTTTGACGACGTCATAGACGTTGACATGGTCGATAACAGAACCCGAGAGGGGATCTTCGTCCAGGTTTTCGAAATCTTCCAAAGGATCGAAAATGTCGGTACTCCCGTCAACAAATTTGAAGTTGTTGGCTTCCTTGTTGAGAAAATCGAGATACGCCTCCTCGTCACCGTCGTCTTCGTCGTCCTCGTCGCCGCCATTTTCACCATCTCCAGAATTTGCCGTAAACTCCTGCTCAAACTGCCCAAAAGCATCGTCTGGAACGCCGCCGGAAGAATAGACTTTGCGTCTTTCGTCCAGATCTTTCAGCGCCTGCGGGAATACAGTGAGCAATTTGACAATCTTAGAGCCCGATTGTCCGACTACAGTTTCAAGCGACAATGCCTGAACATCAGAGAGCGAAACGTTGCCGTTTATGCTCAAAAGTGCCATCAGCGACAGCTTAATGTCATAAACCCGCTTATAATGTGGAATGAGATATGAATACCATAGATCGAAGAAACTCTCGAAAGCGTCTCGGGCACGAAGGTACTGCAGAGTTTCAGTAGGACGGCACGCCAAGCATGCAATAATCACATTGAAGGAGCTCACGGTGAAAATCACATTTTTCTTCAAGTCAGCAGCCTCTCGAGTAATGGCATCGAGAGCGTCATTTAGAAACTTCTCGATGAAAGAACCCGAGATTGACGTATCCAAAGTTAGCACGAGCTTTTGCGAGAGTTCGAAGACGTGTGCCATATCGTCGAGTGAGCTGTCTTCGTTGACGCTAGCTTTGTTGTAGACTTCGAACAAAATATTCGAATAAAATGAATTCTTCTTGAATTCTTCTTGGCCGTAAACGAGATAGTTGTTGAAAGCAACCATGAAGTCCTCCAAGTAGAACGCAACCATCCCCTCTTCTTTCTGATTACACTCCCCGATGAGCTCTAATATCTTCCATGAGAACGGTGTAACATCTCGCAACAAGAAGGTAGAATTTTCAATGAATTCACACACTTCGCGGTAAAAGTCTTCCATGTCGTTTCTGAGAATGAACTCAGCCGCAGGATAAAAAGATTGTTCGAGATTTTTCACAATGTCGTGCGAATTTTCGAAGGAAAGTAGGATTGAAATTGCTGTTGAAAGAATTCCGAGAGCCGCCATTTGCTTGTCAGTATCATCAGGCAGCTCACTATAGTCGTTGATCTTGTTTACGTCAAAGTTGGCTGATTCGTTCAAGTCAATCGCCAACTTCAAAAATTGCTGTACAAGGTCGGTCATAAGCTCAATGCCAAAAGGTTGCAACTGCTCGGAAAAACATTCTACAAATTCTTGAAGCACACCAGAAACGGCATCGGACTCGATCTCATTAGAGATGCGTAGCAACTTTTGCGTCATAGGCACGACATTAGCAGATAATGGTCCTTGAAATGCAGGCTCGTGAATAAATGCCTGAATTCCAAGAGCTGCCAAGAGCTCCACGGGAAGACAGTTAGAATCTTCCATAAAGCACGAAACTATCCCATTGTAAATTGTTTCTAGAGCTTGTGGATTTTCAAAATGCTGCTCTCCCAATTTGGAGCATATTTCACAAACACGCGCTCTCAAAATGTCGTGAGTAGAATTGAAATACGGGAAAACCAAGGAGATCAATAGCTTCTCAACATCCCTTGAGAACCCAGAGTTCTTCATGAAAAGGCGATCCAAAATATTGGAAAATATTCTGAGCGCAGATTCAACTTCGACGAATTGTTCAGGGTGAGCCAAGTTCTTATTCAGCTTTTCCGTGACAAAAAAGGCGGTAGGTGCCAATGTGGTGCTGCCTCTTTTGGTAACACAAGTCGTTAGAAGCGCCAGGGCGGCAAGGTCAGGCGAATAATTGTCATCCCAAACTTCTAAGTTCCGATGTATGTACTCTTGTGGGTCTGTTTCGAAAGTTTCCAATGACTCTTCCGTGGGGCAGAGGAGAGGAAAAATGATGTGCTCTAGCAGCACTGGATAGTATGGTTTCATTAAAGGCCAAGTGGCTTTCTGCACCACCACCTGTTCGAAAAAGCCTAAAATATGGTACATAGCTTCATCGCTGAGCCAGAGCGACTTCTCACTCCACTGTTCGATTTGCTGAAAGTATAGCTGAACAATCTGTGGTAAAAAGTCATCCAAATAAAGCTGTTTGAACCCATCATACGCAAATTTCCGAGAAAGTGAAGTTGATGCATATCTCTGGAAAAGTCTTGACAAATTTGCGTAAGCCCATTTCTTAGCTTTCACCCATGGCTGGTATCGTGGACTACTAGCAGCTGCAGATGAAACAATCTGGGACGGTAATGGTTGCTGAATGATGTTAACATGCAAGTTAGCCCAAGGAATGAAATGATCGGGCCTTTGAAGCGTGAAAGGCAAATCATGATAAGTGACAAACTTGTAGATTTTGAGAACAAGCTTTACCATTTCACCTGCTTTGGCGTTGTCAATATTTCTGCCGTTATCCACAAGTGTGTCCGTGGTGAACTTAAGCAGAAGAGGAAAATACTGGATAATCAGATGTTCCAACTCCTGCCTGGAATCGTTTTCCTTCCAACGATATGTTCTGAAAATCTCACTCAAAGCCAGCAGCCCGATGTGCGCCGAATTGATATCGTCCGAGCTGAGAAGTTCAAACGAGGTGCCCAGCAACGAGTCCCATTGTTTCTTGGGGTAATCCTCGGCAACGATAGTGCTCAAAGCAGGCTGCAGGAGACGAACGCAACTAGGGGAGTATATCGACGAATTCACCAAAGCTTTTATCAACATGTCCTTGACGACCGGTTTTTCGTCATTGTCCACACTGAAGTTGAGCAGTTCATTTCTTCCCAATTGGTTGCCACTCCATCCGTGAATGATCTTGTTTTTGATGTACAAGGCTGCAGGTAACTTGATGTCCTGTGGAATTTCAGGTGAGGAGATGATATCCAGACTTGCACCAAGAAAACCAGTAGTCTTCCCAGCAGCTTTCAGGCTCGATTCAGCTTCACTACGCACATTCTGGTCGTGGCTCAGTGTACCAGCGAAACACTGAAGCAGAGTTGAAGGATCCATTTTCTTTATGGTAGGTTTCTTCGAAATCTTCAGTTTTCTTAACAATCCAAGGTAGTATAAAGAGAAAATGCAATAGAAGTCTGGCGAAATGAGATGGAATACGATGCAGTGAGGAAAAAGGAGTAACACAAGATGAGAGCTCGATGCTTTTGCCTCCGATTTGACGATGAGGCCAGTCCAAAATTTTTTGTCAAGGTGATGATGATGGATGATCTCAATTAGAGAAAAAGGTCACGAGACTCACGAGGTCAGTAGATAAACGGCTGAGAGTACACCTGCTCCTGAGTTACCTCGGTTTTCAAAATGGTGGACTTTGCCGGTGAAGGTTGGTGGAAAGCATGCGAGAGGTATTCTGGGGTGTGAAGGACTTCTCTTACGTTTGGAGAGGACGAAAAAGATGTTCTTGAAGAATTCTGAGTTTCCAGCACCAAAGGGTCCCCAGAAAGACTCACCGCAGCGGGTGCATGTCTTGACTCGAAGCCAGGAGAGGTCGGCGTTTTTGAAGTGGGTGGTGAGCTGAGTGCAGCACTTAGGCTTTGTTTAGGGGTGAAAAGCTGTGGGTATTCGTGGCTTAAAGGAGAGCTGGGCAGGTCAGACATAATTTTGCCAACATGCAAATCATTAGATCGAGACAGCGGGGGAAGCCTCTGGGATATGCTAGTCTGCACACCGACAGAAGTAACCACCGTCGATGGCGATAAATTGGAAAGAGTCGTTTCCGGACTGTCTTTGAACAATGGCTTGACGGATTTTGCCGGCAGCAAAAAGTCTTCTTTTAGAATCCAGGAGTCTTCATTGCAAAACTTGAAGTTCAGCGTTTTGTCTCTAGTTTTCTCGAATTGCAAAAGGGCACGTTCTCGCGAAGTATACGGCAATAAATCCGCGTCAACGACATCGGCCTCCCTTTGTTCAACTGATGCTGTACTTGCCAATTGCGTCGTTTCACCGCTGAAACTCTTTTTCCATAGTTTGCTCAATGTCAAAAGCATCTGAATCACCAAGATCATATTAAATGTCAAAGAAACCCAGTCTCTATGGGTGAGTTCTGTAAGCTGACTCGCAACGAATTGAAAAACGTCAGGCCAACCAATGCTATGTTCTGGACAACGACAAATGTGCACAACGCTGTGCGGTTCTATATCACTCGGAGCTTTCACCGGATCAGATAGCCATTGTGGATATGGAAGCCCAAAGTGTGCTAATAGTCCTGCAATAACGGCCAAAGGTGCCCCAAAAATGACACCATTTTGAATACCGGGCCTGCTATGCATGCTAGCTAGTTAGCACAGTTTCAAGGTTCAGCTGTACTGGATGCTAGCAGAGGAGTGTCAGTTGGCCCGTTGATGCCTTCAATGATCGCACCTTGTACTATAGGATTGGGTCAAAAATACGAGAGGTCACATAGTACGTTGTGGTTAAGCGATCGATCCCAGACTCAGCAGAACCAGTTGAGCCAGCAACTGTAGCGACCAGAATCCTATGCGCTTCAATCGCAAGTTCTTTCTTTCATCATCTGCCGCGTAGTCAGCGAAGGCATCGTAGACCTCAGCACTTAGATCATCCATCAGTCGACAATCGTAGATGGTCCATGAACCTTCAAAGTCGGATAGTTCTTTGACCACTTGACATTTGATCGGAATGTAGGTACGCCTAGAGTTGATATAGCCAACAATGGGCCTTATGAGCGCACTGTTGATATAACTGAGCGCATTATCAAACAGAGGAACTTCTGCGGTGACGTTGTGAAGTCTTAGAAAGAAATCCATAATGAAATATTTCTGTGGGTCAATGTCTTTCTGCTCTGGGGTTTGATACGGTTCTGGCAGAAGGATTGCTGAATGGCGCCGTGCTTCCTTCAACAGTCTTTGCCCGATGACGGTGAACATTTCGTTCAATTGAAGAGCGTCAGGATCCTCGTCCGGAAGGAGAATGTCACCGATCATGTCCACCTGTCCTTCAGTGATCCAACCGAACGGACCTTCCACGCCTGCGTTGAGGTGATCAATGTCCAAATTGTCCACTCGCATGCGGGTCACTTTCTTCCACGGAGACGCATTGTGCGGTGAATCATCCGCTTTGTATTTCTTGTGAATCGAAAATAGCGAGTTGTCGTAAGTACCGCTGATATTGTTGGCGTTCAGGAAATCGAAAAAAAGCCAGTGTTTGCGTAACTGCGGAAGTTCGCAATTGAAAACGCTTACTTGAAATGGACGGAATCCATTGGGTTGGTAGAGTGTGATCAAAAAGTCGTTCATTTCGAACTTGGAAATTTCAAAATCTCCCGGCTGATGCACATTCAAGTAGTTTCTTGCATCGTCGTTCTCTTTCCATATGACGTGGGTACGGTCCACCACACCTCGTAATCCATTTATCGTTACCTCGTCCAAGATACCGCGTCCGTTGAACCACTTGCTAAAACTCAACGAGATTTCAACTTGATCCATGGTCAAATCGAATTGAGCATAATTACCATCATCAAAATCTTCTCGGCTGACAAGCAGATTCTCTGTGATGGCGAGTTTAGCTCTTTCTGCTGCTTCATATTGGGATCCTTTGGTGAAGCTATGCGACACTTTGGGTCTTCGAGAAACGAAAACGTTATTGAAACAGATTTTGCGGGAAGACCAGTCTGGCACGATCGCACTTTCGAATACCACAGAAACAGAGCTGTTTTTGGTCAGCAAGTTTCCGATATGTGTGGCCACATATTCCTGAGCAAAGACGGTGTTGGCGAAGTATATGATCAAAGACGCAAAGGTTGTGGTTCCTAAAATGATTAAAAGCGCATTGCTGACTAAGATCCAAGAAATGAAAGCACTGATGTCATCAGAATTGAACGGTTTCGTAGATCTAATAAGTGTCCATTTCAAGTTTATCTGTAGTTTGTGAAGTAGTCCTGTGGCTTGCAACAGTAATCGATCACGCTCTGTGACGAGTTTGAAAGGATTCGAGTTACTTTTGTTTTCTGGTGCAGCATTTTGACCACCGCTTTTGTTGATTGGCGCGCGTGGAGGTTTCTCGTGGTGGTTCCATCGTACCCAGTTAATTCTGGAAGGCGCTGTTCGAGGAAAAAACCTGACGTTGTTAGCAGCTTTAAAGGCCGATACATGTATCCTGCCTTTCAATGGCAGCCACACACATCTGGGAGATGCTAAAAGGGATCGCTGCATTGATCAGATGGTGCGCTGTGGTGGGTTTTTTTTTCCAACTTTGATGCGCTCTTTGTAAAGGGACCTTAAGTGGAAGCGAGTACTGGTAAAGACTCAGGTTTTCGCAATTAGTGTAAAAAGCTTGTTAAGATCTGGCAGAGACAAAACTGTCCGTCAGGAGTCTACTAAAAGTCTGTTGAAGCCTGCTCCCACCGATTCCCAAGTAGATCTGTGTAGTTCAGGTTCAAGAAACTGAGGTCTACAGGATATAATTCGATGAGGTGTGAGTGACACTTCTAAGCTGGTATGTGTTTTAATTCTTCTTGACTTTTCAAAAACGGCGGATTTAGCTCAGTTGGGAGAGCGCCAGACTGAAGAAAACTTCGGTCATCTGTAATCTGGAGGTCCTGTGTTCGATCCACAGAATTCGCATTATTTTTTGTTAGATTTTTAACATGTTCACGAAACGACATCAAGTCGGAAGCCAATATTTGAAAAGTAGAGCGCAATGTGATACGATAGGGGTGTGAAACGATGGCTGCCCAATTCACAACACTGTACTGTTGGCAAGAACACACACATGCTCGTATATTACTATGTACATTCAGTTATGGAATGAACTGACAGAGAGAGCCATTGAAGATCTTAGAAGTAGGGCCACATTGTCGCCAAAAAACGCTGCATAACTACTACAAGTCAATTGTCACAACCAGCTTAAATCAGCAAGATCTCAAGTCACGGGATCTAATGTAGTCTAAAAGCACGTGATCTTAATTTCTGCTGTGCCTTTACACGACCAGTGCTAAATTTTTCAAGTGAAAAACTCTCTCATAGAATACCAAGATCTTGTTCTTAGTTAGTTACCAGCAACTTAAACTTATTTGTCGTTCTTTCTTTACAACGTCAATTGATCTATCAATCCATATACTCACAACATGTCTGAAATCCCAGCCGACGCCAACGTTTCCATCTTCGCCAAGAACGAACAAAAAGCCAGAGAACTTATTGGCCAATTGGGTCTAAAGCAAGTTCCAGGTATTTCTCGTGTTACCTTCAGAAAGAAGAACAACCAGATTTACGCCATTGAAAGACCAGAGGTTTACAGATCGCACGGTGGTAACTTTGTCGTTTTCGGCGAAGCCAAGATCGACGATTTCCCCCAGAGATTGGCTCAGGCCCAACAAGAAGCTCAAACTGCTGGTCCAGGTGTCTCCACCGCTGGCGCTGATGCTATCTCCAAGGACCCTCAATCCATCCAGGCTGACATGGTCGCCGCTGCTGACCAGAAGAAGGTTTCCGAGGTCACCAACGACGACGAAGGTGTCGCCGATGAGACTGGCCTAAACAAGGACGATATCGAATTGGTTATGCAACAGGCCAACTGTGCTAGAGAGAAGGCTGTCAAGGCTTTGCGTGACAACAACTCCGACATTGTCAACGCCATCATGTCCTTGTCTTAAGCATGCCCTTTTCTCAGATTCCTATATGTAAAAACCGCTATTTAGGTATTAACCTGGGCTGCGAATCCAAGTCTGAAAGGTCCCTTTTTTTTTCTGGTGTCTCAATGACAATGTCATCGGGCTTGGCATGGTTCTTCTCTTGGGCCACCGACGACGCCTTTTCCTTGCTTTCGTAGCGCCAACCGCATAGTGGACACACATATCGTAGAGTTGTTCCCGGAATAGTGTAGCTGCCAGTGTGTTTTTTGCATTTTCCACACATCACTGGTTTGAACTGGGAATCGTTCTTCATTTCTCCACCCGCTATAACATCCAGCACTTTGTCAAACCATTTGTCTCTCTGCACTTCCGATTCTTGCGGATTTCCCTGCTGCTTTTGAAAGTCTGCAAGCTCACGTTTTAGCTTATCCAGTTCTTCGTATTTCGTTCTCATTTCTTCGTCCATCAGTGTCACGGCGTCTTCTTCCTCCTGTTGGCCTGACGAAAACCGCTTGATCAGTGAGTTAGTGGAATAGAAATGTGTCTTTTGTTTTAAAGTTTCTAACTTTTCCTGGTGTTGCGCTCTCAGCCGTTCCACTTTCCTCAATGTACGCTGCTTGGAAAAATCGTACCACCTGTCGATTCCTGATTTGAGTGACAGAATAATTAGCACTGAAATAATCAGCGATGCAATGACGAAATGTTTGTCGGTGAGTTGCGCATACAACACTGCATTTATGAGTGCCAAAATCCCAGAACCATGTAAATAAAAACGTCGGTGCCACAAGGATTTCCCTACATCTTTCTGCTTAAGCCTCTTATCCAGTTCGTGTATTTGAGATGTTATTCTTGCTAGGTCTTGTGTGTATTGTTTGATCAAGCTTTCTTGGCTTTGAGCTTTGAATAATCCAGTTACTTGACGAAGCATTTAGGTGCGTTTTGAGTTGCTGTAAAACCGAAAATGATAGATAAGAAGGACTCTAAAAAATCTTTGAAAGGGTCGAGCTTTCAACTCAAATGTCACACGAATGATCAGAAATATGGTCTACTCTGTGTTATAGGTCTCTAGACGACTTGATTTCTGTTCGATCTAGGCTTCTTTACCCTGTATACTAGATATACGATAGTTAATTATACAGTGTACATCAAAATATCACGAGTCACGTGACTGCTCATCGGGTCTTTCAAACGAGAAAAACGGGCAAACTGAACGGCAGCTAGACTCCTCTGAAAACTAGAGGGATCTGCTTTTGTTTTCCGAGCCAACCTGTGTATCATTGACTTCCCTGGAGCTCTAGAGCTTTCTATACTTTAATGTCACGTGACTAGACTGAATCATGTCTACTCGGTCCCCGAAGTCTAGCTTTGAGGTCACCAATACCGACAAATGGTGTTTGAATTGAGTAAAAGAGTCAGAGTAGGCGCGTGTCATGTTCGTTGCTTGCTAAGTGTTCGGATAATGGTAGATTCGGTGACATCTAGAATCTGTATCGCCAGGGACGCATGGTTCTGATTGTTAGCTCACGATTCAAAAAATTGGATGAAGAAGTCCTGTTAACACATTCAGAGCTAGCGGTAAAGGTCGATGGAAATGTCCATACATCAAACTATAACACCACTACGGTGAGTGGTCACGTGTGCATATAGATCGGGTCCTCTCATGTATATTATATGACACTGCTCGATGATAGTGCATCGCTCCAGAATACACTGAACTTCGGAAGGGTATTTCCACGTCTAATATTTCAAGACACATACATAATCGAAGACTGTAAAAATGATTTGAAAAACAGAACAACACTACCGGTAGGTGAGTTGTCGGCGATCGAAAGATTTTATACCTTATTCCATAAGACGTAGTTTATTTTATCTCACGTGACCCAGACTAACGGCTCGTCTTTACGGTTCTTTAGTTGGACCAAGAGTGCTAACCATAAAGACTATCCTAATGCTCGCCGAAACATCTAAACTGCTTTTTAGGTGTGCTTCTTGGTCTAAAAGTTGCTCTCTTACAAATTCTAAAATCTTCAACCATTCTGACCTGAACCGACGGATGTGAACTTTTGGAATATATCAGATAACAGCTCGATACTTCTGTTCGTATCAATCCTGAATCTCTAAGTCATCACAACTGAAATATGCCTCGAATGTTAACGTTTCTCATGTTGTGTGTCGCCAAGGCGTATTTAGTGATTGAGACCTACGATAACCACCAATATCAATGATCTAATCACTGTCCATCACCGTCAAAACCACGAGAAACATCAACCAATAGCGCTCTAATGCCCGTCGCAGAGGTCAATGTGTCTAAATTAAGGGCTCTTTTCCAAAACGATGGTAATGTGACTGTGACGACTCCTCTAGGAAATACTTTACTCGAAATCCAGGGCGACCTAGAGTTTCCATTGGTTCCGCCAGCTAACGACGCTGACAATAAATTTAGCATATATAACAACGAAGACATAGTAAGATTCGGTCTATTGCAGGTAGATTCAGATTCGAAAAAGGCTACCATGCTTGTTGGTGAAAAACAACGGCTTCTGGGTTCAGTGGTTAAATTGGACTCACCCTTGGGCCTATTGAAATTCGACCATCTCACAGGAAGCGTCGATCTACAAGACGTAATACGCTACAAAATCATCTTCAAAGATAGACCACTCCCGATTATGTGAATGATGCGTTTTCTTAAGTACAGTTGTAATATACGTAAATGTTTTTTGTTTTGGCATTGTCTGCTCAATCGCTGTCACGGCAACTTAAGCCAGCTCCCACCCGGTATTCAACAAGGCACCATTTTGCGTTTGTTCCGGTGTGATAACGGGGAATGGATGCGCTTCGGTGTTGAAAACCATGCTTCTCAGGTCAACGTTGTCTTGGAAAAGAAGATGCAAATACTTCAAGGTTTCAGCGTACCAGAAACTTTCCACATTATCGGATCTCGTTGGTGGGTTTGCCAAGACGTTCTTCAAACATGTGTAAGCACACTCAGAATCGGTATACTTACATTGGACGCCTGAGTGTATCTTAAACGACTGAAAAATCTCCCAACCCCAGTCACGGTACTTGGAATCCTTGGTTAGATGGTATAAGAACATCAACGATTCCACGGTCTCGGGCCTTTGCAGATTATGAGCGTCTGCTGGCTTTACAAAAAAATCTCCTTCCCGAGACTGCCACCAGGAGCCCGTTTCACCATTCAACCCATCGTTGAACACCACAATTTCCGGAGAAAGACCAGACGGTATTTGATGATACATCTGGTAACACGTGTAAGTTAGATCTTGTGCTAAGTTCCAGTCCTCCTCGCGTTCGGCGTCCCAAAAATTTTGTTTCCTCGCTTCTGTAATGGGCCATCCTTCAGTGGCACCCATTGCGATTAATCCACCCATGAAACACACCAAATGATCCATCTTAGAGGAAAGACCACCGTTCAACCCGTTCTCTTTTTCACCAATGTAAACTAGTCCATTGGGCTTGGATCTCGAGATCAAGTGACGCTTGACACCCTCTATCGACTCGCGGTACAATTCGTAATACAAATGCTCATCCGACTGTAAATACTGCTTCAGAAGGTATTCGTAGAAGGAATCTCCACGAGATCCAAGTCTGATATTGTTCCCCCAAAACCGTGCGGTATCAGGATTGGTGTAAATGGGTACAAGACCATCGTAGCGATCAATGAGATTATTTTCCTCATATAAAGGCTTGTAAACCTTCTCTACCTCTTTCCAATACTTGACATCTCCTGTGATGGCGCTAAGGTACTTGAATTCCAGTTGCAACGTAGTGAACTCTGCGGTCGAAGATGACCCCATATCGACATGATTTTTCCTGGATTCTCCGGTGTGCAAATTTACGCTGGAATACGGTATTTTGGCATTTTCGTGGTGGAAAGCTGGCAACATTCTGTCAGCCAAATCCGTGGCTTTTTCCAGATACAGGGTAGAGTTTCCTACTCCAAGTAAATCTGATAGATAGTATGCAGATAGCAAGCCACCCAGCATACGAATAGTGGTCTCGAAAAGCGACACTGATACGTCTATATCGTAATCAAGTTTGGTTTTAATCCAATGTTCGACTCGAAGAATTTCGGCCTTGAACTCCTCTCGATGATGAGCGCTAGAATTGTACATCAGAAACATGCTATCAATGGAGTCGACGATGATCCATCCCAGTGGCTTTTCAGTCGATCCATACATATAGGAACCCTTTTTTGACAGCGGTCGGTACACGTCTGCGTCCCAGCCATTTGAGACGTAATCGCGCCACGATTGTAAAAAGGTACTTTCAATCCGGTTCCGCTTGTACTGTACGAACTGAGATGATGGCGTGAAAAACGCTTGAAACACCACAGCAGCAGATGCAAAAACGGCAAGGTTGGTGAAAATGCGCATTTTAGGTTGGAACAGGTCGAATGAAAGAAAATGATTGCTGGGAATTTTTGCTAAAGCTGTCTCAACCAATGAAGAACAATTCCGAGCTTCCAGAGGTCAATTGACTTAGTCTGCGTTTTTTCAGTTGTAAAATCAAACTGGAGAGCTCGATGGACTAATTGCACAGTGATTAAGGGGTACAATAAAACAGTTTTTTGGCACGAAATGAAATCCTGGAAACCCTAACGTATCTAAAAAACTCTCAGTAGGAGACAATTGCCCTGGCTCAAGTCTTTGGATCGACCAGTTCGCGATGACATGGATTTAGAGTCGATTTCCTAAATGTCGCTTTAATTTAAGATCTAGGCTCATATTACATATATGCCAGATTATATGGTCACGTGAGACAATGATTTTAGAGGTTTTTTCAAAAGGTTTTGGGCCTTGCTCAGTTGGGTTTTAAACGATTCACAATTGGAGCTTTGGTTTGGTGAGAGCCACCTTTCTGGCTATTTCTAGTGATATTTGTTTGTTCATTTGTTTGTTTTTGAATGAATTAGGTCAATTGAAGTTCTAAGAAGAGTTAGAAATTGCGAAGGGTTTCCCTTTAAGGCTTATTTCGCATGCCGCCACCAGCCGGTTATGAGTTATATAAGGGTTCAAATGTGCTGCCAGTCTATGCTTTTCGACAAACTCTTAGAAGTGAGATTTAGCTTTACAGTGATATATTAAATTTATTGGGTTAGACTGATATTTCTGACATTACGGTGAGCTGTGCTTTTAAGGACGATGGAAAAGCTTTAAAGTGTGCTGTGAGAAGAATAGATTTGTGCTAGATTTGTAGTTGGTCATAGGTTAGCTTGCTTCGATACAGGGCAAACGTTTGGCAATGGAAAATTTCGGATCACTTTGTATTTGCCTGACATCTCAATGTCAGTGGTTTGCACTCAGACCAGCAAGAACTGTCAGCCAGCGCTAGCCAACTTAGCGCATGAGAGATTTTGAGCGAGTTCAGAACAATCAAATTTGTGCTACTTACTATGTTCTAAAATGGCTCTCTTCAACTCCGTTGCCAGAGATGCGCCTGCAAACGCAAGCATCATTGGACTTGGTGCAGATACTCACTAAGCAAAACTTAACAATGACTTTTCAATACAACTGAGGTTCTAAAAGCTGCGTATTTTTGAAGAGCACTCGACCCTAGGATTTCTTCCCAAACGATTCCTCTCAAATACAGCAGTATCCACCGTCCACGATAATATCGGAACCCGTGGTAAAAGTGGATGCATCCGAAGCCAGATATAGATATGCTCCCACTAATTCTTCTGGCAAGCCCTCTCTACCCAATGGGGTCAATTCCAACCACCGCTCCTTAATTTTATCGGCCGCAAACCCACTGATAGGCGTAGTGATGTATCCGGGAGATACGGTATTGACCCGGGCGTAGCTCGCCCACTCGACTGCCAGAGATTTGGCCATATGGATGACACCGGCTTTGGTTGCGTTGTAGCACGTTTGCAACTGCGGAACGTTCACGATGTGGCCCGACATCGAAGCCGTGGCGATCAACGAGCCATGACCTTGTTTTTTGAAAACGGACCCGATGAACTTGCTACAGTAGTACACACCTTGGAAGTTGGTTTGCAAAATCCTGTCCCATTCTTCTGACGCTTCCCCACGTTCTTCGGCCTCCACAAGTGAACCTGAAGATCCAGCTATACCTGCGTTTGCCACGAAAACGTCGATCTTGCCCCCAAAATCTTTTAGCACCTGTTGGATCGTATCGTACACCTTCTTTTCATCTGTGACGGGACACTTGTATGCGATGGCCTTGACCTTGTATTCTTTTGCCAATTCTTTGGCAGTTTCAATCAGCCCGTCGTGCGAATTATACCACACTGCAATGTCAGCTCCAGCTTGTGCGAAAGCCACTGCTACGGCACCACCGATGCCCGAGGATGCTCCTGAAATGCATGCAACTTTACCTTTTAGCGAGAACATATCCTTTACATTTTTGGGCAATTTTGGTGCCGGACGAGGCACTTCCAATCCTGTTGCAATAGTTCTAACCATTTCGATATGTTTGTACTGCTGTAATCGATAAACTATTATATATAGAGATGCTAAACTAGATTCTCAACACTTGAGTGTTTAAATTCTACCTAACGCTTCAAATAGGTAGCGAGATTAATACAGAACTTATTTTCTTTGCAATACCGGATTACCGCTCCTTTACACGGCCTTTTATACCTTTGAAGGGACACTGTATCTTTGTCATTAGCTTTCCCGGTTCCGTTGTTGCATTTTCCGATTTCGGTGTAGTTTGTGGAGTATCGGAGATGCGAAGTCGGAATTTGGAATCGCAGAAAAGTCTGGGGAGAAATACAAATAGTTCAAGGTGCATGTAAAATACGCATAGAATATTGGCAGTATGACCGTTTAGGAAAGTTCCGGGGTACTGGTCTTTAAGCTGTCACTTTTGTATCACTGGATACGCTTGTGACGCCAGCGGAAGAGGAAATACTTTTATTAGATCACATGATACATTTGGTATTTATAGTTTGGGCTTGAGATGTGCGTCTGTTACTCTGAGAAGTGGTATTTCTGAGTGTTGGTGTCTCTCCGCTATTGTGGTGAATCGAAAGTAGTGCTTATCGTGAATTAGTTGATTGTGGTGATTCTTGAAGGTTCCATTTTCGATGAGATGTTTGAGTATTGAGTATTTCGAAGACACTCAAGGGAAACCGAGGTGGGGCCCATTCGTCACTGGGGTATATTCTTGAGTAGTAGCAGGGTTGTGGAATGAATTGCATACTGGATGTTCTTTTGGTTCTATTCGTCGTAAGTGATATTAAGTATATTATCACGTGACATAAATTATTATAAAGAAAGCTCTCCCACTCAAGCGGTTGAGAATTATCCATTTCAACAGCCCAACGGCCCTTTCCGCTTTCAACAATACTATACTTTGTTGGCTGCAAATCTGCGTATTTGGCCCCTTCTCCTTGAAAGTGCACGATAGTGGCGTTTTCAGGCTTTGAAAAGGAGGTATTTCCACCTTATTGACCCAAGTACACTGGTACTCGCTTCAAGGTAAGTGATAGACGGCGAGCTATTTCACCCAAGATATACAGACAATAGCTGCATCTCTATCAATGGTCTCTACTTCGATTGGTGAATCGATTCCACCAAACACCAACCATGCGGTGTCTGTGTGTTTGCCCACTTGGGCTTCAACGGTGGGCTACGAAGAAGGTGATCCTGCAGTTGTAGGAAAGCTGACAACAGGATATCCGAGATTTTACATTCACAAATCCATTCAGAAACTTTGCAGCAATTTGGCTGCCAAGTTTGCAAAAGATAATGAATCATGTCTGGTGTTTCCCAGTTATCAGGTCGCCAAAAGATGTCGTGAATTTGTTAGAACTAGGGGAGATAAGACTGCCCGCGTTAGAATCTTGCAACTAGCAACTCCACCACCAGCAATAGATGAAGAACGAGCTTGGCGACGCGAATGTCGTATATCTGTCGTTTTTGTTGACAAGGAATTGTTTCCACTGCTTAAACAGTATTGGCAACATGCTGGCGAAATTGTCAGTAGTCGGATGGCAGAATATGTCTTACAGGAGCTTTCGCTAGTAGAAAAACAAGAAAAAAGCAACCAGAAGCAACCGGTTAGCGATAAAAGTGCGACAAATAACGACGTTAAGGATGAAGAAGATTTTATCGAGAAACGATATGGTAGAAATTTGGATTTCTCATCTGCAGACCATGCCAAGCTTTTAATCAAACGCAGAATCGCTCGTAAAGTGGTCGATGTTGACAATGAAGACGGAGAAACTTCGCGCCTACAGGAACTCAACATTGACTCCGCCAATGACGCTAATCGTGATGCTGCCGCGATGGTGACTTCTACAGATTCCAGTATCCCAGCAGAGGAAATCGAACAAGAAGAGCATGTCCCAGAACCCACGCCATTGGACGAAGACATCCATGTGAACGCAGATCGCGATGTTTTTCTATTTCCTAGTGGCATGGCCTCAATCTTCACTGCTCATAGACTTTTGTTGTCGTTAGATGCATGCCGGGTTCGTCGGAGAATTGCATCGCATGGTGACCGCGCTGATACACCTGGAGCTCACTCACCTGGCGTTACAGATTCTGAAGTTATTGGCTATGGGGCACCCTATAAAAAAACAGTTATGTTTGGATTTCCCTACACCGACACACTTTCGATCTTGAAAAAGTTCAATCACACTCATTTCTTGGGTGATGGTGATGATAAGTCTATGCAACAATTGAAGGAAATTTTGCATTCGGGAGAACAAATTCTCGCCGTTTTCATGGAGGCACCTTCCAATCCGTTACTTAAGATGGGGGATTTGATAGAACTACGAGAATTGTCAGAAGCCTACGGGTTTTACATTGTTGTGGACGAAACTGCTGGAGGCTTTGTGAATATTGATGTGTTGCCACATGCAGACATTGTGTGCTCCTCATTAACCAAGATTTTCAGCGGAGACTCTAATGTCATGGCTGGATCTTTAGTGTTAAATCCACGCTCACGATTGTATGGGTTTGCCCAACAATTTTTCCAAGATGGAGACTTCGAGGACTTACTTTGGTGCGAGGATGTAATCTACCTCGAGCGCAATTCCCGCGATTTTGTTTCCAGAACCTTGACGGTCAACAACAATACCAAGCAATTACTGGACAACGTCTTGATTCCTCAGGAGGGCAAGCTGTTCAAAAAAATATACCACCCTAGTCTCACGTCACAAGAGACAACCAAGAACTACGATGCTGTTAAGTGCACAAAAGGTGGCTACGGTGGTTTGTTTTCCCTTACTTTTTACTCGGAGACCCAAGCACAAGTGTTTTTCGATACTTTACAATTGTGCAAGGGTCCATCCTTGGGTACAAATTTCACGCTGGCGTGCCCATACGCCATTCTAGCGCACTACTCAGAGCTTGACGAAGTGGCCAAATATGGTGTAGAACGGAATCTGGTACGTGTGAGCGTTGGCCTTGAAAGTCCAGAGGCTTTGAAGGAAGTATTCAGACACGCCGTCACCGAGGCCGAGAGAGTCAAATGATGGCATTTGAATTGGACGAGCTAATAAGACATTCGAATTTCGTCGCCAGACTTTCTCTTGATCTCGGCAACATCTCGAAATCTAAACTCAAATGTAGTATTGTGTTTTGATTTGTTGTATGTGGGTTGAATATATATGTCTTAGTGTATATACAATCTGTCATTAAAAGAAGATGTAACCAAACCATTGAAAAGAAGTTGTGGTTAAGTAAGTCAAACCCCATTCATCGTACATCTTGAAATTGCCGGTTCCACCATTTTCATTCCATCATCTCTATTTCAATTCCACGGGTTTTTCGCCCCTGGCAAAACGTGGGTTTCTGGGATCGTTGATGAACTCAGAAGTTTGAGCAGATGCACTGGCAGCTTTACCAACTCCCCAGTAGACGAGCACTCCGCCCACGAAGAAGGGCCAGTATGGCTTCAAAATTGGTGTTGAGAATCTCTTGAACATGGCTGAATCGAAGCAAAAATACAATTGGCCCTTGGGCAGGTGACAATAACGAGGTGCCAAAGGTATGTGGATGCTTGGTTTAGCTGTTTTAACCAAGTGTTAAAGGTGTTGATAGCTAGTATATATCGAAAATTTTAGTATTGAAAATATCTAGAATTGGGATATTGGCAAGTTGATTGGGTCGTGTACCATGATGTGAGAGACAAGGCGTTATGTTGTCGTTCAACACAGGAGTGAATACAGCTTGAAGGAGGTGTTAAATGTGGTAAACGTTTAGTAGAAAATTCTGGGTTTCTAGAGCAGTTTTTTTCATCTTAAAATGTTGTGTTTAAGGTTTGGAAAGGAAGACTTGGGTAAAAAGAATTGGAAAGTTTAAGAAAAATGCTGAGGAGAGAGACATAAAGGTAAAAGTTATGGTGTAGAGTGCTTGCCAACTTTTGAGCTCAGTCAAGGGGGGCAAAAGAATGGTTTGTTTAAAATATGTTAGAATTAGTGTCACGTGACTTTCGAACAAAACCTCTCTTAGCGCAGAGCATAAGCTTCCAACTTTTGGTGTTGAAAGCACACTTGTACCATCTCACAGCTTCCTAGGCTCTAACTCTAAGATTCTTCGAGTTGATGTGCATAGGGTGCCGACAGATCACTTTGCACTGTTCTGTCACGAGCTTTGGCAACGCTTGACTACAATCTCCATATGGCAACCCAGAGCACTGCTATGCATTTATGAGACCCTCCACCACCTTAACGCTTCCATAGCACGTCTAACTGGAGTAGCAAGCCAATGCAATCCGATACACATACCGCACACACGAATTTTGAGTGTTGCAGAGTGCACGAAGAGCGGTACATAACACCGCACATTTGGCTTGGTCCCAAACAGGTGGCTTGAATTTAGTAGACCCTAGACTCAATCTCGATCACCAACGACTTTCAAACGCCCTGGCCCACATTGCGTTGTCAAACGTTTTGGACGGGAAAATTCCGAAAACACGGCAAATAATAAACTTACCATTCCAGACCCTCTCAAACCGCTATACAATCATCCAAGATAATTGTAGGCCACAATTGGAGCTTCTGGTGAGGCGCTATTGAGAAACCATATTGAAATTTCGATCCAGATCATTTTCGTCAATGCTGACCCATCTATAAGAAGAACATGGCATCGCATCCAGAAGAAACCGTCAAAACTGCAAATACCAGCACGTAGAGACCTAGTTATGAGCATTCAACGGTCAGCCTGCAATCCAGAGACATTGAGGCACCTTCAAAATGCCTCCAATGCCTTTTCTGACTATTTGAACGCATACATTGAGGCCTTGAACAAGTACATTGGGCATCAACGTCGAGTCTCGACACTAAGGTTCGAAAGAGCAACACTCATCAAGCACGTCAAGAAGCTTCGCTTTTTCAATGAACAATTGACCGCATTGAACCTTTTGGAAGCCAGCAGATACCGTAATGGTAGTCTCGATACGGTGGTTTCGTCCTTAGCATCATTTTTCATTAGATGCCTCGAGATGGTGGACCTTTTGAACTACTACCTCACACAGGCATTGAAAAACGAAACGATTTCCAAAACCTTAAATAATGATCTAGTGGTCAGCGATCCATGTATTGTGGTTCTCGAAAATGTGTATCGCCATTTCGTGAAATTCACACAATGGATGCTGGAAGCGATAAATCTGCATGATGTAACGCTCACCATCGAAGTTCTGCAATTCGCCCGCAAATGTGCCCAGGAAGATGGTCTCAATGTTGAAGAAACGTCAGATATTTTGCTTCAGGAGGTCGGGATCGTAGAGGACATTCACGAATATAGAGATTTACTGAAGGAATGGTGTACAGTGCTCTGCAGCCAACAAAAAGAACTCACGCAAGCGTTTGATCTCGAGACGGAGCGCTGGAGCCAAGTTTTCGAACAGCGTAAATAGTAGCAACATAGAATCCCGATGTAGGGCAAGAAATGTACAGATTTAGCGACGTTTAGGAGTTAGATGCAAAAATATGCCATCATTTAATATCCATGGGCTTCAAACTGGTGCTGTGACTGGAGATTCGTTTTCTGGCCGACTGTCACCAGACGGTGGTGAAGTCGCAACCATAGCCTCTTCATCCGCGTCTTGATGAGTATTAGCGCTTTCGAATTCTATGTGCTCGCCTTGCCGTTTTTCAAACAGCTGAACCCTGCGAGGTCTTGCAAAATTCCGCAATTGCAGGCTGTAGTCTTCTGGTCGGTCCATTTTCTTTGCCAGATACATATACAGCTGGTTTAGAGTCATTCGAGTGGATTCTCCATGGTATGAGTTGTTCCCCAGTCGCATATTTTCCACGACCCGGGTCGCCTTTTTCAAAGTCATATCAGCCGGAAGCCCATACTTGGCTGGGTTGTCTCTGATGTCAATTATTCTTTGGATTATATGCATTCTCTTAGCGAAGAAAGATCTCTCAGAGCCCTTACATCGCCAGCTTGGCCCAAATCGTCGTTCCAGAGCTACCACAGAAGGTTGTCCTTGTAGACCTTCAAAATACTCTCTAGCTAGATCCTGCACAGTTTTGAGAAGTCGATTCAGACGGTAGTTTGCTGCTCTGTCGTGAATGTTTTCGTCTTCTTCGTCGTCTCTTGAGGCCCCAACTGGTGGTGCGCTTGGAGGCGAAAAATCAGGATGATTTAGACGTTGCCACAGTTCAGTGTTCTCCTGTTTAATGACCTGATTCGGATGATTACTTCTTCTCGCCCCGGATCTTATAGCAGCCTGCTGCATGCGATGAAGGGATTGAAGATCGTTGGAGCCCGGTAATTGGGGTTCGCCCATATTCGCTGCATCCTGGGAAGTGACATTTTCGTCAGAATGGTCCAAAAAGCGTACTCTCTCACCGCTCATAATAGCCACAATCTCTTTGAACACCTCTCTCATACGACCCACTTCATCGGTACCTTGACTGGAACTTCGCAGGCATCTTTCAAGTTTCTTGCAAGTGTCAAGGTAAAATTCTTGTTGATCTTCTTCTAGTTGCTGAATACGCAGCTTTAACGTATCATTCTGATTTTGGATTCTTGCCAATTGTTCAAGAACCAAGGTTTCGAAACTAGCATGAGACGATCCGTCGTTGATGTTGCGAGCATCTTGTTCAACATTGTCTTGGGATTCAATGGGTTCTGGAGATCCACTATTCCGGGTCATCCCCAATGGGTTTAGAGTTCTGTTTAAGAATGGAAATCCCTTTGCCCTAGAGGTAGTGACTTTTATACGTTTGGTGATGGTGATGATGATCCTGCGATGAGTTGACGATTTCATTAACTTGATTGAACAACTAACTCATCGCGATCAACCATGTATCCAGGAAGGGAAGTATAGCTGACAGAAGCACCAAGACTAATCCAACTTGGGTATTGATATATGTAGATTTTACACACCATTTCATGTATGAAGATCGTAAAGGTACGTTTTGAGCGTAATTTGGGCTTCTCGAGCGTAAGTACTATCACCTTAGGTTCAATTTCGATCGGACAGATACGTTTAGTAAATCACTCTTAGGGTCGGAAGTTGAACGAGATTCCCAAGTGAGTTTGATGTGTTCTTTGTGGTTCACACAATTGGACTCACTGGAACAGTAGTGCTGCGGCAACATCTGGGTTGCCATTGGCTTGTTGTAAAGCCTTAAGAACCTCTGTTCTGGAAAACCCCAAATCCATCAACTGACGGACCGCTGATGCTGGATATTGTACCACGACGGGAGTCTGTTCGTTTCTTGCGGCCACGGCGGGAGCCTGTTCCTTTTTGATGGTTTGACCCGTTGCAGTGGCCCCAAGAACTTTGGCATCAAAATCCTTGGGTAGCTCCGCTTCGCTCAGAAATTTCGTCTCTACGCCAGCGATCTTCAAAACGTCGTTCTGAAGATCAATGCAAGACTGGTGTCTCTTCAACATATCCAGTCCCAGTAGCATATCCACATGCGTATCAAGTACAGTAAAGCTGCAAGGAATGTACTGGGTCTCGATTTTGACCTGGGCAACATGAATCTTCCCCAGAATCTTTTGAACGCCTACCCCATGTGCTTCGCCTTGAAACCGTTTATCAATCAGCTTGAAAAGTCCCGTCTTATGCGCTAGTTTTGTCGATATGATTGTAGTTTGAGCACCAGAGTCTACAAACGCTTTCACCGGCGTACCGTTGATCTCCAGGTTGATGTAGAGCATGTGCACCGGAGTGAACATTTCAGGTGTGAACTCCAGAGCATTGCGCATTTGTTCGTCAATTACCTGCTGGCTTTTCAGTTCGTCAAGACGTTGACGATTAGCAGGATCGCTTGGGTTTCGCATCAGCCGGTCGTACTCATGCTGCGGTATACCAAATTCATTACCGAACTGCGTAGCTTGTGAATTCAGGCCTTGCAAGATGTAGGGTCCGGCCCTTTCACGAAATGCCACAGGATCGTTTACGATCGTGGCAAATTCCGGGTTCGATTGTGCTAATTGTGCCCGAACAGCAGGGTTTTGGGCCACTTGTTGTCTAAATTGTTCCACCAAGGCATCTTGTGTGGCAGTTCCTCCAGCGGTGGCTACCCCACTTGCCGTATCTCTTTTCTTAGTTCTGATGGCCACCATTTCATCGTCAACAAAGCCGGTTTGTTGTAAAGTATCGGATCCCAAAGGGTCTAAAGCACGGTTGGCAAACCAAAGTTCGTGTAATCCGCTGTTGAAGCCGCAATCCAATTGCAGCAGTGCTGTCAGATCTTTGAGCTCCATGTCAGCACTAACATCCAGTGTCAGAAAATCGTCCGTAACCTCGTTATTGATCGTTAGTCTCATTGCAGAGGGGAAATGGATGGATAACAACCTAGCTGTTGATTACAACGGTATATATGCTTGGTAAAGTGGCAGTAAGTTGGTCTAGTTCCTTGAACAGATGACAAGTTGCAGAAACCCAATATTTTTGTGTGGTTGAAGTTGAAGCTAACGTCAAAGTGACAATGGGAGTGGTTATAAGAAGAGGTGATGTGTGATGTAGAAAGTGGCTCGAATATAAAGGTTCCAAAAGAACAGTTGAGTGGCGATACTTTGTACGTAAAATTAGTAATGCAGATTTGACTTGTTGACGTTGTGAGGCGATCTGCAAATGTAGAGAAACGGTAATTGGTAGAAAGGGGAAGGAAAGCAAGAACATGGGCATTTCCACACACTCTAGTTTCCATGACCCCTCAATTCCCGCTCCAAGACCTCAAACTGGTCCCGCAGCTTGTCGTTGTCTTGTCCTGTAGCCTTTTTGTTCACATTTATGGGCAAAAGACGGGTTCCCACGTTATCGTCAAGATGCTTGATTTCCCGTCGCAGTGCGACCGTTGCATGCTCCAAGCTGGAGTAAAAACTGCGTGTATGGTTTTCAAACTGCGTTTTCATCGTGTCATTCCCTCTTTTCAGTTCTTCCATTGTCCCCACGACTTGTGAAGCATGTAGAAGTGTCGAAACCAAAAGATCATCGATTGTGTCCAAACTTTTGAGTCTTTCCTGGATAAATTCGGGTTGTGGCATCGTTAGAATCGGAGAATCAGCTATTGTTGAGTTGAAAGCCTGTTTGAAGCTTCAAAATCGATATTCAACGGGCCTTTTAATGCTTTTATTTACAACTTGACCGTTTGAACAAGATGTCGAAAGTTAACTTAGATGAGATGAGATGGATCTTCAAATACATCAATAACATCGATCCAGCCAACATCACCGATCCAGGCATCACTGGTCACTCAAATCAGCACCACCGGGTCATTTGTCTCAGCTATAAAAGCCAGACCGGAGAAAGACATGGCCATCGAACTAGGACTTTCCAAAATAAGTCGTCTTTTGTCGCACCTGGGAAACCCGCAGAACAAGTTCAAGGTTCTACACGTTGCTGGAACCAATGGCAAAGGCTCCGTATGCTCATTGTTACAATCTGTGCTTCAAAGTAATGCAAACTACCGCGTAGGGAAGTTCACATCGCCCCATTTGGTCCACATAACAGATTGTATAAGCATCAACGGGAAACCCATTCCTTGGCAAGACTTTCAAAGCATTAGAGACCAGTTGCAAGAGACGAACAGAAAGCACAAATTTGGATGTTCAGAGTTTGAACTTTTGACATGCACAGCGTTCAGCTATTTTCAAAGCATGAAGTGCAATTGGTGCGTCTTGGAAGTAGGTTTGGGTGGTCGTCTGGATGCTACAAATTGTTCAATTGGAACAAACAAGATTTGTGGGATTACCAAGGTCGCAATGGATCACCAAAGCTTTCTGGGAGACACTTTGGCAAAGATTGGGAATGAAAAGGCGGGTATAATAACTCCTGGTGTTGAGTTTGTTGCCGTGGACGGTACCAATGAGACTGAAGTGCTTGATGTCATTGAGAAACGAGCCGTCACCGTCAACTGCATTGCGTCATATACTTCCTCCATTGTTTCTGGTAATATCATCAAAAGTGAGTCTTGGGGCGATATAGACCGGAACATTGTACCACTGAATGGCAGCTACCAGATCTCAAACGTAGCGGTTGCCATTTCCATGCTGGACTATCTGCAAAAGAAGAAACTCATATCCATTTCATTGCCACAGCTTCAAGATGGGCTGAAAAATGTTCGCTGGCCAGGAAGACTACAGTATGTGAATTACTACACAACAGACAAACATAAAGAACATTTGAAATTGTTGATAGATGGCGCACACAACGGCAATGCAGCAACCGCTCTTGCAACCTATGTCACTGAATCGTTTCGTCCACTTGGGTCCGAACCGGTTACTTTCGTCATTGCCGTGACGCAGGGAAAAGATGTGCATTCTCTGCTCGCTCCTTTAATCAAACCTCAAGACACTGTCATAGCTACACGATTTGGAAAAGTCGACGGTATGCCATGGCTATCGGCTATGGACTTGCCTGATTTGGCATCGCAGGTTGCGAAATACACGCAAAACGTCTCAACGGCACCTGATATTCAGACAGCCCTTGACCAATTGCCCGAAAATCATCCAAGCAGCCAAGTGGTAGTTTGCGGATCTCTCTACTTGTGTGGAGAGCTTCTTCGTATCGAAAACGTTGTATAGTGAGCTAATGCTTCGCACGTTTTGTAGCCCGCAGTCTCTGCGTAATATCCTGTTTTTCAGATTTGCGTTTTGCGCTGCTAGGTTCATGTTTCTGGCCACCACTTTCTGATGTATTCTCTTTTTCAGATTTAGGTTTCGATAGCTGTTCTTTGAGACCCTTTTCTGCATCTTCCCCATGCTCACGAACAATCGGTTTCTTGTCTTCTTCGGCCTCTTCAACTTTGACATTTGGTATTTTCTCAACGTCAGAATCGTGCTTGACCGCTGAAGGATTTTCATGTGTAAAACTTGGAATGTCTTCGTGTTTTGCCAAAGAAGTGCTGGTTTTGTCTTCTTTTTTGAATAAGTCTCTGATCGGAGCCTTAGCTGGTGCTATGAGGTACTTTCCGTTATTTGACACCTTTCCCACGTCTGTACTAACCTGCCACCATTCCAGCTCATCTTCATTGCATTGTGCCTGGAGAACCTCTTTTAATTCTGACTGATTCCATTGAGTTTTCGACTCATCCAACCATGTATCCCACTGCTTTGACCGCCAGTTTAAGACCACAGGCATTCTTCTATGAAGCCACTCCATGTTAGACGGAGCCGGTGCAGTTATGATTGTGAAAGTGTACAAATCTTCGGACTCGACTCGATCGTACATGCCTGCCAAGAACATTACTTCTCGATCCTTGCGGGTCACATAGTAGGGGATTTTCTTCTTTCCCTTCGTGAGCCATTCATAGTATCCACTTGCAGGCACAACACATCTCTTATAGTTGCTGGGTGCCGTCCACATTTTGCTGCTCGATATATTCTCACAACGGGCATTGAACGTCTTGTAAGGCTGCGATTTGGAAACGTCTTTTACCCAGTGAGGAATGAGCCCCCATTTCATGTCCCGCACTTTTTTGTGGTGTGTATAAACCGGGGCGGTATTGGTTGGTGCCACATTATAAGAAGGTTGAATTCCAGAGGTGTCCTGCTGTCTATTGTTTTCGAACTGAAATCCCAGTTCATGGAAACGTTGGTCAAGTTGACCGGCAGTACAATCAAGAGCGTATCTGCCACACATGATAAGAGGCCTTGGTAGGAGGTTGGGAACCCAAAGCAAACTTTTGATATTTTTGAAGGCCAGAAAATGTGAATACCCTATTTCAGCGGTTTCTACTCGTTGCTTGAAAACAAAGACGTCAACTATCTAGACTTAGTGCGTGCCTCACCTGTTTGGAGTAGTCGCTGTAGAATATCTACTTCAAATTGATGTTAAACCCTTTGGTTATGTTTCTGCAATGGAAGATGGATGAGAGTATGTGCTCAGTACAACTATTAAATCTAATATAGCGATGTCACTAGTCCTATGACTGGTGTTGTCTACAGCAGGGTATTCATTGACGGGGTTGTATCCACCTCTGCATTCTCCCAACAGAAGTAAGTACTTCAAAAGAGAATAATACCTTGTTTCGGCTGTTGCCGACTAGAACTGCCACAGTGCAACGTTGTAGCTTCTTTCAATGCCTATTCTACTTATGAGGTAGTCCTTGAGAGCACGGAAAAGAGACGAAAGCTACATAAATATATAGTTCAGCGAGTAGTTCAGGTAATAAGCTTTGATGCTGCTTGAGCTCTACAAATGTTCTTTCTTAGCTTTCTTGTTCTTCAATCACTGGTCCTCGCCATAGATGTTAGGTTAAAATAATGAAATTTATGTCAAATGTTCATGAACTTAGCAGTTTTTGACAAAAAGCGTCGAAAAAGCGTCATTTTGAACCTCGAAAAAGGTCGCATCATGCTTGCAGCACGATTTGCAGTGAGAAATGGGTTTCGTAGGGCTTCCTACGCTTCTTCCAAGGCCAAATTGCCTTTAGTTCGACATATCACTACGAATTCGTACGGTGCTGCTTTCAAAGCGAACCAGAGCGTTTGGCAGAAATGGCTTTACGGAGTGGGAATGTTTGGTGCACTTTCAGCTGGATTATGGTATTTTTACTGGCCCAGACACACGTTTTCAACCAGTGTGGCGAAAATCTTAAGAAAAGCGTTGTGGGAGGAAAGTGATCGGAAGGACCACGATTATCAGGCTGCCCTCAAATACTACCTGGAGGCGCTGCAGGAATGTGACAAGCTAGAAGTGGATCCTATCAGTGATGAATACACTGGTATTGAGCTGAAAGTGGCCGAAATGTACGAAAGACTGGACATGGGCGACCGTGCCCACGATTTGTATTTGGAAATGCTGTACCGGTATTTCGACGCTTTACATAGTCCGGGGCGTGTTGCGGATAATCTGAGACCGCATTTGATCCAAAAAGATTTGCGCGTACTCATCAAGTCTTTGGAGATGAACAAAGACGTCCAGATCGGAAAACGAAATTTGCTGGCACATCTGTTGTTAGCGCAAGAAGAAGTCCTCAGTCGTTCTCCAGAGCTCAAAAAATACTTTGACAAACGCAAAGAGCGGACCGCAAAGCTGTTTCGAGGAGATACCATGGCAGCCCAACCGCTCGAGTTTCAAAACCTGGTGAACGAGGACAACATCAAGCTGAATGAGGAATCGTACATGATTGTGGACTTGGCAAAAAACAGCAGTGCGTGGGAGCCGTTCAAAGAGGAGTTCTTCACCGCGAGAGATCTTTATACGGCCTACTGTTTGTCTACGCAAGACATCACATCCGCACTAAGCTGCAAACTCACCACTGTGGAGTGGATGGTAATGGCCGATATGCCTCCGGGTCAAATATTACTGTCTCAGGCTAATCTGGGCTCCCTACTATACCTGCAAGGAGAAAATTTTGAATCTAGGATCCATAAGCTGACTTTGCAGCGCGAACAAGCCGCTAACTCTTCCGATGATGACACCATGATAAGAACTTTGCGTCAGCTTCATAAAAACAGAGATTCGTGTTTTGAAATGGCCCACAAGTGCTATGACAGCATTATCAGATTTTCCAAGAAAAACAAAAAGTTGAGGTTCAACGCCAAAGATCTGATGGACCCATCAGCAGCTCACGCTATTGCTCTCTCTATTTACGGAACTGGTGTGATCAGCCTGCATAAACGAAACTGGGCCAAAGCGGAGAGACTCTTGAATGAATCCATAGCTCTTGCCGAAGAAACGAATTTCCAAGAGCTTCTCACCGAAGCCCATCAAGAACTACGCAAAGTTGCAATTGCCAAAGAGGCTGCTGCGTCAAAGTCCACAACCGATACGCCAGCAAACTAGTTGGCGATTCTACCGGGTCAAGATGTCACGATATAAAAAAGTGATCTTGTATATACAAGGTTTATGATTATTCACATAACAAGCATTAACTCTACTCACAAGAGAACTATTGCTCGAGCAATGTGCAACTTATCATTCAGTTGAGCTCTATTGCTTCTTTCGTTTTACCATCCCACAATGATACTGCGACGTACCGGCGCTTTAAAAGTGTATCGAAGCCCGTTTCAGACCCACCTCAGGTTTCTGGCCACAGTACCCATCTCGAAGGCCAAGCACGACATTAAAAAAGTGTTTGATGACCAGCGGTACTGGCGAGATATAAATAACCAGACCTATCGTACGGCAGAATCAAACAATACCAACATTTTTGGCAGATTGAAAAATGCGACCAAAGTCGCTGATAAACTGGAGACCGGCCTTTTTCAAAATCCGTACCTAACGTCAAGTCAGGGACTTCGAAAGTTTAGTCTCAGAACTTTGGAAGAAGCACAACAGCTGGTCGATACCATGCGTTCAGATCACTCTCCACATGGACTTCTGACATACGTTCAAAGACTCGACAGGTTAAGTGACATGCTGTGTCGTGTGATAGATTTGTGCGAGTTCGTAAGGGCTTCGCACCCAGATCCGCATTTCGTTCAGGCTGCACAACTGTGCCATGAAGAGATGTTTGAGTTCATGAACGTTCTGAATACTGACACTTCTCTTTGTGAAGTTCTCAAAGCTGTGCTTGCAGACAAATCCCTCGTGAGCCAACTCAGTGTTGAGGAATTACGGGTGGGGAAAATACTTCTTGAAGATTTTGAAAAATCTGGCATAGATATGGCCCCTGAGATTGGTGAACAGTTCATAACCTTGTCGCAGCAGATCAGCCTTGTAGGACAAGAATTCATTAATAATACAGATTATGCGAAAAACCAAAGCGTGTCCATACCGTGTTCAGATCTTGAAAAGAGCGGAACCAGTAAGATTTTGCTGGATCAACTCTCGCGTGACGCTCGTGGACGTAGCTATAAGATTCCAACCCATGGCTACATACCTTTTGCCATCCTGAGAGGGTGCCCGGATGAGAAGATCAGAATGAAAGTGTGGACCGCGATGCATAGCTGCTCCGACCAACAAATCGTAAGATTGAAGCAGTTGGTGAAGCTAAGGGGGTATTTGGCGCATATCATGGGTAAAGAAAGTTACGCACAATATCAGCTGGAGGGCAAGATGGCAAAATCTCCAGTGTATGTTCGTGGCTTTGTACAATCGTTAGTTGATACTACCAAGCCATTGGCAGTACAAGAGCTTAGAGTTCTTGCAAACTTGAAAAGTGAACATCGTGGTTTGAAAAAGCCGGAGTCTGACTTGGAGGTCTTAGATCTGGTGCGGCCGTGGGATCGCGATTTTTATAGCGCACTGAATGCCCTTCAACAGCAGCGTAAAACTCTCGAGAACGAACAGATCAAGTCATATTTCTCTCTTGGAACAGTCGTACAAGGTCTTTCGAATCTATTCCAAAGTATCTACGGAATCCACTTAGAGCCAGTGGTCAGTGTTCCTGGAGAAACGTGGTCTCCGGAAGTCCGTCGACTCAATGTTGTCAGCGACACCGAAGGTATCATTGGTGTTGTCTATTGCGACCTTTTCGAGCGACAAGGTAAGACTACAAATCCTGCGCATTTCACGGTGTGTTGTTCACGTCAAATATATCCAGAAGAGACAGACTTTTCTACGATTCAAACTGGGCAGCTACAAACAACAGGCGAGAAGTTTCAACTTCCAGTGATCTCACTGGTCTGCAGTTTTGCGCACGAGACTGAATCTGACGAAAGTGCATGTCTGCTGCAGTTGAGCGACGTGGAGACGTTGTTCCATGAGATGGGTCATGCTATGCATTCAATGCTCGGAAGAACTTCGCTGCAAAACATTAGTGGAACGCGTTGCGCGACCGACTTTGTGGAGCTTCCAAGCATTTTGATGGAACATTTTGCTCGCGACCCTCGTGTTCTATCCAGCATTGGTCAACATTACATCACTAATGAGCCTGTGCCACTAGAACTACTCAAATTGAACCAAAACGAATTAAACTACCTACAACACACGGAAACGTACTCTCAAGCCAAAATGGCGATGTTGGACCAGGGTCTTCATTCATCAATCATGCTGACAGACCAGCCTATAAATGTTGTAGAGATGTACCATGATTTGGAGAAGAGACTCGGGGTGCTTAGCGACGACAAAAGTAACTGGTGTGGTCGGTTTGGACATCTTTTTGGATATGGTGCCACTTATTACAGCTATCTGTTTGATAGAGCTATTGCCAGCAAGGTTTGGAGTCACTTGTTCGCTCGTGATCCTTTTAGCAGACAAAATGGCGATAAATTCAAGAATGCTGTCCTCAAATGGGGTGGTTCGAGAGATCCATGGGAATGCATTGCAGATGCACTAGACAACAAAACACTCTCCAATGGAGATGAAAATGCGATGAGATTTATAGGCCGCACAGAGGATATTTAGTGCGGGACGAGGGCCAAAAATTGCAGGAGAGAGCAAGACCTACACCAAAGTAGAGAATGGGTCGCAGTGCAACCTCGAGGAACCTACCTCGAGAAATCTTCAAAAATCAGTATCTTGTAAATAGTGCATAATTGAAGACTAACCGTTGCTTTGCCGTATTCTTGACGCCATAAGTGGGTAAGCCGTTCACGATTGTGATAAAGATGTAAGTGACCATTTTTGGCATCCTTGTTTCTTGATTATTTTTATCTTTTCAAAGAAAAAGAGCCTTGTTGGCGCAATCGGTAGCGCGTATGACTCTTAATCATAAGGTTAGGGGTTCGAGCCCCCTACAGGGCTTCATTATATTTTTTGAATCATCTTATTGACATATATTCACAACTTCCATACCTCTATTTGATGTTACCTGACCAGATAACAACCTAAAAGTACAGGTTTCAATTCTCAACTCAACTCAGACACCATTTTGCGTGGCTCTTGAACCTCAATTCAAGTGCTTCCGAAGTTTTCCAGAATGGGAAGCGAGGCGACGACTTTTATTTTAGATGTGTCACCATCGATGGTTAAGCTAGGGTTTTCTGAGCAAGCAATGGCTTACATAGAATACGTCCTATTTCTTAAAGCTAAAAAACAAAGAAAGACTGATTGGGCGAGCTGCTATCTCGCAAATTGTTCAATGACGCGAAATGACCAGGAAACGGACAATGTCTTCCAGCTACTGCCATTTACGGCGCCTATATCTGCCACTAGGATAATAGAAGCAATACAGGAACTTCAAACCATTATTGACCAACAGTATGCCGATCAGAAGACTGTGAATTCCATGGTCCAAAGTCTTTTGGTTTCCTCTGTTGGCATGCGCGATGAGTTCAACAAGCGTAAGGTGAAAAAACAGATTATGATCTTTACCAATGATCTGGATGGTCTGGACCTTACAGAGCAAGAGCTGGACACTTTGAGACAGGAGCTCGACTGCCGCATAATACTTGTTACTTGTGGCGTTGAGGAGGCAGATGTTGTAAAGCATGAGAAATCCATATGGGAAAAGTGTGTGGACATCATTCCGGGCTCGATACAGATATCAATGACCGAGCTTCTCCAGGAAATCACCACTCCTAATCCTGCAATTGTGAAGCCCGTACGTATTTTCCAAGGGGAGCTGCGGTTGGGAGCACCCATTTTAAAAAATGACGATTCCGATGAGGCTTGCAGCTATACGTCGATAAAAGTAGAGGGATATCCCGCCACAAAGGCGGTTACAAGTCTCAATCGACGTGTTGTTGCCAAAGAAGAGGACAATCATTATGAGCCTGTCAAGGCAATTATAGAATATGAAGCTTTCGATCTCGAAGATGACGACGACGACGAGGATGGCGGTGAGAGAGGCGATGGATTTTCAGATGCGAAAGGAGACATTAGCTCTAGAACTGTATCGATTGCGCGTGATTCAGTAACGAAAGCGTATAGATATGGCACAGACTACGTGGTGCTACCTCCAGCCATCGAATCTGAGCGAATTTACCATACTAGTCCTGGTCTAGATATCCGCGGTTTTGTTGGTCGGGCTGAGATACCCCGACATTATTTGAGCTCGGAGTCTACATTCATACTGCCCGCCATCAAGGAGGGCACACAAGCGGACACTTTGGCACTGACAGCATTGGTTGATTCCATGATACATCAAGATAAAATGGCAATTGCTAGGTACGTTCAGCGGACAGACAGTGAAGTACAAATGTGCTTACTATGCCCGCTTTTGATTTCACAAAAACGTAAAAGCACAGGGACCGATGCAGACCCTAAATCACGAGCTCTAGTGCTGAGTAGACTGCCATTTGCCGAGGATGAGCGTGCTTCAGACTACCCTAGATTAACGCCCGTCTCGACAGATGCCAAACAGCTGCAGAAAAACAAGGAAGTCGATACATTAATGGAAGAGTTTGTCAATTCAAGAGATCTTGGTGAAGGCCTGGGTGCTACTTGGTACTCCACGCCGCTGTACCAGCCTGTTGATGCTTCGATAACTACAGACTCGACGTTGCCACTGCCAAACAAAGAGCGGTCGCGTGATACGGAAGTTTATGCAACTCCTGCGATAGGTATACACCGGATGCAGCAGATCCTGGTCGAGTATATGCATCAGAGGATTGTGCGTAAGTCGGAAAAGTTCGAAGTTCCAGGACTTCCTAGCATTTACGACAAGCTACTGAATCCAAAGTTTGACAACACAGAAATTCCCACTCAGAAGCTACAAGAACGAGTAGCAATAAAACTGAATAACACCAAGCCTTCGGGCAATCCTTATTCCGATGAACAGCAGGATGAAGACGAAGAGTTCTACGATATACCAACTCTGGAGAGTTTACTTGCAAGGGGGAAGTCTTAAAAGAAAAACTCCATGTCATGTGCTTTGTGCGTGATAATCACATGTCTGAGAATTTCCTAAATTGAATTGGAAACAAGCCTGACCCGACAAAGGAACAGCGAGGGATTGCCGGAACTGGATGAGATCCAAGTATAAAAAGGGCATTGCAACCAACTTATACCCCGCGAATAGGGGCTTACTCGTCATCCTTTAACAAAAAGCTTCACTGAATAGCTAACTAAAGAAATTCGAACGGTTTCTTGATTTACTACACCTACAAGAGAATTGGAACCTGTGTTCACAGCAGAGAGCGGAAACATTTTCGAACTGATTTTGAAGAAACTTGATTGACAAGTCTAAAATGTCACCATCGATTGAGACCGTAGCCACTAAGGCATATCATGATCAAAAGCCGGGTACTTCTGGTCTACGTAAAAAGACCAAAGTTTTTATGAATGAACCGCATTATACCGAAAACTTCATTCAGGCTATCCTGGAAGCAATCCCAGAAGGAAGCGAAAATGCAACCCTTGTGGTGGGAGGCGATGGTAGGTTCTATAACAATGAGGTTGTGCAGCTTATTGCTGCAATTTCTGCTGCAAACGGGGTCAGAAAATTAATCTTGGGTCAGAACGGAATTTTGTCAACGCCCGCTGCATCGCACATTATTCGCTCGTACCACGAAAAATGTACCGGAGGTATCATTTTGACCGCGTCTCACAATCCAGGTGGTCCTGAAAATGACTTTGGAATAAAGTACAACTTGAGTAATGGTGGACCAGCACCAGAATCTGTCACCAATGCGATCTACGAAAAATCGAAGCAGCTCACAAGTTACAAGATTGTTAAGAATTTCCCAAAGGTCGACATCTCCACAATCGGCACAGACAATGACTACGCAGGCCTTTTGGTCGACGTTGTGAGCTCCACCGCTGACTACGTGGCCTTCATGAAGTCCATTTTCGATTTTGACTTGATCAAGCGCTTTATTGATGTGCAAAGGTCAACAAAGGGTTTCAAAATCTTGTTTGATTCTTTGAATGGTGTTACCGGGCCTTACGGAAAGTCCATTTTCGTAGATGAATTTGGATTGCCTGCAGAGGAAGTTTTGCAAAATTACATTCCTCAGCCAGACTTTGGCGGTTTGCATCCAGATCCCAATTTGACGTATGCTCACACTTTGGTTGAGAGGGTAGACAGGGAGAAAATTGCGTTTGGTGCCGCCTCTGATGGTGACGGTGACAGGAATATGATCTACGGATATGGACCTGCGTTTGTTTCTCCAGGTGACTCGGTTGCCATTATCGCAGAATATGCGGCAGAAATCCCATATTTCAAAAAGCAGGGTATATACGGGTTAGCACGTTCATTCCCTACATCTGCTGCCATTGACCGTGTGGCTAAGGCTCAGGGCTTGGACTGTTACGAAGTGCCTACGGGTTGGAAATTTTTCTGTGCACTCTTTGATGCAAAAAAATTGTCAATCTGTGGCGAGGAGTCCTTTGGTACCGGTTCTAACCATGTAAGAGAAAAGGACGGTGTGTGGGCCGTTGTTGCATGGCTGAATATTCTGGCTATTTACGACAGAGATCACCCTGGTAGTGACGTGTCGATCAAGACCATCCAGGACAATTTCTGGAAAAAGTACGGTAGAACCTTTTTCACACGTTACGATTTCGAGCAAGTGTCGAGTGAAGCCGCTAACAAGGTGCTGGACGTTCTAGACACGCTTGTGAAGAACCAGAAAACGACTATTGGGAAACCGTTTGCAGGCGAGCCAAGCTTGACAGTGACTGAAGCCGGTGACTTTAGCTACACTGATTTGGACGGTTCTGTATCCGAGCACCAGGGGCTATATGCTAAGCTGTCTAACGGGTGCCGTTTCGTGGTGAGACTTTCGGGCACTGGATCTTCGGGCGCCACCATTAGGTTGTATGTTGAGCGTTACAGCGACGATGCCTCCCAGTATTCTTTGAACGCTGACAAGTTTTTGGCAGATGACATCCAAGGCATTTTGAAATTTTTGAAATTCAAAGAATTCCTCGGCACCGACGAACCAACAGTCAAGACATAAGCAAGCCCATTAGATCGCTTTCAAATCGTTTTGCTACGATTTATTTCCTATGGATTCTGCAAGTTTTCCGCTTGAACTTAAACAAAGCATTATTTACCAAACATAACGCACGCAATGACACCTAAAGCAGAACTGTGTGATCATCATCTGTGCATTTGAATCTCAATACAACGAGCTTAATGGAAACTAACCCATAGCCCAAATCCTAGACTCTGTCCATATATTCGTCGTCCAAGTAACGGTCATTTTTGAGACGTCAGTGACTTTCTCGACCAATGTAGCTAGTTCAGAAAATCATGAACTTTTCTCCCTTCGTACGTCGCGATTAGATTTGACGAAAACAATGATAATATTGAAATTAGGTATAAGAATAACGCATCTCAACTGTTCAACGGCCCTATTGTTTCCATCAACACTCGAAGATGTACTCGTGGAAGATCGCTAATAAGTTTAAGTTTGGTCGTTCGAAAGAGGACAAAGAACGGGAAAAGGAAAAAGAACGGGAAAAGTCCAAGGACAAGGAGAAACATGGGTTTTTCCATCATAAAGGTCATCGCAGTGAATCGCCATACAGGGAGCCTCCAAGAGACTCAGCCGACCGAAAGGAAACTATAGTTGCTTCTACATCACTTATAGCGCCTGTGAGACTCTCTACGGATGTCAACAAATACTCTACAACCAATTCCTCGATATCCACGGGAAGAGACTCACAAAGGACCACCGGCGAGTTTGACGATTATGTGGCAGATTCTAACGGTGGAAGAAATGAGCTCGACCAGGCGTACAGTACCGGCGACGATGAAAGCGCAGATTTTGGCAGGGACTCAAGTAGGATCAGTGGATCCGGTAATTCTTCCACGACACAGGATGAAACAGGAACCAACGCGGAACCACTTTTTTCAGGTATCATGACAGTCAAAGTTTATGGTGGTGAGGGTTTCAAACTGCCCGTTCCAATCACGTCAAATGTTCAGATTTTGAAAAAGCTTTTGAGTTCCGGGGTGATCCATCAGTCAGCAGAGGAACCAGGCGTCGATCAGCTGATTTCGTCTTTGTCTCAATTAAAGCTCGAAGAAAACGGTGATGAAGAGAACTTGATAGAAGGAGACGTAGCTACGCGTTTTATCCCTGCCACAATTACGTTGCCAAGCTCAACGGATTTGAATCCGCTGTTGTATTTCACTATCGAGTTCGATAATACTGTCGCGAGCATCGAGCCAGAATCAGGCACAATCTCCAACCTAAATTTTAACAAGATTTCCACATTTGATGTGACCCGGAAACTGCCTTTTTTGAAGATTGATGTCCTGGCCCGTATTCCCTCGATTTTGTTACCGTCCAAGGCATGGCAACAATCGAATTCGTCCGATCCACATATTCGCGACGTACTTGATCGCATCAACAGCAATCAAGACATTCACCTGGACTCTTACAATTTGCCGTTGACTCTAGATTTCAATTCAGCAACAAGTTTCCGACTCTACAATCATCAATGGGTCAGTCTCGAAAGGGGCAACGGTAAGCTCAACGTGAGTGTTGACTATAAACCTGCCACCAATAGATCTTTAAGCATTGACGATTTTGATCTGCTCAAAGTGATCGGTAAGGGCTCTTTCGGCAAAGTCATGCAGGTGAGGAAAAAGGATACGAACAAAGTATATGCTTTGAAGGCGATCCGCAAGTCTTATATCGTTTCTAAGTCCGAAGTTGTGCATACTTTGGCAGAAAGAACTGTGCTGGCTCGTGTTGACAATCCATTCATTGTACCACTGAAATTCACCTTCCAATCTCCCGATAAGCTGTATATCGTGCTTGCTTTCATCAATGGGGGTGAATTATTCTACCATCTCCAAAGGGAGGGTCGATTCTCGCTATCAAGAGCACGGTTTTATGCTGCGGAGCTGCTATGTGCCTTGGAAACTTTGCATAATCTCGACGTGATATATCGAGATCTAAAGCCTGAGAATATTTTGCTAGATCATCAGGGGCACATTGCCTTGTGCGATTTCGGGCTGTGCAAGCTGAACATGAAAGGTCAAGACAAGACAAATACGTTTTGCGGGACCCCTGAGTATTTGGCGCCTGAATTGCTGTTGGGCCAGGGCTACTCGAAAGTGGTTGATTGGTGGACCCTAGGTGTGCTTTTGTATGAGATGCTTACAGGATTACCACCATATTACGACGAAGATGTGCCAAAGATGTACAAGAAGATTTTACAGGAGCCGCTACGGTTCCCGGACGGCTTTGACAAAGACGCCAAAGACTTACTTATCAGTCTCTTGAGCAGGGATCCAAAGCGCAGATTGGGATTCAACGGCGCTGAAGAGATCAAATCTCATGCATTTTTCAGCCAGCTCAACTGGAAGCGTTTGTGGATGAAGGGATACATTCCGCCATACAAACCACCTGTGATGAGCTCACTGGACACCAGTAATTTTGATCAAGAATTTACAAAAGAACTACCGGTAGACAGCGTGGTGAACGATTTTCTGAGCGAAAGCGTGCAGCAGCAGTTTGGAGGCTGGACCTATGTGGGTAGTGAGCAATTGGGAAGAAGTGTAAGATGAGCCTGGGATATTTGTGTGTGTATGTATCATTTATACAGATACATAGAAGCTCAAGAGTCACGTGCTGAGAAAGAGACTGGATCTCCGGACTTACGTAATCGACTCGAGTACTTTGTCGAAATTGTCGGTATGGTGTGCCTACCCAATAACTAAAATATCGAATTCCTCTCAGCTAGTGTAGTAGGTACTGTCTGATGACATGGTATTTTACATTACAGTTTGTCTATTGGTAACCAATATTGAACTCTAACTGTCAACGCACACCACTTGGTCTAGGTCTCGTGTACCTTGGATAGGAAAAGACACCATACGTGCGTAATGATGAGTTTTCAAGAGAATTCGATTCTGTCAAAACTGTCGACCCCGAATGTAAGAGCTTTCCACAGTACACAGCATTGTCTGGATCTGCTGGTGACAACACCTCCGAAATGTCTATCACTTTGTGAGTGAACAATCTAATGAATCTGAATCGTTCCAAATGACTCCAATAAGTAACTTACATCAGAGTATCTGCACTTAATGAAGAAGAACAGTTCGATGGCCAGAAAAAACACAACCTCGATCTAAATTTAAATCCTTGTAACCACGCCAGATCCAAACTTCCATTGAGGAAGCCGTTACCCATACATACGTGTAAGCCAACTATTCGTCTCACGTTTTCGTCACTACATACGACACAATTTCTTGATAGATGTTCACGTGACTCTTATATCACGTTATCTCTTTTTTCTATTCTTACGTAAGCACTTCACTTTATTCCCTTTTTGAAAAAAAATTCTAAAATCTATCTCATCTCATCTCATCGGTATCCAACCAATTCGACTTAAACTCCACCTCCAAACCGTCAACGCAAAGTCTAATTCCTTAGCTTTAGTCCTTTCCAGCACTGCTAAAAATGATGGCTATTGAACAGTCTTCAAAGCGGAGTTCAGACTCGCCCGGGGTCGCTGTGGATGGCAAGAAACGACGGGTGGAATTCGCCGATGAGGTGATGATCCACAGCGAAAACGGCGAAAACCATACCAATAAGGAGTTTTCTGCAAAACTGTATCACAACTTTGTGCTGAGCGCGATCAAAGATCTCGATAGGGTATGTTACTTCGGTCAAAAACAATAAAGTGTCATTGATTGTTGTTCGACCCAATATACTAACAAGCACAGAACGATGCATCTCAAATGAACTCGCTAGCTTCGCAGCTTTCGCTGCCTAGAACACATCCCGATTGCATTTCGCAGGAGAATTTAACTGTACTTCTGCGAACCTTGTCCTACAATGTGAGCAAATTGGACTCACAACTGTGCACACCTTTGATCCAGGCCATCGTCAACTTCGAGAAGTGGTGGGAGCTTCCCCAGGCTTCTCTAGGTACGTATATATTTTTCATTAAAATTCTGTGCTCCAGCTTGCCTAAGTGGTGGCAAGATGTGTCGCTCCCATTGATCGCCAATTTCACTCTGCCTGTGGATAAAACCGATCAACATCATCAAATGCTCAAGTACTTCCTTCGCACGATACCCACATCGATCGGATTCATCGATTCCTACATTTCCCGGTTTTTCCCCAATAAAAACGACTCTAAGAGAAATTTGGTCAACTATGCGGCAAACGTTTTGCAGCTAACGGATTACTGCAACGAGTTAAGATTTCAATCGTGGTCGTTGGTTATTGAAAAGGTGATATCGATTGACGTTGAACTTCAAAACGAATTAGACGAACTAGACGATGAAGTTGAAAATGACATTGATGACGAAATTGTCGACGACGACGATGACGACGATGGTGATGACGACAACGATGCTGACGACGACGATGCCGATAACGGGCACGACAAGGATACAGATGCAATCCAAAATCTTGATAATGCTAGCGACAACGATTCTGACAATGATTTCAACGATGACCTCATGGACGGTCAGGAAGAGTATAACGTTGTTGTTACGCAAAACATAAAACAGCTCTCGTCAAAACTAGACGCAATTCTCTCGCTCATAACCAAACGTCTGTCGCAATCTTTGACGGCAGAGAGTATAGAAAATGGAGACGGTGTCAACATTTTCAACACTCTGATAAGCCTGTTCAAGTCGCACGTTCTTCCGACTTACTATACCCGTTCCATCCAGTACGTTTTATTTCATGTTTCACAACAGCAGTTGGAACTCATGGATGCGTTCTTAGTAACGCTCATCGATATCGCATTTTCCCCCAACGAGACCATTGAAAAAAGAATAAAATCATTGCAGTACATTGGTTCCTTCATTGCCAGAGCTAAGAAGTTATCACACACTCAGATCATCTTTGTTGCGAGCTACTTAATCTCTTGGCTCAACCGTTATGTTTTGGAAAGAGAAGAGGAAGTTGAACAGAATGGAGGCGTCGAGAGATTCAAGCATTTCTACGCCGCTTTTCAAGCATTATGCTATGTCTTCTGCTTTAGGCATGCAACCTTCAGAGACGGTGACAATTGGGAATGTGATCTGGACAAGTTTTTTCAAAGAATGGTGTTGTCCAAATTCAATCCACTCAAGTACTGTAATGAAAATGTCATGATGATGTTTGCTCGTATCGCTCAGCATGAGGGTGTTGCATACTGTTTTGGCATCATCGAAAATAATAACAATGAGAGACTCAAAGGTATAATGGGCAAGTCAGATACTCGAAACTCGGGTGCAGCGGTTAGTCGTTGGTCTCTGGCTACCCGCCAACAGTTCATCGATCTCCAAAGTTATTTCCCGTACGATCCACTTTTCCTCAAGAGCTACAAGCGAATGATGAAAGACTACTACATTGAATGGAATGAGGTTAGTCGGGATTATGAAAGTGATGACAGTGATGAGGTCGATGACGCTAAAAGCATATAGGTACCTAAAATTAAAACATTTGCATCCTGATATACTTCTCAAAGCGCGGGCAGTAACTTACTTCCGCTTTCAAGGCTCATCGTGGTACAGCCATTTTCCGTGCCAAAAAAACCAACAGTATTGAATAGACGTAGATAGTAGATTAAAAAACAGCTATGTCTACTCAGTACACACCCCAAATTCACCCCTGTGCTCTGACCTATGCACTATCAGGAAGCGTATTGCTGCCCCTCATTGTATGTGTAATATCAGTGTTTTCATCCGATGCTGTTATAAGAGCTCTTTCACTGTCAATACTCGGTATTTCTGTAGTTGCAGAATCTGTCATAAGACCTGTGGTACCTTGAGGCTGGTTAGGAGTGGTTCTGTCACTTGCGTCAGTAGCAGTGCCCTGACCGGCAGATGAGCTACCAACTTCCTGGCACCAATATCTGTGGTAGCTCCACGACTGCAGTTGACATTCCCTTGAACAATACTTGGTCCTTTTGCAACGGCGACATTTGGCAAATCTCTTTGGGTAATCCTCCCATTTACCGCAAGCAAAGTTGGCACATTGTCTGACTCCGGTGCTCTCATTTTTCCTACAAGAATTTCTCATAATGACCGAACTCCAGTAAGTCATGTCCCTCTCATTTTCCTTTTTAACCGTAAATCGTTCCACCAGTGGAAATAAATTGAGATGAGGTGCATTAGCTATATGGAGGAAAGTCTCCTCATCCAATGATTTATCCAGAGTATTATAGTTCCATTTGGAATCAAACTCTTCCTTCAATAGCCTCATCCGCTCTTGAACCCCCGACGAATCCCTTTTGTTCTTCTGCACCGCAGAAGAATGATTGTTTCTGTTTTGGAAAGAAATCTGACCACCGATTTTTTCGCATCTTTGTTTCATGTCCAAAAAAAATGGATCTTCTGAATCAACGCCCATTTCACCACGTTTAAGTTCTGGCATTCCTATAGCTTCGTCGTCAGACCCACAGTTAGGATGCTGAACATGGTTTGCTAGAGATATTCTCAGTGATGAGATGTCCAGCGCTCTCACGCGGGTTTTCCAGGCGATTGACAAGACATTTCGCAGCGAAAGTGACTTAACGAGATGCACTTTCTGTAAATGTGGTTTCATGTGCGTATATTTCGAAATGAATGCAAGTAGTTGTAATGACCAGATGACATCATCACCCTTGGGCACGATTTTGCCCCATGAAAAAGCTCTCGGTATCGAAACCACAATGTTATCATAAGAGTCAGTTTCAGTGTTACTGGCGTCTTGAGTATCGGCGTTGGATTCCCATAGTTCTGCAAAACTGGTACCCAATTGTGTGACGACAGGCTTGCTCAGAGCTTTATACTTTCGAATCAGACTGTCCAAATCCACCTCCTTTGATAAATCCCAGTCATTTTTAAAATCCAGGTGTTTGATATCCAGCATCAGTGGCACGTCATCGATAAAGTCGAAGCCCTTCTCGAGTAGAAGATAATTGTCGAGTACGGTGGCGAGAATGGGGATGACCCCAGAAGAGACCACCTGTTTCCGTATTTGTTCCGTACCTCTTGTTCCTGTAAGCACTAAACACTGAAATGCAAGCGTCCACTTCCATGCTATCATAGCCAGCTTTCGTTCTCTCTCTACTCTTTGAACAACATTCAGATTGTCCTCCAGCCGCATATTAGGCCATTCATCGAGTGGAATGTAACAATCGTGTAAAATCGAAACCAACCTGATCAATGCACCGTCATTTGCCACAGTTTCCCGCACTTTGGCAGAGTTAGACGTGAGATATGTTAGATGGTTAAGCGAGTTTATCAATGGAATTTCTGAGTTGCAGTCCAAACCTCTTCTGTCATAAACGCTGGACGTTATGGTCACACAAGACCTATTCAGTGGAACGCATCGATGGTTCGAATCTCGCATTATCAACTATGATGCTCTTGAAATTACGGTCTTGTCTGTTGTTTGCCTGTTTAACCGTTGAGTTCTCAAAAGATGTGATGATGATATATATAATTCACACGTTAAAGCCAGCTGCAATCTTTAAAAGACAAACCTACAACAAAAAGGGCACAAATAGCAGAGGCTAGTGGCGTCATTCGATTGTGCTATGTTTGAAATCAAGCTCAATGATAAGTTGATGGAAATTCTAGAGCCATTGAAGGACCAAAATCCCGAAATTCAGAAGTTTTTGCAAACCAAAAGTATTCCAATGAAGGCTTTGTTGGCATTAAGGAAAGAAAAGTTAGGACACATGCAGGTCAGCCAAGCCCTACGTCCCTTAAAGTTCAGCTTCAAGTCACGACCCGTTCGTGGTTCTGAATATAGTGAAACGTTCAAAAATCATTTAGATCGTCTACGACATGAATTAGACGAGAAAGAATATCAGGAGATGGTCAGGCGCGATGGACTCACAGCATCCCACGACGAGGAAAATCTCACACCGGCCCAAATGAATAAACAGGTTAAGGAACAGATTACCACCGTTTTCAACATTTTGCTTTCGGTGGTCTCGGTTGTTTTTGCAGCATGGTACTGGTCAGGCTCCTCTTCGGGAATGCAACCACAGAATAGAATATTCTTGTGTCTGTTCAGTGGGATTCTGGTTTTGGTGGCCGAAGTGGTAGTTTATAATAGCTATCTGCAAAAGATCGACGATGCCAGGACGAAAGAGAGAAGCAAGCGGGAGGTCAAGAAAATCGTAGGACAAATTTAGATTGCTGTTGCCCTATCTTTCATCCTCTCAAAATTATCGACACGGCCTGGGGCGGCTCTGGTAAATCTTCATAAGACACCTTTTTGTGTTTGAAGGGAAGCAAGTTTTTCTTCAGCAAATTGAACACCTGGGACCTTAGTGGTGTGTTTGCCAATTGTCGACGTTGCAAGCACGTCAAGAAACTCCATTTGACGAGCATGATGAAAAACTCTATAAATCCGAAATCTGGCCATAAGGTGTTTGTGAACTCGACAACGCCGTTTTCGTGCACTTGCCACAACATATAATCGGATAACCTGGTGTGACCGCTGGTTCGGATCAAAATATCGCACTTGTTTGAGTAGTTTCCCAAAAACATGCTGTTAGTGAAGTTTTCGACATCAATATCTTCTACGGGTTGACCGTGATACTTGCAGCGTTCTGCTGCGTCATAAACCGCATGGTATATCTCGTTTCGCGACGTATAAGGGAAACACACGTAGAGAACCATTGAATCACTGGCCTCCGTCATTCTTTCAACATGCGTAATTTTGTCGTTGAGGGCTTTCGAAATCAGTGACCTTTCTCCCACAACTCGCACTCGAACGCCAAAAAGCTCACTTTCTCGGTCTAATGCTCTTCGCGCAACCTCGTCAAGTTTTTCAGCTAGCATCGATGTCAAAAGTTCCACTTCCTCACGCGGACGATTGAAATTCTCGATCGAAAACGCGTATGCAGATACTGTTTTGACCCCCAGGTTCTTGCACGAAGCCAGCAAGCTAAGCAACGTCCAAGCACCAGCTTCATGGCCCGATTTCGTGGGTAGATTGAGAGACTTGGCGTACCTTCTGTTACCGTCCATAATGAATGAGACGTGTCGTGGCACTGGTCCCACTTGTAAGATACGAAGTAGCATATTCTGTACCTGAAACACGATCCAATGAATCCAACTTAACTCCAAGATACACGACCACACCCATATTTTCAATGCATGCAAATACTGTCGAACTGAGTGGTAACTCCACCAAATGGGCGGGTTTGGTCTTCTTTGTCTAGTCTGTTTCTGAAGATGTCTCAGTTCTTTCTCGACGCGTTCCACGGCTTCCGCAGCCCGTTCTTGCTCTGCTGCCATTGTTGTCGAATACCAAGTGCAATTCTAACTCCTATGAGCTCTTCCAACGTGTGTGAGAGCTTTCAGAACTAAATCGAAGTAGTTGTTAGGTTGGGATATGAAACTGAATATAGCCGCCAACCTTTTTAATTATTGTGAAACGGAAACTATATCATTAGATACGTCATCTCTCTCCCGGAGATTTTGGATGTATCGCTATGTACGACATTATTTTGATAGTTCAAGATTCAAAAACTGAACCTTTTCGAATACCCACGACTCCAATTCGACTGCACGTTTTGTCAGTCTCTACAGTGTCTGTGTTACATTTTATCGCTTGATTTAGATACTTTTGTTACCTGCGGGTTATTTACCATACTATATATATATATATATATATATATATTATACTGACGCTGACGACAGTTTAATATGGGTAAATAAGTCTACAAAGTGGTGTAACAGTAAAGAAACGACAAGGCTCGATTGGTGATGTCTGAAGCGGCTTTTTGACCTCACAGGCTCTGTCTCAGTAACTAATTATTAGAGAAGTATTATATATGCTTTTTCAAGATTTCAAAGAAGTCCATTTTTTGGCTCGTTAGTAACCTTGGAACTTGAGTTTCAGGTTTTCATACACCATGACCGAGCTCTTGAGAGACTGTAGTTCTCATCTCTTCGTCACTGTAGGCACTAACTGATTGCTAGATTCGTTGTGTTTGTATTTTTTGTATTTTTATGTCTGTCGGCAAACTCCGGAGTGCAACGCTACGGTCTCAACTCCGAGAACATTTTATATAAGCTTTAACGGTATACCGAAGGAGATCTCTTCTTTGAGCGGATTGTTCAAGTTGTTACTTCGAACTGGTAGTTTGTGGGCCACCCAGTAGTTTCTAAAAATCTATACGGCCTATAATCAACTGGGAACAAAATCAAAAAATCGCCGTCTATGCGGTGAAAACTCTTTTCTCAACTGCGTAAACGAGCTTCATGGTCTGCTCCATGAAAGTCAAACACAAGATCGTGTGAGGAGCGATTCTGAAAATTTGGGCCTCGAAACCCTTGTACAGAGCACCAATACCTTCGATTCTGACCGTCTTAACCAAGCAGTCGAGAGGGCCTTTGTATAGGTTGCCCTTCTGGTTGTACACTCTGGTCAAAATAACGTCCCATGGGTTCATCACCACACCGACACCGAGACCTGAAATGGTACTGGCGACCAAGTGAAGCCCTGTTCCTTCTTGCATCACATTGTTATCAAGCAAAAACCGTTTCGCAGTGTTGTAGATAGGCAATTGGACAGATGAGCCGGCACCGGTTCTCAGAATAGCGGCATCTACACCGCGGAACAAGCCTTTGATACCCTCAGCACGGTAGATAGTCGATAGACCATTTGCAATCGAGGTGTAATGAGTCTGTTGGCCAATTTGGACCGCATTCGAATACGATTGCATACGGGTTTTGATCAAAAACAACGGAGATCCCATGATGGCCCCAATGATACCGGACGTAGCACCAGAAGTCACATTGATAGCCACATTTTGAACCTTATGTGGATCTTGAGCTGGGAAGAAAGTGCTGTTGAGCAGAGACCGGATAGGTTCGTAAAATCCAAGTCTCGATCCGTTCAATCCGATCTGGTAAATGTACGCACACGACAGACCCTTTTGCAAACCACGGATACCCTCGTTCTTGAAAATAACAGACAACGCCTGCAATGGGTTCTTATATATTCTTTGCGCTTCTGCTGACATTTCACCTTGTAATTGCATTCTTGTTTTCACCAGTTCAATTGGGTTCGTTACCGTGACCGCAATACATGCAGCCATACCACCGGCAATGAACGATCCAGCCTTGCTCACTTTTTGAGCCGCTGGTTTGTCCGCATTAAGCTTGGCCTGTACTTCTTTTTCAACTTTGGACATCTTATTGTAAAAGACCGTAAATTCTTAAAGATGATGTTCAATAGCTAGCAAACTATAATGAGCTGCTACAATAGAAAGTGCACCTACTTTGAGCTACAAAAGTATGGACTTCGATTGCTTCTTACTTGCACCTTTTATGTCAAATCTAACTTGAATTACTCACTCATGATTCCAAATTTTTTATTTACACGCTAGAATTATAAACTCTATACCCGGTCAAATGATCGAAAATCGTCAAAATCGTAAAGAGTCTCCTATACATTGTTTTAAAGTCCCGTAAAAAGCCCAAGGCTACGACACGGCGAAATGCTATCTTTTCTCGTTTTCCTGGCGCAATTTGGACCATTTTTAGGTGTATTCTTGACCATAATTCTTGCTTAAGCACAACATTGGACTGAATGATTATTATCTAGCCGATCGTGGCATCATGATCAAGGCACTCTTTTGCTGCACCAATTACAACCCCTTTTGTTCATAGTTTATTCTTTTTTCATTATGGTTCGTCGCTTTCATCTAATTCTTGCTAGTCAGAGAGGGACTTCCTATCGACTTGATAGAATGAGTTGAGCTCCCGAGATGCTTGGATTTTGTCAACGTTGATTGTGCCGCTTTCATCGTTAGCCCTAGTAATCCCCCATGGCTGTGAGGGTAATCCACGGTGCAACCATTGCAACCGCATTGAGAGCCTTCAAAGTGCTCGGCGGAATATTTCAAAAGTCTCTTTCTCACATTGCTCGATATGTCTGAGCGGAACACTCTTATGAGCCCAGAACTGTCTGTAGAGACGATTATAGAGCCAATGGCCTCAATCATTGACGGAAATCGTCTCTCGACTAAGTCACGCTGCGCTTTTTGACGCTGCTTCGCAGACTGCCGTGACGCTTTGACATCGCGTATCATAAAAACGTCGTTATCTGTTTCACTAAGAGCCATAGTGAGCTCGCAAATGAGGTCATCAGATAAAGCAAGCGTCTTGGAAGTGCTGAAGGGAGCCGCCGCCATCGTTGTTGCAGTGTGGTGATGCGCGTGAAAAGCAACATAATGTGAGTTTTTGATGCTCTGATCAGGCTTGCTCTTGGATGATGGTGACGCTGGACTCGAGACGGAATTCTTGCCCTTTGCATCGCTTGAATGATTACTTCCTATGCTCAAACTCCTTCGTAATAGCCCACGAAGTGAACCCTTATGATGATGCTCTGTTGTTTCCAAGCTCTTCTTTTCTTCTGGTTTTGGCATACTGGAGTCCAACTGCCAACAATAAACCCACTTATTTTCACTTGCGGCGATAACCAGCTTTTTTTTGCTGGGTGGTATCATTAAATGTGCACTGATCTGTGTGTGCGTGTTTTCAAATCCTCTTAGGACCTCGAGCAGTTTCTTCTGTTTAACGCTAAAAACGCGGACTCTGGAATCATTAGATGTGACCAATATTCTCAAATCATTATCTGGCTCGTTCTTGAAAAATTCGATGCCTGTTATTTTGGGGCCATTCTGAGTTATCTTCTTACCTTGCTCCTTAGATGTTTCGAGAACGTGGAAAGAGGTCATCAGGTCTAGACCTTTGGTGTATAAAATCGTTATGTCGCCGTTGAAACTACCAATGGCCGTGTATTTGCCATCGTCCATCGACACATCCATTGCAGTTATGATGTCACCACAGTAGTACTCGAAAGACACTTTATGATCCAAGATAGACCAAAGTCGACAAGTATGATCGAGACATCCACTAATAAAGAATCGGTCGTCATTTGGGTGAAATTTGGCACACGTTACGAAATCTGGATGTGTAAAAGTTTTGATAGCTTTGGGACGATCACAATGCCATAACCGCGCCGTTTTGTCCATTGAAGTTGTGAGTATAAAACCGTTCTTGGACCAGTCAATGTCCAAAATGTCTTGCGTATGTTGCTGAAAAGTTCGGTAAGGTAACGGATGAAAAACAGGGGCATAAAGGTTCAAAGACTCTGATTCAGAAGCGTCTGTGTCGTTAACGATGCGGCCCGTGCTAGCTCCGCCACTTAGTTTCCGAAGTGCCACCTGCTTAGCATTGGGCTTGGCAGCGGTAATCTGCATCTCGTTCCGCTCCAAGGGCGAGGAAATCACCTTCCACACACGCAGTATACAATCCTTACCTCCTGTGGCCATGAATTTGCCATCACGGCTGAACTTCGTGGCCCATATAGCTCGCGGAGTGTTACTGCTATTATTGTTATTGCCATCGGCAAGGCTACTTAGAGTATTGCTGGAGCCTGCGCTTCGATCGAGTGTCCCGGTAGCGGTATTCAATTCTTGTGCGAGGATCAGACGCCGAAACTGCTTGATTCTATGCTGTTTCTTATAGACCCTTAGATGCTCAGGTTCTTTGAGATATTGCTCGAACTGCTTACGATCAATACGGCCAAAAAGGGAGCTCAGTGCCATCTGGATTGGTGATTGAGTTTCCACACCTGTTTCAACTGGCTCTTTAGAATCGGGTTTGACAACCTGTATAGTTGGAAGAGGCAAATTGGCTGCGTCCGTGGAGATCTTGGCTGTCTCAAACTTCACAGGACCTGCAGCTGTACAGTACGCACCACCGGAACCCTCCTTCATTTTTCCACCATTATGTGTGCCATTACCGCTGTCAATGCTTGCTTTACTGTCAGATTCCAATCCTGCATTGAATAGTCCGCTGCTTTCGCTGGAGTCCGAGCTCGGATCACTCGTCCGCTTCGTCAAAGTCAAATCCTCCGCTGAGCTATCGGTCAACTCTAGATTAGGCTTCTCGTAGCTCATTGAGACTGGTTTTTGAAGGCTGGAATCGATGCTCACCCATCACCTTTGAATACTTCCTTTGGATGGTGCATTTTCATTTTAATCAGTTATTATTATTAGTACGACGGAGATGGCTCCCGATAGACGACCCTATGTCACATGAGTCATCGCGATGAACCGATTGGGTTTGAGTGTGTCACTGAGCCATCTATAATGCTGCGATTGGGAAGGTTATACCTGTAAGCTTTCTGAGTCATTGAAAATATTTTTGATGTCCCTTCAGTGTTGGTTTCGCTATTACTCGTTTTTGATAGCTTTTTTTTGGTAGACCGGCTTGTTCGAAGACTAGTGAGACGGTTGAAGCTGTAATTGCACGCGTAAAACGCTGGTCTTAATGTTCATCAACACCGGCTTGCCAATTAAGAGCTTTCTTTGACCGTTCCTGGACCTTTTACGCATCCATGATTCCTCAAGGAGTTTAAAACGTTCGAAGTGAAAAACGATTGGAAATATCGGATTTATCATCAGATCGTGCAATGCTTTGAATTCTGAAGGCTTAGGTTTGTTGTTGTCATGAAGATGCAGAATTGAAAGTGAAATCGAAATTGTGTTGAAAGAAAGCGTCAATCATTCTGGAAAAATTGCAGCTAGCAAGGTGTAACAAGGTTCATAGATGTTTTTGAGAAGGTGGGAATACAGTATGCAAATGGTCTGCTGCTCTGAAAATTGATTTCTTTGCCAGCGTCATCATCAAATATCAGGCTCAGCGGTGATTTTTCAATTTTTGTGGGATTCGCAAAACTGATACGCCCTTATCGGTAAGGGCATTAATCACAGCTCATTGTTCGCTTTTCGCTTTCGCCCTTTGGAGTAAATTCGAGTTTTGTGTAATATATCAGTCGCCTCAATACGAAAGCTTCCCATTTTGTGGAAAGCCCCGGCTTGTTGAAAACCGCGATAGTAGAATCGAGCATTTCGATGAGAAAAGATAGTTCTGGTAATGACACCCAAACATGCTCTATTCCACGTCATTCACTTTCTCCCCGGGTTGATTAATGTGTGCATTCTCGCTTATGTTCCTGATTGTCTTGATATTTGCAGCCAAACTCCACCTGAACAGCGATTGCTTCACTTGGATTATAACACTTGCCATCCCGGACTTTTGTAACAAGCCTACAAGTGCAATTGTAAAGCACGTCAGAAACTCCGTTTCTTGGCACAAACAGCGTTGTCAGCGGAACAAATTTGTCAAAATTAGCAGTTAAATCCCCTACCTTCGAAGTGAAATGAATTTCAACGGCATTTTTTTATTCAGCGGAGTTGTTCAACTGTTCGCCGCCATCTTCCGAGTGCATGGACGTGAGTTTTGTTTTAAAGATCTCGGAGTTCTTTTAATTTAGCCGTTGTTGAGACGTGTAAATGTGACATTATTGAAAATAGTGACATAAACGTGTTTGTTCAGCGATGAGATAATGACAGGACGATGAGAGAACGGAATGTTGTGGACGATTGATAGCCATCCGCAGAGTTGTGACTATGCTTCAAATGTGTGTTTGTTGCTCTCTTTCAGCTTTCGAATGTTGGTAAGTTGTGACATTCCTTCCTTTGCAGCCATACGGTAAGACACGTTCATTTCGTAGAAAGCGGGTGTCGCTGTGAATCGAGAAGAAATTGTTTTCATCAATGAGCTCTCTATCGTCAGACTTTCAAATAAAGCTCTGAAAATCAAGGTGAGTATCTTGAAGACCGTGGTTATAACGAATCTTTGGAGTTGTCTGATTTGTCGCTGTGCTGCAGTCACCAACACACATTCGTTTCAGTTTCCAGTTTCCAAGACAAATTGCATCCAATGAAGGCATGGTTTCATGACCTCTTCGTCATTAACACAATGTACCTACGGTAGCAGCCAAAACAAGACAAAAAGATGGCAAAAATGTAAGTTCTGACCACATTTTCTAATATCAAACAAGTTCAAGCTTATATACCCCTCCAGTTCACCCACGAATGCCTTCTCGGTTATGTTTCGAAGAAACATTGGTTTTCCTAGTGACATCATCAAAACCAATTCTGCAAGCCGATTTTGGTCAGGAAACCAGCGTTGTCATCCCAAAATTGTGGCCTTTTTCAAACACACAGTTTACCGGTTACTTTCAAGATTCTTTGAGGTCTATTCATGGATTACAGCATTGCCAATTGTTAAGATTCGGATTTCTACATAGTAGATATGCTACTTTAATATATTCAATAAAAATCGATGTAGTCGAACTTGACAAAAGTTCAAGAAAACTTCCAGAAATCAAATAACCCTCGAAGAAGACCGTTGAGATGTCTTCAACTCGCTTAGACGGGTTCATCACCAGTTCCATCGCACTTTTAGAGGCAAACCCATCATCAACGGTGGTAAGCATACGATACCAGAGTGGAGCCAAAGCAGGAAAAGTGACATTTCGCACTACTAATGCACAATTGCTAGCCCGTTATAAGTTTTCTACTTCAAAATCTAAAGATGTTTCGAGATTGCTTAGTGCATTAGGACCACGCGGTGTATCGATCCAATCACCCAGTAAAGTAGCCCGTCAGCGTAAAAAATTGGACGCTAGAGGTCCAACTGACGCAGGTGGGATGGTGACGCTAATGACAAACGTGGACATTCCTGAGGCTGTGGAAGAGACTCCTCAGCCGAAAACAGTAGGAAAAAAGAAGAAGAAGGGCAAGAAACGTTAAAGTGAGGGACATCACACTTTCTTTTCCAAAAACAAGTACCCACCTTAAATACAAAATATAAATTTCAAACGCCTCCAGATCAAAAAATTCAGACCTGACTTTCCCTAGCTACATGGCCGCATATTATCCTCTTCTCCAAACCGCTCCCGCCTGTGTTTTTTGATCTCTCATTTTTTTTCAAATTCACCGGTTGGTTCGTCTGGCATTGCGTTTCCCACGCTTCTTGCGACCACGTTTCTTGGTATTCTTGGGTTTTGGCTCCAGGCTCCCATTGTGAATCCGATCGAAACTAGACGAGTCCTGCTCGTATTCTGCAGGGTCCAGTGAGCTGGGTTCGCCCTCCTGCAATGTGATCGAACCGCTGGTGATGGGTACCAACTCTTCGCTGGGATACTTCGGTGGAAGCTCTTCGCCCTTTTGCAACACTACATCATTTTTCGTCTCTGCGCCATTGTAGGCTGGAGGTACGCCTATATCTCCAAAGACGCTTCCAAATGCATATTTTTTCACGTTGGCCTCCACGTATACAAAGCCAAGTTGGCCCAAATTGACATGCAATTCGATTTCGTCCGATGCCAGATCGGATTCTGAAGGATCGTGCACGGTCTCCAATTGCTCATTGATCACCCGTGGTGCCTTCATGTCCAAATCGCTTGCCAAAATTCTTTCCCGTAGCGATACGTTGTCACAGTCTTCCAGCAATCCTTCACGACTGTAACTTCGGGTGTATGCCGCATTCATGGCACCTATCCCTACAAACAAATCTATACCCACATTGTGAGCTAGATCCATAAGTTTTTTGCCGTTATGTGTAATGAAAATGGCGCCGCTTCTGTAGCGGTAACCAAAACCAATCACATCGCCTTCTTGCAATTTGGGGAGTAAGGTGTTCGCGTAAAAGGGGTTGTTCATTCGCAGTTTTCCGGTGGATTCATATGCTATTGAAAACTGGGCCATCCCGGGCATGCGGAAATAAGGGTATGGACATGTCGTAAGGCCACAACTGAAAATGGAGTTTGGTGTACGTGGCAATTTGAAAACTTTGACCTCAAAATACACTGCTTCCTTTTTATTGTGCGGTAGCGGATAATTCATTATGGTGGAAGCGCTTCTGTTATGTTTGGTGAACAGAATATCGAGCTTGTCTTGCACGATAAAACTAGGCAAAAAATTCCCATACTGATCCACATTATCATTTATCGATGGAAGCAAATAATAGCTTTGGATTCCACGATCCTTGATAATCTGCTTGTCAACAGCATCCATGTAGGTGCCAAACTCTTTGATGTTGGGGGGACACATTTTTTGAAGTTCTTGAGAGCGACGGTACAACTCGACCTCAAACCTCGACAATCGGGGTAACTCTAACGCCTCTTGTTCCAGCAACGCTTGGGAATCGTCGAAATGACCAGGTGTGAGAAATGATCCGTCTAATAATACGCCACTACGTTTTTTGCGGAAAATGTTGGGCATCGCAGATGCCTCTTCTTCATCGAATTCGGACTCATCTGCTGCGCAAAACGTCACATACAGTGCCACTATGATCAGCATGACCATCAGAACGGCAAAAGTCACCGATAAACTAATTAGAAACACAAAACTTATCGCTTCTCCATCTTGGTAATCGGATGGGGGTGGATCCAGCACGGACTCCACCGGGACGAGATTGAAGTCGCTTTGCGCGTTTGAAAACCGATTGAACATGCGCCTAATGAGGTGGAGAGGTGAATCTGTCTTGTGCAAGTACGAAAAGCGGCGTATTGAATTGGATTTTAACGGTGATGTTGGTGGTTTTGATGTTCGGAGTTGTAGGTAAACTCAAGAATTTGATCTAGTGTGTAGTAATATATGATGATTTGTACCTCGTTCATGATGATATTTGTTCGGAAGACAGAATCCCGAACAAAGAAGCAGGACAAATCAAATAGAATCGGTTAGTAGCTATTTAACATATTTTTATATGCAGGTTTCGGTACGCTCAAGGGATTCGCCGTGGTAGGAAAGAAAGCACAATATTTCGTATCTAGTGATGTACAATATGTTCTTGTTGAGTAGATGAAAACGAAGCCTGTGTCTGAAACCGGGAAAATTAACATCCATACCTCCACATAACAAGCACTCTCTTCAGTTCATCACAAAGCACCCCTAGTTTGCGAATTTGTATATGAAGTTGTTTCATTCACCGTCGGAGCTCTACCATTAACTTATATTATCTTTTCTTGAGGTTTTGTTCGCACGTTCGATTCTCGTCCGGGATCTTATTTTCTGGAAAAATTAAATATATATATTTTTTCCTCGTCTATCACACTAACAGAAGAGAAACTACCGTACCCAACGGCAACTGAAGCTAAACCAATTGTTGGCCAACTACCGGTCTCTAACGCAATTATCTTGTCCCATTGAAACAAGTTGAGTATCTCGCGCTTCTTTCTGGAACTTTCTATACTGGTATCACTGTGTACGAAGTTATATTCTAATACCTATATAAGGGACAGGTATCCACCTAACCTGATACTTGGTACATGAATCCTCTTAGTCCCTTTAGATCGTTTACCAGTCGTTGACAAGTGTTTGTAGAACCATTGATTCTTCACGAGCAATACCAGTGTACCCTATTTTTCCAAACATGTCTAAATCTCTCACACCAGAAGTTCTATGGGCCCAAAGATCCAGCGAAACTGAACAAGAACGCAACTTTCTACTGGTCACAATCATGATTCCTGATTGTGAACAGCCCAAACTGGACTTGAAGGCCACGCACCTCGAGTTCACCGCCCATTCCCCAGGACACGTTGGCGACGAAGAAGAGCACAAGTACAAGCTACATATCGATTTTTTCAAAGAAATTGATGTGGAAAAATCACAGAGCAGGGTGGCCAACGGCAGAGACTACTTCCTCAAATTGTACAAGAAGGACTTGGACGCGGAGTACTGGCCTCGTTTGACTAAGGAAAAACTCAAATACCACTTCATCAAGACCGATTTCAACAAATGGGTAGACGAAGACGAACAGGAAGACCAGAAGGATGAAGACCTAGGATTCGACGGAGGTCTACCCGGTGGCCAGGACGGTGCTCAGGCCGCTGCATTCCAAGAGCTTCTCAAGAACGGCGGAGCCCAAGGTCTAGAGGGTCTTGAGGCTCTTCAAGGTCTAGGAGGCATGGGAGGAGGTGCTGCTCCTGCTAGTTGAATATATCAATTATAGGGTCGAATGTTTCGCACACTTATTCACCGTATATACGTAACGTAACGCTACAGTAACGAAAAAAAAAAAGATCAAGTGGAAAAAACAACTTCTGTCACACAATATGACACATCTTCTTTTCTTTTTCAAATTACTTGGTACTTCAATTCGTCCTTGTACAAAAGCTGGTACGCCTCCCAGGTCTGGCCAGGCTGCAATTGTACGAAATCGTGGACATGACCCGGTTCGACGCAAACCATCTCTTTGTAACCGGTTTTAGGCTCGAAATCGGCCATGCCCTTGGATTTTTCAATCCATGGGTTCCACACCACCGCATCGGGCAAGTTGTGCCTGCGAATAGTGTGCACGGGCTTACCCTTGTCGATGACCTGCACCAAACGGTCGCTATCCACCTGTTTGTAGATGCGGTCGAGTTCCTCGTGGAACGACACCACGGGCTGTCTGTCCAAGTACGAGTCTTGAAGCATTTGATCATAAAGTGTGGTTCCGCTCAAATTCGACACCATGGTGTCCTCCACATCGTCAATCCTTAGGTAGGTGTGGAACAGCCAGTTGAATTTCAGCAATTGTTCGCTCGAAGTGTTACTGACCTCAATGTGTGTTTTCAAGTGCTCTGAGCCCAGCTCCACGGTCAGCACCAACGAATAGTCCAATGGCCACAATTTAGTCAATTCCGGGTTGGCAAACTCGGGACCCAGCCCAAATTGCACGGTAGGAGGATTTGCACTCACTTGGCCCAAAAATTCCCATGTCGAGTTTCTGGCCAAACCGTGCTGGGGCAATTTGCTCAAAAATTCGTCGTCCTGGTTTTTACCAAAAACCGGGAAAACAAGCGGGATACCACCACGTACGGGCTTCGAACCGTCCATTTTAGCAGCACTGGATAACCATAGCTGTTCCTTTCCCTTCAAATTCCACGAAATCACCGTGGCACCGTATTTCAAAATCTTGACAAAGGTGCTGCTGTTTTCTGGATGAGTGAGAATCACCTCCGTAGCGGTTTCTTCGATGGCCATTTTCTAATAATCAATTGGTGATGATACAGTCAACTAGTTGTGTCAGCTTTCAGAACGTTCCTTGCCAAACTTCTCTTGATAAAAGGTGATTTTAATCGGTGGGTGCCATCTCAATGAGTATCATTACTATTATTATTATTATACCGGCAGGAATTAGATCCCGTGACAAATTTCGATGCACGTGATGCACGTGACGAAATCGGGATCGGGCGATGTTATACCAAAGCCAAGGCCTCCCCGATTAGTACGCCATCTCGATGCTATAGCGCGTATTGGTTCGTATGAACTAGTCATCGGGTAACGGTCAATTCAACTGCTTGATTGAAGCAAGCTCGCTAGATACAAAATCACTTTCAAAAATTTTTTGAATATCCCAACGTGAGTTTTTACGATTGACACAATTCTCCACTATCTGTTTTGCCGGTGAGTGTGATTCGGCCATTTTGATCCAGCGCCATTCGTACCGCGATATTCTATGGGCGGTGGAACTGCGTCTTTGCCGTTTACCAGGAACAGCTGTGGGCAGTGGATCAAATGGCAGCCGGCCCTCGAGCAAAGCATATAGAATAACGCCCATGGCCCACGTATCGCTCAAACGGCCGTCGTAGGGTACGCCCATCAGGATTTCGGGCGAAACGTAGTCCTCAGACCCGCATCTGGTAGTACACATCTCGTCGGACGCGATACGTCGGCAAAGTCCAAAATCCGCCAATTCCACAATATGAAGGCGCTCCAGTCTTGCAGCGCCGTCATGGTCGTCCCGTCCTTGTAACTCTATCAGCGTGTCAAACGGGTACTTTATCAACACGTTTTCCAACTTGAGATCGCGATGTACTATCAAGTTTTCATGCAAATATTTTACAGCGAGAGTAAGCTCTGCGAAGATTCGGCGCAAAAGCCAATCGGGAAGCACATTCTGGCTTGCCATTTCAAACAGGTCACCACCCGCACAATAGGATAAAACCATATCACACGGCGGGAGGTTGTCCCCGGCCGTGGGATTTGCGTTACTGAGAGGTCTGCTACTGGAGATGAAAGCCAAGTTATTGATCGCGATCAGATTGGTGATGCATGGATGCGATATGCTGGAGAGAACGTCGAGTTCACGGATGAGCGAGCTTTCTACTCGAGACAATAATTCACGAAATCGTGGGGATTTCGGCGATGACGAGAGAACCAGTGCGTCTGGATATTTTACATGCTTAACAGCGAACTTTGCGCCCACGTCAAGTTCGTTGTTATCAAACTCTGGAGACTCGTACAAATACACGTCGCTGAAATTTCCAACGCCGATTTGACGAATCTTTTGCAAACGGAGAGGCTGGGAAGGTTCTTTAATGAGCCATGTGGTGAGAAGTTCATCGGTCAGCGGACTTAGCGACTCTGGTGTATGGCTTAGGTTCGTAGTCGCAACGCGAGTCTCTTCTACTGTTTCCAGGTTGCGATCCACCCCTGAGAGTGACGTGATACGCTGGGATAGCGTGTTTGCGGTTGCAGCGGCGACAGCGCTGTGTGGGGCGTATTCGGACAAAATTCGGTGTTTATCCTCCAGCACATGCGAACGATTGAAACTTTCGGCAACGGGTGAGTTAAGAGAGCCGTAGTTCTTCTTGGAACGAGCACTAGGTGGCGATGTTGTGCTTGCAAATCTCAAATCCACGGGTGATTTCACAGACCTGTGGGGCGACATTGGCGTGTACACCAGGGGCGTCGGAAGCATGCTCATGTCGCCGACACTGCAAAACTGCTGTGTAGACAGTTTTGGAGGCGTGTGGGTAGTCCAGGTCTCGTTTTGATCGTCATGTTCGCTCTCAACGGCGGAGAACTCATTTTGCTCCAATTTCGGCGCTTGGACCGGGCAACGATACATCTCAGCAGCTTGATGACCCATCACCCTTTTTCACAAGATAACAGTGTTGTTTCCACTAAGATAAGTGGACGAATACGTTAGGTTTTTGTGCGATCTTGTGCGTTGTTGATGTTGAAAACAATCGAGATGTTTGCCCTTCTTCAAAACGGCTTTAATTTATTATCTAAGAGGGAGATCCCTTTGGCATATCGTCACTTCAAACGTATGTACTCGTCATGATAATGTACTCACGAGAGTATGGGGATATCGTTCTTCACGAAGATGCTTTAGAAGTACTCTCTCTCTCTCTCTTTACTGATCATCAGTGTCCTGCGAGTGGTCTTCTTCTTGCTTGGGTCTCTTAGTTTCAGTCTTAACATCGGTATTGTCGGCTTTTCTTGTTCTCTTGGCAGTAGTTGTTTTAGTGACCTTCTTAGTGGTCTTTTTAGGAGTCTTCGTAGCGGTCTGTTTGGCAGTTTTCTTATCAAACTTTGCCAGTTGTTCGGTACGCGACTTGGCCCCCGTTGTTTGTAAGGATTCGGTCTTTTCGTCGAATTCCTGCTTGTCCTTGGTGGAATCGTAATTTTCAAGCCATTCCAGAAGCTTGATTTCTTCGCCGTAGCCCTCATTCGTAGGTTGTGGTGTTTCCAGAACCACTGGAATTCCCTGTAGGAATTCTGCCTTGGCCACGAGTTTGAACACTGTAAGACCCAGAAAACCCTCTCCCAATTTTTCGTGGAGATCGCGATTCGCCGCAAGAGGCGCCTTGGAATCGTTCAAATGAATCGCAGAAAGGTACTTGAACCCTACTGTCTTGTCGAAATCGGCCCAGAAGGCATCAAACGCACTCTCTGTGCTGATATCGTACCCTGCGGCAAACGTATGACATGTGTCGACGCAAACACCAATTCTGGACTTATCGTCGACCAGATCGATCACTTTGCGCAGATCTCCCAAGTCGCTACCTACCAGTGACCCTGTGCCTGCCATGTTCTCCAAAACGACTTTGACAAAGCTGGTCGCTTTGTGGGCTTTGTTAATGTACCCAGCCAGTTGGTGCAATTGTTTTTCGTGATCAGCTTTCAACGATGAGCCTGGGTGGAAATTGTACAGCCCGATCCCCAATTGTTCGCACCTTTGTAAATCGTCCAAAAAACTCTCGTAACTTTTCTCCGCCTTTTCCAACTCTGGGTTAGCGAGGTTGATAAAATATTGACCATGCGGTAAGATGTCAACCAATGGGTTATATCCGAGCTCTTGGCAATTCTTCTTGAACTTTTCGATCTCTTCGGGGCTGTAATCAGGAGAGATCCATCGGCGAGGTGATTTCAAGAACATCGCAAATGCATTGCAACCGATATTGAATGCGTTGGTAACACTATTAGAGATTCCACCAGCAGTGGATATATGAGCACCAAACTTGTACTTAGAGGTCGTGCATCTAGCGAATTGAGACATCTCGAGAATACACCACTCAGATTATTGGTGTTTTTCTTTTCATTATACAAGGTTCACTTTTAAGAATGTTCATCCAAATTTCAAAGTTTTCCAACGGTTGTTAAAAAAGGACAGTACTTTTCCAAATAAAAATCACCAATTTTTGATGGCGGTTGTTATAACGGTTTCGATCGTCGTCGCTCCTATTTTTCTTAGTTCGTATATGCTAAAGGGGCCTATTTCTTGGGTCTTCCAGGCTTCATAATCTTGCCCTTGGTCTTGGTATTGGCAGTCTTGGCCTTGGCATTGGCTGCAACCAATTGTTCTTTGGTCTTGGGTTTGACTTTGAAAAATCCATCAAGTCTGCCCTGGACACCGGTCTTAAGTCCCTTTTGCAGGCGTTTGATACCAGAACGAATACGTTCCTCATTGAAACCCTTTTCTTTGCACATAAACTCGATCAAAGCTTCCTCCTGGGGCTCTACCCATTTTAAATCCACATCTGAGCCTTTGACAACATCCGGATTCAAAAACAGCTCGCGTGCTTCGCGGAAGGGCCAGTTTTCGGGTACCTTCCACTTGTTATTGGCTTCTCCGGATTCGATATAAGTAACAATGTTTTCCAACGTCTTGTGTTCTTTGATCAATTTGAGAGCGGTCACAGGGCCCACACCGCGAATGCTCTCGCAGTAGTCACATCCAAGCATGATTCCCAGGTCGATGAACTGTTCGATGGTCAGATCAAGTCCCTCCAACAAAATTTCTACATTGATCTCGTGAATGGGTTCCTTTTTCGCCTCTGAGAACGTCAAATGACGCAGCAAAAATGGAGAACGATAGCACAGCGTGTCCATATCCTCACTGGCAGCTGCATATACTTTCCCCGCTTTGGCCAATTCCGCACATTGCGCTTCTGCTTCGCAAGGTGCATTTACATAAGGTAAACCCATCAATCGCAGTAATTTTTTGGCTTCTTCGTTGTGTTCTGGCGTTACTTTCACCAATCTACGCTCTTGTTTCTGTTTCTCAGCCTCTTCTACTGCTTCCTTAAGTTTCTCCTCCGTGGTAGCTCTTCTGGCACTTCTTTTGTCCAATTCGTGCGATTTTAAGATAGGTGGTTTCCCATCAAAAACGTAGCAAGGTTTTATACCGTTATCAATCATTCTCAAAGTCCTATAGAAAATGCCCATCAAGTGGGATGTGGTTTCGCCCGATTCACTAGCCAATTGAACTCCATCTTGTTGTCTCACAGCAATCAAAAACTGGTAAAGCGACATCGACGCATCAATAGCTACTTTACGACCGAAAAAAGTCTTGATTTCGAGCTTGCGAACAGCTGAGGGAACATGCTCGGATATGATAGCGTTGAGACCTTTGATACCCATCTTTCAAGCACTGTTCTTGTTGGTTGAGTTGGTACGTTTTCAAAGGGCGATGAGGCAGGCACATCTCATCGCGTAATTGGTTTTTCAAGGTCAAAAAAACGCGTAAAACGGTGTGTGAAAGTGAAAATGCTGGTCACGTGTGATCGGTTTTGTAAGAATAAAGCTAATGTAAGATACGTAGTGAATGCAATTCTAGTGTTGATTGTTTTCTGGAGTCCGTTTTTTCGTTATCCAAGGTGGGTTTCTTCGGTTTACTTCGAGATTTTAGCCCTAATAGTCAGGTCTGTGGTGTACTTTACATTTGAGTGGCAGAAAGTGACATTGAGGAACATTGTTAAAAAAATACAGTATGTCTGACTTTGGAAAGAAGCACAAAACTTGTACTTCAATTGGAACGTTGATTTACAGAATATTTTCAAAGAAATGTGGTCTTTATGAGGAATATGGTTAAAATTGCCAGGCGAGCCATTTGGCGAAATTCTAGGGTTTTGTGCGTCTTGAATGACGAATTATTGGTAGAAAGATAAACGATAAGTACATGTAATCAATGGATTCATTCAAGTGAGCCAAGATCATGTACCATAGAACTCGAAATCGTAGTAACATGGACTTTAGATTTTTGATTTTGGGCACGTGATCTGTGACAGATGACAACCTTGATAAATGTGACATCTCCAGTTTGCACTGCCTCAGAAGCTACAAAATGATCAAGGGATACTTTCTTTGATAGCGGTTCGCTTTTGAGCACTAAGCTACTCTGAAAGTCCCAATTTGCGTTCCAACTCACAATTTAGAGCGTCACTGGTCATAGCGATGGCTATTGTAGTTTTCCGAGAAAGAATCGAATAAGTAACATTGACTAAAGACTTTGAAATTGAACATGCGTGCAATTATGGGTTCACAGCAAATTTTCAATCTCACCAGGCGCCACTCAGTGTTTTTGTCGAAACCTCTGTCTTTTTAGCGTCAGATGACATACACGTGACACGTCGACAGCGTTAGAATCAACGAGATGTTCAAAAAATCTAGAACAAGTGATCTAACAGGAATGATGTGGATTGCACCGAAGGGCACTACTTACAATCGATTGAATTGCTTCTAGTATTCATTTGCTGTCGGGTTACTTGAAAAACTCTACCTTCAGTAAAAGCAACAGTTTACACCTTACAATGATCGATAGAATTACCAAAGATATGTGACGTTGACTGTGAAATGACACTCTAGAGACACATTATCAACACAAGTATAAAAACTTTTAGATGCTCGACTGTCCCTGTAGCTATCACAATCGTTCACAACTGATCACTGACGTTCTCGATTGTTCAATTGTGCTTAGAATAGTCTCTAGTATTCGCCATCTACCGCTGACCCTCTCGATTGGTCGGATATGCCGAGCAAAAACCACAATCGCTTCCGCTCCCGAGTTTTCAAGTTTACTAATAGTAATTAATTGTTCAACCATGCGAATAGTCATCACCACAATTCAAAAAACAAGAGAGTGAACTACCAAGAATTGGAATACGAAACACTGCACAAAGACTCAGAACAGAGTTTTCTTATAACTATGGTTTTTCACCACGCGCTATTCCAAGATGGGAAGCTTGTAGCCAAGTGAACGATAATGCTTCATCTGTTAGCACGAAGCTGTTCTATAAAACTCGAAGTGGTAAAGTGCAGTGAAAATTGACTCAAATAGTATCATAGTGATGGTCGGGAGAATACGTGAAAAATTGACCGCTGAGGCTTTGACATGATTATTATAGTGCTTAAAAATTTAACAACTGATCGCTAAGACTGTCAATTGAACTACGCTATCAGCCATACCAGAAATGCTAAGAGCCATCTTTATCATTCACAATTGATCGTCGATGCACTCAGTTGCTCAGGTATGCTAATTTTGACGCTATTCACAGTTAATCACTGACGCTGAGTTGTTCAAGAATGCCAATGTCCATTTTAGTCACAATTTATCACTGACACCGTTAATACTTAAACTATGCTATCAGTCACGAGCTTTATTCATAACTGATCGATGATGCTTTTATTGAGGGTCAACTACGTCGGCAGTGTTCGAGTTATTAAACTGCTTCGTTTGTTCAGCCATGACTTGCTCTAAGTGAATGGTTATGGTTATGGATTTTACTTATCTCTCTAAGGTTCTTTTGGTTATAAGTTTGGTGCATTCTGTTTGACCAAAGCACGGATATTTAAACGATTCTTGAAGCAACAATAGCAAACAATCGACAACGTTCTGGAACTCAGCCATTTGTAAAGATTGCTCAATAAAAGTCCTAGATTGCTTGCAATTTCTGCATACCGTTGACGTATGGTTGCTTCATATCTTTACCGTTGGTAAATTTCACCTTAGCAGTTGAAATGTCATTTTAGACTAATATATCATTTTTTGATTACTCAATTGGCAATATCCCATTGTTGGGATTGATGGACTATATGGGATAGTGTCAATTGCGTAACCAGAGAGTGTGAGAACCTCTGTCTGTCTAGCGTCAGAAATGTGACAAAATTTGATCACAAACACGTGACACGACGACTGCGTCACAAATAACAAGAACCTAGAACAACCATCGATCTAACAAGAACGAGGTCAATCGGATCAAGTGGCACCACTTACAGCGCTCGTATAGCTCCCGGATCAGACCATTTCCACCAATTGCACCCGGAATGCTTGAAGATTTTTTTATCCGTTGACGACGGAACATTTCCAGGAATTTGTATAAGAAGGGACGTCTTATACACTCCATAAGATCATTCCGCTTATACTAAAACACCACGGAGAGATAAATAGATCCTATAGACCATTACTATTCAACAGAGAACAAATTATGACCGAGCAAACTAAGCAGATCAATAACTCAGACACTGCTGACGTAGTCAAGCCTCAATACCCATATAGTATAACAGTTCCAACAGCTTTCATACTAGTGGTCTTTGATCACTTATACTAATATTTATCACTACTATTGACAGATCGCTGATGCACTCACTTGTTCAGGTATGCTGATTACCACGTATCGCGTACACAGTGATGTATAAATTTAAGAGCAGCCTCGGCGGTTAGCATTTGTTTTGGTCAACCACAAGATCTCCTACTCTTGGTTTTGAGCAAAATTTTGAATACTATTAGAAGCTGTCTATTAGAAGAGCCATCATAACTATTCAAAATTGATCACTGAAGCTCTTTGATCTCAATACTTAAGGGATGCTAATACCATTAGCCACAAATAAACGCCAACGTCTCGATTGTCGTTCTTAAAGTGCTCACACGGGTAGACTACTGGGCGTCTTTACGATTTGAAACTAATCGCTGACGATCAGTTGGCCATCTCCACGCTTCACAATTTATCACACATATTCTTAATTGTTAAACTCTACTGATTGTCATTATTATTACTCAAAATTGATCGCTGAAGCATTCATTTGATGTGCGGTGGTTATGGCCATTTTTTTACGATAAATCGCCTCCACTCTAAATTGTGAAACTCTACTAATAGTTGTCAATTCAATTGTTCTAAGGGATATCATTACCATTCTTAACTATCGCTACTATTCAAACTGTGAGCGACAGCGATCACTTTTCGACTATTCTAATGGAATTATTACCATTCACAATCGATCGCTGGCCAGAATTACCCTTGAAAATCCACTACCATTTACAACCGATCACTGATGACTTTATTTGTTCAATTATACCACCAACTATTACTACTACGGTAACAGCGGTATTGGTCAGAGACTATCACTGTCGCTACCAATTGTTTAGATGTGCCAATGGTCATCACTACGGTCCAAAATTGATGCTTTATTGTTCAGATGTGCCAATGGTCATCAATACGATCCAAAATTAATGCTTTATTGTTCAGAAATGCTAATAGCCATTTTACCCACAATTGACCATTGTCGCTCTCAATTGTTCAACCGTAATAACAGCTTTTGATTGTTTATCAATGCTGAAGGCCATCACTATCATTCATAAGTGTGCTTGGAAAATACACTTCAATTCACAACTGATCGCTGAAGCTCTCAAATGTTCAGCCATGCTAATAGTCATCACTATCATTCATAAGTGTGCTTGGAAAATACACTTCAATTCACAACTGATCGCTGACGCTCTCAATTGTTCAGCCATGCTAATAGTCATCACTATCACTCACAATTGATCGCTGACGCTCTCAATTGTTCAAAAATGCTCCTAGCCATCACTGTCATTCACAATTGTGCTTCCAGTATTCGCTATTATTCACAATCGTTCACTTTCGCTCCCGATTGTTCAATCATACTTCTAGCCATCACTGTCATTCACAATTGATCGCTGACGCTCTCAATTCTTCAGAAATGCTAATAGTCAAACCACTATTCACAATTGATTGCTGACGCTCTCAATTGTTCAATTGTGCTTCCAGTATTCGCCATTATTCACAATCGATCGCTTTCGCTTCCGATTGTTCAACTATACTTCTAGCCATCACTGTCATTCACAATTGATCGCTGACGCTCTCAATTGTCAATTGTGCTTCGAGCGTTACCCTCCCCATCCCTATCTTCTCAAATTTCACGAAGAAAATTTCCAAAAACTTTTTATCATCACACACAACAAACAAAAGAACATCATCACATCCATAAACAAGTTTTCGTGCGAAAGATCCTTTTGAACTAAAATCTACGGCACGTCCAACGAAACGCGTTTAAAATATCCATCACTACTCACCAATGTCATTGTACGAATATAAACATCCAATCATCAACAAAGAACTGGCAACTGGACCAGATGTCAATTCGCGCAGACAATTTGCCACGTTAGAGACGTGGTACGATGTGGTTAACGATTACGAATTTCAAGCCCGGTGTCCTATTATCTTGAAAAACTCGCATCGCAACAAACACTTCACGTTTGCTTGCCATTTGAAATCGTGTCCCTTCAAAGTGCTGTTGAGCTATTCGGGCCAGAACAAAGACGGCCCGTTCGAGTCTCCCAGGGACGAAGACGACGAGGACGACGAAGAAAGCGGTGCTAACAACGTGGACGGCGGTGCGCACCGCGACGACGTCAGCGCTGCTATCGCAGCGGCCGTCGCAGCGGTCACAGACACCAAACCGGGTCGTGGAAATGGTCATCATCACAGCCATCACCAAGACCACGACGACGAAGATGCCGTCACGGACGTTTCAGGTCTCGACGCTCATCAACTGGGGTCCGTACGTGGCCCTTTCACCGTGACTAAGATTGATCCTTACCATAACCATCCATTAGAATCCAATTTGTCATTGTCCAAATTCGTACTCACAAAAGTGCCTCGGATTTTACAAAACGATCTCAAATTCGATTCTATCCTGGAATCCTTGTGTAATGATGACGATAATACCGTGGCCAAGTTCCGGGTATCTCAATACGTGGAAGAAAGTGGAATTCTTGACATTTTGAAAGAACGTTACGGTCTTTCAGACCATGATTTGGACAAGAAATTGCTTTCCCACATTGCACGTCGTATTACCACTTACAAAGCCCGTTTTGTGCTGAAGAAAAAGAAAAACGGTACTTATGGAGTCCCCGCCAGCGCCATGAGCGCTGCCGCTGCTGCCGCTGCCGCTATTAACGCAAATGGGTCTGGATCCGGGTCTCAAACGCCTCAACAACACGACCAGCAACGTAACCTTAACCATCATCATCACCACCATCACCAACAACAACAACAACACCAACAGCACCAACAACAACAACAACAGCTGCCACACCAGCAACACTTGGGATCCCCCGAGGTTGACAAGAAACGGTCATATGCCACCCATGGTTCCGTACCAGACCATGAAGATGATCTAGAATCTCGTAAACGGTCCCGTTCTAACAAGCTGTCTACGGCGGTGAAAATGGGGACCCGTTCGTCTTTGGTTAACGATCCTGGTCTTGCTCAATTGGAAGATGTTAACGATTCTGAGGATAACAAATTGCCTCAAGATGTGGCCGAACAATTGCGTCTGTTGAGTTCACACTTGAAAGAAGTGGAACAACAACAACAACAGCAACACCACGAAAACCAACATCATCAACACCATCATCCAGAGCTACGTGATGAAAACGATGAAAACATCCAACCTGAGTTGAGAGGTCAGTAATTGGGGCTTGAAGATGGTAACAATCTCAAAGTGTTCGGGGAATATTTTCGAGATTGTGGCAATCCGTCAAATTAGTGCTGGTCTCCCCAAATAACTCTCAATTGTAATCTTATTTTTTTTTTTATATATCCGCTTAAATATCTTATGAACTGTGTCTTTTAGGTTTCAATGGGAAGTAAAACGAAAGAATCAGTATGCAACCGACAGTGTCAGCGTGGTTCAAAAAATTGGTAAGCCAAGAAAAGAAAACCTTAAACGTTGAAGGACAACACGAATGAGGTCTAGTCTAATCAAATGTAGAATCTGCTATCTTGAATCGCTGGTGAATTATAGTCTTCTCCACATTTTATATCACTTTTGGCTGATATGTCATCAGACACTCACCTCTAATCATAGTCTCCCCAACAGTAAAAAGTCCCACTGTCCAGCATTCAAAGCAAGAATATACCCACCGACCGTTTCAAAAGTTGCGGATTCCATGATATGCTCAAAACCTTGATTTTTCTCATTTTTTTTGTTCGGAAAATCCGACCTCTTCCAGCCTCATTCGATGCGCTAAGAGCTCACCGAATACAGCTCTTCTACTGCGATCATAGCGATCAATTGCCATCTTGTCGAAGGATCGAAGAACTACTCAAATGCTGTTGTCTATGAGAAGTAGTGTGTCGGATCATGTAACACGGACCATCGCATACCTTTAGTGAATAAATCGTCGTTATTTTATGAGAGATGAGCCTAATCCCACAACAGTCAAAACCGTTAAAACAATGCTTAGAAACCGTCTTGGTACCGCTTTGATAGCTTTTGCTTCTAGACCGGCTTTTTATAGACAACAGCTTTTTTTCCCGCTTTTAAAATGCACTTATTCTGAGGACTTTACGCAAAAGACTAAGCTTCACTCAACCAATGATGTGCAAAATCCAGAAACTCAAGATAACAGTACTAGCTCGACAACGCAGCCTTGGTATATGAATGTTGGAAGAGAACAGCTTCAAGATAATAGTTTTCCTCAGCAAAAAATAGAACTCCCCGAGGATGCGCCTGAATCGTTGCAAATACTAGCCACATTTCTCAGAGATGAACTGGGACTTACCGATATACTCATATTTGAGACCAAAGACTTGAAAGATGGTCAGACTACCGCAGTTGCCAAGTTTAGCGACTTCATTGTCTTGGCCTCAGCCAAGTCCGGTAAACACTGTTATAAGAGTTTTGTAGAGGTCAACACTTTGCTAAAACAAAAATTCAAAGTGCAACCACATGTTGAAGGGAACGTAAGCGCTAACGAGCTTCGCAGACGTCAGCGAAGACTGGCCAGACACACCAACTTGAGTAAATCACAGGGCTCTCGCCCTGCGGTCACTAGAAGCGCTACACAAGCAGATTCATGGTACTTAATCGATTGTCGAGTCAATAACATTTTTCTCAATATCATGTCAGAGACAAGGCGACAACAACTGAATTTGGAGGAGCTTTATGCCCCACCAGAAGACAAGCATCTTTTCAGACGCCAGCAAATAGACTCCGATATTTCTGTTGGGGAAGATGACGACAATGTTTTGGCTGGTCTAAAGCGACTTGCAGCTCGCAACCAGAAAAGACTATATTCAACTATACCAGAAAAACGATTACTTGTCGATCGATTACTACAACAAGATTTCAAGGCCGCAAACCGTTTGGCAGCAGCGGATGGGGCATTGTCAACGCTAAAGACCAGCTTAGAAGCTTTAAAGTTAATACCGATAAACACTACCGTTCAAGTTCAAGATTGGCTGAACTTTTTTAACGGAGTGTGGAGTCCCGAATTTGGGCTTGATACAGAATACTGGCATCTCAGGTTACATTTTTTGAAATTACTCAACAGCTGCGAAGGTAGCCGTCTCACTTTGGAAGAATTCTTTACCAACTTTCTACAATTCAAGTTGGCTAGTGGAAATCTATTAACAAAGACAGATCTATTAGAGTTTTTGCAAACAGCTTACGCAAACCTTCAGGAAGGGCAAGAGCTTACAACGGTGAATAGAGTGGTGATTCAAGCTTTACAACTCTTCAAAGGCATTGAACCTGAACTTCTACTTGACCCTGAAGTGATTTGCTTGCTGCTCAAGACCATGAATGGGCCGTACGCATCATTGGAGTCGCTAAACGGGATGATCGATTTCATCTGTGCAGAATATTCTTCACACATTCCGATTCCCGTAATTGAGACCATTTTACAATCTTTGGCTCAGAGACAAGAATACATGAAAGCACTCAAATTTTGGGAAAATGGGATAAAACTACGAAATGCTAGCGACTATAGACCTTGGTCCTTTTTCGTCAATATGATTGCGGACTCTCGCGATACCAAATTCATTAGGAATGTACTCAATGAGGGACATTTATTGTGGATAAAGCGTAACGACGTTATAGTGGGTCCAGAACTAGGGAGAGCTCTTGAGTATCTTTTCGATACTGTAGATCCAAAAAACATCGCATATAGTGACTTGAGAGCATTTCTAACACAAGATTGACTTGTCGGCACGTCTTATACCATCAATAGAGTGTCGCAATTCTATTAAATTAATTTATTCTGATCTCAAGTTCTTATTTAAATATTCAACGAAAAGAGGAGCGATTCTTTCCTGCTCGAGACTTCTCAAGCGGTTCATGGCTACAAATTGACGCCGTATACGCTGTAGCTGGGCCACGGTGACACCTTGAGAGGGCACTTCGACGAAAAGGCAACGGTCGTCATTGATGTCTTGCACATCTGAAATAATGATCCGCTTGGCCCCAGAAACGACGTTTGATTGCAATGCGGCCAGAAATTTTTTCACAATTACAGTAGTCTCAGCATCCAAAACTTGTAGGGAGTTACTTTGCGTGGCCGGTTTCAAAATGGTAGCATTATTGGGTTTCAAAGAATTCAAAAGTTTTTCGGTTTCTCTGTCGTTGTTCTTTTTGTATAGCTGTGGGAAAAGAGCTTTGAAAATTGGATCTGCAAGGGATTCCATGGTATCCTCATCGGCCAGTACGGAGATCAAGGGTGAATCCCATCTGGTTTGCGGATTCGGTTCCTCATACCGTTGTATCAATTGATTAAGCAGTTCGTTATCCCATGGAATCCGACCGTCTACGGTCGATTTGTTCCACTCCAGCAGTTTTGCACTGGGACACATAACATGCACGAGACAATACGTTGTCATCAAATTTTTCGTCTCACAATGCAGCTGATATCTGAGGCCTTTGATATAGTTCAAAGAATCCACAATTACTATTTTTTGTCGCGACAAATCCCGCTTCACCGCTGAGATAATTTTAGACCTTAGTTTTTTCTCGTCTTGTGATGTGACATAATCCGTGTGTTTGATACCCAAGCTCTCATCAGAGTGACATACCAAAGAATACTTGTCCAACTCCGGTTCTTGCTTAATTTTGTTTTCCAGAAGCGCACACAACTCCTGGGTTTTTGAGCTTTTGCCACAAGATGGATAGCCACTTAGAAGTACCAAAGGCATTTTGGAGAATAGCACCAGCTACCGTATATATTGAATCTGTTCAAACCTATGATTGAAGCTCATCTCATCTCATCTCTTCTCATCACAGTTTGTTTAATTTTCATCGACAGCGTCACACACGTACGATGTGATATTGAATTTTGATATTTATTGAAATTGAAAACGAGAATGGTAACCGCCAAAAGAACCTGTCTTCCAAGATACAGCAAAAAGACCTTCTGTAGCCCCATTTGAACAATGTTTAGACGTTGCTACTCTAATTTCGTACCACGATATGCTTTCCCGGATTATAGGCTACCTCTAACGGACTTTAAAGGCCACCAAATGCGCGCTATTCAACGATTTAAACAATTGCTACCACAACTGAATCTTTTATTGGAACTTCGAGACAGTAGAGCGCCTATAAGCACGAGAAACGTTATTTTTGACGATCTGATGGTGAACAAACGAGGGGAGAACTCGCAGAGGCTGGTTCTTTACACCAAATCTGACCTTTGTCCTAAAGAAACAATTGATAAATTGAAGCTATGGCATTCACGAATGGGAGATGAGTTCATGACACTTGATTGTAGATCGACCAAAGAAGTGCGGAACTTGATACGGATTTTGGAATGGAAATATGACGAAATTGTAAAACAAAGTTTGGGGGATGTGGCTGGAAATGAAGGTTTGCCCCTAGGGTATCGAATCTTGGTTGCCGGAATGCCGAACGTGGGAAAATCCACGCTGGTCAATACACTGAGGTTTGTGGGATCTTCCAAGACGAGAAACTTGAGCGAAAGCATCCACGGTTCGGTATCGCATAGGAGACGCAAAGTGGCGAAAACGGGTGGACAAGCTGGCGTTACCAGGGCGACCAGCGAATGCATTCGCATTGCAGACCATAGGGGCGGTATCTATTTGTATGACACACCTGGGGTATCGTTACCGGGCCGTGTCACGACGCGGGAAAAAATGTTAAGTCTTAGCCAATGTGGATGTGTCAAGGGCACGTTGGTGGATCCAATTATTCAGGCCGATTATTTGCTTTACGTGATGAACTTGCAGGACACGGATGCTTACACACATTATACCAAGGGTGTGCCCACAAATAACGTTTACAAAATTTTGAGTGGAGTTCGCAAAGCGACTGGTATCAAGGACGATAACGGCGCAGCCATCCATTGGATCGACAAATGGCGTCAAGGAAGTCGTGAAACAAAGCAAAAAACTTCCTTTGACGTGGAAACGTTATTGGACGACCAAAGTTTTTCGTATCGAAACCTGGTGGAGCGTGAATTGAAGCAATTGGGGCCCTGGTTGCATGTGGCACCTAAACCGGGTCAGAAAACTTCCAAACAGGCATTGAGAGCTAAGAATAGTAATCAATTGTTTGATTTGTGAGAATGGGGTGACAGTGGATATAATATTGCATGTACTAGTTGGCAGACATTAATCTTTCTACTGCTTTTGACTATTAGCCAAATATTTGTGTAAGGTGCTGATGCGACCATGCACCATTCATGCACACTACGCATGAATGCATATGCTAGATTACATAAGCGCACATACCAGAAACCCGAGTCAAAAATCAAATAGTTTCCGAAAGGTGTCTGGGTGTCGAATTCAATATCAACTCCACAAGAATATTACGTCAGCAATTATCAGTACCCCAATGAGCACGTGCACCCAGTGGTCATTCTGAACGTAATCCCCATATCCGTATATAGCGATGATCTCACCCACATCATCCCAGACGAAATATTCTCCCACCAAAAAAATTAAACTCGATAACAACGCATTTATTACCTCTTCTCTCACTCTTTTCCTAACCGAACAAACCATTTTCAAAAAGCTTGAACTTTGAAAGAAACAACAAGTTCGATCTTCAATCAGAGGTGTTTGAGATAGGAATCACGGTTGCAAACGCAGGGATCATACCCACCAAACATTGCAACAAGCTTCCAGACAGACGGGATCCACTGCTCATCACCTTTTCCAGCGAGTTTGTAGCGTTAAAATTGAGCCGAAAAGTGCGGTTTTTCGATACTTGGAACTCCAAAAGAGCTCTTTCCAAGCTCTAAACCGTTTTTGTGCCGCCATTGTTGCCACCGCTGCTCGCCTACGGGCCCCAGAGTTTTTTATTTATTGCCGTACCGGCGTTCACACACACGCTTTAACGAAATACGGGCCTCTTTTTTTTCTTTGGAATGGCGCTCAAAAACATGCCAATTCAACCTAGCAACGTTTCGATCGCCCCAAACCCCAAATCGAACGCTTCACGCGATACACGGAAACCTGTGAGTCATGGTCTTGTGATTCGCACTTCACGACAATGGGTACTGCCTCCCAGGCCCAAACCGGGCCGTAAGCCCTGTTTGAGTGCTCTACAACGGGCGCCCAAATCAAGTCCACCAACTCAACAAAACAGTGGAACTGAAAAACCAGTTGTGGCTCGTCAACCTTTGGCTCGCAATGGTTGTGAGGATTTGAAGTCCGATGAAAAGGTGAAATTTGAGCCCAAGATTGATACAGAAACTGAAGCCAGAATTGATCCGAAACCACAGGTGAAAACGGAACCTATGCCGTTGTTGTCGTCGTCGTCGTCGTCGTCATCGACTTCGCCACCATCATCACTACCTGCACCTGCATCAATACCACGTTCAGTCTCGCCATTATCCTCCCAGCCGACGATTCCTCCTGTTAACGCAATTTCGAGTACGATCGTTGATGAAGCAGTTTCAGTCACTGAAAACACCCCGCATTTGACGTCTAAAGTCTCAGAGACAAAACAAACCCCCATCGTGTCGACACCAATGGAACCTTTAATTGCTCCAATCAGGTCTATTCCTCTGGTTCCAAAACAGCAGCATCAAGGACCAACATTGGCCCTTCAATCTTCGTCCCCTGCGTCTCCGATTACGACAACGACCACTACTACAACGACTACAACGACTACGATGACTACCACAACAAGTAACCGTCCTCAACAATCGTTGCCTGTCGCTGGAACTCAAATTGTCAAAAAACTCACCAAGACTGCGTTGAAAAAGGAAATTCAACACTTGAAGTTGGAAAATTTCAAACTCAAACAGGAAATGGGTCATTTGGTTGGTCATTTGCAACATCTCAAACAGAAAATTTCCACTCGTAACGATTTTTCTGCCGCTATTGCACCTGCAACTTTACATTTGGGCTCTACCAAGAAACGAACCTTTTTGGATTCCACGGAACAGAAAGAGTTTCTTGACAATACTGAGAATTTTCTGAAGTTTGAGGATGACGACGAAGACGGTGATGACGCGTCACACGCAGTTCTATCGGCAGCTCACATGAAACCTACTATGTCATTTTCTTCTCAATACAGTTCGAGAACAAATCTAACGGACGACGAGGACCCAGGATTCTCTTCTTCTACACCTAGCTCCTTGTTCTCCGCAGAATTGCAGAGAACGGTCACCAACAGTAGCCTTGCGAGTTCACAGCCTTACCACCATCACTTGCAGTCACTTCAGAACACGAACTCGACTTCAAGCTATTCCCCGCATCCAAACGGCAGCAACAGCCCTTCTAGTTTGATGCCCACCAAGCTGCAAACTCATTCTCTTGATAGCATGAAATTTGTTGACGATTTCGAGCACCACGAATTTTACAGCAAACATCGCCAACTGTTTGAAAACAGGATTGCACCCAGTCTACCCAGCGCTTCAAGCGTTTCTCCCTCGGCATCGAATCAACCCGGAGATTTTCATTTGGATTCTATAAAGGAAGAAGATATGGATTTTCGACTTGAACATGATTTTGGAAATGAGAATGTGAGTATTTTGAATTTTCTCGAAAATCATAGCTCAAGGTTTGACAACAATACAACGGCCAATACTGCAGTAACGAACACAGTTCCTAGATGGCTCATGAAGGGAGAAGAATTGGAAGAGTCAGACATGAATGTGTTCCAGAATTTCAGCCCTGAGCCGGAGCTACTCAAGGCAGAGTTCCGCATGCCACCGTCACTTGAAGAGTTAATGGGTGAAGCAGATGCTCCTGAAATAAAGCGAGAGGACGACGAAGACGACGATTTCTCTCGAATGAACATATTTGATTTTGCCTGATGATGCAAAGAATTGCAGCAAGACATGTTTTACATGATGATTAAAATGATGACGTTACGAAACTATTTATGATTGCGGACAAGATTACCGAGATATACAGCTTGTCCCACTTACGAACTATGATACTAATTCGCCGAATGACACACACTATTTGTAATTGGTTTTTTTTTTGGGGGGGTTTTTTTTCAGCAGCTTGCAAGACGGGAAGCTTTGTTGTCTACCAAGGACATTTGATACGTATAATAGATGTGTCTGAACGGTAGACAATTGAGTTTCCACATATACATAGCTATCCATGAGTAATAGTGGCTTGTACTGACTTTGTTGTTGCTAGATTTGCTAGAAGAGAGATACAAAAGATATCGATCTTGAGGGTGGAAACATCTTTCAACTACTAACATGTTGTGGTTTCTTGATATACGTATGTTTGCAGTAATTACCATCCTCTCTCAGAAAGACGGGTACCGTTGGTTCTGTTAATGCTATCGATGCTGGTTCCTGGCATCAAGTCACCCAAATCGGTGGAAAACTCCAAAAGCTTCTTGGGGTCTTCGTAATGAGTGGTGGCCTGGACAATGGCTTTGGCAAGCTTTTCTGGGCTGGACGATTTGAAAATACCAGAGCCAACAAACACACCGTCGCAACCCAACTGCATTAGTAGAGCTGCATCAGCTGGGGTTGCGACACCGCCAGCGGCGAAGTTGACCACTGGCAGCTTGCCCAATTGAACGACTTCCTTTAGCAAAGCGACAGGAACACGCAGCTCCTTTGCCTTGGCTTCGAATTCCTCATCGGTCTTGACGGTTTCGATGACATCGGCGATCTCGCCACGAATTTGAGTAATATGCTTGACAGCTTCAGAGACGTCACCGGTCCCGGCTTCACCCTTGGTTCTGATCATGGCAGCACCTTCACTAACACGCCTTAGGGCTTCACCTAGGTCCTTGGCTCCGCATACAAATGGCACTTTGAAATCGTTTTTGGCAATGTGGTTGACCTTGTCTGCAGGAGTCAACACCTCACTTTCGTCGATGTAGTCCACTTCGAGCGCTTCCAAGATCTGGGCCTCGACTTTGTGGCCAATTCTTACTTTAGCCATCACCGGGATCGAAACAGCAGCCATGATCTCACGGATCATTTTGGGATCTGACATACGACACACCTGGCCAGATTTGCGCATGTCGGCTGGAATTCTTTCCAAAGCCATCACAGCACAGGCACCGGCTCTTTCCGCAACGACAGCCTGTTCAGCAGTGACCACATCCATGATCACACCGCCCTTTAGCATTTGGGCCAAGCCCGCTTTGACTTTGAATTCTGACATATTTAGTGTGTGAGCGTATAGTAATCGTAGCTCGACCGAAATATGCAAAGGGATATATATAATATTAACGGATTCTTCCACCTTCACATTTTTCCTCCCACTTGGACATACCGATCACAACCTTCTTATAGCCCGCAGAAAATTAACATGTCTAAAGCCGCCAACTTTCCATATACAGAGTCATCGTCACAATCGCCATCAGTCAAAACTGAGATTACGGCCTTCGTCACTTCGCATTTTAGCACTTGTTCGGTTGGTTAACCCACATCCTTTTTTTTTTTCTCATTGCTGCGTTGTGCCGTAAGGTTGACTGATATGCGCATTTAAGACTCGCTCTGGGCTGCACTCTTTAGCGTGTACTCAACCTGGTGCCGCTTTAAATTTCTGGCACTGCTCCTAACAGCTGCCCTTTCTAGACTTGCAAAATTTCATTGCATAGAAAGGGAGTCAAGCTCCATCTGTCGCTCTCAGACCGGGATGGGTGAGTCATAAGACGATTCAGCTGGTCTCGTATCGCATCAGACTCCAGCGACCTGCCCTGAAGGGATAAAAGCCCGATTGTGCCGGGAAAACGAGCGCTAGAAAACTTGTGAAGATAAAGGAGAGAAAGAACGAAAAAAGGAAGCGAGATCCGCCCTGCCACTTTAGGCTCTTTTGATTTCCCGACAGATTGGTATAAGGCCAGCGGAAAAAAAAAATCCCAATAATAAATTCTTGGTGGAGGTTTTGGGCGTATGAAAGGTTGAAAAAGGCATCCGTGTTTTCGTTGAATCAGCAGTTTGAACACGATACTCAAAGTCTCATTCATCACAAGAACGATACGTTTTACGGATAGAGGAGCGTTTCTCTGGCTCAAACCGGCGGAGTCAAAAAAAAACCAACAACCCGGATATTAAACATTCAGTGTTAGAATATTTTTTTCGGAACAGTTTCGCTTACGTCAGCAACTATTAGAAACCAGTAACAACGACAAACTGCTGACATAAGCAGACATAGTGCATCTGACGCGCATCGTAATCCATTGTCTCGCGTGCCTACCATAGAACCCTGCATACGACGCGCATACAATATTATCATCCTTTCCAGAAAATGACGACCAAAACTGTGGGCGTGTTGGCGCTACAAGGCGCTTTCAAAGAACACGCAGAGCTCGTTGTTGCGTGTGTCCGTGAAAACCGGTATCCGATCACCGTTTGTGAAGTCAGAACGTCTGAGGAACTGAACCGCTGCGATGCGCTCATTATCCCTGGAGGTGAATCCACGGCCATGTCGCTAATCGCACAGCGGTGTGGCCTTTTTGAGCCGTTACAGCGGTTTGTGCAAAACCCTTCAAAAGCCGTCTGGGGTACCTGTGCGGGACTTATCTTCCTCGCCCGCGAAATCACCAACGACGCCAAACTGGTGACTCCGCTCCAAGCGCTGGACGTGGCCGTCCAGCGGAACGCGTTTGGACGTCAGGCCCAGTCTTTTGTCGCTCAGTGCGATTTCACTTCTTTCATGACACCAAACGCCAGTATGCGCAACAGCGGACAGCCGTTCTCCACTGTCTTTATTCGTGCCCCCGTTATAGACCGCATCCTGAATGCGGAGTCCGTGCAGATTCTTTACGAGATTGATACTCCTGCAGGCCATAACCTGGTGGTGGCCGTAAGACAGAAAAATATCTTGGGAACATCTTTCCATCCGGAACTCGCCGATGACAACCGCTTCCACGATTGGTTCTTGCGTGAGTTTGTACTATAGAAAAATCACTTGGCTGGCATCATTTGTCCCAGAGCATTGCACTTGGCCATTGTTAAATAGAGATAGGGGCAAAATTGGGGCAGGTTCGATCTTTCCCACGTCTATCAGTTGCACCCGGTGTATGTGGTGCAAAATGTCCCACAACAAAGCCTTGCATATGTATAATTCGGAACTATCCATAGATTTACCAAAACTTTTGCTTCCGATGGGCAATTTAGTGCGTATTTCTTGAGCATTCCACCATTTTAAACTCTTTATACTCTGCAGTCGTAGCCACACGCAATGCGGCGGCAGTATTACTTGATTCAAATCTAGCTCTTCAAGGAAGGTGAAAGTGACTTTCTCTACGGCCTCCCAGCGAGACAGATTAACCATGGACAACCTGAGGTCCCGAGACGCACAACGACTGAGTTCCAGCGTCTTAACTCTTTTCTTCACGGCGAATCCAACGGTATGACCTGGGTGATCCCTGAATCCGTGGAAATTGACTACTCTTTCGAATAAGCTTTGGCTCGTGACTGTAACGGCTTGTAGACTTTTCAGACTTTCCAGCATCGCGATTAAGTCCAACACCTCAGCGCTTTCCAATGCTTCTTCATCTTGGTAAAACCTTACTTGATGCACCAAGTCTTTTCGCCCCGTACGATCCAGATACCCGTCCAGCTCTTGCAGTTCTTTTCCATTGATATGCTCCATGTTCACCACCGTTGAAAGGAGGTTCAAATCACTATCTACCGAATCTCGATATTCTTCCAGAGAGCACCAATATTGCAGTAAGCCCTCGGGGCTGAAGAACCCCAGCTTCGGATGCCCCGATATGAAGATCCAATATAATTGTGTAAGCGTACTCTCCAATTCCCTGTTTACTCGTAGATAGTCCAACACTATGCAATCGTAGCGCAGACATGTCACGTATTCTAGCCAGGAGTCGACAAAATCTGGCACATAGCTGTACAGTTCGGCAAATCGCTCAAGTTTCTTTCTCAAACCCCTAGATCGAGAGCTTTTTCTTCTAGTTGGTGTAAGCGTACTGGTGAATAGTTCATAAGTTGCAGGCGGCTTCAAATTGGTCAATTGTGAGTTCAAGTGCTGGTAAACACATTTCCGTAAGGTGATGGGTTGCTGGAGAAACTCCAAGACATTGAACATGAAGATTTAAAGATCTCAACTGGTGCTACTCTGGCTAGTTAAGTCAAGTTTCCTGTGCTCATCGCCTATCTTTCAAGATACTCGAATTAATGGTGGTGAATTTGAGAATATTAGTTCATCAACAGCCTAAATGCATAAAATAAAGTCAAAAATCCAGCTCTGGAGCTCAGTAAGAGGCTAGTGAAGAACCTTTGATGGATCAGCTAAAGTTAGAACTCAAAAGCTTCGAACGGAGGTTCGAAAAGAAGCACGGAAGACCGCCTGGTCGCGAAGATATTCGAGCATTGCCGGATCTCAAGTATAAATACAAACAATATGCTTCACTACAGCGCGAAAGACAGAGAATTGAAGTGCTACAGGTAACGCCCCACAGGAATGATGAAATAGAAACAGATCTGCCGTTAGAAATAGGTCCTACGCCTCAAATGTACGGAAAAGTATTGGGTTTATTCGACATGAAGATGTCATCGCCGACCAAAAGAGCAGCTGTAATGTCACCAGAGGGCTCAATAGGCGGTTTAGGGGAAACTCAAAGGCTTTCAAAATCGCCGAAAACAGAGGGCGTAAAAACTCATTTGGACTTAACGCTGGAACGCCGACTATCACCCAAGAAAAGGTTCTACGGTCCGAATTCGCCATTCAAATTTGATGGTGTTGATCTCTCAGTCCACACTCCAAGACGAAATTTGCACAATCTTATAGCCGAGACTGAGAGCTTTGGCACTGGAAGCCCGTCTCCCATCATCAAACGTCCAATGGGCAAACCTCTACTTCAAATCGTCCGAGAGAGCGAAAAGTTGTTGGATGATATTGACGAACTGAGCGACGACGACGTGATCTCGCGGAGCGTTAAAGATGTCTTTCAGAATGATGGAGACCAGCAGGAAGACCCAAATACAGAGGATGAGTCTGAAGTAGTATTCAAGCGCTCAAAACGAAAGCACATCTTGCGGCCGGCCGCTAGTGGATTAAGTGCACCCGAACCTTTACAAGTGAATATCAAAGAAGAAATGGCAAAATTGAAGCAGCAGGCTATGGATGAAGCCAACGGCATCGAGACCAAGAGCACTGATGCAGGCCAGACAGTGTCCAAGAGCGCAATCGTGAAAACCCGACGGAGGCCCCAGAAGTACAACCTTGTCAGCAACAATTTTAGAAGACTGAAGCTTCCGAAAGCAAAGGGTAAGGGCAGAAAATGGGGGCGACGCTAGGGTTACAGTTCTGATGAACAAAATGCATATATACAGCGGTGATAATTATCAATATTTTTTAAACATCCTGGTACACAGCTCTTTTCCTCTCAACTGATGAGAAGCTGCAACATCCCTTCTATCTTTTGAGCCTCCTCAGCTCTATGCACTTCCTGCTTGACCTTAAGCCTCAAGAGAACAATCATTTCCTCAAGTAAAGAAGATCTGGCAATGAGATCGCCGTACATTTCTAGTACCACAGCGATCCAGTCGGCGACTATGGATGCACTTCTAAAATCTTCAACACCGCGAGTACACCAGTTCAGTAGCGGCTCTAAGGAAGATTCGTCTCTTCCAAGTAACGCTACTCTAATTTTTCCTCTTTTACGGAGTTCGCTTAGTGCCGTGAGTGTCAGTTCTTTGGCCATACCTGAAAGAAACGCAGCATCCAAAGCCTCATACCACTTAAATTGATTTAAATGACGCTCAAAAGCCCTCAGTTTACGCTGCGAACGAGCCTTGTCATTGTGAATTATGTGTTCTTGGTCACCAGCATACTCAGACCCCCTCATCATTCTTTGAAAATTGTTACTCTTTGCGACTTTCTCAATTTGAACCTTGGCAGCCGCTGCTTTCTTCTTGGTCCTTATAGCAAGAAGTCCGGAGGAAAGACCAGCGACTAGATGTCTATTGCCCTGAGCATCACCTGGAGACACGGCACAGCTCAGCACGGGAGCGGAAAACTTCCAGCCAAACTTCACTTTATAGCCATCTAGTGGATCGAAGATCTTGACATGGCCATCCAAAGAAGATGCAACCAAAGTCGAACTCATTGGAGAATCCCCGGCGAGATCCACGTAATCTAAGCTAGTAGTGGTTTTGGCGAAATTTGCTCTTTCCAAAAGCTGTCTTTGGGCAGTCAAATCCCATACTTTGAAACCAGGTCCACCGCAGGAAACTAGCTGCGTGGGTGAAACGGCAATGACATCCTCCACAGGCAAGCCCTGAGCCAAGGTGGTTGGTTTGGAAGTGGCACTAGCTCTTGTATCATAGAGACGGACGTGACCGTCGTAGGAGCCGGTAACCACAAGATGGGGCGCCTGTGGAACCATGCAGATGGTACGAACATAGTCTGAAGCTCCTGTAAGCTCCGTGACGGGCTGTTGAGCTTGTGAAATGTCCCAAACCCGCACTACACGATCATCACTAGCGGTTACTAGCGTTTGTGGGTCTGTTAGATGGAATTTGGCGACATGAGTAGGATGGGACGATGCTGGAATAGATACCAGCTGAGTACGTGGGTTGTAGGAATCGTACACCGATACCAGACCTGTGGCATCTCCCATGGCTAGAAGCTTTCCGTCAGGACGAAAATTGGCGGCATACACCACATCTTTAAACCGCGAAAATGTCTTGATTACTTGTCTGGTGCGGGAAGAAAACAGCTGGACCCTGGTAGATGCTGCGACAGCAAAATCGTTGGGTTGCTGAGGGTTGAAAGCCACGCTAGTGACACTGTTATGCTCTCTCACGAGCTGAGTGGTCCCATAAGCTCTCCAGTAGCGCTGTTCGGGCGTGGTTTGTTCCGGAAGGACCGGTGCTCTCAAGAGAGTCGTTCTAGGTTTTACCGAAGACATTGCAGAGACTAAAAGCTTCACTTTTGACAGTTTTCTTCGAGCGATGAGCTTACTTCGATCCATTTCAGTGATGGGCAGTCCAATTTTTCACATCCAAATTTCGATATCATTATTTCTTATAGTGACACAAGTCAGCTATGACAGCGACGGTGAAACGAAACATCGAATTTATTTGCCAAACTAGTTCACCAATAGCTCGAAGAATTGGCACTCTCCCTCTAAAATATGCTTCTGCTACGTTTTCTTTCCCCTAGATTTCGATAAAGTTTCGAATAACTCATCTCACGTTTCTATTATTCTTGTTCTTCGTAAACTAGCAAGTAAATTCTAGAACTAGTAAATATATTAATAACTCCACCAGCTCCACCAGCTCCATTGATTTGTTTTAGCATTTTTTTCCAGCCATGTCCTCCATTCAACCTACTTTGATCTTTGAGTACAGTTGGTTTTCCGTTCTTTACTCTAATGCTTCCAGGTTTATAAAATCCAGATAAGACGTGTGTGACAAGTACAGCCGGTTTGATTCAAACCACCCAAATGCGCTTACAATTCGAGGCCAACATCTATTCGGCACAGCTCAAGTTAAGACGCGTCATCTCACTGTTTGATATTGTAAAGCTTCCCGTGGTTCAAAACTGAATTCGAGAACTGTATTAAATCCAGCAAATGAATAAGAGCCAATTTCAAGCAGTTTCGCTAACTCTTGGCCGTTAGAATACACTTTTTATGCTCTTAAACCGAGTTATATGCTATGTTATGAATTAATGACAGGTATTTAATCTTACAGTTCTATTAAAGTAAACCCACCCTTCAGTCAAAAAACTTGAAATATCAGCACAAATCACCCACAGCAATGGCTCAATTGCAATGGACTACTACTTTGGCACCTTTACCAGCTACAGAGCGTAATTTCTCGACGAAAATCTCCTACGATAAGCAATCCAAATGCATTGGTTACGGATGTGGGAAGTCAGCTTTCATTAGATCACTAGATTCGGATTTCCAAGTCCAGTTCACAGGTCATGGCACGGCAAAAGTGACTGTGGTACGCTTTCAACCGGTGATAGGATCCCACTACGTGTGTTCTGGTGACGATCAAGGCCGTGTGATTGTATGGGAATGGTTTCCTTCTGGTAGCCAATCGGATATAGAAGCAACTGCAGAACCGACCACGGCTGTTAAAAGCGAATTTCAAGTGCTATCTGGACCTGTGATCGATGTCAGCTGGGATATGGATGGCCGCAGACTATGTGTTGTAGGCGATGGACGAGACAAGTTTGGGGCCTTTATCTCCTGGGACACTGGTAATTCCTTGGGAGAACTCAGCGGACCCTCCAAACGTGTCAACGCCTGTCATATTAAGCTCAGCAGGCCCATGAGATGCTTCACTGCTGGTGATGATGGTGCATGTGTATTTTTTGAAGGTCCGCCTTTCAAGTTTGCGGCAAGCGACCGTACCCACCACGACCAGGGAAAGTTCATTCGCGATATCAAGTTTTCGCCAGGTTCAGGCACTTATGCGATTTCTGTCGGTAGTGACCGCAAGATCGTGTGCTTCAATGGCCGTACTGGTGAATTTGACAAGTATATCGCAGATGCAGACGAGACAGTTGATGGAGGTCATTTTGCACTTGACTGGTTCGATGACGGTGCAGAGTCGCACAGGTTCGTCACTGTCAGTGCAGATGCAGCAGTAAGAGTATGGGATGCTGAGAAAAATAAGTGCGTCTACAAGTGGAAGCTGGAACGTACTGTGTTAAACCAATTGGTTGGTGTCACTGTCATTGACGAAAACCACGTCGTTGCCGTATCTTTGGAGGGTGCTCTACACGTCTTCAAAATTGGAGAAGAGTTACCGGTGAAGACCATTGTGGGGCATAACAAGGCAATTACAGCTTTGGTTGCGGCGCCACTTGTATCCGGATCATATGACGGCAGAATTGTTACATGGGGAATCAATGGCTCTCAAAGTGCAACCATGGGTAACGAGCACAACAACGTTGTTGTGGCTTTACAAAAAAAGACTAGTGTTATATCTACGTCTTGGGATAGCACCTTGAGAGCTAGTGGCGAGGTGAAGCACACTTTCGAATCTCAACCGAAGATTGCTGCAGTCTACGACAACTCGCAGGCCGTGATCACGATTGCGAACGATCTCGAAATTCTTGACGGAGAGACCGGAAAGGTCGTGGCGTCGAAGAAATTGACAGCAGCGGTTTCTGCGATAAGTTTAGGGCCAACTTTCGTCGCTGTTGGTTACGAGCAGTCAAACGCAATTGAGGTTTTCCATATATCGGATCTTTCTGTGAGCTTTACTATCGCAAGTTCACTAAGAGCTCGACCTTCAAGCTTGTCGCTGTCGCCTTCTGAAAAATATCTGGCTGCCGGAGATGTGATGGGCAAGATCTTGTTGTTTGATTTGGGTACTAGAAGTGTTAAAACGTCGAGATGGGCATTCCATTCAGGAAAGATCACGAGTATGGCCTGGAGACCAACTGCTTCTGAAGACGAGGAGGATCTCATTGCCACTGCGTCTCTAGATACGCATTTGATGATATATTCGGTCCAGAAACCCATGAAAACTGCCAAACATTTAAATGCTCATAAAGATGGGATCAATGTAGTTGCTTGGGATGGCGAGTCGACCCTTTTCACTGCAGGAGGGGACTCGTGCATCAAGAGATGGAGCTTTGAGCCATAATTGTCTCGAAGCTGAGGTACTCTGATGAATAAACGGTTCGTTCATGAGGCAAATGTCTGAGGGCAGATTGATATCTGAAAATGCTGAAAGGCACCAAAATCCACAAAAAACTACACACGATGATTGATAAAGATTAGCTCTCCCTGATGCTTCCCTGATGACAGGAAATTACGATTTTCCAGGGAAAGTTGGTATTTTGCCGAGTGAAACAAAAGCTGAGAAACTTGAAAGAAAACCACAAGAAAGCGAAAATCAGGCTTAAAAGATAGATTTCATCAACAATATTGAAATCGAGTCTATTGAGTGGGTTCTGTGTATTTATACTTGATCTTTGACGTTTAGGTAATTGATCACTATATAAATATCATCAACGATCTTAAATGGTATAACTGAACATTAAGTTCAGAGTTCAACAAACCGAACAAACATCCCTTGACCAATGGCTGGCACCTCGCCTTCAAGAGTAGCAAAGTCTACTTCCGGCAGAAGATCAACGTCGGCAACCAACAAAGTGAAATACTCGATGGACGAAGAAGATGCAGATGTGAAAGATGACGAAAATGATGAAGACTACAACGAAGACGCACCCGATGAAGAAGACAACGAGGACGAAAACCTTGAACTAGATGATGATGAAAATGTCAAGGAAACGGCGAACGGTAGTCGCCAGGCTTCTCAGGATCCGGGATTGGGCTCATCTCGACCCACGGGACAGTCCAGACGGGGAAGACCACCCAAACGTAAGAATACTGCAGTCGACACAACGTTACCGATCATTGATAACTCCAAACTAGAAAACGACACCAACGGCAGTAACGGTGGGCCTAAACGGCCACATTTGTCTTTCCCTGTGGATGAAAATGGAGATCCTATACCTGTGGTCAACGATGAATACACACTTGCTGACGACGTTGAAGGCGACACCAAAATCAACAGAGACGGCGATTTGCTGGGTGGACGCCAGTTTTTGGTAAGGACTTTTACGCTCTCTTCACGAGGCGAGCGGAAATACATGCTCTCGACAGAACCGGCTCGAGCTGTTGGGTTTAGAGACTCGTATTTGTTTTTCCAGTACCACCCTAACCTGTACAAACTGACAATATCTCAGGACGAAAGAAATGACCTGATTCATCGCGGCATCATACCTTACTCGTACAGAACACGCACAATTACTTTAGTCACGGCAAGAGGAGTTTTCAAGGAATTTGGAGCCAAAATTATAGTTGATGGGAAAAACATCACCGACGACTACTACGGTCAGAGATTACGTGACGAGGGCCGTGTTGTGGAGGGATCGTATGCACGAGAGCCTCCTGCCTCTTTTAGGGGTGGTGCTAATGGATTAGCATTCTCACGTTCCAACTTCAACCCTGCAAAAAACGCTGTTGATTTCTTCGACAAACGCAACCACAACATCGCACCGGGTAGCAACATTAGCTCTACCAATTGGCTGTATCAGCACGCTGCAGCGTGTAGCAGGTTTAACAGCGATTTGTTCTACGATCGTGAAAGAGTGCTTCTGATCGAGCACCAGGGATTGCGCGATCCTTACACCAACACCTTACACCTTCCACAATCCACGCAATCCACACATGTGCTGCGGTACGTGCAAGACACGACTAAAAAGCCTGCCGACGGCGGTGTGGTCTACGAAACCGTCGTAGCGGACAAAGATTTAACAAGAAGATGCATTGGAATCAAAGATGTGCCACTCGACATATTCGAAGACGTGGTAGACGACGATATCAAGCTGGCAATTCTCGAACAGCAGCAGTTCGAGCAGAACGCTTGATGACTGGCCAACCTGACTGGCATCAACGGACGAGATAATGTACTGTACTATATTGTAGCTTTTCACGAATGCGACTATAAGCATTATTTGGGAACTCATCTTCAACTTCAACTCCAGAAACCAACATTAAGAAGCCATACCGTTCTCCAGCCCAGTTGTCGTATAGAATACTTTACTGGTATTTGAAGGGATTAAAACTGTAAGCTCGTCTAGCGCCAGTTGCTGTTTTTTTTGGGTTTTCGTTTTGGACCTTGCTCCATTCTTAGTGGCAAACAGCCTTTGATTTACGAAACCAGATGTTAACAGCACTTCTACGAGCTCGAGCAACTCCTCAAGTATGCTTGAGGCCTATGCTTAGCAAAACATCCCCGCGGTTGTGTACTATCGGTTTTAGAGTTGCTCTATTGCACTCGAGTTCGAGGCTCTACAAATCCAACTCGAGGGATCAAGATCATAACGAAAAGGACGCTAAAGATGAAGATGTCGAAAGTATAAGGAAGGAAGTGGAACGTTTTATCCAAGATGCCAAGAATGATACCACAGGGAATCGTGAATTGCGTAAGAAAAGATTAGACGAGAGTATCAAAAGACTCGAAGAGACCATGCAGCGACAGCAAGACAACCAACGTCAGGAAGCCGAAACGGCTCAAACGGCCCAAACGGCCCAAAAGAATGAGCATACGGCAAGTGATGAAAAGTCCACGGCTAAAAATGCTGAACAAAAGTCTTTTTTCGATGAAGAAAAGGAAGCGTTTGATCAGAATAAGAAAATCAATGATCGCAAAAAGGCGGAAGAAGAGAAACTCAAAAAGATTCTGAATGACCCCAACTCTAACGTTTTGGCTGTGAACATAGGATTTCTGGAAATCGGGATCTTACTGTTTTTGGTGTCGTTCTTTTTGAGCAGGGTTTACAACACCGAAGAACAGAGGGAGATTACGTGGCAAGACTTTAGATCAGAACTTCTTGCTAAGGGATATGTTTCCAAACTTGTTGTGATCAACAAATCATTCGTTAAAGTGATCCTAAATGATAATGGCAAAAACCAGCCGGAGCACAGCGGTCACGACTTTTACTTCTTTACCATTGGTTCCATTGATAGTTTTGAGCGCAAATTACAAAAGGCACAAGAACAGCTTGGAATTGCTGAAGATTTCAAAGTCCCAGTTATTTACACTCAAGAAGGTAATTGGGCAAAAGCCATGTACCAAATTCTTCCCACAGCTTTGATGATCGGAGGTTTGATTTGGATCACTAAACGCTCGGCATCTGCTGCCGGTGGTGGCGGGCCAGGCGGTATATTCAGCGTTGGTAAGTCCAAGGCTAAAAGATTCAACAAGGATACAGACGTCAAAATCGCTTTCAAAGATGTTGCAGGCTGTGATGAAGCAAAAGAAGAGATCATGGAATTTGTGAGTTTTCTGAAAGAACCTTCTCGCTACGAAAAATTAGGTGCTCAAATCCCTCGTGGTGCTATTTTATCTGGGCCTCCTGGTACAGGTAAAACCTTGATTGCCAAGGCAACGGCCGGTGAGGCTGGTGTACCTTTCTTCTCAGTTTCTGGTTCGGAGTTCGTTGAAATGTTTGTTGGTGTCGGTGCCTCAAGGGTTCGTGATTTGTTCAAAACCGCTCGCGAAAACGCTCCTGCCATTATTTTCATCGATGAAATTGACGCCATTGGTAAAGCTCGGCAAAAGGGGAACTTTTCTGGTGCCAATGACGAAAGAGAGAATACGTTAAATCAATTATTGGTCGAGATGGATGGTTTCACTCCTGCCGACCATGTGGTTGTTCTTGCTGGTACCAACCGTCCGGATGTGCTTGACCAAGCTCTGATGCGTCCAGGTAGATTTGACAGACATATCAACATCGACAGACCTGAGCTTGAAGGACGCAAACAGATTTTCGGAGTTCATTTGGCAAAGATCAAGATAGCTGGCTCTTTAGACGATCTACAAAATAGACTAGCAGCGTTGACTCCAGGTTTCTCAGGTGCAGACATTTCCAACGTCTGCAACGAGGCTGCTTTGACTGCTGCTAGAATCGATTGTACTGCCGTGAAGTTGAGTCATTTTGAACAGGCAATTGAGAGAGTTATTGGAGGTGTTGAGCGAAAATCGAAGCTACTTTCACCAGAAGAAAAGAAAATCGTTGCGTACCATGAGGCAGGACATGCCGTTTGTGGATGGTTTTTGGAGTTCGCCGACCCTCTGTTGAAAGTCAGCATTATTCCTCGTGGTCAAGGTGCCCTTGGCTATGCTCAATATCTCCCGGGTGATGTCTACCTTCTGAGTGAGCAGCAATTGAAGGACAGAATGACTATGGCGCTGGCTGGTAGAGTCTCCGAGGAGTTGCACTTCCCGTCTGTCACAAGTGGCGCTTCGGACGACTTCCAGAAGGTTACACGCATGGCTACCGCAATGGTAACGGAGCTTGGTATGAGTGACAAGATTGGCTGGATCAATTATCAGAGAAAAAGCGAAAGCGATTTGACCAAGCCATTCTCGGAGGATACAGCTGCCATTGTGGACTCTGAGGTTTACAATATTGTGCAGACATGTCATGACAGGTGCACTGCACTATTAAAGGAGAAAGCCGATGCAGTGGAAAAAGTCGCTCAGCAGCTGTTGAAGGAAGAGGTGTTGACCAGAGAAGATATGATCCGCATGTTGGGCAAACGTCCATTTTCCGAGCGCAATGATGCGTTTGACAAATATCTCAACGAAAGCGAAACACAGAGGCTACGGAAAAACGAGGAACGCGATGTTGGCATGAGCGTGTGATGTCTCTCCAAGCTCAAAACGAACCTTACACGGTGAGAGTCAGTCCTTTTGAACGTGCAATACCTTGTCTCGGACCGGAATTTCTATAGCCAACATGGTATCCTCTCAACATGTACTTGTAAATAAACCATACTAGCACAAGACAAAGGCAATGATTAACAAAGCCAAATTGAAAGATTGAAGACGGCCTAGTTGCTGACGTCTTTAGTTGAACGTTATCGTGCGCTGGTCAGAATGGATGAAAATGACTTGGAAAAATTCCATTGGAATATCTTCGACTTCGATATCACTAACTACCAAGACTTTTGATCCGCTGCGTCGACCTAGACAGATCAACGTTCTGCCAAGACAATGCCACTGAGATCGACACCATAAGCAGTAGTTCCGTAGTCTGGCACTGCCGTTCAAAAGATGGGTATTTAAAAGGGAATTGTTTTGGGCCTTGGTAGAAACCTTCCTTGCTAGACATTTTCTTGTAGAGACGCAGCTTTTGCACTCTCAGCATGAACATGAATTCAGATCAGCAAACTGAGGAAACTGCGTTGCTTTCAAGAGGCAGTGAAGATGCTTCTATAAATGGCGATGCTTCTTTAGAGCAGAAATGTCATGATCACAACATGGGCTTACACAAAGCTCCCATTTTACTGTCGCTTTGGCTCGGATCATTCTTAGTTTCCATTGATGGAACAATCGTAGCTAACATCACCAATGCCATAGCTGCGGATTTCCAGGAATCCGACAAGAAGCAATGGATCGCAACAAGTTTTCTGTTGACTAACACTGCTTTTCAATGTCTGTACGGTAAATTGTCGGATATATCTGGAAGAAAGTTCGCTCTGTTAACAGCACAACTCTTCTTCGGGTTGGGTTGCTTGTTGACGTGTTTTGCTCGCAATGTGACAGAATTCTCGTTGGCACGGGCAGTGTGTGGTATCGGTGGTGGTGGGATCAGCGCCATGAGCAGCATCACTGTCAGTGATATTTGCACAGCAAAAGAACGAGGCATGTACCAAGGCTATGCTAATATCGTGTTCGGAACGGGTCAGCTTCTGGGGGCTCCATTGGGTGGGCTTTTGATCACAAGTGTAGGATGGAAACCCATTTTTGCTGTTCAGGTGCCGATGGTAATGCTGTGCATGTTTTTGGCCTATCGCAACGTGAACACCAAACTTGCGCATTTGAAGCCCATTGAGGAGCGGTTCTCATTTGATAATATCTCACGCTTGGATTTGATTGGTTCTGCTTCGTTGGTGATCTCCATAGGTGGTGTTTTATTTTTGTTGTCCACCGATCTCAATAAAACGGCAGTTGTGGTATGCACCACATTGAGCATTGCTTTATTCGCCTACAACGAGAGGTTTTGGGCTCGCGAACGCATCATTCCATTTGAATTATTGCGAGGTAACTTTGGCTTGACGTCGTCAGTTACTGTCGCTTCAACGTTCGTTATCTTTGGCGACATCTTCAGATCTCCGATATATCTGCAATTGGTCCAAGACGTTTCAGTGGCTAAGAGTGGAATCTTCATTTTGTTCGGATCGATAGCTACCGCAAGTGCATCACTCGTCACCGGATACATAACTCGGCATACCAAGATGGATCTTGCCAAATGCTCGTTTTTAGTCATTCTCGCAGCTGTCTTTTTGCAATTGATAGGCACAGTGCTCAGTAGTGTGTTGGTAGCCACTCTAGACCCAAATCAGACTTCTTATGCCCGGGAAGGCCAATCCGCAACAATTTTTGAGCTCGATTCCAATGGATATCTTTGGAAATGCCTCTACGTTATTGCGACAATACTTAACAGTTTCGGGTACGGCTGTTTGCTGGTATCGGTTTTGGTGAGCATTGTGTTCACCGTGCCCAAATATCAGCAGGCTACACTCACAGGCATTTTTTACCTGTGGCGATCCATTGGCAGTGTTCTAGGAACGTCGATATCGCTGAGCACATATGACACAACGCTAAAATCTAGCTTGTGGCGGTACATGAGCGCCCATGGTATTTTAGAGTCGTATCCAAGACTACTGCGGGACTCCGGGTATTTGCGGGCTCATTTTTCCGGCAAGGAACTTAGCGCTCTTCTGAAGGTTTACCGGCAATGTTTTGTGTGGTCATTTGGTCCCAATCTTGTACTAGGAACCATTTCCTTCGGCTTGGGACTTATTTTGGTCACCACCGTGACCCGAGGGCAAAAGGTTCTCGATAGGGTCAATGCGGGCATCGTAGGCGAGTAAACGGTCAAAATCGATACCCAATTTCTGGCATTCCCGAACACACTCCTGGGAAACAAATGCATCGTACCTGTAGCCCAAGAACCGCATGATCACGACGTTTTTGAGCTCTTGTGACATCGTTTTTGAATCCAAAAGGAATAATCGAATCGCTAGCGCCATGGATTTACTACACACTTCTACGGGCACTCCAGCATACCCTGTACCCAACCCAGGAACCACCAAAACGTGTGTATCTTCAGGTGTGTGTACAAGAGCGTTGTACAACACGTTGAAAACGAGACCGTATCCTGTTTCCATTGGTCTGAGCGGATCGTAAATTTTATGTGACGGTGCTACGACCGTTGGAACGTGGATTATGCGGGTGATTCCGTTTCTCCTCCATTCAGGGCCCAATTCCACCGTTGTAGCCGTTCCCACTGGCTTGTAGCCAGCTCCTCCTCCTCCTCCATTTCTTGCCAGTTGATGTCTGAAAAACGACTCGAACGATGGTCCTCCGAAGAACTGCCTCAACGCCAAATCGAACCCGCCGCCAAGCCATCCAAACGAGTTCCCAGGCGAAACAACAGCAGCTTTCTTCGTCCCAATCCCTACATCGACTCCCATAGCGCTGAAATCAACTCTATCTAAACCGTTTGTACATATGTTTACACACTCTAGATCGCCTAAACTACGTTTCCAACAATCAACAAGCTCTAGGTTCTTGTCCAGTAATACAAAACGGCGAACCATTGGTCAAGCTAGACTCAATTGAGCTTGTTTTATGGTCAAATAAGTTCAAGTTGATTATGTTGATCATAATGTTGACGATAATGGTGATGACGTTATTAATTCATCAAAATCTTGAACTTTGATGAAATCTCGAAATCATTCAGAAAGAAGCTAAAACAAGCATCAATTCTATCGCTAAACCGTAGTTTTTGAGTCAGTTGGTCTAGGACAAACGCTTGCTATAAAAGGGTTTTTTTTTTTGTATCTGATCGACTCCAAATAAAGAACAAATATGCTTCGACGCCAGCTAAGCAGTCTATCCGGACGAATAAATTCGATTCCAATGGCTCCTCCAGACAAGATTTTGGGTCTTACAGAGCAATTCAACGCTGACAAGAATGATAATAAGACAAACCTGACGGTGGGTATTTATAAAGACAACTGGGGTCAAGTTACCACGATGCCAAGCGTCGCGAGGGCCCAAGCGATGCTGGATCAGAGTTTCGAGATGAATACAGATCTGTCATATTTGCCAATCAAGGGCTGTCCCGATTTCCGAGAAAATGTTCTGCGGTTTCTGTACCGCGAAAGCTGCCCACAAGGCGTGGAGCTGCTAAACCAGGAACGAATCAGCTTCGTGCAAACACTCTCCGGAACCGGAGCGCTAGCCGTGGCGTCAAAATTCTTGTCATTGTTTATGTCCCACACAGTGTGGTTTCCTAACCCATCGTGGCCCAACCACGCCAACGTCTTCCAAATCAACGGGTTCAAAAATATCAACCACTACACTTATTACAAAGACGGCCAACTGGACGTTGACGGCTGGATCTCGGACTTGGAAAAAGCTGCCAAGTCTACCAACGACAGTTTCCCACCTTGCATAGTGCTGCATGCATGTTGCCATAACCCTACTGGGCTTGACCCGACGCTAGAACAGTGGAAACGCATTATGGACAAGATTCACGAACTCAAAATGATCCCCATCATAGATATGGCTTACCAGGGTCTAGACACGGGCGACGTGTATAAGGACGCATATTTGCTGCGTTTGAGCTTGGATGAAAGTCGATACCAGTGGTCAAATGGACTTTTTCTATGTCAGTCATTTGCCAAAAATATGGGTCTGTACGGAGAACGAGTGGGCTCCCTTTCTGTAGTCACATCAAGGGGAGCCGAAGAAAAGCGCAGCGTGGACTCCCAGCTCAAAAAAATAGTACGCGGCATGTACTCTTCACCTCCTGGTTACGGTTCAAGGGTAGCCAACATCGTCCTGTCCAACCCACACTTGAAGAATCTGTGGTTTCAGGACGTGGAAAATATCGCGAAGAGACTACAATCTGTCAAAGCCAAAATGGCAGAGCGTTTGAACTGGGATTCTCTTCAAGATCCAACCCGCCAGCATGGAATGTTTCTCTACACCGGATTGAATGCCTCGGAGGTCAACACCTTGAGGGAAGACTCCTCTATCTATCTAGTCCAGGATGGTCGGCTTTCTTTGAGTGGTTTGAATGACTCCAACATAGACTATGTTTGCGACGCATTGCGCAAACTTGAAAAATGAGAGAAGTAGAAGCCTTTTTCAGTCAAAACGCTGTTCATGCTTAAGCGCGCATTGTTAATTAAGTTATTATAGGCTCTTATTCTATCGTAAGCTTTTATTTCTTTCTACCAAATAGCTTTTTCAGCTTTTTACCGAAGCTTTGCTTCTTCACCGGCCTTTCCTCTTCTGATCCTCCAGGGGGCAGCTGTTCACTCAAGAACCTGTTACTTAAGTTATTGCCGTTCTTTGCAGGTGAAGCCTTAACGGTACTGCTCGCGGACCGGAGAGACAAAGAACTGAATTTCTTATTCGGTGTATTGTGCTTGGAGTTGGGAACAGATGTGGACTGGACATATCGGGGTTGTGGCGGTTCAAACGAAGGAACTTTCTTACTCTTTTTAGAGAAGACGCCAGTTTTGGCAGGAGTGTTCGTGGCTACTACTCGTGCTGGTGGTGGAATCGCATTCCCTTCATCTTCGGAGTCAGAATCCTGAAATCTCGAGTTCCATTTTTCCCCCGACGACAAAGCAGTCTGGAAAGGTGCACCAGACACCTGTCCTTTGTTTGGCGTGGATCCATCGGTGTGAGTGCCATTCGTCTCATCGTTCGCAGTACCAACCATTGAGTCTCTCAACGAAAGTTTTTTGAAAGCCATGTGTGATTGGTTAGGCCTTTCTCTCTCGAAGCTTGAACGTTTCTGTGGTGGCTCTGGTGGATAAAAGATTGAAGGATTATTACGCGACTGTCCCTTGGAATCACCGGCGGCTTTTGGGGTCCGATTCCTTGTTGATGAGTCCGGACGTCTCTGAGACCTTGCAGGCGGCTGAATATTCGGTTGAGGCAGGGGCTGGAAGGAGTGGTGTTTTTGTCTGGTTGAATCATCCTTTTTAGGAGCTCTCCCGTTTGTCATAGATTGAGGTCTCGCTTTACGTACCGATGGCTGACGTTTGCTAGGTTCAGTAGCAAGCTGCGCATTCAGCCTTGTATTCTGTGCGGTTGCCAAAGACACATACGCGTCATTAGCGGTGGAATTCGATTCACGAGGGTGATGATCATTGCCAGAATTGTTGCTCGTAGAACGCTTGAGTGCAGATTTCATAGGGGAACTCACTCTAGCCAGTGGATGTGAGTCGGGAGTTCCGTTTAACGCTGCATCATTACTGCCTTTCAGAGTGGTATCTTGAGAACCTCCTTTATCATCATTGGTCACTTCATGAGCTTTGTTCAGGTACTTATTAGCAGACCGAATGTATTTGGCCATACTGTTCCCTGATTCTCCTTCTTTTTTAGCAACATTTTGGCTTGGAGTCGTGGCCGGCTGTGTTCTTTCAGACACTGGAGTTTCGCCTGCCAGGCTATCTTCCTTTATAACATCTTCAACGGTCTTAGTTGGTGCGTTAGCGTCGCTGGTCGTACTCGAGAAATCCAAGCTCGGATCAGTTCCAATTTGACGCTCGTCTGAGATGTCCTCACCTGGAGGAGAAATAAGAATATTGGGTGGTGATGGGGACGACTTGCTCGTAAGCTTGATTGTAGGAGGCGTTTCTAGCTCAACAAAATCCGCTTTGGGTTTGTGGTTCTTAGTTTCCAATGACTTTAATGCCGACGAAGGCATAATTATAGGGTTAACAGTATCTCTCGTTAGACTTTCGTTCTGGAGCTGTTCGTCCGTCTCTTCTTCGAGCGACTGTTGTACCAAAGTGTTGCGAATGTTTGTGTTTCGAAGGGGACTATTTGGGGCCTCAGCTTTTTGACGTGTGGCGACCTTTTCTTGTATGGTGGCTCTGGGGTCTGAAGACTGAGAGTTGAGTGATGATTTCCGCCGCAAAGAGTTGTTACGCAAAGAGCTACTGCGTGAAGAATCACTGCGTGCATGAAGACCACTATTGAGAGAGGGTGAACGTCTGGTGAGACTTGAGCGTCTACTGGATGGTGGCTTCACATCTGTTACTGGGACTTCCACCAATCTCAAGCCAGTTGGCCCCGGCACATATTTTTTAACTGTCGCTGGCTTGGTTTGGGCCTGCGGTCCACCAAACCGATGGAAAGTGTCTTGTGCGTCAAAAAACTCGCTTTCGTCAATGCTATTCCTGGGTCTGGACGTTTTTCCTTGCAAACTCGACGCACGCACCGAATCTCGTTTGGTGCGTAAACTATTCTGTCTGCCACCCATTGATGTGGAGCGCACCATTGAATTTGAACGAGACGCACTATTGTAGCGCGGTAATTTGTCTGTCTCCACCCGAGTTCCTCTGTTATCAAGGGCTCGTCCAATGGCAGCTGCAGCTGCCATTGCTTCTGAGTCTATAGCCTTACTTTCCCGCGACCTTCTAGAATGCAACATTCGGCGTGGTTGTGCTTGCTGAGTCACAGGTTGATGATTTTGAAGTTGTCAGGTTGAAAAGGGGACAACTAAGTTGTTTAACTTCGACGAAACTTTTTGCAGTTGACCGAAATAGTCAATATCAACGTAATGTTTTGACAGGAAAATTACGAGAGCGTGACTTAGGCGTGAATAGAGCGTGACAGATCTGTAAGACCTTCCCGGTGAAGTCGGAAGCTCAAAGCCAGATAGGAACGGTACAGTTGCGTCGCCGCAGTTACAGTAGATCGTAGATTTTTGGATCTGTGTTTCTAGTGCTGATTGGTCGGAGAGAATTTAAGTTTAAGCGATGATTATCAATACTTAAAATTGAAACAAATGAGCCATTTTGCCTTGGAGTTTCTTGCGATCTTTGGCTATTCTTACCACTGAGAGCTTTCAAGTTTAGCTTCCTCCATTGTTTGCTGTCGAAGACTCACAAAATGCTTTTCACTCGATACCATTTGCCTGTCGTAATCTCGAAATCAGAAAAACCCCCAGTTGATACATCAATAAGGTTTCCAAATATCGTGAAGAGGCGAGCTCAGAAGTCGTTATGGGTCGTGCCATCATCGCTACTTGGAAAACCACTATTCAACTGCCATTTTAAAAAGAAACAGCGTTGTGAACCACCTCGAGACTTCTTCAAGTTGAGAAAGCGTTAGGCACATTACTCAGCAGCGAGCTCTGAATATTTCCCATATCCAACACGATTTTTCACCAGTTTACCAAATCATCCAATTTTTGTAGTCATTCTAGTCAAAATGGGCCTCCTCGCCTCATACAACGTTACTTCCAGCCGATGCTGTATGCGTATCCAGTCCTAATTAGCTTCATCTTGTCAAAAGTAGCATCAACAGCTTTCTTTGCTTTCAAAATTGTTCAAAACCTTTCCAAAGGCCTTGATTACATGAATAAATAGCCGCCTAAAGAGTTAACAGTCTTCAGTTGCCACCTCAAGATACCCTTGCGGAAAACAAAGCGATGATTTACCTCAACAGCTGCGAGCAGTAAGTTTTTCAATGACATCAATAGCGTCCCGGATAAAGGTTCCGTTGATGCATCCTTGTCTCTTTGTGTCTTGTACAAATGTATAAAGCTTAAGTTTCCAATTTGTATTTTAATATTAGAGATGAGCCGTATATAGCGCTGCGATAAATAGAAACACACCTTTCATCAGGGATAAGCTGGTTTGCTTGCTAGAATCGCTTAGGATCCGGCTTGTGTCTCGCTCAAGTTTTGAAGCGAGATTCGGTACATTTTAGCCCTGGAAGGTTGAAAATTTTTTGATGAATCTGAAGATTGCGACGTCAGTAGTTTCTAGTCCGCTTGTTGCTCGGGACTTGGACAGTTTCTTTCTTGCACTCGCAGCTTCATCGGCAGGACCATTCAAATATCTCAAAGCCCTATGGATTCACTGAACGCTGCTATCTATCTTTTTTTTAGCAGGTTCATTTTCATGCATTGATAGGAGTATGTTGATGCTAATACCACGAGCCAGATTCGACAAAAGGATGTCGAGGTCGCTCACACATTTTTCAAGATCTTAGCAACGTCAATAATCACTCCACAGTGACAGATTTCGCCAAGTTTCTTGGGAAATCAACGTCTATGTTCTTGTTGACAGCGAGCCAATAGGACGTTAGTTGTAGAGGAATGATGTTTAATAAACCTTGTAAGCAGTCAACCGTTAATGGGACCTCTAAAGTGACAAGATTTGTGTTTTTAGTCTTGGCTTTCCAAACCTCATCATTCTCGTTGCAAATAATAATAGGACGTCCCTTTCTAGCAGTAACTTGTTCGATAGACGAAACAACTTTGGGGAATAGCGAGTCTCTTGTCGCAAAAGCAATAATTGGTAAATCCTCGTCAACCAAAGCAAGCACACCGTGTTTCAATTCTCCAGCAAGTACACCCTCAGAATGCATATAAGAAATTTCTTTAATCTTCAAAGCACCCTCCAAAGCAGACGCAAATTGGTATCCTCTACCCAAGAGTAGGAGAGATTTTTGATCCTTCAATTCAGTTTTGCACAAATCCTTGATTAAAGGCTCCAATTTCAACACGGATTTTATCTGATCTGGGATGCGCCTTAGACCTTGAATGATTTCCTTTCTTCTGTCAATCTTGGATACTCTATCGTCTGAAATTGACAATGCGAACATCACCAAAGCGATGTATTGCGAGGTGTAAGCTTTGGTTGAGGCCACACCGATTTCTGGGCCTGCATTGATGTGGACACCACAGTGGGTTACTCTGGAAATCGAAGAACCCACGCTGTTCACGATACCAACGGTTAAGGCACCCCTCTCCAAGCAGTACTTCAAGGCAAGCATGGTGTCTGCAGTTTCACCACTCTGAGAAACAAACACAGCGACATCGTCTCTGAAGACTGGGGTCTTACGATCCAAGAAATCGGACGCCAGTTCGACACTCACAGGAATTTCCGATAATTCTTCGAAAATAGCTCTGGTTGCAAGACAGGAATGGTACGAAGTACCACATGCGATCATGATCAATCTACGTGCCCTTCTGATCACAGGTAGCCATGCACTTAGTCCACCGAGCATCACGCTGTTGTTTTCGAAATCCATTCTTCCTCTCATGGTGTTGAAAGTGGAATCTGGTTGTTCAAAAATTTCCTTTTGCATAAAGTGCTTGTAAGGACCCCTCATAATCTGAGCTAGTTCCAGTTCCAAAGTTTGAATAGATCTGGTGGCAGATTCGCCCATTTTGCGTCTAGATCTGTGGATGTGCAATTCACCGTCGTAAATATGAGCGATATCGTCATCTTCCAAAAACAGCACTTTTTTGGTATGTTTTACCACAGATGCGGCATCAGAAGATACAAAAAACTCTACTGGGTTAGGAGCACCGTCTTCAGACAAAAACGCGCGTGATTGCGAGCGTCTGAGAGCCGATTCATTCGCAGCAATGGGCAGAAAATTGCGTTGTTCACCACGAACGGTGTTGATGGGCACTTCCGGTTGTGCCTCGTCGTCTGAGTCTGGAAACTCAACATCAACAAAATCGACTTTCAGCTTGCGTTCGGACTTGACGCCGATCAACAGCGGAGAGCCCTTACGCGTGGCAATCACCTCATTGGGGTAGTGCACGGATCTGCACAGCAGCCCGTAAGAACCGTCCAATTCCAGCAAAACCTGCATCGTGAGTTCGTGGAAATCGAGATCCACACCATTTTTCACGTTGGTGTCGTACAGATGCTTGAAAAGCTTGGCAATGACCTCCGTGTCTGTGTCGGACTCGAAATGGAAGCCCTTGTTGGCCAACAGTTGTTTCAGCTCCCGGAAATTCGTGATAATTCCGTTGTGCACAATCACGAAATCGTTGCGGGTGTCGGACCGCTGTGGATGGCAATTGACCACTTTAGGCTCACCGTGGGTGGCCCAACGCGTGTGTGCTATTCCGCAGTGCGATACAAACGTGGATTCGCGCTGTGGGTGCTGATTTTCGATCTCTTTTTCCAACGCGGCCACTTTTCCGATCTGCCTGTATATAAGCGTAGAATCTGGCTCATCGCCGTCGATAGCGATCCCGGTCGAATCGTATCCACGGTATTCCAAACGTTGCAGACCCTCCACCAAGGTGTCAATGACGTCCCCGCGCGACTTCTCCACCAAATAGTTGCAATATCCAAAGATTCCACACATTATTTCTTTAGTTTTATGTCGAAAACCTGCGCCAAAATTTTGTTCAAGATTGGACTGTAAATTACGTGAAAATGGTTCAAATCACTTGATTTTTTTTCACAATTTCTACTCAATCTGATCTTCCCAATGGCAATTATAAGCTCAATGACAATTTCAACACGCTACAAACCACGTCTACTCTGTGTTTTCTCAAAATCGCTTTCAATAATTCGCTTTCAATAATTCGCGTTCTGTGTTCCCTGAAAGATTGATTGATCTTGACTGATTTTTATACATGGCATTGATTTAGTTTCGCCATTTATGTATTTACCGTCTGTTTTAGGAATTTCAATCTGGTCATGGCTAACGGAGGCGAGTCGAGAAAAAAAATGTAGGTGAAATTTTGAAACGTGTCATGAGCGAGGACCGACTGGCAGGCCGTGTCAAGAACCCTGAGATTTTAATCATGGCATGGCGAATTTTGGTGTCTATTTTTAGGCCCTTGTGCAGGGACTACTGCGTGCCGAGTTGAAATCAGTTGAAAATTTATTTATAGTGTGTGTGTGTGTGTGTGCATTGTAAGAACGGTGTGCGGGAAAAGCGTGTAGAACAGTGCCGTGTGAACGGTATTGTGATGTCGAGCAGAGTTTGTGGTTTTCGAATAGGGTTCGTAGGTTAGCCGGAAACCTTGAGCTAGTATAATGTTTCCTTCTTTCCTGCGGTTGTTCAGTAGAGGAAGACTTGAATCTTCGAGGAAGTACTCGAGTACACGGCTTGTAGACAGGACATCGCGACGGTATGAGGTGAAAGAGACACAATGGATTGGTGGACACACGAGGGCTGGGCAGACACGTCTACCTCTTTGTCGCTGCTTGGCAGAGTGATGGGGTAGCCACAGGTAGATACATCTAGTCTCTGTCGCCACTTAGCAAAGTGATAAGCTGCAGGTTTGTACCATGTCATGGAAACCGTTTTCGACTCGTAAGAAATCTGACATATCGTATTATGCCCGGCTGATATGCTTGAGCTTTCTCTTCCGTCTTTTCAGGACATGAACCTCCTGCGTCACAGCATTGTCGGAGTTTTTTTAATCAAGATATGACTTGGCATATTCGATGCTTAGCTGACCACAATCCCCTCCGCCTCGCTGGACCCTGACCAAATTTTTCAATTTGTGTTCTTCCCTTATCTGCTAATTCGCATCGGAAACAATGTAATTTGGAAGTTCAAAGCATTCCTTAAAGTGCTTGTAAAGTAAAGCGTAAAACTGTCTTCCATTGGGTAAATTATCATCTTGAAAATCCATTGTTAACTCGAAAAACATCGTCCTACATACCTTGGAACACGAACTCGCAAAAGAAGCTTTCTTATCGGACAGCCCTGTCCCATGTACCCATCCAAATTTTCATTTTCAATCCTCCGCAGTCCACTCTATCCCGATTCCTGGGTTGGTAGTCTGTAATTGAAGCTCATGTGGACTTTACCAGCTGTCCCTTGACAGATCAAAGTGCGCGCATTAGTATTCAGAGTTGTGCTTTGAATTAAGTGTTAAAGAACTCGTTTATCAGCAAGAGACACGCTACCCGCTGACACCACCTGTAGAGTGAGCTTAGGCCGGTGAATCCGGCCACGAATTTCATCGTGTTTTACGAGCTTCGACTCTCGACTTCACCAATAGTCAATCGCGTGGATCGTCATGGTAGCCTAGAAAACCGTTGGACTTGTCTCCAAGCTCAGTTTCCTAACAGGACGTCTAGCGTCCCTTGCATTGCTTCCTGAACCAGTGCCCTCGAATATCAATTCACGAGCCTCGTCCACTAAAGCTGACTTTCGCGATTCGTCCCCGATGCTTACATTTTACAAAGGTACGGGAAGCACTAGAAGCGCTGATCCTAAGACCATCAGCACTTGACACTAACTATAGACTTTTCTTCTAGAGACCATTGCCACCGAGTAGCGAAAAATGTGCTAACATACTGAACAGAAGTTTTGGTACACCCGTCATGTAACACGGACAGGATCCAAGTTATCGAAACTCCTACAATCTCACAATCCGATGATCAAAGGCTCTTCATCCGCCCTGTCAAAACCTGGAGATATTGAGTATCCTGACTCTCAGTATTCACCCAAGTTATCAGCGTTTCTTCGTGTAAAGACAATTCGAGAGACAGAACCTCGCAAAAAATGTAGCTCGAAAGCATTCTTTCAATCATTTCCCTGGATTTTCGTTCTATTCGCACATTTTCCAACCATAATTTGTAAAAGTCTCGCTGACATCAATTCACTTCAAATACTAACTTTTCATGTCTTTTTTTTTATGTGAGTACGAAATCTTCTTCTAATATCGCCACACTTCACCTCTCATCAGAGGTCACCAAAGGTGTCGTAAACGGTTCTCCAATTGGTGAAAAACCCTTTAAAGAATTTAATAGCCAGCCCAATATCTTTAGAACCAGTAGCTGCTCTTATACTGTGCATCGACAGCTGGGCAATTCCCAAATCAATAGTTCTAGCACCCGTCTGGGAGGCAATTGATGGCCCGATAGTCCCTCCTGACCTGGAGTTGTTCTTGATCTGGAAATATTGAACCCTGTCACCGTTCAGTTTGGCCAATTCCTCGGTGAATGCGACACCAACCACATCAGTCGACATGTGCACATTCGAGTCCAGCGAAAGAGTTACACCGACATTAGGCTTGGGTCTGTGATGCTCCAAATACACAGACTTGAAATTAGGGTTGAACATATGGTTCACATCGGCAGACAAGATGATTGAATTGGCAAAAGTTGTACGCAAAATCGAAGGGTCGTTTCCGTGTAAACTGGCGGCCACTCTTTGCACCACACTCTCTAGAAGTCCACCTTTAGCACCTTGTCTGGATAGAGAACCCACTTCTTCGTTGTCGTACAGCGTCACAACGTTCAATGTTTCTGAAGGGATGGAGCCCTCTTTGGAAAAATCGATCAACGACTGAAGAGCAGCAAAACTGCAAATGCGGTCATCAATGCGTGGTGCGAACAGTAGCTCATTCTTCAAGCCGCCTAGGGTTCCCTTCTGGACATCAAACAAGTCAAGATCCAATTGAACAAGTTGGCTTACCTTGACATTGGCCAAATCAGCAATGTATCTAAGAAGACCGATAGGATGCTTTCCGTAAAGGGGTGACTTAGACTCATCCTCATGGTCTTCGTCCTCGTCGCTGTCATCTGATGATGTATAACCAATCACGGGCACCGCTTGGTCTTCTTTATCAAAAGGACCATTTGCAGGTTCACCAAAATGTGGAGCCAATGAGGGAATCTTGGCGATAGGCTGGGGACTAGAATTGATCAAGCGGGCTTCGATTTTACCAGATGACTCGTCCTTGACAAGCACTCTACCACCTATTCCCAAGTCTCTGTCGAACCAAAGAGTGCTCAAAGTTCCGCCGTAGGGCGCTACACCCAGCAGTTGAAACCCTTCAACATCGTCCTTCTGGGAAGCCGGTTTCAATTTGACCGTGAGGGCGTCGATGTGAGCACCAATGGCGCCTACACCAGATTCGTATTTCCAGTTTTCACCAAGAATGAACGCTGCCAAGTTAGTGCCATTTCTGATTGTATAGTACTTACCGGGTTTCACTTCACCCCATGCAGACTTTTCGCTCAAGTAAGTGAACCCAGCGTCGTCTAGTTTCTTGGAAAAAAAGTCTACAACATGGTAGATAGTTGGACTTTCATATGTGAAATCGATATAGTCTTGACTAGTCTTTTTGAAGTAGTTGTCCTTGTCGTTTTTTGAGATTGTTGACTGTCTTGAGCTTGTGGATTGTACCTTTAGCGCATTACCAGACGTAGAATTGACTTGTTGCTGTAGCGTTAGAAACTCTAGAGTTTGTTTCAGTTGTGCCAATGCTTCCTGAGTAGCATCGGACATCTTTGTTTTGTTGATGGCTGGTATTTGTTAATGGTTCTTAAGTAACTAGGGCTGATTATAAACAGTAATACCACGTACGATTCCGTAACCTTATATAGGTTGAAATTGTAAGCGAAGCCCGTTCGAAATACCCCTTACTAGGAACGAACGGAATGTTATTGTACCAGCCTTCTCGGAGATTGTTAGGTCTTTTAACGAACGGAGTTGATTACACTTTAAGATATAGACGTTCATAAAATTCCATGGGAAAGCAAGGTAGATGCCACAGTATTCAGAGAAGTACAAGCAAGATGTTTTAAGACGTTATGTTTTGGACTGCGTGAGTCGTGAGTCGTACAACTTACTAGTTAAAGAGGATTATGAAGGCTGAGAGTCATCTAAAGCCTATAAGAAAGTTTTGAGAAACAGGAAAGGGGAATGGGGTCCTGGTGATTGGAAAGAAATGCGAAGACATTAAGGGCACTCTTTTGTTAAAAAATGGGTTGCTGCCGGTATTGAACTTTAGTTACACGATCTTTTAGGAATGTATACATCATCACCCGATGTTACTTAGCTATTGTATGGAATTCTGACTTTATAGTTATTAACCATTCTTAGCTTTCGGTCAGGTATTAAATTTGTGATGAAAACCACCTCTTGACGGTTTAAATTCGCGTTTATTATTGCTGTTGTTTGGGCTTAGTGCCAGCATATTCACAGCGGCGTTGTAGGACCCCAGCTGAGCCTGTGATGAAGTCTTGGTACAATAATCATAGTATTGTCTTTCTTTGAGCTCAAGTTGAATATTAGTAGTTTTTGAAGCTAAAAAACGTATCTTTCTGCTGTCAAATTACTGGACTCCTTCACCATCCACTTCCGCGTAATTTTGATCGGGCATTAAAGGTGAACCCGATCCTGGCTCTAGATGATGACCGGCAACGTGTACGGTATGGCACCATCAATATCTCGGTGGACGAGCTCGAACAAAGCAAATCTGATCTTTTCGGGTGCTATTCCACCAGGTTGGGGGTATCACTTCGTTATCTTGCTCTTAGGATACTTGTTTTTAGCCAATTCTGTCGCTGTCGTCGGTCACGTGACTCTTGGACTTTCCAAAAATCCTGACAATACCTCTAGTTATTCGTTTTCTCAAAACAGCGATAGTCACACTCCAAAGCTTCTCTTTTTCTACTACTGTGGTACGTTTTGTATCTCCCTAGTTCCTTCAAACCGCACCATTGTCCAAACATTTGTTACAAACCTTCCCTACCTCGACTGGCCACTACTTTTCACCACAAACCCGTTACAAACCTAGTCAAGTCAATATTCCACGAACTCACTCCTCCACCAGAACCACCGTTCCCATCCCATCTCTCTCTCTCTCTCTCTCTAGTCACCAGTGCCAACCAAAACCGCGAAAATGTTTGTCCTTGGTTCAAATCCCGAAAGTCATATTTTTTCCAAAAACAATTGAAAAATCCGCGTACCAATTCTTGTTGTATCCAAGAGATCCAGAATATATTCAGTCCACTCCATAAATTCCAACCTAAAATCAACTCAATAAAGGCTCTATGAACCTCTTAAACTTGGCGTTCTTGTCCTTTAAGCTCTGAAACTTTCATGAGCCACGTGACTTTTCTAAATCCAGTACTCGTGGTCGGAGTACTCGAGTACTGGTAAAATTCGCGTTTTGGATATTCTCATCAACAAAACAACAACATTCACTCCATCTACACCTGTACTCATCTTAGATCCTACTTCAAACTGACACCCACACAGCCAATGTCAATGGCACAGCAGGCAGCAATGGCAGCGGCAACTGCTCCAACAGTGCACATTGATCGAGTGGTTCATTCGGTGACAGATGCGACAAAACGGCTTTCGCAGATCTCTGCAAGCACAACAAACACGACAACACAATCCTCAAAACGGCGTTCCAGAGATACAATTGGACCATGGAAGCTCGGGAAGACACTTGGAAAGGGTTCCAGCGGTCGGGTGCGACTGGCAAAAAACACAGACACCGGAAGACTAGCTGCTGTTAAGATTGTACCCAAGACTAGAGCAGCCAGACAAAACGGTGGTGGGGCATCGCCATACGGAATCGAGCGTGAAATCATCATTATGAAACTCATTTCACACCCTAACGTGATGGGACTGTTCGAAGTATGGGAAAACAAGTTTGAGCTGTTTCTGGTTCTAGAATATGTGGATGGAGGCGAACTGTTTGATTTTTTGGTTTCGCGTGGAAGACTGCCAGAAAAAGAGGCAATTCACTACTTCAGACAAATTGTAGAGGGTACAGCCTATTGCCACGGCTTCAACATCGCACATCGCGATCTGAAACCCGAAAACCTTCTGCTTGACAAGAAAAACAAACGCATCAAAATCGCAGATTTTGGGATGGCGGCTTTACAAACCTCCAACAAGCTTTTAGAGACGTCGTGCGGATCGCCGCACTACGCTTCGCCGGAAATTGTGATCGGGAAAGCCTACAATGGCGGTCCCAGTGACGTGTGGTCGTGTGGGATTATTCTGTTTGCACTATTGACCGGACATTTGCCTTTCAACGACGACAACATCAAGAGGTTACTGCTCAAGGTTCAGTCCGGTAAATTTCAAATGCCGCAATCCATATCGAGTGAGGCCAAAGACTTACTATCGAAAATCTTGGTGGTAGATCCCGCAAAGAGACTTACCATCAACGAAATTCTTTTCCATCCTTTGCTTGCTAAATACAGCAACAAGCGTACGAAGTCAAGCTCAGATCTTCACATCTTGGATCGTCCTCTACCACAAGTCATCGCCCTGAACAGCGAAAAAGACGTGGATCCCACAATTTTGCAAAATTTGCAGATCCTTTGGCATAGCGCTCCAAAATCGCTGATTTTGAAAAGACTGATGGACCCAACACCCAATGAGGAGAAAACTTTTTACGCCCTTCTCATGGCGTATCAGCAAAGGCAATTGAACCAAAATAATGAGGCACCCGCAATCAGTGCGCCAAAAATAATGCAGAAATCTCAATTTAGTGTTCCTTCTATCAAATCACAGACATCGCCACGAAAGGCACATGTTGCTTCCTCATCTCGTGTTTTCAAGTCCGCGTCGAAGAAAAAAGTGAGCACCTCAGCCTCCAAAAAGTCTTTGCATGGTTCATCGTCAAAAAGATCTCTTGATCGGATCCCAAATTCAGCATCTCGCAAGTCTTTGAAAAACAGTTCGGGTAAGATTGCCGCGCCAGCTCTCCCTTCTAAACAGTCGTTGTACTCGCTGAATTCAATTTCTAAAAAATCGGTGAACTTGAAAGATTATCTGCATGACAATGAAGTTCCCGCTTTACCTCTTCAGTCGGAATTCGAAACACTATGTGAGGAAATCTTGTTTGGTAACAAAACAAATGGGACTATCCAGGAAGAGGAAACCAGTGACACACTGAGTAATGCCCTGGATGACTCTAGCCAGGCCTCTATTGAGGATGATAGGAACAAATCGGATGAACATGACAAAAACTTATCGCAGGACGAAAAGAAAGCTTCTTCACCCACAATCTCTAAACTGAAACTTACGCCTTCCAGTCGCAACCTCAGAATAACGTCTGCTCCATCTGGTCAGCCTACTAACGAATTTTCACTGGATCCACGTAGAAATGTGTCACAACCTAACTCGATTGAGATGTTACTTAACAAATACAACATCCGTGCACGTCTAAAATCTAAGAGCGATTTGAAGAATTTGAGAAACAGTGGAAACTGGCAGCATGCTGAGCTGGATCTATCGAAATCCGTACAGTTACCTAATATGACCAGTAATGGAACTGATCACACAGGTCTCTCTATTGGAGCACCACCCGATGACACTTCTCTTGCATTAGCTCAATCTACAACATTAAGGCCACAGCAAGATCAAAACCGTCTTTTAGCTGGTCAACAGCGATTGCCGAAAGTTGCAGAGAATCCAAGAGTTTCAGCAACGTCGCCGTCTACTACCTTCAGCAGCTCCGCGACGCTCAAAAACCTCAAGCAGTTTCTGCCAGAAATAAATGATTCAGCGGCAACTGACTCTGTGCTTCATCATCCTTTACAAGGTTCAATGAAACCGGATAACGTCAATGTCTCAGCAAAACCTTCCTGCAAAAGTTCTGCAGCAGCTGCAAGCCTTTCTGGACAGAGCGTATTACGCAAATTAAGCAAGGCTAGCAATATCGATGGTCGCTCTGACATTCTTTCAGATATGTCCTTTGCAATGGATATACCTGTGGACACTTTTAAGGCCCAGGCCTTCCGTATTTCTAACGAGCGTACCCTGGAAAACAACAAAAATCGCGAGAGACCTATTTTGCATCAAGGGGACCTAGTTGAAGAGGACGAGATTAATATATTCGAGGATGCCACTTGTGATTCAACGTCTGTTGCAACGAGCTCATCAGGTTTGGATTCCCAACCGCATGTGCACAGAAAGGCCACTTCTATTGACACCCTCAACGCAACAAGCGTTTTGGCACCTAGCACAGATGTAAGAGTTTCGCTTTACACCAACAATATGACCTCTTCGGCAAAACTACCAAGGGAAACCACGGAGGAGATAATTTCAAAATTCAAGTTGTCGCCGCAGAAGGGACTAATGGCGCAACAGAAGAGATTCTCTTACCAGAAATCCAGGGAATCAATATCTCAAAGTGTTATGTCAATGTTTAAGGATCTTGACGGCGAGGATGACGGTGCTTTCAACGGAGATTTCAACGGTGAAGAACATGCTGGCTTAGATAAAAATCGCCAACCTAACGAGCTACCCAGAGATGCTTCTGGTAGTCTCAATGATGCGGTTTTGGAGAAGGAACCGGCCTCTAAAAAGAGAGTTACTATGTTATTTGACGATGAAGCTGGTAACGTGTTTAAATCTTCTCCTTTGAAGGCGCAAGGAGGTAATAAGCATGGCGAACCTTTACGTGCACCTGCTTCGACCGCTAGCGCTCCCATTACATCAAAGACCAGTGAGCTTGATCCGGTGATAGAAAGTATTCCAGGGGAACCTCAAGATTTTAAAAAGCCTTTGCGTCCTGCTCCCCCACCTCCTGCAAAGCAAACGTGGTTTAGCAAGCTTTTCCGCTCATTGACTCTTCAGCATCCAAACAAAGAGGAGCTTGTAAGAGATCAATCAACGACGCTTTCGTTCGAGGAAGTTCAGCTTGTCATGCTTAAAGAGTTCGCAAAGAACTCCATTGATTACACATTGAAACGTCTTGACAAGCGGAAAGGTACCAGTCGTGCCGATTATAGCTGCCAGTTTCAGCGCGGACAATTTCGCTTTAAAATTCGCGTTGAGGGAACACAAGCTGGCGCCAAAATCAACATCAAAAAGAAAGGTCAGCAGGATCAAGTCATCTTCGAGAAGTTCAATAGTGATATTTCCAAGGTTCTCAGGCTAGCAGAACGCACGTAACAATACCAACACAAAACAAAGATTAACAGCAGATGGGACGTTTTAATAGCATTGGATGTAAATCCTTATATGTACTATAACACAATACACAGCGGATATATCATATGGATTTTTGTCTCCGCCAAGAATAGTACGGGCTACTGCAACTTCGTCGTATCATCATTTCTCGTGCAATTCATCGCTTGTCGTGTATATGTATCAAACACAAGCGAGTACCATTAGGCATGTTCCTCTATTTCGAGGTGTCAACTACGTATCTGCCCAAGATCTTGCCCTCTGCCATCAAGCCGTAAACCTTGGGCAATTCTGACAGGCCGATAATCTTGATTGGAGACTTGACCAAGCCGCGAGTGAAAAAATCTATAGCTTCACGCGTATCAGCACGATTCCCGACGTAGGAACCCTTGATAGAGATTGACTTAACGACGTGAGAGAAAACGTCTGATTTGACGAATGCGCCTGCAGGTAATCCGACCAGCACAACAGTCCCGCAAGGTCTAACATATTGTGCAGACAAAGAAATGGCGGCTTCAGACACAGAGACGTTAATAACACCGTGTGGGCCACCTTTGGTGGCTTCCTGAATGTCCGCAACCAGATCTTTACTTTTACGGAAATCGATGAAAACTTCGCCTCCCACACTGTGGAATAGCTCCTTTTTGTCGTCTCCCCCATCGATTCCTAGCACTCTCAAGCCCATGGCTTTTGCGTATTGGACTGCCAGGGATCCAAGGCCACCGGCGGCCCCCGAAATGGCAACCCATTGCCCAGGACTCAATTCTGCAGTCTTGAGTGCTTTGTATACAGTGACACCAGCGCACAGAATAGGAGCCACTTCCGCGAGATTGATGCCCTTAGGTAAGTTGGCCGCTTGCACCGCATCCGCAGTAGCGTACTGTTGAAACGAACCGTCGTGTGTGTACCCGGACAAATCCGCATGCTCACAATTTGGTTCATGGCCCTGTTCACACAACTCACACGACATACACGAGCCATTGAGCCACTTGATGCCTGCCAGATCGCCTATTTCGAAATTCGTGACATTTTCGCCCTTAGCCACAACCACACCTGCACCTTCATGGCCGCCTACCAATGGTAATTTGACTGGGAGATCCCAGTCGCCCTTCCACGCGTGCAAATCAGTGTGACACACACCAGAGTATTTGACGTTAATTAGAATCTCGTTAGGTTTGGGTGTGGGCACTGGAAGGTCCTTGTAATGAAGCTCACCTCCATTTTCGTAGAATATCACACCTTTCTGGGTTTTAGGGATGGTCGAAGCAAAGCGTAGAGTCCCCCAGTACCTGCCCAATTGCGCTCTAGCGCCAAGACTTCTTTTAGCTCCCAACGTCGCCTGTATAGATGCAGACCCTGCATATCTGTGCATGATGCGCTGCATATTTCCGGCTCGGTTGCTTGTGGAAACCGGTGTTCCTAACTCCGGGAGTTGGTGTCTGGGTGTTCGGATAAATGACCTGATTAATATCCTTCAATAATAAACTGAAGGTTAGTAGCCAGTGTCGGTACGACGAGAAAAAACACCAGCAAGGTTGCAGCAGGTTCTTTCCTTTAATCGTTGCACAGATAACTCGAGAGACAGACAATGGATACGAAAGTCTGTAAAATAACGCTTTATTACACCGAAAAGGGTTTCGTTTCTTCTTGACACTTTTTTTGGTCCTGTACTCTATAAACTTGATGCTATTATGTGTGCAGCACTCTTTATATCATGATGAGACAGGTTTGAAGATAAAGGTGCTTAAACTTTCTTGATATATCTCAGGTCAGACCACCTTGTGACCGTCGTTCAAAGTTTTTCGATCAGCCCGAGCACCGTGGTGTGAGAACAGCAAGAGGGTGAATTTTTGGAATTTTCCTGTGGAAGTTCGTCAGAGATGACCCTTTGGCTCCGGATTCTTCCGAGTATGTAGGCCTAGTCGTTTTCCCAAAATGGATGTAAGAAGCGAGAGAGGGTGAGGGGTGTGACTCCTTTTTTTACTCAACGTGACATGCAAGCGCCGGGTCAGCAAGCGTGACTGCCTTATGTAATCGAACAAGGTGAATGGAAAGGATCGTCTGGTACGGCTCAGCTCGTTTGGTTTTTGAGTTATTGGGTCAGTTCAACGTTTCCGCTGCTTCTTCCACTTGAAAGTGATCTTCCCCTCTGCATCCTGAATTTTTTTCTTATCGCCCTTTTTCATACCTTCGCGTTGGGTGTCCATACGCTGCAATACGCCCGATAGTTGGCGCTCACGTTCTTGATGTTGCTGTATCTGTCGTAGTTTCTTGAGCCGTTTACGATGCAGCGTGTCCACGTCCAGACCAGAAGAGGACTTGGACTGTGCGATAGATTGACCCATTTTGAGACCTTGATCTGCAAGCTGGTCACGTGTGAGCCGGTTTTCACGACGTCCCAACATCTCGGGAGTAGTTTGGAAGTGCTGCGCAGCATCAAACGATTGCAATGCATCACGGTCGTCCACAAAAACCGTGTGGGCGCCCTTAGACTTGAACATCGTCTCGCGCGCCTGTTTCTCGAGCACTTGGCGCTCGTTTTGCCGTAGGGTACGTACGTAGTTTGCGTCCTGTGTTTTCAGCAGCTTTACCTGTGCGGTAGACAAGCTGGGGTCCTCATCGCGTGCGTGTCTCGATTGTTTTAGCAGCCCACGGGCGTCCACGCTACGTGAGTGCATGCCATGGTAGTATTCGTCTGGGTTTCTTTGCTGTGCTTTTTCACGCAAAATCTTCAACGTTGCTTCTTTTTGATGGAAATTTTGCGCTCTCTTGACATAGTCTTTATGTTTTTCCAAAAACCCCAGTCTGGAGCGGCCGGCTTCCTGGGAACGCTCCCGATGCTGTTTTTTTTGTATGTTGTGCACTAGCTTTGCCATTGTGGGTGGATATGTGTGGGAGCGATTATAGCAACACTTCCAGCTTTTTTGATGCTTATTGTGCTTGAAAAGGTGCGGTACAGTGTGATTCTACGCGATGCGATGAGATGAGATGAGATGAGATGCGTTCTTTCCAGTTTGTTATATTGGAAAATTTTTGAATTGTCAATCCATTATGGCGTCACGTGAATGATGATCTCCAAAGGCTAAACACCAGGATCTGTACCAGCTACAGGCCAATTGGTGAGTGAGAACTACTCTTCTCTATTCAATGCGTTACTTTCTCTTTGTTTCCAAGTCGAAGTTGTGAAAAAACTTAAAATCCCGTCATTCTCGTCATTGTACCAATGTAGACTACCTTTTATGTCGCTGGATGCCAATAGAAGACCTTCCCGCGGCATCTAGCACTCCCAATGCGCGATAAGTTCCATTCCAGCACGTTTTAAAGTGTCTCAAAACTCTGGTGTGCTTTTCTGTTATTTATTGGCCCTCTGTACTCAAAGGGCACCGCTCACTGCGCTGGAACAAGTGAATCAGGATTTTCAATACTCTAGATATGATTCACAAATACCGATACTGCGAGCCAGCTGTGCCTTCTTGCTCAAGGGTCAATGACAATTATTTGGGTAACGCAGTTCGGGCAACGCACCAAGCTGTCAATTCCAATTTCTTAAAAAACCTACCAAAATGGCCAGAAAAAGGTTCCATCCAAACTGAAAGCGCGATTGAAGTGTGCTGGAAAAAGTAAAATCACCTCCAGGCTTGGTGAACGGATCCTACCCGCTGTCATCTGTTGAAGTAGCTTTAAGGTTGTCATTTGGCTGTCGTCGCATATGACCAGGCTTCCAAGTTCCATAGGCCACTACAGGATGAGATGATGATGAGCCTTTGATCTCGAAAAAATCCACTACTTTTGACAAAGAATACCACATTTGCAGTCACCAACGACTCGCACTGGACTCATTCGGGGGTTTCATTCAACCGTCCAGTGTTAAAAGCCCACTTTCCCTAGTCCCACTTTTCATGGACTCTTCACAACCTGTTCTCCCGCCTATGGGAGCTGCCCTTCCTGCAGCGTTAGCGTTCCGGAAGAATCTGGTGTGCTACACTTCAGATCCCAGCGTTTTGATCGAATATCTGCAGCGTCTAAGACTGCCGTATTGTCTTTGGGACGACTACGACTGCATAGATATCAAGGATAAGCCAGAAACGGGAACCGTGCTGGTCCTTCCAAACGTTGACAAAACGCTCAACATCCAACAGGACAAACTGGCCCGGTTTCTACAAAAGATGCGGACGCGACAAACGCCGTTTTTCACGGCAATTGCCACTGTGTCGCCCGAGTTTGTGCCCTACGCCCACATGACAGCTTATTTAAAGCGCCAGTTTTGGTTTGCTTGCCAAGACGCACGGCCCCAAGATCTGGTAGAGCTGGCCCACGAGGAACTCCCGCAATTGATGTCCGCACTTGGCCGGATCCACGTACATCCGTCCATCAGACGTTATGTCCTCGATATCATAGTGCATTTGAGGGTCCACAGGTTTGCCAAACAGGCCTCTGGTGGTGGCTGCAACGCCAATGCGCTGCGTGACATGCTCGAGTTGTGCCAGACGCTGGCTTTGGCCCAAGAACGCACATTTGTCGTTCCTGAACTCGTCAAGCTGGCTGCCCACTGGTATTTCCCGTTTCACCTCGAGCTCATCCAAGATCCCCGCCATGAAATTTCCCTCCAGTTTGGCTCAGACCCGGATTTGATCAGCCAGGTGCTGACCAAATTGCAGAATTTCTCTCTTGAGAGGTCTCAGGAGTCTCATTACCCATTGTACTTTCAACACATGGTTCTCAGGGACGTTTTACGAATAATAGTCCCACCCATTTAGCTTCACACCCGCTTCTTACCACTCGTTTAGACCTCCATCCAGCTGTCCAGTATTGTGAGCTTCTAATTTGAGCTCTTCAAGTTCATTACAATGGGTTTCTTGGCGGTAAAGCTTCCAGAGCGGACCTGCGGCTGTCTCCCATCGTGTGGTCTTGTTTTCTCATGTGTCCTACTATTTTTACGCTTGGCACCTCGGTTGACCAATGGCGATTACTACGCGGTGACCTTTCGTTCCGGAGGAAGAACAATATGGAAAATACGTCATAATGGGGTCCCTGACATTAATTAGGTGCACATTGGGAAGTTTCTAAAAAAAGACCCAATTCCACAACGGCCGGTGTTTGAAGATGCCAAGAAGAAATATAAATGGAGGAGAGTAGGGTCCAGTTCATTATGTTGAGTGAGGCTTCAGAAGCTCTAAACTCATCAATTGTCACATTACACCAGGTCTTACTGGCTCGACAGTTTCTCTCAACGTTGAATCAAGAAAAAAAATGAAATTCTCTTCGGTGACAATCGCAGCGTTTTTGGCTTGTGCCAAGATGGTGTTTGCCGATTCTGAAAAATTCGGTTTCTTGGTGCTCAGATCAGGAACTCCTTTGCAATTTGCGTCTGTTTACGCTCAGGACTCGAAGTTGTACTTTGGTAGCTCATCTTCAGCTCTTGATGGAGTGGTCACTGACGACGGAAAGTTGAAGCTCTCAGACAACACATTTGCCAAGGTGAGCTCCGATGGATCGCTTGTAGAAGGCTCTGAAGCAGACGCCGCTACTGGGTTTTCGATCTCCGACGGCTACCTTGCTTTCAACGGCAAGGAGGGCTTTACTGCGATCTCTTCGGGCTCTACATACGTGGTTTCGACCAAGGACGCGGGCTCGAACGACACACCGGTTGCTGTGAAAGCCACATCTTTCTCTAACCCCGGCTCTTCCGTGCCGGATTTCTCCTCTAAGGGCTCTTCGTCTTCTTCCAGCTCTACTGGAGCTTCTACCACCGCTGCTGCCATTTCCCAGATCTCTGACGGCCAAATCCAGGTCTCAACAGGCTCTGCGACTCCAAAGACCTCCTCGAACGTGGCACCCGTCTCCCAGATTTCTGACGGACAGATCCAGGCCTCGACAGGTTCTGCGGCTCCGAAGACCTCTTCAAACGTGGCCCCAATCTCCCAGATCTCTGACGGCCAAATTCAAGCATCTGCTCCCACCAAGACCTCTTCCAACTTGGCACCCGTCTCCCAGATCTCTGACGGTCAAATTCAAGCATCTACAGGTTCTGCGGCTCCAAAGACCTCTTCAAATGTGGCCCCAATCTCTCAGATCTCTGACGGTCAGATTCAGGCCCCTAAAAGTTCTGCTGCTTCGAAAAACTCCTCGACCGTGGCACCAATCTCCCAGATCTCTGATGGCCAAATCCAAGCCTCTACAGGATCAACTGCTCTGAAGACAACCTCCACTGTGGCCCCAATCTCACAGATTTCTGATGGCCAAATCCAGGCCACAACCCGCGCCCCAGCTTCTAGCTCTGTTGCCAAGTCTACGGCCTCTGCCATATCTCAAATCTCTGACGGTCAAGTTCAGGCTGCTTCTGTCTCAAGCGGCACCGCAAAATCAACCGCATCTGCAATTTCTCAAATTTCTGACGGCCAGGTTCAACAGGCCTCGTCCGTCACTATCCAAACCCAATCTGTGAACGGTGCTTCCCATGAACTGGTTGGTTTTGGTGCCGCTTTTGCTGCTGTGGCCGTTGCTCTATTGTAAAGAGGATTCTCTTCCAAATAAAACACATATGTTTCGAGAACGCTGATCTTTCTCATCCGCTCGGCTTACTCATTTGAACTAATAATTTATGTATGCATTACATCTGAGAAGCTTTGAGTTGGCTCTGAAGTTAAGCGACGAGCAAAGTAGAGGTCACAGAAGGCGTTATGTACATGCCAACGTTTGAATAGTACATTAATTCACTCGCTATTTACAATCATGGCGCGAGTATCGTGGTAAATAGTCTCTAATAGTAATATGCCAAGTTCAAAAACAGTCTTCGAAGCAGAAGGAAGAATTTCGACAGAATACTGAAGATCGCCAAGACTGAGCGCTTCCAAAAGTCGAGCCGGGGCTCGATGATGACGGAGTGAATACTCATGTTGACACTTACAATGAATCCAGTGCGTCACGTGATTCAGGCAGACATATCAGCACGTAGCGGACCATAGGCAACAATAATCTTCGAATGTACATAAGAGGAAAGCTGACAGATACTATACTAGCTATCTGCAAGATCGACCCTTTACAGAATATCGAAGCCGCTATTTGATTTACGCACCTGAATAACCATTTCTAGTGCTGTGATGTAGCTTGGCGTTAATTTCAGTCACGTGACCTAGATATGAAATAGCCGCCCAAGGAAAGGGTCCAGCAAACTTTCGAGTATTCCAACTGCTAGTAACAGAGGCCATAAAATCAGGCATTTTATTTACCTTAGAACCTTCCAGCTGCCATCTCCAGCTTTGCTTCCAGACGTTCGTAATACTTTTGTTTTGAGCGCATAATTGGTTTTGTGTCACATCCAAATATTGCGTTTTTGTGCCCTCAAATAAGACTATATAAAGGGCGGCACATTCTCACAATTTAGTTTCATGACTATGTTCATTGCAAAACTCTATTTCATAGCTACAGCGCTGCTTCGTTTGATCGCGACGCCTCATCTGTAAGATATATAGTATATCTAAATACATCTACGTTCTTAGCTCAATCTCAACAGTCTATCAGCGACCTGAACCAAAATGAAGTTCTCTTCGTTGCTGGTCTCTAGCGTTGCTATTCTAGCGAAATTGGCGAAAGCCGACTCCGACTCCTTCGGATTGTTAGTGATCCGCTCAGGCTCTCCTTTGCAATATGCGTCTGTTTTTGCTGAAGAAGGTAAGCTCTATCTAGGCGGCACAATTGTTGGGCTATCAGGTGTAGTTACCGATGACGGGAAACTCAGGTTTTCGGATGGCACCTATGCTGTCTTAGATCGCCAAGGCGCACTTTCGGAAACAGCTGATATTAACGGCGGGTCCCAGGGTTTCGCTCTCACTTCTGGATATTTAGGGTATGATGGATCGATCGGTTTCACCGGCGAGCTTACGAATCGTGGTTACCGGTTCTCGACTACAATGAAATCTCCCGATGACCTCGACGTGCTTATCAGAGCCGTTCTTCCAAACGGATCCACTGTGCCGGATTTTGAACCTTCTGTGACTACAACCAGTCCTGATTGCACCAGGTACCGCAACACCACTGTGACAGTGACCACCACGGCTCACAACACTACTACCACCACGTTGACAACCTGCGAAGAAGGTTCCTCATCGGTAAGTACTACTGGCGCTAGCTCCATTCCGGTGACTTCTGGAAGTACCAGATCCTTCCCTTTAAGTACCTCGTCTTCCAGTACTAATGTGAGCTCGTCGAGCGTTATCACTATAACGCCATCTTCTGTTCTTCCATCCTCTGTCCTTCCATCTTCTGTCCTTCCATCTTCCATCTCATCGAATTTCTCATCGAGTTTCCCATCGAGTTTCAGTCCTTCTCTGCCAATCAGTTCTTTACCTTCATCGACTGTTAGCAGTCCAAATGCAAGCAGTGTACCTTCTGGTACTTCATTGACCGGCTTTCCATCTTCGATCTCCTCAAGCTCATTCAGCAGCTCAACTCAGAGCGTCTCGTCTAGTTCGATAACCAACTCGTCAACGCCTAGCTTGTCGAGTGCCACTTCACCTTTTTCATCTTCGTCAACGCCAACGGTTCCATCCAGTTCGATCGAAAGCTCATCATCAGTTTTTCCATCGAGTGTCACTATTACTCTTTCATCTTCAAAATTCTCCATTCCTTCGAGTTTAATCTCAAGCATTTCGTCGTCTAGTGTTGTGACGAAGAGTTCGTCACTCTCAAGTCAAACCACGCCAAGCTTGTCATCATCCTTTTCCATTTCTATTCCTTCGAGTTTAATTACAAGCTCTTCTCCTTCTGGGTCTTCAAGCCAGGTTATTACCAGTTCTTCAATGTCTAGTGTGGTGACAGGAAGCTCTTCTTCGCTATCACCATCTTCCTCTGCCCTAAGTTCTGCTACGATATCAAGTGCTAGCAGCGCATCGCAAACTTCTAGTTCTGAGAACCCTTCGAGTGCTATGACGAGCTCAGTCTCCTCTGGTAGCTTATCGTTGTCTTCGGTGTCGTCCGTCGTTCCAAGTTCATCCAGTGGAGTTTCCAGCTCAGGAACAACTGTCAGTTCCTCTAGCCTCGCTCCAATCTCTTCCTCTTCCATTCCAGGTTTTAGCTCCTCTACGCCAATAAGCAGTACGTTGAGTGGAACGTCTTCGGTTGCCTCTAGCTCTGTTTCCTCCAGTATCAGTATTACTGCATCATCAAGCGGTTTAACAAGCTCAAGTCCTTCGGTATCTTCAAGTGCCACGCCAAGCTCCATTTCATCAACGCTTTCATCTTCTTCTTTCGAGTCTTCTGGGTCTAGCTCTAGTGCAGCTACCTCAAGCTTGACCTCTAGCTCCGTTACGAGCTCCTCCGTTGTGTCAAGCTCAAAAGGTACGACAACGCTATCGAGCACGCCTATAAGCTCCTCAAGTTTCGTTTCTTCGGTGAGTCTAGGTTCGTCGAGTGAATCAATTAGCTCAATCAGTGCCTCCAGCTCTGTGGCACCTTCAGTGACCAGCAACACAGTTTCTGTCAGTTCGCAGAGTTCATCTGTTGCAAGTTCGTCACCAAGCTCGGCAACCAGTAACACTGTTTCCAGCTCTGTGGCACCTTCAGTGACTAGTAACACAGTTTCAGTCAGCTCACAGAGCTCATCTGGTGCAAGTTCGTCACTAAGCTCGGCAACCAGTAACACTATTTCCAGCTCTGTGGCATCTTCAGTGACTAGTAACACAGTTTCAGTCAGTTCGCAGAGTTCATCTGTACCAGGTTCATCAACATCAGTATCTGCTAGCGGAAGCTCCTCAACAGTCCTCTCTTCCTCGTTTCCATCTAGTGCAGTAAGCAGCTCCACTGTCACTTCCTCCGGGCCCTCATCAAGCGGTTCCATTTCCTCTTCTGCTTCAGTAAGCAGCACTCAATCATCCTCAAGTCCTTCAGCAACGTCAAGCACGGCTAGCAGCACGGCTAGCAGCTCGAGTAGCTCTTCCCAATCCTCGTCACAGTCCACATCAAACAATGGAGCAGCTCAGATTAAATCCAGCGGCCTAGGTGCAGGTATTCTATTCTTCGCGGCCATGCTATTGTGAGAGAGTCAAAAATAAATCTCTGCTCAAAATAAAACGCTTTCCGATGACTGTGTCATCGCTGTAGTTGCAGCTTTCCAGCTTGCTTCCTCTGACTGCTCTACAAAATCAGTTCTTCAAAAAAAAAAAAGTTGTTCAACGCTAACCAATCATATTTTATAAAATCTTGAAGCTGCCCTCGCCGACAGTTTCCAGAGTGCTCCTGTTTACAAGTTATGTTAAACCTTGCGATTTCATACCTCTTCGACCATGCATAGTGGGATTCAAACTATTTATCGTGTTCCAATAATCTATCATCTTGTACTACTGCTCATCGAACAAAAAATGAGATGCCCAATAGTGTATGCTAACGTATTTCGAGATCGTTAGACATAGCAAGTAACCAACCAACTGAGTATCTGATCAAGTTATTTCAAGTGCCGGGACCGCCTGCTAGTTATCAGAGATTCAAATATTACAATGTCGGAAAGAAAGGCGATCAACAAGTACTACCCTCCTAATTTCGATCCTTTGAAGGCAGAAGAGGCGGCTCGCAAAATATCCAAGAAGTTAAAGACTATGCATAAGGACTCTACAACTATTCGACTAATGACACCGTTCAGCATGCGATGTCTCAAATGCTCAGAGTTTATACCACGCAGTCGAAAGTTCAATGGTAAAAAAGAACTGTTACCAGAAAGGTATTTGGAAACCATAAAACAGTACAGACTTAGCATTAAATGTCCACGGTGCAACAATATGATTTCTTTCCGCACGGATCCCAAGAGTGGGGACTATGTGATGGAGATTGGGGGAGTGAAAAACTACGTTGCAGAAGAAGCTGGCACCAAAACTGAAACGGTAGAAGAAGCGCTTGAACGACTGGAAAAACAGCACCAACTGGAGAAAGATGCTGCCAACAACGAACCATCCGAGAGCAAGATGGAACAGGTTGAGAAGCGGCTTGTGAAAATGCAGCAAGAACAGGAAGATTACGAGAAACTCGAAAATCTGCGAAGAGCTAACGCAGCGCGCATGAAGCGCGCAGAGCAACTACATGGGCTATCAGAAAACGTCGCAAGAGAAAAATTGATCGACGATGAGAAAACCGCTGAGGATGCTTTCCGCACCGCTTTACAACCTTCCGGAACTGTTGAGATAAGCACTGTTCGTCCCGTAACGACTACCACTGTCCCGCAAAAAATCCAATTGAAAAAGAAACTCAAGGGTAACCCGTTAGGTGTGGTGATTAAGAAGAAAAAACGAGCTTGAAGAGAAGAACGCGCAAATTTTGTTAAAGATCATTTTTCTTTCCCCCACAATCTGTCGTTGATCACCAACTGACGGACTAGGAAAGGTGATTATAAAAGCTCTGAATTTGACACATGATGCTCCCACAAGCTAAAAAAAGCCTACAAGGTTTCGAACGATAGAATCATCATCACAACAGCGACTGGTCAAACTCCGGTGATTCTCGTTAAGTGTCATTGTTCGTGTCACGTGATGTCAACCGTTTGGGTATTGTAATCAACTGTAGAGAGTTTGGGTCCACACTTAAGATGAGCATCGAAACAACACAATTGGATAGAATACATCATAGCAGTCCATTACTGAGAATGTTTTTCAGTTCAGGTCCTAAACTAGACCCTATTCCATTTCCCTATGAATGCACCAGCATCGATTTCAACACGCACAAACACCGTTTCGACGGTGCAGATTTCATGTATGCAACGTTCCCTGTCTCCACATCATCTAAAGACGGTAACAACGGTACAATTGCGGTACCAAAAGCACGGGTGCTGATAGTACATGGGTTTGATGAGCACGCAGTATTGTACAGTCGTCTAATGGACAAGTTCCATCAGGCGGGGATCGAATCTTTCATATTCGACCAGAGAGGGTCTGGTTCAACAGCGGGGAAGGCATTAAGAGGTTTGACGGACGAAGCACACACGTTCAAGGATCTGGACCATTTTATCGAGTGGAATGTCAAGGACAAGTCTGAACGGACCCCTTTGTTTTTGTTTGGTCACTCAATGGGTGGTGGAATTGTGCTCAACTACGGCTGCAATGGGACTTATAGGGACCAAATCGCCGGGATCATCTGTACGGGACCTTTAGTCACCCTGCATCCGCATTCAGCACCCTCCACCATTGTGAGCGTCCTTTCGCCGTTATTGGCCCTACTTTTGCCCCGGTTTCGCATCGATACGGGGCTCGACCTGGATGCCACGACTTCAGATCGCCAGTACCGTGAGTTTTTGAGTCGGGATCCGTTGACGGTCCCACTGTATGGCTCGCTGCGGCAGATTTACGATTTTCTGGAGCGTGGAAAAAAACTATCGCGCGACAAACAGTACGTGGCCAAGTTTCAAACGCCTGTGCTAATTTTCCATGGCCAAGCCGACAAAATCAACGATCCGGCTGGCTCTCAAAAATTCTACGATCTGTGCACGGCGCAGGACAAACAATTGATTCTCGTGCCTGATGCCCGCCATTCGCTCTGTCTAGAGACAGATTCGATTTTCCAGGATATGTTTGCTACATTACAAAAGTGGGTTTTCAAGCATTCTACACAAGACCAAGATCTGTAGACATCTGGGGCAAGTGGCCCAAAAAGAAAAAAAAAAACAAAACAGAAACGCCCCTCAAAAATGACCATTTTCGCTTCTCTTGCTAGTCCAATTTGCCCAGTTGTTTTTGCAGCAAACTCAATGGGAACCCAAAGCTAACGCGAAGCCTGGGTTTGTTAAAAACTTACCAGACATCACATTGCACTATTCCGGCATTTCAATTCCATTCTAGCGTATCCTTACACTCCAGATGCGCATCAAGGTGCATCATGACTCAACACCACTACTGCAAACATCATCTGAACCCTGATCCCATCTCTTTCCCATCGAATGTTTGCTTCAATTTCTCGAGAAGGAGCCTTTCTACATCTCTCACGTGATCTCGGCTTTCGATTGTTCTTAAATCCGAGTGACCCACATATCGATCGTACTCAGTGATTTCTTGATAATCTCACTTGATTTTTATATAATGATTCGAACCCTCAAATTGATGTGCAATGAGCCCATACAAGATACGATCCAAAAGATTGGTGAAAGACCACCAAGTTGAATTTTTAGTGTATCGAATCGTTACAACGCTCTGAATTTGGAGCCACATCGCGAAAAAAAGAATGGATTCAGCGGATTTAAAAGCGCAATTTCAGAGGTCCAAAAATCATGAAAAACTGATGCCTTACAGCAGAGATTTGGGAAGTCAAGACATGGTCTGCAACTGCGAGGACGAGCTAGATATCTTTGAGCGGTTCGTGCAAGATCCGTGCATGGACTCGTGGGAGGATCTAGACGAAGAAAAAGACGGTGACGGCGAGTTGCAAGAATATGCTGCTGACGAACGGTATGGATCGCCAAAATGGGAAGACGAAGAGTTGCTGGACCCGGTGACCGAGGGAGTGGAAAGCCAGCAGTATAAATCGCCACGTTTGGGTTCTCAGAACCCAAACGTGTGTTCGAAATGTCTTAAACTGCGGCGCTGGAAAACCGGTGGAGGCACCACTCAGGACTCTGTCGATGAGCCAGTCCTGAGATGCTCTCGTACGAACAGCTTCATGTCGCAACTATCACGTCAGGCTTCGCGACAATCGCTGCCCGACAACTCAGCTGAGAATGCAGCGGCGCAATTCGTAGGGTCCCCCACGGAACCCGGAGTGGCCTCTCGGTCCCGGTCCCGGTCCTCATTTAGCGGATCCTCTGCCATTCCAGCCCATCTTTACTGTCTGGAACGGTTCGTGAGCTGCGAGCTCGACTCCGCCGCCGAATGTTTCTTCAAGAAGAACCCTCCTCCACTCACTTGCAACCCGTTGTCGTCCCCCCCTGCATCTGGTATGGAATCGCCAGCTCCAACAACAACTCTGTCGCCCAGAACCGTTCAAAACGACACAATACAACCACCTCCCTCGATTATACCACTCACGAAGCGCAGATCTCGCGTTTCGTCGATCGAATTGTCGTTGATGAATTCCATGTCCTCCTGAGAGTCGAAAAGCCGTGCCAAACACATACCCCAAAAAGCATCACTAATACTCCAACGGTTCTTTTCTTTCTCCCCACGCATACCCATCAACAAAGCATAAATTCAAACTTCAGCATATTGTTCATTTCTTCTCTCTTTCCTACAAAAGGCGTTTCAACTTACCAAACCAAATTAAACCTGACACCTTCGAGCATCGAACGCCTTACTTTTAGCTTTATCATTTTTTTCAATTCTGACGGTGTCCCAAATATATTTCCGATCACTATTCTCTCAAGGCTCTTGAAATTTTTCAAAAATTATTCACTATGAAGTCCATAATAAATTATATCAATGTCATCATCTCATCTCGTCTCTAATCATCTCTGGACAACAAAAGTTGGAAGAATTGACCTCTTTTCAGTCTAAAAGAACGTGGAAAGAAGCTGGCTCTATCGCGTGAGTTTCATTCATGATCTGTAGTACCTAAAGAGCAAAGTTCAGGGTTTTTTTATATCAAATTTGGCCCATTTTTCGTGAACTTAGGTTTGCGTAGGACGATACAGAGCCGCTAAAGATAGAGTGTCCCATTCCGATAAGACTAAAGTTTTTAGAGCCATTTCGTAATGACGTCTGAGACCACACATGACTGCCATGTGTCGGCCGCAGCCGCTGAAGACAACAGCTACTACGCTTCCCAAGACGAAGAAGAAGAAGAAAAGGCTTTAGAAGAAGCACTGGAAATGTCCAACGTTCAAGAGGCTGAAGAATTGGGGGAAACGTTGGAGGCACCAGTGTCCCCGTATGCGTGTGCTTACTGCAATCTGGATTCGCCGCGATCGGTGGTGAAATGCAACATCTGCAATAAATGGTTCTGTAATTCTAAAAACGGAACCTCAACCTCGCACATCATCAACCACTTCGTACTCTCGCACCACAACAGTGTCTCTTTGCATCCAGAATCGGATCTGGGTGATACAGTACTAGAGTGCTATAATTGCGGCTGTAAAAACGTGTTTGTGCTGGGGTTTGTGTCCGCCAAAAGCGAAGCCGTGGTAGTCATGTTGTGCCGCTTACCGTGTGCTCAAAACAAGACTGTGAGCTGGGACACGGATCAGTGGCAATCCCTAATAGAAAACCGTCAATTTTTGTCTTGGGTCGCCGAAGAACCGACGGATGAGGAATTATTGCGCGCAAGAATGATATCACCCAGTCAGATTTCTAAGCTAGAGGCCAAATGGCGTTCCAATAAGGATGCCACCATAAACGACATAGACACTCCGGATGACAGGGAAGAAGTGCCTCACGTTCTTATGAGATACGCAGATGCATACCAGTATCAAAGATCTTTTGCGCCACTTGTGAAAATCGAAGCCGACTATGACAAGCATTTGAAAGAGTCTCAGGCTCTCGAACATATCTCCGTGTCCTGGACTCTAGCTTTGAATAATCGGCACTTAGCATCGTTCGCGTTGTCGACTTTCGAGTCTAACGGCTTGAAAGTGGCGGTCGGGGATGAGATGATTTTAAGATACTCAGGTGTCCAGCACGCTGAGTGGGAAGGGCGTGGTTACATAGTGCGCCTACCGAATAGCTTTCATGATCAATTGATGCTTGAGTTGAAACCCAATAAAAACCTGCCACCAACTCATCTCAATACCGGTTTCACTGCGGAATTCGTATGGAAGGGAACTTCCTACGACAGGATGCAAGAAGCAATGAAGAAGTTTGCAGTGGTCAAAAAATCTGTTTCGGGTTTCCTTTATTATAAGATTCTTGGACAAGACGTTCCCGATCTGGAATTTGACGTTGACATGCCCGATCACTTTTCCATACCTCATTTCACACAATTGAACGTTTCTCAGTCGAATGCAATCCGTCATGTGTTACAGCGTCCTTTATCTTTGATTCAGGGCCCACCTGGTACAGGTAAAACTGTGACTTCTGCTACAATTGTCTATCATTTATCCAAACTGCACAAGGAACGAATTCTTGTCTGTGCACCTTCCAATGTAGCAGTGGACCACCTTGCTGCCAAACTTCGCGATCTGGGTTTGAAAGTTGTGCGTCTTACTGCCAAGAGCAGAGAAGACGTTGAGAGTTCTGTGTCGAACTTGGGACTCCACAACTTGGTCTCGAGATCTGCCAAAGGTGAACTGAAGAAATTATTAAAGCTGAAGGATGATGTAGGGGAGCTATCTTCTGCAGATACTAAAAAATTTGTGAAGCAAGTGAGGAAGTCCGAACTTGAAATTCTGAAAAAGGCAGACGTTGTTTGTTGTACCTGCGTTGGTGCTGGTGACAAAAGATTAGAAGCCAAATTTAGAACTGTATTGATTGATGAAAGCACCCAAGCTTCAGAGCCTGAGTGCTTGATACCAATTGTTAAGGGTGCCAAACAAGTCATCCTTGTGGGTGACCATCAACAATTGGGGCCTGTCATTCTGGATAGAAAGGCCGCTGACGCGGGCCTCAAGCAATCGCTTTTCGAAAGGCTCATTTCTTTGGGCCACGTTCCAATTCGTCTGGAAGTCCAATATCGTATGAATCCTCACTTAAGTGAGTTTCCTAGCAATATGTTTTATGAAGGAAGCTTGCAAAACGGGGTTACGATCGAACAACGTACTGTTGAAAGTAGCACCTTTCCATGGCCAATTCATGATCTTCCGATGATGTTTTGGTCTAACTACGGTAGAGAGGAAATCTCCGGTAACGGTACATCGTACCTTAACAGAATTGAGGCTATGAATTGTGAGCGTGTCATCACCAAGCTTTTCAGAGATGGGGTGAAACCCGATCAAATTGGTGTCATCACTCCATATGAAGGTCAGAGAGCCTACATTGTTCAATACATGCAAATGAGCGGCTCGTTGGACAAGGATCTGTATATGAACGTTGAAGTAGCTTCAGTGGATGCTTTTCAAGGGCGTGAGAAGGATTACATTATTTTGTCGTGCGTACGTGCTAACGAACAACAAGCAATTGGGTTTTTAAGCGATCCACGCCGTTTGAACGTCGCCTTGACCCGTGCTAAGTATGGTTTGGTCATATTAGGAAATCCAAGATCTCTCTCAAGGAATAGTTTATGGAGTCATCTTTTGGTGTATTTCAGACAAAAGGGTTGTTTGGTCGAAGGCGCTCTTGACAATTTGCAACTCTGCACCGTCCAATTGACAAGGTCTCCGAATGCAAGAATGGCTCGCAAACCGAACTTTGATAGAACAAACTTGAACCACACTGCAGACTTTGGTAAGGTCAATTTCGATGACTTCGATACGCAAAGTTTGATGTCGTACGGTGGCGCTGATGAGTTCGATGGGGCTACCAACAATCAGTTGAATTCTTTTTTCCAAAATTACTCATCTTTTCCACAAACAACACATAACCAGCATGTACCCGACCCCCATGCGTTCGACGGAAGAAATATTGATTTGGCACCAGGCCATGGGCTACAGAGATATAATGAAGACGCTTCAAGATACGAGAACGCAGTCACGAACGGTGATAAAGTTGATGCGTTAGAGGGCATGAAAAACCTACGAGTTTAAGATTTCCAATTGCGATTCTGGATTGTTGGAGTATTTACGAGACTACCTCTATCAATTTTAAATGAGTCTTGGCGCTGGTGTTCGATTTCCCGCAGAATTCGAGGCGCACTCAGCTTGCGCGGTTGGTGTTGAGGACCTTCATTTTCTGAACAGTCGAAGAAACTTGAATCCTGATTTTTCATCTGTTTTCGAATCGAAGTCCACAGTGTTTTTTTTGAAGGACGATAGGGACTTCAAAGAGCCAGATTTCGTGCTGGACCTAATTGTGTGGCTTCTTGAAGGATTTTTGCTGACCGGCGGGCTTCGCGGTTTGCTTAGCATTTTTGTAAACGCTGACGAATCAGAGCAAAGCTTATCTACCTTGTCGTATCTTGCGTAACTACCCGTAAGGTCGAGCTTAACGTTGAGACTTCCATCCAAACACAAGTGGTCCACGAGGTACAGAGCAAACTCAGCTTTCCCCAGAATTAATTCGTTAGGATGCTCGTAACCTGACAACACCTGAGTAAGGTGCTCGAGTCGGTGATACAATAGTAAAGACTCCTGCTCCAAATTTTTTGTCAGATCTATGACGGCACCTAATCGTGTTGGCTTTTTTTCTACTGGGGAACCTTGCGAATCAATCGCTAAATATTTAAGTAGATCATCACCAAATATTTCAGCATTGTTGTGACTCAGTTTTTCAAATTCCAATTCGCCTATTTTTGTATTTGGCGGACCGATGGTTGGACTTGGCGCGGAGGATGGATTATCCTTGGATAAGCGGTTCATGCTGATGGTGCTAGGTGCTTCGAGTTGTTTCTCTTCGTGCCGCCGCGAAATCGAGAGGACACTTATCAGCTCTGTTTCTCTCAAGTACCTGTCAATAAGGTAGGGATTGGTTGGTAGTTCGTTTCTGATTGTTCCATTAAGTGGTATCTTTGGTCGCACAACACTGCTACTCAATTTGAGAGTCTTAGTGGTGAAATCGAGCTTCTTGTCTGTTACTTTATCAATATAGTCAATAAGCTCAGCTTCATTTTTGGCTATAAATGAATTCATTTCTGTCATCCATGGTTCCTTCTTACCGAATAATGTAAGATTTGACAAATTCAGCAATATCTTCGCCAATAGTGTCAATGTTCTTTTGGGACCTTCTTCAGGATGGTTCTCCACTATATGAAAAAGTTTGGGATTCAGTATTACAGGACAGAAGAAGCGCAGGAACAGAAACCCCGAGACACAATTCATGATTAATTTGTATTCGTGATCTTTGTAGATAATTTCAATGTTTTTCCTGACAGCCTTGAGTTGTTCCTTGATTCCATATGGTAGGTCATTACTAGTTTTGTAGATACGCGCCCATAATTCCTCAGCAAGCTTTAAAAGACGCGTGTAATTTCCCCTTATGATGTTTCCCTTCCTGGAGTCATCGGCTCTTATTCGATTGGGATCGAGCTCTAAGCACATGTCCGAGAATACAATCTTTCGTATAGTGCCTCCTATGGCCTTTTCCAAGTATTCCTTACCAATACGAGTGAAATACTTCTCCATTGACTTTGTGAGAATCGAGTTTCCTCTGAACAGCGAACTGTAGATATTCGAGGAAGAGAGGTTCTTTGTTGTGTTTTTCAATATGCTTGTGTCTATCTCGTTGAACTCTTTATCAACTAATGCTTGGAACCAATCGTTGGTCCTGTCAACCGTTTGAAAAATGTCCAGCAAAACCATCGACAAGTCCTCTAACTTGAGATAGTCCGCTATCGAAATATCATATAAGTAGTCCGTCATTTTCGTTAGACTCATGCGTGAGAGCATGGATTCTAATCTGCTGAAATTCACTGAGGGGAGAATTGCATTGAGACTGGAGGCCACCTTGATGCACAAAGTGCCTAATTGGAAATGTTTATTCTCAACGTCAAAGATTGGAATTCTTGTTTCAGCACTAAGACTTCCATCATTTATCATTTCTTGAGTTATTTCTATTTCACCCAACACTTTGTCTTGTGCTGAGTACGACCTGTTTCCCTCAACGGCAAGCATTACTTTTATGCACACTGGCGAGGTTTTGACAGAGAAATTAAAATCGAACTCCTCCCGCCAAAAAGGGGAACCTGCATCTGAAACAATTGATGTCCTTGCCCAACAATGATCCCATACAGATATCTCCACGTATAGTTCTGGAGGGTTTTCGCGTTTGGTTTCGTTATCGAAGTTTGTTAGATTTATGGCACTGAAATCTGCCTCCAGAATGGATATCTTGAAACGGTTCGAAATTCTTAACTCGTTAGACTTGTCCGTGCCTATTAGTGACACAGTTTCGATTTGAGCGAAAGTGCTTAGGGCCACAAGCCAATCTTCCAGATCGATTCTGAGGGGAAATTGTAACACTATGCCGAAAGAATTGAATTTATCTCTTTGAGAATTAACAGAGAATGAGCCTCCTGGAGACATTTTCAGTTGATCCCTGAGCTTTGGGATTACTCCCAAAAACAAGAACGTATCGTTTTGAAGAAGACAGGGATCGAGGATTTGAATTTCCGATCTCAAAAGTTCTGTGATGTCGAAGGACCAAAGTAACGACCCATCGCTTTGCAGAAGAAGATCTAATCTACCATCAGAACTCAACTTGCCCATAGCTGAAAACCACCCAAATTCTTCAGATGCTGAAACCCTATTTGGAAAAGGCGGTACGGGTATATTGGTTTTGAGTGATACGTTCTTGTTCCTGGGAATCCGGGTGTAGACATTAAACTGACATACTAGTAGCGGGGTAGGATTATGCTGCTTTGCAACGATTGGTTGGATGACAACATATTTGTTGAAAATTCCCTTGTCCTTCAGGCTAGCCCAGAAAACAAGAGCTGCGAATAAGTCAAAAAATGTGTCACGGTCCGCTACTTTCATGTACGTTGTAGCATAGTAAGTCTCAACTCTCAAAATTGGGTGAATACCTTGATCATTATCTAAAAGCCGTATCTTACAAGCTTGTAAATGTCTTATAATAGGCTTGTTTGAATACTCCAGACCTGTTCCTGAAACAGATAAGTCCGCCATGTTCTCTTCACTGACCGCATGGCAAAGACCGCCACTACCGTTAATCTCCAAGCGATGAGCTTTCCAGTCATCTAGCGAAAGGTTGCTACACCATTGAACTTCTCCGACGAACAGTCCTTTATTTATCCGAATTTTGTTCACCAGGTCCCTTTTGATACCGTTCATACCTGATGATGGTTCAGATCTCAGGCTTCCCCATTGATCGATATGAGGCCCATTTAAAACTGGAGAAGGACCGGAAATATTCAATTGAGGTGAGCCCATCAGTTACAGGCCAACTGTTTGATATTCTTCGAGGCTTTGACCTGAATTCTGGGCTTGTCGCGTCAGCTTGGCTTTATTTTCCATTTATTACGTATACACGCATATCGAACGGACTCACAGCTCGAAGAGTTAACGGTACAATTCCCGTTCGAATCTCGTGTGAGACAATATAAGAAGCTAACCTTTGGAGTTTAGTATTATATGTTTGAAGTTATACGAACAGGTCCTTCCATGAGACTTTAAACCTTGAAGGCAACAGGAGCTTCACCTTCGGGTCCGATGTACTTGGGGTCTCTCCAAGGTCCAACGTCAGACAAGTAAAGTCCCCCACTTGCCTCGCTGACCTCTGACTTACCACCAAACTTGACGGGTAGGTTTTCTGCGGGGATCTGTTTGAGAAGCTCTTTTTGATAAGAAGACCCTAGGATAAAGATCTTGGAGACGGTTACTGGATCTAGGAAGGGTTTGAAAATACGGAAAGCGGTGGAGAATCCGAATGGAGCGTTGACCAGATAAAACTTGCCCATGCGTTCTGGATAATAGTTTTGGCCAATGTTCGAAGCTTCTCTGACGTAGCTGAGAACTTGAGCTGCGGCAGAGATAGAAATGCCTTTAAGGTCTAGAATGGTGCATGAGGTTTCGACTAGATGACCGGCCTTTCTGGAGCATGCAGGGAGTCTGTAGCGAACGAACGACTCGTATTCCCACACCAAATTTTTGAGCATGCGCTCCTGTGTGGTGATCTTGTACATTTCAGTGAGATTGACGGACCCCAACTCTTCGAAATACAAGGGACGCCCATCGTTGTCGGTTTTGTGATAGTATTGAGGGTAAAATTTGGCAACTAGAGGCTTTTCTTCGTAGTGGAAATCTTCAAATATCTTGTCGACGCCATACTCCTTACGCCATTTCTCACAGTTCTCGTACATGAGCTTGGATGCAGCGACATCAAACTTACGGGCTCTTAGAAATCTTAACAAGGTCGAGTCGTCTAGTCTTTCACTGTAGCCACCTTTCTTCAGCTGTTCACGGAACTCGCCAAGCGATTTCTGTTGCACTTCGGATAGGTTACCTGGGGTACCTTGCACCGCAGTGGGGGCGCAAGTCTGAGGATATGATTTCAACAGCTCTTGTTCCTGCTTGAATGTTAGTATAGGGCGTGGTTTACAATGAGCACTGTGCCAACGAGTTCGCTGGGTGTGGCACACAATAAGGACGGCAAAAAGCGCGAGGGTAAGATGGTTGAATCGCGCGAGTATCGCAAATGGCTGAATTTTCTCACATGGAGGCCCGAAAAACAGTAATTCCACAGCAAGATTTCATATGTTTGGCGTTCCTGTCACAGATAAACCAGTCACTACAAAGGACGAGCCACCATTATCCAAAAAAAGTTGCCCCAACAGCAACAGAACAGATCCCACAAATTTTCTCCAAAGACGTTATACGTGCCCCTCGTCTCCGTTAGACACACTTAAAACCACATGTGTTGAAGTGCTACCATAACTCCAGGTTATATAACTTCCAGGTTAGAAGATACCACAGTTCAACTGCGTCCCCCAGTCGATCCTAGGTCCCACGCTAAGGTGCTGCAAATTTGACCAATTCCATCTCCTGAGATCCATTTCCACCGCTTGAAACTCGCCTTCATGGAACAACCATATGCTGGATATAACTCCAACCTTCTAACAAAAACATACCGACACCATTATTGAGCTGTTAGTCGATTTTAATCAAAACGGTTGGATAAGGTAAAGGATACGTTTACGTTGATGTTATTTTGACAGCCGTATTTGCTAGACCTTCAAATGGCCGGGTAATAAGTGTGCCGGTATACATCTAAATTCACGGTTCTGTCACAGGACATTGAGAAAGCCTGAGGAGATGTATCTTTTGAAAGAGGTTTGGAGAGTTTGTACGAGATTAGAGCGCGTGGCATTGGCTTTTTTTTTTGAAAAGAGGAGTCTTTTTGGTTGCTCAGAGGTTTGTTGTAGAAACTTTTGAAAAAATAACAAAAAGTCTGGAGAAAAGGTATCATTTCCAGCAGATCTAGCGTTCTTTGAGCCTTTTCTGTTTATTTCGAACGATGCTGGTGGAGTAATACAACGTTAAATACGAAGTGACAACATTTTCTGGGAGATTTGATATTTCGGAATGCGGTGCTTGTCAGTTACAAGTCTCTTGGTCAAGGCCTTCAGCCTCTGAGGGCGAAGTAGTAATTACCCGTGGTAGAGGTGGACGAAAGATGCTGTGTCATAGTAAAACTAATCTCACAACGGAAGATATTGTATCATCAACCCAAAGCCCTTCAATGTGCCAAAAGTTCAAGAAATCTGCTAAGATGTAGCACTTTCAATCAGGTAGTTTTGTAGCTGGTTGTAGAGTCCACAAATGGTACCTTATTCAAGAGCCAAGAGCTTAGCAGGCTTCGCTGTTAGTGAGGTTTGTTCTGTTGGTTTACTATTGTATGCCTATAATGCATTTTAATTAACCTATAATTCAGATTTGAACCATAACGCGAAGAAGTAAACCTGTGAACGCGGACTATTATCGACCATTTCATCGACATTGGGACATGGAAGCTGAGCTGGGACAACCGCTTGGTGAGAGCTTATTTTTTGAAAGTGTGGGAAGCCCAGGCCTGGGATTCGTAGACTCGAATGGACAGCTCAGGAAACTTACGCGAAAGAAGGGAAACAGATTGCATGAAACCTCTTGGAGAAATGATGAAACTTACGGAATCGATATCAATCGTCTATTAGACACATGCAGCGGCCCTAGAAAGACGGTGCGAAGCTCAAAGTCTCGGGAATTGCCCAAAAAGACTGCACCAGAAAAACTTTGGACGGAAAAGTGGAAACCACACAGCTTTTTCGACCTGGTGGGCAACGAAAAGACCAACAGACGAGTATTGAAATGGCTCAGACAATGGTCCCCGCTTGTGTTTGGTGAAACGTTGCCTAAGGGAGCCGCAGGTAATTGGGGTGGGTCGAAATTGGGAGCTGAAAACTCAATGGAAATATTGGATCCGCTACAGAGGCCCCGGAAAAAAATCTTACTGCTCACTGGGCCTCCAGGGATAGGCAAAACGTCTGTCGCACATGTTGTGGTGAAACAAGCGGGTTATTCGGTGATGGAGATCAACGCCAGTGACGAAAGGGGAGGATCAGGTATCAAGGCTCGAGTTCACAATGCTCTTTTCTCCAACACGTTGGATAACCAGCCGGTTTGTTTAATTGCGGACGAAATTGATGGGAGTTTGGAAATGGGTTTCATCAAGGTGCTTCTCGATATTGTCAACAGTGACTTCAAGGCTACACAAAGAATTTTGAGCGGTGCTCTTACAAAGTCTAAAGGCAGACGACAACGAAAAAAAAATCAAGGACAGGTAATGACACGACCGATAATAGCCATCTGTAATAACATCTACGCATCTGCTCTGGAAAAACTTCGACCACACTGCGAGATCATCCATTTCCAAAGACCATCAGAAAATGCCGTGGTTGAGCGGCTATACCACGTCTCCAAAAAGGAAAATCTTTCAATGGACAAGAAACAGCTCAAGGAGCTGACGGAGCTGTCTCAAGGTGACGTAAGGAACTGTCTCAACAATTTGCAATTTATGGCAGCGTTGGCGGCCGATACCAAATCTAGCAGTCTGGATGAGCAAGTGAAAGATATGAGTATATCCTGGTACAGGATCTGCAACCAAGTATTTCGTAAAGACCCGCATGTTGATGCTAGGCACCAGTTCATGAAGCTTTTGCGAGATATAGAGACCAACTCAAGCTTTCAAAAAATAGTTCACGGTTGTTTCTCCATGTTCCCGAATGTTAAGTATTCTGATAGTGGGGTGAAAAAGCCGGGCATAGCGGCTGATTGGTTGTTTTTTAATGACCGCATGTTCCAATCGCTTTTTGAGCATAACGGTGACTTACTGCGCTACAATTCGGTTGTGCCTATGGCATTTTTTCAACTTTTCAGCGACATTGCAAACAAGGAAGAGGTCAGGGCACAGCATAACGAGTTCGAACAAAGAGAGGCGCTACGAAAGAATGAAGACCTCATAGGTGCCATGCATCAGCGACCACCAGCGTCCTCTCAGATATTCATGAACAAACGCGCCTTGGCGCTAGAGATTTTGCCATTAGTGGATTACATGATAGCTGCTGATTTTACCAAGGTGCGAAATGGAAACATTAAGAACGCAATTTTCGACAACATCATCCCTGCAATCACGACATTCGATCTTGTGTTTGGGGAACGGACGGACACTGATATGCCTCGAATGACTTGCATCGAGCCACCGTTTGAAACGGTGGTGTTAATGGACCAAAAGCGGTCCAAAGATGTTTTCACCAAAAGACCGGCGCTGCTCAATGTCGTGAACGCTAAAGTCCAAGAGAGTAAACTCCGCAAAAGGACCCTTGAAGTTGCAAAAGCTGACAAAGAAGGTCTACAAAATGCACGCAAGAAGCAGAAAACAAACTCGCTGTCCATCAAACCGGCAGAATTTTTCAAATCGCAGTACGCTAGTGTGCATACTGGCGGCAGTCAACCTAATGGCGCACTGAGTAGCAGCGATGGGGTGTCTCAGGCACCCACCAGGGCAAAAATATGGGTTAAGTACAAGGAAGGTTTTTCGGACGCGGTGAGAAAGAACGTTACTTGGAAAAACCTGTGGGAATAGACGCTCATCGACATCGTATAGTTGTGCATAAAATCGATAACTTCAAGATCGATGATAAATATAAATAAAACACTTTCCTGTTAGTTCAATAGATTAAAAGACAGCGCTAGCACTGATGTTAATGAGGGGATTATTGTTGCGTGTTTCTACGGTATGATTTTGATGGAATTTAAACCACTTATGTTGACAATTTGAGAAGAGTCCATTAAGCCTTATGCTGAATGTTGCAAAAGGCGACCCTAACAAAAAATAAAGAAAGCATAGGACAGTGGCTATAGTTTAGAAACGTAATCCTTGGAATTCAACAGAATCATTAGATATCCGATACGTGGAGCAAAAACACTTCCCCATATGCTCTTGGAATCTAAGTCATTTGATTTTTGCATCTAGTCATATCCTTTTAGATTTTCCACGTATTCCAGCAATGGTTTCGTGGTCTAGTCGGTTATGGCATCTGCTTAACACGCAGAACGTCCCCAGTTCGATCCTGGGCGAAATCACTTTTATTTTTGATTAATACTTCTACGACGATGTATAATCTTTAATCCTTACAACACATGTGGATGATCCACCTTTTAACAGCTCCGTTTTGACCAAGTGTCTGCCGGAAAAAGCCAGAAACGCTCGCACCAGCTCTACACTTCAGCTTCGCAGCCAGTCCAGAGGCCGTTTTTGGTCCCCTTGGACATTTACAAGCGGAACATCAAACAGTACACCCTAGCAGAAGCCACTCTTCACGCAAGTCAAAGTGTTTGAATACATTCAAACGACGCAACCATGAGCACGGATTGCCCGAGTGAAAACGTTATTTGCGACTTGCTTAAAAAAGATTACCATCTTCAGGGTCCTGAGACTTTTTCTCGTCTGGAGGATGGGTCCCAAGGGTCCCTTGACTTCACTAAATTGGGCGATAATTATGGTGAAGCGGGCCAAAAGGCTGCAAAATCTGGTGGAGTATTCGATAGCTCTCACATGGGACAAGCCTATTTTCCTGCACTTGGCGAATGGAGTATGGAAAATGTGTCATCGGTAACACCTCCCTTGTCACACTCCCCAGAGGAATCAAACGAAAGCAATTCCAGCAAGGGTCTTAGCAATTCAAACACACAGCAACACGACGGATCGGATCATGGGTACGTTCCGGAAGAAGCTCTTTCAGAACAGGAGATTTTGGCCCGCAAAAAGGCTCAGAATAGAGCAGCGCAGAAGGCATTCAGAGAACGCAAAGAAGCAAAATTGAAAGAGCTGGAAGCTAAACTACTTTCAAGTGAGCGTGACAAAAAAGTACTTCTCCAAGAGCTTGAGGATTTGAAGAAGTTGAACTTGGAGATCGCCACCGAGAATCGTCTTTTGAGCAAAACCGAACAACGCCCTTCTTCAGATGTGCGTACAGAAGCGGTCAAATACCACTTCCCTACTCGCAAACAGTTCTTCGACGCTGCAAATGGTGATCATATGGCAGCCCTCAAGGCTCCCATGTCGCTTTCTTCCTACGTGCGTGATGGACAAAAATTACTGACTTTGCCAGCTACATGGGAATATCTCCATGAGCTTTCAAAGAGTGAGGATTTCGACATATATTTTGTCATGGAGACACTCAGAGGCAACGAGGTTTGTCACGGTTACGGCCCGGCTTACCCACAGAATGTTATCGACGACATAGTCCGGAATTGTCCATAGTAATGTGAAATCGGACGCCTCTTTCGTTACAATTTCAAAGGCAAGGGTTAAGTAATACGATCGAACAATGTAGAGAGGTTCGCTTTCAACCAAGTTCATGTTTCGTATGCGGTTACGACTCGAGTCCAAGGTTTGGGTATGATAATGTATATTGTATTTTAGTTTAGTCTGTTCGCCTCCGCGGCTTTGCTTGCTAGTATGCCGTTGATATACACCACGACAACAATGGCCAAGAAAATCGCCACGAAAGACAAGGGATCATCGCTTGGGGCCACAGGAACCAGTAAATTTAGATTTCCAGATGCCGTTTATAACCTGAATTCGAATTCGAAGAAATTCGAGTATCTGCCGTTGCCAGAGCGTCTCCTGAACGATAAAGTGATAGTGATCAACAAGTTCTTATCTGAGTCTGTGACGCTGCAGCTTTGCCTCTCCCTTTCGCAACCTGGTATCATGGAGCTTTTCCGTCAACGAGGAACGAGGGAATACGCCGAACGAGTCAACGAACGCTTTTCCACCGATGATCCTAAGATAGCACAGATTCTGTGGGAAAGACTCAAAAAATGTCTGTTACAGGATGAGTATATATCAAATGAGCTTGGATTTGCAGATGCCATTGGACTCAATCCACAGATTCGAGCTTATCGCTACAAGAAAGGTCACAAATTTGCCAAACATTATGATTCCTCCGCTACAGTGCCCGGCCAAGGCTCAACCCGCTGGACTTTGCTAATCTACTTGACTGGTGGTGAACAGTTAGTTGGTGGGGATACAATTTTTTATTCATCGCATCGAGATGAAGCTACTGGTGTGCATCCAGAGGTGGGATTAGCCCTTTTGCACAAACACGGCGACGATTGTCTTTTACATGAGGCTCAAGAAGTCTACAATGGTGTCAAGTTTGTGTTGAGGAGTGATGTGCTGTTCAAAGACTAGCTTAGTGCCAAAGTTCTGTATACTGAGCTCATCTCATCTCATCTCATCTCATCAGTGTAATTAATTATATAAATTCGTTCAACTCACTGGAGGAGACTACTGGATATCGATAAAATCCGGGTTTTGCCAGGTCGCATGGGATATATAGGAAGCATTGGGCATCACAGTAACCATGTCTGAGCAGACTTCAATGCTAGCCAGTTTATTTCCCGATGTCAATGAGGAAATACTGATCAAAACGTTAGAAAGTGCTCATGGTGACGTTGAGATGGCTACTAATATGATCTTGAGCGAACAGGAATCGCTAAGTCAGATGAGAAACGTTGCGGAAATAAGCGAAATGGACTTTGAAAAGCAGAATGAAGCAGACAAGCAACATAACGGTGCGGTGAATTTGAAAAAACGTCTTTACAGACGAGTACATGCATTCGACTACACACAACCCAAAGACAAGGCCAAAACTTTTGCTCAAAATCCGGTTTGGTCGTCTACACAGGACCAGATTCGCAACATTTTGGAATTAACGGACGTTTCCTTTAAAATAGCCCAAACAGCTTTCTACAAAAAATCACGAAGTGTTGGAAGGGCCGTTATAGACATAATAAGTCATTTTGATGGATACTACTCAGCAGAATTTCAGAGCTCTCGAGTACCGGCTCCTCCACCTGCTTCAAGTCAAACTGCACGAGTCGGCGGCCGTGTACAATCTGCCCAAGGCCTTGCGCACCAAAAAGCGGCCAATTCTGTTTTCAAGAACCGGACGATGACCCAAGATTCTGACAAGGAATCTACAACTACAAGTCCTACTCGCAATGTCTCTGCTCAAGAACTTTCAGAGGCGTCTCGGGAGCTGGAAACTATCGTCGCGAGCAATCCCGTGCTCAAAGCAATCAGCCCTGGGTTCTTCAAGTCGGCTCTTGGCTTTTTTGGAGGAGACGTCGTACGGACCACGGCAGTGGCTGCATTTATAATCGAGAATGACTGCTCTAAATTTACCTTCACCGATACAACCACAAAACCCGTTTCTGCTGCGACATCTTCGCCTCACACTCTTCAGAAAATGATTACCGGATCCAGTACAATTGCACAAACTGTTACAGAGAGTGATGGCGGCCTTTTCACGTCCGATGCATTCACCAGTGATGACAGCTACAATCAAGCTTTGCAGATATTTGAATCTATTTTTCAAACTCATACTGCTGACTTACATGGCTTTTACCCACAAGAAGCCAGACAAATCGCCCAGAAATGTCTCACAGCCTGGTGGAATCATGAAACAGGCTTGCGTGAGATGAATACCCACCGTCCGAACCTGATAAAAGCACTCAATATCGCACCTCTCAAGATAATAACCGGGCGAGGCATCCACAGTCGAGGAGGGATCTCGAAAGTAAAGATCCAAATCAAGAAACTTTTGGATGGTGAAGACTACGTTTACACAGAGGAGCCGTCTTATTTCATCGTTGACGGACGAAGAACCCAGTCAAGGTCTCGAAAGCGATGATGTGTTAGCTCTGACACCATGATCACATGTGTGTTGATGCCAATTAAGCCCAATAAAACTACTTAAAAGGTGTTTACGCTCACCAAAAACACGAACTCATCGCATGAATGATCAAGCCATTGGGCTCGTTAAAGACTTATAGTAGCATTCAGAATGGATTACATGAACTTGGGAGTAACTTCTCGTAAGACGGGGATCAAAATACGACAAGATATACGCAAGGATGAATACTCTATGGATAATGTGGATGAGTTTTTCAAAGATAACGAAAGCTCGATTTCGTTTCGCCGAAAAAGCCGAAAATCTTCGCTTCTACCTTTCAATAGTTCTGCGTTTCCACCAGTGATTGAAGGCAAGTCAAGACGGAGTACAAATTTCCTACCTTCTGACGTCCCCACTATTGAAGAACAGTATGCGGAGCCTCCATCAATAGACGAGACTGTCCAGCCACAACTGGACGTTTCTGTGCCTAACGATTGGGATTTTGAAAGTGGTACAAGTGGCAAGGCAACCCCAGACATTGGTGAGGGACGAGTTGATCAAACGAATAAAAGTGGGAAAAAACCGATAAATTATGAGCCAGACTATCGAAGCGACGATTTTGAAGATGATAAAGAACCTGATAACACACCACGGACCCCCCCATCTGATTATGGCAATGAGAGTTACCGAGACGTTCCCGATTTAATCGCAGATGATGATGAGGAACCGTCTCATGGAAATACGTCATTCAATACTTCTGAAAACGCGCTTCTAGAGGATGAACTGGAGCGTGAATATGGGTCTTTGAGCGAAGAAGATGGAGACTACGTTGAGCCCGCTGGGTTGCGTGACGTTGGAAATTCAAGTGATTCTGAAGTTGAAGAAAGCGATAATGGAGCCGGTAGCCTTGGCAATCGTGCTCTTCTCCAAAACACAAGAAGAAACTCGTATGCGAGGCGACTAAGTAGGTCAAATAATGCTGGACATTTAGGCCAAGAAAACTCATCACAAGAGAGCTCCGATGAAGAGTTTATTCAGGATCAGGCCCATGACTTAGGTCGAGAAATCAACTTTTCAAGAGTAAATGGGTTACGGAAATCTAACAGGGTAAAAATAGCTCCTTTGGAGTACTGGAGAAATGAGAAAGTAGTTTACAAGCGCAAATCGAGAAAGCCGGTACTGGAGATCGATAAGGTTATTACTTTCGAGGAGGAAGACGAAGAGGAAGAAGACGAGCCACGAAGGAGGAAAAAGAGTAAAAAAAGACCATTTAACTATACGGCAACAGGTAGACCACGGGGAAGACCTAGAAAAGACCAGAGTTCAGGTATGACCTCAGAAACTGCATCGCATAACCCAAATCAGCATTTAATCTCAAAAGTTAAACAGGGGACAATTCAAAACTCGGCATGGTTTGAAATAGGAGAGTTCCGGGGCCAAGTGAATGCTTCGGCGGATCACAAATCTAAAGAAGTTGATATTCTAGCTCGTTCCGATTTTCAATCTATTTCCCAATATGAACACAAAACAAGAGATGAGTCTTATACATTGGCCGTGCTTTTCGACAAACACAAAGAATTATTCGCTAGTGGATTCTTAACCCTCCCGTTAGGAGCAAAGAAGAAGCTTTCGGATTCTTATAATGTTGCCATTAATTTTTACCTTATTGAGGGCGTCATAGAGGTCACCATTGGCCAAAACAAGCTAATCTGCACTGAGGGTTGCACTTTCCAAGTACCTGCTTTTAACGAGTATTCCCTTTCAAATAAGGGAAAAAGTGTTGCTAAAATGTATTTCGTCCAGGTTTCGCTACCGGCATTTAGCAGCGCTCAAAAAGTCGATGGTGCGAACATGCGTGATGATCAGCAAGAAGATACTCGTACAGGGGGTTCACTTAGCGACATGAGTATATCACAAGGCTAAAGTGTCATTACCGCATTCTTGAATGACTTGACCTAATATGTTAGTCTATAACTCAAAGCAAAATCTAATTCTATAAATGTATAATACAATCTTCATTGAGCCCCGCGAATTCTTGTGCCTGCTGCTTTGGATATGGCAATTTACTAATTCATAAACCCTCATCGTCAGAAAATGCCAATTCAAGAGCTATCCGCTCCGCTTTCATCCCCATCCTCCATTTTCTCCGCGAGCTTTTTCATTCTCGCTAATTTCACCAAAGGCGCGAGAGATTTTACATCATCCGAGTATGTCGTAATGAAGGGATCTTCAAGCAGTTCTGACGCCGAGGCCCTTTCTTCTGGATTGACGTGCAGACACCAGTTCAAAAAGAACCTCAAATCCTGAGTCAAAGAGTCCGCGTCTTTCAATTCAGGAGTACCGTTTGTGGCAATCAAATATAGTGCACGCAGTGGTGTCTCGTTTAAATAAGGAGGCTCACCTTCGATCATTTCTATAATCATAATTCCCAGAGACCATATATCAACTTTTGGACCATATTCTTTTCTCGACACAACTTCTGGAGCCATCCAGTAAGGCGTACCCACCATCGTGGTGCGCTTCAAATTGGTTTCATTTATTTGGGCACAGAACCCGAAATCTGTCAACTTTATTTCACCCGTCATAGACAGTAGAATGTTGTCCGATTTAATATCTCGGTGGATCACCCGCTTCGAATGTAGAAACATCAAACCTTTAAGGGTTTCTCGGCAAACCGCTCCAATCTGACCTTCCGTTAATATACAGTGTGTTACCACATCTGTTAGAGAACCCCCTTCCATGTACTCCATCACAACCCAAAGGTCACCCCTCAGAAGAAAAGAGTCAATATAGTTGACAATGTTAGCATGCTTACTTGCCTTCATGACCAATATCTCATTGATAATAAGCTCCTTTTTGGGCTGTTTCTCGAGACTCATCTGCTTAATGGCGACTGAAGCATTAGTTCCAACTTCATAGGCTGTGTAAACACCTCCTGAGGCTCCCTGACCAATTTTGATCAGATTTTTATACAGCTTGCTGGGGTCGCCCTCTGAGCAAATCTCTGTTAAGGTAGCATAAAGCTGTTGAATTTTTCTTCTCCTATCCTCCCGTTTCGACTCAAGCGCTTTTTGCATGTCGCTTGGTACCGATTCTCCTTTTGCATGATCTTTGGGAACAGGGGGAGGGGGAGGAGCCGCTCTTAGTGGGGCATCAAGAATCGGCGATTCCGGTAAAACTTTTGTCGGCGGCAGAGGGTTCTTCGGCTGGGTCAAAACAGTTTGATTTTGGTCTGATTTATTTCTGGTGCCGTTCCGAGACAAAGCCTTTATCGCGGAGCTAGAGCTTCCTGTTCTATTCAGTTTTGGCGATGCTGCCGCAGAGCTGTTATTAGCCAATGGAGACGTTATATCAGTCTTCGCAGGCGTACCGGGTGGTCTGGGTGCTGGACGACTGGGCATATATCGTTCATTGCTTGATCCTTGTAGCCTTGGCGCTTCCCTCAAATTGACTGGCGATTGAAGCTCTTGAGGGGTGCCTTTCGTTCCAATGCTGGTTTGAGAGGCTCCTTTCGATGACAGGCTCCCGAACTTGTTGAGAGACGGCGATGAAGGAGACCGTGATTCAGAGTTTGATAAGTTCTTCCCTGAGCCTCCAACGTGGAACGTTTTAAACACCTTGTCTTCGCCGTTTGCTTCCGTCACGTCTTGGTAAAATTTCACAATGTCCATGACCGCCTGCGGGTGTTGTTGCTGCTCTCTTTTTGAAATACCGCTCGAAGTTAAAAGCTTTTCCCACTCCTCCGGGAGACCAGTATATTCCCCAGTTTTTGTATCAACGCCCACATGATGAACATGCTTTGCATTATAAGGTGTTGATATCTTTATAGCGGAGTTTGATTGCCTTTTTTCTCCTTGTGAAGTTCTCTTCATGTTTTGCATCAGTGATGAAAAGACGCCTTTCATTCTACTTCCACCACTCTTTCGCTTCTTACCATCCAAGCCTGGCGATGGGGTTTGTGGATGGGAAATTGGACTTTCTGGCGTAATTTCACCAGAGCGGGAGGTCTTGTTCACACCACTGAAAGGCGAGCTTACTACCTTGAAAGCTGGCTTCTGATTGGCGTTCTTAGCATCCGGTGAGGCCTGTGGTAATTGGTGGAAACCTCCTTGAGAAAGAACAGGTGTTTTTCGAGGTTCTTTATCGCTTACGACAGGACTGCTCTTCTGAGATACATTGTTATTGTTATGGTCCGGATCACTTTCTTCAGGACGAACGTAGGTAGACCTTTCCTGCATTGTATTACTGACTGCGGCTTCGAATGGTGTAGCCTTGAAATTGTCACGGCTGTAGTTGCTCTTTGGTGTGCTGCTTTTTAGGTGCCCATCGTAATCGATGTTTGCCGTAGAACTGTTTTGCGTGGAGAAGGCAGGAGATATCTCCGTTTCATTCTCACCCGAAAGTAACATCGATTCATTCGTTAAAGCCGTATTATCGGGATTATACTGACTTGAAGCCCTTATCGTAGAGTTGGTCTTGTCCCCGAGTGTTGACTGTTCTTGAAGGTCTGGCACAACTGGCTCTTGCTTTTGGAAATGACGTTGTGAATGGGTGGGCCTTTTATCATTCGATTGCGGCTCATATGACCGTTCACTGGCTTCACTGACCCCGTAAGAGCTTGCACTTAGCGCTGAAGAAGATGAGACTCTTGTGAATTGAATGGGATCATTGAGAGATGTGGATTGCAGAATTTCGCCAGCACTGGTCACTTCTGCCACTTGCGGCTTTCCAGGATCCATCGATTTGTAGTCTGCTGTTTCACCAGCATTTTCGCCATCACTACTACTCAAATTGTGCAGCGCATTGACGTTTAGTATGGCAGGAGCTCGAGGAAGATCGTATTTCTCATTTGATGTGACACCCGTCGATGTGACACTATTTCGATCGTCGCCCTCATTTTTGTGGTCTACTGCCCCAGCATGGAGTGCAGTACCAGTTTCGCTCACTTCGAGTATTGGAAGGCTCATGATGAGTGTACTTTTGATCGAGGAAACTTGTCCAGTTACGGTTTAGATCTTGGATAATAACGGACTTGGTTTCTTAATTCGCAAGTATTCCGTGGCCGATTTCGCTGAAGGAGACTAACCTCAAGTGCCGATAAAGATGCAAAAGAGATAGAGATTAGGCCAGAGACAATTGAACCCGGGTTTACTTCAGACAAACGTACCTTTACAATATCCCGGGTACACATGCATATTGGTATAAAAAGCACTTTTAAGTTCAAATACTTATTTTTCATAATAAAATCGAGAATATGTCGAACAATTAGTCACGTGCACAAAGGCTCGACAAGACTCGAGGTCAATGGAAATGGTCCAAACGTTGCAATCATCAAATTGCAGTCTAGGCTAGCTTTCTTCAGGTCTTTACGAGTATTCCATACTGATTGCAATGATTTCTGGTTCGGATGTATGTCCTAGCACGTATATCAGTCCTGAAAAAACTTGGAATGCCGAGTCATGAGTACCAGCCGTTACACTAGGACAGCAGAAATGCACCCGATCCTTCCGTCATAGCCTGAATAATTCTGGACCTAAGAATGTCCCTGTCGCTATACATTGGCAGTTTGAGGTAGTTCGCACAAGTCATGACACTAGGCAAGTACTCGTCAGCGGTCATGTTTTCTTCCGTGTGTTTGCGAACCACGGTCAGCTTGGGACTAAGGCTTTTAAAGCCGCCAAGTGGCAACTTGGGCGACCCGGTAAGAAATTGCAGGAAAAATCGACGTTCTTGAGCCGAGAATGATGTCATCAACGAAATCAAATCGTGGATGATATCTGAATCTTGTGTGTAGCCGTGGTCAGCTTCCACATGCGCTAAAAGAGTCTCTGGACTCCAGTCCTCTTCCACTCTTCCAAAAAGTTCCGTCAGCTCCTCTGGTGTCAAAATGAGAAGGGAACGGTAGGGGAATGCTTGTGAAAATCCATCCGTGAAACTGCGTATTTGCTTTTCGACCCCTGCACCGAGCATCTGGTCTATAACGAGATCAATATATTCGGTCAAGTTGTCCTTGGTCACGGCAAAATTTGTTCCGTTTGGAATCAAATCTAAATCGTAGCCTGGCAAACGGAATGTCAACGAAAGTGACTCTAAAATGTCATTATCCTTGTGCTCGAGCAAAAACTGAAGAGATTTTGTAAGTTGGGGGTCTACCTTATGCATTAGTGAGAAAGTTGGGCCAATTTGATCGAGACTGAGATTTTCGCCATCTGCATACAAGTGTGCCAGTTCGAAGAACGCTACGTTGAAGCGGAAGTCTAGAATGCGATTGTCAAGCATGGATCGTGCGACGAAAGCACCAAGTTGCTTGAAGAGCTCCAAAGTTCCCTTTTGATCTTTCGAAGCGCGCAGAGGAGCAGGGAAAAGAAGGCCTTCGACTAGTTCGTCTTGCTTATTCAAAGGATATTGATCAGATCTCCACAAACCCAATGATTTTTTTGCGAACTCTCTTGATATAATAGCGTAAAATTCCATCGTGGGTCCGAGTCCCGTTCCGACCTCCTCTAGGTACTCGATCTCTAAAATATTGGGGGACGAACCGTATTTTGAAAATATCTTCAATGCACTCAAAAACATATTATCTCGAGATATTTTGAGTTTGTGTCTGGTAGGCCTACCCAACTGATGCAACACGTTTTCTCCTCTTTCTCCTTTGTCTCCTCCCATGCGATCTTTCCAAATCTGAATAAGTCTAGCGTATCCAAAAGACGTACTTTGTAAGTAGAACATTCTGAGTTCAAGAGGAAAGAGAAAAGGATATTGTTGTGTGACAACTGTGCACCATTCAGGAATGCAACCACTGGCAACAATGAGTGGCTCATCCAGTTGGCAAGATAACTTCGCGCTAATCTTCGAATTGATGAAGCTTTCACTTCCTAAAGAACTTTTTCGCAGCGCTTTGAGAATCATCATGAGGTCATATGCCTGCTTCTCATCAGTCCCCAAGTCAGCCTGCTCAGCGTAGAATTCTTTCAAAGGTCTTGTCTCTCGTACTGATCCTACAATTTTCCTGAACTTCAGTACATGCAAATCCGTCCATAGACGTCTTCTATCGTTTTCATTCTTGAAGTAAGTCCTAAAAATGGGGCCAAATAACGTGTCCTGGTAGTCACATTCTTTATCCTCCACGAAGAAAGCAAAGTTCCAACCATCTATCCCTGTAGTTTCCTCAGGACCAATTGCTACCAGAGGCGAAGATGCACTCATTATTCGAGACTGTAATATTCTGTGCTTAAGAAAGTCATTGAGTGACTTGAATGATGCGACACAATGAATACCAACAGTAATAGACCTTAAATTGATGGGGATTTTGTCCGTCTCAAAATCTCCATCGTATTCTAGCTTGAGTTTCATCTGCTTCCCTAAAGAGGCGGACCTGCCCTCTTCGCCATGGAGTCCACAATCCATCAAACTTAGACATTCAATCCTTGTTAGAGAAGATTGCAAAAGTTGAACGAAAGAACTCAAGTCGTCTCCAAAAGCGTCAATCAAAGCTGATTCGCAGAAAGAGCCCCTTGATACATTATCCGCAATTATTTTCGACATCTCACTGGCTAGACCGGTTGACATAAATTCGAAGCTAGAGATCACAAACTTTGGTGAGAAGAGTTTGTTTCTAACATTTTTCCAGACGGATAGCCATGCTTCATAAGTATTCGAACGAATGACCAAATTTTGCAGCTTTTTCACCAAGTGAGAAATTTCATTGAGCTCTGTTGATAAAAATTGGTCTTTCTGTGAGATTGACGACATAATCTTCAAATTTTCAGCCAGAGCAGATTTCAGTCCATGCAGCTTTAATTGTTTGAGAACGTTGAATGGGATTTTGCGCGGTTTAACCTGTCCGAGACCCTCGTATCCGTCGAATTCCATATCAAAATCATCACCATCGTAGTGGTCATTACTATCCTCGGACAATACTTCTTCCGCGGGGGACTGAGAGCAGTTTTCATCTTGAGGTGAGTTGTCTTCAATGAATTTAAGCGAAAGGCCTTCTAACAGAGTGTCAATCATCTCAAAAACACCCTCGCGCTGGAAAGCTGGTAGGTATTCTGCAGGGTTTCTTTCTATCAGTGTACGCGAGAAGGAAGCACAACCGACAAGAAGGGTGCCCGACTCTTTATCGGTTAAATCACTGTCTTGGAAGAGCCGCTCATTTCTGGAAAAACTTGAAGCTATTAGCGATATCACTCTTTTATTCGCCATGAAAGAAGCAGACGGGATAGACGATGAAACTGTACGCGCTAGAGCAACAAGAACATACTTTCTGATTTGAAAATCGACAGCGTTATCATAGATCTCCACCAAAATGGGGATGACTTCCGTTAGCAGCTGTTCTATGTCATGATCAAGCCCTGGCAAACGTTTCTCAAAACCGTCGTAGTTCGAAAACACAGGATGTTCCTCAACTGGAAGCAGACACATCAAGAACCGTGCGATACAGGTCAATAATGATTTGGGTGCAAACATTATCCTTTCGTGGAGGGGCGACTTTTGATTTTTTTTGTAGCCATCGATGGAGCTCAGTATCAAATTCGCAACGTTTTGAGAGCGTATCATTTGAGCGGCAAATGTTCTGGAGCACAAAACCAACTGAGTCAGGACGTCAAATGCTTTCAATCGCGTTTCAAGCTTTGTTTCCCCATTGATGGTTAGCTGCATGACTTTTTCGACCAGATCGGAGTCAAAAAGTTGGGTCAGTCGCTCTCGCTCTTTATTCAAGCTACTGCAAATTCCGTACAACCCATCAAAAACTTTTAGCAGGAGTACACTGTCCGAATAATTCATGAAGACCTGCTTCAATATAGGCATCACACTGGCAATTTCTGTAAAGTCCTGGATGCGGGCTCTAGTGCACGAGTTCACTACTATCGTCAAAGACTTTCTTTGCGCATGTAAAGTGAAAAAATCTAGGTATTGTAGGCATACTGTGAGAGTGCCTGATTCAAGTATTTCTCTTCCATGTAGTCGAGAGATGATTTCTAGGGTCTCTAAAACTTGTTCTGCCAAATCAATGTAACTGATTTCGAGCAGCTTCCCTCGTAGAGCCGCTATCACATCAAGATCTACAGCAACCTCTATAATGCTCGGATTGACCTCAAATAGATTGTACAAGCACCGACCGGCGACCATCTGTAGCTCGAGCTGATCCTGCAGTCGAGGACTCTCTAAGATTTGTATAACGTTTTTCAAAAGCTCTTCTTGAGGAATTGCACGTTCTGCTGCAATTGAGTTCATCATCAATAATTGTTCGGATATTTCACGCAAGCTTTCTTGGGCTACGAAGGGATCTTCGTGGCATGCCGCGATGTTTCCCAACAGTTGAGAAATATGTGGATTGGCTCTGTTTGGTCCAAAGATGGGTCCACTACCGGCAAACCCAAACATTTCAGGAAAAATGTCTGCAATCTCGACTCTTCTCCCTTGACGGTTTCTGAGACCAGGTAGCGAGCTAGAGCCCTGCTCGCGTGTTGACCCGTTGGATTCCATGCTCTGGGACAAAAATCCCAGCATCTGTTGAAGTGAAGCTGGAGTTCTGTGTGTTTCATTTCCAAACGCACGGTGGTTAGCCGTGCTGGAGCCTGCGTTTGAATGCCCCTCTTCATTTTCGTGGTCTTCCTCTAGCTCTTCATTCGCCTCCTCCCTTAAGTCATTAGTACGTTCTGAGGAAAGCTCCTCGTCCTCATTATTTTCATTTTCATCGTCTTCTTCTGCATAATCGTACTCTCTTGAGTCCTCAGATTCGTCGTGTTCGCTTTCGCTTATTTCACGCTGCGATGTGCCGGAGCGGATTACAAAATCCCCATCGTCATCGTAATCTCTGTTCATCAGATTTGTTTCCTGTCTATTAACAAGCTCCCCCTGATGATTCGTTCTAGTCTGGAATGCGACGCACCGCTGACTGTAGCGATTGGTAAGTAGCTAGGACTGTTGAAATTAGGTGATTGACTTTCTGATCAGGGCAGTGATATTCTTTTTTGGCCACTAACTACGGACGGAGAGAAGAAACTAATCCATATCCCGTGATGTAGCAGACAAACGGTAGTGTCAGCGAGCGTTCTGGCCCTTGCGACTGGTTGAAAGATGCTAATGTTCCTGGTCTGATGTTTTATTTTGGGTTCGGAATGCGCAATCGCTTTGAGAGGCCAACTCCGGCGTGATTTTCTTTCATTATCGAGTAAAACCAACATATGCTTGTCTTCTCATGAACATAGTTGATAGACCCAAAATTCTCAAAGAAGGCAAAAAAACACTTACAAGAGCTCTGTGCTAGGCTAGAATTTGTGGACGATTCTTTAGTCTTGATGTGGAATGACACGAATACTTGAAAACCTATGATTATCAAGTATCAAGGCATCAGTTGCGAATCATGTATTGTTGATTAGGTAGTAGGGAAGAGTTTGGAAGAGGTTCGATCAATACCGAGTGGGTATCTGGTGGCACACGCATGGTGGATTCCTGGCCCTAGATCAAAGACTGAGCTATTCTCCCATATCACTTTCACAGATGCTGTCATCTCCATGTCTGATCACGTGCTTTGCGAACTTTATTGAACAATTGTATCCACTCAAGGGGTCTCCATAATGTGTGCGGTTCTCTAAATATTTACCCAAGTTTCTGATGCCTTTTTCGTCCAAACTTCAAAGCAAAAGTTTATCCAATCGCACCTTCATGCTGAGGTAAAAAAAAAGTATTACTGTAATCTAATTTGAGTTTTCAGAGCCTAGTAATTCTTGACAGCACCGCCCTAAAGACCTAAAATATGATATACAGTTCTAGGAATTCCAATAATCGCCTCAAAACGGCATAGAAGTGGGAATGCATAATAGCTTCTTGAGGTCACGTGCCGTCCTTCTATATCACTATATTTCACGTGACACAGCAGAGCTTAGTGAATGGGATCTGGATAAATTGAAAAATTTTAGCTCATCGCATCCTGGCACAGCTCCAAGCGCTAAACATATCCTACAGTTAAGATACTTGAATCGACAACTTTGAAAAGAAGTCTTGCCGTCTCTTTCTCAGCGTACCTGTTCTCAAGACTTCACAAAAAATGCCGAGATCTAAGCGTTCCAAGTTGGTGACTTTAGCCCAAACTGACAAGAAGGGCAGAGAGAACAAAGAGCGTATTTTCGATGAGATTCGTGAGGCGCTAGATTCTTTCAGATACGTGTGGGTGCTTCATCTTGATGATGTAAGGACACCAGTGTTGCAAGAGATTCGCTCTTCGTGGACTGGTTCCAAGCTCATCATGGGTAAACGTAAGGTTTTGGAGAAGGCTTTGGGCCAGACAAGAGAACAGGAATACAAAGAAAATCTTTCTAAACTGACGAAGAGCTGTTCCGGAGTTACCGGCCTGCTATTTACAGATGAGGAACCCACTGTTGTTCAAGACTACTTCAAATCATATGTCAGAGCTGACTACTCAAGGCCCAAATCCAAGGCCCCACTTACGTTTGAGATACCGGCTGGTATCATCTACTCGCGTGGTGGCCAGGTTCCTGTTGAGGAAGACGTTGTTATGGTTCACTCGTTGGAGCCCACCTTGAGAAACAAGTTCAAGATCCCAACCAAGATCAAAGCCGGAAAGATCACGATCGAAAGCCCATATCTGGTTTGCGAAGAGGGCGAAACGCTTGATGTTCGTCAAGCCTTGATCTTGAAGCAGTTTGGAGTGGCCGCCGCCGAGTTCAAAGTGAAGGTTGCATCCTATTTTGATAACGAATCTGCTGCGGTCGAAGAAGTAGGCATCAACATGTAAAATTGCATCAACACAAATACATTGTATACTATTATCGAGCTCAAAGCAAGAGACTTTTCTACCCTAGGTGATTTCACGCCAATACTGCTCCAATCTACCTAGATCATCATCACCGTCGCCTTCCAAGCTCGAAACGAACTGAACGTTCATTTGGTAACGTTCCTTAACCTTGAAAGCCACATTGAATATGAGATTAGCCAACCTGATCTGTGCAACAGTGAGGGAGTTTTCTTCTCGTGGGCCAAGAGCTTCATCCATGCCGTATACGATCAAATTGCCAAAAGAGAGTTTTTCACTAACCTCACTTACCTCGAACTTCGTCAAGTACATATATAAATACTGCAACTTGCTCAAAAAAAGAACTTTGATCTGATCCCTGGCGTTAAGCATAGCTCGAATACTAGACATATTCCCCGTAGAGCAGTTAAGGTCATCTTCAAAATACTTCCTCGCAGTGCTATCAAGGGCAAAGATTAAAGTGCTTGGCAATTCAGCTTCTTCAAGAATCAATTGCGACAACACCCTTTCCATCAGCCAAAAATCTGGAAAGCCTCCAGTTTCATTTTCCAAAGCACACCAAAATGGTTATGCTCCTATACCTTGGTTGATACAACCGAGTTGTTCACTGTCAGATTTCGTCTCTCATTTTTGATATTATTTCAATTGTTTCTACTACAACCTTATGAGCTTAAAAAAAATTTGAAATTTGACTACCATCGGAAGTATATCAACAATATCAGGTTGGAGTGATAACATACCTGCAGATTAGACCACTGCAAAGATGCTTTTGGGTGCTCGAACAGCACAATGCTCACTCAGAGTGGGATCTGCACTCCGTGGTCAGCGTATTGCTAGATGGATTTCAACAGGAGACAAAGCAGAGGATGGAAGCAGTGATAGTGGAGTTCTTCCGCCAATCCAGGCTGAAAATGCTTCTGCAGAGCCTCACGATGAACTGTCTCTTTTACGTCAACGAGAATACAACGATCAGGTAAAAAAGCTTTTGAAATCATTCTCAAAAACTACGATCGAGGAGATCCCTGGCTTCAAAGATTCGCTTTCGAAAGAATTAGTTGGTAGAGAAAAGCAGCTTGACGAAGAGTTGACTTCATTCCTCAAACAATTCTCGGTATACAATAAGGTAATCGAGCCCAAACATGAGCTCGATGCCACTCATAAACTGTCAAGTCAGTCCCGCACCAAGTCGTTTCCCTTTTTGGTACCTTCTGCAAAGGACAAGCCGTACTCTAAACAAGAACTTTTTCTGCGTCAGATGAAGCACGCTGAAAGAACTGCTAAGTTAGGAGCCTCGCTAGACGACGTTTATTTTCCACATCGCGATATTTTTACTCCTCCCACTTCCGATCAGCTTTCGATTAACAAGCTCCTATCAGCTGGAGTACACCTGGGTCAATCTACGTCTCTGTGGAGATCAAGCACACAACCGTTCATTTATGGTGAGTACAAAGGTATACACATCATTGACCTGAACAAAACGCTATCCTACTTGAAGAGGGCGGCAGCGGTAGTCCAGGGTGTTGCCGAAAGAGGCGGTACAATTTTATTTCTGGGCACCAGAGAGGGTCAAAAAAGAGCGCTTCAAGAGGCGGCAAGAAGAACTCATGGATTTTACGTATCTACCAGATGGATTCCAGGTACACTAACAAACCCTACCGAAATCTCCAGTGTATGGGAAAGGCATGAAGTAGACTTTGCGGATCAGCCTACTAACAGACCATTGAATGCGGATGAAGAAGCCGGGATTGTGAAACCCGATTTGTTGATCATTTTGAATCCAACTGAGAACCGAAACGCTCTGAATGAGGCCATGCAAGCCAGAATACCGACAATTGGAATCATTGACACGGATTCGGAACCATCACTAGTAACATATCCAATCCCAGGTAATGATGACTCATTACGGTCAGTCAACTTGATTTTGAGCGTTTTGGCCAAGGCGGGTCAGATAGGGTTGCAATCACGACTCGCTAAGGTGGCTTCTCAGTAGCCCTGAGTTAAAGCATGTAAATAATATCTAGACACAAGTGTACAAAAATTGATGCGCTTATCTTGAGTTGTTCCGTTTATTTGATGCTTACTGATGCATTAAAATTGTAAATGTGTGTCAATGTAAATGTAGCTGTGATTGTGCGGCGACTTGTTGGCTCATGCCAACAGATTAATTGTTTGAAGGACATCAGAGTTCCTTTTTGGTGTCCATTTTGGAAGACTCGTAAGTTTCACTCACAGGACTCTCTGGTTCATCTTCCGATTCGCTATCGCTCCTGTCATCTTTTTGGATACCTTTAAATAGCAAACGGTATAAGATCCGCAAAATTAAGAAGAGCCAATACAGGTTCACCAATTGGAGAGCGGAAATCAAAACAAAGACAATAGGTAAGGAAATCCAGCACTTGTATTGTTGGGTCGCGAAGTTCAGGGTGTAGTTTCCCACCGTACGAAATTCAGTAAGAAGAGACCAAAGTATTTTGATGTTGACATAATGCCTCAAATAAGTCCAGCTCACCACGAAGAACACGAAAAATGGAGGCGTGAGAACAGAATCCATGTAATTGAGAGTCTTTGATAAGGATAGGAAAAAATCAGAAACATCCATGGTGATATAGACTGCAAGTCCCATTTTCGTGAAATGGAAAACATAGGATAGCCAAATCAATGACAGAGTAACGATATGGTGGAAGATCAGCTCCTTAAAATCTTTCCTTGGCTTTTCGAGCAAAAGAGCTAATACGCATGCCTGTTGTGTCCAGAAAGCAGCCTGGCCGAGATAAAAAACCTTATACAGGAAGGGATTGGCAAAATCTGGGTACGTTGCGTACATTGGCGCAGTTGCGAATAACCAGAGATCCGAATGGTACATGATATACAGACCAAACGGCCCCGAGATCCCGTAATAGATAATCGAGTAAGTCTGTTCCATGACACGCTTGATTTTTTGTTTGCCAGTGATGCCCATGCGCTTTGCAAGCGGACGCAAAGCAGCCTCCATCAAGAACTCGCGAAGGAAAGTGAAAAATATCATGTAGAAGAACACAAAGTACAGATCACGAATTCCTTTGCCATACATATCGGAGTCACCCACTTGGTACGAGACGGCTACAAATGCATGCAAAGGATTGGACTCTGTGCGATTGCCCGATGTGAAATAAGCTCCATATACCACGACCAAGATAAGCAGAGGTGTGAGCCATGTGTTTCTGTAGCTCATTTCGCGGTATGTCAGCCAAAACTTGCGCAATAAATCAGCATCGCCTTTGGAAGTTTCAGAAAGTGCGCGCATGCGAGCTTTAGCGGCTGTTTTTGATTGTTCGCTTTCCCTCATCGTTGACAGTCCGGGAACTTTGGTATCACCAAGGTTTATGGCTCCAACAGAGGAGGTGCGTCTTGGCCGCACGGGCGGCATCAGATTTCTGGACGACATGGCAGGCTAGCGGGCAATTGATGCGCTCCAACACTGTGTTTTTCGTGGTTTGGTTTGTTGAACTTAAGGAAAGAAACTAAACATCAAGCTGAAATATTTATATTATGCATTGTCTGATGATCTCCTGCCGGGCCAAAGCATTTTAAACGTGTGAAATATACTCGACGAAAGACGTTGAAATTTCACGTCGAGCTCCACGAGACTACGATTAATGGGTTAATTCATACTATCCTGAAGTTTCACTCGTCGTCCTTTGCAAGCATTGTTGCTATAACTTTGTCTTATTTCGACAACGTCGAATTCTTTGATTTTCTCGGATCAGGCCTATGTTTAGCCAATGGTCGATACATCGATTTCCCAGACCTTACACTTCAACAGATTGCCATATTAATTGCATGGTACGTTACTCATGGTACGGAGTAGCCAATTGATCTCTCTTTTCTCATAACGTCTGGCAGAGAAGTGCGAGCTGCAACAATTCGTGAAATTTCAGATATCTCAGTCATAACTTCATTTTCATTTGCGGAGCTTATCTCAACACTAAATGCTCTTCATTCCTTGATTACCTTGAAGCACACTTCACTGCTCTAAATCACAAGTGACTACTATTGAATCTGCTAGTTCGTCAACGATCTCTGAACAAAGACAGGAACCTCCAAAGAACTGTCGATCTAAAGAATAAAATTAGGAAGCGACTCACTGGCCGAAACCGCGGTCTACAGGAGTCAGAACTTCGAGGATGTTCACTATAGCTTAAAGACTCATGACAGATATTTACAAAGTGATCAAAAACCGTTAATTGAAGGCATGTGACCTTTTGTCATCTCAGACGTAGATGGTAATACTACACTCATTATAAAGGTTCCAGTCCAGAAGCGACACCCTCTAGACACGCACCCTCTCGCCACATTCCTGGCAGAGCCTACAAATCAAGAGGTTATGGTCTCCACAAATGTGCTACGCACCGCAATTCTAAAGGCCACTGATGGAAAGCTGCGTGCCGACAATTGGCAATATATTCTTGAAGTGTGCGATCTCGTTAAAGAAGACCCGGAAGATGGTGGACGTGCAGCAGTTGAGATTGTGCAGGAGCGACTAAAAGTAACGGACGCCAATGTTGTATTGCGCACCTTGTCACTTGTGGTGTCGCTGGCCGAAAACTGCGGCTCACGGCTTCAGCAGGCCATCAGTTCGAAGGTCTTTACCAAGGAGCTTTTTAATTTGATTACCAGCAGTAATGTGCACTGGGAGGTAAAGAAAGAAGTAGCGAAAACAATTGCACAGCTAAGTGATTCATTCCAACGTGATCCATCACTGCGAGGAATGCAAGACCTGTATTCGAAGGTCGAGGCCCAAACACCTACTTTACTGCAAGAAAACGGCGTACCACGTAAAACGGAGATGGCTGACAATACAAAACGTGACGAGGAAAAAGAGCTTGAAGAAGCGCTCAGGCTGTCAACACTGGAGTACGAGAAAGCTTCGAAGAGTCCGAATGGATTGCAGCAGAATACTCCAGATGCTGTTCGCCCTGTGTCCCCGAACAACGGGCATATTTCTTCTACGACTGGTGTTAGGAAAGTAAGGGCACTGCACAATTTAACGGGTAGAGATACTGAAGAGCTATCATTTAGAAAGGGTGACACAATCGCTGTTATTGAGCAAGTTTATCGCGATTGGTGGAGAGGCTCTTTACGAGGACGGATCGGTATTTTTCCGCTCAATTATGTGACACCTGTTGTTGAAAAGACTCCGCAAGAAGTGGATCAAGCGCGGGCAGAAGAGGGGTACGTGCTCAATGCTGTTTCCGATGTAGACCGACTCCACCTTTTACTGAAAGACTCGGGGCAGAATGTTCAGATTATGCAAGATCAACAAGTAACTGACCTGTACAGTTCAGTTACACCTCTGCGGCCTCAGGTCACCAAGATGCTGGGGTCCGTCGCGCAGAAAAAGGAGGAATATTCTTCTCTACGCAAGGTTTTGGCAGATGCTGAGTCTTCTTACAATCAGCTGCTCAGCCGCGCCAGTCAAGCTTACACAAGCCCGTCTGCACAAAACCTTCAGCCAGAATACTCTCGAGCACCACAGCAGTATGAGAATAGCCAAACGGTAGCAACTAACAGGTACGTGCATTCTCAACCCTTTTTGACCGGCGAAGCTCCGCAACCACCACGTCAAAACTACCCGGTGTCTTCACAGTATCAACAGTATCAGGCCTCACATCAACCTCGCCTGCCTCAGCAACCCCAACAACAACATCAGCAGCAGCAGAATAGATATCAATACAGTCATGGACCTTCCGGACCGCCTTCTCATCCTCATCCAAATACACAGCATGCCTTTGGGCAACAAGTAAGGGAGCACAACAGCGGGTCTAATCGTTCATATAATGATCCAGCACTATGAACTTTCCAAGCTGCATATCAACTTGAGAAGAAATTCTTTCTTAAACTTATCAAGGCCATATTTCGGAATGCCAGGTATCAGCCAGAACGCCAACATTGAAAAGCTCTTTATATATGATATCCTTGTAATCGCTGCCTTTGAATATGTCTGTCTATATGCGGGTTTTCATGAGATCATACGAATTCAGAAAATTGATTCACTTTATTCCCCTTTTATGTTCAAAACTACGCTCGAAACCACGGTGAATCCTCAAGCCATAGAAAGGTACTGGGACAATGGCATCCGAATTCAGCACAATAATTCGTTCGCTCATCGCAAGCACACCTTCCGGCGAGATCAAGGATGTTTACAAAGATTTAGTGACAATAACAGGTGAGAATTCGGGAGACACTATTTTGGACGCCATAGCTCAGTACAACGTCGCAAACTTCATTCCTGTTCGAGTTGGCGATAAATCTGTAATAATCTCAAATTACAACAAAGAAGGTTCCAAGTTTTTTGATCCTGCGACCTCCCAGTTATTTTCAGTTGATCATCTCGAGCGCAGAGCGTTCGATGTAGGGCCAAGTGAAAAGAAGCTAGATAGCACTTCTGAGTCCATTTACAAGGATTTGAGAAATTACACTTCAAATACATTCCCTGGTGATGTTTCATACGCTCTGTACCCCAAGGGGGATTCTTCTAGAGAGATTGTGATAGCGCTGGTCAGTACGAAGTATAGTCCCGGAAATTTCTGGAATGGCCATTGGAGGTCGGTCTATCACTATAACACTGAAACTAGTCAGCTAAAGGGAACGATAGATATTGATGTGCATTACTATGAAGACGGAAACGTGAGTTTTGTATGTACCAAGGACGTTGAGAACGAATCAGCGCACGATGTAGTCCTTGCCATCAAAACGCTAGAGGGCAAACTGGAAGAAGAATTGCGCGCCTCCTTCAACAATCTGAACGAGAAAGAATTCAAGTTGTTAAGAAGAAGATTGCCTGTGACTCGGTCTCGGATTAACTGGGGCAAAGGTATAGGGAGCTACAGGCTTGGCAAAGACTCCGCTGAAAATCAATTTAGGTGAAGTCAAGTGCGTGCTCTTCCAGGGCTGACCAGTCCACTATCGAATGCATTATAACCGGCGTTGAATGGCTTCTGTCTGACTAGAAAACCTTGAATAGAAAGTATACAATGAAAAATATCAAGAGCGAGAGGCCCACCATCCTCCAAATGTTGTTGCCGGCTTTCATAGATCTGGTAAGTCTTGATGATGAGTTTTTGACCTTCAGCAGCATTGAGTCAAACTGGTTCTGCATCTGATCCATAACAGACGTGTCCGAACGAGCTTCATTCCCGATCTCAGCGTTGACGTTTCTGAATGTTGAAAGTTTCGATGCCAATTCGTCCAGCCTTTGGTTATTCTGTGATGAATCGTTAGTTACAACTGATAGATAGATTGCGCTTTAGAGCGTTCTTCGTCAACATACACTATTTTCCACCTGCCCATAGCGAGATGTCGACATGATGCAAATGGGGGGTTGCTATTAGACGTGCAGAGGCTGGGAGGATCGATAATCTGTTAACTGCTACAAAAGGTGTCTGTCATAACAGCCAATGCTGTAATTATAAGATCTTCCGTACGTCGCTATGTCATCACCATAACATTGCTGACATTGCGCACCAAGATACGGCGGTGAGAGATGAAGCATACAAGACCGAAATGGTCCTTCTACTCAAATGATTTAATAAAGCTGTGGTCAGAGTAGATCTTGGTGTTGTAAGTTTATGAATTTTCACTGTTAAATCAACTTAGGCGAACTCTTTTCATCACTTGACAGCTTTTTCAAGAAAGGTTTGTTTACAGGCAAGAGCCAACCTACGTTTTGAAGTCCCCACAACTCAGTGAGACGCTACCACACACATGTGTCAACAATGGGTGATTTCAACTGAAACCACGATAGTCTTCTGCGGCCTGCCATGCCAGTTTTGGCTTTAGTCACTCGTCAGATACTAAATTTGATCGCATGACGCTGGCCTCCCTTAATGAAGCTAGGCATGCCTCAGGATGACCTGCTCTCAATCGCAAATTATATCATCATCTTAGACACTCGGCTATATCTTGTACGCCAACTCAAACGCGCTTCACAAGAAGTAAAAGACTATGCCACTATTGCCAATGCGTAGAAGCGACGACACCTTCAATGCAACTTGATCATTGAATATCTAAGCATTGCGAGTTTTCTAGTTTGGTACAGCAGGGAATAGCTCATCGCATCTTTGCCTTCTACTTATACAGACCTCTATTTTTGAGAGCTCTCAAGACTTTTTCAACTCGATTTCGAATGTGACTGCTAACCCATACACCACATAGTAACAAGTACATATTTTCGTTAATTAATTAACGTCAGTGGTTTTTATGTATAATTTCAAAATTTTCTGAAAAAGTTGGCCGATTGCGACCCACGCAAAATATTACGACCCACGCACGAGGTGAGATAGCTCACCGACTCGCATGGAAGATTGTCCAGCGTGAGCTACCAGTAGGTAGTGGAATTCTGGATTAGTGAATTCTAGTACGGGTTTGACAACTAGACGTTAAAGAATCCGATCTTCGCTTCAACTCGGTTTTCCTAATTTCGATAGAAGAGCAAGCTCAATAATGTCGTCCGAATCTACTGTTAAGAACTCTCAATGGAGATTGGTTGAAGTCGGCCGTGTCGTGTTGGTCAAGAAGGGCCCATCCGCCGGTAAGCTCGCCGCTATTGTCGAAATCATCGACCAGAGCAGAGTATGTTTTATATGAGAAAAGAAGGGTTTGAGAATATAGACGTGTGGAAACCTGTCAAGGCTCTGGTGCTTCTAAAGGGATATCCATTGGAGCCGTCAGATCGTGGCTGGACATGATCCAACATCTTGAACGAGAGGAGAGTTCAGCTCTCAGAAGGCACAATTCTATTTTGTTCTTATTCTGTCCCGCAGATTGCATAATGTTCTGTTTTACTAACTTTTAAATTACAGGTTTTGATCGACGGTCCAGAAACTGGCGTTCCTCGTCAGTCCGCTAACTTGGGCCACGTTGTCCTAACCCCATTGACCTTTGCTTTGCCAAGAGGCTCCAGAACCGCCATCGTCGCCAAGAAGTGGGCTTCCGCTGGTGTTGCCGAGAAGTGGGCTGCCTCCTCGTGGGCCAAGAAGATTGCTCAACGTGAGAGACGTGCTGCTTTGAGCGACTTCGAGAGATTCCAGGTCATGGTGTTGAAGAAGCAAAAGAGATACGCTGTCAAGAAGGCCGTCGCCAAGGCTTAAGTGTGTCTGGACGTTATTTCAATCCAACATCAATCCAAAAAAGCAACAACTTTTCATCTGAAATCTTTTCTTCCCGGGGCATGAAATATATATTATTTCAGTTAACATAATGTATATCTGACAACCTTTATACTGAGTTATTGGTATGCAACTCAACTGAAATGCCATGTTGCGTTAATGCGTCAGGCAATTCTCTTGGGAAACATTTGACACGCCAGCCACTTATGACTAGTGTCCTTGTCTTTCTAGTATGAAATAAAGAGCTATTCCTACATTAATTATGTAACATCTAGCATATCAGGTCTAACTACTGCCACAATCAGAAATGAGTCGCCCTCCGTAAGGTCATTCTCTTTTTCTCCGTGATCTGCTAAATGAAGGTGTTTTAGCACTCCTAACTGGTGCCGCTCGGAGTACGGAATCACATAAACGTGCCGTACGTACTGCCGTTTGGCTTTGAGTGCACCGTAGCGCTGCCTACTAGACAAAAACTCGTAAAACGCTTCAGATTGTTGAGAGTCCTGATAATTAGTGAGGGGCCTCAGGGCGTATGCAAGAAAAGTTCTTGTGGTGGCCATTTGTTCAATGTAGCCCTCTGCGTCTTCATCTTTCAATCTGCCTTCCACTACGAATTTCCCGTCTCCAATGGCGTCCCGACGTAATGTGTTGCTGATGTCGTGCGAAGAAGCTAAAAAACGAATATTGCCCCTAAACTTTGTGCGGGTTTCCTTGTAATCCAAACTACAAGCCCAGTACTCCTCCGCTAATCGAGCTCTTGTTGACGTTACGTTTTCTTCTGAACCCTTGCCGTCGTGGTTCGAGCCCATGGAATTTGCATAATCAGAGTGGTGTGAACTATCATTATCTGAGTTTTCTTTGAGCTTCGTGGCCACGATATCTCTGTTGAAAATAATGTCTTCAGGTTCGTAAGCATTTGGATCTTCTATAAGCTCATCTCCTTTATGGGTTTTGTGGTATTTGGGTCTGTTGGGCTGCTCCAAGACAAGATTGTCGAGGGCTTCATTGTCTACCTTCTCTCTGAAATGCCGAAGATCCGGGTTAATAAGTTCGTTTACAGACATCTTTACAAGTTTGTTAAACGGAAGCTTCTTGTTGATAACAAGGGTCTTCATGTCAATATTCTTCTGATCTTTCAAGTTAGAAAAAAGAACTCTAACCTTCTCTTTGTACGCGTCATTCAATGTACCAGTATCATTATTGATACAGACCTCGTAAAGTTCCCGTTCAAGTTCACTCGAAAGGTGGCCAGACATTTCGTCTATTGAGGTGTCAGACGGCAGTTGGAAAGTCCGCGCGGCAGTCGTATCCGGAATGATATACTTAGTGAAGAGGTCTTTGAACATTTTCAAAGCACTCTCTCTCAACTTTGTTTCCTTGTCTTTGATGTCGCCGACCCTTGGCTTCGACTTTCTTTTGCGCTTAATCGGACGATGGGATACTTCTTCCTCAGTTCCTTCGGAGATATTCTCTAGCCCATCGTTGGTGTAATCCTTCTGATCGTTGTCCACTTTAGATTTTTCGTAAGACCTTTTGGATTCGTCAGCAGGATTGATGGCGAACGTCAAGTTAGTATACTTTGACGGCGAACACAGGCTGCAGTCGTAATTTTCGATGTCTTCAGCACTTTCATTCCCTGTCATGCATTTTATATGCTGCCAAGTATTGCACGTATCGCACTGGATCATATCTCCATTCGGATCGTTGTCCTCGTCGTAATTTTCGTCGGTTGTTCCACAAACAAGACATTTCACAACCTCAGGTTTGTCCTCATCGGGCTTTTCATTACTTTGCTGGACCTTTCTTGCCTTGATATACTCCAGCTCTGCCTGCCTCTGACGCTGAAGGTGTGGATTTGTTCCCTTATTACTGCGCGATGAGCGTCTAATCGTCTCGTCCATGGTGGAATCTATTCTCCGGTGGCGGCTACCTTCAAGTTTCTTGCATTAATGCTCTGTATATTCATTCGGATCTACCAGTCAATAACTTAAATTAAAGGCTATGTTATTATTGTCAATACTCTCACACGACGTAAGCAGTAGTGGATAGTTGCCGTAACTCTTGAGACAAAAGGAAAGGAATGAACTTGTTGAGAAATTTCAGGGCCCGGGCATTTATGCGAGTATACTCGGCAAGGACCTGACCTGAGTCTTTGAACGACTTGAATGACCCGCACAACGGCCCGTTTCGAAAGATCACGGAATACATTGGTAGGCCCGCATGATTATGATCGCAAATAGATAATGTTTATTCTGGCATATATGCGTGTCCACATGGTTGGATTTGACGCAAGAGCTTCTTAGACGCACTCAAATCCTGTTTTTACCACCTGCTAACATATTTCATTACGGGACTATTCTTGTGAAGAACCAGAGCACCGGAAAGGTTATTTAAATAGGGACCTTGTCACCACCTGAGTCAAGCGCCCGGTAGGTCCCCTCGAAAGTTCTGAACCTGAGCTTCGGCGCCTATCGTACTACAAGATTTATTGTTGACCATGCGGCGAGCAAATACACAGCATCTGTGGCGAAGGGTCGAAGCTAAGCTACGCTTCGGGGTACCTCAATGAGGATTTTCTCTTATTTTGGCTGCTCCTTGGGGCTAAGGGACTGAGCCAAATCAAAAAAAGTCAATCGTCAGTATGAATTACTTATTTCACCAGTTGATTTGGTGGGTTTATAACATGAATGATGCTGATTTGACTTTGCGGTGTGTTTCCTAAATAGACCAGTACTATGACAATTGAAAGCCAACTAGTAAACTAAATCTTTAGCACAGCAAATTCAAACATTCTGCATTATAATCCTTCTAGTCGAGCTCAAATTATATGTGAATTCATCGATGAAACATAAGGTTCTGTGATTTCGCTGACGACTTTTCGATCTAGCTTCGTCTGTTGTGCCAACGTCATATCATGGCGAAGAAGCTGACACCGAGCCATCAGTGTAAAGCTGATTGAGAGGCCATGATTCTGATCTGCATTTGACACTAGTCCCGGATCATCACCTCTACTCCTTAATGCAAGGGTCTCGGCATAACGCATGCCCGATCCCCGACTTTAGGAAGTGCTCTAATACAATCGAGCAGTGGAATTATATGCAGTAGTGGCAACAGGTCCAGAGCACCCACATCCTCTTAGGGCATTTTTTTAGCTACGGGCATAAGGATTTTTCCATCATACAGCCCGCTATTGGCGACATTTGATATACATCACCCATTCTGCGCTGTGGATTAGATTGGATGCCGCTAACGGGTGCCAAGTAGTAAACAACCTACCACTGATCTCACTGATAATATGTTGCGGGAGCCTTCCGTCCTAGAGCGTTCAAGCGAAACGCTCCCTTACGTTCAATTATATTCTTTCCAGTAAATCACCTGTCATGTTAAAGCCTTATCCGAATACTTGGCAACGTACCATTTCTTACCGCTGCCGTTTGAACCAGTCTCTTTGTACGGAGCATCTCACAAAAGAAGACGAGCTAACGAGCTTTTCAACTACGTACATTAACAATTCAACTCCAATAGAAAGGACGACGGCGCTCTTTCCGTCTCAAGACCTGGTGATAGAACTGGGCAGGCGTGGAATCAATAATTAAATTACATTTGCTTTGACTTCACAATCTCCTCAGCATTTGCATCGATCATAACCAAAACAAGCTAGCGGTTGACAGCGTACGGTGAGATACGCAACAAACACGAAAGAGCACAATTATGCCAAAGCTATTTCGCCGAATTTTTCTTTCGAATCGGCCAAGCGGATCCAGGGTAGCCGATTTGGAAACGAGGTGGGATCCATACGTGACGCTAAGGAAACTGCAAAAATACCAAATAACGAAAACAGACGCTTGTCATTATGGGTTTCTTGGGACCGTTCTACTTTTCGTCTTTTTCGTGAATCCAGCGCCTTGGCTTGCTAAGCTAGCTGTTTATCTCCTTTTCGCAGTGCTATTCGTGGTTCCAGTGACTTCTCAATTCTTTTTCAATGCTCTTCCAATATTCACTTGGTTGGCTCTGTATTTCACGTCGTCAAGCTTTTCGGCAGAGCAAAGACCCCCAATAACCGTCCAGGTGCTTCCAGCAATTGAAACCATTCTTTACGGAGACGACTTGAGCGATATTTTGGCCGCTTCTCTGAATAAGCCATTGGACTTTGTTGCATGGATCCCTTATGGCCTCTTTCATTTTGGCGCTCCATTTGTCGTGGCTATAATTCTATTTCTATGTGGACCTCCAACCATATTGAGAGGTTATGCTTTTGCTTTTGGGTATATGAATTTATTGGGAGTTATCTCGCAGAATTTATTTCCGGCCGCTCCACCGTGGTATAAGCTGATATATGGCCTAAGTCCTGCTAACTATTCCATGAAAGGATCTCCTGGAGGACTGGGCCGGATTGATGAGTATCTGGGAATAAATTTATACACAGACGGGTTTTCCAATTCAGCTGTCATATTCGGAGCTCTTCCGTCACTTCATTCCGGATGCGCAACTATGGAAGCGTTATTCTTTTCATATGTGTTTCCAAAATTGATGCCACTTTTCATTTTTTATGTCTGTTGGCTGTGGTGGTCCACCATGTATCTAACGCATCATTACTTTGTCGATCTAATGGCCGGCTCAGTTCTTTCTTACGTTTTCTTCCAGTACACCAAGTGTTTCCACTTGCCGCTTCCGGAGCCATCCGTGTATTCTCGGTGGTCGTACGGCGAATTGAGGAAATTCAGTGTGTGGCAAACTGACCCATTAAGCGCCAGTGCCAGCGATATTGAAAACATCATTGTTCCTGCTGTGGAAAACTCTGAAATGGAACTGAACTTTCTCGACAATAGTGAGACGCCATCAATATTTGACCATGATAGATCCGTGTCTCGTTCCTCGGCCACATCGAATATCTCTCTAGAGGCACAAGATGATCTAGTTTCGTCGTCGAGGACTAACAAGCAGAGAATAGACTGATTGAGTCAAGTAGAGAATACCGACGTGATAACAATGTTGGTGCTCTCTCCAGATTTATTCAACAGAAGTAGAAGCGAAAATAAAAACTATAATCAATACTATAAACAGGAAAATATTAGATGCTATTAAAATGTTGAAATGCCTGTAGTGTAGCAGGTTTAAAAGACATCTTTCTTTACTTTGTCCAAAATAGAACTGTACCCCGCTGCCCTTTCAATCGAGGATGCAACGTCTAATTCTTTTGTTGTATTCATCTTTACAATAGAAGATCTGATTACACGCGGATCCTTTTTCAATGTTCTTAAAATTTCAGATTGAACGGGAGCCGATGCGTCAAAAAGCATCAAAAAATGATAGCCTTGAAAATGCTGTTCCTGATCCTTTCTTGTGATCTTTGGCAAAAGCTTGTTGCCAATGGGCAAAATCCTTCTCACAACTCCTCTGTTCTGTACTATCAATTTTCCTATGGTTGTGGCAAGCTCTTTGGCTTCGGCATTCGCCGCCAGTGGATTAACTACCCGAACCACACTAACCAACTCATATAGCATAGTTTGGCGGATAACTTAGCCTCGCTTCAGGTTGTGAGTTTCAATTGTAGCCTTGAACCATCATCAAGATTTCAAAATTTTTATGCTTTTTCACCCGGGTAAAATATTAATCAAATTAAAGGTATTTTCTCCCTATAACATATAATCGATCAGATACAGTTGGCTGTCGTCCTCTTGATCCGTAACTTCACCCGGCAAAAAGATGGCGGTCCTCGATTGGGTATTCGGGAAAAGCTTGACACCACAAGAGCGTCTCAAAAGAGTATGCGGACGGTTTATTTTTCAGTGTTGTCTCAATATTTAGTACTAACCGATATTCAGAACCAAAGGGCACTAGAGAGGACACAACGCGAATTGGAAAGGGAACGGCGCAAGCTAGAAGTACAAGAAAAGAAGCTCGTCCTAGATATAAGAAAGTCCGCTAAAGATGGACAAGTTGCGGCGGCCAAAATTCAAGCGAAGGACCTTGTGCGTACCAAAAAACACATCTCTAAATTCAATAACATGAAGACTCAACTTCAAGCAATCGCACTCAGAATACAGGCTGTTAGGAGTAGCGATCAAATGGCGACGTCAATGCGAGAAGCGACTGGACTTCTGGCGTCGATGAACAGATCCATGAATCTCCCCCAGTTGCAGCGCATTTCAGCGGAGTTCGAGAAGCAAAGTGACCTCATGGATCAGCGTCAAGAGTTCATGGACGATGCCGTGGACGATGCAATGGGCGACGAACTTGAGGAAGACGAAGAAGTGGATGAAATAGTCAATAAGGTTCTCGATGAAATTGGTGTAGATTTGAACGCCAAACTAAAGGATACCCCTAAGGAAACACTGGACAGTGGCGAGGTACAAAATACGGAGAAAATCGCAGAATCATTGGGAAGTGGTGGTGGTGCAACTCTTAGCGCTGATGATGAACTACAGGCCAGACTAAATAGTCTCAAAAGATGATTTCATTTACCTATAAATTTATCTGCTTAAATTATGGAATCCTTTTTCAGGTACTCGAAGATTTGCTGAGCGCATTCTTCCACTGATTGTTTCTCTGTGTTCAAATGAATTTCAGCATTTTCTGGAGCTTCATAAGGTGCAGATATACCAGTGAAATCTTTAATAACGCCTTCTCTCGCCTTTTTGTATAGGCCTTTTGGATCTCTCTGCTCGGCAACTTCAAGAGGAACATCAACAAAGACCTCAATGAATTTTAGGTGGCCATCTCTGTGTAAGGCTCTGGCGCTATCACGATCAATGCGGTAAGGAGAGATGAAGGAGGAAATCGCTATGGTACAGGAGTCGGCAAATAGTTTGGAGACCTCGGAGATTCTGCGAATGTTTTCATTCCTATCCTTCTCTGAGAATCCTAAATCTTTGTTGAGGCCAAATCTGACATTATCTCCGTCCAATCTGTATGCAGATACTCCAACTTTAAGAAGTAGTTGCTCGAGTGCACAAGCAATTGTACTGTTCGATGTTAGTATCTATCAATTGCTCAAAACGCTTTCGGGACAATATACGAACCTTTTTCCTGAGGCGCTGAGACCAGTCAACCAAATTGTTGCACCGTTTTGCTTTCTCAATTCCGACCTTTCGGTGTATGTTAAATTAGGATGCCATGTAATGTTGGTAGCCATTTTGATAGAGTTGGTCCCTGATCTAACCGAGAAAGAGGCGAGCAACAAGAAGTGAAAGATCATAAACGACTAGCTCTCTTATATGTAGATGCTTCATCAGCGTCGCCGTCAGTATGGCCACACACCACAGTGATGAAGATCCTCACGTGAAATTGCTTTCTCTCGAGAATCGCGATCTCGTACGCCGTTAACGTGAAAGAGGCTTGACATGTAAATTCATAAACTGTACGACGGCAAAAGAATGAAAGCAGAGCCCGTCACATATCTGAAGACTTCGAGTGAAAATTCAAAGAGGTCGCAACGTAACAAGCAAAGTGAGCACTTAAAAAAGACCTTATTTTACGATTTCATGGTCATGTGCATTAATATCATGTGATGCTTTTTGTTTACTTTTATAAATTTAAAACATATAAATGTCTATTAATATTTGTATTATAAAACATTTTGATTTGTTTGTAAATTAATATTATTTCAGCACTTCCGAAGTTATTTTATTTGCTTGAGTATAGGATCTTTTTTATCGTCCCAACAGATTTTTTTACGATAATAAAAACTAGATTTTCACTAGATGTGTTCTAGAGTCTCTTACAGATGTTATTTCATACAGTACGACAGAAATATAATTCACGTAGCAATTCTATTGACTGAGACAATGAGTACTTAATTAAACTGAAGAGACGATTTCACTTGCGTTTCGTAGAATTTCAGTCATTTTCTGACATTCCTTACGGCGCTGAATAGTAATGTCATTTTCTTTGGTCAAATCCGCAATATCTTGATTTCCATAAAGCTTTTCGAGTAAAATCTTCTGGATATCATTCTTACTTCTCACGATCAACTTCAACATGACTGCTTTGGGAATCACATCTGCGACCGTGCGTTTAACAATGTTGAAATAACTTTCAATTAAAAGCTTGATGACTTCGGTTTCCATTGTTTCTCTCTCAGTCATTTGACCGGTCGCCTTCAAAACAGGGGGAGGTGATTCTAATGCAGCCAGTTTCTTTTTGTTCTTTGAAGAGAAGAACCCCCCAAAGAAGCCCGATTTATCTTCGGACTGAGTCGCAGGTTGAGGAGTAGGTTGGTTTGGTAACGGTTTACCAGTCTTAGGGTCAACAGCTACTTGTCTTGGATGAAGTTTTTCTTCAATCATCGCCATAGCTTGGGACCCCTTCAAAAGATCTGGATGAGCAGTATTGATGTAAGTTTGTTCTGCATTGATGATATCTGAGACGAAAGTATTGGTAGGTATTATTGATTCTTTCAAAAACTGGACAAAGTAGTTCGACATAGCTTCTCTTAGTCCTGGATACCTGCCGTATTTTGGTTGAGAAATTATTTGTTTAAGAATACGCACCAATTCGTCAAAAACAAGGCTCACTAGTCTCAAACTAGGTTCTTCGAACCGGTTTATTTGCTGCTTCACCAGAACCTCAAAGGCTTCGGTACCCACAAATAGAGAAGGCGCTGAACCAGAGCTATTGTACATTATGGTTCTGATGTCGGAGTCCTTAATCTGGTCAAACGGGTCCAAGGCCCGGACACCATTCTTATAGATCTCGTGGAACACGAAAGAGATACGAGCACCGCCGGAAAGTTCTTGGCTCGAAAGTTCCTTGGCTTCACCATCCAAAATCCCATTGTATTCTTTAGTGAAATCTGTGATCATGCTCAGAACTATAGAGTTTGGGGAGTCCATTGTTTCCGGGCCCAGGTTAACAAGTTCTGCTTGGTACTTCTTCAGAGTCATTTCTATTTTATTCTTAATGTCGGGCAAAGTTTGTCTGATATGATGTAGCAATATGGAGTTCAGCTTTTTCGCCAAATAAGGAGTTCCGCAATAGTGCGCTTTTGAACTGTATGATGAGTGATTCTCAAAATATTTCCTTTCATCTTCAAGAGCCAACCTGATAGTCTTTTTACCCTCAATGTCTTTTTGGCCACGATTGATGACGGGGATATAGCCATATCTCAACGGAATTACTCGTCCAGCCAATATATCTATGACATCCGTTCCTTGGTCCATCAAATCAACTTTGGTAAGAACACCGATTGTCCTTGTTCCTTCAGGGTCAACTTCCCTGGCGAGCTTCAGACCATCGCTGTTCGCCAAATCTGTATTTGCGGCATTAACGGACAAAATAATAGCGTTAGGCTTTGAAATGTACTTCAGAAGCATGTCCTTGATCTGCTTCTCAATGTCAACAGGTTGATCCCCAACTGGCACCTTTGTCAAACCCGGCAAGTCCACCAACGTCAAAGTTAGCACATGGGGAGAGTATATTCTCAGATTGATAGGAACCGAAGATATACCCGCGTTTTTGCCCGTCGTTTTGTCGGTTTCTGCGACAATCTCTTGTCTGATTTCGTCAAAGTTATAAAACTTTTTGCCCGGTACATGTAAGAACTCACCCCACTCGTTGACATTGTCTTCAGATTGCCCTTTTTTTGAATCTTCGTTTTGCAATTCCAACAAATCATCACTGGTCTCCTTCTTTCCCCTTTTGTTGATCAGTTGCAACACTAAAGGTCTCCGCGTAACAATTCCAGTACCGCGAGGCAAAAAATCCCGTCCCACGATGTTTTCCAATACAGAAGACTTTCCTGAAGATTGGGATCCGACAACTGTGATTTGGGGTAGATCGATTGGGGATTGTGATCCTCCACCCAGAGGAGCCAATGCATCCTGTAGTTTATTGATCGTTGCAATTAGAGCTTCGTCCATGACACGCTATTGTTTTCAGATATCAACGTAGCTTTTCGGTCTGGCCCACGGCTTCACTAGTAGCTATTGATGAGGTCAATGCTTCCCCCTTTCGCCACCATCGAGAGACTTAATCCGTGCTGTTTATTTAATTATTCTGGATTTTTCAAGCTTTCCTCTTTTACCCGGATCTTTAAACCTTTTCGCCTCACAGCACAAAACAAGATAGATAGATTACTTTCAAGGCGTTTAAATGGCAAACTGGTGTACCCTACAATATCGATCACCAGGTTTAGTTGATTAACGTAGCTATCTGCCAGATCTAGTTGTTCAAGGTGGCTTTCGAAAAGGTTTCAAGTTTCACAACGTTGTAAAGTATCAACTAGCTAGTCAACGGATCTTGAAGGTTTTGAATTTCGCAGAAACTTTGACTAACAGATCAGTGTCGTTGAGGGGCGAAAGCATTCCACGTTGAAGCTTTAAAAATGAGTCAGCAACGCGTATATGGTGTCACAGGTCCGATTTCAACTACTGGCCCTACCGCAGCGGAAAACCAGTTGAATGATGCACTGATACAAGAACTCAAAAGAGAGAAATCCTTTGAGTCTGAAGAGGAAACTAAGAAGCGAGTAGAGGTATTGAGGATTCTCCAGGAACTTACCGAGGCATTCATCTTCGAGGTGTCTAAAAAGCGCAACATGTCTGATGGCATGGCCAAAGATGCAGGCGGCAAAGTCTTCACATATGGTTCGTATAGATTGGGTGTTCATGGACCCGGAAGTGATATTGATGCTCTCGTCGTCATGCCCAAACATGTCACCCGGGAGGACTTTTTCACGGTATTTGATAAACTGTTGAGAACAAGACCGGAACTTGAAGAAATCGTACCCGTTCCTGATGCCTTCGTCCCCATTATTACAGTCGTTCTAAGCGGAATTCCAATTGATTTAAACTGTGCCCATTTGGATATTGCACAAGTACCTGCAAACCTCACCCTCTCAGATAAAAACCTGCTCAGAAATTTGGATGAAAAGGACCTTAGAGCCCTGAACGGAACGAGAGTGACAGATGAAATTCTTCAGTTGGTTCCAAAACCAACTTCCTTCAAAATTGCACTCCGTGCTATCAAACTATGGGCACAACGAAGAGCGGTTTATGCTAACATGTTCGGCTTTCCGGGTGGTGTGGCGTGGGCGATGCTTGTTGCAAGAATATGTCAGCTGTACCCCAATGCATGTAGTGCTGTGATATTGGGTAGGTTTTTTCACATTTTGACGAAATGGAATTGGCCGCAACCAGTCCTACTGAAGCCGATCGAGGATGGCCCTTTGCAAGTGCGCGTGTGGAACCCAAGAATATATGCACAAGACAGATCTCACAGAATGCCTGTCATCACACCTGCTTATCCATCTATGTGCGCCACCCACAACATTAGTGACTCTACCAAGAAAATCATTTTAGCGGAACTTGAAAGAGGCGCTGAGGTAACTAATGACATTTTCACGAATAAGAAAACTTGGACGGACCTGTTCAAGAAGCATGACTTCTTTTATCGCTATAAGTTCTATCTTACTGTGATGGTATCCACCACAGGATCAAGTGAACAACACTCGAAATGGAGCGGCCTCGTTGAAAGTAAGTTACGTTTACTTGTTCAAAAGTTAGAAGTTCTTAGCGGAATAAACTTGGCGCATCCTTTTACCAAGCCATTTGAGACATCCTATATTTACGATACTGATGCTCAATGCAAAGACATTATTGACAACTACGGCACGTACAAGACTCAAAACGTCTTAGAGCAATACACCGAAGTTAATGACGAAAACAAAGACAGTGATGCCGTCAAAGGCAAAAAACAAGTGCATATCACGACCATGTACATTGGGCTGGACGTTTCCGCTGACGCGAAAAAGCAAGTTGACATACACGTTCCATGCTCTGATTTCTTTAATTTATGTCGCTCATTCAGTGAGTTTGACGACACCGACATTTTCTCGCTGATGATAAAGTACGTCAAATTACATGACTTGCCCAACAATGTTTACGACAAGGATGAAGAAAGGCCACTTAAGCATAGTAAAAGGAAGAAGCAGGACAAAGAAGGAAAGAAAATAAAGCGGCCTAAATCCGGCTCTCAAAAACCGGACGAAGCTGAAGTCGCGTCTGAGGGACCTGACTCTAAAAATCTCTTGAAAGATCGAGACATTTCCCATTCACCGAATTCTCCAGCAAATCAGCCTTCTGCGATTACTGCGACCACGTCCAGTGTCAACTGAGACTAATGCATGCATATTAATTCAGTTAAGCTCACAACCGTATTTGCATTTTAAATAAGACATGGCCTTACTTGTTTGTTAAAGCTTTATATTACTCCCCTTCTTAAGCTGACCTTTAAATCTTAGGGATTTCGTCTCCGACTCATAATACGTTACTTACTTCAGTTGTTTTTTCGCATATGCATACGCTAATCTTCATAGGTTAAAGTTTCGGAATTTCAGTCTTTAAATAATAACATGGAAAAAGTTGAGGGTCCAAATTGTTATTAATTCTACTACACTATTGTTACATAGGAGCTTTGAGATTGAATTAAAGACAAAGCGATACATAAAGAGGACAACTGTCATGCCTTTAAATGTTATGAAGGGAAAGATGGCAGCTGGACCAGCCACTAATGCATCACCAGCTAACGCCTCGAGCAAACCTGTGGTAGACACTGACGATATCGACGAAAATGACGAATCGGGGCAGAGTATCTTGCTAGGGATTATTTCACAGCTCAAGCCCGGCTGTGATCTTTCAAGGATCACTTTGCCGACTTTCATTTTGGAAAAGAAGTCCATGCTTGAGAGAATCACAAACCAACTTCAATTCCCGGATATACTGTTGAGTGCCCATGAGGAAAAGGATGAGCTCGAGAGATTCGTCAAGGTAGTTAAATGGTACCTTTCCGGCTGGCATATTGCCCCGAAGGCTGTGAAGAAACCTTTAAATCCTGTGCTTGGTGAATACTTCACTTGTTATTGGGATCTCCCCAATAAGCAGCAAGCTTTTTATTTTTCCGAACAAACCAGCCACCATCCACCTAAATCTTCGTACTTTTACATGATTCCCGAGTCGAATATAAGGGTTGATGGCACGACCATACCAAAATCCAAGTTTTTGGGAAATTCCACGGCAGCAATGATGGAGGGGCTTACTGTACTTCAGTTTCTAGACAGAAAGGGCCCCAATGGTAAACCGGAAAAGTACACTTTAAGCCAGCCAAACATGTATGCGAGAGGAATTCTTTTTGGTAAAATGAGGATAGAACTCGGGGACCATATGATCATCAAGTCTGAAAAGTATAAAGTGGATATCGAATTCAAAACGAAAGGATTTATCTCTGGAACCTACGATGCTATTGAAGGCGTTGTAAAGGATCACGCAGGAAGTGAGTTTTATGAGATTACAGGTAAATGGAACGATGTCATGTACATTAAAGATCTGAAGAAGAGAAGTGCAAAGACCGTTTTGTTCGACGCTACTAAAACACAACCACTGAAACCCCAGGTGCGCCCAATTGAGGAACAGGGCGACTTCGAGTCGAGAAAACTTTGGAGTAAGGTGACGGCCGCGCTGGCGAAACAAGATCACACCACAGCTACGGATGAGAAATTCGCTATTGAGGACGAGCAGCGCCAGCTAGCGAAAAAAAGATCCGAGGAAGGCTCACAGTTCCACCCCAAGCTTTTCAGACCGGCCGAACCTGGTGATGACTTGGAATATTATATCTACAAGAATATACCATCGGACGGTACTCATGAAGATCAAATAAGGGCAATTTTAGAAATTGCTCCCGTCCTGCCAGGTCAGCAATTCACGGATAAGTTTGGTGTACCAGGGCACGAGAAACATCAAATTCAAAAACAGGTAGAAACGGCAGACTGATAGGTGAAGGATGTAAACCGATGTCGCTTGTTCTACATTTGTTAGTAATTCAGGTCCGTTTAGTTTTGTTCGCGTTTCGCAACAGTGCGATATCAACCTTCCCTATAGCAGCTTTGCGAAGCATTAAGGATTCAATTGATCTTTGGAACAACAAGTCTCGATTATTTTTATAGATCGCCATAGTGACTGACTTTCTGTCAATTTTGAAGTTTTTTTCTTCGAATGCCTCAATCTCGTCGCACCACCTTTGTAAGGGATGAACTTGTTCGTTTCTCGACACGTAGTGTGATAACCTCACGATACACCCAAACGGTGGCCATTCCCTGACCTCCCCGGTTTCGATGTAAGTCATTATTTTTGAAATGTAATGAATTGCCTTGGCGCTCAATGCCTCATTTGTCAGATTATCGCTATTCTGCTTATGATGGATATGCTTGGTAAATTCGAACCTCATATTAACAGCATTGTAATTCTGAATGAAATTGGACGCTAGCTCTGGAAGGCTTAACAAAACGTGGCCAAGAGCCCACCATGCAGAACTGTCTTTCGGATGCCTGATACTGAAACCCCATACAACTTTGAGAAGCTCTGTTTGTGCGGCTGGCGTCTCCAAATCATACACCCATCGAAAAGTATTCCAACAATAGTAATTTGAGATATGCCTTTCTGCGGACGAAGTGAACAATGAGCTAAAATCAATATCTGGATCTGGGTAAAATTCTCTCTTCAGCGCATACACTTTTCTGAAGAGAAGCCACAACGAGGATGATTTGTTGACTCGGTTGACAGATGATGTCAGCAGAAGAGAAATGGCAGATAATTCGTAACAAAACAACCGCGTACTTCCGTCAGAGCCAGTCCATTGTCCGCCAGGTTGGGTCTGGAGTCTTTTCAATAGTAGATCTTCGTGCAATTTTAAAGCTGTGCGATCTTCTGGAGTAATCAAAAGAAGACCCAAGGTTCCCAAGTATTTATCTTCGTCATTGATTAGCGCTGTTGCATAGTTAGTTCGTGCCTTTGAAACTGAAATAGCATAAGTACGTACCGTTTGAAGTATCCTGTCGTATGAGTCGCCGAGCTTCAGCGAATATTTTTAGATAAGTAGACTTGGAGCAGTAGATTTCAGAGCTGTTACCGTCGTTAATGTTAGTGAACGAGGGACTGTTTGCAGGTAAAACACCATCTGGTATTATAGTTAGCTTAGGAGTTGAAATACCCTTCCCTTCATTAGCTTGTTGGAAAAGTTCACGACAAAGTTCTACCATTTCATGTTTTGGTCTTGATATCAAATTTCCAGGAACTAGACCAAAAGATCTTACCAAGTAAAAGTTAAAATAGAATTATAGATTAACAAGATCGAAAAGAACTTACACCATAGTTGATAGTCGAAAGAACGCATTGCTCTCTGCAAATGCATAAGCGAACTTTGGCGCAAGGGCTTAGCGTGAACAAACTCGTAAGCGATAATTGAAATGAATCTTTAAAGTTGATTCTTTACAAAATTGTACACTACTTACTGGAGGATCCTTACGACCTTTTTTTATATCCTACGGAGGAAAGGACCTTGTTTTCACTGAGCATCTAAGAATTGCTCGCAATCAAACGCGGCCGTGAACCTACACAGAGTGAAGCGTCTGAAGCGCTAGTTCGTGTAAAGGGTTGCCTTTCTTGTCAGTATGCGGTGACACTTGTAGTACCCTAAGCTTGCCTAATTGAAAGGCGTTGTCCAGTAATCCATTTTTTCCGCAAGACCCTGGTGCTGCATTCGGCCTCATATTTACAAGATGTGCTCTATACGTAATGCTAGAACAAAGGAAGCTCAAACAACTCGTCTCGCACTTTTCAAAGCTTCTCTAGCATTTTGACGATCCAGACTCTCTACTTCTGACAAAATGTTCGACAGCTTTTTCCTCTGTTCTTGGGGTGCTACCTGCTTGACGACATGCACGGTTTCGGCAGTGTACGATGAGCTGTCGAGGTCAATGGCACCGGGTTCAGCATCTTTATATTTAGCGAGCTTACCACTAACGATCTCTCTTAAATAAAAATCGCGAAACTCTAGAGGTGTTTTCAATCGTGTCAATTGGTAGTCAGGCACTAAAACCCCCGTTGACGCTTGTAAAGACTTGGTGAAATGAAATTTATTGACCAGATTGGAGAAAGGCACAGCGAGAGACTCATCATCGATAGACATGGCTGTCCCACTATTCAGTGCACTAAAAGCTTGAATGATTGCCTGGTCAAGCGCTTCTGCTGTAGAGACCTTTTTAGACGAAAGCCATTTATTGAATGGAACTTGGGCAACGAGTACCTTACGCTTTGCGTGATTGACTGCAGCGGCCTCCTCTCCGACAAAAGAGTCCTCGGTAAGCTTTAGTTTACTGCTTGAGCCCTTCGTTTTGTTTTCGCCAGACTCAATATCCGCGATGACATCTTTGGTGTTTCGACTCGTCTTGTTCGACTTGCTATCTTCTTTCCGCTTAAACCACGACATAAAGTCTGACCTTCTGGCCGACACATGAAGAAATCTACCAGTACTAACGTAGCTTGAAGAGCGAAGCATTTTTGGATGTTGAAAGTCAGATCGACTGTGGAGAATCTGCGAAGAGTTCACGATTTTGATGTGTATCACGGCAGTCAAAATTTACTGACAAGATTTAGAGATGAAAGCATTACACACGAATAATGTCTCAGGCCCTCAGCGTCAAGCTAACAAAAGAACGCTCATAGCGAATCATCGTAGTTGTTGCACAAGTGGAATGGTATTTATACTGAATGCCCACAATGTATTTTTCCCATGTCATCTTGTAAATCTTGTTCTTTAATAATTGTCGCAGAGGTTAACAGCTCAGCTTCTCCTAGAGATAGCTTCTTAAACTGCTTTGTCTAATACAACTTGGAATTGATGCTGAAAGAGACAAAAATATGGATACCGTAGCGAGAAATACGTAGCTGAGGTTTTAAGAAGGATTAAGCGGTGATCTATTGTCCAGCAGTACACTTGCTCGCTCAGAGAACCTTCGAATATATAACAAGAATGATGCCGTTCGAGCCGAACGCATGATGGAAAGTAGTCTGTGATTTCCATAAACCACTAGTGGTTCGCGCAGCTGAAATATCAATGAAGAATGAGTTGACCAACAAATATGCTAGGTCCTCTATGATGGGCGGGCGTTCTCTCGAAGCGAGTTTCTTGACGATATGTCAGTATTCCCAAAAGTGATACTAACGTGACCGACTGGCGATGGGGTCGTCCGGTAGCATTTCCAAAGTACAGAAGAGTCTTAGGAAGGACGCTAGGAATAGGTGCGAAGCTGTTCAAAGACTGGAGGGAAACGGCCATAGGAGCTCAAAGAACTCGTTTAAAAGTCTGTCTTCAAATCAGACTGTTCGATGGGCGCTGTACTGAGCTGCTGTTTCGGCAGTGGAAGCTCAGAGGGAGAGCCTCTACTTCAAGACGCCCAAAAAGGTTATGGTTCATATGGTCCAGACGATGATGACCTCATGCAAAGGAAGTTAGAGGAGGAAGAGCGCAAGCTGCTGGCCCGAGAGCAAGAGCTTGCTGAAATAGTAATCAGTACAAATGACAAGCTGATAGACATATCGATGATGAGCAACAGTGGCATCGTTATTCAAAGCCACGATTTGGGGGATGCAGCCAGCGATGACAAAAACTTCAAACAAAGGACGAACAACGACAAAGAGCTCTTGAAGAGTTTGGGTCCTGGAAACCTAACAAGCGAGCAGCGTAAAGAACTAAAGACCGTATACACTGCCTTTTTCCAAAATTTAGAGAAGCAGCTGGAGCTGCATAACACGAAAGAACTTATCGTCAACCTGTAGACGACTGAAAGGCTCTTAGCCCCAGATGATCGAAGACTGTGTAATACATAAGCGCTACCGGGCTGTGAACGAAAAAAGGCTCACGATATACGTAACAATGTTCATATATAATATAAAATGGCATACACCGCTGGTAAGTTGACCGCGTCAACAGCCAGGCACCCGAAAGCCATAGGTGAACACAACCGTTGAGAGCACAGGGGCCATGGTTTCAAAAAAGAGAAAGACCCTTCAAGGAAGTGAGATAGTGGAGGAAGAAGTCGTTGAGCCGCAAAGAAAGTACACTGCTGGTAAGCAGCCCAGGCTGGAAGAGCAGCTTCCTCCTGTGGACTACCATGCTCCGCTAGACCCTGACAGCGAACTCTTTGGAGCAGATGACTGGTTTATTCCTAAGTTCAATTTGTTCATTTCATTCACATTGGATCATCTAGTCGAAACCTATAAAGAAATGTTCAAAGACTTCATCAAGCTTCCGAGTCGAAAATTCCACCCTGGTTATTTCTATAAAATTGATCAACCAATATCGATTAACGAGATCAAATCAAGAGACTACGAATTTCTCAACGGTCACCGGACATTCTTGTTAGACATCGAGTTAGTTCAGAAAAACTGTGTTTCGTACAACGATCCAGAGAGCTTGATCGCCAAAAATTCCATGCAGGTTGTAAACTACGTGAAATACGAGGTTTTGAAGGCTAAGAACGTAACGAGAAACTATTTAATCAACGCTGAAGTCAAAAAGCACCTCTTAAATGCCCTCGGTCAAGTTTTGAACGCAACGGATTTGTCGATTGCAACACTCGTTGATAAGCCAGTTGAAGGCCTGGATGATACCATGCACATTTCAGAGCCATTCGTCGATGTCATTTTGGAAGAAGAACTCCCAGAATACTATGAGGTAATTCACCGACCCATTGCCCTGAATCTGGTCAAGACTAACTTGGAAATGGACCACTACACAAAGATCTACGACTTTTACATCGACATGCTTCTAGTATTTGAAAACGCTCTAATATACAATGAACCAGAGACCCTAATGTACCAAGACGCCGAGAAGTTGCTCCGATTTTTCAGAAACTTGATGCAGAAATCTTTTTTCGTCTCCCTTAAGGATGCGAGCGAGCGTGGAGAGGTCAAGCTCGAATATGACAAGTTCGAGTACGAACAATACCTTGCCAGTGGGGGCAGTGAAGAGAATGTCGAAGGGGAGAACGAAGCACCTGATTTGGAGGATTACGATTTCAATCATTACGAGGGTCTAGGAAATGGATACAACAGGACTTTATTTCCCGAGGACTACCTACTTGGCCCCAACAAAATGAAGCCAGGTGAGTTTGCTGCGAAAAGAATTGTTTTAGAGCCCACAGAAGAACTACCTGACGTGAACAAGTTCAATATTTTTAAATCGCTTGGCATTGACATTGCGAAGAAGAGCGAAGAAGCGACACCCTATTCTTTGATTCAAGAGATGGTTGTTTCCTCATCCAGCTCATATTACAGACAGGAATCTAGGCCTACGCAGGTCACGCAACAACCTTCTTTGAGCCAGTGCTGGGTGGAGTATATTATAGAGGGCAAAAATATAACCAACAAGGAGAACATGATATCTCTGACTTTACCACCGCCTCAGACAGCTGTGACGATAATGACTCATCTTGAGCCGGGATCTCATTGCGAGTACAGCTTGTTAGTTAATAAGGAGGAAGTGAGTGCATGTCCCAGTGCATCAACCGGAGATCTACCTGCAGCACCACGGTATGAAGTTCGGCTCATTGAAGGCAACAATCGTCTCGAATTTAAATGTCAAGATTTGAAACGCGACACCACAGAGGTGGTCAAGCTATGGATCGTCGTGCTACCATGAATTACTCCGATTCATGAAATTATTCATCAGCTTGTTGAGAACTCATGAGTTTTGCTGCAGCATGCACATACACTGGAAGAGTCCTCTTGACTTGTCTCCGGTAAGACATCAACGGAAAAGGACAGGAACAAGTTCTCGACTGCACATTTTGCAAAGTTAGGCGCATGTGCTAAAAAAGTGACTGGTCGAAAGACTTGGCTGGCTGAAAGTGACAGACATTGAAAGAAAATCACCGAGCTCCTTATCATAGCCGCTTTCGCTGCCTTGATGTTTAATAAACGCCAGACATGCGCAATGAGTAACTCGAGAAACCCATGCATAAGGTACTTGTAGATGACTTGATGATCGAAAAATAAAAAGTCGGAGAGCATACCTTGTAAAGAGGTCGAAGTTTGCAGAGAAGAAAGTTGATTTTGAGACGCGGAACCAAGTAATTTCCATAAAAGATAAAATACTGTGAGATCAGACGCGTATATATGTGAAAAAGCAAACATCAGCGTGGTAACCGCTGGGTTAAGCATAAGGCAGGCCCTTTCTTTGGATTTACTCTACTTTGGCAAAGCCTTTATGATGAAGACCCGCCGGATAAAACAATTTACGTAAGTGCATGACGAACTTTGCGAGGCCATTGATGATGTGGTGCATTTGTAGCATCTGGACCGACACCTAATAGTCAACAATACAGAAGAGTTACTCGAGATATACGAAGAAGATAATATTTCTTGAGCGACTACTTTGGTGATGCCTATATTCAGCGGTTGAAAAACAAACCCTTGGAATGCGCCACTCAATTCCTTCTTGTGTGTATGTAAGATAAAGGAGTTTTTTGCGATGAAGGACGAACAGCAATGGAATAATACACTCAGCGGCAACTTTCCCAGGAGATCGGATCTGAATTCAAAAGAATGCTCAGAGCTCGGGGCAATAATTTTCGCTACAGTTGCGGGTATCACAGTGGTGGAAAGTTTCAACTCAGAGTAACTGACGGTGACTTCCGCAAACTAAGTGGGTACGGTGAGCTCAATTTCGATCCCAATGCCAAGGCATTGAAAACACCTTCTAAGATTGGCTCGTACTATCTTGATGCTTTCGAGTGTTTTTTCATCTTCGTCGCTGATTATTTCTGTCATCAGCATCAAGTTTTTGAATTTCAGCTTTACTCGCCTCGGCATTGTTTTTCAGTCTGTAAAGCCTTTACAAAGTGTAGTCCACTTGTTCAACACCCGTGAATGAAAAGGAATCTCTCTTATCCCCCATATTGACCACGAGTAGTCTAGGAAGCGCTTTGTCCAGTAAATATCCGCATTTGGTTTTTAGTTGTGCTGCCGTCTTCAAATTTCAGTGTGATCAGATAAACATACCAAAAATAAGTTCATTCGAAGGATGTAAGACTCCTTCGTTTTAGCTTTCTTGATGCCGGGATTTTTAGGCTTTCAAAGCAATAAAATGTACCAATATTGTAACAGAATCTGAGCAAGTAGGTACATTGCGTTACCCGTCCACCTAAACCTATGCCCCTATCCATCATCCATCGCTTTGGAGCATCTCTCACTGAACAGCTCTTTGATGAATTCATGTACCTCTTCTACCTTGTGCATGCTTGGGAAATTTTATTGCAGCTAAATCTTCATTTACGATCGCAAAATGAAAGTGGTCTAAAGAAGACTGGTTTTGATCGACGGTAGTCTGATTCGTAGCACTACAGAATTTTTAAGAAGCGTTTAATGTCCGCTTTCTTCTTGATTATTGGATTCTGTTGAGTTGGCTTGCACGCCTTCACCAGAGGGCAATTTAATAGACGAAACGTGAGATTGAAGTGGATAAGCTAAATTGTTCTCATCCTGACCGTCCACTGATTCTATTGCTCCCTTATTCGCCAGTCGGCACAGACTGCAAATTCAATTTAAACTCGTCGCTTTGTTTACTTCAACGCATTATGGTGATGCCATTTCAAAGTTCACCTTATTGATCACGTGTGACGCTCATGACTATTGACTTGATCTGAATTTCGGAAAACCCTATTGCATAAAGGTAGAACAAGCCTGCGCGAACAGCTGAGATAGTTTGAGCTTGTTTCCCAGCAGTAGTCCTATATTTATTTTATAAAGTTGAAGAAAAGAACGATGATGAAGTCGTTCCATCAGCATCAGCCTAAAGTTGTTAATAAGTACTCGCATGATTTACGTATGATGTGATCTTTTGACAAGATATAATCGATTTTACGCGTTTTTCAATTAAGTTTAACAAGAAAGGTGATGGTGACGTACAAGCCTGTCATGGCTCAGTACTATGAATAATACATCAATTGTGCTTTGAATATTATGATTAAGGAACTAGTAAGGTACGTGGCACATGATAGGTAACATGTAAAATTGATCCGTCAGCTGATCATGGACCAATGAGGGCATATAAATTCTCGTTTTTAATGACATATAGGTCTAATTTCAAAATGATAGGATCGAAATTTTTGACAGGCTTAAGGACTGGGATACGTTCAAGTACTGTTTTTCCGTCACAAGCTAGATCGATCCACCAACACGCAATGGTATCAGTATGTTCGCATGCCATCGAGCAATTCTTGGAGACCGGTACTCCTTTTTGAGCGTTACCCTGAAACTTTAAGGCTATCTTACTAACATTGGTACCATTATGTCTCAAAACTAGCCGCTAAAACAGCTCCACACTTCGGTAGGTTGAACCTCTCCAATATTATTGCCTACACGCCAAACCTAATGTTTTGGAGCGGAGCCTCGTGGGCAGGTCTTTTTGCTTTCACTGAAGGATGGCCCTTGTTTCAAGACACTTTCTACAAGAAGTTGCCACTCTTCGGCTCGCACTGGGTGAAAACAATCGATCCTGAGGACAGCCCACAGTAATGGGGATAACGAAATACAGAGTGGGTCAACCGAGCCCTTCAACTTCTTCTCACTCATGACATTCAAGGTCTAATGAAAACAATATTCTACAATTTCAACAAAATGGACATATCTTAGATATTTATTACTCAGTTGCACACTTACGTACCATCTGAATGGAAAATCTTCATATAACTTGGTCATCACCTCATGAGCTTACGTGAATTAGAGCGAGCAATTGTCGATTCAAATCTGCTTGTATGTTTCATCAAATCATGCAGCTGATTTCATTAAAGGTTGGCTTTTCCGCCCACGAGTTTGAGTGCAGCATTATCAAGCACGACGTAACCTTGGTCTACGTCGATAGTTTGAAATATGACGATACCATTAGGTTTCTTCCACGCTTTTACTTTGAGGCGGTCGCCGGGGTACACAACGTTTGTGAAACGCACCTTGAATTCTTCAAACTGGCCAAACTTTTCGAATAAAACTTTTCCAGTAACCCCGAGAGTACACAGCCCGTGTAAAATCGGTCTAGGAAATTTTACCATTTTGGCAACATGCGGATCGATATGCAAAGGATTCAAGTCTCCGGACAAACGGTAAATGGCTGCTTGATTTTCATCCGTTGTAATGTCTGCCTGGAAATCGGGCTCACCATCACCCGCTTTGAACTGTTGTATAGCAAACTTGCTCCTAGCCTTATTGATCTGTTTCGATTTGGGAACTTTAGCGCCACGAACAAAGAAAGTGGCTTCGTTGTAAACAATTGGTTTGTTCGTTTCAATATCGAACGTTTGATAACCTCCAACAATCACAGCTGCCTTACCGCCTTTGTCTATGACTTGCATTGGTTCCCCGACTGTTTTCAAAGAGCCTTTAGTTGGTAGGGGAAACTGGTTTAATTTGAAATACTGTTCACCATGTAATAGGAACGCATAGTTGAAGTTTTCGACAAGAGTGTTCATCTTGATAGCATTGCCACTGGACATAAATGGTATTACTCCAAAAGTAGGTAGAACCTGGAAATTGGGGTCATTCTCGTAGCAGTACCTCAGCTCTTGACTAGTGCAACCTAGTCCCAAGTTGTACAAGATTGCATCTCTTTCGGTGTACTTGAAAAGTAACTTGGATGCTGCAGAATTCAAGGCTTCAGCCACGTTCTGAAGTATTGACATTGATGATTCCTGAGTAGACGATGGATGCGTACTTTGAGTGAAATCGGCTAATTTCTTCCAATTGTCACGCAAAAACTCAGGTGATGGTTCAGTACTGACAATTCCTTTACTTCTTTCCCACCTAGTTTGGCCACACCAGCCACCACCAACCTCGAACAATTGACCAGTGACAGGTTTTCCAACCTTCTTAGAGAGTTCCTCAGAAGCCAGTAGAACGAAAAATGGCGAAACCTGAGAGGGATCAAAATGGTTTCCAAGCTCCTTATCTGAGAATATTGTTTTGGTCATTGCAGTTTCAGCGTGAGGCGCAACCACGTTCACCAATATGTTGGATTTAAGGCCTTCTAAGGCTAAAGTCTTAGAGAGCCCCAATATAGCAGCCTTTGCCGCCGCATAATTTGCCTGTCCAAAATTACCATAAATTCCCGACGTAGATGTCGTGTTGATAATGAATCCTCCTTTTTGTTTCAGGAAAACTGGCCAGACAGCTTTGCATAGTCCAAAAGTTGAATATAGATGAACTTTCAAAACAACAAGCCATTCCTCATCAGACATTTTCGCAAACGACCTGTCTCTTAAGACACCAGCGTTATTAACGAGAACATCAACTCTGCCAAAATGGTCCAAAGCGGTTTGAATAATCTCCTTTGCATTTGCAACGACGTCGTGTTTGTCAGCCACGGCCGCGCCTTTACCATATTTCTCTTCAATCTCTGCAACTGCAGTAAATGGATCACGGATATCGTTCACGATAACTTTGGCGCCATATTTAGCGAAGAACAAGGCATGAGATTTTCCTAGACCAGCACCCGCGCCCGTAATAATGACCACTTTACCCCGCAATGAATTGATAGCTGTAGTGCCTTGATCATTGGCGGGGAGCTGCCGCGCCTTGGTGATCAACGCGTTGTAGTCACTCAACTGTATAGGGTGGGTGACTTTGTTAAATGGCTTGTCATGGTAATCCACAACAGACTTCCACTGGTTGAGTATAGCCTCGCTGGTAAAGGTCTTGGGATCGGGATTGAAAATCTGGCCTGATGACCGTTCCCACCTAATTTGACTGTAGTAACCTGCTGCAAGCTCAAAAATTGAGTTTGTGACTTTCGTAGACTCGTGGCTCAAGTAAAGCACCATTGGTGCTATTTTCTCCGGGGCCAGATTTTTTAAAATGTGCGGAGGAATGATTCGCTCAGTCATGCGAGAACGAGCTAGCGGCACAATACAATTCACGAAAATGTTGCTCTTGTACCCCTCTTTAGCTAAAGTTTCTGAGAAACCGACAAGGCCTAGTTTCGCCGCCGAATAATTGGCCTGTCCAAAATTGCCGTAAAGTCCGGCTGGAGAACACGTATTGACGACTCTACCGAAATTTTGCCGTTTGAAAATAGGCCAAGCAGCTTTTGTGAGCTTGTAGGCGCCATTTAGATGCACATCGACTACAGCATCAAATGCAGCGTCCTGCATCTTCGCAAAACTAGAGTCCCGCAAGATTCCTGCGTTATTCACGACAACATCCACACGTCCGAAACTATCAATCGCCGTCTTGACGATTCCTGCTGCATTGTCTGTCACTGAGTCGTAGTTGGCCGCTGCTCGAACCTTGTATTTCTCTTGAATTTCCTTGACGACAACGTCCGCTGCTCTTGAGTTGTGACCCTCTCCGCCCAAAGAGCCGCCTAAATCGTTAACAACAACATTCGCCCCTCTTTTGGCGAACTCCAGAGCATACACTCTACCTAGCCCTCCACCGGCTCCAGTGATAATCACTACCTTATCTTTGAAGCTAAGATTTTCAGTCATTGCCTCTTGGGTTTGATGACGGAATGCAAATGAGGATCTTACGCTATTATCTGTACTTCTCGTTAAAAGTCCTTTAAAGTCTCACTTTTTAAAAAGTGACAAGCATGTTTCATCAAAAGATTCAACTTGTTGTCATTTTGGCCTGTTTATATACTTTCTCGACCTCTTTTTGTGCCATAATCATTCCGCCCTGATTTCCCCACCTTAACGGCCTGGTCATGAATATCGATCCTTACCGCGTGAGCCTGCAGAGTCCCCAATCTCCAGGTCCGATGACATAAAAAAAATGGGGGAATGTGACCACGAGCATCGAACGACAGTGGGAGGTAAAAGTGATATTGTATCTTCGGTTTAAGATCTTGGGCTATGAGCTATGGACGTTCAACGCAGTTGAAAGTCACCGGTCTTGGCCTGGTATTTAACTCCCTTGAAGGGTGTTATATTGCGTGGCATACCCGAGAGAATATTGACGGATTGGACTCTGATACCGCTAGGTAATTCGCCCTTGTTTGAGTAACTTACGATGAGCATCAAAGATTCCATTTGAGAAGGTGTGGCATGCTCTAGACAGCCACGAAGAATTGGCAAGGTACCAGTTTGGGTTTCTTTGTCAAATATCCAGTGACCAGACACGTTGTCGATGGAGTTTTCAAAATGGCCGTGAGTATTTCTAAGAACATTGAGTTTGCAAGCAGGAGCAGCGCCTTGTGTCACAGACGTGGAGAGGGCCCCAAAGGTGACAAAAATGTCGAGGTCCTCAACATGCTTAGAATGCTGTGAACTGGCGACGTTGACGCGAATTTCGAATTCATCGGCCATGGACCCTAGGCCTGTGTCATAGTGAACGGAGACCAGGCCGATATTGGATAGCACCTTGCTGCGAGTGGTAGAGGTCTCGAGGTCTATGGTATACTGCATGAGTCTGAATGTTCCATCGGGGGGCACGAAATGAAGCTCGTTCAGCTCTTGAGTATTAAGGTGGGCTTCACAGCATTCGTGGAGCGCAGGAATTCCCAAGTCGTGCCCCGCAAGATCCAGGTTCAGCGCTATTAGAGGGTCACCTGTTAGTTGAGACCGCAGATCCACAGAGCCTTCCAGCACGGCCCGTACGACGTTGAACCTATTGGCCTTTTTGTTTTTTTGTAGTACAACATGGATTCTCTCTATCATGTCGACGTAAAGCTCATTATTAGAGTGCTTGACGCCCGGGGTTCTCCATGGGACTGCCTGATGATCTGTGGATCTCACCGATATTCCGATGCCTGGGAGCATACCAGAGTTTTTTGATTGTAATGCATCACGAGTCTGGATTCGATTGCTGAGAGTTGATGCCGTAGAACTTAGAACTTTGGAAAGATCTTCTCGACTGGGAACTATTTCCTTGAGTTTGTTCAGATCGATAGTTGCAGGTTCATTGGCGTCCACCATTGAGTTCAAAAGTAGCGCAATACGATCCTGATTGTTCACTAGCTTGCTGATGGGCAGCTTTTCCTTGTCAAAGTAATTGAGAAGAGTAGACTCGAAGGTCTCCAGGAAGGTGATCGGTTCTAATGGGTTCGGCTGGCGTGTGACTAAGCACCAGTACAATAGATCGCTGGACCTTGATTTGGTTTTGTACACCTGTAGATCCTTCCCCAAATCAGCTTTGAACCAGGAGTGTCCGCTTGCATCCTCTGGAGCCACCGTTTGCATCTTAGCCCATAAAGCCTTGAAAGAAGGCGAGTCATGATTCAGCAGAAACTGGAATACCAACGCATGATTCAAATTGGTGATGTAAAATGCTAGGAACATGCCAATGCGCTGGATAGACCTCTCCTATTGGGCGGTTCTTGGTCTTCACGTTTCTTCTTGACCTGGAAGCTCATGACATGAACGACTATTGTATCTGATTTCGAATACTGCGTCACGTGGACATGTATGTTTGTCGTGGTAAAATAGGTCAGAAGCCTAGAGGAAACCTTTTGTGCGTGGAGATACACAGAATAGCAGCCATTTTACATAACATTATCCAGCAAGCCCCGGGAGTTTCCAGCGCACTCGGTTTGTGCTCACCTTCCGCATTATCACCATGTATTATATTGGCAACAACGTGATCACGCCGGGAGCATTAAAATCTAGGGTAAGTGGCAGTGAGACTGCACTACAGGCAAGTTCCGCGATACAAGCTACACAAATAGACAAATAGACAAATTACAAACGCTACTTAAAGCAACGTAACGTGTTCCACCAAAGTAATCAGCTAGCTAATTACTTTGAAAACAAAAAAATTGCGCAAGCCCGGAATCGAACCGGGGGCCCAACGATGGCAACGTTGGATTTTACCACTAAACCACTTGCGCTAATTAAAATTAGTAATCGGAATGCGGCTACTAGACTCTATTTCTGAATCAGGATAACGATATCATTTTCCAAAAGCTACAACGTCTCGAGCGTAATTGGCACCGTTGCTCATTCATGCAGGAGACGGTTGCTGTTAGTTACCCAAAGGACACGACAAGACAGCAATTGTTAGGCCTATCGATGGGCATGCATGGTGCACCTAAGAAAAATCGTCGCTAGGACCTTCCAGCTCCCTGCCTGTCGAGCTTTCAAGCCACAACAGGAAAAAAAGGGCGCCAGCAAACAAAGTAGTGCTCTACTTTCATGGAAAGCAGAAAACACATTAATAACATGTTGTTTCCGAAATTTACTGGATTAAGGGCGAGTTTTGCGCTATTTACATTCTAGACATAAGAAGCCGAATTCAATAAGTGTATATAAAATCGGTTGCCTTTCAATCGAAGAATTAGTCGATCCTTCATTGCCCTTGATGTACATGTTAAATGTGGCCAATGACCATTAGATAACGCTATTACTAACAAGGTCTCCTAATCCGTAAGTTTGGGCTTCATGGTGAAGAGTTTACACTGGTATGCTTCTGGCCAAGCTATTGATCAGGTGACTACGCTCAATTTGTAGAAGCGTATGAGAAAAAGACTACAAGCTATAAAGCTCGGCATCATATCTTCGAGACACATATTGTTACCGTACTTTTCATCGCCAAGTGATTAATCTCTTTGAAGGTAAGGGAGAAAACTCAGTCTTAACATCGTTATTCCATGGCCCATGAGTAAATGGAATTCGTACTCTATGACACAGTAAACTCTAAAATGGTTAACATGATGTTGTTCGTTTGAAGCCAACCGAGTAATGCTCATCGGTAAAACCAGAAGGGACATATGAACAATCTACAGACCAACCCGTTTGCCAACATAGGCACCCCCAGTTTTAGCCTCTCTCAGGTTCCCCAACACATTTTGGAGAACCTGACGCCTGTGCAATTGCGTATGATTCAACAGAAACATCAGCAATTGTTGGTGGAACGTCAGACGCTGATGCGGCAGCAGCAGCAGCAGCAACAACAAGAACAACAGGAACGTGAGAATCAAAAGAATCAGGAAACTCTGCGAAGGCAGCAGCAACTGCAAAAACTGCGACAACAACAACAACAACAACAACAGCAGCAGCAGCAACAACAACAACAACAACAACAACAACAACAACAACAACAACAACAACAACAACAACAACAGCAGCGGCAGCGGCAGCGGCAGCAACAACAACAACAACAACAACAACACATTCAGCAACAGCAAATGCAGCAGCAGCAATTGCAACGGCGCCAACTGCAGCAGCAACAGCAGCAACAGCAACAACAGCAACAACAGCAACATCATATTCAGCCTCAGCAGCAGCAGGACCAAAAACCACAAGGCTCACCACAGTATGCATCGACACTTTCCATGGGTACTGCACCGGGTCAACAGCTGAACCTTGCACAGAGAGCTCAGTTGCTGAAGGCAAAACAGCAGCAACTGAATGCTCCCCTAGCATCCCGACAGGCGCCAGCTTCAACTCCGCAGCAGCTCAATCTGCCCCCTCAGATTGCACAACTTCCCCCACAGGTACAGCAACGTGTACTTGCGAACCTCAAACAGCAAGCGTTAGCTAAGAATAACCCAGCAGCTGTGGCGGCCATAACAGCAGCTCAGCAACAGCTCGCTTCTCAAGTTCCTAACCAGCAGGCAGCCGCCTCTCCCGTTATGCAAAACTCACCCGCCGTATCATCCAATTCACCTATAGCCGCACCTTTACCTGCACAAACCCCACAGCTTCCACCACTGCCTGAATTTCAAACGATTTATCAGGACCCTCCAGAAGAGCCTCTTAAGTCGTTGACACATTGGTCAGACCTAGTAAAGGCAGGGAAAACTGATATGCAAGAACCAGATTCTAACCTCCTTTTATATGAACAAGTTCTGCGAAGGGATCGCGAAAATTCGGAACAACTCATAAAAGAACGAAATGGATACGAGCCTTTCAGCAAATATGGATTTAGCCACAAAGAATACTTGATGAGACTTCTGCAAGATCTTAATTACATTAAAGAACTCAAGGCGGCAAGGATGAAGTCTATCACGAACACCACACAAGGTATCGTTTCCAAAAGCATATGGGGAGATGGATACTCCGGATATGGAAACGGGTTCAGCAACACGGTAACAAACGTCTCGACTGGGGTGAATTGGTCCGATAAACGAAGACAAGCAATTTTCGACATGAAGGATATATATCAGCAGGCCATGACGGAAACCCAGGAAAAATTGGTACCGATACGACTGGAATTCGATGCAGAGCGCGACAATTTCTCGCTAAGAGATGTCTTTATCTGGAATAGAAATGATAATGTGGTTAAGGTAGAGGATTTAGTGACGGAAATGCTACAGGATTACAAGTTTATTCACAATGACCAGTTTTTTGAGACCCTTGTCCAGAATATTAAAGAGCAAATTAATGATTTCCAGGCTGATCCCTTTATAGATAACGACCGCGACTTGCTTGGAGGTGACGATCTTCGGATTCGGATACAGCTAGACATCGTGGTAGGTCAAAATCAGTTGATAGATGGGTTTGAGTGGGATATATCTAATCCCGACAATAGTCCAGAGGAGTTTGCCGAAGCCCTTAGTCAGGACCTCGAGTTGCCAGGTGAGTTTACCACTGCAATTGCCCATTCTATTCGAGAACAGGTCCATGCATACCACAAGTCACTGGCGGTGACGGGATATCAGTTTGATGGCTCAGTGGTGGAAGACGAAGATATTCGTAGCCGACTTTTACCACTTATTACGCTCGATGATGTTTTCAGGAACTCCATTGACTCGAAAGTTTACACACCTAGTCTTCTCAAAGTGTCTCTTGCAGAGCTGGAGCGATTGGACCGTGACAAAGACAGGGACACTCGTCGCAAACGCAGACAAGGCCGATTCAGCAGACGCGGAGCAGGACCTGGTTCTGCCGTCACTCAAAATGAAAATGCTCCGCCCGATCTCTCGGATATTCCAAAGACTTTTCGTATTCCGGCCCCTAGCACGACACTTCCAGGTGGTGTAGACTTGGGACCTTCCACTAACTCTTACGAAATTGAAACCAAAATTGAATACGAACCGCTGCCACCGACACCCGAGGCTGTTTCGAACGAGAACCCCTTCTGTCGTGTCGTGGATAATAACCCTGGCCAGTATCTTCTCGTGAGCATTAAAGTCCCTGAGCAGTATAAAGGTAGCGCCATGTTAGCGTCATAAATCCGGATGATTCAAATGGCGCTCGATGAATTTTGAAAGTCTAGGAAATCTGAAGCTTGAAGTGAACTGTTTCCATTCTTGTCTTCTGTCATTCTGCACATTCGTACATAGTGCTAAAGTAACTAGTAATCTTTAATTTACATGTGTGGATTCAAGTTCTCTTGTAAACGCTACCTCATCACAATTACTCAGTCACGACGAGAACCGACTCATTTGACTCGAGAAGCCACCTCAAAGCAGACGCTAAGTATGTCAAGCGGTGAATTGATGACCACTGCTGTAGGGAGGTCTTCCGACGTCAACTTGGTCGAGACTACTGAGGATTCGAATGTGGCGCAGACATCAGCAAGCACAACGGAAAGAATAAAACAAGGCCTTTCCAGCAGGCTGAAGTTCGTTGGAAGAAAATTCAATACTCTGGATCGCCTATTCAGTAAGAACAATAGGGCAGAATCTTTACAATACGGTGCCAACGCAGACGGTGTTTTCAGTAACCTGACGGCAAAACCGGATAGAACCAACAGAGGAGAGCAGGGCGAAGCCGATAAGCCCCCAAATTATGATGAGGCTGCTTTAGACATGGCACCATCTTACTACGGGGTTGATGACGATAATTTCGGCATGTACAGTAACGAAATATGTTTTGAGGGCTTACCGGTGGGCAATGCAGTAAACCTGCTGTGGAACATCATAGTCAGCGTCAGCTTTCAGTTTGTCGGCTTCCTGCTGACTTACATCCTTCATACGTCGCATGCAGCGAAACAAGGCTCAAGATTTGGGCTTGGCCTCACATTCTTAGGTTATGGTTACTCCATGATTCCTAATGATATCACTGCCAAGGTGGGGAAAACTAAGAATCTTGACAGATTGAAGCCCTCAGATCCCAATGAATATGACGATATGCATTTATACACAAACAACGCGGCGAAAGATGGGTTTCAGTCCAGTCTTAGCCATGGAGGCGAGGAGGAGAAGAGGGGTGTTCCTTTTCTGGCAATAGTGTTGTTTATGAGCGGGGCCTTTATAATGACCAAGAGCATCTACGACTACATGAAGGTTAAAAGAAAAGAAAAGCATTACCACACACAGGAACCTGTATAATGGAACCGCCAAGGAGTAAAAGGTATATACATATGGTCTATAAAAACTGGAAAATAAAAAAAAAAAAAAAACAGGATGAGTTCGCGATAAAATGTATGTTTTAAACCACTTGGATGGTCCACATTTGCTGGATTATTATTATTTGGGGTTTGATTCGTGCACCACGGCAAATTACGCGCCCAGCACGACGAGAACCTTCTCGTAAATGGTGAAAACGATACCACCGCTGAGAATGAGTCTTCCTAATCTTGGAGTGGCGCCTTTCCAGAAAGTTTTTAACCCTTCTTCCTTGAAAACGGTTGTAAAACAGTTCAAAGTCGAGGTATATTTGGAAGAATTGAGACTTTGCATTCTGGTCTTCACCGTATCAATAGGCATGGTTGTGTAGACAGTGACGATACCACTGAAAGCACCGACCACGAAAGTGAGGCCAGATGATAGTGGCTTGTCTTTGGGACTGTTGGTGTAGTCCTGAATCATCGTCTTGATTTTGTTGTAACAGCCGAGTCTGACGGCCTGGTTTGCTGCCTGTCTCATCGAAACAGGCAAAATCCCGCGGTAAAGACCTGAGAAACCTTGGTCAATGACCAACTTGGAATAGTTCCGTAGCATGCCTCTGCCATTGTTGTGATATTTGGGTTGAACACTTTGCTTGTCATCGATCAAAGCAGTCTTGATGGCTTCAAAGGGAGTCACAGCCACCACACTTTCTAAAAGTCCCGCTCCTAGCCCAGCAACGATTCCCCGAGCACCGCTGAGCTCTCCCGTGGCAGGATCTTTTAGCACGTTCCTGATGGCATCGAAACCCAAAAATCTGACACCGGCTTTTGCAGTGTTACCAACAATAAACGCAGGACATCCCACGTATAGTGTACCGATACCGTTTGTCTTGGCTGTGTTAAAAATAAGTTTTAATGGATTTCTCGATGCTGTCGTTTTGGAACGATCCACGAGCTGCAATCTGGTTTTAGCGAATTCGAAAGGGTAGGTGATAGAAGCTTCTACTGCACCGGCCAAAGATCCAGCCACTAATGAATGTAAGGGATCAACTTGTCTTTTTTGTGACATTCTTATTTTATCTTTTTTTCTTTGACTTCAATGAGACTGTTCGATGCGTTGGTTTGGTTCGTTCTGGATCGACAAATGTCAATTAGTTTATGTAAAGAACAAAGCTGTACCAAAAGCTAAGTCAAACCTAGAACAATACAATATTATTCTACGCTGATGCTCGAAAATCGAAATTGGTGCTTGGTTTACGTTTCTCAATAGCTAATAGGATACCTCTCTTTCTTGTTGTGCTTCGCTTTTATATATTCTCTTAGACCCAGCTCTGTCTGTCACTTAAAGGTGTAATTTTTTCCGGAGGAATTGTGATGAACTCTGGCTTTCCTCACACCATTCATGAACCGCTGAATGTAGTAGACCAAGCAGAACATCAGGATTAAGTTGGTGAGAGCCATGTAAATATACAGCGGGTTCTACTAAATTCGGTTCTCGGAATGGCACACATCTCAGAAGTAATTTACCTCTGCATCTTTAAATGTGACGATGCCGAACGCTCGGCGTTGAAGAACTTTGTTGAACCGATAGCTCCAAAGAATAACAACCAAAGCGGCAAGCAGTTTTGATAGAGTGTCAGAATGGATTTTAGACATTCCTGTCCACGACGTAAAGGCGAATCCCCGGTTTTGTTTGTTTTTCACTCATAGAAAATACACCAAGCTGTTTCTATCCTAGTGAAATCAAGAATATGTTTAACGTGCTGCAGAAACATTACCGAATGAAAGATGACAGTAAATGTTGTCATTTCAGAGGATCCTCCATTATTCTCGGACTTGAAGATCACTGACGAGAAATTGGATGAAATGAAAAAAAAAAGAGTTTATAAAACCTAAAATTAAATGTAAACTAGATAGATTAAATTAAAATAAAATAAAATTAAATGCGAAATAAATTAAAATAACCGCTGAACTGATCACGAGACCGATCACTGTATACGTATTATATGCTCATTTAGATGCAGCGCTAAAAATTGACACGCTGAGAGGAAATGTGGCATCTGAGAGTACTACTGGGTTCCACACGTTCCCCGTCAGAAAACGAAACGCTGTGGTTAAAAAATTTGTTAAAAAAATCTCTTCGAAACTATCGCACTTTTCCGCAGTCGTTATATTTTCACCGGTGATATCGTACAAAGTGATATTTAATGAACATACTGAAAACTGACGACACATGTCAGCCAAGAGTCTTGGTATTTGAGCTAACAGCTTTACAGCAATTTGAATTCCCATTAGATGAATCGGTTATTGCTACGCTTCGGCTCCCAGCTTCTGTCCTTTTCATTTTTGACGCCGTTATTTTTCGTATTTACCTTGCCAGACGTTCGTCTCTGGAAAAAAATGATGACGCTACCTCGAGTTTCTCTCGGCCAGCTTTGAACAACAACGAAAACCTTCAATAAAACCTGTCATAGGTCCTGAAGCACACTTTCACTTATATTGGCTGGCATACATTGCAGACGCAGGCTGAAGTATAAAGGTGGAGAGGTAGAGGTTTCAAATCTCAATGAAGCATGACGATAAAGACGGCGAAGGTCGTGGGCTACCGAACCCTACAAACATCGATAAGCGGTCTGCATACTACATCTGGCGATCAGGTTTGGCTGGTGGTGTGGCCGGAAGTTGTGCGAAAACTTTGATTGCGCCGCTAGACCGTATAAAAATTCTCTTTCAAACTTCCAATCCACACTACCTGAAATACTCAGGGTCCATGCTGGGATTGCTGCAAGCGGGCATGCACATCAAGACTTACGATGGGATCAGAGGCTTTTATCAGGGTCATTCTGCTACCTTGGTTCGGATTTTTCCCTACGCTGCCATCAAGTTTATTGCATACGAACAGATTCGGTATCTTATGATACCGTCTAAGGACTACGAGACTCCAACGCGTCGATTGGTCAGTGGTTCATTGGCAGGCCTTTGCAGCGTTTTCATGACATACCCATTGGACCTTATAAGAGTCAGATTAGCATATCTCACAGACCACAAACGCATCAAAATGCTGCCAGTGATAAAACGTATTTATTCCGAGCCGGCATCGGATACACTCACATCGAAGCACATAGTGCCGAAGTGGTTCGCCCATTGGTGCAATTTTTATCGTGGGTTTACGCCAACAGTCTTGGGTATGATACCATACGCGGGTGTATCTTTTTTCGCTCATGACTTATGCGGCGATTTTTTGAGAAGTCCACTTCTAGCTCCCTACTCTGTGCTTCGAATATCTGACGAAGAATTACAGGTGCGATCGAAATATGCCGGTAATAGACCTCTGATGACATGGGCCGAATTGACGGCTGGTGGTCTCGCAGGCATGGCTGCTCAGACCGCATCTTATCCTTTTGAGATCATCAGACGTCGTCTTCAGGTAAGTGTTGTATCCCCCACAGCGATCCACAATTTTCAAACAATACCGGAAATGTTTCGAGTCATCTACATGGAACGAGGCTGGAGAGGTTTTTTTGTGGGGTTGAGCATTGGCTACATCAAGGTTACACCGATGGTGGCCTGCAGTTTTTTCGTATACGAAAGAATGAAGTGGTATTTGGGCATCTAATTTGATATTTCATGTATTCATGAGGTGTAAGGTGGACTGAACTACGGGACACTGATTTAATTATAATTTATTCTTATTCTTATCTGAATTTAGAGTAGTACTTTTCTTCCTCAAGTCTTTTGTAGATCATGTCCAAAACTTCTTTCGAGTATACTTTGGACAGTTCTTCACCGCCATTGAGGACGCGTTCTTCGTGATTTCTTTGCTCATCCTTCGTCATGACGACAACGTTCTGCGGTGACACAGGGAGAGATGGGTCCCACTTGGACAGTGTTAATCTTGTCGAATATCCGCTTATAGGTGATCTCCCACGGAAAACTTCTTCGCAAATATAACCCACATCCTTGAGTGCAACAGGAACGCGTTGATCGGGCATACCAATACGTGTCATTTGACCTGCCAGAGATCGATATATACCATCGTAAACCTTGATTCTGTTCTTGCCTTCTATTGGCTCCATGGGATAACCTGACATCTTTGTCAGAAGCCAAGTCGCGATGGTGAGACCGAAGACGCCCGGCATGGTTCCCAAAACAGGAAGGATGCGAACGCGGAAATCTTTGATTGCGCTGAGCTCATCAACTTTGCCTCTTTGAAATTCATCTTCAGGCAACGGCAGCATAGATGCCTTGCGTGGATCTGGTTTCTCGGCGCTGAAAACAACGGTTATGCCCTTTATGATTCCCTTCTGCTTTAGACGTCTTCTCACACAGCGAGCTAGAGGATCTTCCTCTGTGGTGGTCAAGTCACCTACGTTTATTCTGGTGGGATCACTTTTTGTAGCAGCCCCCATGGACGAAATCACAGGTATATTGTTGCGGTAGACAAATTCTAGCAAATCGACTTTCGTATCAATGTTGTCGATGCAGTCAACCACGAATGTTGGTTTTTCCTGACCGTCTTCACCATAAATCAAACGGTCGGCATTGTTTTTGTTCCACAATTCATTCACGGGAATAACTTCGCACCATGGAGCGATTTCGCCTAAATGATCCTTCAAACAATTTACCTTAGAAGTTCCAACATCTTTCAAGGTTGCGCAGCTGTGTCTGTTAAGTGAGCTGAGAGAAACCTGATCAAAATCGATAACTTTGATTTTTTGAATTCCTGATCTGACCAGCATAGTGACCACCCAAGAACCCACACCACCGGCGCCCACTACGACAATGTATTGATTTTTCAACTTTTCCATCGCTTCTTCCCCTAAGAATGCATAGTTACGGGCCAGTTGCTCGCGAATAAGCTCTGGGTCATAATTAGTCTTCAAACCAGGATTGGCACCATGGTTCTTGTAAGAGCTATCTTCAATGGACTGGTTGCCGCTTGAATTATAGCTTTGGTAAAGTCTATCCACACATTTGGTACCAACTATTGCAAAGATAGCAACAGCCGCAAGAGATTTCCAGTCACGGCCAGAATACATTCTATATTCTCTAGTTGCCGCAGGTCAAGTATTCACTTGATGCTCATCTTTCAAATCTTGACCAAATTTCCGCCGAGGTAGTTTTCGGTGTAATTAAAAAATTTGACATTATGAGTCACGGGACCGTTTGACTTCAAACGTCTTCAAATTCAGCGTCCATGTCTTCATCCTCTATTTCTTCTGCTTTTGTTGTACCATTTCTGCTTGCCTCATTTTCAACCCCCTCTGCTTTTTTGTTGACCTGGGATGTATCCACGGTTCCAGCTGTATTTTCCTTAACAGCAGAGTCGTTATTTCCGCCGCTGCCATTTTCTGCGCCGTTTTCGTTTTCGCTGCTCACATCCTCAAACTCCACATCGTAGTCCATTCCGTCTTCCCCATCCTCGACAGCTTCCTCGCCCTCGTCTTCTTCGTCTTCCATGGCTTGTTTCCTGGCCAATTGCGCGTAGTAATCCGCCAAGGTTCTCTCGGCTTCTTTTTCTTCCACCTCCTTTTGGGTTAGCGGCTGTGCCGGTGCCACGAGCTCCACGTTCGTGAATGAGCCGTCACCTTCTTCAGAAAGTTGTGGATCTTGAATTTCTTCGTTTGCCTGCGGTGAGGCTGCAGGCATGGCTTCGTCGTCCTTGTCAAGCCTGCCCAAAGCAGCCTTTCCAACCGTACTCTGTTCATGCCACGCAGGCAAAGCATTTTGCTTCCTCTTTTCCTCCATTTCTCTTTCTTGGCGCTCGCTGCGGACCTGCTCATCTGTCGCGGTTGTGATATTGACATGCAAGGTGGCCTGAGACTTTGCGCCGGCCCTGATACTGCTGGCATTGTCCAGAGCAGAGTTCGTATTATCGCCAGGGGTGAACATTTTACTTTTCTTGGATCTTGGGTTCACTGTGTAAGACGCAACAGAATTGTTTTGTGGTGGGATCAATCTCGCCAACGATGTCTCAAAAGTGTTTTCCTCGATTCTTGAATCATCGATTTTTTTCAGATAATCGATAACTGGCTGTACCTGATCCATGAGTCTGTTCAGTTTCATCTGCTTTTCCTTAGATTTTTTACCAGAGTCGTCTTCTACCAAGGGTTCTTCGCACAAACTGCATAAAAACTGTGTTTTCTCATAATTCAGCAACGACACCGCCTCGAGTTGCGAATATTTCGTGTGGCAAACGGGACACATGTATCCCTGAGGAGCAGAATTTCTGTCTAGATCATCTTTTAGCCGAGACACGATTTGGTGAACCTTCCATTTGATTGCGTCTATTGCCTGTGGGTATTTGATGTAGTAATAGTATCTTTTAATGCTTCTGGTATTGAAATGAAATTCCTGCTGAGAGTGTACTGCAATCATCCGGTCTTCCAGAAGCTTAGTGAGTAGTCCACGAAGTTCTGGCCTTTTTATTCCCAACAGATGTGCCAGATCTTCTTCTGACAAAACGGAATGGAAGAGAATAGCATCTACAACTAAAACGTAAGTTCCAGTATAGAAGCCTCTGACAACGAACTTGAGAAGGTTCTTGACAATTTCATCAATGGGACGGTCCATAGTTGTCAATTGCACACTGAGGGCTCTTCAACGGGCGGATTTAGGTCTTGGTTTTCGAGTTCGATGAGAACCATTTCATATTTCTTGATCCAAATGGTACTATTCGTCAAATGTGACGTCATCGAGCTAAACGCTCTTGGATACACCAGCGACAGTGAATTTTAATCCAAGACACCGTTGGAGTTTTCTTGTTGAGTCTACTTATTTGTTTTCTGGAAGAAGTTTCGGTGTTTTATAGATTGATGCAAAATATCAGCAAACCTTCGACCAGCGTTTTCTCGGCTGGCGAGACACGCTGACGTTGATTTTGGTAAATTAAATTTTGAAGCAGGACTTGTCCGATTTTGACCAGAAAGACTCAATTTCAAACGATTGATACCAGTTGTTGTATTTCAACTGTTCGCTAAAAACGGCCACGGCGGTCCCATTCGAAGAAATTTAAAGAATTTTAGCCGAATTCTTTTCGCATTGTTATGATAGAGAGCGACATTTATAGTTTAACATGGTTGTGTGATTATTGCTGGTCCAGGTTTCAAGATGAGCACAATAAGTTGCCGGTTTCCGTTCCCCTTTAAAGTTTGTTTGCCACCATCAATGGGGGTGTTCTGATGTTGGAGAGAGAGACTGCGTTCACCTTCTGTGACCTGATTGGCAAAGGCTGGGAAGTAGGGTTGGCGAGAGTACCTAATTTGAACCCACAATTACAGTATCAGCACAAGTTGCGAATAAATCAAAAGTCTCAAATTTGGTTGTGCGACACCAGTTAGCTGGAGAAATATCTAGTCCTGCATTCTGCGCGTCTTTTACCCAAAATGATTGAAAATGGAAGCTCTAGATGCTTCACACGCCTACCAATCGCGAAATGTCACTTTTACAAGGGCACCCGCCGCTGGTGTCACGTGCCCATGCTACACGTTTGCAAAATCAACTACACTTTTCAATCAATAAAGCTTCCAGAAAATATTGCAGATACTCGAAACGCGACGAAAACACCACTCATCATCGGTCACCATTCTGTCTCGGTTGTCTTCCTTCTCAACTTTCTGGCATTATGACTTACTTGATTTAACACTAGAACGTCACATCCGTACTAAGTGACTATATCTCTAACTACTATCGCCCAACGCCTTAATCGTTTACCAAGCATTGGAGCGCATTCTCCATCAAGCTCAGCTTTCACCTTACTTTACAAAACTATATGCGTATTCCGTGTCCCTGCAAAGACAACAAGAAGGCCCACATTTCAATTCCGACGCCATCACTACAATGGATCATAGCTTTTTTGCTCAAGAGTTTCAACAAGTGTAGTGACACAAGTGCCAGAATCGGTCAGCTGGCATTTCTCGTTCTCTACTGCTGGAAAATGCCCAGGAATTCAGCTGGATTCACCAATGGATTGTCTTGTTTCCTTTGAGATTCTTTTCTTTTTCTTTTAATTTATGTGTATATTTGTTCCATCGGAAAAACCAGGAGCATTCCCGGAAAAACCTCGCAGAAAACGAGCGGCGCGTGTTAATAAATAGCTACGGCGCGGCAGATAACCTCGGGACCGCTACCCTCTGAGTGGTTTTTCCGGGACCTCATCGTCTCGGAACAAACCGGGACCAATCTCAATCATAGCTATAGAATTTAACACTGTTGAAAGAAAAGTGAATCTAAATTTGACGATATCAATATTTATCTTTGTTTAACCGATGAGCAAACTTTTAGTTCATAAATAGCCATTTGAATATTGAACCGCTTGGTATATCATCTATCTAGTCATTGAGCTGTAGCTAGAATTGTATTAATTCCGTCTGGATAGCTATTCAAAAAAATTTCTAGTCGACGATTGTACTAAACCCTGTACAGAACGTTTACTAGGTCAAATTTTGGAAATTGTGGAACAGAAAAGGCTTCAAAGTTAAAAGTCTTTTTAGGAGCATTATACTGCTATCGTTTGCAAGGTTAGCGTTTTTCTATAAGCGTTGTTCTTCCCTCATTATTGTGATTTTTTTGTTGTTTCCGCCCGGTGCAGCATAGTATATCAACCACATCGATCCATCGCCAAGATCAGCTCTTGAACCCGGAAAAAAAAAAAACCAAACCAAAGCGAAAATGATTAGTCGTACCGACTTGCTGAAACGCTCGCTGAAGTGGACGCAATCAAGCCGTTTCTACACGAGCAAATCGCCCAGACACTTGGTTTCTACCACCCGTGACACCACGTTCTCGCAGTCTGTAGACAGAGATGACCCACACACGAAATTGAAACCTGTGGGATCCAAAGCCAAGGCTATGTTGGCAGACCCTGTGCCAAGACAGACCCGTCTATTCGTCGAGGGCCCCATCGAGTGTCCCTTGGAAGGTTTCCAGCTGCTGAATTCGCCTCTATTCAACAAGGGCTCAGCATTCACCCAAGAAGAAAGAGAAGCCTTCGGTCTGGAAGCTCTGCTGCCACCTATGGTCAACACTTTGGATGAACAAGCGGAAAGAGCATACAAGCAACTTTGCTACCTTAAAACGCCGCTGGCTAAGAACGATTTCATGACCTCTATGCGTACCCAAAACAAAGTTTTGTACTTCGAGCTTGTAAGACGCCACATCCGTGAGCTAGTGCCCATCATCTATACACCAACAGAAGGAGACGCTATCGCTGCTTATTCCCACCGTTTCAGAAGACCAGAAGGTGTGTTTCTCGATATTACGGAGCCAGATTCCATAGAGCGTCGTCTCGAATCATACGGTAATAGCAAAGACGTTGACTACATTGTTGTCACCGATTCTGAAGGGATCCTAGGTATCGGTGATCAAGGTATCGGAGGTATCAGAATCTCCATCTCGAAACTGGCATTAATGACATTGTGCGCTGGTATTCATCCTGGACGTGTTCTTCCCGTGTGTCTAGACGTGGGTACTAACAACAAGAAACTTGCGCGTGACGAACTATACATGGGCAACCGTTTCGCAAGAGTTCGTGGCAAACAATATGATGATTTTGTAGACAAATTCATTAAAGCCGTCAAGAAGAGATATCCATCTGCGGTGCTTCATTTTGAAGATTTCGGTGTGACAACCGCTAGGCCTATTCTCGATCGTTACAGAAACGAAGTCCCATGCTTCAACGATGACATTCAAGGAACAGGTGCGGTGGTGATGGCCTCTTTCTTGGCGGCTCTCAAACATACTAAAAGAGATTTAGGAGACTCCAAAATTTTGGTCTACGGAGCTGGCTCTGCTGGTTTGGGTATCGCCGATCAAATCAAGAATCATATGGTCACCCATGGCTTGTCAGTTGAGGAGGCCCACTCCAAGATTTTCTTGATGGACAGACGGGGTCTGATCTTAAAGTCTATGAAAGCATTTTCTTCTCCCGCGCAATACCTGTACTCTAAACCTGATGAGGACTGGAATAATGTTAACACCTCTTCTCTACTTGAGGTCATCGGCCAGGTAAAACCTACTTTGTTGATTGGCTGTTCTACTCAGGCAGGTGCCTTCAATAAAGCTATTGTCACAGAAATGCAGAAACACAACCCACGCCCGATCATTTTCCCATTATCCAACCCAACGAGACTACATGAAGCTATTCCAGAAGATCTAATGAAATGGACTGATTTCAAAGCTTTAGTCGCTACGGGATCACCATTCCCCCCTGTCAACGGTTACCGTATATCAGAGAACAACAACTGCTTTTCTTTCCCAGGTATTGGATTGGGTGCTGTTTTATCGCGTGCCACATCCATCACCGATACGATGATCTCAGCTGCCGTTGATCAGCTTGCAAGTCTTTCACCAATGACGGAAACCGACTCCAAGCCAGGTTTGCTACCTCCTTTGGAAGTGATTAACGATACTTCTGCCAAGGTTGCCACTGCTGTTATTCTACAAGCATTCAAAGAAGGTACTGCTCGTGTTGAAGAAGAGAACGTACCGGGCAAAAATGAGAAGGTTGTGGTCCCAAGAGATTTCAACGAATGTCTAAAGTGGGTCACCAAACAGATGTGGAAACCTGAATACAGACCAATGGTTAAGGTTCAGCATGATCCTCAAGTCTTCACCCACCAATACTAATTCAAGAGAGTAATACTTACCCATTTTATAGACTATTCATCAATCAACAGAAATAATCCGAACAGTCGTTTGTATTGTCAGTCGATTTGCATAATTTTACCAAGCTATGCAGGCACCTCTTCGCCATAGGACCATAACTGATGGAGATTAAATAATGCTACGATGACGCACAAAATATTTGAGAACTGTAGATAGTAGCGGAGCCTCGACAGGGCTGTCCTATAAGGTACCAATGAGTTTTGTTTTATCAAAATTATTATTATAGTGAATACGCACTTATAAATACACTATTCAAATGTCAGTGCTGTCCAAAATCAGAAAAGGATCAAGTGAGCGAAAACGCTTTACCACCACTTATCGTAACCAAACTTTTCGCCTGTTTTCACAACGTAGTAAGTTTTATAAGCGTGGTCGTATGTTTTCTGGTGAACGGTGTTGCCCCACCAGTTCAGCTTACCTCCAGGGTATTGAACTGCGAGGAAAATAATGACCACTGCTATAGCTACACCGGCCTCGACACCAGCACCCATAACAAAATTGTATTTGCCGTACCATTTTGGCCATCTCTTTCTGATGGTGTTAAGCGCGAACGACATCGCCCAGAAAAGTGTGTAATTATATGGTGTGCTTGGAGGAATATTGCCTGGGCCAGTGAAAAAGATTGGAGTATGCACGTACTTCAAGAACTGGTTTTTCCTGAAAACCTTTTGCAGACCAAATACCACGAGAGGCAGCAATAATCCAATCAAGAAGAACCACATCAAGGGATTATAAATCCGACCTGGAGAAAATAGGTAATGAGGCAAGGACCAGATAATGGAAGCATTAAAGACAGTGCGGCCGTTCGAACAGGTGAAACCGTCGGGCTGAGTAGAGCTGCAAAGATCCTTGATATTAGATCTCATCCATTCTTGGATGCCGACGTTAACTAACCCGGAAATCAAAGCGGCGTAAATCTGGATTGCAAAGATCAACCGGGGAGGTACTTTCATGTAAAGCGCCAGCTTCAAATCTCTGCTCATGTCGAGGCCAGACCTTTGTACAATAAAACCATACAGCTTGAAAAGAACGTTAGCCTTTGGCTTTAAAGGTAACATATAACCGCAAATTAACTCGGTGATGATATTCAAACCAACATGTTGATTGGTCACAGCTTCTAAGATTCCCTGGGGAACGAAATTCACGAATGATATCAATAGCGCCACCACGAAAGCCCAGGCGGGCAAACCGGAGTCAAATCCGCAAATGGTGGCAAAGCCAAGACCCAACAAAATAACTTGAAGCACCACATACCACCATTCAGGACAATCTTTGTAGTTCTTGGTGTAAATCCTCATATGTATATCCAAACCACCATGGTTTTTGTTCTTGAGCTTGGCCCATAGATCTTTGCCATGGTAAAGACCGCAGTGAACAAAAATGGCGGTGACTGCAGCGAAGTTTAAAGCGTAAGTCAAAAGGTAAGAGAATGGGACAAAGATCGGGGAGTAGGCCTTGTATTTCTCCAGGTTTATGGTGTAGTCTGGGTTCAAAATCTTCTGAACATTGAATTTCTTTTGAGTGTTATCATATGTAGAACCGGAGATCACAGGCATGTACTTGGCATACCAGGTGTTGGTGAAGTACAATGCAGGTAAAACAATCACAAAAAAGATTACCACGGACACGCCAGTATTGGCAGAGACCCAATATGGCGTCGCGAAGACAGAGCCGGCCATTGCCTGGGAAATTTGGGTATAGTCGAAAGTGATGGGCAGTGCCCCGAGTCCACTTTCCACACCAAAAATGGCGTTTGCAATAAAGTTGTATCTCGTTTTGGGGCCCCATAAGACAACGTTGAAGTACGAAAGACCGGTAAAGAGAAAGCCGGGGACCCAGTACCAAACAAAGCTCACAACAAGCGCAATGGCGAAAAACCTGTATCTGGATACTCTCCATCCGTTAACTATGGTCTTGTCAATAACCCTGTTGTGCAAAGAATCGAATAGCGAGACGGAAATTAAAGTCTGTGGCCAGATGCAGGACGCCGGGTTTACGATCCAACGACGAGTTAGACCAGCAGCACCGTAGCCAAGCATCTGCGTGGTCCACACGAGAAGGATTTGGTATCCTGCGTTCAGTTCCATGTTGTAAAAATTAGTCTGAGCAATCAAGATATTCATTGCGTAGGCAGTACTCGAAGTCAGAGCGACGGCGATAGTGACCACCGCGTGTTCCTTTTTGGTGAAGGGACCTGGGTTCAGATTGAAAAATGGAGCGCGTGGAAAGTCATAGTGAGGCAGCAATGCAAAGGCTTTCCCAACGGGGAAGCACACCACCTGGGCGACAAGGAAGTTGATGGATAAAGTTGGATACCGAAGCGAAAAAAACTGGTTGACACCGGCAAAAACCACCACAAAGATGGTGGTGAGAAACCATGTTCTCCAGTGGTTCAGAAAAATGGTAGGGTCGTCCTCTACGCTAACCGTGGCACGTACCTCCGGGTAGGGTGAATCGGGCAACAGTTCCACATCGCCCTCCCAAAGTCCCTCCTCCTCCAATTTTTCACTAATCGATGGCGAAATTATGGCGTCATGCACTTCTGGGACCTTGTTCAATGGGCTCAGTTGACGCACAATGGCACGGCCTTGCTCCAACTCAGGATTGTCGTGGTAGGTCACGTGCGACACTCCATTTCGTAAGTGTTCTGCCAGACTGACGTCACTGCCGTCGCTGGACTCACCAGCTACATGCTGCTGGGTCCACACCGAAGACTTGGCGCCCTTTCTGTCGGTGTTTTCATTTTGTAGCTGTGATGGTGGTAGCCCCGACTCCAGTTCGGGTTTGCTAGGCCTTCTGTGATGAATGGTCATCGCTTGATTTTTGTCTTAACTACTCTGGTGCGAACAAAGCACAACCGATAGAAACCTTCTGGTTTAGTGCTTGACCACAGGGTCCAGACGATATGCTTTTAGAGTCACTTGGCTAGCAGACGAATCAATGAAGAAAAAAAATCTGGTAAACGCATCGAATATTCAATCCGCTTATAAAATGCTGATTTTCTTTCAAATTGATATTCAACAACTAGCCATTCTGAAAAATCATATCATAAGCCCTATCTAATCACGATGACACCGCTCTCTATGAGACCATTTGTTTCTCCTTAAGACCCTGAAGCCACTACTGCTTGCAGCCACATTCATTTTACGTTAGTTCCGTTGCCCATATCTCCAAGGATATTTCCGTAAGATATTCGTCGTTATCGCTTTCAGTTCCCATTTCAGGAGATGGCTTCATGTGAGGACTTGGAAAAAGACTTCGGTGCTCGAGGTAGACCCTTACGGAGAAACTTTCGAGGGGCCACGGCATTTTCTGCGCCAAGAAATAAATCCGAGCTTTTTTCTTTTTTGTTCTGACTCGCGCATGATTACGGCTTCGTCTAAGCAGACGCGGATCAACTCTTAAAAAGCTTCGGTGACTCTCGTGGTGGATCCCTTATGGGCCGGAGCGGTGTTAAAACTGCGATTGAATGGGCGGGTCAAAGACGGGGCCAACAATGATAACGCAGTGTTGATATGGTGGTGGGCTTGCGGTCTTTTGGAGAGATTCGCGACAGTGGGGGAGAATTCTTATCCGTGTGTAGAGTTGGGATAGACACGACCGGCAGGGTGTGTGGGTGTCTCTGGAAATACAGCGGTTCGAACCCTGAGAGGGGTACTATTTTTTATCTCTTTCCGTACCAGGTGTGGCTTTCGGTTCGAACCCTAAGAGTGATGTTGTGGCTTGGTTCCTTATGTTTAGGTGTATGGGTGTGGTGTATTCGGCGGTTCGAACCCCGAGAGAGGTATTGTTTTGTTTTATCCTAGCCGTCGCCCCGTTTCTACATAGCAAACGCATTTTCGCCGTTCTTCAGTGCCAGCACGTTGCGAACGTCAGTAGTGAAACGTAGGGCCTCCAAAAACGGTAGCAAGTTCAGGAGATCGGTATCGGTGGGATCGCTGATCCACCCTTCAACCTGGATCGCATTGTCCACGTGCATGGCGTAACTCACTGGGCTGTTGTCTATGATGCACACATCGCTGAGAGGTGCGTGTGTTGAGGCCAACAGCGACAGGTCCTTGATGTAGCCGATGCCATCGCGTAGTGTGCAGTCCTGGCGGTACAAACGTCGCGAAAAGCGACCTGTGAATGAGCCCTCTAGCCAATCAATCACAGGGTCCGCGTACTCTCGCATAGAAGCCGTGAATATCACCAAATCGTACCAATCGCTGACTTTGGTCAGAAAAAAGTCACAGTACGGTCTTTTATGCACGTAATATAAGGTAGAGATCCCACTCACGGCAAATTTCACCTCAACCATGTGGCCCTGTGAAGAGTTACTAGATGACGTTCCTCGCGACATCGAGTGGATTAGTGTCTCATCCAGATCCAGTACAAGTGTGCGACGTTTCTGACGGTTGAGCATGGATTGTGGGATCAGTTTTTTCGGGAATAGAAAGCGACCCATACGTCGGGATCCCAGGGCGACACCCGTATTGCCGCTCGCCCCGGACCTGACGCTACCCGCTTTGGCAGAGGCCTTGTTGCTTTTTGTGTGCGGGATAGGTGGCGAAAGAAGCTGCTCCTGTTCCTGCTGTTGTGAAGGCGGCAGGGAAGAATTTGGTATGGGTTTCTTCGCAGCTAGGGAACCCTTTACTGTGTCAGGTTGCAAAATCATTTCTTCGCCTCCCATATCATCTTCTTCCTCCGCAATGGTATTGAAGCTCGAGCCTCCTGACAAGCAACCTGTTGAGTGCCCTATTGCTGTGGATTCCGCTTCAATTGGAAGCTCAGCTTTACTCTTTTCTTTCCCGGATCGTTCAACAAGGCTGAGCGGAAATGTCACGACAAACCAGAAAAACAGTGCAGGCTTTACCAGCAAAAGGTTGGGTACAAAAATTAGTATCGACCACGTAATATTCGCCAACTTCCTGGTCCGTGATGAGGGACCTACAGAGTGATTCGAGATGTTTTTGTACGCTTCTGGCTTTTCAGATTGTTCATATCCGGGACCTAAATTTATATTTTCCGTCTTCGCAGCTTGTCCTGTAATTCCTGGATCAGTCTCTTCGGGCACAGAGTGTTTCTCCTCGAACTTAGGCGGTAACACCCTATTTGTAAGGTAGGATACAGCATTCATCACTTGTTTCGCAGACAAGGGGGCCACGAGTTTGATTTAAAAGAACCTCAATTACAAAATAAAGTCCAATCTACTATACCAATGAGTTCCGGGTCAGGAAAAGACCTCCTAAGATGCCCCACGGGGTTGTTGTAGCTTGTCAATGGAAGGCAGTTGAAGATTGCAGTTGAATATGACAATTTGGAATAGTTTTGCACGGAATATTGAATATCAAAATTCAATATAAAAAGCTCAACAATTGAATAAACGTTGAGCTGTGTGGTGCACAATCCATGAAGAACGACATTCAACTAGCCGACACCAGCACTGCTTTAAATTCACAGACTACGGCTCGATAGAAATAACTTGAGGTAAACGCATCTTTCTTGTTCTACCATTTCGTGCACTCTTGATAAAAAGCATCACTGTCGTTTTCAAGAAAACGTTTAGATCATCGTTTCGTTGACGTCAGTCGTAAGGAAACGGAATCGATTTCGTAGGGTGCATTGTCATTATGTGCAAAAGTCAAAATTCGTATTTTGAGTATCTTATTCGTTCGAAGAACCGGAGTCTTTTCCAGTTTGCGTACATAATTGGCCACTTGAGCCCTGGATAATGCAATGCCAGTTTTTTCACTGAGTTGGTGCAAGTATCAGATTCATGTTTTACCTGAGAAAAGCGTACTGAAAAGATAGCGAAAACCCCTCCAGAGCAGTTCTACGTTACAACCTTGCTGGATAGGACTGTTCAAAGAATTGACGCTAGTGCAATGTACTATAATTGTGATCGAGAGATGGATCTTCAACAGCGCAGGCAAACGGTTCTCGCTTGCAAACTGTATGCGGCACGACTCGTTGTGATGCACAACGCAGATCAATCTAAAATGAAAGCTCTCTGTACATCTACGCTCTTAAGTCCGCCAACGCCGCTCATTGAACAACAGCCATGGTGAGCATGTTCAGAAAATAAATTTATTTACAGCTATGACCTCTACCACGAAAGAAAAGTTCAAATGCAAGATCGCATCAAATGGTCAGCGTCTGCCTTAAGTGGCGAGGGCTTTTATATCCTAAATGGAACTTTGAAGACACCGTACAAATCGGGTTTTGTCCTTAATGTAGAATATTGTTAATTTTCTGTTTTGTCACTAGAAATTAAAGAGGTAAGGACCAGAGATTCTGTGAAATCACACATGTAGTCAATACGTACGCTTATAGGAACCTTGGGCTGTGTATCACACACACTAGCCGCATTCGTGAGAACCTTCCATTTCAAAACCTATATAATTTGTCACGTGATGGAGTGCCAATAAGTACCAGTTTTCTCAGGTAGGGCTCTTGGAAGTGGGCTCTGGGGTGCTTACTGTCTCTGACTTCTTTGCGTGCAGCTTGTAGTGGCGTACCATATTACTCTTGACATTAAAGCTTTTCGCACAATCCGGATAGGGACAAAGGTACGGCTTGTCACCCGAATGCACTAATGCGTGAGCTTGCACAGCAGTGAAGCTAGAAAAAATCTTGTGGCAAAGCGGACACTGTCTTTTTGAGGCAGGATTCGCTTCTATGCTGGGTTTCATCTCCAGAGATTGTGGAGCTGAATGATGACGAGGCCAAATGGAAGTATCATATGCAGGCTGCTGCAAAAAGGTGCCGGTATTTACGATATTTGTTGAACCGCTTTCTGGGTGCCGAACAAAGTCCGAGCTTGATTCACGAACCATCCCAGCGGATGCTAAAGATTGATTTGCGGGCGACATGGTGGGCCTGTTTTGTTCATCGTTCAAAAGGCGGTTTGAATGCATTTGTGAGATATTTTGGTGCGGCACATGATGGTGTATGTCGTTCATCTCATATCGAGACTGGAGATTTAGATTTTGAGGCGGCAAATGAGAAGCCGACGGTCGTGAATCCGGGTTCAGCTGGCGACATCGCGCATCCGCGACATTGCAATTATTTGGTATCGTTTGCCAATCATCAGCTACTGAATATGAGTTCTGCAATAACGGTGGGTGTGAAGGCCATTGTGAAGTGATAGTGGGCAGTGCGTGAGAATCGTCCGACATGTATTTGGATAACGACAGCGCTGATGGAACGCTGATGTCTTGCAGAAAATGCGTATACGGGAATCGATCCTGCAATGTCTGCATGTTGAAATAAGAACGCGAGGCCGATGCAGACCGGACACTGCCATGACCATGCCTTTGGCTTCGTAAACGCGAACTGGAACGTGTACGGTTGACGCCTCTAATCTGTGGCGCGCTCCTGGTGTTGCGGGTGCGAGCGTCAGCCGAAGAGTCGCAGGCCTTCGAACCCGGAGAGCCGTCTGATTTACGTCTAGTCTCGTTCTGGAGGTTTTCGACATACTCGGGTTCGAATCCCAGTGGGGTCTGAATAGATGCGGGAGAATCTAACCGCTCCGGTGTGTCACTAAGCTTTTGATTCTTCATGAGTACACGCAGTACCAGAAATAATTGTTGTTTTTGTTGCTGCTGCTGCTACTCTGTAGTAGTTTCTCCGAGCCACAGGCGTCGATCACCAGGCGCCCGTGGTGTAGGAGGGCACAAAACCGTCAGCCAAAACGCTTGAGAAACGGCGGATCCACGAAAAATTAAAAGCCTGGAATCTTGAGACCAGGACAGAGCTGGTATGATCACAGAGTAGGGCCAGACTTTTTTGAACGGCAAACACTGGTTGCCGCAAGTGGCGATGACTACTGCGATTTTATGATATTCCACCGATTTGGAGCAAGAAAATGATTCTGCACGGGTCCAGCCCGGTGGTCACTTTGAAACTGCAAATGTTTTTTATCTATCCCACTCTCTCCCCGGTTATGTTCTTCTGCTGTTTGCCCGTTACAGTTGGTCTTTGTTTTTCTAACGCGGCAATATGTGCTGTAATTAAATCTCAGATCTATTTCGTGGTACTGAACAAATCGCACACCGTAACTGCGTTGAGTGTGGGTGCAAAAAAGTGTAACGTAGGCCTGGACTGATAATGTATTTTGCTTCTTCTGTAGGAGTTAGCTCCTTCGTCTACTTCTGTCGGGCGCTGTTATTCGTTTTATTATGTAACTGTGGAAAGGTTTTGATCCGTGATGACGACGATGGATGGTAATATTGATGAGACCTTTGTTCTTTTTTTGGCCTCTCTGAGGGGTGACAGTGCAGAAAGGTCGCACACTGACCACTAGGAACACGTCAGCCTCGAGTGCTGGTGCCTCTGCTGGGACTGACTGAGAAGGGGTGTTTTTTTCTTGCCTGCTAGGTGCTTTTCGCACTGTCACTGCCGGCCAGTAGTCGCTATCGTCCGGCTCTTATAACGATATATTATTACCTATAGAATCCAAAAAAAAGTATCCGATTTGAGGAAACACTATGAAAATAATGATAGTGTATACCGGCTTAACCCGTAGCACGCAACTGGCTGTGTAGAGGCACAACTCTTTGTAGACGACACATGTAGGGTATCGAAAGCAGCTTTTTCCCAACGCAAACTGGCACGCTTTATAGCCAATCCCAAACGTTCAGATACTCGTATCGCCGATGAATAGATGGGGAAAATGGTCGGGAGTATATGGGAGACCCACCCTTCATTGAATTATTGTCTGGCAGTTCTAACTCGGTTCGTTTTTGGGCGTCGTACGTACGCAGGCACACAGGCAAACAAGCCCTACAAGCATATTTGCACTCATGCATCCACATACGGAGTCCCACTTATGCAGTGCCTTACGCATGCATTCGGGGGCCAAGACTGCAGCAAAACGGTTTGCTGTGCCGGTCAGTCAGTTCACAGTGAAGGCCCAACGTTCTGTGGACTGTTCATAGCCGTTTAAAGAGAGAGATCATGCCGGGGTTCTAGACCTTTTTGTTATTTTTTTCTTTCCTTTCTGATTCCCAGGTTTCCGCTGCGTAGCAATTGATTTATGTATTATGTATTAGGCAGTGCAATATGCCCGCAGTGATGTCAACTTAGCGTCGTCTTAGTTGTACATGAGTCAACGTAACTGAGGGGGGCACAAGAAAAGGACACGCTTGGGGCTCATAAAAAGATCGGGCTAGCACGATCTACGGCTGTCTTTTCTTTTACATTACTCAAGCCGGTGACCCCTATAACGTTGAGCTGTCGTTTGTGCCTTTGCTATGGCACCCTGGAAGAAGCTCGAGATTGCATAACGGTGACCGGATAGGCCAAAGCAAAAGCTTGGCAGGGACGCAGCGAATGTTTTAACATCTCACACAGACGTGGAACGTGCATGGATGCAGCAAGAGTAGTTAAAATTGCGTGTTTTGGCTTGCGTAAATAAGGGAGTGTACGCCTGAGGTATATCAAGAATGTGAAAGAACTCGGGTGCTTCATGATTACGTAATCGGATTTTTTTAATGTTTATCTTGAGATCAGTGTCATTGAAGAAGTAGAGAAGGTTTTAACATCGGGATACTCAAACCACGGTAATTTCACCCTTCAAGTGAGACAAAAACTGTTTACGATGCCTGAAAAAAATGGTGTCATAGCGACTGCACCCAACGATCCCTAAGAATCACTGGTGCGTGCGTGTTAGCTCGGGGCCTGTCGCGGAGTCACGTGATACTCATACACCACACTTTCACTTCTGGGATGGTTTACGAACAGTCCTTCTTTGCATTGAGAAAACTTCAGTGCATGGTCACCGGTAACAATGGTTGTATGGAATGCCGACTATTGATTATCGTAAACGTTTAGTGTGTGTGTGTGTGTGTGTGTGTGTATGGCCACAGACCGTTGCCGTAAACTTTTCGTCAAGACACTGTAGCGGCTTTCACAGGCAAACAACTTGTCTGAAAAGCCGTGAAACGCATATGAACACACGTAGTTATCTAACTCCGCGGGTCACGTGACATTATTACTTTCCTAATTTTTCAAGTCTAAACTGTACAACCCTTCTTCACTCACCTTTTACAAAAACACGGTGTACCAAGCTAGGGCTCAGCTTTTTGGTAGGCTTGACCACATCGAAGCGAAGATTACGTGTAGGGAAACGGAAACACACCTTTGCATACAGCGTTCTTTTTCGAATCGTTTCAACGAGCCACTTCTCAAATTCCTTTGTTCTAGTTGCGCGACTTCGAAGGAAAAAAGCCTCTGCAATTTCCTCACTACGTTTCCCCATTCACTTGACAACTACCCACTGCTTCAATTCTACTTCATCTGCTCATGGCTTCGTCACCAGAGGGCGATCTTCCGGCGGAGTGGCTGCTTCCGCACGTACTCGCGGCGTTCCCCGAGACCCACTCGCCACAGCGCAAGAAGAACCTGACACTCGAACGCAGGGTCTATGTCGCGGGCCACGGCGACTCAGAGTTTCCGCAGGAGACATCTGCGCAACTGCTGGCGCTTGTGGATGCCAACCTGGGCACTATGTACGAGGAGTTCGCGGGCGAAATCTACACGGGGCTTCCAGGGCGCCGCAAGAGACCGCCCTGGTCTGCCGCACAATGGCATCCTCGCAAGCTTCAAGAAATGCAAACACCAGAGCTGGTGTATGTGGTATACTACGATGCAAACACTAATTCAGCACGCCAGCCGTTGGCGTTTGTATCGCTGCTGTTGACGCACGAACCAGAAATGGCCCCGCACGCTCGGGTGGTCTATTTGTACGAGCTGCATGTTGCGCACGTGATCCAGCGCTGTGGCATGGGCACGTGGCTTCTGCGTGAGTGCACGGGCGCGCTGGTGCGCGCCCTGGGTGTGTGGGTGGATGGGTTTTGCGGCCTGGAGCTGACCGTGTTTCGTGCCAACACGGACGCGCTCCGTTTATACTGTGATCGTCTTGGCATGCAGACGGCTCCGTGGTGGGCCCTCTCGTATGGCACGGAGCGGGCCGAATCGGATGCGTCGGACCAGCCTGTGGCTGCGCGGGTGCGTCGTTCCCGACAACGCCACAACCGCCCTGCCTACTGCGTGCTTTTCTGGGATGGTCGTCACTAGCGCGCAAAGGCCCTCATTGCATTGTTGTTGTGGCAACGTCTGCGTGTCACAATAGAGCCGGGCTTCTCGCTTTTCTGTCTTGCTGATTACCGCCCGCATTTCTCTCTTCCTCTCTTCGTTTTCTGGGTGGGCACCCCATGTTGCCCTCGCCACTTGAGCACCCCGGCTAAGCTAAGCAAGCATACGGCGTCACTAGTGCCTTTCATCAGGCCTGGTGCAAAACTGCTCAACATATATGAACGCAGGGCCTCAGCGAAATACAAAGAACTGGCTCACTATAACTCTCTTTATTTCGGTGTCAGCGTCGTGTTGTGTTGGTTCAGGAATACATTTTTTCTCGAGTCCGGCAATAAAGTCCGAGACGGCCGAAAGAGAGAGGGAGAGAGAGAGAGAGAGTGTGTGTGTGTGTTGGGTAAATCACAGAAGTTAGAGAAAATCCACCCATACAACACAAGCATAAAAGTGACCAATTGCGGAACACCACGGAAGACTCCTCAAAGACAGTCGAACACTACGCTTCTGCACCAAATCAAGTCAAGTCAAGTCAATTTGGGTCAAGTGTCAGCTCGTCTCGTCTCGTTCTCTGGCGGTTCCCGTTCCCGTTCCCGTTCCCGTTCCCGTTCCCGTTCCCGTTTTTTTTCTCTTTGCATCGTACCAGGGTGGATTGCTTGAGAACCGTTACAGGCGTTTGTTTTTCTCGAATTGTCCTCCTGGTAGTAATCGTTGGTGCGCGAGATCGACGGACGTTTTTCACCCAAAAGCCGTTATTTCGCGCTCCCCCACCCCTTTTTTTCTGGGTTTTTCTGTGTTCGTTTTTTGAATTTGTTCTGGAACAAATTCGGCCATCTCCGAAAGTGAGTTTCGTCAACTATGAGCAATGCCGATGGGTTTCCAATCCAGCCACCCAGACGCCCTGCCCCAGCGCTGCCGCCGCATCCGATGGAACCTAGTGGCGGCGATGACACTGGTCACAGCCCCTACCTTGTTCAACGATACGAAACGCTCGACACTCACCATCCGGGTTATTATCCCCAGTTTCCCAACCCAAAGGCCTGGGCCCCCGCTGACACTACTGCGCTAGCTTCACCGCAATTCATGCGTCATAATCAGCAAATCCAGCACACCCAGCACAGACCCTCGTTGTCACAGCAACTGCCGCCAAACCTTCCGCACCACCCGTATATAGCGAGGCGTCCTGCCCATGCGGACACACGGGTCTTAGACGGGACTACTGGCAGCAGCGATAGTGGTAGTAGTGGTAACACTAATCCTTACATCAACCACGGCAGCACCAATCACGATAGCATCGAAGGCATCAGATACACTAGCCAGATAGGGCTCACAATGGCCGTTCCGGGCCTAGCACCACCGAGTTGGCCACCATCGCAACTGGTGTATCCACCATCGGCCAATGAACCTCTAGGATGGCCCTCAGAACCCGCACCGGTTGCATACGGCCTGGATCCTGGCCACGCACCGGCCACCGGGAGACAATACATGGTGGCCCAGCCGATCCCACCGGTTACACCGACACTGACGGCTAATGCGACAGTCCCCAAGCAGCATGCGTGGCCCGCTTTTGGAAGCAACAGCATCGTTCCTGGATCCCAGATCCCGCAACGCAATTTCCAGCATGCCCATTTGCTACCTTCCCTACAACACCAGCAGCAACCACACCCATTCCCAGCATTGGCACAAACGCATCACTTCCAAGGTTGGAATAACGGCGGCGACGACGGCGGCGACGCCGCCTCCGCCGTCCAAAACGATACCCACGACATAGCTTGGAATCTTAACGAGGACCCTGCAACGACAGAATTTCGTTGTCATCTATGCTCGAAATCATTTCGACGTCGCTCGTGGCTCAAAAGACATCTTTTGTCGCACTCGGATTTCAAGCCGCACAGTTGTCCGTGGTGTCAGAGTCGTCACAAACGACGCGATAATCTATTTCAGCATATGAAGACCAAGCATCCGCGTGAAGTACTCCAGGAACTATACGAAACCAACAGCTGTGTCGATATGCCAGATATCGAGCAGCTTATGCCAGCAGAATCTTCTGGGGATGACGCCTTGAGTGGCCCCGGGCCCAACATCCGCAATCTGGTCGAACAAGGCCACGTCCGTAAAGATCGGGTAAAAACCGTTCTCAACGAACTAGCGATGAGACGCAACGGAGAGGACGCCAGCGAGTTGTGATGTGCGGAGCTCCCGAAAGGAGGAAGAAAAAGCAAAAAAGGACAAGAGAAAGAACTTATAATGGTTAATCACAAATGCACATATCTAATAACTGTAATTACTTGAGTACTGAGTATGTGCTTTTGAAAAACAAAATCGACAGAATCCAATTGTAAGCCTGTGTTTGTCCACAGAAGCCGCCCATCCAGTGTGTCTTTTTTTTTTTCCTCGGCATTACCGTGGCTTGTGGCTAGCTGTGTTGCAATCGGACTACAGCATCTCGCGGACAACCGCTTCGTGAGGGAAATCGTCATCCGCTGGGTTTTTGATCACACTGGTGCTTTGGAACTGCTGGTGCTTGAAATACGCAATCGTATAGCTGAGAGACGACACTGTGAAACCTGCTGCGATGACCACCAGACTCGTGACCATCACGGCCATCGAACAGTACTGCACGGCAGCCATTGCCAAGTAAAACAACGCCCGTTTGCCGTTTGTAGCGAACCTTTTGATGAACTCAATGAAATTGTCGCTAAGAGGACAGATTTTCAACAGAAACGGAATTTCTATGAACAATATAACCAGCCCTTGTATTATGGCGATGATGCCAAAGATGATCACCGCGCTCACGTGGAACAGGTTGGCAATCCCCAGGGCGAGGCACAGTATAATGTTAATGTATCCGAACCATTGCCCGTAAACGCTGGTTGGTAAATGTTAGTAATGTTTTAGTTCCGGAGTATGTATGTGTGTGCTACAGAGAAGTCATTGAAATAAAGTTATCATACCTAAAATTGAAGCTCTTTAAATCGCGCACAATACCGCCGACATTAATAAACTGTTTGATGCCCAATGCCATTGCTGTGAAAGTCGCTAGATGGCTTACCTTATTCTCTCTCTTGTAGATGTCGATAATTCTTATTTTAAAGGTACTCTTTCTGTAGACCACTTCTTTGAATTTGGTTATCCTCATCGTTTATTACTCTCGTACCGTATGACTGGAAAATCCAACTCATCTTGAAGATGTGTAATATATAAGGCGATGAGATGAGAACAGGAGAACGTATCAAACCAATCGTTTAAGGATCCAGTTCAAGACTGCCGAGACTGGTGGATGGAACGTTGTTAGGTCTATAGATTGGCTTGAAAATGACGCTCACAGATGAGGAGTCCCAGGCCGATTCTTGTTCATCGGTGTCACATATAGAGGACGAAGAAAGCGAAGATGAATTGATCATGAATGATCTTGATGCGAGTTTGGAAAAACTGGGGCGCGGGTTCCCAAATCTCAACCTTGGAGCAATCTGGAACGGTAACGTCGCAAGCAATATTGGGGATTATGGACATTGGAGCCGCAAATTTCAAATGAAAACGTTTCTGAACGATCTGCATAAGGGACTCAGTTTTTCAAACGCCGTAACCAGACTTCAGGCAGTGAAAGTGCTCACAGAAGAAGTTTTTAACAACACTATGGGAAACAGAGATAATGCACCGGTCCAAGACACAAGAGTAGAGCCAGAGGGACTCGTGCCGGCCGCGAAACCCAAAGAGGCTCCGCCTTACAACGATATGGTCATCCCGCAGGATAAAGACCCGCAAATGCTTGAAGAAGACTTATTGCAGCTCACCAAGCTACCCACAGGTCAGGGCCACAACGAGGAACTGCTTCGACACCGCATACAGCAAATTCAAAGCCTCGAGCTGAATCCATCCAAAAAAGCGCTAATGGTGCAGCGTCTTATGATGGGGAAGTACGTGGAAGACTCCAGTCGGCAAATGACACCAGAGATAGAGTCTCATGATCATGTGAATTCAACTGATATCACAGAAAATGAACGACAGGCTACGTACCACGAAAGCGGCAATTTTGGATGTCCGCATTACATGAGGAACTGCAAGCTACAGTGTCGTATATGTAGGCACTGGTATACGTGCAGATTCTGCCATGATGACTCGCCGGAAGTGAGAAATTCAGCAAATCCGCATCTGTTGGAGCGGTCTAAAACAGAGTATATCATGTGCATGAGGTGCCAGCACGTTCAAGAGCCCAACAAATATTGCCAAAATTGCGACGAGGAGATGGCCCTGTACTACTGTGATGTGTGCAAGCTATTTGACAATGATGAGACCAAAGATATCTACCACTGCGATAAGTGTGGCATTTGCAGGTTGGGATTGGGTCTCGGTATTGATTATTTCCATTGCGACGGGTGTCAGGCTTGCTTATCGATAGAGTTACAGGGAAACCATAAATGCATCGAGCGGGCCACGATGTCTAGCTGCCCGATATGCGGCGACTTCATGTTTACGTCAACGAAGCCAGTGGTGTACATGTCACCTTGTGGGCATGCTATACATCAGCACTGTTTCGACGAGTACACAAATCATTCTTACAAGTGTCCTACTTGCCAGGTATCTATTTTGAACATGGATGCCCAGTTTCGTGTTTTGGACAAGGAAATCGAGGAACAGCCACTGCCTTCACCTTATTGCGATTGGATATGTTACGTGTCCTGCAACGATTGCAAGGCTAAAAGCACTTGCAAATACCATATTCTTGGATTGCGCTGCGACAACTGCATGAGCTATAATACCACACAAATTAGGTTGGTCAAACCTGAAGAAGAGGAGGAGCAACGGCCAGAAAGTGAGGATCAGGAGCATGGGCATGACAACGGTATTGACGATTTTGCAAACGATAGAGCGCTGCGAAACCTCAATATGATGCGTCAAGAGCTTTTGAGCGGCCATTTTCAACGAGAACAGGTATCGCCTTTGATTACGGTCGACAACAACGGTGTACTTTCAAATATAGAAGAGTACATGAACGAGTGCTTTCATGATTTACCAGAAGACTCCGCTCGAACAGGTCGTCGAGGCTCAGGTCAGTACGGGTCGCAAAACGTGTTCAACGCTGCTGGGTTGTTTCAATCCAGCGCTACACTTGGCGAATTGATTTCCGAGCATGCGGAAAAGAATAAGTCTACTAGTGAGTCAGAAGCGGCTGAAAGTAAACACATGCTGCGAGCATCGTCATTCACAGATCGTCTGCGGCAATTTCTCAATGATGCACCGCCCCAACTGTCAATATCAGATGCCTTTCAAAGATTCATTCAAACTAGTCATCAAGGTCTTTCTTCGGGAGACGAAGATGACGATACTCCAGTCACAACAGAAAATTCATAGAGCTCAATCTCTTAGGACAGTTTTGACGAACCTAGTTTCATTTTCCAGCATTCCAAAAAACCACAGCTTTAGCTTCAAGTGGCGCATATGTTTATGATTGCTAGAGTGTAACTGACCTTAAAAAGACCAGAAGTGATGCAAATGCAAGATGTATTGCAGAACACTATCGCACATACAGAGGAGAAGGGACTACGATTATTGAACACCTCATTGATGTTGTTTACTTCTTTGACCTACTTCAAGTTTCTTCATGTCTGCCTGTAAAAGCGTAGCACAGGGTCCGAGCTTAACAATTTTCATGGTCAATTTATTAACCTTCCTTCTTACCCACCACTTTCTATATCTAAAAGAAGTGGCGAAGACACAAGTGGGCGTAAATTCGATACAACAAAGCAACTTTTTAAACCCCAAGGAACAGTATCGAGCTTTCTCAAAGGTATGTTTATGTAGTTAAGCTTTTGGTAGAAATGCTAATTGAGAAGATAGGTGTATTCGGCGGCTAATGTGTTCATGAAAACAAGATAGATGACAGGAAACTGGTTCAAGTGCTGAGGAGAGTGCAAATGCTCACAAAAATTCAAATGATGGTCAACATTTTGATGATACAGTGTCAAAACTCTGTTTCGTGTATGCTTTCACCCTCCTGTTGAAATAACCGTAACCCCCTTTTCTGTTTGTTTTGGTTTACTTCCCACAAAACCAACACATTTCTCAGAAGATCACCAACGACGGAAAACACACTATCACTACTTACGGAAACAGGTCACGGGAGCTGCTCGGGCACGTGATTAAGAAATTACTCTCCACCTACAATGGAACCATGATGTCGAGGAACAAGAGCGGATGGTGAGCGCAGGCTTTCAATAACTTGCTTGCTAGGAAATTCTTTGTCATTGCTTGCATGATCAGCAGAGATTTCTATCGTGCTACAATATACACGGGAAGGGGATGGTTCTTAACTCCTGGCTGCTTGTGCAATGTACAGGAGGCTCAGAAGGATCTCTTCCCCAACTGGCACGACAGGGCCTTTCTACGCATCAGTATGAGTCCGATTTATGCCACTGGCTACCACGAGGCTCACAGACGGGTGTATGTAGCGACCAAGCTAATTTACGCAGGAGAGCCGCTACACCTTAGGGGGTAGGGGTGTATCGTTTCGAGTATCGAGAGTTCGCCCTCCTCCGTGCACAACCAGTTCTCGCAGCCAAGCCATCTATTGGAATACCAAAACCACGCGCGCATGATTTCTCAGCGTTCGCCTTTCATCACAGACCCCTTCGCGAACGGGCAAGTGGGACAGATAGCGTTCTGGAGAAAGTGCGACGCTAAAAAAAAAATCGGTTTGGCTCTTCCTAGGACTGACAGCGTGAGGCATCAGTTGCCTGCTTCTAGCAGGTAGCAGAACCAATGGAATGCGAGAATTTAGACAGGCGGGCGGGGGGCGAAAAAAAATTACAGAAAACAGAAAGGAGGGAAAAAAAATTTTGCTAAACACCTTCACATCAACAACTAAGCTCTTGCCCTACGATACGTCCATTTCTGGTAGCTTCTACAACAAGAGTTAACAGTGTTGATCATAGCCACTTCGCCTTAGCACTCTCGCGATTCAGAAAGGTGTGCAGAAATCATTTTCTGCCAGTCATTTATCCTCAAACGTTTGTGCCATTACTTCTTCGGCAAAAACATCCGGGAAACAGGCGTCAGTTCGTTTTACGTACGCACACATTACCGCACACTCACTTTGCTTCTTTTCCTTCCCGGTGCGCTCGTTGGTAAACAAACCAGCACGACAGAACATACATACAGCCTTTTCCAATCACCCTTGATAGGCAGTTGTCATAGACGGAGTCCCATAGTCGTCGCACGCACCTCTAATTCTGAATTCTCTCAGAGTTTACTGTTCGCTGAACCCAGCCCGCAGAACAACGTACCGCATTCACGCAAGCAGAGCTTCCCCCTGTTTCGTTCGTTCCCTTAGCACGGCAGCCTCTTCGCTCCGAACCTAATCGGCATAACGTGGTTAAGAAAATAAGATAACCTAGTCACAATGAACATCCCTAATATTAGCACCGGAATTTCACCACCTCCCTCTAAAGGCCTTTCGAACGCCGGAACCATTTCCAATACTAACCACAGCTTGCAGGATCAGTTGTTACCATACCCAGAATTGGATTCTGCGTCTGGTCACCATAATCATTCTTTGCAGTCGCATCTTTCAACACCGCAGCCAGACGACAGGTTGAAGCTTCAAGGCTTAGGAAATCACTTGTCGCATTTGCCACTGCAGCATTCTCTCCACCACCAACACCAGGACGTTTCAATACCCTCGGATTTATACGCTCAGGTCTTACAACCCCAGCTGCACAACGGTCAACAATACACACAGCAGCACAATCAGTACCAGCAGCTGTCTCAAGCACAACAAGCACAACAACAGCAATCACAACCACAGCTTCAACAACTCGACCAACAACAACAGCAGCAGCTACAGCAACAACAGCAACATCAACAGCAGCTACAACAGTTTCAGCTTCAACAACAACAACAGCAACAACAACAGCAGCAACAGCAACAGCAGCAGCAATCACAACAAGATTACCACCTCCATCCTCAACAACATCAAACCCAACACCAAGCTCAATCTCAGCAACACCCTCAGCACCAGCAACAATATTCAGACGTGATGTTCAACTCATTTTTGACGCAAATAGGGCAGAGGTCGATGAACAATGTTCTGAACACGTTTCAGCCTGCCGCGCACGGCATACCAGCGGCCATGGGCGCTGCTATCAATCAACCTGCACAAAGGTACTTCCATGCTGCCATGAACACTCCTTCAATGCTGGACTTGAGCCACCCTACCATGGTCCAGCCTACCCCTCATTTCCAGCTTCAGGTTCCACCTCCTGCTGCCAAGAAGATGTCGGCCAGTCAAAGTAGAATTGAGAAAAGGAAGCTACTAAAGAAGCAAGGACCCAAAAGGCCCTCTTCTGCATATTTCTTATTCTCCATGGCCGCTAGAGAGGATCTCGTAAGACAGTACCCAGATGCCAAAGTACCTGAGCTATCCAAGCTAGCATCCGCTAAGTGGAAAGAGATGACAGACGAGGATAAGAGGCCGTACCATGACAAGTTTAAGGTGAACTGGGAAAAGTATAGAGTCGCGAGAAAGGAATACGAATCAAACCTCCCTCCAAAGCGTCCATCTGGTCCTTTCATTCAGTTCACACAGGAGGTTCGTCCCAAGATAATCAGCGAAAATCCGGACAAAGATCTTATTGAAATCACCAAATTGATAGGTGAAAAGTGGCGCTCGTTGTCTCAGACCGACAAACAGGCGTATACAGAAACTTACAAAAGAAAACTTAAGGAGTGGGAAGAGCAGTACCCAGAGGAAAACACAGTCGTTGTTCCTCCTAAAATCGAGTCTTGAACTTGAATCAGAATCAAGAGTTAAGGCGAGGCACCAACCAAGTTCAAGTTCTTTACTGTGCTGGAGAGGAGATGTTTTCTCACCATGAAGTCCCAACAAGCCCATAAATATCATAGCCCTTCCTTGCAAAGCTTTTAATCGAATGTAAAACTATTTTTTTAATAGGCGTTTTCTCGTGGTAGACAATTGATGCAACTAGACCTTTGGAACAGGTAAACTTTATCATGTTGCATAGAAAACCCGACTTCGTCTTTCTATGAAAGTCGTCTATGGGATAAACCTCCCGATGTAGCTAGTCTCCAGAAACCTTTCATAGTTCACCCATCTATGGTATCTCTCAAAGGCGGCGGTACCATCCTTGCCAGCTGCGGACTTCAGAAGAATGTCAGATCCCCCGGGATGAAAATCCAGATATGCTGTGATACAGTATACCTTATTTCCCAAAACACACCAGCAATCGTCTGCGGTATTGTGCTGTTTCAAGTGCGCCATGGTGATTTTCAGAGGTGGGTATATCTTGAAAGATGGCACACCATGTTGTAAAGCCATCAACGCTTGAGGGCTATTGATCTTGGCGACTTCAGGATCTGAAAGCAGTTTCTTGATTCCTGTAATCAGTATTCCAGTTTTTCCTTTGTTATTGGAAAGCACGGACCAGTCCATGGCACTGTGGCCAGGCTTTAAAGCGACTTTATTTCTGTAGCCACCGCCTCGCAGCGTACTACAACCTGCCTGAGCCGGCGTACTCATCGTATTTGAGCTTGAAAAAGGCTTCATGAGTCTCGAAAATGCCGAATTATCGGAATTTTGTCCATTGGAGGCCATCACCGCTATGTTCCGGTTTGGCAGGTACTGTTGATGCGGTTAACTCGTGTAGTCTCTTGAATCTATGTTCTTCGAATTTAAATAAGTAGTAGTGAACTCGAGCTCATCGCTTGATTCGTTATAAACAACCAAGAACGACGAACACGAAGACTTAACAAATAACCAGCTTCGAACTCTCAAGGTGTGTGTTGTTCTCTCACCAACCAGGTTGGCTGATTCCAACACGAGTTGTGGGATTCCAATGGCTACTTTGACAGCTGAGAATATAGTTAAAAGTATAAGGTACATACATGTAAAAAGAGCTCTAGCTTATGTGAGCTTTCCATAAAAACACCGGGAAAATTGAAGTGAATCGTTTATATGCTACTTTTACCGGTTGAGCAACAAGTAGATGATTTGGAGGTAGGCAAGCCTGCTGCCTTTTGAGCATCGTCATAATAGACAGATTTGTTGAAATTGTTGTTGGCCAATGGAACGTCCAGAGCAGGGTTTCTTGTGAAGAACGATGCGGGCGTAACAAGGAACTGCAAGAAATCGGAAGTCATAACAGGGAATTGCTCGGTGACTGGAGGATGCGTCAATGCCAAAGTGGGCCATACAACGGTATCGGTATTTCTAACGCTTTCAGTACCATCAGCCCATTTGGAGAGACCAGTGTCACCCTGGGATTGGTTAGTAAATTCTCCGGCAGCATACAGCTGATTTTCGTGGTATTTACTAACCCAAAATTGTTTTGTAGCATAAAGAGCTCTCTTGACATTGTAGGAGTTTTTCGAAGCCATGATCATCTGTTTCGCTGGCATTTCAAATTTGTAGCCCACCGGTTTCTTAGTGACTGGGTTGATCGAGTTCTCGTTGATGACTTTGTAGGTACGGTTGGTGAATGGTGACTGTTCGATGTAGCCCGAGTTTTCAACAAACGTCCTTTCCTGGCGCGCACCAATGTTGTAAACATTCATTGGAGTATTTTCCTCCATAGGCACGTAATCGTCGTAAACCACCGTATTGTTGTCACCGTCTAGTCTGGTGTCGAAACGGAAAGACAACAAATGTTGATGGAAAGCCGCTGTCACACCAGGGCCCACGATTGTGGAAAAATCAGTCACAACACCTTCATCGTTAGGCATAGTGGATAAAATACCAGTGGCTCTCACTTGCACAGTAATGGCACCTGCTTGATCGAAAATATAATTCATGACATATTCGTAGTTTGCAACGGTTGCGATCGTCTGAATGACAAACTCTCTTCTTCTAGTGGTGACCGTGTTACCGTTACGGTAATTTTTGTGCAAATACAGGAGCCCATAGTCCTGTTCATGCATGCACACGGTGGATGGGACCAAGACAGGATTACCGTCTTGGTCACATCTCGTTAAGTCCAAATATTTGATTACACCCAAACAGTGACAACCCAGAGCTAACGAATTGGCACAATTACCGAATCCACAATCACCGAGGTCAAAAGCCTGCTTTCTGTGGTAAGGAGCACGAGGATCCATATAAGGAACTGTCATTTCGTTGTTAGCAATTCGGTAGAAAAGCGATCTGCCTTTGAAGAAGACATCGTAAATGGCCACACCTTCTCTGGCGTTGGTGCACACCCTGAATTCCCATCCTTGCCACTTGATTTTAGAGCCTTCAACTTCAAATGAAGCACCTTCGGGCTGTGAAACGATCAAGGGTTTCAAGCCTTCCCTCTCGGTGTAACCTTCAATGAGTTCTGGATGGTATTCCACCGTGTCCATCTGCTGGTAAGGCAGAGTGTCCCGGATGTATTTTTCGTCAGCGCCTGAAGGTAAGTAGTCCATTCTGACAAACTTGTGCGACAAATATTCGAAAACGGGCGAGAAACGCAGGGGAATTGAGTAGTGGTTTGCCTCTGGATGGTTGAGCTTCATGTACATATAAGCTTGGATGAGCGGAATTTTATCGTGGATAGAGTCCGTCCCGTACATCCAGGGCTCACACACCACTGTGTAGCCAAGATTCCCCAGACTTGCGTGTTTGTACTGCAAAGTATCGATCTTCAACTTCGCGATTTCTTCGAGCACAATTGGATGCTTCATAATCGCTTCTTCGACAGCACTCATGTCTTCTGGCAAAAGAGGGCCAATTGTGCCTTCTGGAGTTTCCTGGTTGGCTATCACCCGGTTGTCAGATACGTTTACCAAAGCTTTGTAGAGCGGCATTTTCTTGTTCAGGTAGTAGTAAGCATATGTTCGTCTAGGAATGTAGGGAAGCGGAGTTCCTGGGCTTTGGTTTCTTTCTACATTCAGGTACTCAATTGCTTGTTGCTTGGGAGGATCCAAACGGTCGATTTGAACAAAGTGGAGTTTGGCATCACCATTCAGATCTTTCAACAGCTTGGTTGTTGTTCTGATTTCGGAGTCCTGAACAGGGTCGAAGATATGTAGTGCCATAGCTATAAGAGAGCTTAGAAAAGGTGTTTTAGGTAATCTTAGAGGAAGGGAAACAGCTAGCTGGGAATCAAGACAGACAAGAAAGGGACGACCTGGTAATTCGGGGTCGCATTTATAGCTTACTTTTGATTCGAGATGAGCCGTATGTATCTCATATACTGATTTCGATACCGAGCGGGTTCTGATTCATATCTTACAGATAGATCTAATAGCGGTGAAACTTATCTTGATAGATAGCACGTGATCTCGAGATAAAGACCCAATTAGGATACTCGTCTCGAATACCCCAATCGGGTAATACTAACGTGGTCATAAAATACGAGAAATGTTGATATTAATTCCTGCGTATTTAATGATAGAAAACGTGACACCCAACGTGTATGGCAGATCACATGAATCGTGGACGCTACTAACCAAATATGCGTATTAGGCGAACAAAATGAGTTTGGAATGACTTTATATGTGCGGTGGTTCTGTGTTATATAGTCAAGGTGGGCCGCTCGCTAGCTACCGGATGGTATCACATTATAAGTAGATGACAAAAAATGGCTTTTCATGGAATGGCCACGTGTAAGACTGACGGAAGCCCTGAATGCGTAAACTTTATACAGCCCCGATTTAGCACCCGCCTAATCGAAAAAATCGTCATCATCATCATCGTCGTCATTCGTACCTCCAGTCACGTGTCCATGACTGTCCTTTGCATTGTGATGCACCTCATCCCGACGATCGAAAATGATCTTGGTAGAGTTTTTCCGGTTTTCGTCTCGGGCCACACCATTCAGAACCTCAACGATTTCTTGCTCCGATACTTTGCGCGTTATTTGGCCACGAGCTGCCAGTTGTTGTAAGTACGCTTCTACGGCGCGCACGCGGTCTGGACGAACGAGTGACACTCGTGAAAGACGCTCCAATGCTTGCGGTTGTAATAGAGCAGCAACTGCATCACCAGCAGGCCTGTAATCAAAATAGGGTTGTGTTAGTATAATGTAGTATCGTGTGATTCCGTATAATATGATCTGAAACTTACTTTTGGTCATTATTGGAATCACCACCGGAACCACCCGAATGACGCTTGAGTTCTTGTAATCTGGCTTCACGGATAGCTTGTAGTTCGGGATCCATCCTAATTGTGTCGTTTTTTACCCCGTTTGACTAAAGTGTAAACCTAACGCTGTAATTGGGACGAGATGATGAGTTGTTGATGTGATTATGTCAATTTTTCAAGATAAATTAAAATCGTAGGACGACGTGAAAAAGAAGAGTAGACAAAGTTGGTATTCATCGGCCCATTTTATCAGATTGAGGAGAAGCTCATGATTAAGAGTGAAAGTTGGAATTTGAGGTCTCCATGCCTTTTTTTTATGGGTCTGAAATAGGAGCTTTTTGCCTAAAAATTATCAATGTTGAGCTTTTAGTTTAAGAGATCACGTGCCCTGATGACAGCGACAGAAAATAACGAAAAACCCAGAAAACTGAACAAAACTGCGAATTTTAAGCGTCGTACCGTCTTTTTCACTCTCCATCAAATGACAGCGCTAGGTGTATTAATGAAAGTGTAAAATGAAACAAATAGCTATGTTTTCCCGCGTGAATTTTAGTGGAATGGTTTCATTTTGGCGGATGATGGAATTTACTGCTTAAGTGTATTATAGGCATCTCATTCATGGTAATGCAGTACGCAAAAATGGTTCTGAATCTCTACGCAACAAATGTCTGAATTCAATGGCCACGTAAAGCGGTATTATTGAAGTCAAACGTCAACTGAACCTCAGCTTGCGATTGAGATAACAATCCTCTAAATATTTTCTTTTCGAGTCGTACAGTAAATTAACGGACCTTTTTACAGTATCTTTGGAACTACTCGTGCCAAAAAACTCAGCTCTGGTTGCATTCCTTGGTAAAAATGTAGAACATCAATAATACTTTGCTAAAGCATTAAAACACTGACTAGACGTACCGCAAAATTAGCACTACATCTCAAGAGCCCTAGACCTCTTAAAACTCCATTCAAGTGTGTGCATTCTTTGAAAACATTGTTCGTTAATATTAGTTAAAGCATGGCAAATTAACGCAACAAATTTCGATGAAAAGCGGTTGAACTCCGGAACAATCCCACCAATTCCTAATGAGCCGAAATCTAACAACTTTAGGATCATTTCAACATATTCTCGTTGTATTCTCTAGAAGAGCGAATCACACATCGCTGTTCACGAAAGCATTAAATAATCAGTACTCTGGAAATTTAGTTCTTCAACTACAACATTTCGGCGCTCACCCAAACGATTTCTCCTCATCTAGCAGCACGTCCCAGGGCAATTTCGCACAAGGGTTTCCATTTTATAATTGCAAATTTAGAGTCTAGTTTGTGCCCCTGATTGTTACATTTCCAGATCGAAATTTCGCACATCACAACGGTATAAAAAGCTCGCATCAAACCATCAGACAGGACTAGCTGTTAATAAAAATTCCACAAGATTTGAAACCAAATAGTTTATTTGACTTTCTGGATTTCATTGTGGTTAATTTTGAAACCAAACTAGTGGGGATTTTCGGTTTATCAAAAAATCCTGAATTGCATGAACAGTTCCACAGACCAGTCACCGGCACCAGCATCAAGAGCTAGTAGTGCTTCATCTCGAAATGCAGATTCTTCGGTTGTTGGTGGATACAGAAGGGCCAGAAGAAGCATGACCTTAAATGTGGATTACAATTTAAAGAAAAGACGTATAATTCCAGCAGATGATTCCCTTTCTGCAAGTCGTCAAGAGTTGAAGAGTAACAGCGATTATAATGGTAATAGCATTTTGCCAAGCCCGTCTAACGAAGAACTCGCTGAACCTAAGGATGTTATAGTACACGATCCAGATGGACAGGTAAGTTTCAATGAACCAGAATCTCATGATCCCATTAACGGCATGACGGGCTTACCACTTGGTATGGGTCCTCCTGAAAAAGTGAAAAAGGAATCTTTTTGGTCCTATAAAAAAAATGGTGGAAACGGCACCAATGGGGTCGTGAGTTCCGGAAGTAGTGCTGGCAGTAGTAGCCAGACAGCGTCAATTTTGGAAAGCAGCATATATGAAAACCAACTGGAGACAAGTAAATCCGATGAGATCACACAACCTAGCTTCTTGCGAACTAATGCGATACCAAAAGACATTCATCGAACCAAGAGAAAGTATCGCAAAAAAACCGATTTGACCAACCACAGAAGCAAGCATTTCCCGCTACACACCAAGATAAAGGCCTCGGCTAATAAAGAAAACAAATTGTTTGGTCAAAACTCAATCACAAATCAAAAGGCCATCGCACCTCCAGTTGTATCATTTCCAAGCGCCACAGTTGAAAACGATGATTTCTGTTACAGTTGTCGACAACCCGGTATATTTTTGTGTTGCGACACCTGTCCGAAGTCTTTTCACTTCATGTGCTGCAATCCTCCGCTGGACCCGGACAATTTACCTGAAGGAGATTGGTCTTGCGCAGAGTGCCAGTTCAAGATGAGGTGTCCCAATAAATCTGCCGCTCATAAGCTGGAGAAAGAGTATCTGAGTGCTCTCGAAGCGAACGATGGAATTTCGCTTTTCGGCAAGCTGCTTTTCAAAGTAGAATTTACCAATCCTCGACAATTTCAGCTGGCAGTTCCAATCAGAGAGACTTTTGCAGATGTCAAAACCGGTAGCCACGGTGAATATACAGATGGGTCAATGCAGGAACCTCTGAACGAAAAGCAGATTCTTAACGCTTGCTATGGCCAGAGCTTAACAAAAATGGATCAATATAATCCTGATCAACACATAGATCCCGATTCAGGTGAATTGCTGGTATGTTTCAAGTGTCGTGAGACCAAGATGGGAACAATCGATCACCCAGAAAATGAGCGATTGATAACTAGATGTGATTTCTGTCGTACTCCCTGGCATCTAGATTGTATCCGTGACATACCACGATCGTCATTCAAAAATTTGGGCAGCAAATGGATGTGCCCTTTGCATGCGGATCCTTTAATTCCCAAACAGAAGAGAAGACTAGCTCGCCACCAAAAGTCCTACACGCCTTCTTCGACTTTGAACATTCCAAATAATGGCGACATAGATATTCTGCCGGATGAACTTTCTTTCCCGATGTCTAAAGAGACTCTAAATGATGGTAAGATAAACAGAGAGTTGGCCGTATTGAAGATTCCTGAATATTCAATCAAGCTGAAGTTTGTTGACAAGGTTTACAAAGCCAAGATGGCTGTAATGGAAAGACAATTTCATGAGCAAAAACTGCTTCTCGATAGTGCACTCGATACCGTGACAAAGACCGGACTAGCCAACTCAAAGATAGGTCCCTTCCTTTATTTTACGCTACACAACAATCGTCCTTTGCAAAAAATGTGGGATTTCAAAGAGCTTTGCGACGAAGCTGATAAGGAAGCTCAAGTATCACAGCTTCGAAGTGGTGAAATCAGTGAGCTCCTTGCGCTTCGAGCTATCCTGGAATCAAAATCGAAGAAAGAAGTTATAGAGTTTTTTGGTATGAATAAGTAACATCGAATAAATCTTAGCATATGAAAGCTGCCTAAAAGACAGGAGAGATTAGAACGTACAACAACGCAACTGACATATTTATTCGCTATCACTGCCGGGATCAGCATAGTCGATGGTGCGTTTCTGTCGAGAGCTTTTCCTCATATCCTCTGTAGGTCGCCGCAGATTTTTAGAAGGAACGTAGTTATCATCTTCGCTGAGTTCACCTGTGGTCTCCTCTATATGAGTTCCTGCGGAGACATTAATGCGCTTCTTGGATTGGCCCCTTTCTTCATGCATCGGTCTCTTGGTGCTCTGGACGATGCGCTGTCTCTGCATTGTTGGTCGTCTGTGCAAACGCAAAATCTGCATATTGATAGTCTTTTTTAGATCAGTTAGCGTATCAGGGTTCAAATAGGTGCCGAATATGTTTTTACGAGCATCTTCTATAGTATCAAAGGGCTCGAACAAATCTGAGGGTAGATTGAGCTTCCCAGGATATGAGGAGAGTGTCCATTGACAATAGTCTTTGAGTTGCCCTAACACTAGTTGAGCTAGTTCAGAAATCACATAAATGCCTTGTTCAGTCTCCGAACGTTCCCCACTTTGCACACCTGTCTTGTTTGTAGTATCATCAGAACTCTCCCCGACGCGATCTCTGTACTGCTTTATTCTCCCGGCTAAATAATACAGGAGAGCCAGGTTGGTAACGTTGGCAACAGCGTGAAAGTAATAGACCAAGTAACCGACCGCGGTGCTTAAACTATTGAAAAGAATCGCATCACTTCCTGCCAATCCTTCCGCAACATCGGGATGGTGAGCTATCAAATGAACGAATCTGGGCAAGGCTCTTTCAAAAAAAGTGCCTTTCTTGAAGCTCTCCCTGCTCAATGTGGAGTTTATCCACATTCGCGTACTTGTTTTCAAAGCTACATCGGGTTCATACGCTGTGAAAAAAATGAGGGGAAGGTACTTGATTGAAACGGTTTCGTCCCCTACGCAATCCTTCAGTTTCCCGATAAAGAGACTTCTGACTTCTATCGACTCGTCTTCCACAAGATTCACCAATCTGGAAATGTCGTCAGGCTTGATATAAGTGCTCGGCTGTGGAACTTTGGCCAATTTGAGGATCTGAAGCCCAGCTGTACACCTCAATTGATTCTGGTAATTGTTCGGGGTCGGGAAGTTCTCGCTACTTTCCATCACTAATTCACCGCCACTTGCAATCAGGTAAAAGAACAGTTTCAAAATTCGTGCAGTAAAGGCTTGGGCCATTTCATCACCTTCGAGTTCCGGCGCAAGAGCCCGTAACTTATTGCAGAATAATTTGAGTGACAGGATTTTCGAAGCAAGGGAACGGTAAGAATCATCGTTACATATATCATCAAAGGAGATCCAGTTCGGCTGTCCTTCTTTGTCACCAACCACTTGATTAGTTAAAAGAACATCTTTAATAAGTAAACTTACAATTTCAGTCGAATCACTTTCAAGCACCTCAGGCTGTTGCTTCAAAATTTGTGACAGTGCCATCAAATTGGCTGCAAAGCTGTGAGACTCGGGATTCAATGGTAAAATAGTCTCCTTTATTCTGAAGAAATGGCTACGCGGATCTTGCGAAAGGCCCAAAAGCTTCACCGCATACCTAGCCACAAGAATGGCTTCCCCTTTGGCCATTTCTTCTAATTTTTCCAAAAAGATAGGCTTTGCAGTGATGATGCATTCAGGCATGCTTTTGCTAACTTTGTAAAGGGTCTTCATGACCTCGCTTAAGGGAAGCGAAGTCCTTTTCAGCTGATTTGCATCTAGTGATAGTATTGTTTCCATCAATTGCTTCACCTGGCCTTTAAAAATTCGAGGCTTTATGGCAGAGATGCTGTCGACTAGTTGGCGTCTCAGAGAGTTTTCCTCATCATTGGCGTTATCTGACGCTGTCAGTAGTATTGATAAAGTGGAGATGTTGAATATGATAGGTGCAGATCTAAAAATCAAGACTCTGATCACTGAAGCAAAATTTTCTCTGGTAAACCGCGAATCAATTTTGACGCCTTTCCTTCGGAAAAGCTCAGGATCCTCAATTCTCTTGAAAAGCTCACTGACTGCATTCCTAACCGTGTTATTATTTGACATTTCATCAACAGCAACCTTGATGAGATGGTATAGTCTCCGATCATTGAGCTCATTGAAAGCGGCCAAAATTTCACGAACTTCAAATCTTGCCGGATATCCGAGGCTCACTACTTCTATTGTTTTTTCCAGTAAAGGTTTTGAAGAATTAGCCAACGAGACTTCATTTGAATGGCTGTTCTCGCAAAAGGTTATGAATTTATTAATGACGACGGACATTTGCTCCTGCCGCTTGTTGAAGGCATTGAATGATGCAGTCGCTTTTTTGTCAAAATTTCGCATCATTCTCACAACTCTGTCGACCAAACTTTGGGGGTCCGAATCCAAAGGTATGAATTTTTCGAACAGAATTTGGTCAATCTTCATGTTGATTTCCAGGTCGTTGATGTAGTAAAGATCGAAGAAGACAGAGGGAATTGTCTCTACTATTTCCCAAATCTCTCCGTTCTCCTCAGTCCTTGAAATTTGTTCCATAGACTCAACGTAGATTTTGGACACCACATCAATGCTAACTTCCCTTATATCAGCTCGTACCTCCCGCGTCAAATGTAGAAGTCCTGTGTAGACCGAGACGTTAGGTAAGCATTCCCAGAGCTTTTTTACCGGAACCTCTTCAAGGACTCTCACTGCACACAAGCGCACGTAATGATCGGAGTCTATGAGAGCTTTGGCGAGTCCCTTTGAAATATCAGTGGAAAGATCCGCTCGATCCACGAAAATGCCAGGTAGTTTGGATACCCAAGTTTGCCTGACTTGAGGGCTGATATCGGCCATTTTACTGAGCCAGACTTTGTAGACGTCGTTGTGGGCAACGTCGAAATTGATGAGAGAAGAGGTTTTCAACATTTCGCTCACGCAACCTGTAGCCGCTTCGCGAAAAAGCTCGTGGTCTGAACAAAGCAGTTGGTAGATAAAACCCGTTACAGACCCTACAAGATCAGGAGCGTATTTCCACAGTTCAGAAGTTAGCTTTCCAAGCTTGACCAACGTTTTATATTCAGAGGATACTTTCGTCTTTTCCTGACCATCGTTTTCGTTCAGAACTTCATACATTATTTCCGAATAGAATTTGATAAAGTGCCGCCCCAAACGATTAGAGTAGTTTTGACATATTGCAAGACTGAATTCGAAACTCGGGTCTTTCTTCACACTGAGACCACTGATGGTTTCCTTGTGTTTCTGAGATAAAAACTTATTGAAGACCAGCTTCAGCGCACGCATAGGCATTGTGTCACATTCTAAAATAACTTCTCCCAAGATTCCGGCTATGATGGCAAACAGCTTGTCTTGAATGCCATCACTTTTCGAGGAGTAGAAAATCTCAAATAGTTCTGTGACGAGTTGGGATGAATTAGGCAGATCCGTCAGGAGTACAATCGACCTATATTCCAGTAAATTAGTGACCAAATACGTTTGCATCGACACATAGCCGTTCTCAGGATCTTGCAAAAGACGAAACTGCTCTAAGAACAGCTGGAAAATTTCTGTGAGTTCTTTGTCTGTGTATGGAGCATCAGGAGCGTAGAGTCGCAGCATATCGCTCAAACAGCATGCTGTATAAGCTCTTACCCCATGGTCTTTGTGTTTCAGGATCTTTTTGTTGATGAGTTCTATCCTGTACTTGTCAACGCTCTTCAAATTAACTTCTTCTTGTTTCAGACCAGAGAGCTCTTCTTGAAGCTGAGACAATCTGTCCAGTAATTCTTGCACGGAGAAACTATCTTTGATAGTCGATATGATTGAGAAGTTAAACTCCAATCTCGTTGAAGACCTTACCATCGCGTCCAGCTACTTGTTTTTAGGTCTATGATTAGTTGCTGTAGATTGGTCAGACGCTGTTGAAACTTGTTGATCTCTGTTGTTTTATCGTTAAAATCATCCAGACGCGTCAAGTTTCAATAACTTTCGCGTTTGCTCGAAGCATTTTTCACGAACAAGTCCGATCACTGGCATAAGTAATTCAAAAAGATACTTGACGGGATGGCAAGCATGTTTCGATGCATTGCATCGTGGGATGTCCATAAAGAGCTGATTGGAATGTAAATAGTAGTCTCCTGTGATTTATAATGGCGCTTATACTGGCGCTTTATAGTTTCTTTATGCACTAGATTATTTCCTCAGGGTGGAATATTAAGACGGTATGTGGGGATGAGATGAAATGAGAAACGGCTGTATTGCTGTCTTGTGTGCTTACTTGTGCACTTTATGGGTACTCTTTCCCATCCCGGGCATTTTGATCAAAGCGTAGAGAGGTTTTGCTTGATATCGCTCGCCCGGGGGCAGTTGTTTCTGGCACATATGCAGATGATGGCCTGCGAGGAAAAGATGGTCCACTAGCGGTCGAAACATTTCTGGATCTGCAGCCTTGAGGCATGTCATTATCATTGTCTTCGTCCTCGTTATCGAAAGAACGCGGCACATCCGAAGCAACCCCTGTAATGGGGTCGACAGAATGAGAACCGCTCCGCGTCTTGGAGTTTGACTGGACGTAGCTATTAACATCTTGTGGTGTTCGGCTGATGACCGGGTGTAATTCTTGCGTGGTAATGGGTAAACGTCTTGTGTTTTCTTTTTCATCGCGAGAAAACCTTGATCCTAACCTTGTGATAGCTCTTTCTAATCTAGCACCCATCTTGGTTTCCATGACGTTCTCTGGCGTCTCTACGTTTGTGTCTGGCTGGATATGGCTGAGTGAGTAAGTTGTGAGCGTGTGCCGCAAGCTCGAACCCTGCTGCCCAGAAGGAGCATTCTGGTCTGATTTGGAGGTCCTTAATTTTCGTAAAATATTGGAACCATTGCTGGTAGAATGAGAAGGACGATTGGACCACATCCTGTTCACGCTTCGGTCCTGAAAGGATGTTTTCTGGGACACTGATGGGCGTGGGAGAGCCATCCCCTTGACAGGGAATACGCCAGCCGGCGTTCTCTGTGGGACTGAAGCATTTGATCGCACGCTTGCCATGGATCTATCCGTGCTTATCTTCCTCAAGGCTGAACCCTGCCGCATTGAAAAATTTGAATTTGAAGTTCTCATATCAGGCCTGTATTCAACGGGACGTTTGCTGGCACCGTTTGTATCGACTATCGAGGAGTCACTGCTGATGCATTCGAATGCATTTTTTTCGGGGCTGTTGCCTCCTTCTGCATCTTGTTCGCCCTCCTCTGCCTCCTCATCAACTTCTTCGGCTAGTTTCGTGGGCATCCTAACCACTCTGGAATCGACGTTAAGCTCAGGTTGTTCGTCTCTGACCTCTTGCTCCGGCAAAGACAGGCGCTTGCGGTCATTTTCCACACTAACAAGATGCATATAGAATGGTACAATGGCAGCAAAAGCACCGCCTCCCACAATATTTCCCAAAGTCGCAGCAACCATATGCTTCCAGATAAACCGGGAGACTGGTAAGTCGGCGCCATTTATCATGCCGATGGTAAGCATGAACATATCTGCAACAACATGTGTGAACCCCATCCCGACAAAACTGAAAATCGGGAGCACCAGCATCAGAAATTTGACATGGATTGGTTTAGCCATCATTTGCAGGTAAATGGCCAGACAGACATAAAAGTTTCCGGCAATGGCCTTTATGAAAGTTTTGATGAAATTGAATGAGTCCTTCTGTGCGACGTAAATGTGCGTCCATTTCACGAAATCAGGCGAACTAGTGACCGTTGACAAGTGACATATAACATACATCACGAATAAAGTGCCTCCCAGGTTACCTAGCCAGCTGAAAACCCAGCTTATCAGCAGATCGTATACTGACACGGCTCCTTGCAACACTCCGACCATGAAAAATAATATGTTGGAATTGAACAGGTCCGCCCCGTTGATCACAACGTAAAAGAGACCAATAGGGAACATCAATCCACCCAGAAAGTCTAATAATCCAGGATTCTGTTCGAAGACGCCAGGATTCATAGAGTGACATGCCGTGAAAAGCATACCACCAGTGCTAAAAAAAACACCACCCATGATAGAATTGCAAATCAAAACCTCCAATCGCAGTCTCGATTTCTTCATGGATGTGGCTACCACCGCTAGAGCTGTTTCATTAGGCGTGATGTAGTAGGCATCTTGAGTCATTTAGTTAAAAGAGATGCCAATAAATGGAAACTTCGAGGTTCGAGCTGGTCCCAAATTTTTGACAAGCCAAAGTAAACGGCGACGTGAATCGTGGTAGAGCTCTCACTGCTGCAACTGGTCGAAGACTTGAGCCTAAGTCTTTCGTTTCTCGCCCCATTTTTCAAAAACTTCAATGTTGTTCAGCATAGCATTGTCTGAATGCATGCACAGCACATGACCTATGGCATCACTTCGGTAAGCATTAGGCATGCAGGGAAGTGGCAGACTAGGCAGATCTAGACAAGGAAAGATGCCACCATATCTCCAAGAGTAAGTGAGCGAGATGAAACTGCTTCGGCAGGTAGAGCTAGCAGACAGACGTGAACCATCTCTCTAAGCTGGACATCTGATATGAATAGTTCTGTTCTGCTGATTCCTTCGAGCAGCATCTCGGCCAAAGATTTGTGCGCTTCTGTCGTGATGTTAGGAGGTAGTGTTTTGGCCCCATTCAGTGCTTTCACGCTTAAATTTCCCGAATTCAACTGTTTTCGAGTGATGTTCTGTAAAAGAACGGAGCCTTTTTTGTAAGCACCCCATAGATCAACAAATCTCTTGGTGACAAAATCACCGGAGTATTTGATCATCGCTGTTATGCCCTCAAGTGCTGGCTTCACCAGGGCAAAATCTCCACCCATAGAATTTTGCACGATTAGGTCCCATGACTTGGCGATTTGCGGGAGAAGCATGTCGTATTCCGTAGCAAGCATGGGGAATATTTGGCACGCCAATTGCAGAATCTGTACCTTCAACGGGCGCGATTCGTGGGTCAAAAGTCTGTCACCGTATCCTGCAATTTGTAAAAGTAGTCGGTACGAATCACGCGGGATTGGAGAGCTCCATTGTTTGGAGTCATTGTCAGCACCATCCTCGTTTTCAGGATGCTGAGACCCCTCCACGTTTTCCGATTCTTCATCTTCATCGTCTTCATCATCGCTATCCACTTCTCTCAACTTGGAGTTGAAAAATCCATCAAAATTGCTGGGGCCCGAGGCCTCGTCTTCCTCGAACGTTAGATTGTCCGCAGACTTGTAGTTTTTAAAACTATCCAAGAAATGCATAACATCCTGCATATTCTGCATTCCCCAGTTTTTAAAGCCATCTTGGGTTTTTTCTCCTGCTATAAGCTTTGGAATGCTCGTTTTCTTTTGTAGGTATGTTTTCGCCATCTCACCGACAACAATACCAAACAACTGAAAGAAATCCATGCACAAATCTTCATATCCATGATAGTAGTCCAAAAGTCTAAAAATGGTTTCAAGGACGTCTCTAAAACTTCTAATCGTTTCGTAGCCCCCAATTCGACAGATCACCATAAGCAAGGTAGCGACTCTTTGAGTCATGCAATTGCTCAATCTAGTGGAAATAGCATCAATCAAATAATCCATGTTTTCCCAAATCAGATCGCGGACCGAACCGCCGTAATGGCTTTGTGCAATTTCCATAGTGGTTGCCTGAGCGAAGTTTCTTATTGCGGGAGACGATGAGGCCAAGCAATCAACCACAGGAAAGAGCACATCGATCAGCTCCCCTTCAAACTCAGACCTCATCGAACTGTTCATTACCTTGACAGCATAAAGGCTAACCATGGCGTCCAATTCGTCATTATTTGTGATCGGGCGTCCATTCTGTGAAGCGCTGTTCAAAATCTCTAGACTGCTTTGTAATACCATGTAACATGCTTCTGGTACATCAGTGTTGTCATCATCAAGTACAAGAAACTCATCCAAACTATCTTCAATCGAGTTGGCTTGGTTCAGTGAGCCTTCGATCAGAAGACTCGATATCCATAATCCCACCGCTTTTCCACGTGTATCATCTGTGTAGCTCTTGGCCAATAGTCCCATCACCAAGCGGTTTGTTTCATTTTTGCCGCAGTAAGAACCTATGGCTTGGAAAAGATTAGACAGTGTTACTTCAAGACTCTTTGACACCTTCGGAAAGAGTTGTTGAAGCTGGGTAGTTTGAGTAAACAATTCTTGCCCCACGATTACCAGTGAACTTTGCTCCAGGACTTTTCCTTTGCTGAACCGCAGGTTTTTCTGTTCAAGGTACTCACTGAAAGATAGCTGCAATTGTGACACGGCTCTGTCAATCATATCATAATCACGCTCACCCTGCTGTTCCATTGCGGATACTGCCAAACCAAACCTCTTGAGGCCCTCCACGCTCTCAAACTGTATAGCTTTAGGGAACTCCGAAATTTGGTTTTCGAGGATGCGTTTGAGTGTATGTGAGTTTTCTTGCGGACCTAAAAGCACTGATGGCGATACTCTGGCGTCCAAGGAAGTGCTAACAAAGAGCTCAAGGCAATTATTGAGAGATAGATGACAATTTTGTTGTACGGTTTCCAAGAATTCTCTGACAGATTTGTTGATGCTATTGCTCTCCCTCTGCAAAAGTCTTGGAAGGACAGCCTCTAGGGCAGTTTTCACCTGGCCTGCCGTTGCGTTCAACCACTTGTTGTTTCTATGCAAATGTACATTACCGAACGAGCTTTCGTCAATTTGTCTGGTGACTATTGGATTTTGACTTGTTTCTGTAAGCCGTTGTTGTAGATCTGGAGTAGGAAGATCGGCGATGTGCAATCCTGTGTCAGAATATACTAAGGACAAAAGAGCGCCGAAAAGTCCCATTGTAGAGCACACCACACTGGCCTTGACGGTTAATCCTGGCTTCAAGAGCAATTTTGAAAATGTAGAAACGTTTCCCGGCAAAATGAATGAGATGACTTCACCATCGTGTAGCAACTCCACATATAATGTCCGTAGAGCTTCGATAGCCTGAAGTTGTAGATTCGCGTTTTCGTCATTGTCTCGCAAAATATCCAGTAAAATTATCACTGAGTGTCCCAGAGAAGGAAGAGACTTGGGATCACTGAAGTAGTTGTAGAAGTCACTAGATTTCTGTACCGCCAACGCTTTAAACAGCTTATTCAGCGCAATACAACCGGCTGACTGAAATTCCGCGGACTTGGCTAACAATTCCTTGTTTTCCTTGTCGTTACTTATCAAAAAATTGAGCAGCGGGAAGAGCTGTTGTGCTAACGCTAGTGGAAATGCACCAACCGATGACCACGACAACGATAATAAATGGCCCATGATGAGTAAAACCATTTCTGTTTGGCTTGTACCAAGACCCTGGTGCTGCAACAGGTGCGCTATGGGAACGAACACATAGTCTGCAAATGCTGGTGCCAGGTTGCTTTGGGTTTCCTCAAGTATCTCAAGTTCTTGTTCTACGGATCGCAGAGCATTGAGTAATGTTAAAGACTGAGGATTGAAAGAACTCGCTGGCAGGAAAGCTTCTCTCGATAGCTCTATACACGCTGGCCTAACCTTTTGGAAAAGTTCTGATTGCTGATGGGACATGTCGCCCTGTGTGGATGTAGGACTTTAACAACTGCAGCGTAGCGAAATGAAGTAATTATCGAATATAAGGTGAACAGGCAGGAGACTGTAAACTAGAAAAAGGGAACTGGACCGAACTGATGATGGCAAGGGCTATACTCAAGATTATTGAAGCGACTCAGAAGTACTCAGTAAGGTTTCAAATTAAAACTAGATACGTTTCCTGTATAGATCTAGTTATTAAAGGTAAATAAGTAAATGTAATTGAAGAAGGAAGTGGGTAACTAAAAGACAAAATCGGTGACGAAAGTTCTGATCTTTTTCCAGCCCCTTTGACTCTTTAATTGTTCATTGAGGAAGTTTTCTTCTTCAGATGGGACGTATTTGTCGGTAACAAAGTCCATGTCTTCGCTTCTCACAAACGAATCACGCTTATAGAGCCACCATCCCGCCCATAGACCGAAAAAGACGAAGAGCTCGAGGTAGTAAGAGAAGAAATCAGAGGTGTTCCATGGGGCGAACGCGGACCAACCTTGAATTAAGATGATGAAAGTGACAAATACCACTAGGAAATATGGACCAACAGGATAAGTCCAGTTAACAAAATTTAGTTCGTGGGTTTTGCCCTGCTTCTCCAATCCACGTCTGAATCTGATGGAGACAATGCTTATGCACAACCAGGCGATTTGATTGGAGACACCGATGATGTTTTGAAGCCAGGTCCACAGCGTTCCCGCGCCGACAAAACTGGAGGCAAAGCACAATCCACCGATAAACCAGGTGATAATAACGGAGACGTATGGCATCTGGTAACGATTAGTTTTTGTAATGAGCTTGGGGAATAAGTAGCCTTCTAATCCTATGTTGTATAGAACTCTGCTACCGGCAAAAAGTGCGTGGTTGCCGGCACTGACGACACTGGTCAAAATGACTGCGTTCATGAAAGATCCAGCAGCGCGAGAGCCTACCATTTGGAAGACAATAGTGAAGGGCGAGGTGATGATGGATTTTTCGCTCAAGTTCGGGTAGTTGTAAGGAACGTTCATGCCGATGAAAAAAGCCGTGAACACGTAGAATATAATGATACGCCAGAAAACGGTCTTGATGGTTCTTGGAGTGTTTCTGATAGGGTTCTTAGTTTCTCCCGCCGTGAGCGTTATACTTTCGGTACCACCGTATGCGTAACTCGAAGAAACGAAGAGCGAGGCGAAACCTTTGAAGCCGTTCACGAACGGAGCCGCGCCCACGGTCCAGTTTTTGAACCCGATGTAAGAGCTCTCTGGGTTACGACCTGCGTTGACGACAATCGAAATGATGAAGAACATCAAGATCGCAATCACTTTTAACAGTGCGAGCCAGTATTCGGCTTCGCCATACACACGGACATGCACAACGTTGAGCAAGAGCAGAAACGCCCAGCAAATAAGTGATGCGGCCCAATATGGGAAATGCGAGTGAGAGCTCTTCCAGTAGTCCAAAACCAACTGTAGTGCGGTCAGGTCGGTACCCACAGAAACGGCGTCGTTGAACCAATAGTTGACCATGAGTGTGAAGGCGAATGACGTGGACCCAAATTTTTTGGCAAAAGTGCAGAACGAACCGGAAACCGGCATAAAAGTGGACATTTCGCCCAGTGCCAACATCGTCAAATACACCACCAGTCCCATGACCGAGTAGTTGATCAGTAGCGATGCAGGGCCGCCGTTGGCCAGCATTTTCCCGGTACCCAGATACAAACCTGTTCCGATGACACCACCGATGGAAATCATATTGATGTGACGGGGTGTCAGCGACCGATTCAGGTTTTCACGCACATTATTCTTGTTCACCAGAAGCTCTAGGTCTTCTGATCCTTGTGATGAGGTCAGAAGCAGACTTTCCGTAATAGGTTCTTCCACATTCTGTTTAGCCAGATCTGCCATCTTGCTAATATGACTGTAGTGGTGTCAGCGAAAAAAAGTGTCACTTGGCCACAACAAAGTGAACAATGGCGGGTTGAATCTTCTCGAGCTCCGTTTCTGGTCGGTTCTTATAAGTGTACGGATCTCATTTCACTCAGGTTCTACTCCCATCCATTCTCATTCCATTCTTATCCACACCCGGTCTATCATCAGTCATCATTTAGAGTTCCGATTTTTGGCCATTTTTGGCCACAGCTTACCATGAACAAACCAGCAGAGTTGTACGGCTCTAATGCCTCTTGTTGCTGTTCCTGTAGTGCTCTTCTTCTTGTCTCTTGAGTTTCCCACGTCGAGCTTCACTGACTTGACTATGGTGTCAGTGGATATTTTTCAGTGTGGCTCTTTGTTAATAATGTCATCAAAATCTTATGGGCGATGAGGTAAGTTCAAAGAAGCCGGAAAATGAGACACGGCAAAAGACAAAGCGAGCCAAACAATCGAGGCACGTGATTGAGATGAGCTAATCAGAAAAGTTCGGATCAAAACGGGTAGGCGGCTAGCAAAAAGAATGAGGAAAACAGTAGCATTCGGATGAGACCGTATAATTGTAAACAGGTAGAAACGGATACCTTGGCATTAGAAAACGGATCAAAACGGGTAGGAGGCTAGACACCCTGGGTTGAAAAAGCGGTAGCAGTCGGAAGACAAGATGCTATTGGATGAAAGCCGAAACGGATACTGGACGGTTAAAGCGGCTTGAAAACGGTTCCACGTCTTTTAATATCGGTAGATTATATAGGATTGCTTTATACAGTGTAAATGTGTTCCAGTGTGTCCTGGATACCGTGTTGCATCAGGATAGGGCAATGCACGCAGCACAAAAGACAGATCACAATCTTAAATATGGCTTCAAAAATCAATAACTCGGCAGTTATTTCTGCCAAGTGTCATCTGAAGTTTCGTTTCAGACGCCACTTAAATTACGTTACTGTCTCTCCCCTTCTCCTGTTCACAGGCCGCAACTGAAGACGATTCTGTCGCGGGGTTGGTTATTTTAAGTTCTAAAGAAGATGGGGGAGTCATGAATCCCAACACAAGAGCAGCCGTTGACCTTTAACTAAATCCCGAAATCTTAACAATCGCGGATTCTGAATGAGCATTTTCTCACCACAGCTCACGACCCACATTCAATATCCATGCACTATAGATTTCACTGACGCTGCGAGTTGTTGACCAAATCTGACTTCAAGACATTCACAAAGAAGATACCAATATCTACTTTGTCAAACCATCACGGCCAGATACCAACAACTTCAGCAATACATCTCTATCGTCTGTTTATCAATACTCCGGGGTTTTCCTCCAGTTTCTCTGTTCACTGACATCAACTTTCATATTAATATCAAATTATCAAAAATCAGCCATCTTCAACTTGAAAACTGACACCAAGATCGGCAACCCCTGTTCGCAAGGTTCAAATAGCGATCTCAATGGCTACATCGTACCACATAGTTTTAGAGCTTGAGGACGAATATCAAATAGTAGAAGCGCACCGATTTTGGACCGGTCAAAACCCTAAAGATTTAGCCAAGAAACGAAGCAGAGAAACTACCATCAGTAACAATAAAGACTGGAGATTTGGTACCTTGAGAATAGAATACTTGCAAATGGACGAAGAAAATTCAATAGGTTTTTTAGAGGCCAACTTCGAAGGCTCAGGAATAGTTCATCTATTTAGAACGGGGCAAGACTTGAGGGGAAACGCTAATAATATGCCAAGTGACCCGAAATTGACAACAGTGGCCGGAGGGGACACAACAGTGGCAATTTTATTTGTACCAAGCTATCTTACGGCTCGTGAAACACTTTTTTCGTTCTTAGGCGATACGGTACTAGATCAAGCGTCTCATATCCGCATTATTCGCAGCAGCGCGGAGTTTTTGGTCCTCATCAAATTTCGTGACCCAGAGTGCGCGCAAGAATTCATAAAGGAGTTTGACGGTAAAAAATTCAATGCTATAGACCCAAGTACCTGCCACGTCGCCCAAATCCGTGAAATCACGTTCCGGCATGGGCTATTCCCATCAGCGCAAACCAAAACTTCTGCTTTTCCCATGATGGATCCTTTCACGGTACTGGATTACCAAAAGGTAGACGTAGAACTGCCGACATGTCCTGTATGTTTGGAACGACTAGACTCAGAGGTTACCGGCTTAGCCACTATACCGTGTCAACACACCTTCCACTGCCAGTGCTTGAACAGCTGGAAAGATAGTCGATGTCCTGTGTGCCGATATTCAGAGCTCAAGGTAAGCAAAAAGTCGCTTGTACGTGGATCAGCTCGTTGCAGCTCTTGTGGGTCCAACGAAAACTTGTGGATTTGTATCATTTGCGGGAATATAGGATGCGGGCGTTACAACTATAAGCATGCTGTGCAGCATTTCACGGATACTGGGCACTTCTTCGCAATGGAGATGGCCACGCAGCGAGTGTGGGACTACGCAGGGGACAACTACGTGCACAGATTAGTTCAGAATGAAGTTGATGGGAAATTAGTTGAAGTAGGTTCCTCGTCGTCCCAAATCGCAGGCGGAAAACGCGATAAACAATACCATCTAGAGTATGTGCAAGTACTACTGTCACAACTGGAGTCACAGCGCGACTACTACGAGAAAAAATTGCAAATGTTGACCGCCGAGACAAAGATGGAAAAAGCAGAACAAGAAGACGACGTTTACCGACTGCGGGACCTACAACAGCAAATACAAGACATGAAATTAAGCGCATCACAATCACGCTTCAAGTCCGAGCAGCGGGTAGCCCAGCTGCGAAAAGAGGTTCAAGAAGAGAAGTCACTTTCAGAAGCGCTACAGGCCAATCTGGATCATCTTGCCGAGAAAGAAGGCGATCTGCAGCGTCAATTAGAACAAAACACTGCTGAAAAACAAGAACTGCAAGAACAGGTGCGAGACCTGATGTTTTTTTTGGAATCTAACGAAAAATTGAAAAATGCTGATGAAGATGTTAGGCAAGGAACTCTAGTCGTGAAACCCAAAAAATCTTCATCGAAGAAGCGCAAGTGAGAGTGGGGTGATAATCAGTCGTCAAAATTACAACGGATTCATGGAGCTATAACTTGACAAGTTCAGGAGTTTAAAGAAAAGCAGATCGAGACAATCGAAAAGCCCCCAATACTTCGATGAAAGTGTCAATGGTCCATCTCCTGGCATTGAAATTGTTTGTCGTCCACCATCCAGACGTCCTAGATCGCTGTCACCTTGATCTCTTTGCTGTTTCATCCCACGGACACTCCATCGAATCACTTTTCTCCAAACTGACAATCATGCGCACGTGATGACTGATTAGATCACTTTGCCACAAACTGACATTACACAGTTTGGAAAATTTTCAATATTCACTCCAGTAAGCATCGTATCTCACCGCTTCGCAGGTTGGTTATCAAACTAAAGATAAAGTGAAATAAACTTTCAAGTGACCTTTGGTTCAACGTTTTTTACTGTGGAATTTAATGGATAAAGACTTGAGGTTAAAGCCTTGAAATTTGACTTGGACACCTTTTTTTTGGGATTCTTTTGAGCCCGATATCATACCATACAGGCCACTGGTAGGTGAGAACGCTTTTGATAAATATGGCTACCAACTCTATTAAGCTATTGGCACCGGATGTGCACCGTGGTCTTGCGGAGCTTGTGGCTAAAAGACTAGGTCTCAAACTCACGGATACCAAGCTAATAAGAGATCCTACTGGGGAAGTTTCCTTCTCTATTCAAGAGTCCGTGAGAGACCAGGACATATTTATCATCACGCAGATCGGGGCTGGGGTTGTTAATGATCGTGTTCTCGAACTTTTAGTCATGATCAATGCCTGCAAAACGGCTTCTGCTAGAAGGATCACATCTGTGCTGCCAAACTTCCCATATGCTAGACAGGATAGAAAAGACAAAAGCCGTGCGCCTATCACGGCCAAGCTCATGGCTGATATGTTGACCACAGCTGGCTGCGATCATGTAGTGACCATGGATCTCCATGCTTCTCAAATTCAAGGGTTTTTCGACGTGCCAGTAGATAATCTCTACGCTGAACCTAGCGTTGTCCGTTACATCCGTGAAAACATAAATTTCAGTGAAGCGATAATCATCTCCCCAGATGCCGGTGGTGCCAAAAGGGCAGCAGCGTTGGCTGATAGATTAGACTTGAATTTTGCATTAATTCACAAGGAAAGAGCAAGGGCTAATGAAATCTCAAAAATGGTTCTGGTGGGAGATGTAACCGATAAAATTTGCATCATTGTAGATGACATGGCCGACACATGCGGTACTTTAGCCAAGGCTGCTGAAGTTTTACTCGAAAACCGTGCGAAATCTGTTATTGCCATCGTCACACATGGTGTGCTCTCAGGAAAAGCCATTCAGAACATCAACAACTCGAAGCTGGACAAAGTCGTGTGTACAAGTACAGTGCCATTCGAGGAAAAGATGAAGTTGTGCCCCAAATTGGCCGTCATAGACGTTAGCGCCGTTTTAGCGGAAAGTATTCGTCGTTTGCATAACGGTGAGAGTATTTCGTACCTATTTAAACATTCTCCACTATGAGCCGACAATGTGAGAGTTATGTAAAGTAGACACACACGCACAGAAAAATCCGGTTCACTAATCGTCTAATCAATACTACTCCTGGTAGCATTGCGTCACCTTTTATAATCCAAATTTAGCCTTGTCTAATTGGGCTAGAGAGTTCAAGACCTCACCCTTGCCGCTAATCACAGCCTCGGTGTCTCCCAAAACTTCTAGAGCATCCGGATGAGGCACCCACACAACATACGCTCCTGCAGCCTTGGCTGAAGCAACTCCTGGTAAGCCATCTTCGAATATGATACATTCTTCGGGACGGATGTTGGATCCAGTCTTCTCGTTTATTTCAGCGAGCCCGATCTGCCAGATATCAGGAAAAGGTTTGCCCCTTCCCGGTGGGATACGAGGGTCATCACCAGTAATGATAACGTCGAATAGCTCGAAACCTTGCTTCAAGTGACCAGTTTTCCCTTCATACTTGTGTTTCGCCGATGACGTACATAAGGCGATGGGCACTCCTTTGGAATGCAGATACCTGATCAATTCCAGTGCTCCAGGCAGAAAGGAACAGGTTGGCCACTTCTTAAGCTGCAACTCGATGGTTTTTTCATCGAGCTCTGCTAAAGTCAAAGGTAGTTGATAGTGGTTTAAGACTTTGGTTGCAGCCTGAGGTCCAGGAAGGCCCTGGAGCTGAATCTTCACATCCCACGTCAAGGGCCCCTTACCAAACTCTGCCAAAACTTCATTTGTTACCACAGTGTATAGATCTTCGGTGTTGATCAAGAGTCCATCCATATCGAAAAGACATGCTCTGATACTGTTCAGAAAATAATGAAAACTGGTCAGTTTCTTGTGTAAAAAGTTTCTGCATAAATCGCAGAAATTCAAATCCAATCAAACTTACCTCGAAGTTGGTTTCATGTTGCCAATTGTAGAGACAAACCCGAAGTTGTTCTTCCTCGAATCCATCGCATAGTGATAAATTTCATGAATTTTGAGACTTTCGACGTCATATGATTAATGGGACCAGATGACCTAGCCCTAAAATGAAAGCCCCGAAAGGATTATACTTCAGAGCGGTGGTAAAGGTGCTCTACAGACGGGACATTGTAGCTTGTAACTCATCCAATTTTCCAAACAGTTGGTGTGGAAAATGTGCCCACAGGGTGTTACCATATAGCTCTGCTGATCGACCTTGTGCGTTTCTGCTATGTCTTCGACGTAGACTGCAACATCGTTCATACAGATGGCGCAGTCTATGGTATGATTTTCCGAACTCCCATGCTCTAGTAGCTCTCCAGATGAAATCGCCTTGTGGTATTTGTAACCATCCGGAATGGTGTAGTTCGGCAAGAACCAACGCCCTCCAAAAACGTCCTGAGAATATAATAAAGCAATCTGGATGAAAAGCCAAGCAGCGACAACGGCTACAAATCTCCGATCTTGGTGATGATAGAAGATGTTTGGAGGTACGCTGTACACGTACGCCACTGGAAGGAATCGAATGATAGATGTACCAATCACAAAGGTCCATAGAAGCGGTGGTTTTGACTGGCGTTGCGGCAGAGAGGTACCAGTGGGTGACTCAGTTTCAGTTCTACGCGGCATGTTGCCCTTAACAGCGTTGCGAACAATTTGCGGAACCCAGTAGGAGCTGAGGACAAAAATTCCAAGACACTCCACAGGGGCACGCAAATCGCGCGGCCAGGTTGCCACGCTGAGGATGGCTATCATGGAAAATAGCATTTTAAAAACATAACTGCGGTACAGCGATGAGCTGATACTTGCTTCGTCGGGAATAACTGTCGGGGTTGGTCGCTCATCCCCATCCGTGTTTCGCCGCAGTAAAGTAAATATACTGACATTCCGCTCGTTTACTTGCGAAGCGTACACTGAGATCATGTATCTCATTTCAAAAACGGATGCCAAAATCAAGCACGCGAACGAACATACAATAAGAGGCTGGTATAGGGCGGCAAAAGAATTGGTCATGACAAAAAAAATAATGGCTAGGACACCGTCAACGAGGTTCATCAACGAGAAACTCCAGTAAGAAATTTTGTTGACTAAAGATGGAGTGTTCGTGTGCTGCATTTGACGCAAAAGTAGATATATCTGCGACGCCAACAGGACTGCACCAAGAAGCAGTAGATTCCTCATCTTCCGGACTTGAAGTTCGTAGCGGAGCCCAGTAACATTTTTCATTTGTAGTCGAACCCCACAATCGGGAGAATAAATCAAACCAGATGAAATATTCACTGGCGGGAGCGATGAGAGATTAGCACTTCTTCCAAGTGGCCACGTCAATTCTTTATCGATCGTCCTAATTTGTTCTTGCGAAAAGTCTGACCATGGGTCGAGTTGCAAAAATGCTAGGAACTCACAGCTTGTGCTCGCAACTGCGTAGGAATTCTGCAAATATGCCATTGATCTAGTATTGATGAAATCCGTAGCATTCCAGTATTCTTCTACCAAAGTCTTTACCTGGTTATAAGTCGCTTCATCTTCATTCTTCAAGTTCATGTAATGCGGTAGAGCGAAAAGAGAATGAAATTTAGCACTTTCTGAAAACGCTAAAATTCTACCGTTTTGTATGTCATAAATGGCCTTGGACCGAATAGCATGCTTTTCGTTCTCACTATAGTCCGAAAAATGGATGTTCAAATGCAAAAATCGCCATCTATCGCTTTGTGTATTCTGGAAACGGGTCTCTCTTTCGTAAAGTCCCGAGATCGTGTCAGCTGAGAGGATTTCCACCACGATTTCGCCCTCAAGGAAAGTTATATTGCGGGAGCCCTGGTAATCGCCAAGTTCCGAGTCGTATGGCTCTGCGAAACTAGGCCGATTTTGTAGCAAGTCCTGTGCTGGCTTATAATATTCCGGTATAGGCATCGGTACCACTACAAACTCCTCATCGTGTGATCTTTTGACCTGTCCCCTTAACGTACTTGTCACATTTGGGGGATACACATTGTGTCCAGTTTTCCAAACGCTGTGTTTGATCTCATATTCGACAGACTCTGGTAACAACGTGTAATTTTGATTGGCAAACCAGTGGTCGTAGTCTTTTCCCTCTATCGGATATGTGGCATTGATTTTCGGTTCCTGTAACACATCACCATAAGAAAGTTTGAGACCTGTAATATTGCGGAAGTTATGGTTGGATGATAAATTGCTGAACTGCATATGTTCCTGCTCATATTGGGCCTTCAGCGTCTGGAGCTGATTGTATTCATATTGTGAGGTAACTCCGTCACCGGACGGATTTGAGTATAAAATGAACAGGAAAACAAAGACTAGCAACAAGGTGTTGCCGTCTATTTCCATTACGTCAAAAGATGGATGCGAGCGGCACTATAGAGAGCCTTGTGAAGTCTCGGATCAACGTTGAGTTGCGGTGATGGCGTTTAAGGTAAGGTCAATTAAAGGTATAATAAGTTAAGATTAACTAATTAAAGATCCCGTCGTACGAGTGTCAGGAAATACCTAAAGCGATTCAAATTGTCACTTCGAGCTTCACCTCCAGAAAGTACCTCCAGGAGTTCCAACAGCTTCAACTCAACGAAGTAGTTGCAAAACTTCGAGTAATGAGTGTAGCTTTTTTGACAGTTTGAGGTACTGCTAAGTGGCTGAATGAATCAAAGATTTGGTTCATAAAAATCAAATCGCTAGTAATTACTGGCACTGTTGTTGTCAGCATAACTGTCTTTACAGGGATGCTCACTGCGCTTAGATTGTTGTCTGATTTATATTGTATTATTTCCTAATACTTTCAGCGAGAGATTGTGTATTTTTGTCGTGGCCGAGAGTTGTAACTTTTGACTTCTGAAGATATCTTGATGACCGTCCATCTTGAATTACAGTGTCATTCAAATCGACCTTGCAGTTGTGAAATCCAAAAGAGAAATTCAGCGGTTTCACGATTTCGAGGAGATTTATAATGCAATTGGGTTGAAGAGCGCACTCATCTTTCCACTTCAATTGGGTGTTTCTTCTAGAACCCAGATATGTTGAAAGTATTAGTGACAGAAGGGATCATCCACTCACCTTTCTGTATCAACTCACATTTCAAACGCTTCTAGAGCGATTTTTTTATTTTCAAAAGTGGCAGAAACATCTTTTATGACAATTCTGATGGGCAAGTTCCTTCACATAGTAGACATTTGACGTTGAATGTCTTGGTCTCAATGGTACTACATCAAAGACCTTAGTAAACACTACGCGTAGCGAAGGTGTGTGGATGAATGTATTACGATTATTGTTTGAAATATGTCTGGTTTCTTACTTGACTAACGAAATAGGAATGCTCAACCTGCGTCTCAAGAGGGCAACAGGACTCCGTAATTCTACTATTTTGTGAAAAGAAAACGATGATAACTCACACAGATTTGTGGGCCATTTAATGCTCCAAGATTTGTAAATTACCCGTAATGACAACGTTTTCCAGTACCGATCCATTAGGAATATCGATTCTTTGACCCTCAGAACAAACAATAATTACGGTTCCTTTCAAATGGACGCCTTTACCCAAAAATACATTACCCGTGATAGTCAAGTGATCCAATTCAACAATCTTAGGGATGTGAGGTACGTGTGCATTGAAATCGGAAACTTTTTTAAAATGCGATCCCAGTTTAATTAGCGGGTTAGGTCCGAATCTGGAAGCGTCAAGTTGCAAAGCACCGTGCTCCAATTCAAACAAATCCGATTTCACCAAGAACAAATCGGAACATGTCTTGACGGGCAAGAAACGAGATCTGGGAACCACTACACCGTGAGCGCCTTCAAAATGTCTGATAGCAGCACCGCAAGCAGTTTCCAATTGCAACACATTAATTTCGTGACCGCCCCTCTTGATGGTTTTCTGATTTGGAATGATTTCCATTTGTAGGCTGCTGGATTCAATCAATCTTTTTACGGCTTTCAAGTTGATCCACAAATTATTGGTGTTGAAGTTTTTGAACTTACGGATATTTTTGAACTCGTCAACATGTTCTTTAGGCACTTGAGCCACTTCCAACAGACGTACTTGGCCGTCATAGGATATCAAAGTACCTCCCTTAACATCGGCTCTCGTCTTATCGGTCAACTCCATGATGTATTCGGCACCGGTTTCAATCATATGGTTAAGAATTTTGAGGTCGACCGTGGCACCCAAATTGTCACCATTAGAGACAAACAGAACGTCACGACCTTGTGCAATTAAAGCGTCCAATTCGCCAGAAGCGTGTAAAGATTCAAACAAGTCACCGTGGCCTGGAGGATACCAGGCGTCCAAATCGTCGTCATACGATGATGGCACTGGCAGCAACGAGTCTTTGAACACACGTGGGAAACGCGATTGGTTGAAAGAACGGATGCGGATACGGTTGCCGGTGTATTTCTTGATGAGATGCGCGGTGTCCGAGTCTGTGTTGAACGAGTTCATCAACAACAGCGGAACATCGCTGTCGTACTGTCTGTTCAAATACTCAATTTGACGCACTGAGAGGTCCAAAAACGTGTTCCCGTCACGCACCTCAATCACGGACTTGGGACCAACGCAGCCCATTGAGGTACCCAGACCACCGTTTAGTTTCAGCACGGCCAGCTTGCTGAGATTGGCCACCTGTTCTGGCTGTTGCTGGATCACAGAGTACTCCACAACTTCTTCTGGGTTAGGTGACTTGATACGGTCCCACTCCAGCGTGTTTCCGGAAGCCTTTTCTACCAGATACCGTCTGAACAGCGTGAAAAACGAATCAAGCTCAATTTCACTTCTGTTACGCGATTCTTCGTCTTTGACGGAATCCGCCAATTTGTTGAGTGCATTGCGCATTTGTGATGCTGCCACGCTGTTGGTATTGCTTTCAAAAGCATACGTGGAATGCGTTTTCGTGTGTTTTTTAGGGGTCGACAACATCTGCAAGTTTTGGGTCTTATTTCTGTTCTGGTTTGTTCCTTCTGATGATTGTAGCTACACCCAACTCTTATTGCAAGTAAGGATTGGTACTCTATTTGTATTTGTCACCGATTTCTCAAAAATGCTCCGTTTTCGGTATTTTTTTTTCGTTGTGATTCTTGCCACTGCAATGTTAACAGTATTTTAGTTTCAATTCCAAGAGAACCGTTCGTTAGGTGCTTTTACCGCTCAAATAGTGTAGATTTCTTCCGATCTGAATCAGATCTGTAATTTTCCTGGGGGGGTGGAGGGGTCGCATCTATTTATACTCGCAGCCTAAGGAATGAGGATCGAGCCTTTTGATACAAAGGGAGAAAACCGTACACGCGTACAGAGCAAAACACAAAAACACAAAAAAAAAAGGGTCAAAAATAATAAAAATAATAATAATAATAATAATAATAATACAATTTATAAAAAAAAAAATTAAAGATTATGTTGGCGGAAAAAAAAATGTGATTCGGATGAAAGGTGTCTTCCGAGGCACGTGGTAGGTCATATGCTTGTCACGTTTGTTGTTTATCACGTGCTATGCACGTGGCTATAGCCAGCCTAATTCGAGTGTAGACAAAAGTCCCCATATGGTATCTGACAGCGAGAGGGTCTCAGGGTCTTGATCTTTGTCTTGGCGATTCTGCTCTTCTTCTTCTGGCTTATTCTCATACCTATCGCGCAGTCGTCGTGCCAAGGCAAGCGACGAACCGCGAAAAGCACGCGGTGTTTGTTCGAACATTTTGTAAGGTTTCAGCACAGATAACAGACTTGTGATCTGGACCAACTCGCTCATGCAATTCGATAGTTCCAACACCACCCGCTGCGAATCCGACTGCAATGTCAGCCGCCGCACGACCAGCGCGATCAGCGTGCTTGGCAATTGCTTCACCAGCTCCAACAGATTCGACACATAAGCAACCATCGATACCACGAACGGCGAGACAGTTCCTTGTGACAAAGACGTACTGGCGTTGCCGTTAAGTCCCAGTAATTTCTTGTACATGTCAGACTCGGTCGTGTTGGACGGTTTGTCGTGCTCATTTGCGTAGACACCACCACCCACTTGTTGCGAAGGAGGTCTATTATTGGGATCAATGCTGTTCGTAGGGTTGGCCCGCATAATGGCCGTAAGCACCCGCTGCATTGTGGTGACAACCTGACATATGGCAAAACACAGTTCCACGATATGCTGCTCGCTCAAAGCCGGTAAAACATCTACGCATCGAGTCACGAGCTTGTGTGATTCTATAAGTAGCTGCGCAAAATGCGATGTTGAGATTTCATTGGTTGTGTCCTGAATCTGTAGGTCAGGCCATATCGCTCCTGGTCCAATGCAAGTGCTTTTGCGGCCCGTAGACAATCGCGATAAAACATCCCCCAATCTTAAACTTTGCTGCATAATGTCAACCCTGGACTTATCTTGTTCTAGGCTCCACTTATCGGCACTGTACGCAAACGTATCAGAGATCAAATCTGGAAGCGGAACACTCATCAGTTTAGGAACTCCAAAAGTACAGCTTTGTAAAGAATCGAAAATAACCAGTATTGAATATAGCCTTTTGAAGAGAGCGTTATATCCCTTCTCTTCTGAAGCAACAATGGGATCCTGCCCGTCAGGTCGTTCCACAACGTCCATTGCATCGTACGTCAAATATCGGAAAAGCTTCAGTTCATTGAAAATGGTGACTGACATGCCTAACACAAATGAATTGTCATATCCAACAAATGCCAGCACATAGTTCAAAATAGTGAAAGTTGCGAGATATATGAACTTGATCTTCTGCGACAGCACACCATCGTTTTCGCGGAGCCTCGGATGGATGTCCACTATTTTTTGGAAGCTTTCATTAAGAGCGGCAATAAACGTAGTCTGAGAATCAAATACATCCACAATACCATCGCTATAATCGTACGCCGAGCCCGACGGTTTTTTTAATGCTACTCGCACCAGTAGCTCGAGAGAGTTTCGAAACCACTGTAGAACGTAGCAATTTAGTTCATGGATGTGACTAACAGGCTGTGTGTTTATTACCAGAACTTCGTTCGTCAGGGTGTGTTTGTTGATTGGGATCACTGGGAAAGTGGGGTGAATGAATTCATAATAGATATCTACCAGCTGATTGTCCGGAATTTTGCCATAGACAACAATAGAACGTCCCATTGGGCTGTGAGAATCCATTGAAGCCTGTGACCCGCTTCTTTTGTTTGTCGAAGACCCTGACCTGCCCAAAGAGGCATTGGTTCTATCGTGTGCCACCGCGTCGGGGTAGCCATCTGGAACCCTTTGAAATGAAGCGTGTTCACTATTTGAGCGTTCCCGGTTCAAGTTATTTCCCAAACTTTTCTCTGGCACGTTTGAAGTGGGTGCCGACATCTTAACTGGCACCATTTTGACAGATGAACTAGGAGAAACGGCTTCACTGGCATTACTGTTTTTACGCGAATGAAATGCGGGATTGAACTCTCTAAACTGCTCATGATCGCTATTCTGAGTTTGTTGTGGTTGGGCAAGATTAGACATGAATGGCTGCTGAGATGAATGTTGTGGCAGTGCGTTGTTGAATTGCGAGTACGGATACTGCGAAGAATTTGATTTTGAGGACGAAGTCCTTTGCAATGCTGGTAGGTGTGCAGTAGCTTTAGAATATTGAAGATCTGCTTCGATGTGTGGGGCATTGGACAGTTGAGCATATGCGGGCTGTGGTGGTTGTGGCATGGGGTAAAACGGCGATGCGGAGGACGCATTCGAAGCGGCATAGGCAAATTGGTCAGAGCCACGCCGATTTGACACATCGCTCGCCAGAGAATCCACCGATTCTCGCCGTTGATACTGGTATTCGTGGTAAGGTACCTTCCAGAATTGTTGTGGATGCACACGATGTGGTTGTTGCTGTTGCTGTTGCTGCTGTTGCTGCAGCTGTTGTTGTTGTTGAACAACTGATAACATACCGTGCACTTTTTGCTGGGGTCCGGAAGATGACGAGGATGGTAAATACTGATTGAGGGGCGGCAGGTCAATTTTTCCTCTGGCGGAATCTTCAGGAAACGATTCCGAACAGCTTCGCTTACGAGCCCCCCAATTTCCACCGTCTACTGAATCTGCGTCTTCGGAATGACGATTATAGCCCTTGACGGGCCCCCTTTTCATGGGAACCCGTGCAAAAGTGCATGTTTTCCCCAGTTTCTTGCATACAGAACACACTGCACTATGGGATCCATCGCCAAAATCGCATTTGGTCTTCTTTTCACGACACTGGTCGCAAGCACGAGACGCCTTGCTTCGTCTTCGCTCTGTGACAATTCCTACACCACCATTTGGAGCGACGTCTTTGTCCCCTGGATTTTCATCCACCGCTTCCTTCGGCGATTCTCTCGAATTGGTGGTCGCAATAACGTTTGACTGAGTTGTGGCCTCCTCGGCGGACGATTCCATCGTCACAGAATCGCTATTTGACGCAGATTTTGTTAATTCTGACATTCCTCTTGTCCTTTTTCACAGTTTAGACCAATCTGCAAGGATTACAGGCTCGTGAAAAGTATTAAAAAAATGGAGAAAACACAATCTCCTTTTAAAGTCCTTGCGATGCAATATTCGAGCTTGTGTTTGGAAATCTTAGTTCGGAGACACTGTGTTATATATAATTCAGTGGTTTTAAAGCACTTCTTGTGGTGACACTTGGTTGTTTCCCAGTAGAACCCATATGTACCTACCCCAGATCTTTTAATTCATTAAATTTGAAGATTGATGATATACCCACTATAAAATGTCAGTATATAAGTCGATACATCATATTAAACGACGCGGTGGGCATAGAAATTATTTGCCAAACGTTCTATTGTCTTAGATTTGAGCTGAAAGGCAGGAACTATTAACGGCACTTCAACTCATTTGCAAAGCTACTCAGTGTGGTTTGGTCAATTGTGCTAGAAACCAGAAATAATTCTGACTATGTATTTTTTCACCATTATGTGTTTACATTACCTTAAGTTCTCCAACGGTCAGCGCCGTGGCGCAGTGGAAGCGCGCAGGGCTCATAACCCTGATGTCCTCGGATCGAAACCGAGCGGCGCTATTGTTTTTTAAAAGAAGTCTTATGACACACGTGACAGCTCTTTCTATTTTCTCGAGCGTGGAAGATGAATCTATACAGGTTCACTACTATAGAAGAGCAGAGTGATGCATCAAACGCTCAGGATCCATAGCTACAACTACTTAGTTGAAATTTCGAAGTAATTTTAGTGTTGAAACTCACAATTCTCAAGTCAATCAATGGGAGACAAAGAGGCTGTTTTGAGCCGGCACCGGGCCGAGAAAAAAAATCTACAAAATCAAATCACTGGGATGAAGAAACAGGCAACGAAATCCAAACGGAAAGAGGTCAACGCTCGTTGCGAAGAACTCGAGTACCAGATGCGTGTCAAACACGAACAGGAGCTGGCAGAAGAAGACGAGGAAGAAGTGGGGACCGCTCCAGGTGCCGACGTGACACCTGAAAAATTACTGGAACAATTGAATTTGAACAAACCTGAGGATAGTGTTGATCCTGTGGACCAGGACGTCGAGCAGAAGCAGCAAAGTGCTCCAACACCACAGCCAAAAAAGAAACGCAATCGTCAGCGCGAAAAAATTGCCCAGCGTAATGCGGAAATCGCCCGCATGAAAGATGCAGCGGCCCAGGAAGCCGCAGAAATGCCCGATTATCGCAAGATGGAACAAGACAGTCTCGACGAGATATGTCGTGTAAACAAGCTGCAACAACACGACATTCAGCCCGATGGACATTGTCTCTTTGCCTCCATTTTAGACCAAATCCAGACTCGGCATCACAACGATTGCGAGTACGACTTTCCAGCTACCTATGCCGAAATCACTACTGCTCAAGATTCCAAAGATGTCAACTTCAGCGTCTACGCACTGCGCTCCCTTGCTTGTTGCTACATTCGCGAGCACCCAGACGACTTTGTGCCGTATCTGTTCGACGAAGCCACATTAAGTGTCAAAGACATCTCGGACTACACCAAGAGTATGCAAGAAACGGCCGAGTGGGGTGGTGAGGTTGAGATCCTCGCCTTGGCCAAAGTTCTGAAATGTTGTATCTCCGTTCTAATGAGCGGTAGAGCCACCCACAAAGTGAACGAACAGGAATTGACCAATCCACAGCTCAAGTTGGTGTACTACAAGCATAGTTATGCGCTTGGTGAGCATTACAATTCTCTTCGCGATGAGTGAAAAATCGACATAATACAGCTTGAAATTGAAATATATTGAAAATTACTGGCATATTTCTGAAAATGCATCCAAAAGTGTGGAAAAAAAAACATGTTCAATCTTACCTTAAGACGCTTCTATGCCGCTGGAGCAGCGTCAATCAGGCTAGGAAGGCCGAGCAACAACCTGACCAGTGGAATAGTCGGTCTCGCTAATGTGGGGAAATCTACTTTTTTCCAGGCCATCACCAATTCGACACTAGGTAACCCAGCTAACTATCCTTTTGCAACGATTGAGCCAGAACAAGCCAAAGTAATAGTGCCGTCCAAGCGATTGGACCATCTACAAGAGCTGTACGAGAGTAATAAGAAAGTTCCAGCGACCTTGACGATATACGACATTGCTGGACTCACCAGAGGTGCTTCAAAGGGCGATGGGTTGGGTAACAAGTTTTTGAACGACATAAGGCATGTTGATGGCATTTTCCAAGTTATCAGAGGGTTTGATCAAGAGGAAATTACACATATTGAGGGCTCAGTGAACCCAACGAGGGACTTGAGTATCGTCCAAGATGAACTGGTGTTGAAGGACCTTGAGTTCCTGGAGGGAATTCGGGAGAAGTTGAGCCGCAAGATGACCAAAGCGGCTAAGAACTCTGTGGAATTCAAGACCATGGATGCAGAAGTCCAGCTTTTGGATGCACTCGAAGAGCACATGTATGAAGGCAAGAAAATCGCACATTTCCAGCATACTTGGAGTCAAGAACAAGCCGATATCCTGAATAAACACAATTTTCTCACGGCAAAGCCTACCTTGGTGTTACTTAATGTAAGTCCGAAAGACTATTTGCTTCAGAGCAACAAATATACGCGAGACGTCGAGCATTGGATCGCGGAGAACTCGCCAGGTGATAAATTGCTACTTTTCAGCGCCGAGTTTGAGACTGTGCACAACCAATTCTCAGCGGCAAACGACCAACAAGGGCTAGAAAACTATTGCCAGTCCGCTGTTGCTGACTCAAGCGCTGAGGTGAGAACTCAGTCTTGTCTTCCAGAACTCATTGTTGAAATGAGAAAAAGTCTGGGCTTGATAAGTTTCTTTACATGCGGTCCAGCCGAGGCAAGGCAATGGACTTTACGGGAGAGTAGCTTGGCTCCACAAGCTGCAGGCGTCATACACACAGATTTGGAGAAAACGTTCATCTCGGCAAGCGTAACCAAATATTCAGACCTGCAGAACATGGAGTCTCCCGTCAAGGAGGCTCAATTGAAGGCCATGGCTCTTGTGAAAAGAGGTGGCAAGCAATATGTTATAGAAGATGGAGATATCCTCCTGTTTAAAGCGGCAAAAGGTGACTCGAGGTAGCAAAATAGAATCACCACCTTTCATATGGCATCCACGCAGATAAATTACCATTGTACATAGAAGTTTCATATCAGAGCATTTGACAGTTTTTCTTCTCCTGATTTAAATCGAAGAGCTGGGTTTATAGCATTGTCTCTAAGGACTTGTTCTCATCATAAACAGAAACATGAAATGATTACCAAGAGCGTTTCAAAAAAAAAAGGACGGGTCACACGTTTTTTGAGCGTTGAATTCCCCAGAATTCATTTTACTACTGGACAAGAGAGAGGGAAAGTCTTAGCGCGGAACGGTTGTTGAACCTGCAGTTGTTCAATGAATAATAAAACGTTACCATGTTCTACTTTTCCACTTTTTATATTAACCACTAGTATCATTGAGTACGACACTCCCGCAAGGCAACAACTAGGGCTTCCTGCTGGTGCTACACATTCTATTGATTTGTTTACCAGCTTCGAACCATCTCATAGGGTGAGAGTACCTCGAGTTCGGCTTGCAACTAGTTTGCTCATCACTATCCTTTCAATTAAACTATACACTTTGTAATACAATTGGGTTGAAACAACTTCTCGCAGCAGACGGTGGAGTACCGTCGCCAATCTTTAATCTTTGCAAGACAACAGGGGAACACTGCTTATTCAAGCAGTCAATATCACGGAGAGTGCCGTCTTATTTTTTTACCACTGATAGCACAGCAGAGGTATATCAGAAACTGCCACACCTAGAGTGGGCCGCTTGCAATGGTTTCAGATCAGCGTCGAGGGAAGTTCAAACCACAGTGTGAAGAGCACAGCAGAGATGGTGACAGAAGCGGTTGTTTTCAAGAACTGTGTGCAAGCACATCGCTCAAGTAAGAGAAAAATAAAGAAGGGTCTCGGAGTCTACCGTGCACCGTTTAGGCAGCAACGGTGACTTCGACATCCACACCAGGTTCGATGGTAATCTGGGTGATTCTCTTGACGATCTGGGCAGGAGCCTGCAAGTCGATGTATCTCTTGTGGATTCTCATCTCGTAGGTGTCCCAGGTCTTGGAACCTTCACCGTTAGGGGCCTTTCTGGTGGTGATCTTCAAAACCTTGGTTGGGATTCTGACTGGACCCTTCTTGACCAACTTGTAGTTTTCAGCGTTCTTGATGATGTTGGCAGACACGTTTTCCAACTGCTTGACCTTGGTGGAGGTCAAGGTGATTCTGATCTTGTGGATCTGAGGTTGGTCCTGTTGGTCGGCTTTTTCCTTTTGAAAGTCAGACATTGTTGGGTTGATATATACCTTTTGGTGTTCTTGGGGCCTGAACCTAACAAAAAAACACTCGCAAGCAAGTTCGATCAGTGAAGAGCTGGTTTTACTTCCTACAGTAACTGCCAGACGTGAAAAATCCCGTTCGTGGTATGTGATCCAGTTGTCTATTCAAGATTGCGTGGGTCGCGAAACTGGTTTCTTTTTCGGATGATAACTGAAAAAAACCTTCAAAAAAGAGCAGTCACAAGTGAGGGTCGACAAACGAGTAGACAAACGAGTGGATAGTACAGTAGCTGTCGCAAGAGCAGCTGCACCTGTAAAGTGGACTACATATATGCAATAAATACACACGTTTCACAACATGACACGAAAGTTAGTTGTTGTTAAGACTAGTTCACTATCCTATGAATTAAATTTTTCAATTCGTCTTCTACTCTGTCAATCACTTTCCCGACTTAGACAGATGTTTTGACCATATGATTCCTTTGCAAAGTTAAGCCACTCAAAGGACACGATCCCTATGGTATCTTAATCACTCACTTGCACATTGCGTTGTGTTGCGTTGTTTCGTTGTGTCCGTCGGGTTCTACTATCTTGAAATGACTCCTCTCACATGTCCGTCGGGAAATACATAACTCCGGCGGACGCTAGAAACGTTTCAGTCTCTATGTACGAAAGTCTTCAAACCATCAAGATCATAACAATCAATATCTAAATTGAATAAATACCCATTGAGTAAGGGCGATGTGGTCTTCAATCGACAGACTTCTCTAGCGAAGAGTTGATTTCGTAGTGTCTTTTATCAATTCCACTCACACATAACTTGACCATTCGAAGCCCTTCTTTTGAATTTGGAAAATTCGCTTTCTGTACCTTTTTCCTAATTAATTTTGAGAACGGAACAACCATACAGGACTGCCAAAGAACATATAAAGCTCGTAATATTTGAGTATTAGATTTCCTAGCGCTTGGAGACCAGACAGCAGAGCTAGATACCTGCAACAATTTTTGTGACCACTACAACATCAATTTCGTAAACATACAACTATGATTTCGGAACCGGTGCAATATCTTAGATCGATAAAATCCGTGCGGGAAACTACTTCCCAAGTGTTTCAGTTCGCGGTTGACCGCCAAGGAGGCAATTTTTTCGAGCTAGACCTCTCCAAAATGCCGGCAGTCGCTGATTTTTTGTGTGACATTATCGAACGAGACTACGGCTCCGATTATGCCAAGATTCCACCCCATGGCCGCTGGCAGCACCTGAATTACGGGTCCCAGCCCCGCGTGGAAGACTTAACGCAGCAATGGATTGATGCGGGTGGTGATGAAATTGAAATTGCCCGCAAGCTAATCGACTTGTTCGTGCTGAGCGTTCTTGTGGATGCAGGCGCCGGGAACGTTTGGACTTACACCATTCCTGGTTCGTCAAAAGAGTCCCCACAGCGTGTCGGTCGTTCTGAGGGCTTAGCAGTGGCTTCGTACTATCTGTTCGTTGAAGGCCAGTATTCTAGTGATTCCAAGGACTCGCACAAGGTGTGTGGGGCAGCATTGCAAAACTTGAAGCTCGAGGATTTTACTCAAGGCTTTCAAATTTCAGATTCAAACCCCATGGATGGTACTGAGGGGCGTTTAAAGTTGCTCCAACGTCTAGGTAGCGCTCTGTGCTCCAATACCGAAATTTTTGGCCCTGAAGGCAGGCCAGGAGGGATTGTGGATTTCTTACATGGCAAGTCACGCGCCAAGGGTGACAATCCAAATGTCATTGATTTAGAGGATGTCTGGAACGCTCTTATGACGGGTCTCAGCTCAATTTGGCCTGCTGGTAGAGCTGTGGTTGACGGTGAACCTTTGGGTGACGTTTGGAAGCTTGACACCAAGGCTGACGCGGCTGCAAGCGGCTACAACAAGTTTTCTACTCCCGCTGGAGTTCCATCTGATCTTGTGACTTTCCATAAACTCACTCAGTGGCTGTGCTACTCGCTTTTGGTCCCCTTGGAAAGATATGGCTACAAGTTCACTATCGAAAACAAGGAATTACAGACAGGACTTCCAGAGTACCGTAATGGTGGTCTTTTCTACGATTTCGGGGTTTTGAAATTAAAACCCGAAGCGATGGCCAGAGGATTGCAGCTTTGTAAAGAGCTTGGAAAAAGCAGCGGGCTCCCCACCTTCGAACCGCAGGACGGCGCCATTGTCGAATGGAGATGTCTCACCATTGGACTTTTGGACTACTTGCTGCCAATTGTGAATGAGAAACTAGGCTTCCAGCTAGGTCTGCCTCAGTTGATAGAAGCCGGATCCTGGAAAGCTGGGCGTGAAATTGCTGCCCAACTCAGACCCAGCACCAGCGGACCACCCATTGAGCTGCACAGTGACGGCACAGTTTTCTGAAAATAGAAAGGACCCTTCCATATCGCTCGCTGACTACCAATATACCAGAACAATGAGTGCACGGCTGTTCCCGACAATTCCAATCAAAACTCAAGCCAAAAAATACACAGATTTCAAAAACTCTAGCTTTAAACTGACGTTCCATACATTCTTTCAACATGCGTCATCCAAAAAATCGCCGGTCCTGGCCAAGTTAGAAGGGGTTCATGACTCATCTGAGTGTTATCTCGATGATTACAGTCTATGGACAGCGCAAAAAGTCAATCTCCGAAACGCAAATTATCCATCCGTCTGCTAACTGTGTGCGCATTTTTCCATTCTTGATAGCTCCACCCCACCGAACCATTTCGCAATAGCTTGACTGATATGCTCGAACGTCCTATTCGAGTTATCGATCTTTCGATAACGCTTTCAAGGCTTACGTAATCGATTTCTCGAGGCCCACTTGAAAAAGATAGCACTGGAAAATTATCATGAAAGTCGCGGTGATGAGATGAGATAGCGACGGAATGATGGTCAGTACCCAGCCTGTGTACCAGAACTTGGCGTTCAGAGGGTCATCGTCAAGCTTGTAAGCGGGTGTGATATGGCATGCAGTGTTCTTGCGTTGTGAGGTGTGACTTTGTTGGGAAATGAGTGCGATGATCCAAGAATAAGTCATGCGCGATAAGATAATGTCGGTCAAAAATAGGCCCGGATTTTCAAAATCGAAGACCTTTAAGAGCAAATGGTAATCCGGAGAACATCAGCGATGGAACGTTAAAGTTTGATCGGATTTTTTTCTTTGCATCAGCTTCCATCAGCTTTCCATCTATTAGAGCATTGACCAGATTGCTTCTAGTGCTTCCCTGATTTCTAAAGTTTACGCTTTTTTTTACTTGGAACAATGAACGGACTCGAGAGTCCATTGCCGCAGAGTGCAGGCTATGCCGTTGTTGTCGGTTTGGGATTCGTATTTGCGTTCGGTATGATTTTGACCACTTTCATGTTGAGACGGTACCAAAAGGAAATTGTGACGGCAGAAGAGTTCGCCACGGCCGGGAGAACCGTCAAGACAGGCCTTATCGCGGCAGCTGTGGTGTCGAGTTGGACCTGGGCTGCTACGCTACTGCAGTCGACGTCAATGGTGTACAAAGTAGGTATCTCTGGTGGCTACTACTATGGTGCAGGAGCATGTTTCCAAGTCATCGCATTTGCTACCGTAGCGATCAAGGCCAAACAAAGAGCACCCAACGCACACACTTTTCTGGAAATTATCGATGCCCGTTACGGAAAATGGGCGCATCTCACGTATCTGTTTTTTGCGCTAGCTACCAACATTCTCGTCACTGCGATGCTTCTCACAGGAGGCTCGGCTGTCGTCTCTGCACTCACTGGTATGGACACAATCGCGGCTTGTTTCCTGTTACCCATTGGTGTCATCGTGTACACGCTGTTCGGTGGTATCAAGGCTACTTTTCTGACAGACTATGTTCACACCGTTGTCATCATCGTCATCATTTTGACTTTTGCGTTTACTGTGTATGCCACAGATGACACTCTTGGATCCCCGTCAAAAGTGTATGACTTGGTTCGTGCCGCCGCTGCTGCGCATCCTATCGAGGGAAATGCCGGGGGAGAATATCTGACCATGAGGTCAAGGTCGGGTGGTATCTTTTTCGTCATTAACTTGGTGGGTAATTTTGGAACTATCTTTTTGGACAACGGGTACTGGAATAAAGCTATTTCTGCATCTCCAGCCGCAAGTTTACCTGGTTATGTCCTCGGTGGTGTCTCCTGGTTCGCCATTCCGACGCTGATTTCGACCGCCTTGGGACTCGCATGTCTGGCATTGGAGTCTTCTCCTTCCTTCCCAACTTATCCCAACAGATTGAGCCCAGAGCAGGTATCAGCTGGCCTGGTTTTACCAACTGCCGCATCAACATTGATGGGGAACGGAGGAGCTGTTGCCGCTCTCATTATGATTTTCATGGCCGTTACTTCTGCCATGTCTGCTGAACTGATCTCTGTCTCATCTATTTTCACCTACGATATTTACCGTCGCTACATCAATCCAGCGGCCTCGGGAAAGAAACTTATCATGTCATCGCACGCTACCTGTGTCTTTTTCGGCTTTGCCATGGCTGCCTTCTCCGTAGGGCTTTATAAGGGGAATGTTGACATGGGTTTCCTTTACGAGATGATGGGAGTCATCATTGGTGCTGCTGTGCTTCCTGCGACTCTCACACTTTTCTGGGATAAACAAAATACCGTTGCTGTCATCGTGGCACCAATCTTGGGTACCTGTCTGTCTATTATGTCATGGTTGGTTTGCACGAAGAAGAAGGCTGGAACGCTAACAGTGGAAACGACTTTCGAAGACGATCCAATGTTGACTGGTAACGTAGTCGCGTTATTATCTCCTGCGGTTTTCATTCCGATTTTAACATACATTTTCAAGCCACAACACTTCAATTGGGAGCTTTTGAGAGTTATTAAAAGAGCTGATGAAACCAGTGAGACTGAATCAGCCGAGAACGTCAGTGGTGAAGTACATGAAGGGGATGGGGTATCTTCAAATTCAGCAGACAAGGAGAAATTGCAAGCAATTAAGTCGAGCGTGTCAGTGGCCCAAGAGGTACCAAAGGAAAAGATAGATGCCATGGAAAAGGAAGAAGCTGTCCGACTGGAAAAGGCTGGAAAAATTGGCTCCTACCTAACGATATTTTTTGCGTTGGCGTTTCTGGTTGTGTGGCCCATGCCAATGTATGGGTCTGGCTATGTCTTCAGCAAGAGATTTTTTACAGGCTGGGTCGTGGTATTAATTATATGGATATTCTTTACCGGTTTTGCAGTATGTGTTTACCCATTATGGGAAGGTCGGGAAGGAATTTTCACCACGTTCCGTGGGGTTTATTGGGATTTGTCTGGCCAAACTTATAAGCTTAGAGAGTGGCAAAACGAGCATCCCGAAAAGATGCATGTCGTGCAATCACAAATCAGTGCTAGATTGCATTCATCGGCTTCGGGATTCGAAGAAGGTAACATAGACGAAATTATCGAATAAATAATGGTATATTGAGAAGTTAGGGACTTTCACTTTGTATAATAATCCTGTTGATGGTTTTTGACTTTCGCCTCCAGCTCGAAGTCCTGATCTTGCTCAATAATAGACCACCGTCATGTTACTTAAAGCTCATCCAAATAGAACCAATCAATTGGCTCCGGGGTTTGTTGACGCCAGTGTGAACGTGGAGGTCGACTTGCCGCTGGGAGGAGAGCGCTTTGAACGTTTGGGCTTAATTTCTTGTTTTACTTTTTGGCACTGATTCTAAATCATGATATGCGACTAAAATATAAAAACTTGGGGATCACTTACAGAGATGCCACCGGTTTTTGGTCTTTGACTGAGCGGTGAAGGGAATGTACCTTTACGATTGTGAAGTATGAATTGGATAAAGGTTTTGCGCTTCGAGCGTTAAACGTATTTAAAGAGGACGAGAAAGCATAAAGTGCGTAACACAATTTATGTCACTGTTGGCCGGACAATGCACAGAGCGACCAAGTGAGCCCCCTATTTATCATGTCTCTGTTCGTTGGAATTCCTGCGGGGAGGTTCTTCGTCATCCGAAAAATTCAGATCATCATCAATGTGATTAGAGGGTCCTTCTAATGATTGTAAATCGTCTAGGTCGAAATCGGCTACGTTTTCGGGGTCCGTTGGAAGCTGCTGCGAACATGCTAACATGTATGAAGTATCTGTAGGTCTCCAAATAAAGGCAGTGGTAACGAACACAAAGTAGTAAACTAGTGATGGCCAAAATTCCACGAAAAAAAACCTTGTCCTCCAGTGCTGTTCTACCATTTCAATATTGTTCATTCCTAGGAACACGAAAGAGGAGATAACAATACCAGCAAACAAAACAAAAAGAGAGAAGTAAATCGTCGATAGAAGCCTTTTGTACATCTTCAACTTAACCACTTGCCTCTGTTCTTGTAAATAACGCAAAGTCTGAGACATAGATCTCAGAATCCAGAAATAGAATCCGAGCATGGTAATCCCCAAAGGAAGCAAAGTTGCAAGCGGCCAAAGAGTCACAGACTCTGGATTGGTCAAATAGCTTTGAATCAGGTATGCGACGCTAGCAGCAAAGTTGACGATTGCTAATACCTGACACCGTCTCATCAATTTTTTGTTAAGTTTAGGATACACAACACCATATCCAAGTGCAATGACCAAGAGAAGAAAAAAACTGAATGAGATTTTGCCCGCAGTCAGAATCGAGACGAACACCATGTAAACTTTAGTGCCAGCAGTGTTGCCTTTTTCGTTTTTGATGTCATAATAGGCCCAAATGAATATCTGTTCCACAGTGAGAAATAGGAAGAAGGCCAATAGGTATTTTTGTAGTGGTAGAACCTCATTTTTGTGCTTCCAGAATGCAAAACTATAGAGAGCCATGGCAACAAGATAGAAAATGGTCAGAAGTCCGTACAGGGGCAGATTGTTGATTTCCGCGCCGGGCAATTGGCCGTATGCATTTCTGAAATTCACTAGTGCTGAAAAGCTCACAGATTCTTCGCTGACAGAAGATGCCACCACACAATAGTAGCCTGTCGATTTAACTGAATACCGTTGATCATGCATTCCGGTATCTTTTTGATAGAAAGTCATGATTTGTGAACTAGCCGTTTCATTGGCGCCCGTGGTTGGGTCCACAATTAGTTTTTGCACCAAAAACTCGTTTCTGTGAGTTTCGTTGCAAACACCTTGACTTATAGCGTAGTCATCGCAAATGTAGTGTTTCTGAGAGTCAATTTCAATGCCAATATGTTGGTAGTCTTTGAAGTCGAAAACAACCACAGATAGCCCTTCTTCGTTGTTTATACCTTTCAAGTTGAACGATATGAAGGGATCTACTTTACCGCCCCAATCCTCTTTGGAGTACATCCCGCTGCACACTTGATTGTCTTTATTTGAGAGCGCAACTTTGTTGGCACAAACCAGTGAAATCCATAGCCACAATGCACAAATCGTGCTGTTCAGAAGCATGATAAGATGGTAGGAGTCTGACTTCTGGAGCTGCTGGTGCGAACAAGATATGTGGCAAAGAGGTGGTTGGATGGATGACCAGAACATATCGGAAAGATATTGACTATATTCAGCCTCGATATCACGATACACGAGGTGGTATAAGTGAAATAGCTCTAAGATGGTGAAACTTGACCTGAGAGTTCCAAATCAGACGTAAGAATTCATCGAGTTCGATCAAGGGTTTGAATATCGCTATCGGCCACGATTTGGTTAGGGTTGTGTATCCAATTCTCTATTTTTCCATATTTCATTTATCTAGTCGACAGAGAGTCTATGGCGAGACAAAATTATAGGTGAGAGTTTTGGTCAATACGCTGGAAATGTATTTGAAAAGGTCGGATAGGTAGGAGACGATGATACGTCGTCATATATTGTGGGTGTGTGTGTGTGTGTCGTGAATTATAGCATTTCACGTGATCTTGATAACGTTGACTGTTAGAACGATGGGCTTTACTCAACCTTTTGAGTGCGGTTAGCGAATCAAATGAACCAGATATCGACTGAACAACTGCTATTTTCGGATTTCTTTACAAATCCATGGCTTCCTCGGTAGTTCCAAAGACAATACATTAAGAATCAAAATAATGCTGTTAAGAGACTTGATGATCTTAGACATAATGCCAAGTCCGCTGCAATCGCAGCTTAGCGTCCTTAAGCTCTTTTGTGATCCTTCTTATTCATCGTTTCCTCTATTGTTCTTCTTTTTGCAGCGCCATCTACTCAATTCTCCAGCCAATGCTCCGGTCGTCCTACATTAACGCTACAAATTGACATTTACTTTAGAAAGCCATCATTTCATAGTCATCGAATATCTTTAAACTCGTCTCATCATCTCCGAAACCACGGACTATGCTAGCAAATCGCAACCTAACGACCACTACACGCCGCGGCTTGTACTTCGCGAGACTTTTGCATATAAAAACGGTCTCCACGCCGAATGAAAATGCCTTGAAATTCGTTTCAACGGATGGTGAACTACTACAAGATCGCGGGAAACCGAGTGTGGAGCTTAGAAATACTGACGATTCATTGATCAAACACTCTCCTCTGGCCCAGAGGATTTTTGCCCAGTGCTCCGGAGTGGAATCCATGATGATCGGCGACGACTTTGTGACTATTAATAAGGACGAAATGGTTCACTGGAGTCAGATAACAGGCGACATGATCGACCTTCTTACACAATATTTGGCTTCCGGAAAAGCTGCTTTAACCCCAGAGTTTTTCAGCGTTCAAGAAAGTGACGTGGGGTACGACGTCAACGTACCAAAGTTCGAATACGATGAAGACCAACAGGAAATCAGCGATATGATCGCCGAACTGATACAAACTCGTATTCGTCCAGCAATCATGGACGATGGGGGAGATATTCAATACCGTGGTTACGATCCTGAGTTGGGAACGGTTTACTTAAAACTGCAAGGTGCCTGCAAATCGTGCTCGTCCAGTGAAGTGACTTTGAAGCATGGTATCGAGTCAATGCTCAAGCATTATATCGAGGAAGTTGAGAATGTGGTGCAAATACTAGATCCCGAGGAACAAATCGCTCTTAAGGAATTCGAAAAACTTGAACAGAAATTGGGAGCTCAGCACTAATTGCTGAATATCACTTCTCTCTGCAAATCCACGAAAGAAGAATTAGGTTGAGTTTTTGCTCGATCGTTGTACATACCATAGATAGCTACTGCTTTCCTGTGAAAAAAGGCTTTATCGGTTTGACCTCTGTTTTATTTATTTCCGTCTGTCTCTTCTCGACCTACACAGTAGCTTTCAATCTTCTCAATCATCTTCCTATCGATATTACTCACACCGCCAACATCGTGAGTGGTCAACTGTAAGCTAACTTTGTTGTAACTAGTGGTTATCGTTGGATGGTGTCCCCACAAGTGACTTCTCATTGCAATTTGGTTAAGAAACGACCAAGTGGTCTCAAAATCTCGTAAAGTTAAGTTTCTGGTAAGCTTGGAACCGTCATAATTCCAACTTGGATATGAGCCTAACAGTCTTGATATCTCGGCAGAGTCCAGGCGTATGGCAGCGACTCTTTTGACCTTGTTATACATCTCTTCGCTTAAACTTTAGGATCACATATATATATATATATAAGGTAAGTTAATCAAGGTTAACAACCTTGCACTGAAAAGTTTCCTGAGCAGATGCAAAGGAATTCAAGTGACAGAGATTGATTGGATGTCCTCGTGCATATATATACTGGACGAACAACTGGAACCCCTTATACTAAAAAACCTGAAGTCCGTACCAAACCCCAGAGTTTTCGCTGAGTTCTTTAAAAAAGTGTATTATCCCAATGCTGGACCTGTAATCGCACATCACACGGGAATAGTCTACGTCTATGTTCAAAGAGATGGGTTATTTTACGTTTCTGTGATTTTGGGAAGTGTGATGTTCGATGTAATGGCGATTCTAGCGTATTTGCATGATTTCTATGTGTTGGTGAAGAACTATGTTCATACCGGTCAAGTTAACCGAAACAGCATCGCGGACAACTTCAATCTTCTGTACGAGTTGTTTGATGAGAGTCTGGATTTTGGGGTACCTCAATTGACGGAATACAATATTATACGCGATTTCATCAAGATAGAAGCCAATGTGCCCTCGAAGAAGAGCAGTGAGAATTACAAATCTAGTATTGACAGTGACGACGACGACGACGAGGAAAGCGAGAGTAAATATAGCGGGAAAATTGTATCAGGAACAAAAAGTAGTAAGGAAAAGGATAAGGCTAAGAAAGATGGTTTGAAAGGTGACGAGCAATACATCAACAGTTTCATTCTTCGAGCCACAACGCAAGCCATTTCTTGGCGAACAAAGGGTATCTATTATCCCAAGAACGAGCTTTTCGTGGATGTAATAGAATCGCAAACGTATATGATGGACATGAGTCAAGGTCAGGTACGCAAAAGTTTCATACAGGGTAAAATAAAGTGCCGATCATACCTCTCAGGGATGCCAAAGGTTAAGTTGTGCTTGAACAAAATGCTCAAAAATAAGGAACTTTTTCTTGCCTCTACGAAGTTTCACCAGTGCGTTGCGTTAGAAACTCTCAGCAGTCAAGATATAATCGATTTCATTCCTCCGGATGGAGAGTTTCAGCTGTGCGAGTATAAGCTCAAACGTCACATCAATGATGCACCTGTCATCAAGGTGACAGAATTTAAGATAACAAAACGAGACGAAAAGAAGAGAGTTCAATTGAAAGTTACGATAGAACCACATTTCAAGGCCCAGAACGCCGCCAAGTTTTTAAAAGTTCACGTCCCCATCCAGACTTTATTTCAAGAATACAGCATAGATTTGGCAAAATCTCCGAGATTCAAATGCGATTTTGGATCGGTCGCGTTTAATGTCACCGCACGAAGCCTGTTATGGCAAGCCGAAGGCATGAAGGGTGGACATGGTGAGGTAAGTTATTCGATGCAGGTTGAGTTCTTTCTTTTTGACCAAGAGGAATACAATAAAAAGCTCGCTGAGCTACAACAAACAATGGATCCACCACCTTTACGAGATGGATTGAAGTTAGACGAACTCTACGCTCAGGCGGCTGATAGTAAAAACATCAATGGAGAGGAGCGCTTGATATTGGTTGAGTTCGAGGTGCCCTATTATACTTGCAGCGGATTGAAAGTCGACTACCTTAAGATAGAAGAGGAACAACTAGAATACCAGTCGTTTCCTTGGGTGAGGTATAAAACGATGAACGATCAAGAATACGCTTACCAAATATAGGTAGCTAGGGATTTAAAGGGAGTTTATTCAGAGATTAATGAGAATATGACTCTTGATATGTAATATTAACGGAAACTGCCATGCGTTGTGAGGTCGTATCACGCTTCTTCTAGATGTTTCAAAAGTTCTGACTTTTTCTGGAACTGAATCTCATGTTTGGCAAGTTCTCTGGACCACTCGCTCCGAATGGCTTTGCGTGCGTTTTCGATTTCTATCCTCTTTTCATCCAGTATCTCACCTTCGAAACGCTGCAACATCGATGACCATCTATTCATAACTCTACTTGCACCAATCACAATGCCTAACATTGCCAGTGAGCCCATTGAAAAAAGTGAGAATTGACCAGAAAGAACACCACAAGTAGCGCAAACCAGCAGGGGTAGCTGAATAGTGAAGAACTGCTTGTAAATTAGTTTGTTAATATCTTTATGCAGTTTAGGAATCCTCTCATAAATTCGGTGACCAGGAGAAGCCTCCACCAGTTGCGGCAGGTTTAGGTGACCGCGCAAGTAATTGATATGGTCTGTAGTGCCTGAATTGTCGGCGATGTTGCAAAGTTCACGAAGTTTTAGTTCCATCTTGCTTTCGGAGTAACAATAGACTCTGCGAACTGATAGTTGGTCGTGTACAAATTGATCGAGCCGAGATTTGAACTCAGACAACAAATTGGTGTGAGCCTGAGTCGACCATTTTGCAATGTCGTGCTCGACCTCGCGGGCTTGAACTCGAGCCGTTTCGTGTTGAGCCATGGCAGTGTCAGTGCAGTAAATGTTTTGAATCACCGCCTTTCCCAGATTGTGCACAATCTGCGGCTTATCACTTAATGCTTTCGCAATGCTTTTGGTGACGGATAAAAAGTTCGAGGATTCGAGACTTTTCAGATATTGGGTTACGTTCTGTTTGCTTTCGATGAAACTGAGGATTCCTAATAATGCTTTCTCACTGTTTAATTCCCGGGATCCCAATGGTATTTGTGCATCCGAGTCTGTTACTTTCAGAATGGGCCATTGACTGTTGGATTCTGGAATGTGCGAATTAATGTCGAGATATAGATGACACCCATCGCTGGAAGCGTCTTTCGGAAACAGGGCTGACTCTGTTTCATGCAATTCTACATTGTGCTCACGAAGCCACGGTGACGGCAGCCCATATATCGTTGTATGTCCCTCCGTTTGCACATCTAGCGCTGCAGCATATCTAATGAGCCTCGTGGCTCCCCTGTGGTTGTTATATCTGTGGCGAAATTCTTGGAACCAGTACTGGTCTGAGGCGTAGACATCGGCCAAAAGAGCGCTCAAGAACGCTGAATCTCGCTGCGATGTCAGAGACCCCAGAACAATCCCGCACCGCACGGGTTTAGAAGCTGTCATCAAGTCCAATTTTGCGGGATGCTTTTTCAAACCGCTTTGATTCCCAGAGTTTTTATATATGCTTGCCAATTGACCCCATTGGCTCAAAAACCTACGACCATGACCATGAACCAATTCTCCAAATCCCATCGATTAGAATAAGACTTGAGTCAAAAGACCAACAAAAGACCACCCAATAATAGCCAAAAAAAAGCCAAAAATTACTACAAAAAACACGTTGAAAAGATCAAAATCCCAATGTTTCTAAGACTCCGCTGATTAAAGCTAGCCTGTGTCTTTCAATGCCTTGAACTGGAATCTGATTCTTTGATGATGTTCTTCTTTTTACCTTGTCGTTCGTTATGTACTGCTTCCATCTGATATACATTAAAGCATCAACAGTCACGTGACTCAATAATCCAGGCGTTATCCGTTATCACCTGGAGGTTTGGGTAGATAATCAACTCCAATAAGTCACGCGACTTTTATTGATTTTCAAAAACTGTGACACATTGGAAAAAAATGATATAAAAATTCACGTGATCTTGTTGTTATTTGGGTTTTTTTTTCTTCTGCTCTTTTTAGTCAGCTGCTCAGAGAACCTATAATTAAAAGCTCAATCGCATCTCATCTCATCTGTTCAAACCTCGAAAAACTCCCAGGTAAACTTAGCATTCAAAGACCATCAAGATCTCAAATTTGTCAATCATAGTCTTGTTCTTGGGCCTATTGATACTAGAAAATTGAAATGCAGATAAAGCAGCTTGAAAATGAGCCCTCTGATGAGATACCGGAAGACATAGCATTGGCTGTGGAGGCCTTGACGGAGTTAAAGAATTCACATGGACCAGGTGGTGGTGGTGGTGGTGGTCAATTCCAGGAGCATGAGCTTCAAGAACAGAAGCATCAACAAGACCACAACAACGATGATACTTTACTGGCCAAGGTACGAACCAACACACTTATTGATAATGCAGTGAAGGTTTACAAGAAGAGTAAAAATCAGTATCCAAAATTTCGGAAAGGTGCAGAAATGGTAGAACGAAAGGCTTTACTGCCCATGGTGAAACGATTGGAAGAACATCGCACTAACAAAAGACGTCTTGAGAGTATAGCCAGACAAGAAGTCGAGGAATTGTTAGGAGCTGAAACTGAAAACGAAATAGACGAGGAAATCGAAAATACCGGCGAATTACGAAGTTCTGGACAGAGAAGATCCAAGAAGCAAAAAATTTCAAGTGCCATTGCCAAGTCCAAAAGCAACTTGAAGGGCTATCAGCTCAATATGTCGATAGAGTCTAAAAAACGTCTGGTTACGTGCTTGCATTTGTTGAAGCTCGCGAATTACCAGCTTTCCAACCGCGTGAGCTTCCTGCAGGATCTGGTTCATAAAGAGCAACAACTCAGGCGCGGTAGGTTACGGGATAACAATATCACAGGACGCAAAATCGAAAATCGGGGTGAAAAAAGCCGTAGTGGCATAAGGCTTGTTGAAAAGATCAATGAAGAGAGGGAAAACAAAGCCAACAGTAATAAACATGATAGACAAGATGAAAATGAACCCACACTCGGTTCAGAAGGGGAAGATGATGACGACGACGAAGACGACGAAGAAGCGGAAGATCATTTTTACGACGCATCAGACAATTTGCATGAACAATCCGACGTTGTGAAAATGGAAATCGTGGGTACCGTGAAAAAAGTATACTCTCTTGTGTCACGGTTCACCGGTAACTCACTTCCTGAACCAGCTCGTACGCAGGTTCGGGAGTCGCTTTTGCAACTACCCTCTGCCTGGACATCTTCCATGAACTCCGAAACACTCTCAAAATACACCCATTCCAAAAAGCTGACTCGCAACGGGAAAGTTCTAATTCTGGCACAAGAGAGTCTAGGAATGGTGCACAGCGTGATGGATATCGTTGATGGCACGCTCGGAAGAGCAGAAGAATGGGTCAAACAAAAGCAAGAAATCAAAGAGCTGCTCAAGGAGCAGTATCTCAGCAATAAGATCCGTGATCCGGTTAAAAATAACGTTTCTGGAGAAAAGGAAGTAGATTAATATTGTACACATCACTTAGATACAGAAATACACAACGGCAGAGCTGTGCGTAGCCAAGCCAGCCCACAGGGCCCTCCCACATATGAAAGTCAATTCTGCAGGGCTTTCAGTCTTTCTCGCATCTCATTGAGCATGACGTCTGCTTCGTCGTCGATTTGGTCTTCGGGAGCTATTTGGGCCTCGGGTTCAGACTCTGATGGTAGTTCAGAGACAGGAGCACCTACAACACTATCCAATTTCTTGGACGTGTACTGTTCCACGATCCTGTTAACTTCCTGATCTGCCTCGTCTTCCGCTTCTTCGTCTTCGACCATCTCCATTGTATCATCGATCATCTCAGTAATGAGGCCACTCTTCACAAGCTCTTTTTCAAGCTCCATCATCGTTTGTTGCATGTACGGAAGTCTCACCAGTGAGTTTACTTCACGCATCAGGACCGCTGACGACGCCATATTTTCTTGTAGACTTTGCATTCGGAATGCTTCTTCGATTTTCATACCTACGGATTGTAGCTGTGCTTTTGAAATATACATCCTTTGGTGCTGTTTATTGATCTGATACAGCTCTTTAGCGTATATTCGTACGGATCTGGTGTCGTTTTGTTTTGCGGATCGTTTGATCAATGCTTGTGTCTTGATTTGCAACGCACTCAGTTCTCTCAAAGATTTGTCCAAAGATCTCCCATTTCTCCGTACAAGTTGTCGAACCTTCCGTTGCTGTTCTTTGGGGTCGGGACCCCAGATAGCTTTCTTGAAGTAGTCCATGCGATAAGGAGTAGAGGAAAGAGGAGACAACGAGTGATCACTGGTGCAGATTCTTGCAAATTTGAAGTTGAAGTTGAGATCGTGTGTGTGTGTGTGACATCCGTTAAAGGTTAGCCATGTAACTGATTGAAGGGATCCTTCGAGGCCACGTGACTTCCTTTAATTGAAATTGTCACTCAAATGTCGATGTAAAGCTTGAATATGACTGAGCCAGAGCATTGGAATAACCTTACAGTAAGAAAGCTCCACATAGTGGCATCACGGATTTCATCACTTCGAGATTCAACACTTTTTTATTCAGTTGTAATTGAGATCAGAAAGATACAGCGATATTGACAGAGCTGTTACGCTAACGACAACAGATCACCTGACCTGCTTTTAGAACGTGAAAAGTAAATCCCGATATAGCGCCCTACATACTGATCAAATCAAGCTCCAGTCCGATATAGTGTAACGGCTATCACATCACGCTTTCACCGTGGAGACCGGGGTTCGACTCCCCGTATCGGAGCTTTTATTTTTTCCAAACTTCAACAAACTTGAAAAGTAGTCTTGAGGGTTCAATTACTACACATCAACCGCAGTTCCATTTCGAGACTCAGCTCCCACCAATTGAGCTACGGTTGTCTTCGCTTTTCTTATGTCCTCGATTCTTTGACCCACTACCATATACTCTAATGAGTCTGAAAAATTTTGACGTTAAGAATATGAAAAATGTTCAACCATTCGAGGTTAAACGTTTTAAAGTTGGTTGAAAGATCCCTCGACGTCTGTCTCTGAGCAATTGATCCGCTGAAAAGATCATGGTTTCACAGCAGATTGAGGCCATTACGGTGTTGGCCAAGCTTCCGCATCAGAAGGACGAAGTCCGGCTGAAGTTGGTCAAATCTTCTAAAGTGCAGATTTTGAACAATGCTTTGCAGTTTTCGTCTTCCAAATGCCTGACAAACCTGGAGTTTTATGCCAATGGACGGAAACTTGCTGGAGAAGAACCTCTCTTGGACCTGGCTACTGACGATCTCATCAAATTGGACGTGAAGTACAAGGCTTACACCACTAGAGATGCATTGAGACACATTGCGGCCGTTCGTGATACCATTGGGTTTTCTACTGAAACCCAAGATGGGATTTCGGATTTTGCAGTATCGACAGGCAATCAGTTTTGCGATATGCCTTTTGAGGCCGTCAAGACTGCCGATTCAAAAATTGAAGATGCCCAAGCAGGGTCTACAGCATTCGATTTATCCACAGAAGAGGCACAGAGGTTCCAACAAACGGTGAGAGAAGTCCTGAACAAATCCAGATCGATCAAGGAGATCATGACAACCAGATCGTCGATTATAGCACCTTGCGTTCGTTCTTTGCAACTCTCCAGCTATAACCCAGTTCCTGCATTTCACAAGTCCAAGGGGCATCTGTTATATCTGCAAATTGCCACTTTGGAAGGGGAGTCCTTCCATGTCACGGTCACGACCGGTGGGTTTTACGTCAGCAAATCTACTGCCAATAAGTTCGACCCAGCACGCAGAGATGAGAACTCCAAGTCTTTTGTTTCGTTGATAGATCTAATTTCTTCGCACTCCAAAAACTTTGGTGAACATCTCAAACGCCTAGGCCAAAGAGTGAGCGCGGTGGACTCTGTAGCTCATGCCAGACCATCTACAACTTTCTTGTCCAAGCCATGGATGGTTTCAACCTCGCTCAACTCCACAGGTGACTATTCCCGCTTTCAATTGAACGAAAGTGATCTCAACACGGAAAGGAATTTCAACGATGAATTTCAAGCCATCAAGGATATGACTTCCAGCGACTTCCAGTCCATTATTGATAGTGAAAAATTGACAGCCAAAGTTTACCACGAATTTACCGAAACTGCTGTACAAGATGCCATGTCTATTGTCAGTCACGACCTTGTGCCCATGAATCCCGAAGCACCAACACACGAGCAGATCTTTTTGAAAAATAACATATTTTACTCATACGTGGCCGATGTAAATGGCAGCTACACATCAATCGGTGGGGACGCTGCCGCTTTTGCAGCGTCAAATCAAGATCTACAGACCGTCAGAGTTTTGCAACGTATCTCCATGTCAGAAATCCACTACTTGCTATGTGCTGTTGTGGACTTTGGTGGTCGCAGAGTTCTAGCACAAACACCCGTCCCAGGGCTTTTGAGTGCTATGGGTTCAGTCACCAAGATTGACCCTGAATCTGGCGAGGCTGCGACCGAAGATTTGAACTCTGATGTCAATGTCGTGTATGGTCTCGAGGAATCGACGGGCGAAATTCTTTACGACCAAGAATTTGATGACGCTCTCGAATCCTTTGCGCAGCTTTTACACCTCAAGAAACACAAAGTTGGGGAGTCCGAAATCAAGATCTCTTCGCATTCCAAGGGTATCGTTGGTGCTGATAAGCGTAAATACATTCTGGATCTCGCCAACTCTCATCCTCTCGACGTAAACTTTGTCAGAAAATTCTATGACGGAATTGAGGAAGATCAACGCTATCCACACAGACAAACATTAATCAGAAATGACCTCGTCGACAAGTGGTGGGCAAACAAAATCGAGGCTGCCGGTGTCACTTTCGAAAAGGCATTCGAAGATAAAATGTTTGCGTTTAACCCTGATGCTTATGTAGCTCAAGGAGTTGAGGATTCATTGGTTGAAGAGATATCCAACTATCTGACAAACGATGTTATAACTGAGGTAGTGAAGGAATATGCTCTGGGAAATACGTCTGCGCCATACGATGGGGATCATTTAACAGACTCTTTACACAAGAACGGTATCAATATGCGTTACCTCGGCCACATCGTTGAATTGGCAGAGAACGAGCTGAAGGAGCAAGAAGAGAAGCGCAAGGCGAGACTAGCGGAGGTGGAGACCGGCAACCAAGAATATGAGAAATGGGAAAAGGAATATTTGATTAAAGTCGAACAACAAATCAAGGATAGACAAGCCAAGATCAACAAGTTGGTAGGGGAAGGGAAGGACATTCCCGAAGAACTCAAGGGAGATTTGAAGCTTGATGAAACCGAGATCAGAAAGCCCACAAAGAGCGAACCTGTTGTAGTCAATCGCGACCATTTACAATGCTTGATTCATGTGAGTCATTTGGAGATTGCCGCTAGATCCTTCAAGCATGTCTTCCGCAATTTTGCTAGAGATCTTCCCGTTCCGGTAATTTCTAGCTTGGTTGCCTACTTTTTCAATCTTCTATTTGGATATCGTTATAACGGCGCACCTCAATCAGAGATCTTAGACGAACACTTCTCTCAAACCGAATTCAAGTTCTCGAAAATTTCCCGCGCTCAATTGTTCGGATTTGTGAAGGAGCAGGCACGTAAAAGATTTCGTTTCGATCTCTCGGATAATATTTTAGAAGGTTTGTGCGAGCAACCATTCCCGTTGATGAGAGCGATTTCTAAAAAATTTGGTGTTCAGTTGTTGAACAGAGACTATTTCTTCACCGTGGATGAATTTGAGAGTTTCAAACAGTCACAGGATAAGAAGGTCAGAAGTAAGTTAGTGGCTCCCGCGCATACTTTTTCCCCTCACGACCTGGCAGTCATTCCTATCATAAAAGATGGCCAATACCAGTCTTTATCAGGAGATAATTTTTGGACGCAGGGCACTAACTTGTTGAACGAAAAGCAGGACGACGCAGTTGTTCTTTTAAATCAAGCTTTGACCATCAAAGAAGAGGTCAACGGAATTGTGCACCCATCGGTCGCTGAATCATACATGGCGCTTTCCACGGTCTACCACACTTTGAATAAGCTCCCTGAAGCCGTTTCTTTCTGTCGCAAGGCTTGCATTATATATGAAAGAACAAAGGGTGCAGACTCCTTTGAACTTATTCGGTGCTTGACTAATTTGGCCATCTTAGAAGTCAGTAACAAAAATCCTTACAATGGTGCTTGCGCACTGAAACGTGTGGTCAGCACCGTTAATGCCTTGAGTCTAGCTGTACACCCTGCCATCATAAACGCTTACACGATGTTGCAACAGGCCTCTTTAGCTTCCAAGAACGCTCCTTTGGCAATTGAGGTCATGAAGAAATTATCGGCCACTATACTGAAAATCGAAGATGGAAACCACTCAATTGCATATGGGTACAACCAATCTCGTATTGGCGACCTCTGCGTGACTTTAAAAGATTACACCAGTTCTCTTAAAGCCATTTCCGAGGCAGAAGTTGTTTTTACCAGAGAGCTAGGATTGAACGATGAAACTACAGCGCAATGTAAGCAATGGGTGACAGGCTTGCGAAATGTGCTTCAACACCAAAAGCAGCAGCAAAACTTGACTCAAACACAAGATGCTGTCAACGCGGGGTCCCCACCCACCACCTCCAAAAATTCTAAGGCTTCAAAGGCGGCCAAGAACGATCACAAGTCAAACCCGGAGTTAGCCAATAAGTCTGTCGACGAGCTTTTGAATTTCATCGAGGGTGGCTCTGCCAAAAAGTCGAAAGCAGGGAAGAAGAAATCCAAAAAATAGATTATTCTCTCGCGACCGTTATATAGATAGCCTTAGCAACCTTGTAGATAATTTGCTAAACATATCGTCTGTTATGTTACGAGCATTATAGAAGATTGACCATTATCGTTAATCAAACCGGATCCATGACCCTCTGCCTATTTAAAGACTTCACGAACTATCAGCATGAATGCTGGAATTAGTATGTTGTCGTTGAGTACACTGTTGCCTTCTAAAAGTCCAGAGAACAAACATATTGACAAAAGCTTGATGTAAGAAACGTCGGTAAACTCTCCCAAAAAGCGCTTGAACGACAAACCGCATACAGCGGTGGCGGCAACAAAAGCCGCTGTACCTTCGTAAGTCTTGTTGGTGCCTGGCCATTTGTGCCGGCCCCACCTGTTGCCCACTATAGAAGCCAAAGAATCTCCCAAACCCAGGCTGATAACACCTACCAACGATCCGTTGATAAGAAGAGGCGTTGCGACGCCTATAACCAAATAAATATATGATATGATGATAGGTCCACGTTCATCGCGAAAATCGGCAAATGATCTTAGCTTCGAATCGAAGTAATCCCCCAAAGGTGCTAGTTTCAGATACCTCAAATACTCCACTGCCAAGAAAGAGACTATAGTACCAGCGAGAGCTATTTTCACGAATTCGGGATCTGCTTTGAGAGGCGGGACTATGAGAATCAGGACGATAAAATGCCAGATTTTGCGGGAAGAGTTAAGGGAGAAACTAGATTTGAAGATCATGATGTTGGGAATCAATAACAATAGTCCAAATAGCCAGCTTAAGGTGATTTTGATTCGAGTTGACGATGATGTAATGTAGCTGTAAAGCCAAACAGCTGGATTTTCCCCGTTTATTTGGAAAATGTGGATTACCGTCAGTGGGAAAACACAAGCAAATGAAGTAAAAAGGACAAAAGACCTCAGATACGGATTGCATCTCGATACCAACTTCAAAAGTAAGTAATTGACGGCCACGGCAACTAAAAAGCCTCTAAGCACGTTTTGTAGGACCTGGAAGTGAATTTGAGAAGAGTCGATGAGGAAGAGCACGTTTGTCAGACCGATGCTGAACAAGTTGCTCTCAACACGATCAAAGCTTTTCAGTTGACCCACTTTCTCGAGACAAAATGCCAAAACACAGTTGAGAGCCAAAGCTTTGAACACCGTGGAATTGTCGTTGTCAGGAAAGCCACTGATTAAAACCATAATCGCTTGAACTGGTAGACGCATATATGGGGCGATGTCCGCACAATTGAACGTCATAGCCAGGTTTAGGATCGTGTACTCCCGTGCAAACAGTAAGGAGAGAAACGTCGGCAAATATAACAGGTATAAGACGTTGAAGCTGGGCAGAAGGTCTGCCTTACGTACGGGTAAAGTTCCATTAAGACCGTTGTTTGAAACTCGAGCTCGATAAGAAACTCCCAACCCGATCAAAATAGCCACAGCCGTGGATAGCATGCTCTGGAAGAGTTCTAAATCCTGATCACTTTGTGAGAATTTCGAATAAGCTACATGAACAGTGCTTCCAACAATGGCCAGTTGTGCCACTTTCTCTGGAGCTGTGAACGTGTCGAAAACGGAAAACTTGTCATTTTCAAGCCGGATGGCCGTCAGCTCATCTGTACTGGTTTGTGCCATGGCAAGTCTCGATCAGGGCACTGCAAACAATCCAAAGTTCGCGCTTTCTTGATGTTCGCCAAGCAAGTAGGTAGAGCTGCTATAAATTGACGTTTAAAGAAAGATAAACACGCACGAGATCTGTAATAGTAGTGAGTGAGTGGAACGATACGACACGAAAACAACAAAGTACTCTAGACAGTTGTTTTAAGTGACCAAACTATGGATTCGATGCTTATCAAAGCTCTGCTATTTAGTATGTGGTTGTGAAATGTCAAAGGATCTCCATTGCTAGGTTTTTTTTTAGGGATACTATTAGTGTGAATTTTAGTGTGAAGACTAGTTCCTCAGAAGCCCTGGTTTGATCTTGGGTTTGGTTAATTCCTGAATTGACAGGGATATTTGGTATTCGTAGCTCCGAGACTACTTGCCAAGGAGTTTTTCAACATTTCGGAATGTTTGACATTTGACTTAGTGCATAGTACTTGAGTAGTTTGAAGTAGTGCCTGAGATTGAGTTTGACGTAAGTATCTGACTGCCAGGACGGTATCGGGTTTAAAGAGTGCTATTAATTAGTTTAATCGGATTTGAAACCCTCGAAGTGCTAGATGACAGGTCTTTAAAATTCGTTGATACTATACCAGCTTACGAAGTGAGAAGCGTAGCAGTTTTTAAGTGGGAAGCATACTAGTTTTCCAAACGAGATGCTTTAAACAACGTCTTGCGTCGCTTCAAGTGCGGTGTATTTTGAATCAAAGTGTCACCTACGTAGCTGAGAAAAACACGACACATATATGTGTAAAATATAATTGGATGCTCTATTTCTTACCAATTCATCCGCACAAACCTTGCTGTATTGAAACACGGCACACTACAGACAAATTAAGTAGATGCTGGTTTTAAAGCATTTCACTAATCCGTGATGCCCCAAATATAAGCCTCACAAAGTTGACGCTGGCGCATTCACTCTCTAATTCTACAGCCAATGCCACCCCACCAAACTATCAATGGCCATTGCGTAGTTCAGAAACAGAGCAACAGTTACTATGACCTGGTATTGAAGCTGGATTTATCCTAGCTCATCGCCAGCGAAGCCCTACTGATATTTTATGACTGATGTGTTACCCGCCTCTGGGATTAAAAAGTATAAAAGGAGCTGAAAAATTTCGTAACCCGATTCCCATCAGCTTACCACTTCTTAGATTGAAAAAGCCATATCGTATGAGGAGTGTCGAATAGCAAGCTTGAACTGCGCATTGAAAATGCCTTTAATTGCTCGAGGGAACTAATAGGAAGCGAAGCCTCGTCTTGAGAAGAGCATTATCACTGATGACCAAGATTAAAATTTACAAACTAGAGTTTCTGAATTATTTTCGTGATTAGAAACTAATCGCATTATCTGAGACTGTGTTCTTAGACCAGTACAGTGGTACTGGCGCATACTATTACTCTTCTCGAACAATAAGGCATTTTCCAAAAAAAACGCCGCTCGTTGCTTTCGTAGCTACTGAGTTACTTTTATGATGATGTAACAAAAACAAAGCTGGAATTACTGGCTGAACGATTATATGTTGATAAGTTTTTGCACTATTTCTGAATTGTAACTCGGCGATTTACAGACTCTGCACGAAAAACTAGTTTTTGCTCAACGTGGAAAAAAATTTGCCAAATTCTGTTTTTTGAAGGAACAGGCGTTTCTTCAGAATTATGTGAATTTTGGCAAGTAGCACGAATGGCCCTGATCCTGAAGAGTTCCAAATGACGATGCACAGCACTGGGCACTGATTCGGCTCATAAAAATGAGTTCGATTATGAGTGATACTGCTTTAAAGTGGGCTTAGAAACCCCACGCTACTGATTCGGTAATTCTGTCAGGAAAAAGTGGAGCCGAGAGCGGAGTCCGTCGTCAGTCGACATGCTTTTTTTTTTCCTCGTGTTCCTGGATGATATTGCAAGTTTTTGAACTACCCTAAGACACCAATAAAGGTAACATACTATGTTATGTTTTGTGTTTGCGTTCTTTTCAAAATGATGATATTTTTAGATGACGAGTCTGATCGAGGTTTTTCTCGCTGAAGACACAACTAAATTATATTCCATTCATGCAATTCTGATGTTGAGGTCGAAAACGCAAGGGCTTCATGTCTTTTTCCGATGGTTGTTTATGGGGGGCACTGATTATTAGATAATAATCCTGCAGTATTGTCCGGGGATACTTTGGAAATGTGTCCAACAGACAGAAAGAAAGACTTCTGTTACAAGAATTTTTGCAGAAGATGATACGAAAGAAACTAATAGACAAGCATATGTCTGAGATTTTCATTGAAGATAAGTTTCATTCACGTCTGATGCAGAAAATCGACTTGAGATCTCTAGCCTGGTCTCTCCACATTAATTCGACAACTCAATTGGAACGGACGGATTGATAGCTGGTGCAGTGTGGTATTATGGTGATGACACCTCTTTCTTGTTTATGATGACTTTTCCACTTTTCACGACGGTCAGCTGTTTCTCTCTTTACTTGTTTGGTTTAGAGATGTTGATGATAATATGCCTGTGACAGGGCGTGGTACTGAGCAAGATAGAGACACCAATAATGTGAGAAAAATTGACGTTCCAAAACCCGTCATGATAATCCACACCGATCATTAGATGCTTGAGGACAAGCATCGCACCCAGCTACCCATCCAGTCTCGTTTTGATTTCGACCTAGAATGCAACTTGCGTTCAACAACACAATGATGACAAGTAACTAAAGTATTGAAATCTTTTTGATGAAAAGAGACTCAAAAAAATTCGATTTGCATGTCAGTCTGATTGTAATTCGCCTTGTAGACCCTTGTAAATTTTTTTGTAATGTGGACCACGCACGCACATATGCTCACCGTGAGCTCATCGGTATGATAATGATTGGCACTCGACAGTGTCACCTTCAGGTATTTAGCCAAATAGTACCAAGAATAAAGTAAATTTCTACTAGCAAGTATTCGATAGTCCTTCTACACTCCTCTGCATCATCAACGGCTGCTCCGTGCTGCTTTTGACGCTCCAAAGGTTGTCCACCTCGTCCTCAGAGTTGGTTTATTTTTTGTCAAAGGAAAATTTTATTAAATAAGCTGAAATTTCCAAGCTCATCGCCTAGCTCATCGCTGGACTTTAACGATATTCAACAGCGATAGGTCGACTTGTAAAAGCATCAAAAATGCCCAAGGAAAACTTGATATTCAAACTTGACAATTTGGAATACCAGTTCCACCACTTAAATGGCACTTTAAATGACTTCAAGCCTCGTTTGAAGAACACTGCAAAAACATTCAATGCCAAGGGTAAGAAAACTTCAAAAAAAATCAGCAAGATCCTTGATTCTGCCAGTTTGAACGAGACCAATGCGCAATTGACGTCGTTGCGAGCCGAAATTGTGCAAAAGAAAGCATTTCATTTGGAAAATAAGTTGACAAGTTTGTTAGAGAAAACGCTACAACAGCAGTATTCCACTCTGGCGAAAAAACATAACGAGAAAAACCAAGATAAGCTCAAAACACTCAAGACGTTGGACGACAAATACAAGTTGGCTGTTTTTTGTAAGCTTTTTGGCAAGTCTAGAACTTGCAAGCTTTTGGTAGCCAAAATCACACCATCGAAAGCGGCCAAAACCGATCCGCCAGCATGGTTCAAAGATAGTGAGTACTTTTTGGCAGCTCAAGATAAAACTCACACGTACAATCCAAGTCGTGTGTGGAATGAAGTAGTGGTCGCAACAAAGGGTTGCGATAAGCTGCTCAGTCAAACAATGGCGGGACAAAAAATCAAAGAGCTGTTGTCTGCCTTCGACAGTGGTATGGACATGTTTCTCAACATCAAAAAAACTAGAGAGTCCGAACTTCCGAAAGTTTCAGAAATCAAGAATAAAACTGAAGAATCGGACGCTAAGTCAAGTTCCGAGTCGGAAGAAAGCAGTGATCAAGTTTCCAGCAACAATTCCGGGGATCGTGATGCTGAATTACCTGGAGGTTTGGACGAAGATGAGATTCTAAAACAATACGAAGGCCTATTGGTAGGCTCAGATGACGAAAATGACGATGTTGCCATTCCAGCACTTGACCCTACAATTAACTATAACGAGATCACCGATGAAGAGCCTAGTGAAGATTCAGAAGGCGATTACGACCTTGCGTCAAGTGATGAAGAATCAGATGACCAGCCTGTCTCCAAGCGCCAGAAAACTGAGAAGACGAAGGGAAAGGGAGCGGTATCCACGAAAAATGCACCTCTTCCTGAACTAATGACTGGTTACTACAGCGGAGGTTCAGACGATGAATTTTCAGATGCTGAAGCAGAACCGGAACAGATTGATAACGCACCCAAGCGGAAAAACAGAAGAGGTCAACGTGCTCGTCAGAAGATCTGGGAGAAGAAGTTTGGTAAAACCGCCAATCATGTTCAAAAGCGGATACAAGAAGAGCAATCTGAAAGGAATCAAAGACAAGCTGAATACGAACAGAGAGTTGAAAAGCGCGCCAGTAAGGCTCGTGAAAGAGAGGAAGCACAAGTTCGTCACAATGGTGAACAAAAGCTTCGTCCAGAACAGATTTCAAAATCCACACAAGTTCATCCTTCATGGGAAGCGAAGAAGCAAGCGGAGGAAAAACAAAAGGCCGCCAAGTTTCAAGGTAAAAAAATTGTATTTTAGAAGTGCAGCCCCAAGGCGTCCTCGGAAGATGTCCATTTACATCGTGTGAGATAGAAAAAATACAAATTCGGCCTAGTTGTGCAGTATATATCACAAATAACATAAGAGGCTGGGCTGGCTGGAAGTCAAGAATAATAAAAGAGTAAAGATTGAAACACTAAGCTTCAATTTTTCCAGTTAGTGGATCTCTTTTTTTGAATGCCAAGAGCAGATCGTCTTTAGGGAAAATAGTGGCAAACACTTTGATCTTTTCACTTAATGGTGTAACTTCATGTTTCCAGTCGGTGTACATGGCAAATTTACCAATGAGTGCCGTGAAAGTCATCATAACGTAAGTTTGCCCCAAGCATACATGTGGTCCGGAACCGAAGACGAGCCAGTTCTTTTTCGCTTCGTTGGCAGGAGAACCTTCAACCCATCTTTCTGGGATGAACTCTTCTGGGTTTTCATAAACTTCAGGGTCATGCAAAGCTGGGTACAAAGTTGGGATGAGCATTGCTCCCTTGGGGGCTGTGTAGTTAGGTGCGACAGGGAATTTTTCCTTGACCATGTATGGTACCATAATGACTGGAGGTCTGTAACGCAAAGCTTCCTTGACAACCATGTAAGTATATTTCATGTCTTCGATCAAAGGCAAAGAGAGTGGCTTCGAAGGATCGTTGTCACGTACCTGCAATTGCTCTTCTCTGATCTTCTCCATGACATCAGGTCTGTCGGCGACAATTTGAAACAACCAGCATGCTAGAGATGAAGACGCATCTTGAGATGCAAACAAGAAGGTAAACACGGCCTCAGAGATTTCTCTGTTTGAAAACTCTCTGTGGAGTAGTCTGGAATTTTCGTCATCTTTAGTCTTAGCGTCGTGCATCAACTTACACCAGTTGTCCATGACACAGTTGGATTCTCCACCTGCTGCAATGTGATCTTTGGCCATTTGGGCGCATTTTTCGAAAATCTTCATTGTCATGTCAGCGGTTTTGCGTCCGTACCATGTCTTGGTGTAAGGCAAGATGATAGGGAAATTAACTAGTTCCAAAGCAGCAGTGACCAGGTAATAGTCGTCAGCCACTTTTCTGATTTGGTCTTCTGTGATATAGTCTCCACAAAAGGCCTTCAGAGACAAGGCACACATGATTTCTCTCATTTCATGGAAAAAAACTCTTGGTTTGAAGTCTTTTTCCTTTGAAAACTCGACAAACTTCTCTAGGTACTTGTCCATGACCAATTCTTGAGTTCCCAGGTACTGTGAAAGCGCGGATTTGGTGAAAAGTCCGTTTAGCGATTTACGGTAGTCAACGTGGGCTTTGCCGTCCAAGAACACCCAGTTGGAAGGTCTCAAGATTTTGACAGCCACATCCACCACGCAGGGCTTGACGTATTTGGAGCTTTGAAGGATTTTGCGGGCCAAGTCTCTGGTCGAAGCGATAACAACGAATTTGTGGAAAATGGAAACGCATGACAGGGGACCAGAATCCCATTTGGCTTTATATTCTTCAAATTTGGGGTCCAAAGACTCTAAAAATGGTCCAATGATCGGCCACATCTTGAATTGAGGTCCCTCAATGCTGCCCTTCTTCAATTGGTAAGATATTTGATCCCATGCCAGACCCACAAAAACGATACTCAAAAACAATTTCCAATACGACAACTGCTGGATTACATCCACAATTTTGTGGATACCGGCTCCAGAACCGAAAAAGGCGCCGGTCTGCGCTTCTGCGACCCACGCGGTGCTCGAACTGTTGCTGACAATTGAGCTCATCTCAGTTTAACTTTATAAAGTAGATTTGTTTCTACTGCCTTGAAATGAGCTTCGGAGATGACTACTTCACTTCGTTTCTATCAAGTCCCAACAGTGACGACAACTGGCCTTTATATATATTTCAAGCCGGAGTAATCGGAGCTCAAAACCTTGAGGTGGGCTCGTACGGTTTTGGATGAGAGATTGTGATGCGATGTGATGAACAGTGTCTGATGTACCATAACAACTTTATGCGAAAAAAATCTTGTCAATGGCGCTAAACGAGCTCGAGAAAGATTGTCGTATGATGTGAGGAGTAGGAACGATAAACGGATGGTCACGTGGTTCACAACAGCGGGGCGGTCGTAAGACGGAATCGGAGTGGTGAGCCGCGCATTAACAGCCATCCACATCACAAAGGTTGAGAAGTTCGAAATGCCATCCAAAAAATCACCACAATGTGTCATTACTCTTGGTGGCACGATGGGCCGGTGTTGGGGTCTCTAGGGCCTGAGCCATCGACATGTAGGGAGGATTGCGGGAGGCCGCTGAGGAAAAATGGTTGTGGTTGTGAAGAGTAGCACCAGAAGATTTGACGTTTTTGGCATTGATGGACGATGTAGACTTGCGGCATTGCTCGCAATGTGGAGGTGTGGTGTCTGTTACGCTCTCAGAAACCGCAGCGTCGTGAGATGTCGGCAGTGTGGGCTTCGACATGTCCAATTTATCCATAAGATCTAGCAGCTCTTTATTCAATGACAATTTTCGTAGCTCGTTTTCACGTTTGATCAAAAGTTTCCGTTTCAGCAGTTCGATTTGCCCCTCTAAATTTTGGAGCTCTGCACTCTCCTGCGTTATAATGTCATCTTCAGAGGCCAGACGTAGCGATCGATGCACCACGGATTCTGTGGACGCAGAAGAAGAATTGGGTCGTGTGTGTGTTGCCCGAGAATCTGAGTTGGTCTGTGTTGACGGACTGGCTGCTGAACGGCCCGTTTCGCCGATGGAATGGGTCATCAAAGTCGTTAGCGCGTCAAGTTTTGAGTATATGTCACCTATACGTGCTTCCAAATGAGAAGTACGCGCTGCAGGATTGGTGGGATCTTTGGTTCGCGTCTTGTTCACTTGCAAAAAGTCCACGGGCGAGAAGTTCGGTGATTGGCTCTCTGAATGAGTCATAGACTCTGTTGCTGCAGCTGAAGCGTTGACATGGTTGTTATTGCGATTGATGTTCTGGTTCAGTTTTTTGTTTAGCTCTGTGTATTTGATGAGCTTACCCCTCAATGAGCCGATAAGTACATTCATGCGGTCAATTTCGTCTTGTTTTCGGTCCAGTTGCAGAGTCAGTTCTTTGTTTTGTTTGATCAGTTTGTTGATCATTTGCGAGTTTACTCGATATTCCTCGGGGAGAATGCGTTCGGACGGGTTCATTGTAACAGATGGGATGTGTTGGAGGTGTGGTGTTTGGGAGAGGAAAATGGTGGAACAAGAAGAAATGGGCGTTACTTTTTAGCCAATTGACGCGACGTTTTGACCGTCATTAGTTTGTGATGTCGATGAGTACAGTTAGCTATTGTTATAATCAAATGTCAATAAATTAGACCTCGACGACGCAGTCGTGAGGAATGAGTTACGAATGAACAGATTTACAACTTCATGAACTCTTTGAGGGGGGGGGTAGGAGGAGGAGAAGAAAAGGATCTCACCCTGCTAAAACCACTCGATTTGTGTATCTTATTAGAATAACACCACTCCATTTGTTGCGGACCAACAGCAGATTTTTTTCGTTTGAACTATTTTACAGGGGTCACGTGACTTATTTTCATTTCATCCAGTGTATTTGACGACATCTAATCACTGTCTTAACTCCTAAAGAAACCATTTATATCATCGTTAATTATGTATTTACCGCGAGGATGCTAACACTGTCGCAACTTTCAGTCTAAACTTTACAGGGTCATATCCAAGTTGTTGTTGTTGTCTGTTTATGCTTGCCGCTGATCAGAGCCGGACTTAACAACGTCCGAGGGATTCCGGGAACCGGTCACTACGTGTTGTTGCGAATGTGGGGTGTGCTGTTCGTTGACCGAGCCGCCCGAAACGGATATCGGAGCGGCTATAGGAGGTCCGGCCATCAGACCGGATCCGCCGTGAGTAACGACGTTTGGTCCGGGCACTAGAGGACCTGGACCTGGACCCGGTATATGTTGGTGCGGATGATTCTGACTGCCGGGGCCGGGACCGGGTCCTATCAATGCAGACATAGGTCCGGGCATCATATGTCGGCCCGCTCCGGCGGCGGCGGCCGGCGCCGCCGCCGCACCGTACGTGTATTCTGGGAACTGGTAGTTGCCGTAGGCGGCTAACGGCTGGTGGTAGCCCGGCGGAACTCCGGTCGCCACAGACTCGCCGTAGTACGCGGTGCCCCTGGAAGGCGGCGCAGAAACGGCCATCTGCTGTGACGGTGGCTGCATGTTTGCCGCCAGCACCGATGACGCACCTTGCTGGATGGCGCCTTGAATGTCGCGCACGAATAGCGGGAACAATAGGTCCACGATCTTTTCGCGCTGGGCCATTGCCAACGCGCTATCGAACGGGATCCACACGCCTTTCAAATGCATGGACCCGATCTTCACCACATGCCGAATTTTTTCAGCCTTGAGGATCCCGTCTCGACGTCCTCTGGTCATTTTGGCCACGTTCAAAAGCTTGGTCCCGTTGATCATGTCGTTATCCGCCCTGCGCACCACGGATACGCCGTTGGCTTCGACCTGGTAACACAAAGTGTTTTCGTCTTCCCAAACGGTTGTGGTGACACGAGGCCTGGCCACAGCAGCGGCAGCAGCTGCAGCTGCTGCCGCTGCAGCTGGATGCACAGGCGCAGATGGACCTGCAACCGGAGACGCATGGGACGATACATGCTGGCCCGGTTCTACGCTGGCGCCTGCAGTGGCCAGCCCCAGCAATGCAGAACTGTCCACAGAAGAGCGGGCGGGAACGGGCATGTTGCGCCGCTTCGCATGAGCCATTGCATCCTCGCCGTAGTATGATCCGTGGCCCACCGGCGAGTTTGTGATATCCTCCGCAGGTCCTGCAGCACGGAATCCGGGATACTGGTATGACTGTGCATGGGTCTGAGCCTGATACTGTGCTTGCGCTTGTGCTTGTGCCTGAGCCTGGGCCTGGGCTTGGGCCTGCGCTTGTGCATGGTCGTACTGGCGATATGACAGATACGCGGCTGCGGGCTGCTGCTGCGGTTGCTGTTGCTGCTGCTGCTGCTGCTGCTGCTGCTGTGGCTGGTGTAGCGCATAGTGCTGCTGCTCCTCTGCGCCCGCGCTGCTGCCGTAGACGGGCGGGTAGTAAGCGTAGCCTGGAGGTGCGCCATATGATGCAGCATACGCTGCGGCGCCTTCAGACGCCTGCTGCTGTTGCTGTGCGGCTGCATTTGGGTGGTACGCGTACGTGTACTGTGCCACATGCGCGCCGTCCACCACTGAGGGTCCTGCAGGCGCTGTGTAGTAGCCTCCACCCTGCGGGCTGTAGTGGTATGCATGATGTTGCTGTTGGTGCTGTTGGTGCTGGGGGGGCCATTGATGCTCACGTTGTGCCACTGTTCCAGGCGCTTGCCCCGACATCAGAACATTTTCGCGCCGACTGCTATCCGCGGGACTTTCCTCGGAAGCATCCGCGGCATGCGGCTGCGACTGCGGCTGCGACTGCGTCTGCGTCTGCGCCTGTTGTTGTGGTTGTTGTTGTTGTTTCTGTACTTGTTGTTGTTGTTGTTGTGGCGGTGATTGCTGCTGCGCGCTGTCCTGAACCTGTTGCTGCTGATGCTGCTGCTGTTGCTGATTCTGCGCCTCTTGCTGCGTCGGATATCCGACACCGTTTCCGGCATCGTTCGCTACGGCCGCGCTGCTCGGATCGGAACTGCTACCGGGATCGGCCGTTCCGTGTGGAGCGAGGTCTGCCATCACGCCTTTATTATATTTTGTTTGTTTTTTAATTGTATTCCGTGGCTGCTCTTGGATGTGCCTTTACTGCATCGCCATAACGTTCGCTTTAAATATGCACCGGGGCTTGAAATTATTTTTCATTTGCATGCCGTTTGCAGTTTGCATGCGTGGTGCGATGCAAAACGCGGGATGCCACACAAAGCAAGATACGCGAATAAAACGCGCACACACAGTTAGTAGTACTGCGCAATCAGCACGTACGCGACGCGAAAAAAATAACAATCCCGGCTCCAGAGGTATGTGAGAGAGAAAGGGGAAAAAAAAAAAAAGAGAGATAATGAGTGCGGTGTGTGGGTGCTGCACGGGTGGCTGGGTTCAAGAATCGGGTAACGGGACCAATGCTAATAAGTTAATCAGCACCACAACAACGCCTACGAATAAGAATACACGAGACGAGACGGAGACGACGGAGACGACGGAGACGACGGACACAAGACGATTCTAGTATACGTCATTGGTTCTGATACTCTGTGTCCTGTCCGTGTGTGGGCTTGTTTTTCTTTCACTGGTGCCTAAGTCTCGGCATTGTTGTTTAAAATCGATGCTGCTACTAGTGCATTTCTCAATAGTCCCAATGCAACATTTCTTCTAAGGGCGGGTAACCCCGATTACGTCATGTTTTGAGCTCAGCGACGTAATAGTACAAGATGATAACCTTGGTAAACAACAAGTACAAGACTGGGGACGGGTACGGGTGAAATGGCGAGTAGAATGGCGAGTAGAACGATAAGTAGAACGACAGGTAGAATGACAAGTAGAATCGCGAGTTATTCGACAACTTACGACCATCTTTACAATTCCGTGATGAATCAAATACCAATATTCAAATGAAGCATTTCAGCAAAGTGAGCGCTGAAGTCACTGACTCTCCTTATAGTTGTATTGTTTAGATGACTCCAAGCTACTGGGTATGGGGAATGTGGATTCTACGTGTTGTTTTACATGTATCGTAGTCTCTAAATACGTGTATACTCGACCCACCGAGTCTGCTCTCTTCCCCAGTCGGCTTTACCACAATTCGAACGAACGCGCTCCTGGACAAGAATCGAGTAGAGACGTATATAATGACCACCAAACAGTACGATATGACCAAATCGCTGCAGTCCCGTGCTGAGCAATGCTCATCGATACTCGCGAGTAGCAAGATCGAATTGTGCTTGTCCAAGGGCAACGGGTAAATGACTTTGTACTGCACGAGTAACCCGTGAACGTTCAATGTGATTTATTCGGCGCCCGCGCCAGCGCCAGCGCCAAGATTTCAAGTACCAGTGTGTACACTATTTGGTTCAGCTAGACATGTAGCATTTCATTCTTTGGTAAAGGGAAGCGATGAGCTCGATGATAGTCTGTAAAGGTCCTATATACTTCCATATTAATTGACTCTACGCGTACTTTAATTAAATTCAATTAAAACGGAAAATGACGCGAACAACTTGTGAAAGGTGGAACTTCATGCTAATCCAGTACAATGTTGACTTGAAACGTTCCCAAAACCTACCTTACTGTTAAAAAACTAGACTAACACTTCGAACCAAAACCTGGGCTAAATAAGGGGCATCTAAAGGCCTGATCCTAGTGAATAATACATTTATTTCGCCTGAGAACTCCGCGAGTAGCAACAAGTAACGTACGTAATATATAATAGGTTACTCAAAAAAATCAGTCTAAACTCACATGCTCATGAGTAACCTGCAGACTACATGATGGGTTACCCATTAGAATTTTGAAAATTTCGTTACCCATCGCGCACATCTGTTGATGGTATTAGTCACGTGGCATAGAAAACAGGCTCTAACTTGAACTGATCTAAACAATACAAGTACTGTTCATGTCGGAAAAAGCTCTGACTTCAGGACTCATTTTGTTGAGGTGTTTCATTTGAGGAGCATGCGACATAGTAAAGCGCATCAAGTACTGCTAATTGCCTTTGGACATATGCAAAGAAGTGGTACGTTGTCGTTTTGTTCACCGCTGACGTTTCGATTGGACTGCTCGTCATCCTACACGGGTACTGCATTCGGACCTTATTGAACAACCGCTCTCTTCTCGAAGAGATGCTTTCAGAACAAACCTGTTCCACACACCGCATCTTAACATGTCTATGCTGGCAACCAGTGGTAATCGAACCCACAGAGCATGTCTCAACTGCAAACGACGCAAGGTAAAATGTGATGGGTCCAACCCTTGCCAAAATTGCATCAAGCACGATGTGCATTGTTCTTATCAACCAAAAGCGTCAAGATCAATAACAAAACTTCGGCCACACTCATCAAGTCCAGACTACCCACCTTTGTCCTCTTGGTCTTCTCCATGGCAGCGCTATTCGCCTCATAAATATCGTTTCCACCGCAGACATCAAAATTTGCTCCCATATTACCTGGGCATCGCATTGATGAGAACGTTACCAAAGTCCGTGATAGAAAAACATTTGTTAAGACCACCCCGCTTGCAATACTACGGCTGGAATATGTCTGGAGGCCATTACCTTGCACAACGCCAAGTTTCAAATTCACCCGATTCTGTACAATGGCAATGGGATTTCTCTGATCCTATTCAACAGAAAATAGTGGAAAAACTCGCACACTATTATTTCCAAAATATCAACAAGTTTGTCTCAATTATTCACGAGCAAGCCTTCTGGCAACAGTTCAAGAGCGGGTTTGTCAACGGTGGTTCACACGGCTCTACCACTTTGTTTGAGTCGATTCTCAACCTTATTGTAGCCATCGCCTTACGCTTCAGCTATAGTAAAGACAAAAGTGGGGACAAAACGGGAAGATCGTCTTCTAATGAATGCTTGTCACAAGATGAGATCCAGTGGGTCGAGTCTCATGTAAATCTGGAAGAATCATTGTTCGATTTTGCCTATACAGTCACTACTAGCCTATCTTTTGAATGGGAGTCATTCGAGCTCATTCAGTCGTGGCTATTGATGGCTTTCTATTTGAGAACCTGTCATCGTCAAATATCATGCTGGCAAGCCCTTAATCGTGCCGTGCAAATGTGTAATGGAATGTCTCTTTTCCTCAACAGATATCCTGACCATCATAACGCCTACGACGAGTGCAGAGCGAAAAATTGTTACTGGGCAAGTTTCATTATGGACCGCCTGATTAACTTTCAAATGGGTCGCGTTCCTGCATTGGAACTCCCGGGACCAGAAATGGAATCCCCCGACACCGCTTCCGATAGCTGGCTAAGTCCAGAATCAATAGCTTTGTACAAGCTTGCCATTATAATAACAGACTGCCAAAAGGCTCACGGTGAAGAGCTTTCAGATGAAGAATATCAAAGCGCGAAAAGTCGACTTATCGAATGGCAGGAGAATGTTGGTTCGTCACTCCATGATACCGAGCTTTGCGCACAACAAGTGATGTTGTGTGGTCTGGACGTCAGGATAGCTTTGGAAATTAACGGCCTTTTCATATTCCTTGACGTTGAAGATAGCGACACCCAACTTGAAAATTTGATGCGAAATGCGCCGGCTGTACACCCACCGAAGCTTCTTGATCTTGTTGAAACGGTTCTCAATACTATTGATTCGATCGTGACCTCTGGTTTATTCTTCAGACCATGGTGGTTAAATTTATCATTAACTTTCACCTCAAGTATCATCTCTTTGATACTAATTCGCAGCGGAATACAAATATGCAGGGCCAAGTCATTGCTCGAGCAAAGCTTCAAGACGTGGCGCTATATTGAACATGCAAAGCCCCCAAACCCACCTGGAATGGCGTCAGAATGCTTGTGGTGCCTGAAAATGTTAAATCATATGTTCTGTCAGCAGCTTCAAATATCTGCCAAGGAACTTGAGAATGTTTTTGGCGTTGATCACACCAATGACGCCGTGAATAACAATAAATTTCGTCAATTTGGCATAGTCGAAAAAGAGCATTTAAAGTCCGACTCCATTAATTTCGAAGTTGACCTTGAGCCACAATCTTCCCTTGTTTACAGTAACGAGGACTTACTTGCTCATTTGCAATGGTTTGACCAATGGTTGGATGTCGACAATCTCGGCACAATGCTGTGACAAGAAAAATAGATATGAAATATCCTGAAAACTTTGAATGTGTTTTTCATGTCGCTGCACCTTCGGCTTTCTTTTGAAGTTGTCGCGATCTTTCGTAATATAGATTCGGATGCGAGATATGGGTCTGATCGTTGATCTCGACATTTGTAGAGCCGCCATGCGTCATCTCAAACACTTTGGTACATGCCACTGTGTATTCAGTACGCTCGACGTTGTCCAAGACGCTGTTCACTTGAGTTTGCGTTAGCTTCATTCCTTGGGACAGTTCAAGTGTCAGTTTATCAACGTTCCAATCTCTGTAAGGACAGCCATGAAATTCGCCTCTTGAAGGTCGAGGTTTCGAGAGGATTGTTCGACAATCCCAAGGTTTATAATTGATTCTATTACCTTCTAAACCATAATTGTGCCTGAAGTTGTATTTGTATTCCTTGTTAAATTTTTCCGTTGTGATACCACCCTTTGCAAAGGCATCAGACCAAAATTGCATGGCGTCATCGACACTCATACCAATACCCTTAAGAAAAAAGGTCAGTTGCTGACGTGCTTGGTATCGCAGATGATGCACAGTCTTTAAGCCGTTCATCATGTTCTTCGCACATAGTGGGAAGTTTTCTTCAATCTTGGCTGAGTAAACGCTAGTTGCAGTTACTTCACCTTGTGAGGCGTTCCCGAATTGGTCCTGGAGCACAAAATTGGAAGCATCGTATCCAGAGGACAAGTGATGAAGAATTGGCAGTAAACGATCATCTTCGTTCAAACGTGGGATATTTTGAGATGTTTTCAACAGTGCTGTGGAAAGCATACTCGAAAACTCGTTTGCGATGTGGTTGAGTTGTTGAAATTGGGGCAAGTACGCCGACCCCTTCTTGATAAAAACTTGTCTGTTCCCTACCAGGTCGACGACCGATTCAAACGGCAACTTGATGAATTTTTCCTGGTTAAAATATTGCCGACGTTGATTTTCATCTGTTAGATTCAACTGGAACTGTAATGCCCCACTGATAGTTTGGTAGAGTTCTGTAGAAAGCTGTTCTTTTTCCTCATCCGATATGAATTGCAAAAATGGTAGGTTAAGGGTCTTGACGAATTTGGCCTGGTCTTGGGATGTCAACATGTTGAAACGAAGCTTTAGCAGTGTGGTCTCGGAACGCACAAATTTGTCCCGAAGTTCTTTGGATCTACAGAAACATAGTCTCAATATGAAATGGGAATAGTAGTCCTTTTTGCGTATTTCCAGGTCGTCAGTGGTCAACGGAAGGAGTTTCTGTAAAAGTGGTTTTACAATCAGTTCCATTTCTCTAGCGGGTTTATTTCTTTGAATGCAGGATTCGATTTCGAGAAGCACTTTGAGTCTGTCAATGGCCCATAGTTCAAATTGCTCCAGTGTAATTTCACCCTTCGGTGGAATGGTGTAGAACGATAACCTCGACTGATACAACGACTCGTACAATTTTTTTTCTTCTTCTGATGCTGTTCCATTCAAGATGAAGTTTCCTGACGATGAGCCTGAGCGTTCATCGAAATTTCTCCTGCCAGCAACCCTACGTTTAGACTGTCTGAACATTATCTACGCGTATCCTGGAGCTAGTTCGCAATGACGGATTTTAAGACTGGTTTTGGGTCAAGTGAATGTTAACCGGTTGATGTGGTCTATACCTGACGCGTAAACTTTAATATAAATTATATTAAAATTGACGCGTATGAGCTTACCACGTGATATTGACCACTATATACGGTACTTTTCTGATATCTATTCGATTTCGATCCTGTTTTTTCGCTTAATAAATGCGTTTAGTTAACTGACCATATTCATGGCTCTTAGCTACCCCCAATGGTAAGTTCTAGTCTCTCAAGATAAGCGGAAACCGTAATGTTCTTTACCTTTTTCTTAAAACCATCGAATATTATCACTATGAACGACCCAAGCGCCATAAGCGCTTTCCAATCAAGTAATATGTTAATGAAACTACGGAAAGCGAGATCTTAAAGGAATGTTTGCTAGAATTCTTAGGTGCTCGCACCTTATGTGCCACGCATTGTACGGATCAAGGTTAGAAGAGGCCCGCTAATCAGTCACGACGCTAGTTGTGGGAAAGATCGCCAGGTTTTTTCCTTCAATTGAATGTTGAGTATCGCTATTGAAACCGACCGAAAAAACGTGGCAATGCAACCATCCCACCCGAAAAACGAGCTCGGGATTAACAAATTGTTCCTTATCCTTGCTATCGACTCTAAATCGTGGTTTGATTCTCAAAATGGATAGCATAGCAGGTTAAACAGTTTCGCTTAGCTATCGGCACGTGACATTGAAAAACACACCACCTTATTATCGTAGATCGATTGATAGTATCTATCAGCTATAAGATCGAGTACCCTATGCTCCCACAACGTCCGCTTAACAGAAGCTCTACTTTCCCATACCAGCTCAATTGATCAACATTGGCTGTCACAATATGCAAGAGAAAAGTGTTGTTATTATCGGTGCTGGAATTTCCGGTTTGAAAGCTGCCTCTGAGCTGTACAAATTGGGCTACAAATCTTGTGTGGTCATCGAGGCAAGAAACAGGGTTGGTGGTAGATTGCAAACGGTTTCGGGCTATAGAGGCGCTAAGTATGACGTGGGTGCTAGCTGGCATCATGATACATTAGTCAATGGCCTTTTCCTCGAGGAAGTGAGTCTTCCCAAAGAAGAGAGCGCTCAATTTGTATTTGACGATGACGTTGCAGTGACCTTCGATAAAGACTATGGAAGAGTGGATCAAAACCCTGACATGGGACTTGAGCTTTTGATGGAAGAACTGATGAAATTCAATGAGCTCCAGTATTTTGGAGGTCTTGACGTTGCAGATGTCAGTTATTTTGAGACCATCGTCAAATATCTTTACGAGAGAAGAAATTTGCTGACGGATGATCAAATAAGGTACATTCCGCAAATGGCAAGGTTTATGGAGTGCTGGCACGGTATTGATTGGAAATCCATGAGCTCCAAATGCATGGAGATCGCTCATCAAGGCCGCAATGCGTATGTGATGAACTACGATAAAATTGTCAATCGTATTGCATCTTCTTTTCCTAAGGAATGGTTTGAGATGGAGACAGAAGTTGTATCTATCAATACCGAAGGGAAAAAGGCTGTAGTTCGCACAAATTCGGGCAAAGAATATTCTTGTGACTACGTCTTAGTCACTATTCCACAAAGCATTTTGGCACACTCCTTGAAACCGGAACCCCGCAAGGGTAGAATAGAGTTCACGCCTCCTCTAGCGCCAACTGTTCAAAAAGCCTTCAAAAAAGCGCACTATGGTGCTCTTGGTAAAATTGTGTTCGAGTTTGAAGAGTGTCGTTGGTCGAAAGAGCGCTCGCGTGGACTTTCATTAGGCAAATCTAATGCCGATTTTGTTAGCAAAACACGCAATGCAGACAATCTACAAGCATTGGTCGACGAGCTCAACAACGATACCAGCTACAATTTCAAAAATGGCGAGCCATGGGACTTCCCTATTTACTTTGTTAATTTGGCCAAACACACAGACGTTCCTTCCATTCTAGCACTGATGCCAGATCCTCTTACCACTCACGTTGAAGCTATCGAGGGAAAGACAAAGCTCTATGAGTTTTTTCAACCTGTCTTAACCAAGCTTCTTGCTGCTTTTGATTGCACTGAACCTATCTTAGCGGACTTTGACGAGGCATCTAAAAAGAGCAATCACCAGGGTCCTGTCCTGAAAAACATCTTTACAACAAAGTGGACACAGGATGATTATACTCTTGGTGCTTATTCCGCATGCGTCCCTGGTGATGATCCACTTGACCTCGTGTTAGCATTAACCAATAATGATGGTTCGATCATTCGTTTTGCCGGTGAGCACACCATTATGGATGGTGCAGGTTGCGCTTATGGTGCTTGGGAAAGCGGCAAAAGAGAAGCAACTTTCATTGCTCAAAAGATGGGTAAAATGTGAAAATCTTATGAATATTACCAAACTTAAACTTGTATCCTCGTTCAGTTAGTGCTTATAGCTACATACAAAACTAATTTTGCCCTTCCTTATGCGTGTGTCATTAGCCCAATGTTATGACCGTTTAATAATCCCTGGCCATATGCCCTTAAGTTATGCGCCTCCATCGTGACAAGTATGTCTTCGAACCACTGTATCAGATCTAGCTTTGTTATTTGGTTAGGAGTCATGAATGGTAACTCTTCCTTAATCAGTCCCCACCAATATTTGGATGGTATCAACTTATTCTTGTACTTGATAAGACTTGATGGTCCAAGAGAAACGTTTAATAGCCCATATAGTATTATCTTATTGAAGGGAACAATTTCTTTGGGATGATCAATGCAATCGTCAGTGTAACAGTTTCCGGACGATGCCTTGCAAACTATTGTATCTGGGTTGAATTGCTCATCCGGGAGACTAATACGACCATTGCCAACGTTCGACAGAGGCACTCCACTCTGTTTGACATAGCTTTCTATTTCCTCTTCCTTACGATGAATAAGACAGTTCACACACTGGCAATCACTCTCACAGTTGCATTGAGTGCTCAGATATACGCCCTTGGGCGTGAGAAGTTCGACAAAAGAGTTGTTTTGAAATTCTGGAGCCGTCGAATAATCTTGGTTGACCTGGAAGTCCACCTGACTTACACTTGTATGTTTACAAGTGTTAGCATGAAATGAACGATTGTCGCCATTTGATAGGACCGTATCATGGGTATGTTGCTTGTTTTCAATGGGATCGGCGAAGGATCGGAGATTCCAAAGAGCAGGTTCTGTCAATGTCTCATCCTTCAAATTATCAGACCTTTGGCTGGTGTGGGTATGTAAAAATTGGCTACCGGTAGCATCATTTGGATGAGACATCTTCAGATGATTCATAAGGTAGTCTTTTTCCGAAACAAGTTTCACTTTCCCGTCTGGTAATGGTGCGTTTTTATCTTCTATGACAATCTTCAGTGCACCATCGACCAGAAATGCCTTCTGGGTGCTTTGAGCACGTAGAAACAAAATTGGCTGTTTATTCATTTTACAGGACCAGGGCAAGGAAGGCGATTGTGCTGGTGTAGAAGAGCAGCAATCAGACCCCGATACATGGTCTGGTAAGGTGTCCTTACTATTGTCGACTTGAGAACTAGCATCCACCAGGATAACTTTTCTTACCGTTTTAGCTGATGGACGACCTTTTGTGCGTACTTTGACCAGCATCCGGTTGCTGTGTTTGCAGGTTGTGGATCTGTGGCCTCGGATACACGAGACACACGAGTACTTCTCCCCGTCATATATAATCATGTTTCAACAAAAATCCCAAGCTATCTGATCGACCGACAGTTTGAGCGGGTTTTTTCAATGGTAATAACGCTTGCCAAATGACTAGAATAACACTAAAGCCCCTGTGGAAAACGTCGTTTTGAGGCGCAACTAACTCAAAAACCGAACTAGTAGCTTTCAAATGGCCTTCAAGAATCAATGTTTTTAAATCTGTCTGAGACTATAGTCAAAATTACTATCTTACTATTCCCACATAAAATAGGTCTTTTGAAACGTTTGAAAAACGATTCCAAGGTTAAAAAACGTTTTGCAAAAGGTTTTCTTTAAGTAGAGCCCCACTTTGTGATCTTGAAGTGTCTTTTAACTATGTTTTCATACATTTAAACACATCGATGTTTCGAATAGTCCGATTGCATCAGTTGAATAAATTTATAAGACCAACCACTCTAAATTCATCATTATTAGCGAATTTGACTATGAGAACTAACCACATTTGATCGATCTGATCCATCAGAAAAGAGCTAAGAGGTATAGGGCTAGCCAAGCATTTTGGAAACAGTAACGATGTCAAAGACTGCGCAAAAACGTCTTTTCAAAGAGCTCACTCAATTGATCAAAGACAGTCCTCAGGGGATTGTAGCGGGTCCTATAACGGAAGATAACCTTTTTGTATGGGATTGTCTGATCAGTGGACCACCAGACTCTCCATATGAAGGCGGGGTGTTCAATGCACGTCTAGAGTTTCCCCGCGATTATCCGTTGTCTCCACCTAAATTATTGTTCACACCTAGCATTCTGCATCCCAATATCTATCCCAACGGTGAGGTGTGCATTTCCATATTACACTCGCCAGGTGACGATCCAAACATGTACGAGCTAGCAGAAGAGCGCTGGTCGCCGGTCCAAAGTGTCGAAAAGATTTTGCTGAGTGTCATGAGCATGCTCAGTGAGCCCAACATCGAGTCTGGGGCCAACATTGACGCATGCATTCTGTGGAGAGACAACCGTGCAGAATTTGACAAACAGGTCAAGCGTTCGATATTGAGATCACTAGGGCTATAGAGAAGACCAAAGCAGTGGAAACGTTGAATATTGAAAAAACCCAAAAACCCAAAAAAAAAAAAAAGACCCACCCCTGATGAAAGATCAAATTAGTCCTGAAAGGACCAGCCCGCAAAAAACCAGAGGCTTCCTAAACATTGCCATATTGAACTTTCTCAGCGTTCAAATGGTAGGGGACAGATTCAACACTGTTAAAGATCATAGAATTATCATGGTCGACGAACATCGACATCTCAAATCAAAACTTCGTCGATAATGACTAAAATCTATATCTTAATTTCGCATCCCACCTCGTACGAAATGACCAGATATAAACCTTTAAATTTTGATCTCCCATCCCATTAACTACTACCGAGTCGAAATGTGTTCATCAATACGCCTAAACTTGAGACTTCATCGCCCCTTTGGTCTTGTCTCGAGCGTTTCTACTATTAATTCAGCAGATGAGATTGTCGCTGACATGGGTATTGGCGTTTGTCGCGTCTTTCCGCGGGTCTTTGTGCGTTTATTGGGATGAGAACAACACAGCTGCGACTTACAATGCAACTGCATTGGTTGCACAAGGTTTGCTGGATTACTACACAGGGCTACAATATGGTAAGCCCGTGGGTATGTTTTCGGACCCTTACTACTGGTGGGAAGCTGGTGGAGCTTGGGGGTCAATTTTGGACTATTGGTGGTACACCGGAAACACTACATACAATGGGATCTTAAAACAGGCGTTATTGGCACAAACGGGTGATAACAACGATTATGTGCCGCTCAATCAGTCGGTAACAGAAGGTAACGATGACCAGGCCTTTTGGGGCCTCGTTGTGATGGCAGCTGCTGAAAGAAATTTTGAAAATCCAGCGGAAAACGAACCCCAATGGCTTTACTTGGCCCAGGCCGTTTTTAACACCATGGCTCTTCGTTGGGATGACGATACGTGCGGTGGTGGGCTTAGATGGCAGATTTTCACCTGGAACTCGGGTTACGACTACAAAAACACCGTTTCTAACGGAGCACTTTTCCATATCGCTGCTAGATTGGCACGTTACACCGGGAACACCTCATATGTTGACTGGGCCGAAAAAGTGTTTGAATGGATGAAAGGGATTCATCTGTTGGAAGAAGATGGCACTAATCTGGTGTTTGACGGTGCCAAAGTAGAGGGTAATTGCAGTAACATCACTAAACTCGTATGGACTTACAATCAAGGCCTTCTAATGTCCGGATGTGCATACCTCTGGAACATGACGCAGGACGAAAAATGGCATGTTAGAACGTGGGAGTTTTTGAACGCCTCGAGCATTTTCTTTAACGACAGTATTCTCTACGAAGTAACTTGTCAGGGCGCTAACTCATGCAATACTGATCAGCGGTCTTTCAAGGCTTACTTTTCCAGATTTCTAGGTTTAACAGCGCAGCTGGTTCCACAGGCCAGAGACAAGATCATGAGTTGGATTCACGCTTCTGCTAAAGGCGCAGCACAGTCTTGTTCTGGTGGTACCGATGGACATACATGCGGACAAAATTGGTTCTACAATGGTTGGGACGGTTACTATGGACTTGGTGAACAAATGGCCGCGCTCGAAATCATGCAAAACACATTTTGTCTTGATAGACCCGCGCCTTACACGGCTCAAGATGGTGGCACGTCGCAGGGTAACGGTGCTGCAGGAACAGAAACACAAGCTACTAACTTGAGCCCGTTGACCATCACTACAGGATCTAGGGCTGCTGCTGGGATTATAACTGCAGTCATAGGTCTGTCCATCGTTGCATGTACAGTGTGGTTGGTCATCTAGGCCTTGAGTAAAAAAACGCTTTATTATACACCCCACCGTATTCAATACGTATCATCTTTTTAACAAATTCACTCGCTTGTCGTAGTCTGTTGAACATCGTTGCATGCAAAAAAAAACGTTTTCGCATACCGTCTTTCCAACCGCTGATTTTAGAGGATGCATGTGTATCATATGCACTCAACATAACAATTTGCAATCAATGCTCCTTACTTGCAACACTCTGTTGAACCAATGTCGACACACTAGACTCAAGAAATCGTAGTCTCCCTGGCTGAAACAGTCCAAAGAATTTGCGGTGAGAAAAATAGGAGAGACCGTTACGATATCTTCTTCGCCTGATTCCAAAGCATTTTTTAGAGTATCATACAGCCTTGAAATTCTCCCATGAAAATATCCAACCAACGACAAGACAATTTCAATGTTGTCGCGTTCCAGATCTACTTCGGTCATGAGGTCTTCGTCAGACTTGTGATACGATGGCTTCATGTACCCTGCGGTTGCCCACCAGTAAAATCCATCGATAACGTACTGAGACCAAGTCGTTGGTTCTATCAACTGATTTATTTTCTCCACCTCTTCGTGTGACAGCTCATATCCCAGATACGAGGGTACCAGCTTTTGGTAAAGTTCAAGTTCATGTGGTGTGGCTTTGATAGTATTGCCCTCGCTACTTTTGATATGAGGTAATGAATCGTCACCATTTATTCTCAAGCAAACGTCGTACAGCTCTGGCCGATCTTCCAATATGGCATCTCCGGTACAGGCAACGAACCCCGAGATTTCGAAATTGTCATTTTGACTCGACATTGCTCGAGCAACATGCTGTCTTAAAGCTTCAATATCTGTAATTCCGATCGTGTACAGAGGTTGCAAAGGTTGCTCATGGTCTCCATCTGAGATATTGTGTGGGAATAGCGACAAAATGGACAAGCAATAAACCAAAGCATTGCATTTTTCAAATGAAACACCGTCCCCCACAATTATCAGTATTCTTCGTCGTACTATAGCGGCCTTCCAGAGGGGGAAAATGAGAGGGCCAAGGAAACTAAACCATTGAGTGAGAGATTCCAGCATGTGAGGATGTTTATCCTGCAATACCCTTGGGGATCCCGTGAAAGTGGCTGAACTTTGCCATGATTGCCGAAGAATAGGCGATGACAAACTTGCCGTTTCCGGCTTTATGCAATTGGACTCAAAATACGTTTCAAAAAGCTCATAATTGAGGTTTTCGCTTGTAATGTTTGCTTGCTTCTGGGACCAATGTAGTAAAAGATCCTGGATGTCGTCGATGTATTCTGCTGCGCTGACGAACTGATTAGGCTTCCAATCATAGTATTTCGATTTTGACACACCCTTGTATCTAAAATTTACGTCTAGCACTATGCCGAGCGAGTACATACGCACTTCGCTCCGGTCCAGTTGGTCTGTCTCTCCACTTAAAGCCAATCCATTCTGTTCAAAGCACGACACACCGTAAAACACATCCTCGAACGAATCTTGCTTGCGAATGACAAAACTGACGACGTCTTTATGCTTTTCATGTATGCCAGAAGGTATACTTTTGAACTCTAAGTTGTCTAATGGTATATTCGGCGATGAAGGTGAGGTTTTGGACCACACAAGATCGTTGCCTTTTTTAACATCGAATTGACATAGGAAAATGCAACTAATGGGAACCCTATGGGACGGTTCTGAAATTCTGAAACTTTGTGGTTTTGTGTCGAATCGTAAGTCGAAAGGCTTCACGTACTGCTGCATTTACGAAAGTATAGGTAGTTCCGGCAAAGAACGTGAACCTTACGGGAGATGTTGTGGTCAACTCAGTTACTCGGACTGCGTTGTTTAGTTACCAGATCACCATCCGTCATCACTGTGGTCGTTCTAAGTTACCTGGCGCGACAGCATCGTCTTGAATTTACCGCATTATCGCAGTGAACAGACACCGACGGGAAGCTGATAAAGGCTCAAAAATTTGTTACAGTGGTTATTTTGACTTTGAATTAGGAGAACTTTTTTTTCTGTCGCAAAATGTCTCCTAGAGCCGGTTACGTTCGTTTTAGGTGTCATTTTATTCATTTGGTCATCGATAACGCCGTTATAATCAGCTCTTCGTGAATCAATATGGTCTGAAAATGAACATCTTATGACAGTAGTTTGGGAGTGGACATTTTAAGTCAAAGAAGGTGTTTGGACTAACCTGCTGTACATAAAGCTGGAGATATCGTTCTTATTTTGTCTGTCATTTGAAATTGTCGCATGTAATTATCTCGAGCTGAATGCCAAAAGCTAAAAGCTAAAAGAGATCTATTCCAATAAAACTGTTGTTCTAAGTCTGCATTCTACAAGGTATTTCTCTTTTTATGCGATACTCACTTTGTCCTTTTCCAAAGCTCTCTTTTACATGTCACTTTTGTTCTATGAAGTGATCAATTACGAAACTTGAATCTACATTAATATCGTGTCTCCTTACCTCAAGTACAGGCTGTTATATCCTCAATTCAATCACCCAGAGAGTTCACTATCCATTTGTGTTGAGATTTCTTCCGTTTCAGCATGTTCTGTCGTCATTCCATGACAGATGATGATAGTAAAGGATATCACTAATTTTCAATCTGACACCAGCTTATCGGTCTTACTCGAGAGCTGAAATCAGTATAGCTAAAGCTATCTGATGAAGCCGGGAGTTTGAGCACTACCGAGCCGTACGCGTGTTAGTTGAAAATCCATTTTCGGCTAGAAATGTAGGTTCATTCATTGGTGATTGATGTTCACGCCAAATCGTACGAACGTCGCGTCTAATGAAAGAGGGAAATCTGGGTGTAATTCATTGATAGAGCAGAACCCCTCATGGCCATGATAGAAACACCAACAACCCCCAACAACCAATCACTTGACACTTTCGCCATGCCAAATATCTTGAACGTTTATAATTCGGCTCAATTTCTGGTCACGAGACCAAGTTGTTAATCGAAATTCAATAAGGTTCTTACTAACATCGTAAAGATGTAAATACAGTTGAAAGATCGTACTGGTCAGTGGCCAATTGTCGTCCCAGTGGTCCTGTTCGTGTCCACTTATCTTTTTGTTTTGGACTTTAGTGAATGACATAGAAAAAGTAGATTCAGTCGCCATTTTAAGAGCCGAACTAATCGAGAAATTAGTGATCTATCAATTCGTGAAGTCCTACACCACACACCTCATCACTCCGAAGCGATTGTTCGAATGGCAGGTCATGAAAGAAACACAGATCAGAAAGTACGTCGAACACTGCAATAACAGTCTCCAAGAAATTGTGGATCTTCAGTCGGCACAAGCTATCAAAGAATTTCAAACTAAAACCGAGGAAAACTTCCAACGTCTTGACGATGCCAAAAGTCGATTCAAGACAGACACTCAGTCAATTGAGGAGTTCAAGGCTTTGAAATCCGAATTCTCGACTAAAATTGACGATTTGGAAAAATCTATAGACTACTATGAGAAACTAGCGGACGAGATACAGGAATTTTTGGTCGAATGTGAGGTAAAAGAAAAACTTGCGATGAAAAGACTATCACAAAGCACAAAAAGGTGACAAACTGCCCTTTCTTTTTGGCTTTACTTACCCACGCAAAACCGGGAAAATACCACCCCCAGCACCTCTTCAACACCCACAGACCGACCACTTATTTTGCCAATACCTTCGGCGGCATTCCCCAGACTTTCCGATGCCATCACTAAATCTCCAAGCTCCGAAGTTGCAAGGAAATCTTCGATGCCATCAATCACGTCCCTCTTCAAAATATCTTGGACTCGTTTTGATGCTGTTATAGGATCCGAATCATGAGCCAAATCTGAGACTTTCCTGAACGTTGCGGAAAGGGTGTCTACCAGATTCTCAATTCCTTGATAATCATGACAGGAAACAACATTGATTTTGAAACAATCTCCAAAAAGCGCCTGCACTTGTTGTTTCGCGTCTGCAACCGTCTGCAATTCCACTGCGTCCATTTTGTTTATCACAACGATAAGCTCTTTTGCCGGCAGCTGTGACCTGAGCAAATCACACAATTCTGGCGCGACAAATGGTTTTGACGTGGCATCAATAACCAGTATCATGAGATCGCTTTCAACAGCTTTTGCTCTTGCTCTTCTCATGCCTTCCAGTTCTATCTTATCTCCGCTTGCACCCCGTATCCCTGCAGTATCGCAGAGAACCACTTTGAAACCACCAATGTCGAGCGGTACATCAATACTATCTCTCGTAGTCCCTGGTACATCGCTGACAATAGAGGTGTCATCATTTGTGATACAATTCAACAGCGATGATTTTCCTGCGTTTGGCGATCCAAGAAGCGCAACTTTTATACCTGTTTGTAATATGCTCGAACGGTCTACTTTCTCGAGATAGCGTTGGATTTCGATTTTCAGCGAACGCATTTCTTGTGCGCAAGATCGAAGTATGTTGTCTACGTCGTTAATTTCAGCATCGTCTCCGAAATCTATGATCGCTGTTAGTTGTGCAACATTAGATACAATTTGGGATCTCCAGCGTTCGAAAACCTCTTTATTTTTCCCTGTCATCCCAGAAACAGCACTTCGACGCTGAGTTTCCGTTTCAGCGTCTATAAGATCTGCAACACCTTCCACTTCAGTCAAGTCCATGCAACCGTTTTGGAAAGCCCGCTGTGAAAATTCGCCCGGTAAAGCGTACCTTACATTTTTCTCAGCCTGCTTATTACCAATGCGTTCAATTGCCTTCAGCACACTCTTGACTACGGCTTTACCACCATGAAGGTGCAGCTCCAACATATCTTCACCGGTGAAAGATTTGGGACCAGCAAAATATATTACTATCGATGAATCCAACAAGTTCTTTGTCCCTGACTTCAAATCAAATAAGGTTCGCAGCGAAGCTCTTCTAGCAATTGGACACTTTTCAGAACCAGTGAGTTGTTGAAATATGAATTTCGAGTGCGTGCCAGTGATTCTGATTACTGCGACTGCAGATTTTTGAGCCAAAGAAGTTGACAATGCATAGATAGTTGGATGGTAAAAAGTAGCAGGAAAATACGAATTGAATCTGTTCCCTAACGTATATCGTCTGAGCATCCCAAACAACGCTCTTGGCCTTATATCTTTATCAATGCTGCAAACGTTTTTTGTATATCGATGATGCGATGAGCTTAATCTAGAGTAATTTAAATATTGGTTTGGTTATACCTACATATAAGAAAGAAGTTATTGTCAAATCAATGACATTGGGAGAAGCGATATTTTACGTAAGGAAGCTTCTTGAGAGTTATGCCATAACCCTTGGTCGTTAATCTCTGACAGTAGTGCTTTCACCGATTTTCTTGTCCAAACTCAAGGGTCTTCAAGATGTCAGAATTGACATCAAACCTGGCGACAGACGTTTTGACATCCAGAAAGCGGTTTCTCAGAATATTTAAAAGGACACCGGAAGACATGGACTTCTAGCTGCTTTTTATTTGTGAATAGTACTCTTTTCTGAAATCAAGCAAGAAAAGTATACTAACTCTTAATCTTCTCTAATTAATACTATAGGACAATGAAGCTTACCAAACTAGTTGGACTCATTTCTGCATCATTTGCAGTACATTCCAAGTTCGCACTTGCGAAATGGCCCGATCAATCTTTGTACCGGTTATCCAATTCTGTGGCTAAATCACAAAATGTTGCAGTCGTTAACACAACTTCAGAGTGTCAAGACCAGACCGTGTCTATGATGACTTCTGCATTATCGTACCAGGTTGACATCGATGTCATTGAAAGGTATCTTCTGGAGGGTGTTTCGGTGTTGAAGACTTTGCTCAATGGTAAGACACAATTTAATGCTTTGGACCTGATGGACATCGCCACAGTGCAATTGCATTGGTTCCCACCTACGAACCTCGACCTTTCTAAAGTTTCTCTCGCTGCGCAGTTTGCGCAGGTGAAAACCATCTACTATTCATCTCCTCTATTGCGTCATGGACACCAATGGATTGGAAATATCGCCAAGACGTCGTTCCAGAGTTCTCAATGGCGTACACTTTCACAAAGTGCGATCCAAGCTTGGGCGAATCTCGAATCGACTACGCCTGCGGTGCACAGTCTTTTCCTCGAAGTCAATCGAATAGTTCATGCTCCAGAGACACTAAAAATGTTCGTGAAATTAAAGAATGAATGGACCAAATCCACACCCAACTGTCAAAAACCTATTCATGCAACTGTTTCATTAAAGAATGGTAAAAAAAGTGCAGCCAAGGCGATGGCTGCTGCGGCCAGAATCCCTTCTCGTATTGTTGACCTCGGCTCCCCCAAACCAGGTAACATTCCAGTCTTTTACCAACAGCGGTCTACCATCCTCAACTCAACGGATGTAAACCACACGAATTTAACGGCGCCAGTCGTGATCAAGGATGATGAGTCTGCAGCTGTTACGTCATATAGATTTCATTCTTGGTCCATCATGGGTGCAGCTGTGCTAGTTATCAGTGGAGCAATCCTCTTTTAGTGATGGCATAAGGCAGTAAACTATAAAAGGTTGTACCAACCTTGATTTTCTATGTAAACACCTATGCCCTACAAGTGTGGAACGTTCAAACGGGAAACCTCATCACATACATTCATATAAACAATTTTTGTTGTATATGTCGGAACCTCTGTCTGTCTAGCGTCAGATCCATGACAAAGTGATCACAAACACGTGACACGATGACAGCGTCAGAAACAACAAGATATTCAAAGAACCTAGAACAACCAACGATCTAACAAGAATGACGTCGATTGGACCAAGTGGCACCATCTAAAGTGATCGTATAGCTCCTAGATCAGACCATTTCCGCAAACTGCACCCGGAATCTTGAAGATTTTTTCACCTGTTAACGACGGAACATTTTCGGGAATTTGTATAAGAAGAGACGTCTTACGCACTATATAAGCTCATCCCACTTATACTAAATAAACTACGGAGAGATAACTCTAACTCAGTAAAACAATAGTTTACACCTTTCAATAATGGACAGAATCACCCAGGATATGGGACGTTTATCGTGCAACGACACTCCAGAGACAGAGTCTCAACACGAGTATAAACAGTATAAAATTTTGGTTGAAGGGAAACTAAGACCAAGAAGCTCGTGAGAGTTTGTTGGTGCCAGGCAAAGGGAGCTTGCGTTCAAGTTAGACAAATGGACAATAAGCGAGTTTTAACGTGTCACTGTAACTCTTTGCGTCGCTGACGCTGGTCACATGATATTTCGAAGCTTAATTTTATTCTTCACAGACAGTGTTCGGAATGAAGATTCAGTGAACAAAGGATGGGATATTATAGAGATCGGTGTCTTTTTCTTTGCCCTTGCCTCTCTAGATGCTGGTATTCGCGGCGCCAGATCACTTTATAGTTTTCCGTCGTGGTACGTGTGACATACTTTTATAGTTGCTCAATTCAGAGAGTCTTGAGACAAGCCGAAGAACTCCAGGTATGACGAAACAAAACACCAGGAGGCCAGATTTAAGAACTATTGGTGTGATGTTCGATTTTAGCAAAGTTACAGCTCACTGTGTACGACAATATGTGGAAACTCTTCGAAGTATGGCACTCAATGCTGGAAAACAAAGAATGTACTGCCCAAACCACAAACTCACCACTCCCCATCACACATCTAGTGGCATTTACCCCATTTCGCTGGAGAAACAAACCTAATCTCCGATTTATTCCATTTTGACATTTGTGTCACTATTGACGAATGAGTAAAAGTGTCACGGTAACGTCATATTCTCTTTTTTCTTTAGAGAAAATGGAAGAGAAACTTAATCAGCGCATATACTTGAAGCTTCAATTCCAAAAAGTTAGGCTCGAACTGATGCCCCACCGGTCACGAATGCAATGCCTTCCTTAGTCGCTTACTTTTCTGTTGATGAGTCAACAGTATACTTTAGCCATAATGATCACGTGACGTCTCTTCACGTGACACTACACTACACAATTTCGAAAATTTTTCAGAAATCTTAACTAAAGTAATAATCAACCTTGTAGAGCCGATGAGCTAGCTCAGCTTGGAATTGATAAGTTTAGTTGAAAGAAGTTAACAAATCTCAAAGTTCAAGTTTGTTAGAGGTCTGCTACCTACATCTAATTACTCCTGTATGTCTCGGCAGATCATTGCTTCGTCGCGGCTCCTGAAGAGTTTCCACGTCGCGACGCTCACTACCAGATCTTATAGCGGTCGAAATCTGATTCTGTCAAGACCGCTACATCACATAAGCAGTGTGCAGCAAAAAACGCCCAAATTGGCGACCCCACAACTTGATGAGTATAGAGTGTATTATAAGCAGGTCCAAGACGCTATAAATGACGTTCCGGAAACAATTGCGTCAAAATCCACAGCCCTGAATGCATTGCACTCAAGACTAAAATTACCAAAAGCTTTCCCCAATTCAACTCTCGCAAGATGTCTGACGTGTAGGTCCTCTCAGCTTTCTCCTACAAATAACAACAGCGGGAATTCATCAGGATCTGCATTCACAAGTACGGTTCCCTCAAATAATTTCTGCGACAACCATGGACTGAACATCTTTGGCAAAAATTTACTGACATACCACGTCTCTCGTCAAATAATGGCACAATATCCGCGTCTACCTACTGTGGTGTTAAATGCTGCAGTGGACGCTTACATTTCACATAACGTGCTGGCCAGCGTTGGCAAGTCTTGGGGTATCGAACTCGAAAATACCAGCGTTTTAGACAGATATCTCAAGGAAGAGCCCATCCAGCTGACACTTGGAAGACTGAGGTTTTTCAATAATAGTTTGAAGCGTGAAGACGGAGTGGAAGTCATCACCGGTCAAAATTTCTCCGCGGAAGCAGCGTACGCCCTTGCCGTGAGAAGTATTATTGGCGCTCTTTGGGCTTACACCAACGAAACCAATCCTGCATTAGCGTTCAAGTTTATTGACGATCATATTCTGTCTCGTAAACTAGACGTGACCAAAATATTTCAATTCGAACATCCAACCAGGGAGCTTGCGGTCCTTTGTCGCCGTGAGGGGCTTGAAGCCCCAGTTTCAAAACTCTTGGCCGAGTCCGGGAGACATTCCAAAGCTCCTGTATTCATAGTGGGCGTTTTTTCTGGCCTTGAAAAACTGGGTGAGGGTTTTGGAGCATCTTTGAAAGAAGCCAAGGCCAGAGCTGCTACCGACGCATTGACTAAATGGTACTGCTATGAGCCTGTCAAAGGCCAGCCTTCCGTGATCGACCATGGCGCAGTAATCGTTTGAAGAAGATTAAAATATGTCATCTGGAACATCGATACGCAGATGTACCTAATTATCGCCTTGTATATATTAACAGCAGTGAACTTTTGATGATCTAGTAAAGTTTGGCTTTTTGTTAAGTAAGTGCGTATTTAGGTGTTTCTGGTCTTTGATCAAGTTAGCTTAACTTATCGAAAAATGGAAGCTTCTACAATAGGCGAAGGTTTTCAGGCAGCAATGGAAGTCTTGCTGCCTCCTGTGATCATTCTACAGGTCAACCAGTCGTTAGACGTCAAAAGAGTGCTTGGGGGATCAAGGCCAGAACCGCTTTGTCTATTGTTATTTGGTGAAATATCTCACTCTAATGTAATTGTCCACTATGGACTAGAACTACCATTGTTAGAAGAAAATGGCACTATAAGTTACGCTTCTGATGCATTGAACAAACGAATTGGTCTTGTGCGCTCTGTGCTTCCACAATTACAGCTATTGGGCATTATTTTTGTCATTGATAGTTCGTTGCCCTTCCACTTCGATACGATTCTTGATGCTTTGATGAGTGAGGTAGAAACCTTGAAATCTTTCCTGATCTACACTATTCAAGGCAATAAGCTAGATCTTCGCTGCCATCAGATTGACGAGCCTCGACATAGGATGCCAGTCCGATTTTTAAACAATGACACTTTACTTGCTGCGATTGACGATTCACAGCACCTAAGAAATGAAGACAAGAATGACCATGAGAAGCAAAAAGACTTTAAAGAAAAACTCATCTCAAGAATTAGCAACATCATTAGGTATCTGGAACAAGGCCAGGTCACCGACTCGATTTTGAGGAAGATAAACCTGCTAGTTTTGCAATTGAAAAAGGCTCCGACGAATGACATCGAACAACAAGTACTAGAGAAAGAGATGGAATTGCAATTACTCAACATTATATGCGATCAATGGGAAACAGGGCACACCTTAGGCAGAAGCGACCCATAATTTTATCCCATCAGATCATGAGTTTTCTGATTCCCGTCAGCGACCAATCACCAGATTCCTTCTCATAGTTACATCCCAGTAACTTGCTGCCCGTTACCGGACATTTTCCCTCATGCTGCGGCAGATAATCCATTATGCATGGATAACAGAACACATAACCGGTTTCGATCGCGGCAGGGTTGGTGATTTCGCTATCGCATATTCTACATTTACCGTTTGTGTTTCTTTCAAACGGAATAGGTGGTGGTGGAACGTCTTGGTCAAGACTGTCCATCTTCCTCTGCAACTCATTGGTCATGTCTTGTGACGTCCACCATTGGAAAATGCGAAGCATGAAAATAAATGCGGGGAACACTTGGGAACCGGCAGTTCTAAGAATCGAATCTAATTTGGAGCTCCAAACCCGAAGAAGATTCAAAAGAGCAGCTTTATTAAGTCTAATACGCCTTGCACTGGTAGTTGCCGGCGACACAGCATCTTTGGTCTCATTTCGCTCATAGTCTAGGATCGAGAGCCGTGTGTAGCTAATGTTCATGATAAGCTCGATAATGGATGTTGCGCCGCTCTTGCCAGTAAGGAAGTAAAGCTTTGAGGCCAAGTTGAGAAAAAAGAGTAGCTTTTTCAGCAGCGGATAGTATTTAATGAAGACGTTTCGCAGGGCTTTTCTCACTTTGCGGGACTTATGAGTGTCATCGTTTTCTCGGGGATTACGCATCAACGCTGCGGCCAGTAGCTTAGAATGTAGCAAGTCGAGTTTCGTTGCAATATATGGTACCAGCACTTTCTGTGCAACTACTGCGGATCGCTGTACATTTGTTAGTCGCACCGGGAGCTCCAAACCCGGATTTTGTTGTAGGGTGCGAAGCAAGATGCGATTCGAGCCGTTGATACGTTTGAGCCCATAGAAGTTTTCGATGAATGTGCCATCCCAACGACTTAGATAGTGCGATTCTATGGCCATTCTAGTGGCTAATAAGAACCATTCGTCAAACCAATTATTGATGGCCAAAGTGTACCTGTTTGGTTTACGGGCCACCAAATTGGCCACGATATAGCGAACCGACGGTGTTAGCAGCTCATCGATCTCGTCAGCAGAAATAATTTCGAAAATTGTTGGGTATATCGAGGAGGCAAGCGCTGGAGACGAGGTCGAGAGACTTGAATAGAACTCCATTATGCTTGTCCGATTGGAGAGGAAAGTGACGTAAAGTTACACAGAAAGCTATATCAAATGCAACAAATGTTTGATCTTTATATACGCGCGACTTGATAGAAGAGAGACTGGTGATGATCCAGGTTTTCGAACCTTGGATTCCGGTGATAAATTTCGATGTTCTTGATGTAGACATAATTCAATATAACGGTGCCGTTAATTAATACTTGTATGTAGACCAGAATAGAACAGCAGACAATGATTGAGATAGACGGTAACCAAAGCGTGAGGGAGGATGACTCGAATAAACTCCTTGGATATTCTGCTCAGATTTTTGTGCGATTATGTTACATTCTTCTTCTCATTCCTGGCGTCAGATTCACGGTACGGTGGTCATGTCCACGTGACCTCATGATGACAGCGACAGTATTAAAAAAACCTAAGACGAACTACAAAGAAACAGTGCAAATGCAAGCCAAATGTCTTGATTAGACGTCTTAATTCAATGTCCAAGTCTATCAAATGGGAAAAATCACATCTTTCGGCTTTTTTCAGGAACCAAGTTATCAACTTTTATTGCACCGACACGCTCCAGGAGCTCTCACTGAAAACGGGGAAATAAGCTTCCATGAACCCCATTTGAGCTGAGACCACCAACACAGAAATCTCGAGGTCTTGGCCTTTGAACCAAATCAAGAAATAGAGACGTTCTTGACAAAGCCTTCTCAAATGTGTCAACTTGGTCATTGACGTGATGACAAAAGTCGTAATTTTCAAAAGTAGTTGTTGTGTAACATCTATGCATCGTGTCGACTACTTAGGCGAGGAGTGCCGTTGAGGGAAGGCGATGCCATCCAAACTCACAAGTCGTACCTGGATACATCTCGGTGTTCATTGACCCAGTTAAGAGATTATCACCTCGAGGAAATAAACCATAGTTTTATGCACGTGACTTCCTTGATGTATTCCATTAACTCTGCCTAGAGGTTGATGTACTAAAGGCCTCAAATATTGTAGAACTACTACTACTATCCTACAAGCTGGCTCGATTACACCGACCGTTTTTTCAACACTTCAAGGGAAAGAATCGATGCAAGACAGCAAGGAATTCAGGCGATAAGAGTATCTCTCCATTTTGTATCACAACTTCCAACTAGACAGTCTGCTACCAACTTTTTTACGTAAATTGTCTCTGCCTTCGTTAACGAGTGAAACTGAGACTCTCTCACGCAACATGGATAGAGCTATCCAACAGACAGACTACGATGCTTTTTCTTGCAAAATATGTGCTATAAGCAAAATGTACTTGCCAAGCAGCAAGGAACTGGAATTTTGTGGGATGCGGGGATTTTCAGAGCTGCATATGGCGTATGCTCAACAATTGAAAGGCCTCAATAGAAGGGCATATGGCAAAGTCCAAACGGCAATTCGACAAGGTCAGCCTTTGATGAATTATGGGACTTATTTGAGAACCCTGATTGTCGACATAGAATGCAAATCGTTTTTGGAGAACGCTGCAAATGAAAATTCAAAGATTCAAATACTCAACTTGGGTTGCGGTTCCGATTTGCGAATGCTCTTCTTCCTCAATCAATATCCACAATTGACCTGGATAGACCTGGATTTTGCAGAGTCCGTTTCGCTGAAGGCCAAGATCTTAAAAAAAAACGAACAGTTTAGAAATACTCTTGGCGAGCCCCAAGGTGCGGACGACACAGAGTACATTTCAGATCGTTATTTGCTCAAAAGCTGCAACTTAAACCACACACAAAAAGTGCTTGACATACTATTAGAGTCTAGTGTCCCAGAGGTTCCAACATTGGTTATAACAGAGTGCGTACTCTGTTATATGGATCTCTCACAATCACAGGCTTTGATCGACAACGTGGTTTCATTTTACGAAACCGGAACCTGGGTCTCGTACGATCCCATTGGCGGTAACGAAGCAGACGACAGGTTTGGTGCGATCATGCAAGCCAATCTTTGGGAGTCCAGACAATTGGAACTCCCAACTCTCATGTTTTTCAACTCAGTGGAAAAATACGCTCAAAGATTCGAAGACGAAACAAAACATACCCAAATCGAAACAGTGTGGCAGTACTATATCCAGCAAATACCACAGGAAGAGAAAAATCGGCTGAAGTCGCTTCAATTCCTGGATGAAATTGAAGAGCTAAAATTGATTCTTTCGCATTATGTACATTCAAAATCTTCTTGGTGAAAAGTGATCGTAATATCGACATAAACCCTCTTTTATATAAGTTCTCACCTAAAAAACCACCCATTTCCTTCACCCTGCGTTCGCCAAGTAGCCTGTGGCACTGTGTCGTTCTCCGCTCGATACAGCCTCCATGCTTCCCGTATATGCTCCGGTAATATTGGACTATTTGTATATTTCTCAACACTCACGTCCAAACTGTTGAAAGAGCGCACCAATCTGTTGTAATATTTGATGAGCGTAACTCTATTCTCCTCGGAATTGACTTGTGACCTTATAATCTCATTGAATGTGTTGGTCTCCTTCGTAAGCTTCTCGTCACTTTCGTCCTCGTAGTCATCCGTCTCGTTTTCATCGACACTATCATCCAGGGACATTTCAGAAGTCTCCACCATCAATGTGAGCTTCTTGAAGGTCTTTTTCAGCTTGTGCGCTGCAAGTTTTTTATTCCTGAATACTGAGGCCATAAGTATCACTAAACTTCGCTTTTTGACCTCTTGAGCCTTTTCCACTATTTCGCCCACAAAGATTTTGCCCACACCGGCTAGCAGTAGGTTGATATTTGCAGCTACTGTTTGATTGGTGACAATGCTTGAAATTTTCTTGATATTGTTTTTGGCCAGAGATGTTCTCCGAAACACTTCAAACCTGTTCATTTGTTCTTCGTCCAAATTTGTTAAGAGTAGATTCAGTTGCTCAGATTGTTCCAATTCTTTGGGCTGTGGTAAGCTAGCAATCTGTTCGTCATGTATCTCTCGAGGAAACTGGAGGTTCTTAGGTATAGAATTAACATGCGATGCCTTTTTTATCCTTCCAGCATTATTGTTTGTCCTTTTCGAGCTTCCTGAAAGACCACCAGTCCCATGGAAATTCTTGCTTCTGAATTCATTCACGTATGCAACCATTGTTCCCCCCGTTCGTACATCTTTGAGCTTCCAACTTACATATTCTTGATCTTCACTGATGACTTGGTTGATCAGTTCTTTTGTCCCCCAGTAATTGCTACGAGTAATCAAAGGTGGATAGTTTTGCTCAGGTAACGTATCTAGTGGCCCTTGGGTCTCATTCATGGTCTCACAGTCTATATTCAGCTCAATCCGGCCGCTGTTCGATCGATGAAAGAAGGAAGATTCGTAATTTGTAGCTCAATTTAGTTGTTCAACCTTATAAGAGTTGAAGGAAATTGTGAACAATACTTTGTAGTGAAGGATGCTGGCACTGTTCTGAATCTATATATGTAAATGTATACATGGAATGAATGAGACCGTAAATGTGTGTAAATTCCAGCTAACTTTTGTTGAGTGAACTGTTGTGAGAGGATTGACAACGAAAAGATTCGGGCTGTATGACACGCCTGCTGTCACCGTCGCCCAAGGCCCGACATTTGAAAGAATAGAAGCACATATCAGTTCTTTGACTTACTCTTTTGTTAACGAAGAATCGTGCGTTTTTTCATCAAGCTGCTCAGTTTCGTCGGCAGGCGAGTCGGAGATTTTCACTTGCTTCTCCTCCACTTCGTCTTCATCGTCATCGTTGTTCTCCCGAAGTGTCTTGAGTAGTCCCGTCAAAATAATGACAAAGATTGGACCCAGGAACGGTAAGTAGACCGCTATTTTGTGCTCCTGTGGAAAGAAATTTTGTTGTACCATTTCCTTGTGAAAAAATGCTCTTTCGCAAACCTCGACAAAACTGTTACTCAAGTGCAATGCTTCGTTCCAAGTAGCTTCGTCACCGCGTTTAGGATCATTGAGCAGCTCCACGGCTTTCAGTCTCAAACTTATCGCTTGCTCAACGTCCGAGAGAACTTGTTTGGGGACCGCCATCTGTGGGAATTGATCCGTAAGTTTGATCAAAGACCACATAGTTTCGATACCGTGTTCCAAATTTTTCAATGTTGTGACCCTCTTGAATGAGTCTATTGTAATATATGGTGTGGAAAGATCGGCCTTTTCGTTTGATAGGCCTAAGAATTGAAATAATTCGCATGCAAAGCTGTAAATGACAGGCGCCAGATAATCCTGAGTTAGTCTGGAATTGTCTGGAAGTGCCTCCTTATTCACAACCAGAGCGCCCCATTGAGGAACCATGAAACTTTGCCATGGTCTATCTTCTGTGGCGTTGACGAACCCTAACTGACCTGCTTCCGGACTGGGGAAAACTATGGCCAAATTGATCGCATTTTTTTCGCGATAATGATTAAGTGATGAAAGTTCAGATAGGTCAATGGAGTGCGCTAAGTCTTGCCACGAAGGATCTTGAATGTCATGGAGGGACCCCAAATTTAGATCGTTGAAATGCAAAATACTAGTATCCACGGTGAAGTTTATCAATGGCGATAAAAATTGGCGAAGTGGAGTAAAGTACTGGTTTAACGTCGATTCTATGTTCCATGCAACGGGACGACCGTCTCCCGTTAGAAGTGATAGTGACAGATGTACCTTGGGGGCATACGAAATCGCCATTTCTGAGGACTTACCTAGACCTCGATTACCTTGATCATTTTGATCACTTGAATCGAGACTCAGATGGGTCCATTCCGTTCCAAAAGTATGCTCGATCAATGTTTGAGCGGCAAAGAAAGGAATATCGTTCGACACGACCGCGGTATCATCGAAGAAAACGATCGTTTCCTTCGAGTCGTAAGCGATAGAGTAACCCGTGAAGTCGTCCAGAGTCAATGTTAGCACGTAATCGGACTCCGGGTCCAGAACCTGGTTTTTCTCCGCCTGTAGGATCTGTAAAGACCAATTTACAGCCCGTGGTTTGGATTGCAACAATGCGTCTGCCTGCAACTGGATTGCCTCGTGAACATCTGGAAATTTGTACGTGTCTGATCGCACATATACTGGCACGACCAGATGCACGTCTGAATGCATATTTTCACGCAAGGAACTGATATACGTGCCGGGCAAAGGTGCCCTGTATATCGTGGTCAATTTGTACCACAGAGGGACACCGACAAGAGCGAAAACAGCACCAAACCACAAAGCCACCACCCGGCGCAAGTATAGCTGCGACATTTCACCTCTTGGTACGGCCTTTCGGTGCCCTAAAATGTGAAGTTTGAGGTTTTTGGTTAAAACATCAAGGCTATACTCTCAATGGATCATGGAATTCTATATTTGAGAATGCTACGTGGCCAGTGATACTATTTGACAAATCACATGAAAATTATTACGTAATTTACAACGTGACCATTTTTTCGTTGATGGTGATGGGATTTGGAAAAAGGTTAATGCTCATCGCCTATAACCAGGAACTTGATGAAAGAAGCGATGAGCATAGTTGAAGAATTAGAATATCCAGCTACAGAGCTTCAGAGGGATATTTCTAGTGGGATAAAATATATTCACGGGTTTCGGTGGATTAACCGCTTTAGGGACGTGCATTTGGGGGGTTTTTTGGACGCTATTTGATAGAGAAAAGGCTAGCTCATCGAATCGAATTTTTATAGACTAGTAGCTTGAAAAATCATCCGCCATGGCAGAGGCTAAGGAGCAGGAGTTTGTCCATGAGGTTTATAATGACATTGCGTCACATTTCTCGCAGACCAGATACAAGCCGTGGCCTATAGTGACCAAATATCTTGAAGATCAGCAGACAGGAAGTGTAGGCATCGATGTGGGATGTGGTAACGGCAAGTATCTGGATATAAACCCCAATGTGTTTTTGATCGGTTCAGATCGATCGTGTAACCTCGTGGAGCACGCACATGAGCGGAACACACGGTGCAACGTTATGGTTGCGGACGGTCTGCGATTGCCGCATCGGGACGAGAGTTTTGATTTTGCGATATCCATAGCCGTGGTGCACCATTGGTCGACCCGCCAGCGCCGTGTAGATGCCATAGCCCACATTTTGAGCAAAGTGAAACCCCAGGGCACAGCGTTGATCTACTGCTGGGCTTTGGAACAAGCCAGCTCACGAAGAGGCTACCATGAAGGCCAGGAGCAAGATGTGTTGGTACCTTGGGTCTTACAAGGACCTCATGTGAAGAGCTCGTCGAATACAGGTACGAAACTGCTGAAAACTGCAAGGCCCAAAGGTCCGGACTTGACCAATGTACCACCAAAGGAAAGATCAGCTGTTGTTCAACAGTGGAAACAGCAGCAAGAAGAGAAGAGAGCTACGCAGCAGGCACAAGAAACTGATATAGAATCGCAAACGGGTCCCAAGAAAGACATCATAAACACCAAATATCGCTATTATCATCTATACAAAGAAGGTGAGCTCGAACAGGACTGTATTAGTGCTGGAGGCCTAGTTGTTGGGGCTGGCTACGAAAAGGATAACTGGTATGTAATTGTACAGCGACACTGATGTGTCGACGGCTTTTAAGGATGCCTTGACCCTTCATTTTGGCTTGTTTCTTGGGTTTTGATCTGTCTATATATAAACAGTTGATTCATCAATGATGAGTATTTCACCATTTCACCTTTAACCGAAGAACAAACCTGAATTGACAAAGATGCCGGTCATTCAGCATGAGGGACGTGAGATTCATCTCTCCCACGAGCAAGAGACTAAGCTGAATGAGTTTCAAATGATAACGAACTTTCCGGACCCTGAAGTGGGTCTTGTTGTTCAGTTATTGGAAAGCCACGGTTGGAACTTAGAATCTGCACTGAGCAGATATTTCGATGGCAATTGGCAAGAGAATCTAATTCCATCAGATGCGGCTCAAAGACCTTCTACTCCGGTACCTTCTCAAGGTTTCGTTTCTCATTCAGCAAGTTCATTTTTGCTTGGTGAAAATGCATCGTTTATACCTAGACTACCTCTGGTCAGAAGGCTTCCTCTGGACTTTGGAGACAACTCACGCATAATCGGGCTGGACAAACGATCAGAGGACAAATTCAACAACAGCCCTGCTCTGATAATCTTACTTTTCCTACCAAATTTGTTGTTGAAGATCGGTACCGGAATACTGACGATCTTATGGTCCATCATCTCGTTTGGCTTCAAAAACGATCACATTGCAGAAAATAAGATTCAGAGAGTTCCTCCAAGACCTGATAAGAATGCAAAGCCCATCACAGAGATTGTTGGCTCTGTCTTGGGCGAAAACTCAGAATTGGCTAGTTTGATCGCCCCACAGTCATTTAATGAGCTTTACGATGAATGCGAAAGCCAGTTCAAAATCATGATGGTGATTTGCTTGGGAGATCTGGAATCAGAACAGCTTGGAGAACGAGACCTCAACTCCGCTAGATTTTTGACGGAAGTTATCAATGACCCTACCACCTTGCAAATACTTCGCGAGCATCGAGAGGAACTAAGCGTTTACATGTCTTCCGCACAATCGCCTGAGATGTGGGCTATGGCAAGCCAGTTGAAGCTTAGGTATACCCCAGAATGTTTTCTCGTTGCCAACGTCTTGAATTCCAAAGACTCGGTAAATGGTACCACACAGATGTCATTGATAGGCAGAGTGAAGTTGAGCTCTGTGAGAAGATTTCAAGGTAGCTTAAAATCGATATTAGAAAAGCATAGTGCAGAGCTCTTGGTGAGCCGTAACGAACAAAAAGAATTGAGACTGGCAAGAGAAATTAAAGAACTGCAGGATCAGGCATATGAGGAGTCGCTCAGACAGGATCAGCGCAAACAACAAATGCGTCAGGAAGAAGACGCAACAGCAAGAGAGACCTTGGAAAGAGAAAAGGCCAGAGCGTTCGAAAATAAATTCAATTTGGCAGCTTGCGAACTGCGTGCGTTGCAATTGTCCATAAGTCTTGCCGACAGTCAGAGATCGCTCAATCTAGATTCTGGAAAGGCAACCCTCCAATTCCGAACTTCGAATGGGAAACGCTTTATCAGAGTTTTTGCTGGTGACGAATCGCCCAAAGATATATACCAAACTGTTGAATGCTTCCTCCGCTTAGATCTTAAATCCTTTGAAGATGATGTGGTGCTTGAAAGAGTGAAGACTAGATTGAGCGGTATGATTGAAGATGGCAACGTAATAGAACTGGATGAATCACAATGGTCTCATGAAGCACTCGCGGATGAAACTCTCGACTCATTGAAATTACGGATAGAGCAGAAATTGCAAGTTTTATGTGATTCAAGAGGAAACGTTGAGCTGGATATCAACTTCGAACTAGTATCACCATTCCCGAGGTTCAAATTGCCATGCGATGACAATATCAGCATCAAGGACATTTCACAGATTTGGCCTAATGGAAGTTTGCTTGTAGAAGCAATAGAAGAGGAAGACGAACCTGGCGCGGTGAATTTTTAATCCTTTATCTACAAAAGCAAATTATTCTATCATTATATCTACAAGCGTTGACGCTAGTGTCCCCAGTGGAGGCTTCCGTCAACAATCATGGCCCGCCATGATTATTCGCATTCAGTAAGTGTATCAAACAAGTAGGCCAAGAAATAGTGCAGGGGGTCTTGTACCTTATGAGATATTAGCAAATTTCGAGAACACGGCGCACTTCTTGATAATGATTTACCACCAAAAGACAAGAGAAACATATTGAGCGCGTTCCATTTTTAGGTCATCAAGTATTCCCGAGTAAACTCCCAGACGGATTAGATCAGTACAGTCTGGATCCCACAAGATAAAAATTATAGACTCGATTCAATAGTAAAATACAACGTCCCACGGGGATGAAATGGGCTGAAAATTCAAATGTAAGGTGCAAAACAGCATCTTCAAATAACCATATTCTCTTGCAATTCGGTTTTTGCTCTCTAAAAATTGGAAGCCCACAATAAAATGAAACCACTATAAACAAACAAACGGGACATATTCCGGAGTAATACAAACGACCCACATGTATTAGCACTGACTTCAAACTGGAAGTCCAAAAAATGTTAATCTCTGTGCCTTGGAAATCTTCGTGGAAAGCATGCGAGCTTAATCAACAGTTAGTAAAATTCCAAATTGTTTCGAATGAGATGATTCTTGGGCCCAATTTACTGTCTAGTTGGGGATCTCTCACGGGCGGAACCGTAAAATCCACCATCGTCTCTACCTCTGTATTCATCTCTTGGAGCTCCGTAAGAGCCTCTGGAAGAGCCGTAAGAGTCTCCACGGCCGCGACCGCCACGGAACCCACCACGGTCGCCAAAGCCACCACGGCCACCACGGAAACCACCACGGTCACCGTAGCCACCACGACCACGACCTCCGAAACCACCGCGTCCACCACGGAATCCACCGCGATCACCGAAACCGCCACGGCCACCACGGAATCCACCACGGTCACCGAAACCACCACGACCACCACGGCCACCGAATCCTCCGCGACCACCACGGCCACCGAATCCACCGCGATCACCGCCTCTGAATCTTCTGATTGGGGGTGGGTTGTCATCCTTTTCAGCGGAAATAACAGAGCCTCTGAACTCGATGTTGTTGAGCTTTTCTAAAGCGTCAGCCAAGATCTCCTCGGATGGGAACTCTAGAGCACCGGTACCGTCGAATTCTCTGGTGTTGACGCTAGAGAAAGTGGTTTCTAGTCCATTTTCACGGGCCAGATCCTTAAGTTCTTGCCAAGCAACGCCTTCTGGAAGGTTTCTAAGGACCATACGGAAACGAGGAGGCTGAATCTTGGAGAAAACAACCTCCAAAGGTTGATTGGCAAAAGTTTTACCGTTGACTTCTTCGATGGCTCTGGATGCAGAATCCGCTTCTTCGAATTCGACAAAAGCAAATCCGTTCAAAATTTTCACCTCTTTCATAGGTCCAAATGGAGCGAAAATTTCGTTTAATTCCGAATCCTGTACATCGAATGGGAAAGGTCTCACGAAAAGTCTAGTCGTCGATAATTCGCCGTCGAAACCTCCACCTCCTCTGTGAGGGGGTTGACCTTGGTATGGTGCAGGGTTGTCATAAAACTGTCTTCTTCCTTGTTGTTGATCTTCGTCACGGTACTCGTTCACAGGGGCAGAGCCTTGTTCAAACTCTTGTGTCACGGACTCCTGTACTTCGGCAACTGGGGAACCTTCGGTTCTTTCCACTGGGGTTTCCACGGATGTTTCTTGGACTTCAACTTCTTGAACTGGGGCAACTTCCTCAGCGGGAGCTTGCTGATACTCTTCTGACATTTCCTAAATGCTATTTGACCAAATGGGAGCTTCGAGTGGCGTTGTTTTGCTACAAAATAGGTGTGGCAAAAGTTGGAAGAAGTTCGTTCTTCTTGTTGGCATTTATACATGAAAATTTATGATGAGCGACACAGCCGTGGACTATGATGTGTAAGATTAATCATTTTAGCGAGATGAAATCGAAAATGTGATGGATGTGGAATCGCGACGAATAGGGTATTGTCGATAGCTGTGCGGAATTGTTGTTGAGTGAGGCTCTGTTCTGAGAGTTACAGTGATTTTACCGTTCTTTTATTCGAAAATTTTGAAACAATTAGCGTGGAGACGTGGACCTTGAGTGTTTTGGTACTGTAAATGTTATTGAGGGTTTATATTAATGTATGGTCATCTGAAGGGCTTTTCAGCAAGGTTTTAACTTGTTCAAGGTGTTTTAGATACTTTTGAGTACAATATCACTCTGTACTAAACTAACATTATTATATCGACATAACATTGGGATTGTAAAGAAAAGAGATATGATAGTGCCGCTAGATGTTTTGCAGCGCTGCGTCGAGATGTAGGAGTTTCGCGTTGCCAAAACCGGAGGAAAAAGGCAGACATGCGGCATATATGATCACGTGACTTAAGTTCGCTAGCGACACAACGCGGTTTACCTCTAATATAGCAAGATTTTATCAACGGTTGTGAGTTCTAGTCTTAATTAGTCGGGTGACTTTCACTTCTGTCGAACGTCTGTACACCTCTAAACGCATACCCATCGATATCACTTATCACGTGAATATGGTGACAGCGACACTTGTCGATGCTAGCTATCAAAGTTCGGACCCATCAACGTCTTCAAGCACTGAACACTGTGGGCATTTTTGACATTCCATCGTTGGTGTAGCTTGCGATTTCATTTCTGATTTTGATCGCTCCGGAAGTTCTGAATCGAAAGTAGTGACTTGCGATTTGAAATCAATTGGACAGCATCACTTGAAGTACGGGCCGAACATTGTGCCGAGATCGTGTATAGCGAAATTATTAGTATGTTTTTTTACCAGTATAAATCTCAATGACTGACGCATTCTCTGGTATTCATGTTCTGTTCGGTGTTGCTGTCAAAATTGTGTAAAGACAAGATTCTTGGAATCGGACGCCATGTTTCTACTCAAGATGTAACAAATTGGCACAGTATTGATATATCACTTAAGCGGCATCATGCTCTTTTCATGCTCCTTCAGACCCGTAATGACACACTTAAAGTTCGCACAAGCTGTAACATCATTGTAATCAATTCTCGATCGATTTTCCACCCGATTTTTCCGCAGAATTCTCCCAAAATATCACAGCTTCAATCCTATTCATCCAAGTAGACATTTCTGTCTTATGCACACCAGATATGACAAGGTAAGCATCGCAACACCCCAGAAACTTTCACTCGTTTCCTCACCTGACCGTAGCTCGAAGCTCATATATTGCCTATTTACTAATTTATAAGTCATCTTGTGGACCGACTCAAACTTCATATTCTAGACTGCAACAAGATGCTGCGATTTCAGCGCTTTGCATCGCACTACAACCAATCCAAACTTCTCCGGAAGTATCCGGTTGGTGGCTTAGTGCATGGCTACGAGATAAAGCGGGTCCTACCCGTTCCCGAAATGAAATTCGTTGCAGTCGATCTACAACATGTCCAGACAGGATCGCGACATCTACACATTGATAGAGACGACAAAAATAATGTTTTCAGTGTCGCCTTCAAAACCAATCCTCCCGACGATACCGGTGTTCCGCATATTTTGGAGCATACGACCTTATGCGGGTCCCAAAAATATCCAGTCCGGGACCCATTCTTTAAGATGCTGAACAGATCGCTTTCAACCTTTATGAATGCCATGACTGGTCATGATTACACGTTTTACCCATTTTCCACTGCTAATGAAGCAGATTTCAAAAACCTGAGAGACGTTTATATAGATGCAACGTTCAATCCGTTGCTGAGACATGAAGATTTTCTACAAGAAGGTTGGAGACTGGAAAACTCCGATCTGAAAGATCCGAAAAGTGACATCGTGTTCAAGGGCGTCGTTTATAATGAAATGAAAGGGCAAATCTCAAGTTCCAATTATCAATTTTGGACCAAGTTCCAACAAAACATCTACCCTTCTTTAAACAACTCTGGGGGTGATCCGCAAAAAATAACAGATTTGCACTACCATGAACTACTGTCATTCCATGCAAAACACTATCATCCCTCAAATGCAAAGACGTTCACATACGGTAATTTTGCGCTCGGTGACACTCTGCATAGGCTAAATGAGGAATTCAAGTTACGCGGTAAGCGGAACATTAAAAACGAGGCTTTGCTTCCACTTCACTTCTCAACTGATGTCCGAGTGATAGAAAATGGCGAAGTGGATCCCATGCTTCCACCGGATAAACAACTAAAAACTTCTATGACGTGGGTTTGTGGAGATCCATCAGATGTTTATGACACATTTGTATTAAGAGTACTGGGTAATTTGCTTTTGGACGGTCAATCGTCATCTATGTACCAGGAATTGATCGAACCTGGAGTTGGCCATGACTTCACTGTAAACTCAGGTGTGGATTCTACGACTTCTGTCAATTTTTTCACGGTGGGTGTTCAAGGATGCAGCGATACTGGCCTGTTTGAAAAAACTGTGCAATCCATTCTTAAACGGACGCTGAACAAGCCCTTCGAGGCTAAAAAAGTGGAGGCCATTATTCAGCAGCTCGAACTCTCTAAGAAAAATCAAAAGCCCGATTTTGGACTTCAACTGTTGTACTCCGTTGTCCCTGGTTGGGTGAATACTACGGACCCATTCGATAACTTGGTTTTCGATGAAATTTTATCTCAATTCAAATCGGACTGGACAGAAAAGGGACACGGGTTATTTAGTGAGGTCATCGAGAAGTATCTAGTTGAGAAACCTTGTTTCCATTTCTCTATGAAAGCCGATCCTGATTTTTCTCAGAACCTCGAGCTTGAAGAAGCTGAGCGTCTGAAACAGAAAGTTAGCCAGTTAGATGACGCCGATAAGGAAACGATTCTTAAACGCGGTCTAAAACTTCAAGAAACTCAAAATGCTACAGAAGACGTTTCATGTCTCCCATCCCTTCAAATCAAAGATATCCCACGTAAAGCGGACACTTATAAGGTCGACAAGAAGGCTATGATTTCTCACAGAATAACTGATACAAATGGCATAACCTATCTGAGAGGCAAAAGAAATCTCAATAGCGCTATTCCCCGCCACCTGTACCCATACTTGTCATTATTCGCTGATTGTCTCACATCGTTGGGTACACCTGATGAAAGTTTTAGCGAGATCGAAGACGAGATGAAGCTGCACACAGGTGGAGTTTCGACAAGCGTGTCTGTGCATAGCGATGGTGATACACTGGAACCACAAATCGATTTCACATTTGAGGGTTTTTCTCTAGACGCTAAGACACAACATGTTTTCGATATCTGGCGTAAATTGATAGTCGAGACAGACATTTTGAAGCACAGTGAAAAACTGAAAGTCTTGATTAGGTCTCTTGCCTCTTCTAATACCGCTTCTGTGGCAGAAAGTGGGCACTCTTATGCCAGAGGCTATACAGGTGCTCACCTAACGTCTTCAAAGGCTATAAAAGAGACGATAGGTGGCATAGAACAGCTGCAGCTCATCACACGTCTTGCTGCTACATTAGATGATCCAGCTCTGTTCCAATCCGAGGTTATTGATAAGCTGATGGAACTCAAGAGCTACGTCATAGCTAAGGATAATATGAAGTTCTTCATTACTTGCGATACTGACAAGCAACTTACCAAAGTAGAATCGCAGATACAGGGATTTTTGAACAGCTTGCCGGAAACCTCTGAACCATGTTCGTTTTCCTCAACGGAATACCCATCACTAACCTCAAACGGCAAACCCACCTTGATCTTTTTCCCCTTCCAGGTCTACCACACGTCTCAAACTAGTATGGGGGTTCCATACGCTCACGCTGATGGTGCCGGTCTCCAAGTTCTTTCAAACCTACTCACATTCAAGCATTTACATCGCGAGATCAGGGAAAAAGGCGGCGCTTACGGTGGCGGAGCCGTTTACAGCGCTTTGGACGGACAGCTTTCGTTCTACTCTTACAGAGATCCACAGCCACTCAACTCTCTGAACGTGTTCCAGAATGCAGGAAGGTACGTTTTGGAAAAGTCAGACTGGCAGAATAGCGATTTGGACGAGGCCAAATTGACAATCTTCCAGCAGGTGGATGCTCCGATCAGCCCTAGTAGTGAAGGAGTGACAGAATTCACTTACGGTATTACTGACAAATTGCGGCAAAGAAGGAGAGAACAGTTGTTGGACGTGACGTTGGACGACGTTCGTCGTGCAGCTGAGAAATATTTATTCAATACAGAGAAGGTGTCTGCTGCTATTGGACCGCAGCTGACTGAAGTGCAAAACGATAGTTGGAACTTCAAACAGTTGCAGTGAGGGAAGAAGCCAACAGCAATGGGAAGGAAAGAAAACCGCGCAAAAGTTCTTGTAAATAGTCTGTAAATAGTATACAATGCATCATCAACAGAACACCATAAGATAGTCTTGCCGTCAACCTCATGTGAGAATTCAGAAATGAAACAAAAAAAGAGAAGGTTTCGACACGTCTACCGTTGTTGAGCCTATGGACAGTCATTTCAAATTCAGGATGAACTCCTCAGCTTGGTTGACTTCAACATACCAAGTCCTCAGCAATTACTTCTGACTTTATTCCGCTATGACAGATTAGTCTAGAATGATATGATCACTTGTACGTTTGGAATGATGTATTGTTTAATTACGCGTCCTCTCAGAAATTTGACATGTATTTGAATAAACTTGAAGCCAAAGCTTTTAACTCAAACAAGCATTGATCCCAGACCTTGAAGAGCCCTGGAACGTTGAAAACAATGCAATTACACTTTCTGGCATTTCTTTGCGCGATTGTCGGTGCTGTTGCGGCGGTACAGTTTGAAATCGCGGCGTTTCCGAGCCCAGAGCCTGTTTGCATTCGCGACTTCGTGAGCGAAGGTCAACTGGTCCTAGTGAATATCAAGACGGATGGATCGGTTGGGGATGGCCAGGTGCTGAGTGTGGTGGTCAGAGACAATGTCGGGCACGAATATCGCAGAATGAAAAATATTGCAGGTCCCGTCAAAATTGCATTTACAGCGTCTTCGAGTGCTGCATTTGACGTTTGTTTTGAGAACCAGGTGCAGAGTCGTGGCCGTGCATTGAGCAGAAAAGTGGAACTCGACATAGAATCGGGATCGGAGGCCCGTGACTGGAGCCAAATCCAGAGTTTGGAGAAACTGAAACCCGTGGAGGTCGAATTACGCAGAATTGAAGAACTCACCGACGAAATCGTGGACGAACTAACGTATTTGAAAGCCAGAGAAGAAAGACTAAGAGATACAAATGAATCGACCAACAGAAGGGTCAGAAACTTTTCGGTTCTCATGATTTGTGTGCTGCTGGGCTTGGGAGCGTGGCAGATCAATTATCTACACAACTACTTCAAATCTAAGCACATTATCTAGTGATGCAAGTAAATAAAAAATATACAGAGGTCAAAACACCAAATGGCCGAGTTTCCCCAATACAAATGAGAAATCTAGCCACGTTAAATACACTCTTTTCCCACTTGTGGCACAGCTCAGCATATCCAACAAAGCGCCGTTATCCATGTTGATGCCGTTGGCGATCTTTTGGAGGTCTTTAATGCTCAGAACATGGTTTCGCAGAGCCACTGTTGGAAATTGTTTGTCTCTCCCGCAGGCCACAACCAGCATGGACCATTGCGTGTCGATGACCTCGGCATTGTTCATGAAAATAAGCAGATGGAAGGTGTTCTTCAACAGCTTGTCAAAACTCACAATATTCGTATCTTCGATGCACACATTTTGAACGTTGAGCATCTTGGTAAACTCCCGTGGCATTTGCAAATCGTTATAAAAATCCGGTAAATTCTGCGAAGTCATATCGGACTCGATGCTATACGTTGCAAACGCACCTAAGATTTCATCTTCGATATCAGGAGGAATCTTAGGGTTCATAAACTCAATCACATCATTATAGGCCTTTTGAGACCGCTTCTTACTCATTTTTTACGCTGAAAATTTCGTAACATATGGATTTTGAAGCTAAAAACCAACCAGATTCAGATGTCTATAAGCACTGTAAATAACCGTGGTTGACAATTCGAAACGCTCTAAATTCATCATTTCGATGTCTAATTCTATCAAATGGCTTAATTAACATCTTTAAAATCTATATCACTTTGTACTAAAGGGTCTATCACCCAAAATTTTCAACTTTAGTAGTAATTAAACTGGAATTGAAAGACCAGTGAATCTGACAGGTTACAAGGTTCGTAATCACCATTGCAGGGCTTTGAAGGACTTGAGATGTCCGAAAGTGGTGACTTGAGACCAGAAAACGCTCCTAGCGTTGAAAATGGCGAAAAAACCAGCATTGTAGCTCCAAAAACGGCTTCAAACGGTGACGTTGATGTGCATGCCAAAGCTGGTGGAAAGGTCAATGAAAATGGACCGAGAGACGCATCTGTTGCTGACGACGAGCAAGAAACGGGCGGGCTAAAAAGATCTCATGAAAGCTCCGCTGCTGCAGAAGCAACTAACAGTCGAGGTCAAACACCTTCTGAATCTGCTGAACAGCTTGGAACAGACAATGCAGATGATGGTACCATTGAGGGACAGAAAAAAGAAGATGCTAACGAACAAGATGAAGATGATGGCGACGACGATGACGATGACGACGAAGATGACGACGAGGCAGGTCCCAGAAAAAAGCAGCGTCAAGAACGGAATCGATTTCTCGACATTGAAGCTGAAGTGAGTGATGATGACGAGGACGAAGAAGATGAAGAGGAATCAGAGCTTGTGCGCGAAGGTTTCATCACACGTGGTGACGAAGAAGAAGAGGATGAAGCCGCTGGGCCTGAACGTGGCGATCGCCTGCATCGTCAGCTAGATCAAAATTTGAACAAAAGCTCAGAGGAGGATGCTCAAAAACTGGCAAAAGAACTGAGGGAGCGTTACGGTAGAAGCAGCTCTAAGCAGTATAGGGCTGCAGCTCAAGACGGATACGTTCCTCAAAGATTTCTTCTTCCAAGTGTGGACACTGCCACCATTTGGGGTGTTAGATGTAGGCCTGGCAGAGAAAAAGATATCGTCAGAAAGCTGCTCAAGAAAAAGTTCAATTTGGATAAATCGATGGGGAACAAAAAGCTTAAAATCCTGTCCATTTTCCAAAGAGATAACTATACCGGAAGAATCTACATTGAGGCTCCCAAACAGTCGGTCATCGAGAAATTCACAGCTGGTGTTCCAGATATCTATCCATCACAAAAACTTCTGATTCCCGTGCAGGAACTACCATTACTTTTGAAACCTGATAAGTCTGACGACGTTAGGTTAGAAGAAGGAAGTTACGTGAGAATAAAGAGAGGAATCTACAAAGGCGATCTCGCAGTCGTCGATCAAATCAGTGAAAATAATCTAGAGGTGCTCCTTAAAGTTGTTCCACGTTTGGATTACGGTAAGAATGACGAGGTAGATGCTGATACCAACACGCGAAAACAGAAGCGGCCGACATTTGCACAGCGGCCTCCTCCTCAGCTTTTCAACCCTACTATGGCTTTAAGAATGGATCAAGCAAATCTTTACAAAAGAGACGACAGACATTTCACCTACAGAAACGACGATTACGTTGATGGTTATCTTTTCAAGTCTTTCAGGATCCAATATCTCGAAACTAAGAGTATTCAACCTTCTGTGGAAGAGCTTGCAAGGTTTGGCAGCAAAGAAGGTGAACTAGATTTAACGACCATCTCACAAACGATAAGAAAAGCACAGGCGGCAAGAGTTACATTTCAAATTGGTGACAGAGTTGAAATATTGGGAGGTGAACAGAAAGGATCCAAGGGTTTTGTCACCAGAACTTCTACAGATATCATTGCTGTTAACCTACCGCAACTGGGGATGAAGGCATTGGAATTCCCAATTTCCTCATTGCGGAAAATTTTCGAGGCGGGTGATCATGTAACCGTTGTCGGAGGTGACCACCAAGGTGACGCTGGTTTAGTGCTTGCTGTGAAAAGTGGTCAAGTCACTTTCGTGTCAGATCAAACCAGAGCAAATCTTACAATCTCAGCTAACAATTTAAGCAAATCCATGGATTCCACTCCAACTTCTAGCGAGTATGCCTTACATGACATTGTGGAACTCAGTGCTAAAAACGTTGCATGTGTCATTCAAGCAGGTCATGATATTTTCAAGATTCTCGACGATACCGGAAAGGTGTCGACGATAACGAAGGGCTCCATTTTGAATAAAATCAACACTCAGCGTTCGAGACTTACAACCGTGGACAATAAGGGCAGTGAAATCAAGATTGGCGACACCGTAGTAGAAAAAGTGGGTGCACGCAGAGAAGGTCAAGTGTTGTACATCCAAACGCAGCAAATTTTCATTGTCTCAAAGAAAATCAATGATAATGCCGGTGTTTTTGTTGTTAATCCAATGAACGTTGAAGCTGTGGCATCAAAAGATAATGTCATAGCAGGAGTAGGGACAATGGACTTATCCAGAATGAACCCGGACGTCGTGTCTAAAATGCGTCCGCCCCAGCAGTCTGGAGAACAAACGCGAGTGGGCCGTGACGTTGCATTGGGTAAAACTGTTAGAGTCCGTTCAGCTGGCTATAAAGGGCAGCTAGGTATTGTTCGGGACGTTAGCGGTGACAAAGCAACAATAGAACTACACTCTAAGAGTAAGCACATCACTGTAGATAAGAGAAAGCTGATGTTCTACAACAAAGAAGGTGGAGAAGGTATTACCTATGACGATCTAGTTAACAGGCGTGGTAGAACTCCAAGCAACAGAATTGGACCAAGTTATGTTAGCGCGCCCAGAACCATGGCTACCGGTGGTGCTCCTGTTGGAGCTGGACGTCCCGGCGCTGCTGGCGTATCCGGAGGAATGACACCTGGCTGGAATACATTCGATGGTGGTAAAACGCCTGCTGTGAACTCGGGAGGTGCTGGCGGTGCTTCTGCCTGGGGCGGTGCTTCAACCTGGGGTGGCCAGGGCGGTTCTTCGACTTGGGGTGGCGGCCAAGGTGGTAGTGGCGGTGGTGGTGGAGCTTCTGCATGGGGTGGCGCCGGTGCTACCTCGACGTGGGGAGGTGCATCTACCTGGGGCAATAAATCCAGCTGGGGTGGAGCTTCCACTTGGGCTTCTGGAGGAGAAAACGGTGCTCAATCTACTTGGGGTGGAGATAAATCCACACACGGGGCCGGTTCTACTTGGGGCGGTCGTGATGGTGGTGCCTCTACTTGGGGTGGAGGCACTGCACGAGAGGGAGGAAACTCTACTTGGGGTAAAGATGCCAGTGGTAACAAATCTGCCTGGGGAGATCAGGGCAACGCCTCATCCTACGGTGGAGGAAGTACTTGGGGCGGTCGCTAGCTTACTGTGAAATACCAGATTTTTTGAGTGTTTGTTTTGGGTTCATCTTTTCCGTGGTCTGGTGCATTACTTCACAGTGCTAATGAAAGCGCCATTGTTCAATATCTGGTAGTCCGTGTTTGTAGAATATAGTCTAATGTTCAAATTAAGTGAAAGTTCCGGATTGGCTTCTTAGTGGTAAGCGTATTAGAGGGTCGAAGCGACTCAAATGGGAAAACAAAGCTCAGCTTTGCATTGATTTGTATTAGTTGAGAGTTAATGCGTATATATATGTACATGAGAATGAAGGAAATCGTTGAAATAAGTGGAAAAGAGAGACGGAACACCCATTCTATCGACTTGTTCTCAAGAAATCTAATGGTTTGCGTTCTGCAACTTTTCTCTTCTTAGACTCTTTAAAAAGAACATGACGTTTGGCAACTGGATCGTACCTAACCTGTGTTACCAAAGGTGCACCTCTGGATATCGTTATTTGACGAGCGAACCCGGTAGCAGCAGTAGATATAAGCTTTATCACAGAGTTCTTAGACTTCTGTTTGGCCATGGTATGAGGGGTGGCGGGGCTGTTCGAGGTAGATCTTGGTGACGACGACGACCACGACCATGATGATGATGATGATGATGATGATGATGATGATGCATTTAGATTCTGGTGAAAAAGTCAAGTCATTGTTTACGTTTTTGATTTTCGACTTAACTATGGAGACCAAGTTGATGGGGTAAACAGTGATCAGAAATAGTGTTTGAAAGGTGTGGTGGTGCTGTTGGGTGGATTCCAAACCATTTTTGATGCTCTTGGAGAAGTTACTTGAGCAGGATAGTGTTGATCATTATGTACGTATTATTATTAGAGTACTTGTAAACGATTTCGGGTTCGTCATGTGAAACGACTTGCGGATGGAGAAAACCCCAAGGTGGAGGG